ATAAAGCCTCTAGATTAAGTAAAGTATATTATATTTAAAGAACTAGTTAATCTTTAGAAAGTAGTAATATTAACCCATATTAAAAATAAATTAAATAAGGAATAATTAATAATTAATAAGTAAATAATCCCCTTTTTTTTTTTTTTCTGCTGTTATATGCTTTAATTAATATTAAATAAGAGATTAGCTAGTCTAGATAGGTGCTTAATAATAAGGGGTATATTAAAGGTATATGCCTAATTAGGCTTAGTATCACCTTATTTAGCGCGGCTATACTATATAACCACCTGCTTTATGTCTAAGCTGTAGTAGTAATAGCAACCATCAGCCATCTCTTCCCTTTCCCAGGCCTGCTAGGCCAACAGATAATAAGTTAATCTATTAGTAATATTAAGTATTATAAATAATTATATTACTTTAATAAACTACCTATAAATATAACCTTTAATATTAATAAGATTATTCTAAAAGATAAGGATAATTAGCCTTTATAATATATAATTATATTAAGATATGTTGGAGGTGTCTGCCTAGTTAGGCCTAGCGCCATCCTGCTTGCCTTTTCTCTCTCGCCTGCGCGCATCCTAGATCACCACCATCATCTATCCACACATCTCTTCCGCTTTCTCCAGGCCATCCGTTGCCTGACAAGATATATATAATCTTTATTTATATAAAAATATATAGATCTAGAATATAAAGATATATTAAAGAAGCTATAAGCTTTAATACCTATATCTTATTAATAAGATATAATAATATCTAAGGAACTTACTATAATAAAATAAGCCTTATATAAATATATAATTAATTACTATTATAATAATATAAAATTATATTAAAAGAAGTAAGGCATAATTATTAGGCTTTATAATTAAATTATAAAGATAATTAATAAATATTTATAAAACTTAATTAATATAATTAAGATTTTATAAGAGATGCTAAAGCAGCTATAAATAAGATATATACTTAATAATAGTACTTAAATAATATAGTTAGGCTATAAATAAGATTATATTTAATTAAAAATAATTAATAAAGAAAGCTTTAATAAATAGCTTATATATTAAGAAATACTTTATGTTAAATATTATAGCTTTAAGCTTAATACTATTATAAATATAAAATAAGTAATATACTAATTATTTAAATAAATTAACTTATTTTATTATAAATATATAAGTATAATAATATACTTAATTTAATAAAACTAGATAGTTAAATACTTATTAAAGATATTAATATTAAATATATTAATTAACTTTAGAGAATACTATAGACTATAAATCTCTTAAAGTAATAATATAAATATATTTATATTATTTAAGAACTATAATAAAGATAAATTAAGAATAGTATTATTAAAAAGAAAAGAACTATACTATATTTATAGAAGATAATATTAATTTAAAGAATATTATTATATTAATAAATAAATTTATTTTAATAACTAGGCACTAGATATAAAAATAATAAAGTAATTTAATAATATTAAAGAAAAGAAACTAGTACTTTATAAGATTATAATAAAAATATATAAAAAAGTAAAAAAGAAGTATAAAAAGTTAAATCATATAATATAAAATAAAAATATTAATATAGTGGCTTATTAATACCTTAAAAATACTTTATTAAGCTTAAAGATAATATTAATAGTATTAAATAATATAATAAGAAATTATTATTAGCCTTTTTTCAAGAACCCTAGATAGAAGAAGAAGATAAAGAGAAGAATAAAATATAAAAATTATTAAAGATAATAAGGATACTCCTAATACCTTAGGTAATACTTATTTATAATACTAATTTACTAATAATTAAATATATAAATCTAGGGAGCCAATTAGAGGGTATACTAGAGCTAATAAATAAGAAAGGGAACCTATTAAAGTTAGGGATACCTAATAATATAATTAATAATAATCTTAATATTAATAAGGCATCTAATGTCTCTAATAACCCTAAATATTAGGAAATTAGTATTAACTTTAATATAAGGTATATTATTTATAATATAAGAATCTATTAATAGGCCTATATAATACCTAGAGCCTTTATAATATTTATTAATAATAAATTAATACTTAATATATTTAATACTATAATATTATTAAAACTATTATAGCTTTATTAATCTTTATTAAAATAATTATATAAAGATAAGCTCTTATTATTATTAAATACCTAAAATATAATAAGATATTATTTATATTAAGATAAATTTATTACTATTATGTATAATAAATATAATAGACTTAATAATTATAAAATCTTTATAATTTATATAGATTATTAAAATTATAATAAAAAGACTTATTTAATACTTTACTTATTTTAGGGATAAAGCTTTATAAAGATTCTTATTTATATATAAATAATATATTAATCCTTATAATATATATTAATAATTTTATCCTTATATATTATAAATAAAATAAAGCTTAAGTAATATAGTTCTTTAATATCTTAATAAGTATTTATTAAATATATAAGATAAAACTAGAATAATTCCTAAATATATAGATTTAATAAGATTAAAAAGAAGGGAAACTATAGCTATTTTAAGATATTTATATTATATTTATTATTATTAAATATAGACTAATAAATTATAAGCTATTAAATATATCTATAATAATTAAGAAGCTTATCTATAATAATATAAAGATTAATAATAAATAAACTTATTATTATTAATAATTAATAAGATCTACTTTATATACTATAATTATTATAAAACTAGATATATTATAAATTATATATAATTTAAGTTAATTTCTTAAGAACTTATTTTAAAAATATATTAAAGCTATAAAATATATTATTTAATATCTATATAATACTTAATTTCTTATTATTTAATATATAAGACTATAATTAATAGTTAAGAATATTATTAAGATCCTTAATATTTTTATATATATAAGTAATATTATATATAAAGATAATTAAGATTATAAGAGTACTAAAGGATATCTCTATATCTTATATAAAAAAGTAGTTAATAAATAATTTAAAAAGTAAAAAATAATAATAATATTAATAATTAAAATAGAGCTTATAATTATATTATATATTAATAAGAACCTCTTCTAGTAGAAATACTTATTTAATAATATTAAATTTAATCTTAAGTATAAGCTTATAATTTTATATAATAATTAATAAATAGTTAACCTTTTAATTAAAAATAATCTACTCTTAATAAATATAGCTTAAATATATTAATATTTATTAATATTAACTTTATTAAAAAGTATAAGATAAAAAATTAAAGATTATTTAAATATTAATAGCCTAAATACTTATAAATAGCTTTATTAAGGTTCTTAATAGCCTAAATTATTAAAGATTTATTAAGATACTAGATATAATTAATCTTATAAAGAACTATAATATTAATAATTTAATTAATACTAAAGAGGTATATTAACTATAATAAATATATAAATACCTATTATTAAATATATAGTTATTTTTTATATTATTTACTTAACTATCTATTAACTATTTCTTATTAATATTCTTATTATTTATATATTATTAGGGCCTAACCTTATTATATATTTATATATTATAGATAATATTTATCTCTAAAAGTTATCTAGTTAGTTAGTTTAATATTATCTTATTATTAGCTCTATATAGGGAGAATCCTTATATTATTTAGCTGAAATCTAGGCTCTTTTATAAATAAAAAGAGCTAAAAAAACTTATAATATTTTATAAGAAAATATAAATTCTAATAAAATTATAAAAGCTTAAAAAACTATTAATAAAAGAAGTTATAAAATATATTTAAAATAAGTCCTTAAAGCTTATAATGTTTAATATTTAATTTATAAAATAATTAAATTTATAAATCTTTTTTTTTAAGATTCTAAATAGTATTAAATAATTATTTATATAAACTTGTAAATATTTATCACCTTATAAGATACTTTAATAGTAATAAATAGATTATATATAAAGAATAAATGCTATATATAATTATAATATTATTTTATAATATAATGTTTATTAAGTTCTTATTAATTATTAAACTTATTTCTTTGAGATTATTAATATAATTGATAATAATTTAATTTAGAATAAATTTAAGAAGTTTATTTTATTTAATTAAGATATTATAATCTTTATATAACCTTTTATTTTAATATGTTTTATATTTATTATAAAATATATTTTTTACTACTTAATATAAGTATTATAAATATCTTAATTTAAGATATTACTTTAGATTAGGTCTAGATTATAAATATTTATACTTATATTATTAAAATATATTTTAATAATTAAGATAAAGAAAAGATTATTTTTAATTGTCTTAATAATTTTATTATTTTTTATTAAGCTATATACTTTCATTTAGGTTATAAAAATAAGGTTTAATATAAGTGAATTAATATTAAGATTATATTAAGTTAAAATATTAGCTTTAAGGCTCTTATTTTATATAATTATTATATTAATAAATATAAATCCTAAGACTATTATATTATTATTATAGGCTATTTAAGAAATAGTTACATAAACTACTATTATTATGATTCTAGTAATATAATATTTACTTTATGATAAGTAATATATTAATTATAATTAATAAAAAAGAATAATAGTATTAATAGCTCTAGTAATAATAATAATAATAAAGTTAATAATAATAAAGTTAATATAACTAATATAATTCTTATTTAGACTTAGCTATTAAGTAACTAAGAGGTAATTATATAGTGTCACTATACTAAGTGTGAGAAAGTGACAGTCAGGCAAGCACCAACTAACTAGGCCAAAAAGACCACTATAATTAGACCCATGGTCTAATTAAGCCCTGAATGTATGTATTATCTAGGAGCTCTAGTAGGGTCACCTTCTGACTGAAACTAAGGTTGTCAGATATTAGTTACTTAAGCCTCATCTAGCACACACCTCTCACATATATTTATAGTCTATTTCCTAGTCCTATAGACATTACAATTTTTCTTAAAGTATGATATCTCTAATCAATAATTAGTTGGCCTCTGATATTCACACATTAGTTCGGCGCTATATGTGGACTAGGATGTCTCAATGTCAGGGGCTAGTCACTACATCAGCCTCCTCCTGAAGGCGGCGGGCGATAAGCGGTAAGAATACCGAGCTGACCTTCTAGTTTCCAAAATTAGTGCTAGTTACCAATCAATAATTCTATCTATTTTCATCTATATGAAGTGTATTCTATTCAGATTATGTCTTTAATTGATCAGTGAGTACTAAACCTTTTAGATATATAATCTTCCTATACTAACTATTTAGTACTCTTCATGATCTAGATGCTCAATTTAACCATATTTATTTGAGTATCCTGAAAACCTGCAATCAAGAAGCTACACTAAGCCTTTCTCAACCAAAGATACAGTCTCTCAACTGGACTCATTATCAGAAACTTATTGATGGGCTCTCTTATACATACAAAAGACACCCAATTCTATCTTCAGAGACTTTACTTGATATATTAAGTCAAGTGAACCATCTCCATGATGATTCGTCATTATCATCACAATACCTTTCTTCACATGAATCTGAACTACTATGGCTGATATCTGCAAAAGCTACTGCACATTCAATTGGCTTAGCAGTTCATTCACTGTTAGACCAGGCCCTCGAAATAAGTAATGAGATCTGGTACTGGGATGAGGTCTTAGGATCCTTTTGGTACACAGGACTGTACTCAATTCAAACATCACCTTCTCGAATTTGGAAATACATAGTGCAAGGATACCCTTCCTGGACTGGCCGGCCTTCCACAGCACCGGCCTCAACACTGCTTATGTCCATTCGGTGGTCCCAATTTCATCAATTCATCCAACAAAGTGTGCTGAAGAATCCCATTTCCTATCTACGGATAGGGTTACCTCCGTCTTTTGTGGCATGCAGGTCCGAAGCACAGCAGAAGCGGGGCAGTTTAAAAGCTGCCAGGAGCGTAACTGCTTCCAGTATTGGTTTCCTAGTAGGAGAATGGCTTTCATTCAAGCAGACTGATCGCTTGTCTGGGAACAGTTTCAATCTGTCTGAAAGCGAAATATGGCATAATGCTGTCAGAAGAAGTGTGGCCATGTTAGAAAGTGTTCTTCAACATGGATTCAAAGATCTCAATCCCTCTGAATTTGAGAGTACAATCACGGCAGCAATTGGGAACAAGTCTGACCAGTCGGATCAAGACCCTCGATTGGTCATCAAACGCCTAGCCCATATTCATCAGGAACTCTTACCCAGAAACAGACTTGCATCTACTGTTTGCGTTGACCGTAACGGGCGACCGTCCCGCCTAGTTCGATACTGGCTTCCACTCTCTTTTATGGTCTTTTCAACAAGCACCATATTTAATTTCATAAAAAATAGGCGCAGTATGCTTATACAGTCAGTGGTTGATGCAGTATCAACATCCATGGATTTCTGGCATAATTGGGTTTTGGGCCCTCTTCGCAAACTGATTGGGACAATCAGACACGATGAAACCAGTGAAATCGCAATTATGAGCAAGAACAGTCTCGAGGCTGACCGTGCTAGTCTAGAGAGAATGGTTGTTGATTTTATTCGCGATCGTCCTGGCTTGCAAGACGGCGCATTGGTGGCAGATACTGATACTCTAATGCTAAGGGTGAAGGAAGGCGATTTAACACCTGTCTTGAGGGCCTATGAGAGAGATTTACGAGCACCATTTTCAGGGGCTATAAGAGGAGACCTCGTTCGTGCTCTGTTGATTCAAATCCAAAAAACGAAAGTCGACGTTGAAATAGCAATGAGTGGCATTAATGCTCTTCTCAAAAGTCAAGAGCTTGTTTTTGGGTATTTAATTCCCCGTGTTCCTCGAGAATCCCATACTGATAGCTCTCTAGTTTTGTTGGCCTAACGCCGGGTATATTGGTTTCATATGCGGTTTTCGTGTGGACAAATGGCCTTTTCAGCAACCGAAAGGGGCTGCAGGTTGGTAAAAAACAAACCGATTTGAGGCGTGCCATGCGGTAAGTATGAAAAATCCCAAAAAGATCTTTCTTCTGTACCTGACCAGCGTATAGAAATGTTTCCAGGGCCTTAACATTGTCCAACTGTACAACAGACGGCATTCTTTCTTACAAGGACTATGGCCTCCTTATATGTGAAACCGAAGTTTTACTTCAGAAAGCAAGAGCCACATTTCAAGGCACACGTTTCCGGGAATTCAGGGAAGATGTAGAGGAACTTCTGAATCTGCAACATGGGATCGACACCCAACACAGAGTTCTTGAACGAATAACTTGGGTCTACTCGAAGTCATTTTGAATTGAGGGCAGTCTTGAATTTGATATAAAATTCTAGTATTCTCAAATTTCCAGTTCCCACAATGTTTAATATTCGGTTCAAACAAGTCTGTCATCAACTTGAAATTTACCAACCTTGCTCTAGAGTCAAATCCAGCTTTTCATGTGTTTCCATATTGATTATCAGGAGTCATCTAAATATTCTAACTTAAAAGGCTGGATATCTAGATGATTTATCAATATTGGTATAGGTCATTCATCTTTTAAGTTTGAGATATATAGACCTCAGGAATTTAAACAGGTATATTATTTATTTATTAGTGAATGGAATATGATTTCACTCTATTTTATATAGGAAATCAATCAAGATTTAAGCTCCTAAATTAGTACTAGTTATAGTAATGTTATATTATCATTCATTCTCCTTGAGAGTTTATAAGTATAATTAGAACTCATAATATCATCACTCCTTACAATTAGGACCTATTTCTAAATAAATAAGTTTAAAATTTATACTTATACCTTCAATAAATTATAATGCTGATTAACTTTAATATATGCAGTAGTGGTAGATGAAGTGGGCTAAATAAGGTCCTGCATATAGAGTACCCTGTACTACTATCACCACCACAGAGTTAGATAGGTAGTTAACTAGGTAGTTACTTGTTATCTACCTGCTAGCATATCATCCATCCCCTACCTTCCAGCCACCTACACTTACTCCAATAACTGGCAAATCCTACTCTACTCTATTCAATATCTTCCTATTTCTTATCAAGTCAGTTAACAAAGCCTCCTATTTTCTACATTCTAAATAATAAATTGTGAATTGTGAACCATTAAATCTCATCATCCACTAGTCCTCTGTTTGAGTTCTAAACTTCGCAGATCATCTTTGAATTAAATGGGTATATAATAACATCCTAACTATATAGAGAGATATTAAACTAACTAGCTAGGATCTGGAAGTTGTGAGGTTACCTTCCAGCAGAGCATATTCACTCATACAAAGTGAAGAAAACACCGCAATATTTCTTCACTCTTGCACCAAAACCAGTAGCAAGGTGACTTGGGATCTTGTCTTTCTGTGTAATTACACAGAAACATATCTACACCACGCTAGGTTAATATTATGGCAGGCACGAGGAATTATGATTTCCTAGTGAGTAGCCCCCCCCGCAGATATATCAATAATAACAGCTAGAGTGAAACTAATATGTCCCTCAGATCAAGTTGTTACTGATTGGAGACTCTGGTGTTGGGAAATCATGCTGTCTTCTACGCTTCAGCGAAGATTCATTCACACCATCATTCATCACAACAATTGGTATCGATTTTAAAATCCGCACAATTGAACTTGATGGGAAACGAGTAAAGCTCCAGATATGGGATACAGCAGGCCAAGAACGCTTCAGAACAATTACGACAGCATACTATAGAGGGGCGATGGGAATACTTCTTGTTTATGATGTCACTGATGAGCGTTCATTCCAAAGTGAGGGATTCCTGTTCCTTCTCAATAAGTGCACAGTTCTCATTAATATTTATCTAGATATTCGAACCTGGTTCTCAAACGTCGAACAGCATGCAAGCGAAGGTGTTCACAAGATCCTGATTGGTAACAAATGTGACTGGGAGGAGAAGCGGGCTGTATCAACTGAACAGGGACAACAACTCGCTGATGAACTAGGGATTCCCTTCCTCGAGGTTTCAGCGAAAAACAATACAAATATTGAGAAAGCATTCTTCAATCTTGCTTCGGCTATAAAGAAGGGTATGGACACCACTAAATCCGAGCAAGTGAGCACCCAAGGTGTGAGTATAGATCAGCAAGGTTCAGGCGTGAATGGCAATGTGGGTGGGAAATGCTGCTGAAATCAAACTGTCACATCACTCTATTCTTGTATTGTGTCTTCTGCTATGCTACAGGTTTATGCTACTTATGTCTCTATTGAACTGAGGGTATGCCTTTTTATTTTCGATATTTAGCGTATAGGTCGGTGTAGATAATCACTCTTTATTTTTGATTAGTATACTGCCCACCATCTCCAACCTGATGATTAGGTGGTAGCTACTATGTATCTGGGTCAGATTAAACCATATATCTATATTAATTTTTGGTTAATTAATTGTTTCTATGAGCAATAGTTGTTATACATAATTGATTGACTTAGCTATACTTAATGGATTTATTCAAGTGACTACCTATAGATGGATATATCAAAGACTACCTCTGTTCACAGCTTTTAGTATTGAGCATAATTAATCCTTATTATGATACCTCTGAATCAATAAATTCCTCATGGGTAAGCTCTAGGTTTTTGTTGTTATTTTTACTATATAAAAATATTATTATATATCATCTTCTAATTTAAGGAGTTAAAAGTCGCCTATATTCTTGAGTCACTTCTTCTGATCATATATAACTAACTACTCTGGTGACCCTTGTATTTGAGACTGTGACCTATCTACTCTGGAGTATTTAATGTCTACTGAGCAGATAGTCAGGTCTTATCTACTTTAGCCATGACCAACTAAGCAGTGACTAGTTAGTTAGGTAATTATTTAGCTACTTAACTAGATGTTTTCTATTTATTTATAATTAACTATATTTAATAACTAGTGCAGTAGTTAATACCAACAGTAGATACTTAGTTACTTACCATAAAAAGCCTAAGTTGTCAAAATTTATCAAGAACTTAGTGACCCACATATGGAGTATATATTTTTTTATAAGACTAAGTAGTCCCACTATAGTCTATATATTAAAATTAAACAAAATTTCTTGTACTTAGGAATATTACTATGTACAGCCATAAATACTTTACTCTGTACATAGTACTCAAGTGAAATTCAGTTTCACTTATATCAGATCTTGAATTCTGCAGGTACCCAATCTCCCTCAATCTTTCAGATTTTCTCCTTGTTTGTCGATACTTGCTAATTTTCTCCGTTAAGAATTAAATATAATCATTAGATCTATAGAGTCCTTATTTATGAAGGTTTACTCAGCTTTCGTCCTATGTGGTTTATTTCATGTCTGAAGCACGCCAATTTACTGTTCGCCCGCTGTCAAAGCAACCGCGAAATGACTTGAAAGATGCGTTTCGGGTCTACTTGTCAACCTCGTCACTACTTGCTCTCAAACTTCGGGCTGGAGATGCCTGTAGTCTGAAGCAGAACGAGGGTGATGAAAAGACTGCGATAGCCTGGGCCGCCGTTGAAAATATACAGAACACAGTTGTGCAGACTTCAAGGGCCCTCCAGGATTGTTATAAAATAAAACTGGGTGAAAAGGTGTCTATTAGCAAGGTCGACAGTGAAGTACAAGAGATTGATACAATCTTCCTATCGGAATCCACGGATAATGATAAACTCACAAACTATGGAAATATTCCAGATCCCGAAAAGATTCATTGGGAATGGTGCCTGGGATACCCCTTTTCCAAATGTGAGCTTCTCACCGTCGGTTTGGTCTTTGATATTGAACTCAAGGGTCAACGTAGAAGCTTTAAAGTTACAGAAATCCAGAGCCCTGGTCAAAATTGCAGCCACACGCTATTTCGATTCAGCCCGCAAACGAAAATCATCATCGGTGAGAATCAAAAAGCTCAATATAAACAAGCAACCGCCCTTCATGTCCATCCCCATGGGCTCGGGGGTATGTCCCGTCAAATCAAACAAATCAACGAAAGCCTTGGGGACTACAATTTGGCATCCCACAGACTTGCAATGCCACCCTTTTATGAACACAGCCGGGGGATGCTACTCTATGGCCCGAAGGGGACTGGGAAAACTGCACTTCTGCGGCAGATCGAAGCTGCTAGATGGGCAAAAACGTTCAACATCGGAACTTCAACTATTACCAGAAACATGCACGATGGAGAGACTAAGTTACGTAAAGTCTTCCAGGAAGCCCTGGTCTCACAGCCTAGCCTTATCATAATTGATCAGTTGGATTTTATTGCGCCCAAGAGGACATCAGCAGACTCGTCGTCCCTGGCCTCCGTTTTGTGTGAATGCCTGGATATGCTGAAAGGCTCACTTGTTCTCGTCGTAGGAGCAACACGCCTCCCCAACGACGTTGACGACTCTTTGAGAACGCCCCACCGACTGGCAATTGAAATTGAATTACATATACCGACGGCTCTTGACCGTGCGGAGATTCTACGAGCCATTCGTGGGGTTTCTTCATCTGTGCCGAGCGACGACATGGTGGAATTTATAGCAGAAAAGACACATGGCTATGTCGGTGCTGACTTATTTGCATTGTTGCAACTTATTTGCCGCAAGGCTCGACAGCGATGTTCTCTTGAAGTCAAACCGATACATGACCAGGCCGAAGAATCATCGTCGCTCGACAATGCCATTAACTTCAACGAAGACGTGATTCTTATAGACATTCAAACGGACGATGTCATATCTGCGCTGCAGGAAACGCGACCCACTGCCATGCGAGAGGTTTTCCTAGAAACACCCAAAGTCAAATGGTCTGATATTGGCGGCCAGCATGACATTAAGAAACGTCTTCAAAAGGCTGTGCAACGTCCCCTAAAGGTGTGTATAAACTACTATGGGACATTCAAGGTGTTGATACTAACTACAACCAGTTCCCGGAACGAATGAAGAGACTTAATGTAAACAGCAAAAAGGGTATTCTACTGTACGGACCTCCAGGCTGTTCCAAAACATTGATAGTGAAAGCACTGGCTACCGAGGCGGGGTTGAATTTTTTGGCAGTGAAAGGCGCAGAAGTCTTGAGCATGTATGTCGGTGAGTCTGAGCGAGCTTTAAGAGAAATTTTCCGCAAGGCTCGTTCTGCCCGTCCAAGCATCATTTTCTTTGACGAAATCGATGCAATTGCATCAAAGCGTGGAGGTAGCTCTCAGGGAGGTGTCAATGTGCTGACAACCCTACTCAATGAAATGGATGGCATTGAGGAGCTGAAGAATGTCTTGGTTGTTGCAGCTACAAATAAGCCTGATGTAATCGACCCCGCCCTCATGCGCCCCGGGCGTTTGGATAACATCCTTTACATTGGGCCTCCGGATTTTGAAGCTCGAAAGGAAATTTTGACTATCTGGTCGCGCAACTCCGTGGTACATCCAGAGGTTGATCTTGAACGGCTGGCTTTGAAAATGGAAGGATACTCTGGTGCGGAGGTAGTGAATATTTGTCAGGTCGCAGGTGATGCGGCGTTGGATGAAGAAGAGGAGACAGGCCAGGAGCAAGAGGTTAAGTTAGAGCACTTTGAACTAGCATTGGGGCAGGTGAAGAGGCAGATAACTAGTGCTATGGTCCAGGGTTATGAACACTGGAGAGATTCCACGACCGATTAATGATATCTTAGGCATCCTGCTATTCAGGCGAGATGGATAACTGTCACAGGAATATATGACCATATAAAAGCTCTAATAATGTCTGGACATTTTTAGTGGCTTAGTGGTCTAGTGGCCCCCTAGACTTTTTCAAAATAACAGTATATTCAATATATATGACATATAATAGATATATATCTAGTAGCTATATCTATTGGAAGCGCTATAAAATGAGGTGTGATACCAAACCCTTGGTCAATATTGATTCAGATAGTAACCACTCTGTAAAGGTCAAATTTACAAGGGACAAACTGCAGAGTAGGTATCAAGATAGTTGGTAACTAAGGGCAATATCTAGTAACTACCTTAGTACTAGTTATAAGTTACCTAGGTAGGTAGTCAACTACAGGAAGTGGTCATCAGAATCGCGAGCTCAACATGTCATGATATCTCTGTTATCAAAAGACTCCAAAAGCTATGGTAAGCAGGTATCTGAGTTTTATATTTACTCTCTAATTATCTAGGTACCTATAACCAATTAATAACTATCAATGAAGTATTAAGTTAGTTCTAGTTAAGTGGAATTAAGCTGGAACCAAGTTCAAAGTTCCAGGCGGGGTCAGGTGACCATAGTTATATTCTATTTAGAATTTAGTATCTACTATTTAGTACTAGTCAAAATTAGGTATGCATCGTAGATTCCTCTAACTAGTTAGTTAACTACCTACCTAGGAGAGTGATACGCGTACAGCCCCTAGCTATATAGGTACAGCCCCTAGCCATAGGCGTACAGCCCTTAGCTTCCATTTATAGTTAGACTATACTTGATTCTCATAATTAATTCTATAGAGTAGTGTTGATTCCTACATGAATACTAAGGTAATCCCTATATTAATCCTTAGGTGATTTCTATATTAATTTCTATACTTATTCTTAGGTTAATCCTTAGGCTAATTCCTAGGCTGATTCCTGGGCTGATTCCTAGGTTAATTCCTATATTAATTTATAATCTAAGATTAGGATTATATAAGCCTATAATAATTACTAATAAATGACTAAGTATAGGGCTTAACTAATAGATAAGATATTTTTATCTAGAGCCGTATCTACTTTATTAATCTATATCTATAAGTATTAGTCTTTATTCTACTACTACTATTATTAGCTCTCTTATATTTATAATAGTTATACTTAATCTTATTAATATTATTAGACTCTAGTGCTAAATTTATAGATAGGCTATAGTTAATCTTTATAAATTATAAAGTATATAAAGTGGTATATGCTGGGCTGTCTATATACTAATACTAACTATAAATAGAAGGTAATATAATCTATATATAAACCGTGTATACAGCTGAGCCGCGCACTTCCCCCTAATAACTCCCTAATATATTGATATTGAAGCCTTTAAACCACCACCATGTCTCTAAAAAAGCCTCTAAATTTAAAAAAATTAGAGGAATAAGAGGGGCGGATCTTATTAGCTATTAAAGTAATTAAAAATTAATAATTTAAGTCTATTTATAAAGTAATATATATTTTTAATATCCTAGAGACTATACTTTATAACCGTCGTAATAGTATTATCTCTTATAAAGAAAAATATATAAATAGTTATTTATTAACTAATTTTAAAGAGCAGGTACTTATTTAATAGATTAAATCTCTTAATAAGTATAGTACAGCTCCTAGGCCTTCTTAAGTATATAAGATAGCTTTAATTCTTTAATTAAATTATAATCTCTCTCTTCCTTTATATCCTATTAATATAAACTAGGTTAATACCTTTATTTAATGTCATCTAGAGCTTAAAATATAATTCTTATAATAATATAATTATAAATAAGTATTAAATAAAGATCTTAATATTATTTATAAATGGTTTAACCTAGTTTAAAATATAATTATTAAGTATAGCATTCTAGATAATAATATTTATAATTTTAATAAGACTAGCTTTATAATAGGCTTAATTATAACTTTATATATTATAACTAGGGCTAAATATTATAGTAAAGTATATATTATTTAGCCTAGAAATTATAAATAGGTTATAGTAATTAAATATATTAGGGCATCTAGATGAGCCTTGCCGCCCTATATTATCTTTAAGGGAAAGATATAAATAGAGGCCTAGTATTAACTAGGGATCTCTAGGGATTAGATAATTAAAGTTAGTAATAATAATTAGACTTTAGATGCTATTAGTCTTTAATAGCTAAAGCAAATCTTTATCCTATCTATAATATTATAAATAAAAGGGATTAAGCATCTCTTAATCCTTAATAGCTATAGTAGCTATTTAATATATAAATTTAATATAATTTATAATAAGAATTATATAATTTTACTTTATATATTTACTTATTTATTATATCTTCTTTAACCTCTTAATGTCGCCTATTTTGCAGCTTTAAAATATATATATAGGGGGTTAATTAAAACTAATACTTATAATAGTAAATATTATATTAATAAGCTTAATTTTTTAAAGGCTTATTTAACTGCTTATAATATTACTATTAAAGAAAATAGTATTTATAATAGATTCTTAGCAACTGGCCTAGTTCCTCTAAATCCTAAGCTAATACTCTTAATTTTAAATATTAAGCTTTAAACTTTAACACCCCCCCTAAGCTATAGCTTAGACAGCTTATTTAAGACACCTTATTATCCTATAGGCCTAGAAAAGCATTTAATAAAGCTTAAGAATTATATTTAATATCCTAATTATGCATAAAGCTCCCTAAGCCTAGTAATTAGGGCCCTTAATTAAATAAAAAAGGCATATGAATCTATAATAAATAATGTTATAATTCTTATGGAGGAAAATAAGGGATTATAGGCTTAATAGGCTAATAATATTAAAAAGAATTAATAATTAAAGCAGCAGCTAGTCCTAGAGCTAGGCTATATAGTCTAGAAGATAATATAGTTAATTATATAGGCTTATTAAGCTAAAGATACTATTAAAGCTGTAGCTTTAATAGGCCCTATTAATGGTGCTTATGCACCACTAATATACTCTAATTATAATATAGTTAGTTATTAGAGGAATCACTGCCCTAACCACTATAGTAATTAATTTTTTTTATTAATATATAGTGTAAATAGCTTCAAATTGCTAGAATAATTAATTTTTTTTGGGGTTGGTGCGCGGCTCGGCCGTGTGCGCGGTTCGTATGTGGGTTACGTTAAGGGCTGTATGCCTATAGCTGGGGGCTGTACCCGTATAGCTAGGGGCTGTACGCGTATCACTTCCCACCTACCTAACCTAAGCTACCTAGGTAGGTAATAGACTCAATTCCTACCACCATCTAATCTCAACTTTCTTATGATTCAATGCAGGAAATTCCCTAAAATCTCCCCAAATATCAGAAAGCGCTGATTTACTCAATCCACCTGCTCGAACGCCATGGCTACCCCAGCTGATATGAAACCAAGGAGCTCGAGTAGGACGCCTTCCGCAGAGCTACAATCGGGACCACGCAATGGTGACCATGGAGGAAGCTGGACTCGATCCATGACTCCTCCCAACAGGATGTCATCGCGAAGCCGAAGTCGAGAGTCTCACTTGCGCAGAGGTAGAAGCAGTAGTCGAACACCTAGTCCTGCCAATAACCCGAAAAGCGCTAAGGTGCGTGCAATCGGTTAACCTTGCCTTCCAATTTCATTAGCATCAGAAAGTTACTGACCTATTTGGAGAAAGGTGGTTGTTGAAAAATTAACCAAGAACGTCACTGAAGCCCATCTTCACGAAATCTTCGGGAGCTTTGGAGATATCCAGTCCCTCGAATTACCGATGAACCGAGCCTGTAAGCTTTTTACTAGCGTGCATTCATTCTGCCACATCCTGACTCCTATTCCAGTCATAACAAACCGTGGTACAGCGTATGTTTTATACTATGATCCCGCGGACGCCGAAGCGGCTATTGCGCACATGCATGAAGCTCAGCTTGACGGTGCTGTCTTGAATGTGTCAATAGTCCTACCCCGGCGGAACTTCTCACATTCGCCTCCACGCTCTCGATATCCCAGAGGGAGCGATAAGCGTCAGAGCTACGGTCCCACTACCGCGTCTGGCGGTCATCCTTCTCGCCGTTCGCCGTCTCCGCGAAGATCGCCACCCCATCGGAGGCATGGTGCTAGGACATCGGATAGACACGATCTCTATCGTCCGCAGTTCCAATCGCGTTCCAGATCATCGCGCCGTTCGACATCGTATTCATCGCGCTATCCATCAAGATCCGCATCACCGAGAAGAGAGAACAGAAGAACCAGTGATTCACAAGTGGATGCTCCTCGACGCACTCGACGCCGAAGCCCTAGCTATAGTAGCTACAGTAGCCGATCTGATAGAAGTTTGAGTCGCAGCCGCAGCCGCAGCCGCAGCCTAAATCGTCATGGTAATCGAAGAAGATAGAAACCCAGCTATTGACACTGGATACTGGTTGAATTTTTGTCCTTTTACAGTATCGGCGTTTTCCTATTATACTCTAATTATTGCTTCATATCTCAGAGAACAACTTGAGGAAATAGTAGCTGTAAAAATCCGACACTAGTGTGCTTCATGAAACGAAGCAACTCCCGCGCTTTCTTCATCTTTCTCATTCCTAGAAGAATGCACACCAACCGATATACATAGCTGCTAGGTTTCTGATGTCAGTAGCCTGCATGATAAGTTCATCCACATGGCCATCAACAGATAAAGGCACCGATTCGCCAGGCAAAAGACCCCGGAGCTTACTACGCACGGATTCCAAAACACCGGCAGGGGTTTCTGGGACGTTCGCTTGTGTACGCCGCTTTTAAACCAAGTTAGCTAGCTGTTCCAATCTTCCAATTGCCAAATTGCCAAACTCCCTCACCTTCTTTCCTATAAAATCAGTTGTCGGGTCATGTAAGAATGTCTCAAGTATGGTCATCAAGGCATCTTCGTTCTGGCGGAGCAGTCTCAAAGTAATCTCACAAGTCCTGCGAAACGGGCCTAAAGATTCATCAGTTCCTGTCTGCCAATTTCTATTGGGGAATTCGCATTATCTACCATCGTAGCCATAGGCTCCAAAAGCATCAACCATGTTATGGGTGAGACGAAATGGAACTAGCTCTGGTATGTCAAAGGTAAGGCCCTACGCGAATTAGCTTATAAATATAGTGAGTGACATGCTCTTAGCTTACCTTGTCAAAAAGACAATTGAAGTCAACATGTAGTACCCCACCAGTTCCTTCTTCAAACAATATATTCTCGCCATGACGATCCCCCAATCTATCAAGATATCAGCCTTTTATTGCATTTGAATCTTCTAAGCAACCCTCTTACCCCAGAACATAGCCCACCATCGACATGACAGCAGTAGATCGCGTGTATCTGAGTCTGGCTGTGAACCAGGCCTCAGTCTCTGGAAACATCTCAACAAACCATTCGTGTAAGACAGGTTGCAACCTAGGAGTTCAGTCAGTTTTCTTTCCTCCTGTATATTAGAACCGTCAGCTTGACTGACTTTGATAATATTTTCGTCTTGAAGATAGGAGCATTTGCGACATCTGAGCAAGCTTCATTGAGGTATATTTTTATTTCCTTATACTGCAGATCATTAGAGAGACATTCAAGAAGAGGAGTAATTGATGGCTCCTACATCAGGTACAATGCCTCTTTCATGAAGCAACTTGATCACGAGGTCCCTCAATGTCCTGAGGTTATCTACCCATTCAATGAGGCCACACTCTTCATTGAGAGGTGTTACTGCGTAGGTCTTGATGTCTGTTTTTGTCTTCATGAGTTGCGTTGATATTGTACAGGGAAATGGGACTACTTACACAAGCGTCTTTTGCTTGCCTCCACGTCTCTCTTCAAGAATCTATTGATCATATTGTTGAATTCCATGAGACGCTGATCCTTTCGAAGATCGTCTTTGGGCTTGCAGAGAAGGTTGTATATCTTTCCATCCGAGCCTCTGATGCTAATTCTCCGAGGTTTTTGTAGAGAGTTAAGAACTAGGGCATCATCTAGAACAGCTAGGTCGGTCAGTCCACACAATCTTCACGTTATGATTAAATAACATACTTTCAATGCTCGTTGGATCCCGGGGAAAGGCCCTGAATCCTTTAAGATACTCCGAGTCATGGTTTGCCGGCAGAATGGGAGTCAACATCGACTGAAATGGAACGACCAGCCTGCATGGGACGACCTTGTGATTAAAACCGAGATTCCGTGCAAGGTGAACTTTGGACACCTTTCCTTCCACTCGAGCTACACATAGCTTGAGAAGCTCTTCAGAAAACCTTTGTCCTTGATTCACCATGGTTTGTACATCGGCTAGCGATTCGGATTTGAGTTTCTTCTTTGCCTCCTTGCCAATTTAGAATCTAGCACTTTGCTACAAAGGCTGAATCAGAACTTACTGTGATTTTTCTCAGACACTGCATACCTCGAGATGCTCGTTCTTTAGATGAAGATTTTACTACTGCAAGAACTGCCCATAAGCCCTGTTGTGGGAAAGCATTGACTGCTTTGACCACAATTTTCGTTAACAGTTCATAAACAGTCGGGTTTGGATGGCAGATGCGAGCAACAACCTGAGGAAGGATAGTGAAAAGCTAAAGGTTTAATCAACAATTGGCGACAGCAAGAGTGAGCGCGCAAAAAATATTTACCAGGGCAGCAGGCATTCTGTTCAAATATTTCTTCAATTGCGAGTGCATCTCATCGAGACTTTTCTTGCGCTGATTTATGCTATGCCTTTGAAACTCTCTAGTATATCTTCAGTAAGGTTCATTTGATTTTGAGCTTGTCTACTTACTCATTGTCACCTCTTTTAGGGTCAAAAGGTTGAGCAACAACTGAGGCATGCTCCAACCAGAGTGTTAGTACTTTTGGAAATGATTGAAAAACGTATTTATTTCCATGTGCCAGTGAGCGTAAATAATTATAGATAACAAGCTTAGAGGCTTCACCGCTCAGGCTAATGACCCATGATTAGATGAATATTTCTTCGAGACATCGGATGGGGGACTTACTATATTTGTGCCTCTTTACCTAAGGGCTTGACTTTCTCAGAATCTAGAATCTTGTTGTAGTGTTTTCCTAAGTAGTAATGCGCTTTCTCCCACCTACTGTGTGTTAGCATTGAAGAAAGGTAAGGTTTTGATGTAGTCGTTACCTTAGGTGGAGGTTAATTGCCTCTCGATACCGCTGGACTATGACATCTGATTGCGTCTGTCCAGCTTTGTCAGTCCATTTCGCGAGGAGGAGGTGTGCCTAAAGATTGTCAACTAGCCGATCATGAAAGGAAATATTTTGATGCAGAGCGAACCCTAGCGGCAAGCAAATTTTGATGTTGCATGCGATTTGAAGTTGTGGATGCTGCTGGCTCTTCATTTACATCTGAAGGTGCTGGAGACGAAAATTCATTCGCCGCGATTGCTCCTTCAAGGATTCGGATAGCCTTTCGATGATGGCCGTCTTTCCATAGAAGTCGTGCATGTTCAATTGTCGCTGAGCTGTCCTTAAGTCTTGCTGCATGAAGCATTGATTGATATGCCTGGCCAGTGAAATTGCCTTTTCGAGATAACCGAGCACTAGTTAGCCATGCAGCAGCTATGTCCGAACCCGCGAAATTGTTTCTATATCTGATTAGTACATAGCAAACAATAATTAATTAAGTGAGAATACACACGAAAGCTCCATCGTGGCTCTCCTTAAACCAAGAAGATACTGCTTATCTGAAAGATATCCTCCGAGGACATCCAGGCGCCGATCAAGAGTCCTTGTAACATCTCTGTGTGAAGGGTGACCATCGTGACCAGCATCCGCTATACTTTCCATTTCAGAGAGTGTGTGAAGTTTGAGCACATAATCATGGCAAGACTGTAAGGATACGACTGAGTTTACAGTCAGGGATTTTGCAACATTGTATCGCAGACTGTTGATCTTGTCCCGGAATGCTGTCTTGTTACCATTGCGAAGGCAATCTAAAGCAGCTCCAACACCGATACCGAAATCTCCAGGATTTTGAGTTGAGTAAAGACGAAGGTACTCGCCCAGTTTATCCCACTTTCCTGTGAACCAACACGCTTCAATGACAAACGACAGGAACTTGGCTATTGACGGATTGGATTCTTTCAGAACTTCGAAATGTGTGAGTATCGCATCTATCAAGCGTTAGTCTCCTGACTATGAAGCTTGTTAGCTCGGATTGGTACCATGCTGGCCTGATTCATTGAGGCAGGTAAGGAGATCATATTGAGCATCGTGGTTTTGTGGCTCTCTCTCAAGTTGTAACTCATACCAACTTTGGGCAGTAGCCCATCTTCCAGCTTTTCGATGCTCAAGAACCTGTTGTTCAATATCGAGGCCTTGTAAATGATTTGAAATACCCTCGATGCCATCTGGTTCATCAATCTGACTGTAAATATCTTGAAGACGTTGGTACAAGGGCTCGAGGTTACTGTTGGATTGAATGTCAGGACGGTGCTTGCATTGTCGAATATATTGCTCCCAATGGAAGAGTGCCCTGGAGAATGATTTGCACTCGACAGCTCTCCTCGAGATGACTTCAGGGGGTATGGAAGTTAGGAATGATTCAACAGCTTTGATTTGACAAGAATGTGTGTCGATTAGGAATTCGGTACGGGTTTCCCGATGGGAGCGATTGGATTGAGTAGTATGGGAACTTAAACTGCTCAGTTGTTTCTTCTTGCCTTGCAACCATCTTGACATGTAGTCTAGGACTTCAAAAATGCTCTTTGTTTTGTTAGACGCTGTGAAACAAATTGAGAAGGTGGCTTACATCACTACAGAGAATGATCATTTCGCGTTCATAATTATTCTCCTCAGGAAGTGGGTGTGAAAGGACTGTTAAAAGCTCCTTATGAATATGCTTCTTCTCTTCTTCACTCCCCCCAACTGTGGAGTTGAGGACTGCAAATGGAAGAAGAAACGAGGCTATTGAGATATCTTGCGCCTTCACAATGCGGCTGCACACGCTAAATATAAGCTGGGCATTATCACCACTCCCCTTTTGTAACAGATCCTGCACAAATGTTCGAAGCCACTCACTATGAGTAAGATTTGTAGTAAACAGTGGATATGAACAGCTAGAGTGAACAGCGCCAATTGTCACTGTGTACTTGGATGTGAGGAAAGGCATTAAGGTGTTCCTCACAGATTCGGGAAGTTCCAGCCATCGCCGATATTTTTCGTTCGTCGAGATGTCTCGCGAGCGTGAAGAGACTGTTGTGTTCAGATTGCAAGCTTTGAGTAAGTTTTGCATGGCATATGCAAGAAACCCTTGAGCCCTGGTGTCAGAGGCCGACAAAAAGGCTTCAACGAGCACGTGCTGAAGAAAAAATAGGACGAATTCAACCGTCTCCTCTATCCTTTCAAAATTAGATAGAACCAAGATGTCCTTCTTTTCTCTGACTGTATCAACTCGATTTGGGTCTAAGCAGCCAATCAGACCCAGACAACGAGCAGACAACAGGGTGATGACATCAGAAGTAGTGTTATACTTCACACAACAGTCCAGTAATGCTCGCGTCAGTTGTGCAACAACCGGGTCTGGCTGCTCACTGAGAACTGAGTCGTGAAGGAATTCTTCATGCTCAAGGATGTAAGGTACAAGCTCAGTCAATGCTTGCTCGACAACAGTGAAATTTTCGTTTTGACAACGCCGAATAAACGCAAGGAATTGACTTCTCACATCCATACTTCCCTTCAACTGCCTTAATCTGACCTCAAACTTGTCTAGAGCTGGAATGGACGCTAACGAAGGCATTGTATTGAATATGTCCTTCACAAGTTCACCGTGGTTCTCTAATATGTATCCTAGGAGCTCGTGTGCGTAGGTTCGAGTGGGTGTACTGAAGCACTCCCAGTACCGAATCACAATGGTCAAAGTTTGGTCAATCAAAGGTTCAAGTTCTTCATCTTGAAGGGAATGAATAAGGATCCCCCAAGTTTTGAATGCGTAATCGGAAAGTTCTTGAATTCCCAGAGCAGACCTTAGACAGGCGCAAATCTAGAACGTGAGAATTAACCAAAGGGATTTCCAATACAGAGTCTCACCTGCGGTAATGCACTGCTAACATGGCCTTTAGCGACCTTAATCATTTCTCCGATTGCAATGATATTCCGCTTCTTCTCAAGCAAGGGTTGTCTTATTTGGAAATCGTTGATTGCATTGGCAAATTGCGTAATTATTCCGAGGACATGCTCTTCAATGAATTGACCTAGTAGATTTGACTTTTTTGAATCCTTGTTCCCATGAGTTGATTTTCGAGGGACCAAGTCTGCCAGAAGACGTAGCGCCTGATAGAACTGACCAAATTAGTGCGTAATCGGCTGGCCAGTAAGAAAATGCTTACCCTTTCTCCTTTGTCTCCTCCTGCATCGCCGAGGCCTTTGAGAAGGTCGCAAGAGATCAGAATTGGTTCAATTCTTACTAACTCCGCGAGACTACGGCCCCTGAAGGCGGCATCAATCTCTGTCAGAAGTGTCATCGTCATAGCTTCAGGATTCGTCGAAGGTTGTATCAATAGGAAAGCAAGTATGGAGGCAAGATTATTCTGTTCTGAGCATAGATCGAATGGTGTTTTGGCGTTTGTGTAGCTAGCCCCAAGTTTCGATATAATGTCCCGTTTACGGCTCAGAACTAGGTAGGGTAGCACGTGGACTTCAGTTAATCGAAGGAAATCTTCGACCTTCATTCCAAGTAAATCACAAAGCTGCTCTGCCATCACTGGCCGGGACTGAAGGTGTTTAACGACTGTGATAGAAAGTGTCCGCCAAAAAGGCCGGAATAAGCCCGCTGGTGTGACCGAGAGACATTGTGCAAGTTTAGAGAGCTGGACATTCGTGAGCTACCTAGAATAGGCTTTGAAACTCCCAATAAAAACGCACCTCTGTATGGGTGATGGCGCAGATATATGGATTCGGATGCCCTAGGAATTCTAGTAAGCGCAGAAGTATGATGTTCAATTCCTCCTCATCAGAAAACCTAGTAGAGAGGTTAGTCTAGTTGTTTCACAAATACCCCAAAAACGAGGTACTCACTTTGCAAGTAAGCAAAGGGTTAGGATGCATGTTTCTTGCAATGAAGTTTCGTTTCTCTCGGATAGGTTTTTTAGCCATTCCAGAGCAACGACGAAATTACTCCGCCGTACCTCACGATCTATACTCTTACCGACAAAAGCAATTATACAAAACCTAAATAACTTTAGCCCTCAAAAATTGAAGAATAAAATGAGAATGAAATCTTACCCAGTGACTATCCGAAGCTCTCTGATAGAGCTACGTAAAGAATGGAGGCAGAATTCGCCAAATACTGATGAAGCGAGATGTGCCTCATTAGGATTTGGGTCGTGAGTTAAAAGTCTCCTCAAAGCGCTCATTGTGGCTATCCTCAGCTTTGGGGACCTTGACAGCTTGGGAATGATATCTTCGACAATTTTCAGCAGCTCACCAAAACTAGAGTTCTGCTCATGAGCTTCCTGCTTGTTTTCGCTCTTTTCGGAATCACATATCTCGCACATGAAGACTTCCTTTTCAGAGAACTTGATGAATGGAACACTGAGTAAGGTCTGAGACAGAGCACATGGAACTTGACCCAAACTTCTCAAGACCTCAAATTTATTCTCTTCAGAAAGCTCCCCGAAGGAGACACTGTGAATCACAAGTCAGCTTTCCGACACTTCGACGGGCCTAGGATACAACGTACGATAATTCCTCGCTCAGGTTTTCCAAGCTCTCAGAAAAAATGGTCTTGAACTCGGCATTTGTTGAATCTAGGACCTGCTGCAGTAGCAGCTGTATCTTGGGATTTCCTGGTCCTAGATGCGGCTTGGGTAGGCATCGACGTTTTCTCGCTTGAGATTCCGAGCCTGCAGTCTCACCTGCAGAGCCGACTCTTTCAGTGTTTAACAGGGACCTCAGGCTCGTTCTTTTCGATCTATACAAAGCCCGCATTTCTTGGTCCGACCCATGATCGGCTTGTATAGCACTTTCCAGGTGTTCGACCGCTATCTATTTTTAAAACCGATGAGTAAGGAACTTATTCCAACTGCTCCAGCAAGGAGATTCATTTACCTGTAAACTGGATACAAAAGGTTGAAAATTGGCAGTTTCAGTTTTCAATCTTTGGAGTGGCTGCAAAATAGTGCCTTGAATATATTGAACAGGTAGGGGTAAACGTAGCATATTTTCACAGATATAGTCCATGTGTTGAGCGAGTTCGGACTGAAGCATTGGCATTTGGCCGAGTGTGCGTAGTGCACATAAATCTGCAAGGCTTCGGAGCCACAAGCGTATCAACCCCCCACACTGTAAGGCCAATTCTGAGTCTGACATCTCAGGACCACAATTCTGACGAAAGAAGGCTAGAAATCGTATTGCGGCCTTAGCTTGTATATCGAAGGTCGATGGGCCGGTAGTTTGCAGCCACTCCAGAATCAGTTTCCATAGTCGCTGGTAGGCATTTAGCATCCATGAATTTTTCTGGCATGCATCGGAGAAAGGGTTCTTCAATAAGCTTTCCGGTTCCGAGTTGAAGATCATTGAACCTAGAAGCCAAAGAATAGAACCGAGAAGCCGAGGGAAGTTTCCCATAGACATTTTATCCCCAATGACGCCTCGAGGGATCTTCAGCCTTTGCAGATCTAGTAAAAGATTTCCTTCTTGTGCTGGAATAGATAAATTGGAAATAGCCGGGTTTTGAAGACTCCAAGCACTGGATGTCTCCAGGGACAACAAGATATCTAATCGCGCAAATTAGTACAGTATACATTCGCTGAGTTATGTCTCTCACCCATTATGAAGGAGCGTAGGAATGAGAGGATAGAGTTGCAGGATGGCCATGATCGCGGATTTTTCTGGAAGAAAGCAATCGTTGAGATAATCTTGGTGGCTTTCTCGCTGATATCCTCACAACCCCAAATGCTAGACAGGTGGACTAATCGTACAACTAGCCAGGTAAACAACGGTGCAAGTACAGGCTTGCCCAGAACCTCAGGGTCGGAGATATTATACACGCATTGAGGTGCTTTTTCGACAGCTGCGTGAATGATATCAAGGCAGTCAAACACTTGCCCTTTCAACGTTTCATCACAATAGCCATCCTCACGACAAGTCGGTTCTAGGCCGGCTTTCAAGACGATGCAAATCAACTTGTTGATATCTGTGACACTATCATCAAGATATAACTGGCTATAGCGATCTCCTAGAAGTTCCTGCCGGAGCTGAGAGAAAGTCTCGCGGTCCAAAGGTCGGGCCAGTTCCCTCTGCGATGAGAGACGCGGTGCCAGTTGAGCGGCGAGGAGAGACGAAGCGGGCTCTGTTCCCTTTCTACTAAGCTCTAGCCCGGCATCCTGGGATCTACTTACTCCATTAGATGCCATAAGGAATAAATCCGCGCATGTCTACCAAGAAGAAATGCCACGCGCAGCAAATATCAAAGCCCTAGGTTGATTGATGATGGGGTTCTTGGACTGTGGCAGGGAAGACAGGGAATAATACACGGGGAATTGGATACGTACTTGGGACAATACCGATACACGGTCCTTACGAGGCAGATACCTATTATTAGCTCGTACAAACCGACGCGCTAACCCAAGACAGACATATTGGAAAATCTCCATCAAACCAACCTAACCTAATAAGTAACTGGTACGGAGTGTCTAATATCTATGCTAACCACGGGGTGAAATTCTTAGCCTGGGCCCTATCATCTCTCTACCTTATATGACCACTGGTTGCGAGTAATCCGGCCATTGAATCATTATTGTGGCTAATATAGAGTGATATCAATCAACCTCTAATAGCATTAAAAAATTGCTATATACAAACTATTTTTTAGTGATATCTTCAATGATGGCGTCTGAGGGCCCAGTCAATACAGAGGAGCGATCCCAACAGCTCTCCTTCATGAAGAAAGCATTAGCCATGGTAGTGTTCCCCCTACATATTATGAATTAAAACACACTGCTCATGTTCTAAAAGGGCGAAAAGGCGCTGGAAGTTGGAGAGACCCCAGTTGGGTGTGTACTAGTATATAACAACCAAATAGTTGGGTCAGGAATGAATGATACAAATAGGTCAATGAATGTAAGTCAATCTTCTCTAAGACACCTTCGCAAGTCTAGGGTATAGCCAGAAGAGTCGTTCTTCTAGAAGAAGATCTAGCCTTTTGTTCTCCCAAGGTAAATAGTGTCCACGCAAGTTACATGTTTTAACCTGGCCCCATAGGGCACAAGACATGCTGAGTTTATCGCCATTGAGGAGATGCTCCGAAGTTATCCCAAATCAGCTTTACGAGACACAGACCTTTATGTGACGGTTGAGCCCTGTGTGATGTGTGCATCGGCTCTGAGGCAGTATCAAATACGAAAGGTCTACTTCGGTTGCGCAAATGAGCGATTTGGCGGTAATGGGAGTGTTCTCTCGTTACACTCTGAGTGAGAAAGCCCATCCTATTCTGGGCTTGAAATTACTTCCAAGTTGACATTTCAATAGCCCCGCCCTTGATCCTCCGTATCCTGTCCAAGAGGGATTATATCAGAAAGAGGCCATCATGCTACTACGACGCTTTTATATTCAAGAGAATGATAAAGGTACAGACCGCCCCAAAGAAGACTATTCAAGCAATGTTGAGCCCTTTCTGACACAAACAGCGCCAAATCCTCGACCCAAAAAGAATAGGGAGCTGAAAACGCACATAGAAGTTTAGGCCCAGAGGGCAGAGGAAAGCGTCTAAGGTAGTTACATTGAGTTGGCGTTGTTGTAAGACTGGTTCGTTTTAAATTTATTAGGGGAGCATGGAGTGATTTAGACAATAACGCGTTTTAGTAAATGAATTGAAGTGTTCACAATGTAGAAAAACAAGGACGCCTGGAAGAAGAGGTGTTTGGAAATGTTGGATTCCTTGAAATGTCACTGACAATTCGCATGACTCGGTGATTTCTAATGTCTGTCGCACTATTACAGGGTGCTCGCTTTGCCTAGACGCTCGCCTTCAAGCTCTCTCTCAGCTTGCTGATAATACTTTGCCGTATCCACACCGTGCTGCGGCTGTTGTTAACTCTCTATGCTAGTAAAGGATGAGGGGATAATAGACATACCTGATCATGGTTGACAGGATTAAACCACGGTAGCACGTGAATGAAGAGTTGTGAATACCGAGAGTTTCTCGCAGCCACACCTTGAAGGTAGGAAGACATCTGCGAGGTACCGTACAAAGGCTCCCCCTTCTTGACCTTATCAACCATTTCACGCATATCCATGTCTACCTCTCTAGAGTTCTCCGTGAAGCCGTAAAACCGGTCTATAGCGATAATCAGTCGTCAATGTCCGAGAAAAGAGACCGGAAACGTTGTGTGCAGATGAAACGTACTACAGGAGCGCTGGTAGAGAATATGAAGACCGCCAAGCAGTCCAATGGCAGTCGCCAGTCGCATCACAGGCGCATAGCCTCCTTTGCCAACATGGGAGGGACTGACTCTCTCCATCATCCAAAAGGCGAGCGGGGAAGCTGCCCCCAGTCCGCCAGCGATCGCATAGTCCGAGGGCCTGGCGTATCCGAAAACACGTCTAATATGCCTGCCGGGTGGTGAGTAACCTCAATGGCCGATTGAAGATGGGTTTCATACGGGTCAGAATCAATAAGCTACAATTCAGGTTAGCAGAACATTTTCAAGATTGGCCGGGTGGTTGGACGCATCGCACCGGATAGTCTGTGTTGGCCTGCTTTGGGGGCACAACAATTGTTCCCAGTTCCTTCGCCATGGTGCAAATAAACACGTTAGTGTCCGATTGACCGCGCTATAGGACTGTCAAGAGGCGGATGGTAAGTTGTTGAAACGTCCCGGATTGAAGTTAGAACCGTTCCGGGTCCATCTGACTATTTAGGATTAGCTTGCGTGCTTTCCATTTTAGGGAAAGGCTATTTTCAGAGGATGCTCCAGTTAGAATGTACCATATTACTAAGCTAGATACATACGGAGTTAGGTAGTTAAACAACTGCCTCAGGAATCACCTAAGGAGTTGATTGAGGAATTGATTCAAGAATCCATCTCTTAGGTGGTATAAAGCATACATAATAACGGCTATAATGACCACTCATAGGAGATACTTGAAGGTGCCCAATGAATTCTAAAATAGCAGGGCCCTAGCTAATCCCAAAAAATTCTGGTAGAAACAGTAGTGAAGGCTACACGCCTATAGCCAAGAGCTGTTACAGTACTCCGTACCTGTACCTGCTATCCTCTTCATAGCGCTACGGAGTACCTGATAGCTCTTACGGATTCTGACAGAATACCACGTCCACTTCCATTAACATAAGAACAAAACTCCTGATTCTGATTGGTAGTACTTGAGCTCTGATCAGCCTCTAAGGTATCGTTATGCGACATGATTGGCTATATTTAAGTACCTAGGCAGTTATCAGTGTCTTGGCGGCTTGGACGCGTACCAAACGCGTCGCCATGATGCTGCTATTGACTTTAATGAATTAGATTGATTCTAGGATCATTAACAAAAGATATCTTCTGTTAGCCGGAATATTTTTCTATAAGCCTCATTAAAAGGTCTTCCTATCTATCGCCATGGCGCTTGAAGTCGATTCTCAATCGCCGGCCCCTTACGACGATCTATTTGACTATGATATCACGCTGGATGACATATTTAAGGGATCATCTAACAAAGAGAATGGAAACACTTCGAACTCTCTCGCACTAGACAACCCAGAGCTAGGATTGGGCTTGGACGAGGAGGTCAAGGTTACCAAAAAGCGGCAGCCTATTGCAAAGCTCGATGAAGGCAGGTCAGTAGTAGAATCACACTTCATTTCGCCCGAGATTTTACTGACAGGCCTGATAAGGCTTTTGTCGCAAAATGGTATTCCAAGACTACGCCGTACTGCGAAGTCGAAGCTGAAGCTCAAGGGTAAGGGACACGAGGTATAGAACCCATGAATCCAAACCGAGGTTTAGGCGGCTGCTAAGATTCCATAAGTTCTCTGATGCTGCACGGATTTTGAATTTCTACCAGCTCTGGCTTGACGACCTGTTCCCTCGTGCAAAATTCGCAGACGGTCTCGCCATGATCGAAAAGCTCGGACATTCGAAGCGATTGCAGACAATGCGCCGTGAATGGATTGACGAAGAGAAGACGAACTTCTCAAAGGATTTACCATCTTCAAGTTCACATCTCACGACCGACTCGCAAATACATGATGATATGGTGATTAGTGGCTTAGAGCAGGCAGGAGAGCGATCGATTGACGGTCATGGCCTTGATGCACAAGAATCCCAGGAAAGGATGCAGCTAGATTCTTCTACTATGAGAGAATCTGGGTCTGTTCCCCCGCACGATGAGCTTTTTTTACCGCAAGACCACGAGGCACCACAGATTAACGAGAAACAGGGACGTTCTGCTGATGGAAAGGATCACACTCAGACTGGGATGGATATATCCGCTCCTGATGATGACGAGTTAGACGCCCTTTTGAGGGAACAGGAAGATGACCTTTTGTGAGCGAAACCGCAACTCGAGTATAGAGTAGATTTAGTCAGATTGTACTTTAAGAATCACGAACCCGGGAGGTATCTGGATTGTTATAACTATACCCACGACTTCAAGTTGGAGCCAGCAAGCATGGGAAAGCAAGGTCATTGAATTATGTGTTCCTGACGAACCAAATCATCGCTTATACTTTGGTTTTCAAACGTGACATCTTAAGTGGAATTTTCAGCTTGAAGCCCTTCACATTCCACAGCTAATGATGCCTGGGAAATTATAATGATCATAAAGTGATTAAACCAAGAGCCTTGTCACTGGCATCGAGTCAAAATTGTCAAGGAATTACTCGAAACTTGTCTCGATTCGGCGCATCTTCCCCCTTAGCATCTGCACGTGTGTGCGAGAAGATTATTAGATTATTCGCAATTATGCTCATCTAATACAGCGGGAAACCACTAGAAATATGGACGGAAAATAGACAACAAAAACCAGGCTAAGCAATAAATGACTCCTTGGAGACTCTCATGGACAGGAGAATGTAAGCCGGGACAAAATTACAACTCTGCTAGAGAAGTGAAAGGCGGGGGAAAAACAGTTAACCTTTCCAATATCCCGATTTACTCCGCAGGGGCTGTCAGGACAGAGAACTGTCCACCAGCACCGGCGCAATTGAGCTTCTTTCCCCGAACCGCAGTATTGTCCACTATAGTTGCAACTTCAATATCATCTTGGGTACCTTGGCCGGTCTGATAAGTCGCAGAGAACCCCCAGGACCAAGCTCGACCATCCTTGTCAATGGCAATTGAGTGGTCAGATCCAGCCGCAACAATGCTGGCATTGATTCCTGGAACAGGGGTGGGGTCAATCAGAATTCTGGGCCGGCCACGTTCGTCCTTGATGACATTCGAATCAGGCAGGCCATCGATCTTGAGGCCAGTTTGATAGCCATCCAGGCGGCCCCAGACCAGGCATTTCCCGTCGTCAGTGACGGCAAGAGAGTGGTGGGCACCTCCACAAAGCTGTAGGACCTTCTCGTTCGATAGAGACTTGACGAGTGTGGGATGGACGATGGCTGCCTCATCCTCACCTGCACCCTCGCGGATACCTGTTTCGCCGAAGCTATTGAGACCCCAAGCATAAACCTTGCCAGAATCATGGATGGCGAATGAATGGAAGGCTCCACAACCGATCTGTTTGATGTTTTTCGGAAGACCAAATTCGCGTGGCTGCAAACCATTCAACTTGTTGCGTTCAACAATGCGACGACCAAGCTGGTTCTGCTGGCCGGAGCCCCAGGAAAACACGGCACCTTTCTCGTTCAGTGCGAGGGCATGGTTGTCACCGCACGCTAAGTGCTTAATTTTCTTCAACGCGGGGATGAGGGCCGGGGTGGATTGCACCTTGTTTGTGGCGTCAAAGCCCAGGATGCCGTCATTGCTCTGGATATGCTATGTCAGTACAAAATTTTCTATAGATGTAGAAGACCTGGAGGCTGGCCTACCCGAAACGTTCCCCAGCCGTAGACTTGGCCATCGTCGGTCAGAGCAAAACTCGAGCTGTCGCCAGCGGCGACTTCAACAAACACAGTTCCTTCGGGGAAAGACTCGGAGGGAATAGCAGTCGGCGTCGACTCGTGAGGGTTCAGCCCACTATCACTATCATCATCCGAGTCGGAATCATCCTTGTCCTCGTCCATATCTCTGTACCCGCCTTCCCAGGTGGTATTGCGCCCAAGCGCTCCTTGGTCATTCACACCCCAGGTAAGAATCTTGTTGTCATACGTGAGAGCAACACAATGCATTCCACCCACCGCGACCTGCACAACACCCACTGTGTCGGCAGGAAGAAGAGGGTTGAGACGAGGACGCTTCACATCGACCGCATTTTTGGCGGTTCCAAGGCCAAGCTCACCCGAGCTCCCCTCGCCACATACATAGACGTTTAACTTGGTAGTAGGGGCACTGTTTATGACGGCCTTCGGCTTTGGCTTAGGGGCAGCGCGCGGTTTAGCGGCAGCGCGCGGCTTAGCAATAACACGAGGCTTCTTAACCTCACGAGGAGCTTCTTGGGCTTCTTCATCGGCGGTCGCAGCCTTGCGCTTCCGCGCTTGCGCGGGAGGAGCGGCCTTCGCCTTTGAATCGGCCGCTTTAGTGGTCTTCGATTTACTCACAGTCGATGTGGTCTTGGTCGTCGTTTTTTTCTTCGCTTCCGTTGTAGTTGTGGTCTTTGTTGTACGCTTTTTCGTATCAGTAGCGGCCGTTTTATTAGTATTTGCAGCTTTGGCAGCCGTTGAAGTCTGAGCAGTTTGCGCCTTTGCGGCAGCGGCAGCGGCAGCGGCCCTTTTAGGTGGCATTGTTTTGTAGAATCTTTAAAAAAAAGTTATGTATCTGGAAAATTCAAAGAGAGAAATGAAGAGAATGACGGAGTCTAATATCTGGTAAGATAAGTGGGAGAGTTGAAATGTGGTCGAGGGAAAAGCTACTTGCGCGGGTGTTGTTGTTCCTGGGAAAAAATACGCGCTCAGACCACACACAACGTCGCGGGCTTTGTTAGGATCACATAACTCCGAATCCTGCCTACGCAACGCAACAGCACAAAGAGAAATGGGAAAAATGTGCACATTCAATGAGATCCTGTGACAATGTGCAGCCATATATATACCCTATAAGTATAATTCAAATACTGCCATGTAGCCCCTATTGAAGGTAAGTTAGCTATTATAATAGATTACTGTGACATTATTCTCTACTTAAGCATTGTCTTGATTCACTAGATCTTTTCAATTTATTAGGATCTATTAATTAGTGACGCGTATTGATTCTCATCGAGTCCTAAAACTGTGGTTTATTGAGCTCTTGCCTCATATATGAGTAGCAAGGCTATTTATGGGATGAGATCTACTGTATTCTATTCTCAGTAGTCAGCCTGTATTGGAGGCAAAGGAACAGGCCACTTGGTCTAAGTGAATTAGTTACATAGCTTCTGAAACCGAAACTATCACACAAAATTTGAAGTCGCTTGATTATGAGACTATGAATACATAGCTGACACCAGCTCTAAATACCGGCTTATAGTTTAGATGAGATGGGTGCGTGCTCGTAGTTACTGCACCTCAATGACGTTGAACCCGAGCAAAGCTGTAGAAGACGGGAGCCTGGAGGTCTCTCAACAACCTGATACTTCCCGGTTTATGTCAGCACTAAAATCGGACAGCGGCAGGGAACTGTAGCCAGGCTGAGCCGGATTTATATAGTACCATTACCATTGAACCTGGGATTTCTTGTATGGTTTAGGCACATTTGCCGAAATAGAACGATGGTTTGAAGACTGACCGCTCCTCGACAGATCTCTATCTTCCAAGAGATATGCGTATTGCCCAGTATGAGAATAGCTGCGGACAACTCATGTGGTATCTGGTGTGCCCCGGGTTTGCCATACTCTGTATGCATGCATGGGAAAGAAAACCCTTCAACGGATGCGCAGATAAATCTGTCGAATATATCCATCATGCAAAGGTTCTATGGTCTAGGTGCCCTCGCTAGGGATTACCTGAGTCGCTGCGGTTTCTGTCGTGTCAGAAGGTGTGGACGAGTCTCGGATCTTTCCGCACATAATAACATTCTGTCCCATAGGTGTCCATGAAACATCTTTAGGATTCAGCGCAGCATTTGGTTTGCCCTGTTCATCTTGTTTGGAATCCGGACTCACCCCTACCCCCCCGCGACCAAGGTAGGTCGGAGCAACGGTCACGATAATCGAGTCGATGAAATCAGTATACTCGGGATTCAGCAGCTCGCTCAAGACTGTCCCACCGCCTTCAATCATCACACTCTTGACGCCCTCAGATGCGAGTGCACGCAGAATGCCTTCCCACCGTAGTCGCCAATTCTGGTTGTATTCCACGATTCGAAGAAAGTCACCCCCATACCCCTTCAGAACCATCAGTTTCTGGGGGTGAATTTGCGCCCCAGGCGATACCACGATCCATGGAGCCTTCCCTTTGCCTTCGACAGCTGTCCGTAACATCCTGCAGCTGGGATGAATAGGCCATCTCCCTGTCGGGTCAATGACAACGGGCCTGGGTTGCCACATTCGGCCAAGGCCACCGAACCCACCAGCCCCTTCTAGTCTACAATTTAATCCCGGGTTGTCAGCAAGTACAGTCCCTACTCCAACTAATATAGCGTCATGCCGCGATCGGAGGTAGTGCGTCATCAACTTTGCTTCCGGGCCTGAAAGCACAGTCTGCATTCCTGGTAAAAGCGATATCTTCGAATCCATGGAGGATGCATATGACAAGGTCACGTGTGGAAAGGGCCGTTTCTCATCATTGTGTTTTGGCAGATAAGGCTCCAGAAATTCCAATGGAAACTGAGGGAATGGCAGGGTGTCTGGAGGGAGAGGAGATTTGAAGTTTGTTAATGACGAATTCGTATGGCCATCATTTGCTGTGTCTTCTAAGCTTTGCATCTTCACAATGCCGTGTCCCTTCTGATACTCGTACCCAATGTGAGGCACTAGCTGAACTTCCGGATTTTGTATTCGCCACTTGGCCGAGACGTTTCGGACATCCGTGACTGTGAAGAACTTCCCCCCTGCCTCGACAAGCTTTTGTGGTTCCTCCTGAAATTTGGTGAAAATGGACGATGGCAAGTAGCCCTTTATGGCTTCCCTTCGAGCGAACTCCATGAGACCTGAATTCCGTTTTACCTTGTCAATGTAATCAAGATCGTGCGAATGTATATTGCCGCTTCCAGGCGTTCTGGAAATAGTGACTGTAGAATATGCTCCTTCAAATTTGATAACTTTGATTTGGAAGTTGCAGATCCCACCTTCTCGTACTCTTTTCCTGCGCGGACGTTTGCCTTCGGGTAAAGGACGTGTTTCTGATGTACGATGCGTCGGGCGTCGCAAGCGGCACATGTAATAGTCCGTTGTACAGTGTCCTTCTTTGCTAGCATTGGATCTTTGTTTGACCCAGACATTATCAATGAAGGGCCAGTAGGTTTCGAACTCCTCCAAGCTGATCTCAATCGGATCCTTACATTCGAACATCACCTGCCGGATTCTTGCAAGGTTCGGAGGGTTTTCAAAGAGGCTGGACTTCTCAACTGCTTCATCGAGCGCTGGCCTCGGAGAGTCTACCCTTCCGAGATGAGGAGGTTTGGTTGATGTTTCTGGAACATTCGGGTCTAAGACTTGTCCAGCCGAAATTCCTGCATCGCTGTACCGCAAGCCCTGCATAGCCTCATTGACATCCTTTCCTTCTAGATCGATATCCTGGTGTCTTTCATCAAAGGGTGGCTCAGCATTGTCATCGACCGTTTCTTCATCGTTTGGGGACAACGTCTCCGAGCCATCGTGCCTTTGATTTATGGCCCGATCCTGCGGTGACTCGACCTCGTCCTCGGGCGAAATCGACCTCGAAATCGATTTTGATGCATCAGAGATGCCATTTTCCATCTCGAGGAAGGTGGCAGCCTGTATGAAAGAACTGTTCAACAATGCATGGAAGCCGGTAGTTCTTGACGTCCCATTAGATTACCTAGTTCCTTGCTAGGATCAGCAGCTTGAGTTCAGTTTTTGTTATGGAAAAGCAAGAGTATTCTATGAGTAGCTCTAGGGAAATTTTCCCCAGCCAATATCACAAACAGCCCAGCGGGCACAGTCGTTCCCTTCTGCGATCCAGTCACTCTTAGTGCTTTCTGAGCTTAAGCCTTGGCACTCCTAGTCGCACGGTCCACTTTAACGACAACTTGTTAGACCCTCCTATGATTTCATTTGTATATACTCTTGTACTTTGATTATTATTAACCAATGACTATACTAATATATCAAAAATTACCTTTATTTTTGTAAAAGCCTTCTCCAGGTCTTCCCATTAAGCAGAGAGAAAGAGAAAGAGAGAGTTTAAAACACTACCATTAAATAACATCTCCCTCAAGCAATCAAGGACTCAATAGAATATTAACCTTTCATGAAGTCAAATATCTCTCTAATTATAGGTTTATTGATCACTACTAGGTTATTCTCCTATATTAATTTCTATGTCTGCTGAATGGTCCTGTGGGGTATTCAGGTGTAGTTCATTTAAGGTATTTAAACTTGCACCCGAAGATCGCTGGCAACGTGCATATCTAGCTGTACACCTGTTTGTTTTACCTTCTGCGTCAAAACTAGAATACCGCAGGCCACTATTTGGCGAGTCTGCGAGATTTCAATTTATGTGGTCAATTTCAAGACTATCGAGGCAAAAAGGTCTCCATGGAAGCATGGAAGGAAGGTGTCTATTGACCAATAAAATGATTAATCAATAAGATAAAAGAAAGAATGCTAGATCATATGCCATCCCCTGGAATAATATGGACCAATCTGCATGAATCAATGCACGCCAATTTCTGCCCCAGCACGAGCGAGAGTCTCATAAACCCTTGGCTGCAATTTGTACTTGACCATGCCGGCGAACACCATAAGATCTTTGCCCATGACAAGCAACTCGTCTGCGAGACTTTGCGTAATCTCATTTTCATAGGCTCCCGATGCCAGTCGCTGTCTTTCATAGCCAATGCATGTGATACTCCACATGATTACGTTTCCAACATTGCGCGAAATGACCTGAGGAAGGGAGGCAAAGGCTTGGGCCGCACCCCTAATATACGGCACGGAACCCTTTGCGCGTAGAGGTAGGATGTTTAGCTCATTAATAGCCTACACGCGCTCATGGTTAGTAAAAAACAACGGGGAGGGGTTCTGATGGAAAAGATAAATATGTTGAACGGGAGTGCTCACATCAAGAGCTGCTGTCCACTTTCCAGCTTCAAGTTCAGTCTTGGCCTCCATCATTCGGAGCAGCACGCCACAAGCATCACGGTTGACTTGACGGATACGTTGATAGTACAGCGCATTTGAATTATATAGACTGATCATATTCCGGGCCAAGACCACCGGATCTTCCACCGAGGTTAAGCTGAGACTGCTTCCTGGTTCAACTTGGCCTAGTTGTCCAGAGCCGTGGTCATAGGGCGCTTCATTCGTTCTCGGACGCAATGGTTGCAGTTTCCAGGCCGGGCCTCCGATTTCAACAGCAGCGGCATCGGATAAAGATCGATTAATAATGATGATAACCCGGTCGTAATCCTCAGCAAGATGGTACAGAAGGACCGCGTCGGCTGTAAGACCCTTGTCGTCTGCTACAGCAGCGGCCTGCACTGTGATGGTCTTTAAAAATTCTTCCTGATCAATTAGCTTGATCAGGCCAAGACGCTGCTCAATAGCCCCTTTGATTCTCATTCCATCACTTCGGATATCACCCAGCAGTTTCGCAAAGCTCCTTGTTTCCAAAATGAATTCCCTCAGAGCTTCGTGACACACAGAAGCGTGAGACTTGCCGATGGAGCCAGGAAGATCAGAATTGAGACAGATAAGAATGAAATAATCGACTGCGGCCTCGACAAATCCGGTGCGGAAATCTTGAGTATACTGAGTAATGAGGTATCCGAAATTGATTTGAGGATACTGTTTGACGGTGTACGATACTGTTATATAGTCAGCGATGTTAAGATCGACAAGACAAAAAAGGACCAAAGGCCCTAAGGGCGGTGGACATCTGGACTCACAAATCTCTTCACCAGAGGTATGGAAATCCGATACACGCAGCAGCCCATAGTAAGACAGAGCAATCGCAAAATGAACAGCGCTAACTGGTGCATAGGAACCGAGATAGGAGACGGCCTGTTCAAACATTCCCCCGAGAACCTGCAGAAGGAAGTAAGTCCCATAACCGCCAGGCCCTTCCTGTCCCTTGGTGAATACACGCTGGCCGATTTCTGTGATGTCAGTTTGAATGTCCTCAAGACCAAAGATGTCACCCGAAATCTCTTCAGAGCGGTCATCCTCCCTTGCAAGACTGAACTGGAGCCACATCCAATCTTCAACACTTTGATTGATACCATCAAGACGACGACGGCCAAGATCACAACGCCCAATGATCTTGTAGCAGGCCATTCTGTAAGGATCAATTGTGTTTTCAGGCGCATTTCGAGAACGTTGTTGATACTCGCCATTAATTTTCTGTTGTAAATCCCTCGGCAACTTCCTATTCTGAGCGTAGGTTGTCATGTAAGTGACAAACTTGTGGTCGAGTGACCGGAAACCAGGGTCCTGGCTGACATACTCCGCCGCTTCGGTCACAAACCCACATCGCAAGAGGTAGAAAATAAGAATCCAGCAATAGTCCTGCCCGACAACTTGCAGCTCCGTTCCATCAGGAGCAAGGTCTTTGCGAGCAGCTCGAATACGGATATATGCACGGATCTTGTTGATAACTGTAGGTATACCACCGAGTTGCGCTTCGCGCGGGTTTTTGGTAACAATGCTTTCAACTTCGCTGTAGAAAAGCCTCTCGAGAAATGACCTGGAGCCGTCGACAATTCTTTTGCGAAGGTTGATTGATTCGACGGAGTTTGAAACTTCGTTAAGATACCCATCACGGAACTGTCTCTCCTTAAGAGGATTAGGGTATGGGTTATTCATAGTACCATTCCGTTCATCTATCATGCTGATGATGGCCTGGTATGCATCAAAGAGTTGCCGAGGAGCCTGAACGACGACAAGTCAGTTAAGAAATCAAGTCATGATCAGTAGACGTCTTCGACTTACATCACCACCAGCATGTTTTTCTACATCAGAAAACTCGTGAAGAACGGGGAATGTATGACCTTGGAGTCTTGCTGAATTCAAACGTTGAACCTTGTCTGCATAGTAGCCCATTTTCTCTCTCAGGTAATGGGAGTCCGGAGAGTGGGCAGCAGGGCCATCCGCACGTTCGCTGGGTTCCTCAGAGAACTGAGAGCCCGAAAGACCGGCCCCAGGAGTGCCAATAACGGACTTTCCCAAAGCAGACCGTCCAAAAACACTTCTACCAGAGCCTGGTGCCACTCCTTGGGAAGAGCGTTTCTGATCTTTTGTGGATCTGCCAAATGACCCTTTTGTCGTAGCTCCCAGTTTATCACTAGGACGGTTATCTTTCTGCACGAGGCCAAAATGACGGAAGATTTTCTGCCGTTGTTCTTCCCAGTCCAAGTCTACTTTTTCCTCCAGAAATAGATCAAAATCCTTCTGTGCACGGGCAAGGCCCTCAGCGACCATCACCTGTCGACCGCGTTGCTGAATATTTCTCAAGAATTTCTGGTTGTCTGGATCAAAGCTCTCTTGTTCTTTGCCGCGAGGAAACGCTACCGATGCGCGAGGGTCTAGTGTTCTCAAATCATGCAGGGCACGCCCCGGTGATACACCCGAGGCAGCAAGCAGATAGTGCCTACAGATCAGACAGTGTCAGCTGTAAAGAAGAGGCATATATTACACGGACTTGCACGTACGCTTTACCGTTTGTGGTGGCTTGCTGGGAATCCTTCAGCCCACCAGTTCTCAGTTCCCTGGCTTTTCTTCGGATATCATCCAGTCCGAGTTGAAGGCTGGGCAAACCCTCAAAATCATCCAATCCTGTCGAAGAGATCGGCCGTTTCTTCCCACGCTCCAGCAAGCTGTTGAAGAAGGCAGGCTGAGTGTTCTGACTGCTTTGCCGTGCTTGCCCTCCATTTAAATGCTGTTGACTCGCACCGAACACTGAAGGCTGAGCAGTTGGCTGTTGAGCTTGTGGCTGAGATCCGAACAAGGATGCATTGGTATTCGCCATGGGGGGATTCGCGAACGAATTGGTAGTATTGGTCGCAGAGAAAAGGCTTGCGGGCTGGCCTAATGTTGGTTTGGCGTCCGAGGGACCGCTCCCAAGGTTTCCGAAAAGCGAGCTCATAATAGAGACTCACAATATAGCCTTTTGGTTTCAATTAAAAAGATAGAGTTAGGTGAATATAACAGGTTGGTCAGAATGGAACAATAAAAAGGCAGCTTGCAAGAGGCCCGTGAGACTTAAGCTTCTAAGCTTTAGTGAACAGTGGTCAGGCGCAGTTCTAGATTCAAAGAATAATGCGTTGGAGCAGCCAATTTCTTGTCTCTTAGTACACAACCACCTCCTATAAGGCACTGTATTTGTGTATGTTTTTCTCAATTTTCTAAGCTTGTGCAGCGGCAGATGAGGTACAGCTGCGGTTCGGGGCCGGGAATTTTCCTTCCGCCGACTAAGCTCTCTTGAAGGACGGCTTGAAGCCGCTTCGCTTCAGTGTCACTAATTATTATTATTAAACCTACAGCAAAAGACAGCGAAGGCTTCTTTGGTGATCTCGCTCTACTCAATTCTCTATGATGGTTGAATAGATAACCAAAAATGCCTGTTTTCCAGTCCAAGACTTTCCGCCGAGCAACAACGGCCTCATCCTCTCTAGGTGAGCGCATTGGCGCTATTTACCGGTCCAGGCTGTCTAGGCATCCATTTCTACTCTTTGGCCTTCCCTTCATTGCGGTTATGGTCGCTGGATCGTTTGTTTTGACTCCCGCAACTGCTCTGAGATACGAACGGTACGACCGCAAAGTTAAACAATTGAGCCAAGAGGAAACGATAGACCTGGGACTGAAAGGTCCAGATGGAGAGGAGGCCATCAAACGAAACCCCAGAAGAAGAGTTATTGGCGATGAGAGGGAAGAATACTATGTGTGTTATATATCCCGAGAAACCAAAGTCTTGTATTATATGACAGTACTAATGAGCCTTCTCATTTAGAGACTTATGGCAAAAGACTTGGACAACTGGGAACAAAAAAGAGTACAACGCTTTAAGGGCGAGCCCGACGGTAGATTATAGCGTTGAATACCTGAATCAGACATCGGGTTCTTTGAACCATTGGTGACAGTTTCTCATATCGGTCCTCATTGCGCGGCTCAACTGCACCCGCGTCCCAAATTTCACTTGGCTCGCCCATCGCTCATAATGCATTTCTCACTCGTCAGAGCCATTGCATTCGTGGAGAATACGGCGGTTGAGTCAATGATATTGACCTTCAACGACCACCGAGGACCTTCTTCCCCGAAAATCAAAAGCAGAGGTGCTGAGACTGCGGGACAGGTCTGGAAGTGGCTCTTATGGATCGATGCCCATTCGTATTGGACGTGTTATATCAATTGGCACATCACTAGGCTAGTTGCATTCTCAAGCTTTTCAGGGAGAATTTCAGCCGCGAAGTATCTGTAAACGCGGATCACTTTTATCGCAGGAAATTATGCTACACAGAATTCAGCAAAGTAGAGAACTTTGCATTGACTTCTTATTGGCTACTACATAGATTGCATATGTTCCTGTTCTAGAGTGCCTCGGGTAATTATTGAACAATCCTCAGTGGTTTGTGTTTCAAAGCGACTAGAAAGACTGATGGTGTAACACTTTAAATAAAGTTCATTCATATTCCTGTAAAATTTAGGTTGCCCATTCATAGTGCTTTTTGCACTTACTCTGAAATAAGCAGTAACTAGTTGGCAATTGCTAGGTAGCTAGTTAACTATTAGTTATGTGTAGCTAGTAGTTAGCTACAGAATAAGTACTCCTTTATCATCCAGAGAGTCACAGACTCTAGATCATTTCGCGAGTCCAGACTCTTGTACTAAAGTAAGTTAAGAAGTTAGAACCCTTAAGGCAGCCCCTAGGCTGACGTATCACTCTCTCCCGAGTCCCCAGGGCCCAGTCAGAATTTAGTAGCCACTGCGGGCGGGTTCCTGGTGGCTAGGAGAGATCCAGAACAGTTGTGACTTGTTAGAATTACCCACCTGCACCCATAGCGACTGACACTCTTTTCCCAATCAAATAACGTCATATCCGAGAGAACTACCAGATTAGTAAAGGTTTAGCCAGCCCCTCTTGTCTTCCTCTTCTGCCGACATTATTGCACACGAACGCCGTCTGTTATATGAGCTTTATAATCTAAACCCTGGTGGTAGTAAACTACTATTTTCACCAGCCTGCAATTATTCCTCTTCTTCTATAAAATAGAGCCTTCTTCTATCGGCTCCAGGTCCTTAATCCACATGCGTTGAGCCCACTTTCAACCATCACCACACACCAAGACCGAAGCGCGCCACTCAGGTTATGATCATACTTTGAAACCCTTTGATCCTCAACAACCTTCACCATTAATCAAGATTTCATTCCTCCAGATAAGAAAGATATTTGTCATGAATACTGGTGTTCTATTCCTTTTCAAATACAAGAATTAAGCTTGGTGGAAGCTCCTAGGAGCCTTCAAAAGGGTGTTTTCTTCCAGTCGTGACCAATTATGGCTTGATGGTCTTGTTCCATTGAACAACCACTTTGCTAGATTGGCGGATTTCGGCCTACCTTTACCTGCGGATATAATATGTCTACGATGGCAGGTCCAAGACATCCGCAATCTCCCTGGACACGGGAATCTAATGGCGGACAACTTACCACCACTTTTTCGCCACCAACCCTCCCGATGCGGGATCCGAGCTCTCCGTCAGCTAAAACCAGTACTATATCAGTCGACCCCAACCGTGAGCAGTCCAGTCCGAACTACTTTGGTATCAACATTGGGAATACAAGCAATCCGGTAGACTCAAATCCAGGGCCTTATGCGCAGAAAAATTGGGATGGATTCGTGCCCACTCAATCTTTTGTGGCAAGTCCTGGGCCACAACTCTTTCTTCAAAAGCCAGAAGCCCGGGCTCTTGCTAATCCACTGAAACGCTCCCTCACAAATAGGGCTTGTGAAAGGCCTATGGATCTAACAGAAGAAACGGGTACTGTTTCCGAAGGACAACAGGCCATGCCACTGCATGTTCCAGAGACTTTGAAATATTCTACTTCACCATACCATTTTGACAAAGTGGACCGACATTCAGGCCCTGATGAACAGCTTGCGATTGCTCAGGAAACTGGGACTCAACACAATGCTGTTTTCCCACCAGTGGTATGTCTGCTTGGTGGAAGTTTATGGTTTCTCCCTTCTCACCGTTTTTTAGGTAGATGGCCAGTCTTCGATGCGCGTCCGGGCAGCAGAAGCCAATACACGACTCTCGACAGTCTCGCCTCGGAATATGGGAGAGATATTCGTGTCTCTAAACTCAATACACGAGGACATGAGGGCTATATCGATCGAGCGTCTATCTGAAATCATCAAATCTCCTGGTGACGAAACCTTAATACTTGATATACGACCGTATGGACATTTTTCAGAAGCCCACATACAAAATGCGCTCAATCTCTGTATTCCAACAACACTATTGAAGCGCCCTTCGTTTGATACGCGAAAACTCCAGGCTACATTTTCAGCTGAAGCAGAAAAGGCAAGGTTTAAAATGTGGAGGAGCTGTTCCTCGATCGTTGTGTATGATACTACCACAAGTGATAAGCGAGATGCAGGGCAGCTACTTAATGTTCTGAAGAAGTTCACTGCTGAAGGGTGGAAGGGTGAAGGCTGCTACCTAAAGGGTGGCTTTGCCGCTTTTGCAAACAGGTTTCCAGAGCTCATCCAACAGCATTCACATCAAGGGAGTACCCACAAAAAGCAACCTTCAATGGATATCCAACTCCCGTCCACTCTTCCTATTGCCGGAGGTTGTGCGTTGCCGAAAACTTCTACGGTGGTAAATCCATTCTTCGGGAACATTCGCCAGAACATGGACCTTGTCGGCGGTGTCGGTCAGATTGCTGTCAAACTTCCGAAAGGCCTAACGGAATCGAATAAAAAGTCGCTACCTGCATGGTTGCGTGCTGCATCTGATGCAAAAGATCAGGGTCTAGGTGTCTCAAAGAAATTTCTCGCTTTAGAGACGAAAGAATTAGATCGCATGCGACAGGCCCTTTCTGTTGACAATGTTTGCGTCAACACCCCATCCAGCGAGCCACAAGGGAAATATCGTGTGGCGGGCATCGAGAAAGGGACAAAGAATAGATACAATGATATCTATCCCTTCGATCATTCCCGAGTTCGACTTCAAGATGTTCCAACGGGCGATTGTGACTATGTGAATGCGAGTCATATCCATACTAAATATAGCAACAAGCGGTATATAGCGACGCAGGCGCCTGTTCCCGATACATTCAACGTAGGTGTCAATATCTCTGCTGTGTATCTGATTTTTAACCATTTCTAGGACTTTTGGCGTGTTGTTTGGGAGCAGGATGTCAGAGTTATTGTTTCTCTCACCGCTGAGGTCGAGCGGGGTCATGTTAAATGCCATCCTTATTGGAAGTCAGGGAACTACGGCCCTTTGAAGCTCAAATGCTTCGCCGAACGGCAAATAGAGGTGGAATCAGCGGATCATTCGCCAATTGGCCTACGTTGTGTCCCAAATCCCGTGCGATGTGACCCTTCTCTTGACCCTTTCGCCGCCGGGAACAGCCCTCACGATCGCTCTCGCGAGGCTAGTGATGATCCCGTCATCATTGTACGGCATTTCAGCCTATCTCACTCCTCTTTCCCGTTTCAACCACTTCGGGAAATCACACAACTGCAATATCCCTCTTGGCCCGATTTTGGAACTACCTCACAACCCAGTCATCTTCTCAAATTAATCGACCAGTGCAACAATGTCGTACGGGCGACTAGTGCTGTTAAATTCAACAAGTCTGAAGCCGAGCCTAAGGGACAACAACCGGTGTTGGTCCATTGTAGCGCTGGGTGTGGACGCACTGGTACCTTTTGTACTGTGGACAGCGTTTTGGATATGTTAAAGCGCCAACGTGCGGTGAGAGGGGGCCATTCTCGAGGCCTCACGGTTGGCCAATCCTATGATGAAGCATGGGCACACGATGACCAGATGGATCTGGTTGCTAAGGCCGTGGAAGACTTCCGTACGCAACGACCAAGTATGGTTCAAAACCTTGGTCAGTTCGTACTTTGCTATGAGAGTGTACTAGAGTGGTTTGTATCCCAACTGGAAGGAAGAGATAGTCCAGCCGCTGCACATACCCTGTAACTCTTTAGCATAATATATTGCGCTATAATTCACCCATATCTATGCTGTGGTTTCTACGAAACTTTAATAAGTCATGATCATTGAAAATAACTTTATTTTGTTTATATATACATACATATTATATTCTAGCATTACTAAAATTATATTAATGATATGTTTATCCCTGATTTAAGGCTATATTAGGTAGATTAAGTATATTCTGCTAGATATTAATATTTCAGGCTTGCACCACCAGGACCGCTGGAGGATCTGTGATGGCTCAAAAGTATGATTCTAACCTAGAATAAACAAATGAAATAATTATTGACCTCCAAAGACGTAATATAGAAAATAAAATAAACTGATAACTTATTCTCAAAAGGGGTCATTCTCTGCTAATCATTATTGCTTTGTTTTATTTCCATAGAGAAATAAATAAATGTTTACCTTAATGATTTTATCAAGAAGTGATGGTGGCGGAGGTCCTATGGAGTACCTATTATTGACTTCGTATGGATTTAGGCAGCGTCAGGCAACAGTCACTGGCTGCTCCAATTGTTGATGTCTACAGACCTGATCTATATAAACCAATATTTCCAAATTTCAAAGCAGAAGCTTCCCGACATCCACCTCATTTCCCCTCTTCCAATATATGCTCAGCAGAGAGCTTCAGAATATTTTCTTGATCACCAGTGGTAGAAACCCAGGACTGGAGCATGCTCCTCAATCTTCCCACAGAGCTTATACAGCTCATACTTTGGAATACAAGCACACCCGCCTTTTTGCAAGCAGCTCTCTCCTGTCACACTCTTTTCGAGATTGCCTCGACATGTCGCGAGGTCATCTTGCACCACTTACAGCAGACACCTGGCACGGATCTTCAAGGCCATAGTTCCTTGAACACAAAGGATCTCTTCCGCCTGTTTCTCAAACGTTGTGCAAGACAGCTATACGGTGCTCAGTATCATTCAAGCTGCAAATTGTTTGCGTTTCAACCAAACATCATCGACGTTCGAGCATCGTCCTTTGCCAATTCGGGCGATCTAAATCTGGCGCTCGTCACCAAAGAATCCGGACTTGTTCATCTTTTCTCCATGAGAGATTGTCAGGTTTTCCCCCAAGGAGAAGTGCGCCCGCCATGGGATCACCCAGGCTCGGAAAAGGTGTTTCGAACGTCTTTTGACGGAAAGGGTGGGATTTATGTGCTCCAAAGCTCGACACTTACTGGGGATCATGTCGGTTCAGACGACAATCACCCTTTTGTGAAACATGCTTTGCAGACTGGACCTTCTCAAAGCACATACCTTGTGCACTATGATCTCCAGAGTGTAAACCCCTCCGTTCAGATTTGTACCTTTCCAGACAACACCGATTACGAGCCCCTGGCTCTTGGTGCAGCAGATGATGGGGCATTTGCGATTTCATGGAAAAAAGATAATACACAGGAAGTCGTATTGTATACGGACCTGATCGAGTCAGATGCCGATGACTCTGGAATATCCCGTTCGTCTTGAGCCTTCTATAACCCGCTACGCTCCTACTAATTGACCTGATACAGATATTGATTATGAAAGCTGGACCATCCTGAGCGAGCATGAGAGAGGCCCAGTTATGGACATTATATTTAACGATAGGAATAGCCAGCTTCTGTATTTCCACCGAGCCCAAGCACTCTACGGTTCATTCCAAAAGATCGATCCATTTGACCCGGATATAGAGCCAAAACTCTACGATAACTCGTGCCTAGTTCCATTTTCAAACTCCACGAGTCTTTACTTTTCAATTGGAATACCATTTTTTGGCACGCATGAGACGGATGCTTCGGCACCACCAAACCTAAGTCCTCCTATGTGTACATGGAAATATCTTGCACTTGGTATCGCGAAGCATCGCGAAGCAAATTGGACTGTGGCTTGCTTGTTGAAATCAGAAGCTCGCTGCCGGGCTACGAACTGCGAGCATGTTCTGAATCTCGACCGTGGTCGACGATTCTCCAACTGGACAGTAGTCGCCAGGCTGTGGGGTTTCCAAGAGGCAAGCAACTCCCTCGGCTGCATCGTGGCTACCTCTCAAAATGGAAGGCGCCTTGCAATTGCGAACTGGAACAAAATATTGGTCTGGGCCTTCGAGCCAAGTGAGCTTATCGAGCAGAATTCCAGTGGCTTTTACCCACCCAACTTTCTATCAGAGACTTCTGGAATGGTTAAGCTACGTCCGGTTGTTTTGCAAACGGAGGCTGTTTGCTTCAAAATGCGTTTCATGGAGAACGAAAACCATCTAGTGGCTTTGACTGACCATGGACTGATGTACTGGGACCTTCAGTCCCTCGGAACAGGAGCAAGGACAACACACGGGTGGGACTAAGCAGGGTAACTGGTTGGATTTTGGCATTTCATGAATTGCAGCTCGGAACTTTTAAGATGCCCATTTTGGTCTATATTAGCACGTTCAACTAGGTTCACGTGTTAAACATGACATAGGCTGAATATGAATGATACTGTGAGATTCCTTTAGAAATGATGAGCTGGTAAACAGCCGAGACTATATTGTTATAGCAAAAACATTATTCCTTTCCATTAATTATTAAAACCACAGTACTACTGCCCTTCACCTCCACCAGACATAGCAATGAAACCAACAATCAAGAAGACCCACCAGTATCTAAGTACAAGAATATACATTAGAGGGAATAATCGAATACTAGATCGATGATTACTTACTTCTGGAAAAATGTCTTCTCAACCACCTCCTCTGGACCTGTTCCGTCCGGGTTGACCACGATAGGCCGATTGAGATGAGGACGAGGGCCTGCCTCGCTGGAGATAAGCTTTATTTCGGGGCTGTTCGTCGCTACCGAGGAATCCGAGGGCAAGACGGAAACATGGTAAACTTCTCTGGAAGGGCTAAGGTGAAGTTGTATTGTCGGTTTGCGGTCTGTGTCGCCAATTATCGAGGACAACGTTGCAAGAGATCCCACCCATTCTTTCGAACTCGATGTTGTCGTGTAGAGGCCAATTCGAACCAGGTCATCCGGGGACTCCTTGAGACTGGCGCTATCAGGCGCAGTATATGATACGACAGTTGAGGTCAAAGATAATGGGTCGTACGAGATGCGTGCAAGCTGGGACGGTTGAGAGGCTCCTAAGGGCCAGTAAAGCACATCGGCGAAGGAGGGGACGGCCGCTGCTCCCGATGCCTTGGCGAGGAGGGGGAGGAAGCTAAATAAAGGGAGGAGCACGGATAATGATATATGCATTTTCACTGGATCTTTTAAACTGAAAAGAGGAAGAAAAATAAGGGAAAAAAAGGCAGTTGCGCAACGATTCAGGCGTCAAATCGGTCGAGCTCCATGAATCTCATGCACTGACTCGGAGAATTGACGCCGAGTCAAGCGCGCGCTAGTACGGCTGGTACGTACGGAGTACTAGGCCCCGTACCAGTACGGTAAGTACCTCCAGGTATTTACCATTCAGATCTTGAGTTATACCTACCTACGTAATGTGACAGGCGGCCCCTCTTCTTAAGTTGGGGCAGAACCTACTATAGACCCCTTTAAGCTGTCTAAACCCATCGAGTATAAGATAACATTGTGTCTATTGCACCGATTCAGGGCATGGTTGGGACCTGGTACTTTGGCATATGTTCCACAATATAAAGGGATTTATCCAGGCGGGGGATTCTCGCAAGAGCCATTACATCACATAGTTAACTGTTCGTGGGAGCTCGCCACCTTTTACCCCACTGGTGAGCTTTGGCTATCGGTGTTCCGCACTTCGTCCACGTAGCCCTGCTCCCTGCTTCAGTGCTCCGTAGGTACTACGGAGGATGTACTATGCAGTCACTACTTGGTACTTAGTATCTGGTCAGCTGGTGATTGGGAATGGAAAGTGGAGCTGTGATCCGGAGCGTCGATTCTTGACCTCTCTTCTTGAAGCAGATTTAACGTCAATCAGGATCCACGCTACCTCGAGGCATGTGGGATTTTCTAGCGAAGGTGCTAGCGAAAGTACAAAAGGCTCGAAACATTTAGTTTCTGAGACACTGATTCTCCACTTGCCTTCTTACACTTTTTCAGAGATACTTGATATCCATTGAAGCCTCCGGAGCTTATTAACGATACCTAGTCATCTTAATTTTGTTTGTAACCTCCTCCTGACTGCAACCCGCGACCCTTCTTGATAGTCCGACCACACCTTGGAGGAAAGAGACCATTCGAGTTCACACAGCCAGTATGACCTCCATACCTTATCGCCGCCCATCTCGCCAGGCGTCTCGCCAAGCCTCGCAGGACCCGCGGAACGAGATTCTAGTCCATATGAATCACTATATTGGTATTGACGTCGGCACTGGCAGTGCTCGTGCCTGCATCATTGATGAGAAAGGTGATATTGTTGGATTGGCCTCTGAGAACATTGGCTTGTGGCAGCCGCAGACTGGATACTATGTACGCGATCACCATCACGGCCCGAGAGTCTACCTAACCTTACACTGCTCTTAACACTTGGAAACTTCTACCATCCAGGATAAGTCATTGGCTGACGTCTTATTTTTAGGAACAATCCACAAGTGATATCTGGCGCTGTATCTGCATTTCTGTCCAGCGTGCCATCAGCCAACACAATATCGACCCCTCCACCGTGAAAGGAATTGGATTTGATGCCACTTGCTCGCTTGCCGTGTTCTCTTCAGAAACTGATGAACCTGTCTCCGTCACTGGCCCTCATTTTGACACCGATCGCAATGTGATACTGTGGCTCGATCATCGCCCTGTTGATGAGACGGAGAAGATTAATTCAACCAATCACAACTTACTCCGTTACGTGGGCGGCAAGATGTCCATCGAGATGGAAATCCCCAAGGTTTTGTGGCTCAAGAACAACATGCCCAAGGAGGTGTTCGATGATTGCAAGTTCTACGATTTGGCTGATGCCCTAACCCACATTGCAACTGGTAACGAGAAACGGAGCTTCTGCAGTGTTGTTTGTAAACAAGCATACGTCCCAGTCGGTGTTGATGGAAGCGTCAAAGGCTGGCAGGAAGACTTTCTTGAAGAGATTGGCTTGAAAGATTTAGTGGACGACGGATTCAAGCGAATGGGCGGTGTCGACGGGGTGGTGAGCCGTTTCATCTGTTCCTTCTTCTCTTCCCCTTATTATATTCTACCTTGACCCGGATTAATTGATGTGTTTGAACCTTATATTTACTAATGCCTTGTCCTTGAGCAGAATGGCGACTACCTCAGTGCTGGCGAATTAGTGGGCACCCTCTGCGAGAAAGCAGCTTCTGAGCTTGGACTACCCGCTGGAATCGCTATCGGAAGCGGCGTCATTGATGCATATGCAGGCTGGATCGGTACTGTGGGCGCCAAGGTTCAGCTGGCTCCTGATCAGCTCAGCAGCGAGGTTGCCAAAAACGACAAGTCTCAGGCATTTACACGATTGGCCGCTGTCGCTGGAACATCGACTTGCCATCTTGCCATGTCACCAGGCCCGGTCTTTGTACCAGGAGTGTGGGGTCCCTACCGTGACACCATCTTGCCTGGATATTGGATGGCCGAGGGAGGCCAATCTGCAACGGGAGAGCTCTTGAAACATGTCATTGAGACCCATCCCGCTTTCAACCAAGCTACCTCAGTCGCCGAGTCATACCACACCAACATCTATGACTACCTGAACGAGCATCTCAAGGAGATGGCCTTAGAGCAGCAGGCGCCGACCATCTCTTATCTGGGACGCCACTTCTTCTTTTACGGTGACCTCTGGGGCAATCGCTCTCCGATTGCTGATCCAAACATGAAAGGTTCTGCCATTGGTCTCTCCAGCGACAAGTCTGTTGATGGCTTGGCTCTTTACTATTATGCAACGCTCGAATTCATCGCCCTGCAAACTAAGCAGATTGTCAAGACAATGAACGATGCCGGCCATGAAATCACCTCGATCTTTATGTCTGGCTCCCAATGTCAGAACGATATCCTCGTCAAGCTCATTGCATCTGCCTGTGAGATGCCCGTGCTCATCCCGCGCTACGTCCATGCTGCTGTTTGTCACGGCGCAGCGATGTTGGGTGCCAAGGCTGCCAGTGCTGATAGCCAGGGGAAAACCGAGGATCTCTGGGACATTATGGATCGTATGAGCAAGCCTGGAAAGAAGATCGTCCCCTCAGAAAACAAGAAGGAGCTTGCTCTTCTCAAGGTCAAGTACGATGTTTTCTTGGAGCAATGCTACAACCAACAAAAATATCGATCGCTAGTAGATCAAGCTGTGGGTACATGGTAATAATAAACCCGAAGATTTTATCTTGATTGGAACATGCAACTGGTATTTCACTTTACATGTTCCAATGGATTCATTAGTCTTGCTAATGTAAGAGGTATAAAAGTAGTAATCCAGAAGAAGATAGTTTCTTTTATTTTAATGACCAAGGAATTTGGATGGGCACTATTCATAAGTCTTACTTTCTTAGAGGGTTCGGTTCTAGGCCCTACTACATTCTAGAACAAGGCCTGAGTCTTTTGTTTCTTCAGCCTACAAGTCGACCAGGAAGAAACAAGGTACCTGGTATAATAAGGAGAACAAAATTTGATAAACTATTTATCTGAAACTGCTAGATATGACATGATGTGCAAAAGAACTGCTCCAGAGAAAACAAAAATTAACTGTAAGAGGGGTGTCTGTCCATCAAAGGTCAATAATTGTATAAATGCAAAAGGAAGGTTCAAAAAAGAAGACAAAAGAGAAGAAATCAATAAGCAAAACCCGAAGTTGACCGTCCAACGGTATAGAAGGTCTCGGGTTTAGTAGGTCCTATAGCCAGGGTATCAAAACGATCCACACCCATTGTGTCCATGTTGCTGTATCCGGCGAGATAGAAGCCGATCACCACAACGAGGTACGTTAGGACAAGAATCGAACCCTTAAAATAATTGCTCTTGCCTTCTCCGTAGACATATGACAGGAGGAAAACACAGAGAATCACAGCGATCATATCCCACTGAGGGAAAATCAAACTAAAAGAAGAGTTAGATCAGTGTTGTAGTGATCAAGGCGGTGACGGAGCTTACTTGAATGAATGATTGACGAGTTCTGTCGGGTCGAAATTACGACCGTATAGAGCACTAAAGAGAACGAGGGCGGGAATCTGCAGTAGGCAGACCTGCAAGGCGTAGGCAGACCCGATTTCCATGGACAAAGCAATATTGCCGTTCATTGCGAAGGATATGGCATTCTGGTGTTGGAAATGTCAGACTCGGTCACATAATTCATAAAAAAAAATCATTCTTACCAGGAATTCAGTAGTGTTTGGAACCAAGGCGAAAAGGGTAATACCGAGAAACTTCTCCTCGATATCAACACTTTCCAAGACAACATCCACAGTATTAACAAGAATTTCAGCAATAATTGCGTAGAATACTGTCGCCGTAAGAAGGATGATAGAGCTCTTGGCTTTGCTCCAATTTGGTGCATCATGGCCGCCGCCGCTTGCAGCCGCGCCACCATGCTCAGGAGAGATTCCAACCTCATCATTGTCATCGACAATGGATTTTGTCAGGTCAGGGGTATCCTTGCTACCCTGGCGTCCTGTAGACTGTTGAACAGCCAGCTTTCTTGAGCGTGCTACATCCCGAGCAGCAACCGCAGCCGCCGTTGCTGCCACTTCAGTAACACGGCGCACAAGACTCTCATTTTCTTTTCCGGATAAAGCTGACTTCACGTAATCATTTCCGCTTCGCGGGGGAACAACATGAGGCATCGAGTTATCAAATGCTGGCCCGACTTCTGTTTGATCCCAGGCATCCTCCGTGGCATGTTCTGATAGGCCGACTTGCTCCAAGGATTGTCCCAGAATACGCTTATATAGCTGAGAATCACGGATCGAGCTCCTATGGCCAGAACCCTGCGGCCCATTTGGGAACAGGTAGTATCTAGGTTCATAGGCAGCAGATTCGTGGACAAAGTGCGCAGCCCGCTTTTCCTCCGCTTCAGTGGCCCAAATAAGTGCCGCATGGGTCCGAAGAGTAAACCATAGACCGATTACGTAAGAAAGGAACAAGAAGACTGCAGCAAACCAGGAGTATGGTTTGACAGCTTTCTCGAAAAAATCATCATTGATCGCCGGGGTCTGGGAGAAATAGCAACGGCGGCAGTCCCGTAAAGTAGAGTCAGCAGGTCCAGTGCAGGATCGACAGTTCAGTTCATGCTGTGAAACAAAGTCAGTGATGTACAACATTTCTTCAAAGAGTGTTAACCTACACTGCCATAAACCTGATAAAACAACGTGGGACTGAATGCAGCAATTATAGAAAACAAGAGCATAGTCGAAGTTACACCTGCAGACTTTACATTGAATCTCTGTGTCTTGCGCTTGATTGCGCCGAAACACATGGATAGTCCAGGGAGGAAAAGAATGCCGGCGAAGATGCTGCCGATGATACTGCCTTCCACCAGTTGTGACTTGCCTTCCGTAAGAGCAACACAGTACAGGTAGACCTCAACTATGGTCGAGAAGAATGCGTTAATCGCGGCCCCCAGACCCATGGATGACTGAGCAGAAATCGATGCAACAGCCTGTCCGATGAAGTAAGCAAGGGGGATGATTGAGAAGAGAGCAAGGGTGAATATTAGGCCCGGGTGAGTAACCCAGGTCTCGATATGTAAGCTTTGACTCAGGAGGAAGTAGTCAAAGATGACAAATAGAACGACACCGAGAAGATTGATGAAGAAGATGTTCGTTCCATCGATGGTATACTTCCAATACCGCAGACCAGCAGCGCGGTAGGTACACAGAAGAATCGAGGATGAGGAACTTGAAGGGAGTCTAGGATATGCCATGTCAGAATGAAATGACAAAGCCAAAGGGTGACGTCGGAGATGATTGAAGAGGATTATTGTCACACGGCCCATTGGAATCCAGAAGACAAGCATCCAGCAGATGAGTGACGCCAGCAGCATCGTCGGACCAACCAGAAAATAGAAAAATATAAAGAACACGACACGGCCTAGCGTCCATTCGCCGCGCCCGAAGAGACGTCGTTTGGACGGATGGAATGAGCTGTCCTGATGTTGCCCTCGCTGGGTGCGGCCAAGAAGGCTGTCTCGCTCGCCGGTCGAATCCAGGCTATTCCGTCGTCTCCCGACCAGAGAACGATCACGACGAGGCCCGAAGAAGAGCCTGCCATGCTCGAGATCCCCATTTTGCCACTGCTCATATTCACTAATGCTGCGTCCCTCGCCTTCATCTTCATCCGCATAGTGTTCATCTGTTTCTAGTCGAACAAATGACCCGAAAGGATAGAAGAGATACCAGGAAAGATCCAAGAAGACCCTTCCATATGCTCGGGCACTAGCTGAGAATGCAAATAAAAAACAGGCGACTGCACCGAATAGGGCTGCAAGAGAAAGCCACCAGCCGAAGAATAGAGACCACAGCAGGTTCATCACGAACAAAACATTGCTAACCCGCCCTCCTGGTGATGAATGGATATCTCCCTCTGCAGTCTTCTCAACAGAGCGACTCTTCTTGTACAATGCAGGCTTCCATATTCTGATACCGAATGGATGGGTTTCATTTATAGCTTGTTGTCTATCCTTGAGGGTGAAGCTTTCCGCGTCGCTTGTCTCATCATCTTCTCGGTGATCTGTACTGTCTTCAGGTTGGTCGGGACTTGAATTTGCACCTGATGACTCCGCTCGAGGTTCCGTCAAGTCTTCGTCTTCAAGATCAGGCTCCTCTGCCTCGGGAAGAGGAAGCGCACTTGGACGGGCATTCGTCCGACGCCTTATGGTTGAGCTCTGGGTCCTAAGCGGACGCATCCTCGGAGATGGCTGAGGAATTACTGCCTGTTGCATCGCGATATCCTCCTCGACTTCGCGAACATCATCGTCGGTGGAAAACTCTTGTCCTCTATGGGGTACTGTTCGTTTCGAAGACATACGTCGCGACACGGAGGGCTTTCTTGGCTTATCTAGCTGGAGAGGTGCTATAGACGGTGAAAGGGAGGATTGTGTCCGAACGGATTGTTCGGCTTGGACACCGTCATCGCGTATATCCAATCCCAATGGGTCGGAACCTTCCATAGTCCCTTCGTTCGAGTTAGAAGCAATCGCAATCAAGATAAGTTGAGGGAGGGAAGACCGAACCGTAGCTCCTCCCGCCTGACACGCTGGGCTTTTTTGGACGAGTTCCAGTCCGCGGCGTCTCAGCCTCACGAGTTGGTTGACTTGCGGATTCTGTAGGGTCTATTGGGTCTTGCGTGTCTGCCATTGCTACTATGTCGCAGAATCAAGACGGATTAGGTTATTCAACCGATAAAGGCCAAATACTCTTCAGACGTGACCTGCACACCCAAAGCGCTTGAATATATTAACAGGCTTGAAACAACATAACATAGCGCAACTGCTTGCGAAAAGGAGGAATTCAGAAGCTTGGACTCGGAAGGGGAAATGGAGGCGCGCGGGGGGGGGGGGGGAGATCAAGACAACAACAAAAGAAAATGAAGGCAGAAAAGCTAGTGTTGGTGGAGTCTTCAATTAATCATATGATCTTTAAGGCATTTTTCGCCCTCAGCTGAGGCTCGTGGTATGTAAATGTCCCAGGGTCTTCAAGACCTTGTGATAGTAGCAAAAAAACAATGAGGGCGATGTCTCTGAAATGGAGGTGGAGAGCTAGCTGCCTGGCGGGCCTGAGCTCTTACACCCAAAGGCCGACTTTTGAACCTGATGACCGGGCCAGCGCTGAATAAACCACCTGTAAGCTAACCGAACCTTTGTAGCTTCTGCTTTTGTACTAGACAAATAATAATGGCTTTTGTTGTCCACCTTATTGGTGTCGTCAGTAGGATTACTCATCTTCTCTAGATATTGCACCGCCACAGCTCTGAGCCTTAGGCAGAAACCGATGCACCTTGTGGCTTTCCTTGGCGCTTGCACTGTTGTCCGACGATAGCTTCCACCGGCCGCCAACAGCTTCCTTTCCTCAGTATTCCGGGTCTGATTCTTCTCCATTATCTGACTGCACTTTACACATAAAGGAGGTATAGTTACCGCTCTCGAGTTGCCTACAACGAGTTTTCCTTTCCCCTCCCCCACGAACGTTAACGACCACGGCTTTAGAAAGCATTTGCTTGCTTTCGTTTCACCATGGCCCTTGATAACTACTATCGCAATAAGATCGAGAGCATGAAGCTCGAGATCATCCAGGGCCAAGCAGTTCTTCGAAGACTGGAAGCACAGAGAAATGATTACAACTCCAGGGTCCGCCTGCTGAGAGAGGAGTTGGGTCTGCTACAACAACCTGGCTCGTATGTTGGTGAGGTAGTGAAGGTCATGAGCACCAAGAAGGTCCTTGTCAAGGTTCATCCGGAAGGGAAATATGGTTAGTTTTGAATATATATTTTCTATGCCATCCAAGAGAAACCGTTAGAGATGGCTTGCTGACCTGCTTTGCGCATATAGTGGTCGATATTGCGGATGATGTTGACATCGCGAAGCTTACAGTTGGAAAGCGTGTCGCTCTACTCTCTGACTCTTACAAACTTGAGAAGATGCTGCCATCCTCTGTTGACCCCCTTGTCTCGCTTATGATGGTCGAGAAGGTCCCCGACAGCACGTACGACATGATCGGTGGTCTGGATCAGCAAATAAAGGAAATCAAAGAAGTGATCGAGCTCGGTCTCAAGCACCCTGAGCTTTTCGAGTCTTTGGGTATCGCACAACCAAAGGGTGTGCTCTTATACGGCCCGCCTGGTACTGGAAAGACACTGCTTGCACGGGCAGTCGCTCACCACACCGATACACGTTTCATCCGGGTCAGTGGATCGGAGTTAGTACAGAAGTACATTGGTGAGGGTAGCCGGATGGTGCGTGAGCTATTCGTCATGGCCCGAGAACATGCACCGAGCATTATCTTCATGGACGAGATCGACAGTATCGGGTCTAGCCGAATAGATTCGGCTGGCTCCGGTGATTCGGAAGTCCAACGTACTATGTTGGAATTGCTCAACCAACTTGACGGCTTTGAGCCTACACAAAATATCAAAATCATCATGGCCACAAACCGACTCGATATTCTTGACCCTGCTTTGCTGCGACCTGGCCGCATTGATAGGAAGATCGAATTCCCCCCGCCATCGTAAGGCCCCCAGCACTAAAAAAAACCCTCTCATCGCACGGAAACATACACTAACCTTTTTTTTTTTTTTTAAACAGGGTGGAAGCACGAGCGGACATTCTCCGAATTCACTCGCGTTCAATGAACTTGACTCGAGGCATCAACCTAACTAAGATCGCGGAGAAGATGAACGGTTGTTCTGGTGCTGAGCTCAAGGGTGTGTGCACGGAGGCAGGCATGTATGCTCTTCGTGAACGACGTGTACACGTAACCCAGGAGGATTTCGACTTGGCAACTGCCAAGATCCTCAACAAGCATGATGACAAGGAAGTGGCGCTTGGAAAGCTCTGGAAGTAAGGAGAGGGAATGTACGGACAACATGTACCATAAATATTCTCATCTCTGCACCATGCTCAATTCTATGGGATATGGCGAGATCTAAGCGGATTGACTAATGATCATTGTCTTACAATAGGTGAAAAGCCTACCTCTGTTATTAGGATAGGTATGCAGTTACTTTTGCCTATCCTACCACCGGTTACATTGAGAGATGTTCTCGAATAGATTTAACCTACTCATAGCAAATTTTTGAGTTCTACATAGGTACAAAGAAACAGACCCATTATTTATAGAGGCATAAATTCAAGGAGACATAAGGATCTACAGAGTACGGAGTACCCAATATGAACTTCTACAGTCCTCTGTACTACTTGACTTGCAGACCAACGCAATTGTGCATATTTCCAATCCCAATAGATCAATTGATTTTACTGTAAGAGCTTGGTTTTGACTTGAATGTAAAATAGTACGGAGTACATTGATCATAGCAATCTATGACCACCACATGGTATTGTTAGAATACACATTACCTTAGGCAGAAGTGGTCCGTCCACTTTAACTACCACACAATCTAGACCCACTGTTGGTTAGAATCTGATAATGGGTTCAAATAATAGCTAACTACTCCTCCGTATGTCGTAGTTGGTAGTCCGTACAGCGTTGTCAAGGAAGGAGTCTTCTGCCAAGAAAGATCTCCTATTGGGTTTCAGACAAAACATGCTAGTATTCAAGACTATTTTGGTTTGTAGGTGAACTAGCAACCTATATAGTTTGCAATGCCACTGCGGCCATGGTGATGCCCAGCCAATTTACCTTGATAGCCACACGTCGATCTCTGATGAGGTGGGTTGTATACTACATAGTATATGCATTGGCATGGAGTTCAAGGATGAGTAGAGCTGTATATGTTACCATCATAAGAGAAATGGTCAGTAGATCTGCCGCTGATAGTCCATCGCACTGGTTCTTGGCTGAAGACATGCGCTGGAAGGGGTAAGCAGCCAAGACTGTGAGGGTCGACAGGGCATCTGTGCACTAGCAATTACTCAAAAGATGTGAATCTTGATGGTGGTAAGACGGATATTGCCAAGAAGATCAAAACGGAGTGAGGACGGAGTACGGGGTACGGAGTAGAGTACTCCGTATTCGAGTCCGTAGACTCCGTCCAAGATGATATGGTCTCATGCGGTGCTCGGTGTAGTACTAGCTGGTGTGGTTGACGCGACTGATCAGGTGACTCTGGTACGACGCGTCACGCGTGTTCGTCGTCCTCGATAGTAGTTAACTATAGCATAATTATTGGGTTGCAGACCCCATATTTACTCCATATAGTCTGCGACTCTGCTGTAAGAGAGCCTCAATGTCTTAGGTATCTAAACTTCAGCATACTCCGTACTACTACTACATAATTCAGCTCAACTGGATCGGCATATCCCACAGAAGGCGCGGTTGACGTGGCTCGACTTTCTGGGTGGAACTTCACTGCCGGCGCGTGACCAGCCGATCGTACCAGGATCTCGGCGTTGGGGTGGGGTCACTCGGCCCTGGGTTCCATTCCCATCTTCTCCGAGTCTTGTCGCTGGCGGAGAACCCATCCAGTCTGCTTCCATGTAGTATGTAGTAGGGAAGACGACCTATCCCATGCCTGATTATTTAAATCACCTATGATGAGTTAATGTTGCATCAGACCCAAGTTGCCACCTCTTCCTTTCGCCAGTGAGGGAGGGAGGGGGTTCGCGTAGTGCCAGCCAAGCAAATAATGACTAAATGGCTGAATGATAGAAAATGGGTCCCGGTGAGCAGATCCTCTGTAGTCTGTCCCCAGGGTAGCACAGCAGGGCCTCTGTTTTGTCCAATCGCATGTGCTGAACTGGCATGCTCTCGCTCTGCCCTCCAAGCCCGCCCGTTTCGGACGGATACCCCGGACCTGCTCCTTTTGGCCCTTCCGTGCCTGGCTGGGCAGTACTCCACTTTGTTCTAGTCGCCGCTTATCGCGCGCCCACGGTGGGCAGTGGGCATGGGTAATTATGGTATCTGTATCCACTCGGCAACTTTTCAGTGTGCTCAGTGCTGTTTTTTGCTTTCTTTTTTTGCTTTTTTTTTTGGCAGTGCCCACCCGCTCACTACTCCAAAAGAAGCAGGGCATTCTTGCGTCTCCGAGAGGGGGAGGTCGCTGGTCGATTACGGCCGTGTTTCCCTGCCGTGTTTCCTGCCATTGTCACTACTAACCTACCTACCTAGCCTAGATGCTGCTCTTTAAGTAGCCAGCAGCTGCCCTTCGTTTCTTCTACATCACACCTCGACGGTACATTAACAATCTATAACCTAGTTCAACTATTTAATCCTATACCCGTCGGTTTTGTGTCGACAAGAAACCATGTCGACCGTTCTTCAGCCCACGACGATCGACCTGCTCGAGACCGAGCTTGTCAGGGCTCGCGATGCCCTTCACGAGATCCGGCCGATTGCTAGCCCGATAGTGCTGATGGGGGAGGAGATAACCGTGGGGGCAATGGCGGCATACCGACAGAGCCTCATGCAACAGTCTCCTGAGTTCTACGGTGCCCGTCAATTGACACCGAAGGACTTGGGCCTCGTGACGGTGGTTCGGGAAGTGCAGCCCGACTTCCCGGGTAACGAGCAGTTGCTGGGGCTGGAATCCGTTTGCACGGTGACTGCTGTCCCTTCTAGGCGGGCCACGCTGGTAGATGTGCTCTCGAACAACTTGATTCTCGACCGCATGGCACCGTATCTGTCTGTGGCCTCGCTGCTGAAGCTTGCCTCAACGTCGCGCTATCTCCGCTCTGTTATCTTGGAGACGCCTTACGTGTTCCGCCATCTCGATTTGACTCGATGCCGAGGTGCCCGGCTGCCCAACACCAGTTCTGTACACTCCGGTGGCCTACGGTGGTCCATGAACCGATCCTCAGACGAAGATATATGCGCACAACCCTTGAGGAACATCTTCACTGATCTGGGGCGAAGATCGATCCTGCAGGATGTCCGTACTCTGATTCTGGATGGTCTCTCGGTTCCCGCAAGTCTGGTTGCTGAGATTATCTTGTCAAATCGTTTCAACGTGTCCATTCTCTCTATTCGGGAATGTCTCAACCTAGATGAGCACAAGCTCATGCAAGTTCTCCAACTTGCGGTCCGGCCAGACCGGCCCAAGGGAACACCGCGTGTGAAGGGCATCTATCATTTTTCTCCCATCAATGTCGTTTGTGGCACAACACGCACCAGATATAGGGATTGGTGGGATTCACGGGTTAGCGCCTCTCGATGTGCCGGCCGAGTGTCGATCAGTAAGAGTCAACCGAGGGAAGAGTCCCGCGAGAACTTTTTCGATCTTCCACAGAACCAATGGTACCGACCCACTGGCAAGGTTTTCAAGCGCTCGATCGAAGATGGATGGGCTGAAACCATCCAAAAATGTGAAGGTATAATTGCTTTCGATGCTGTGCTTTGTCGCGGGCCGCGACATGACGCTGAGCGCTACGCTTCTATGACCGATGAAGATTTTCGAGCAGGGGAAGGCGGCCACCTTTTACCCCCGGCCATTGCAACCATTGCCCTTGGCCCCAAGGGCTGCGATCAATGTCACAGCTCACCGGAGGGGCCCGCTATCAGGGGACAGTCTCCAGATGAACAATTCCCTCTCCTTAACCCTCCGCCTATGCACTCTTCCACAATTGCCGCCGCGAAGCTCCCGACCCTGTCTGTCAGTGAACATCCGGTCTTGGTCGCCCGCTGTGCAGACTGTCTCACGGATCGCTGGTGCCAACGCTGCAACAAGTGGTTTTGTTCAGTTTGCCTGCCTCGGCCCGAAAGAAACACCGTGAATCTCACTGCCCATCAAACCGTGGTCAAGATGCCTCCTGAAGCTCGAGTCGGCCGCACTGCGCCCTCTGGAGATGGTAAAGTTAGTGTTCCAAACAAACAAACAAACATATATTCGATGGATGTCATGCGTATCTAACCGATCGAAATAGAATCTCAAACCGGGTGTTAGCAAGACTTGTTGGTATTGTGGGCCAACAGTAAGTTCTCACCTAACCTACTCCAAACAATGCAAGATAACTGATTGAATCGCTATAGTGTGCGAGCTGCAAGTTCGAGTGCCAACGCACCTGTGATGGTTGTGATTGTGATTATTGTACCGAACACAATTCCGGTTGCTCCTCGAGTATGGTAAGTTCGCCGTTCACTATTGGGAGAATTCTTGAGCAGATGAGCTTTAGGCTGACTTCGAGTATAGTGTGAGCACTGTAATTTCACGACCCGACGCCGCTTGAGGGGTATGTGAGCGTCTGATGCCAGACCACACACCCTTGGGAAATAACGCTTTTTTACGACCCGATATGACAACGACAATATAATATAGACTTATCATATAAGTCTGGGATGATCTCTACTACTTTATACATTACGGCTTAATAGTATCTTTAATACCCTCTATATAACTACTTATTAGCTAGCATAGCTAGATTACGAATCTCGGGAATCAATATACCTCTCTCCTCTTCAGTCACCTATACATACTACATGTCCTTGTTCAGTAAAGAATAGAGCTATCTACAAAATAGACATCGTCACATCAGACGGTTGTATCAGTTGTTTGCAATGGGGCTCGAGGAGATGGCGATAGGTCTAGAAAATACAGTAGTATGGGAGTTTGAAGCTTCATAGGGTTCTAAACCAGCTTTCTAATAATAACCGAATATGCCAAACAATATTCTCACTCTGTATATGACCATTAATGAGCGATTTCCGGAATGTTTTGGGTATACGTCGTTTTGCCATCGCCTTTCCGCAGGCGGCAAAAGACGCCCCTCCACAAAATAGTTATGGAGCAGCTTACAGATGCACAGTAGCTTCCAGAAGAATAGCCTTCTTCGTACCACTTATGGAGTACCATGCTTGAAAATCGGCTAGCACTAGGTTTAAAATGACCAAAGACCGATCTGTCTCTGCCATCGCTCTCTCAGACCCTTCTTTCATCCCACAATATGGCAAGGGTTGACGATTCTCTCAACTGGTCGTCCCGCCTGGTGGTCTCTCCTCCGTCGCGAACACCAAAGCTACCTGGCGATAAGATCATTCTCCCCCAGTCAGCCCTCGAACAGCTCCTCCAAGCTGCGCCCTTGCGCGAGGTTTCTCGTTCCCGGCCTCAAGCTTACACTCGTGGCTTTGACCCGTTCAATCCGCACACTTTTGCCGCGGAGGCGACAGCCCGTAATCAGCAATCGGACCGACAGCAGCAACTCCCCCACCCGCTTACTTTCCGCATTGTGAACCCTCGGAATGACCGTGTGGTGTACGCCGGCATCCGAGAGTTCTCTGCGGAAGAGAATGAGATCGGTCTCAGTCCCTTTCTGCGCGATGCGCTAGGGATCGAAGCTGAAAAGTACCCCGCAGAGATCGCCGACGGGGCGCAACATTTGCAGGATGAAATAATGGACTCGGATATGCCCATAGTAACAGGGACAACGACTCGATCTTCTTTAGATGTTACAGTCCATGCCAAGCAGCTCCCCAAGGGGACTTTTGTCCGGCTCCGCCCTCTCGAAGCCGGCTACGATCCAGAAGATTGGAAAGCACTGCTTGAACGGCACCTGAGAGAAAACTTTACGACCTTGACCAGGGGCGAGGTTCTAAGCATCCCTGGTAACCGTAATGAGTCCTTCAAATTTCTCGTTGACAAACTCAATCCGGACGGCGATGGTATCTGTGTTGTGGACACTGATCTGGAGGTTGATATCGAGGCGTTGACGGAGGAGCAGGCGAGGGAGACCTTGAAACGACATATTGAGAGTTCAACTCGTCGCCAGGGGCTGAAAGGACAGAGCTCCGTGGGTGGCCGCATCACACCCGGAGAGAATGTCGTGGGTCAAGTCACACCTGGAGAGTATGTTGACTATGAGCTTGAGAAGTGGACAGAGGGAACCGTCATCAGCGTCATATGTGAAGCAATCGAAGGCAATGAAGGTGACATTGATCTTTTTGTCAGTCCGTTTTCATCTCGTCAGCGAAATCGACCCAGGATTGACGAGCATGTCTTTGGGGCAATCTCGAGCAATTCGCCAAAACAGATTAGACTGGAGCCTACGAATATAGAACTGGAGGAAGCCGAAGCCTTATATATATCAGTTCATGCATTCTTGGGTCCTGAGACTACACCGTCTGCTTCCCTGCGATACAACCTGCGCGTTGTCACCAGCTCCCCTGACGTCCAACACGACGCAGAGGACGAACAAACTTCCCACGGCCCTGACGACGTTCAATGTAAGAACTGTCGACAGTGGGTACCTCAACGAGCATTAGTCCTCCATGAGAATTTCTGTTTCCGGAACAACGTCCACTGCCCGATGTGCGATAACGTATTTCAGAAACGATCCCCGGAATGGGAAAACCACTGGCACTGTCCCCATGATGACTTCTACGGCAGTGACCTTGCGAGCAAGAACAAGCATGATACCATCTTCCACAAGTCGTACCAATGCCCGAATTGCGAATTCGATGGCCAGGGTCTTCCCAGTCTTGCCAGGCACCGTACCACAACATGCCGGGGAAAGATCATCTTGTGCCAGTTCTGCCATCTCGCTGTCCCACAGAAGGGGGAGCTTGACCCCGACATGCACGATCCGGAGGTACTGCTTTCCGGGCTGACCCCGCACGAACTCGTGGACGGTGGCCGAACGACAGAATGTCACCTGTGCAGCAAGATCATCCGGCTGCGGGAGATGAAGACACACCTTCGACATCATAATCTCGAGCGCATCTCGCGGCCGCCGCCTCGTGTATGCGTGAATCAGAACTGCGCACGTACCGTCACGAGCCCCTCCAACGACTCCCTCGGTCTTTGTAGCATCTGTTTCGGCCCGCTATACGTCGACACCTATGATCCTGAACGGAAAGCGCTTCGCCGCCGCATCGAGCGACGCTATCTGTCGCAGATGATGGCCGGGTGCGGAAAACCATGGTGTCAGAACGAGTACTGCAAGACCGGGAATCAAAACAGGAAATCCACCAAACAACCTGCAGAGACGATGAGTGCCGCGGATATCCTTGCCAGGACACGTCCGTTGCTTGAGGCTATCACTTTTCAACAAGACGACGGTAACACGATGCCGAATAATACTGCCCCATTTTACCTTTGCACAGACCAGGCGAGCCAGCAGAGACGGATTCTCGCCGAGACGATCGCCTCAGAGAGCGAGGTTGCAGGCCCGAAAGCATACTCTGTTGAATGGTGCATTGCTGCCGTCGAAGCGGGCAGCGGAGATTTAGATCGAGCGAGGGATTGGCTGGCTAACTGGGCGCCTGCTAAGGGCGAGACGATGCAATCTTAACTCAATAGATACCTGACTTCCTAGATTTTGGCTCAATATATTCCATACTAACCATGCATTATTTATATACTTTTTTAGGATATGTGTAGTGTTGATGATCGTGCTAGTTATTAAATAGATATTTCTTTAAGATGATTGATCTGGTAGGTACAGTAACTAACTGCTCGCTTCGTCAAATTCATAGATAAGTCTATATAGCCCTAGCCAGAGCCCCATGTGCCAACCATTGATATTCACCATTCAAGACCCCAAGCCATAAGCCACAGCTCTTTTCTTTTCTTTTCTTTTTTTTTCAACAGGGTCAGGCACGCTTCAGGCCGCGCCGGTCTTTGCAGCCAGTGAACCGCTGCCTCTCGACGAGAAGATGCCCATGATTCCAAAGACGACATAAAACAAGGCCAGTGGGTAGGCGACTAGTCCACGCATGCCGCGCATTTGGGTGACGGCGCAGAACATGCCCGAGGAGCTGTACGTGCACCAGCCGACGGCTGCAGTCGTCACCAGATACCCGAACAGGGTATCCATGGGGATCAGGATGCCGACGAGACTGGTCAAGACAAGCGGGAGGAAGCAGTATCCGAGCACGCTGGCCGAGCGGGGGAACGTCAGGGTGGCCGAGAAATTGTCTGCTCCCGAGGCATTGGACACGGTGGGCTTGTGGTGCGGGTGGTAGTTGTTTGGGTCTGCGGCATTGGGGCCAGACCCGGGGTCAACGGTGGGCGACATCAGACTGAGGATTAAATGGAGGGCAACAGTCCCGAACACCGCCACCCCGTAGATGTATCCGTAGAACACCTTGCCAGAGAGGAGAAGGAAGGTGCCGTACAGAACGATGTAGAGTAGAGCGCCATACAGATCACTGTCGTCCATGAGATGCTGGTCGATCCGCGCAAAGGGATTCAAGACTGTTAACGTCTATCCATTGAAAAAGAAGTCAGCTGAATCCCGAAAGAAAGAAAAAATCTCACGTTAGTTGCTTCGTCTCCAGAGAACCTAACCCACCTTCGTCCGGATATGCTCAAAGTTGACACCCAACTCTTCTAAGAGCGGCGGCTCCCCATCGTATCCCTCCGTCCCAAATGCGGCCAACCAGCCTGTTCTTAGCCCACCTTGTTCTCCCATCCGTCCACTCACACCTCCGGCCATGGAACCGAACCCGCCATATCCAGCTCCAGGGTATGCCTGAGCGGGTTGGTTTGATGAGGCTCCGAAACCACCATACGAAGCTTGTGAGGGCGTTGTGTGCCCAGACACGGAAGAGTAAGACGACGGGAAGAATTGGAGGTTTTGAGCAGAAGGATGTCCCCCGTAGGGTTGTTGTTGTGGCGGGTAGTATTGGGCCATGAGGCCAGAGGTTGGATTGTGGGGGGGCCTCACGAGTGGAAGTCGAGATGGAGTGACAGAATTGTAATCAGTAATGAGGGTAGCCTTTTTCAGAGGAGAGTCTAATATGCGTTTATTAATTGTTTCAGGTGGGAGAAAAGGTTGAGAGAGAAGAATGTTCTTTCACTTGGTTATTGGAGATGGACAGCAAGGTTGACTTTCATGACAAATGTACTCTGTAAAGGGCTGCCTACTAAATAGGGTTTAGCGTGAGAGGCTGCCGCCTTTGAGCTGCCGCCTTAAAGCTATCAAACGTTTACCAAGTCACCACAAATAGGTTATATAGAGATAAAGACGCTATTGTTTATTAAAACAGATCAAACTACAGGCTTCTCTATGGAATAAAACTCATACATGTATCTACAGAAAGCTGATTCCAATTCCCAGTTGTAGACCCTTTCTGCTCTCCTCACCCTTCCGGATCACTAGTGGTAGAGAGAAGTTCAGCTCAAATCTGGCCACAGGGTGAGCGTAAACGAGACCTAAACCAGCTGCGACGCTTGGCAAGCCACTTCCTAGCTCGCGAACTGTCGAGATCATAGCGTCTTTGGCTTCTTCACTCGTGGTTGGAGTGCTCTTTTGTGCAGTGCGCAGGGGTAGCAAGCGCCCACCGTTGATAAAAGCTTGCAGTCGCAAGGGCTTATCAGCACCGACGCGCGGCAAAGGAAGGAGAAGGTTGGCACTTCCAGCAGCATAGACGTCACCTCCAAGGGCGTCAGAGCCTTCATGGGGACCAAGGCCGCACTGGCGGAAACCGCGAACATCTGTAGGTCCACCAAGAAGGAAGCGATCATTGATGCGAGAGGGCTTGGGTCTAGGGTCAGAGCCAAGGCCAAGAGGGTAGAGAATACCGGCACGGAACGCAGTAGTCAAACTGATACCGCTGTCACCCTTGATACCGGGAATTGGAATGGGCACGGCTCCCTGGGTTTCAATTTCGGACTTCCAAAACGAAACGTCTCCTCTCAAAGGTCCCCAACCAGCCACCTCATTGAAGAGCTTGGCATAATAGCCGCGAGAAGGAAGAAGGGGGTTGTCCCTCTGCTCGTTGACCCAGCTGTGGAACACACTGCTTTTCACGCTATCGCCCGCACTGGCTCGGACCGCAGGGGAGGCGTTCTCAGAGAGGCTGGTAACCTGTCGCCAAAAGCCATTGTAGCCAAGTTCGTGGCGCTGACCAGATTGAGTGAGCCATCTCAACTTCGTCCAGGCACCCTTAAGAACTTCCTCATGGCTAGCCCATGGCTTCTGCGTCGAACTTCCAATTCCGCCAAACTCCACACGGAAGTCAGGGTCACTAAAAATCGGTGATTCGAAGGCGGCCTGATAAGCCGACCTTGTCCTTGTTCCCAATGACGCATTTAGGTTCAATGTCTCTGCGCCGCCAAAGACATTCCGCCAGAGAAGGTTTCCGTATGCCGAACCCTCCGCATTGCCGAGGTCAGTTCCAGTCTTCAACAAAACACGAGACTTTTCCTTAACGGTCAAGAAGACATCGATGTTGGTTAATTTTCCCAAGCTATCAGCATCGGTTTTTTGATCCAGGAAAATGGAAATTGGCTGCTGGAAAATGTCTGGTGAGCGTCAGCAATCGATGCAGTCAAACTCCGTGCAATAAGAGTATACCAACCGAATCTGTTGAGCTTGTCCGCGCGTGCCGAAACTACCTGCAGAACTTCGGAGAGGGTGTAGGGCCTGTCCTTTGGACTCTCTAGCAGCGGATTAAATATCCGCTCCAAGAATCGTCTTGACGTGTGCGGGGTACCGACGACTTGGACTGACGAAATGGCGCATGGCAGAGTAGAGTTTTGGTCAATCTACCAAAATAGTGCGGTTAGTCGGGAGCTCTATGTACTTGTGCAATCAATGGCTTGAGCTTAGGACATGATGAAAACATACCAATTCACCAAGACGCGTCTGTGCTTTTTGATATATAGCGTTTACACGCTCATTGATAGCCTGTTGCTGCTCCTCTAGTACCTTCTGGTCGGTGCGGTTCTGCAGCCGCTCGAAGATCTAGGATGAAAATCTGTCAGTACCTCTCATTTCGCTGGTTTTCAAAAATAATATGACAGATATGCTATACATCTTCATCTTCGGAGGAAAGAGGAGTGGACATTGCGGCAGTGGCAATGGCCAATCTCGTAGTGGGCAAGCTGTCGTCGAGACGGTGATTCCTGCGCTTTTTCGGAGGCGGAAGTAGTGACCTCACACGTGACCGTTTCCATTGTAGTAACTTCAGTCCGAGATCTGACTGAAATCATCAAATGATCACTTTTCTAGCATCTAATCTCAGATACTCTATTTAATTTGTCTTTCGCCCAATCCTTCATAATTTTTTGGTCCTTTACCTTGGATTTTTCTACCTATTTCCCTCTTTGATTGTCTAATCTCCTCCACTCTCTCTTTCAGCCTACTATCATTGTTGGTCGCAACTTACCCTCATAATCATGGCGACTAAAGCTGCCTATAAAAGAGTACTTGCACTCTTTTCATCTTTATTATTTGCATGTGACTCGGGCTAATTTTTAATAGCTTACTCGCGAGTACCAAAATATTGAAAAGAACCCTCCTCCGTACATTATTGCACATCCATCGGAAACAAATATCTTGGAGTCCGTGAAGCACTTGACTTTTGTCTCGACTTTTACTTACAGGTCTTAGATGGCATTATATTCTCACTGGCCCCCCGGGGACTCCCTATGAGAATGGACAGTATTGGGGCACCTTAATATTCCCTCCGGATTACCCGTTCGCCCCTCCAGCCATTCGCATGCATACACCAAGTGGGCGATTCCAGCCGTCCACGCGACTTTGCCTCAGTATCAGCGACTTCCATCCGAAATCGTTTAACCCAGCGTGGGAGGTTTCAACAATCCTTATCGGCTTGCTTTCGTTTATGACCAGCGAGGAGATGACTACTGGAAGCGTCAGCGCATCGGAAGCAGAGCGCCGAGTCCTAGCTGCACGATCAAGATGGTGGAATTCCACTGGGGGCGGTTCTCATACAGATCTTGCACCCGGAGTCAACCCTACTGCTAAAGGCATCAATAATGTCAAGGCGGGAGACGGGGGGTTGAAGTTCCGCGTCGAGTGGCCGGGCTTAGACCAGGAAAACTGGAAGTGGATGAAAGACAACCGAATCGATACGAGCACTGGAAAAATCCTCATCGAGCCAAGCTCTGCCGCTGCCACCAAGTGTTCTCCAGAGACGAGTGCTCTGCGCAGACGACCTAATGGAAGCGCTCCAGGGCTAGGGACCGTCATGGAGGGTGGCCAGGTTGCACGCGAGGCAGGTCAAAGTTGGATACGCCGAAATAAACTCTGGATTGGTCTTGCCATAATATTCGGCTATGCGCTACTGACCAGAGCCGTCAATGATATCCGAGGGTAGGAGATCTAAGTTGCCTCATACTTAGCGTGATGTTCTACATACAGGCTCCCTGGTAGATTATCTCTGACTCTTTGAGAGTCATGCATTGCGTTTTCCCTGCAAAGGGGATAAATTTTGCCTGATATTCTGGGACAGGTTACGAAGATTCGAGTATTGCCAGCATTCCTTTGTTGTAACTAGGTCTTAGGAGCCTTGCGGGCGCATGGCGGTTGAATTCTCCGGTAGATCCTCCACATGTCGCCTTAGAAATCAAAAACCAACGTGCCAGATTTTCATCTCTATATATGTAGTACTATCAACCATCTAGGACTATCAAGCCATCGACCGTTGTCCAGTGAAATGGCTCTAAGTGGGCTTCAAGTAATTAGTACATAAGCAGTAAGGTGTCTGACTCTGTGGCGAGAACCGAACGGGACAATAGTACCCGTGACTGGGGCTAAATCGGCTCTCCAGCAACTCAATCGGGTTTCTGCTCGACCCCTAATACTAGTTGCTATCCAGACACCGTCAAATCCCTCCCCCCATATCGTATCAACCACGAAGCTTACCGGGGGAATTGTGCCGGCCTTGAGTTGCATTATTGCATGGCACTTGCATGGCTACCCACACCTCTGGGTCGCACAGGTGATCTCAGCCTTCGCGTCGCTTTTCTCCGGGCCGTGCTCGACCATCGTCACCACTATTGACCGGCTTGCCTTGGCCTTCGGGCCTGGCAGTGATGGAACCCCCCCCGCAGACATCTCGACTGAGCTCCGCGAGACCTCCAAGTCATAAGCCCCCTCCAGGTTGGTGTCTCTGTCTTTGTTTGAATCGATCTGAGATGCATTAAATCCCCATCAAAAAACTGCCCTCATCTACCTCGTACGACCAGTCACAGGGAATGGAAGCCGACTAGGGCTGACCGCCCTGTGGTTGGTCGCCCATACCAATATACACTCATTGTGTCGTCGTGGTATTCCTGATAGTTATTTGTTGCAACATGGTTCTTATCAGATACCAGCCTACCTCCACACGATCGTGAGGTTGGTTCCACCATTTTTAGGGAAGCTTTACTCTCTCAGTAGTGCCTTTTGTATGCACCACTAGGGAACGAAGGAAGCGCCCTGCATCTTGATCACTGTGTCTCTACACGTTATGTGGACTGATGGTAACCGTTGAAATCATTTCTTGACAGGGTCAACTTCAGCATTGAAAACACCGGTGGACCGACCGACTTTTACTTTTATAGATCACGATGATGACTTGACCTCTAAAAGAATCAGAGATGCAAATGCTCGAAAAGCTATCCGATCTCATGTCATGCGGGATGTCCGTCGGCGTGAACGTCTCGCCGGGCTGAAAAGAGTATCGAAGCGTGATGGCCGCCGTGCACAAGGAGAGCCGGAGCCTGAATCTCGAAAACAACAATCTACATCGATGTCAACTAGACATCGCAACTTACCCCTAAGGACCACGTCAACTTCATCGAACTCTTCGCAAGAGTCGACGTCGTCAATTCAATTGACAACGCGAAACCCCATTGAATCAATGCAGACTTATTCGAGTCCCAATCTAGCATACTACTCGTTTCCTTCGTCATGGGCTTCAGATCCTTTTTGCACTCTTCCCGGGACCAATGAAGTCCCTTCTATGGTTTCTTACTTGATCTTCTATTGTAAGCTTCTATCTACTCCATTCCATTGGAATCATTACAAACAGGGCTAACTAGTCTAACAAGGCCGATCCGTCTTCATTCCATTAACATTTCCAAAAGAACATAAAATCACGCAGAACGCGGAGATGGACCTGATGGTAAACACTTCACTTTCTGATCCCGGCAGCTTCTTTGGTTTGATGACAATGTGCGCTGCTCATCGAGCAATTTTGGCCGGGCGACACTCGGACCTGATGAATTCGTCTGAAGAAGGCTATCGTGTTCTTCATGACCAAGACTACTACATAATGAAGGTCAAATGCATTCGTGAAATGAATGCAAAAGTTCAGAATCCAGATCAAGCGCTCAGCAATGAAGCCTTTGGCACCATCATCAATCTTCTAACGAGTGCGGTAAGGGTCTCCACTTGACGGATTCACTCCATCTTTCCTGATTTCACAATGCGACTATCATGTCTAAAGACCTATGTCTGATCATTAGCAGTTGATTGTAGGGCTGTTTGATGAGGCCCGGATCCATCTCATGGGTCTCAAACGCATGGTCGAGTTACGAGGAGGCATCGACAATGAGCGCAACCTGTCTATGATACATTCAATACTGGCGTGGGTTTTTCAAACTTAAATTTTCTTTTGACATTGCTCATCAGAAGTCTAGGACTGATATAAAAGCTGCCACCGGACTCATGACCAAGCCAATATTCCCTTCGACCTTGGCCCCGCAACCGATATCATCGGATATTAAAGAACGAATCAAACCCCCAGTATCCTCAATACTAAATATGATCGGCAGCGGCTTCTTTTCGAATCCTCTTCTGAGCTCATCACTTGTGAAAATTCTTCACTGGGTGCGAGACCTCATTTACTACAGTCAAGCTTATCGAGATCGGCCTTCAACATTGTATTCCAGCGATCACGATGTTCTCCGCGTGTTGAATTATGAAACTGAACATCAACTTCTCAGTTACCCATACCTGGGCTCCAAGAAAACAAGTACACTGATATCGTGTCGTGAGCTTGGACTCCATCCGGTGGAAGCAGTGGCAAGAATTGCATCTATTGCATTCCTGAACCAATTCCTCATTGTCTCTCCACCTTCCTCAGGACTCGGCCGTGCCATCACGAAACATCTAAAGCAGGCAATATCGGGTTGTCCCTTGTCCATTCTTTTGGGTTTATCTGTTGAAAACTATGACCTTATGGCGTGGGCGTTATTTGTTGCTTCGCAAGGCTCAGCTGGACAACCTGAACGCTCCTTGTTTGTCGAGCGACTTGCTAGTATCGCAAAGGTCCGTGGATGGCAATCCTGGGAGCAGGTTTCGGAGGTGCTGACACGATACTTCTATGTGTCGAATGCCGACGAAGTTATTTGGAAGCCTATCTGGAGCGAGGCAAAGGCAGGAGTTATTATCTCCACTATCTTTGAGGTGTAATGATATCAAACCTTAGGTTCTGATGACCTTCATTTTTGAATTTCTCCCGAAAATTCATGACAAAGGTGTTAATAAACATGATGAGAAAGAACTATGTATATAACAAGTAGTATAACCTATGCAGAATCATTTATAATTTAATAGTTAATAGTAGACACACTGACAGGACATAGCTAATAACTATGTCGAGCTAATAGTAATAATACTTTCAAGGCTTATTAGATTGATACTTCAGATGTGGGGTACGTAGCTAGATCTCTGCTCCCAAAGAAGCCCTGATCATCCTCTCCTTAAAGCACTCAAGGAGATAAATAGTTCCTCCGTAACTACATAGTACAGCCATAGCCATACCTAGTAGTAGATTATATGGTGCTAAGCCTGTTATAGCAAATAACCTCTATTGCCGCCTAGTCCGAGAACATGTGGGCATCTAAGCAATTAAACCCGCTGTATATCCAAGCAATAAGGTCTAGTAGTACTCATCTATAACCCATTTATAATAATTACCAGGAGGATAGGATATGCGACATCTCTGGTTGGTCTGCGGCCCCGGGGAAGCTAAGCTATTTATGGTAAGCGGTCTTTCGTGGACCCGAGCCAACCCGCAGGTGGCTTAGCGTGTCTTCCGCAACTTTTTGCTGCACGATTCTCTATCTACTTTAAATGTTTTGCTAGGCCGTGAAGAGCATTCTCCTCTGCTTTCTTCTTTTACTATATTGAATCCCATATAGATCAAGTTCAACCATTTCCGATATGGGCTGGTTTTGGGCCGATACCTCATTAAAGCAGGCCTCTGCATTGCCTGCGCATCCTTTGCCAGCGACAGATGCATCTCCTCCGGTAAGCAACGCAACCCAGGAACGTGTTGTCGACTGGCGGTTATTCTAACCAGCATCATATAGCCTGGATGTCCGATGCACCGGTCGGAATCTGTCATGCCACCGCAGTCCTCTGTTTCCGAAATACCCACTTCTTGTCCAGTCCGATCAACGGATTCTCCATTCTTCGTTTCTCAGAGAAGCTCTGCGGACCAAGAGCCCGTGAAACCCGCACAGACTACGCCTTCCGACAAGCCGTCAACCCTTTCTAAATTAAATCCTCTCAACTACATGTTCTCCTCGATCTCACAAGAGCGCGCCCCCGGTCAGACCGTCGATCTACCAGTGGATCGCGAGATTTCCACCATCCCGAGAGGCGACTCGAGTAACTGGGAATACCCGTCACCCCAGCAGATGTACAATGCCATGCTACGGAAAGGGTATACCGACACCCCACAGGATGCGGTCGAGTCGATGGTCGCAGTGCACAACTTTTTGAATGAAGGCGCCTGGGAAGAAATCGTGAGCTGGGAGCGTCTGTTTTCAAACGGCCTGGCGCAAGGGTGGAAGAAGTGTCGACGTGGCGAAGAAAACATCGCTATGGATATCGCTAGAGAGGAGCTGAATGGAGAGATCAAGGATGAGGAGCGGCCATATCTCATTCGTTTCAAGGGTCGGCCGCAGGAGTTGACTCCCAAGGCCTCCATACTCCAAGCACTTGGGTGGCTGTATCCCGCTAAATTTGAGTAAGTCGATTGTTTGAATCCCTTTGGATACGTGTACCCCACGCATCACTGCTAACAATGCATAGAACAGCTCCGCCCTTTGATCGACATGACTGGTTCGTGATGCGCCAAACGCCCTCTGGTCCCAAGGAAGTTCGATACGTGATCGACTATTACTCCGCGCCCCCCGAATCCACCGGGGAGACCGTCTTCTACCTCGACATTCGTCCTGCAGTTGACTCTCCGACTGCCGCTGTTGAGCGATTGATGAGATGGGGCGGCGATGTCTGGTACCGGGCCAGCGGCGGCTCAACCAGGAACACCAACTGAACGGCTCGGAGCGCCTCGACTGCAATCGCATCAACAATGTGTCTACTTTCTCCGCTCATAACGAACTTGATGTATAGATAATGGACTGGCATCTTTGTATTTTTACCTTTTTTGTTTTTTTACCTATTTTTGTCTTGGATTTTCTGGGAAGTGCTTAACTCCCAGCGATGCCTTAGCCATACTTACTTGTGTATACTGATCCTGTCTGCTGCTGCTCCCTTTGAGAGGGAAACAACCTTTCACTTAATATAACCCTTATTGATTATATTTAATTCTACAGTGGCTTTTTTAAATGACAAAATATATTGTTTATATCTGCCACAACTTCTTATTTAAATAGCACCATATGGCAGTTTTCTTTGTTTCTGCTGCCGCTCTATTCTTTCGATGAATGTTCAACCCATCCAGGTAAATCCCTACCATTGAAGTCATTACTTCAATTGCCTCCTAAGTAAATAGCTACCCGGATAAGTAAGGTGTAGCTAGCGTAGCAAACCACCAGGTACTGCTGTATTGCCAGCAACACCATCTTGGGCGTAATAACAAAGCGAGGAATTGAACTGAATTCTCTGGCTGCAACTGATCCCTGCCAGGGCCTGACAAGATCCCATGGACTCTTCCCCGGGAGTGCTAAACGCTTCGATAGGACAGTTGAGTTGAATGGCTTTTCTCGTTAGCAATATTATCATCAACAAATCCAACTGCAGTTAGGAACGCGAAGCCTAATTCGAGGCGAAAATGTAGGGTTGATGCCCCAGGCTGTTGTTGGTTGAGAGTAACTATGTACAAGTATTGTTATTATATAAATAGTAGCTATGTCAGCCTAGCTGCTCATGTATAAACCAGAACAATGGCTTCGAGTATTGGACGGGATGGCTTTGGCAGCGGTTAGATATTGGGGGATAAAAGGTCATATTTGACACAACGCTCCACGCTCTCGATACTCGCTTGGAGGAAGGTACGCGCCTCAAGCCCAACCCAAACGCGAAGCATGGACGTGTCTCCAGAGCGAACGGACTGTAAGAGCGTAGCGCTTGAACCCAGTTGACGGAGAATAGGGAGGGCACTAAATGTAAACATATCAGCTGTGTCCACTACTAACAGTTGGGATAGGGGCAATTAAAACAAATCATACCTTTTGAACAAATCCAGATCTGGATCCAGATTCCGGCCTATGCCTTCGAGCAGAAGAATAGAAATGACGACGTTGACAAAATCTCCCTCCAGGCGGACGTGGTGGCTTCTAACCATTGACAGCACCTCGCTCAGGACGTCACCGATCTTAATATTGCCGAGCGCAAAGGTGCGCGACTTGACGCCCAGCACTAGGTGCTGCATTCTCAATGCGAATACTTCACTGTCGACAACTTGATCAGGTTGGCGACAACGCTCAACCATGAGATGACCGGCTTTATATCCGTCAAACTCGGCAACAGCGCGGAACAGGTCGAGGAAATTCTTTCGGTTGACCTCATTGAGCTGGGTCACCAAGCCGGTGTCAATGAAGATGAGTTGCGGTCTGTAGCCTTCTTCATTGAGTTGGGCAAGAGCTGCGGTCCACTTCTTGGGGTCCTTGCTATGCGGTCTCAAACGCGCGAGAACAGCTTCGGTCACATCGAGTTCCGCTCGAGTCGGTGCCTCTGACGCACGCGTGTCCTTTCGCAATGACAGATCAAGCTCGCTGGGCTTGTAAAAGCGAACCATGATATTCCCGGGATGTAGGTCTGCATGGACGAAATTATCGATCAGCAGCATATGTAGAAAGGCGTCCAGCCCTTCGTTGGCGATCTCCTCTTGATACACTCCGCCTCCAACGTCTAGGAAGGTGGACAAAGGGATCCCCTGCGCAAATTCCTCCACCAGAACCTCACGAGTTGTGTAGTCCATATAAGGGTACGGAAACCAGGCGGTAGTCCGTGATTTGAACTTCTCGCGAAAAACCACAAGATTCGCTGCTTCTATCCGAAGATCCAATTGCAGTTTCATCATTTCTCCAAATTGATGTACTTCGTCGGGTAGCGACAGCCAGTGCATTGTAGGAAGAGCATTGATCAACGAGGCAAAGAATCCCATGATCCGCAAGTCTCTCCGAATGACACGATCGACTCTCGGATGAAGCACCTTGACAGCAACATAGGACGACGGAACTCGGTGAGGGGAACTCTTCACCAACACGTCAACGTTCTTTCGTACTTTTCCAGTCAGGCTCTCTGGCTGGTGCAAGATGTCTTGATCATATGACGAAGTCAGACTCGGCTTAAGCTTTGCCTTGTAGACCTGCGCGATTGCGCCGACGCCCAACGGTTCCTCGTCGAACTCTTCAAATATCTCTTCAAACGGCAAGTCGTTAAAGGCCTTGCGTATGGTCTCTTTTGTTGCATGCAGTGGATGTGCAGGCGCATTCGAGTGTAGAGATGACATAATGGCGCATAATTCAGGAGCAAATATATCGGTGCGTGAAGCTGCCCATTGCCCTAGCTATGATGGATGTTAATCAACGTCCCTCTCTGTCTGGACTTGTTTTGTGTATAGAAAATACCAACACACCTTAATAAAAGCAGGGCCGGCACGTTCCATTGCCCGTACAAGGAAGCCATACCACCAAATTGTTCCTGACCGTGTTCCATTCCCCGAGTTTATGCGTCTCCCCATCCATACCAGAGGCACTGCCAGGATGACCGGCATGAAGATGATGACCAGGCGAACAAACCGGAGACCTGTTGCAATCGGGTCGTATATATAGCAGTACCAGAACACGAAAAGCGACTTGCCAGGCGCGTCTTCCGTGAGAGTTTTCTGTACCTCTCTTTGGGACACCTTCAACATCTGCATCTCCCCCGTCTCTTCACCACCGTCTCCATTCTCGGCCAACTTCAGAAACGCGCCAGGACTTAGAGCAGCGATTATTAGCGTCCTCGTTGTAAGCGTCCTCTTCTGGCCGCCATTGCAGGGCCATTGCAGTCTAGACGGCAGGCGCGTGAGGCGGGATCGATATGACGGAATGTACCGGGAAAAAAGCCGCGAAGTGCTTCCGCGATTGAAACTGAAACGACCGAAGAGGACGGCCGTCCTCATGGTCTCATTTATGCAGTAGACGTGTGGTTGAGATATTCAGAAAGGTGATTTGAGTAACAATGGCCGGGTCCGATTAAGGTTACCAACATTGGTGGTGTCCATGAGTCCGCTTCAGGCCTGCACGTGAAGAGAGACGTCATCGCTGAACTAGCGGTTTCTTTTCCGCTTTCTCGGCTATCTGCATTTACTACATACATTTTCGCAATTACAAACTACGTTAAATCGGTTTCTAGAATTTATTCATGAAGATCAATATTTGACACCTAATACTTGGCCTGATAGTCGCCGAAAGGACCTGGGATATGGCATCGCCCACGCGCAGATACTGGTTTGGTCATCTAGAGCCGGGTCAAAGAGTTTCTGGATGATGAAAACTCCACCAAAAGGGTTTGGTTTAATCTATTGAATTGCGTTTAAGATAGTCCGACATGCTTTTATTCGTCAATTCTTCGAGTTTTGACTTCCATGAATCAGGAACTGAGTCGGCCTGCAGGAAGTATTAGCATAATAAGTCCATTTAGTGGACAGTTCAATTCTGGGGATAGTTCAATTCTGGGGATAGCTCACATTCAAGTTTGATAATTCTTTCACGAGGATGATGACGTTGTCCCGATCCTTTTTGACTTGATCCTCGTTGTTCTCTTCTTGTGACGTAGAGGCTTCAGCACTAAGAGTGTCCTTGATGAGTTGGAGCACCTCGCTGTTTTGTAGACAGTCAAGAACTGCTAGCGATCCAGAATTGCTCGATGCCATCAATGCTAAGGCAAAAAGTCCTTCGCTTCGGACAACTGGCCATTGTGTTTGGGTGATCATTGAGCCTATAGGGCGTGCAATCTCATTGTGCAAACTGAAGAACCGGTGAAAGAGGCCCTTGATCTCGATGTTCTCTTCGATCACTGCAGGCGTGGCGATGGTTCGGCATATCGAAGCGACAGTTCGCCCAATTTCGGTCTTGATTGGCGTGGAGTCCGTTTTTTCGAAGAGAGCAAGTAGCAAAGAGAGATATGTCTTGCTATCATTCGACGAATCAGAATCAGTTGAGGGAGGAGATGAAGGTGAGTCGAGAAGCCTCGAGATATTCTCAACGGACGAGATTATGACTTGTCTGGTAAGACTGACGGCCGAGAATTGCACCTGAGGTAATGTCTCATATGCCCATAAACGGGAGATAGCAGGTATCACCCCCGCATCACCAAGATACGACCTGTTATCTCCTGCGATGGCCAGATTTTTTAGGAAGCCTAGGGTAGAGTGCAGAACAACGCCTCTGGCATTGCTGTTCAGCACCGCTATCAATTCCTTATGTATGTTCATATCTTGAACCATCATTCGGCATGCCTCGTCGGACCTTGCCATATTTCCAAGCATGATGCTGGAACAAACCTGGAGTTGGTCTTCGCCTGCCGTTAGCCAAGATCTCAGCTTTTGAGAAAGAGGCGAGCCCAGCGGGTAAAATCTTGAGAACAGAGTTGATGAAGATAGTTCCGCCAGTGCTTGGTTCATCTTGAGTCGCACCTGTGCCAGCGCTTGGACTTCCTCGCTGGAGGACTCGTCTATGTCGATGATATAGGAATGACTAAGGACCGACGACAAGCTCTCTACCTTGCCATTAGATATGCAAACATCCTGAAATCTCTTGTTCTCCAAGTAGTTTACAAGGGAGTTAACAAGAGAAGTGAACTGAGCGAGATCCGTTTCCTTGCGTAGAGCGAGGTTTATGAGGAGCAGGATTGTCCCGTTAGGCGAGCACTCGATGCCTTGCTCTGGTTTGATACCAATATCGTCAGCTCCACGAAATAAAAGCTAAAACTGAAGAGAAATACCTTGCTCTGCTGCAAATTCGATGAGCTCATAAGCAAAAGTGAGTAGTGCAGCCCCCTTGACTGCTCCATCGTTTATGAGTTTCGACAGTATATACGCAATTTGATTTGCAGCCACTTGCGACTGGGCAGGCTCTGAGATCATCAGCGCAATTCAGATAGTGTGGCAATAGAGGAAATTTCTTTTTTTTACCATAATCCATGCATATGTTGTATATGACGGGTATCGCGACACGAATTAGTTCAGAATTCAAGAGATGCCGGACAATGGCAACAGTATATTCACTTTTCACTACAATTTCACGGTTTGAATCTGGGCTGCTCTTAGTATCCTGTAGTATCGACAATTAAAGAAAACAATATACTTACCAGTGTCGGCGCAAGAATTTCCGACTAGCCGTAATGAGTGAAGCAAGACCTCATTTTCGACATGCTCTTTAGATGCAATAAGCTGCAGGAAAAACTGCAATAGCCCAGATTGACCGTATAGGATACGATAAGATGCTAGCAAAAGTCATCAGTAAGCATCTGTGAGAAGGTGGAACAAAAGTATAGACTGATAGATAGACTCACGGTCTCGACTGGTGTTTGCCAAGGCTTCCGCTGCTTCTACCAGGTACCGCGATTTGCATCCCCGTAATGTCTCCAGAAGAGCTTTTATCTGCTCCAGACTTTCCAGAGCTCGAGAGTCCTGCTTGGGGATAGCATCGGTTCCTTCAAGAGATGCCTGTAGCTCACTTAGATTTAGGTTTCCCCCGGACTCAACCTTCTCCAAATGGCCTAGCAAGGAGCTCAGTGTGTCTTTTTGCTCCTCCAGGGAGAGGCTTCGAGCATTTTCAGTTTGGAAATATGGAGGGAATGTCTTCAATCCCGAAAGGACTTGCACCACCGAGGGTAGCTCGATGGTACCGGCCTCTGCCAGCGTTCCCGTAGGGGAAACAGAAACCGTATTGTCTTCCATAATCTTTCTAATCAAGAAATATGAAGTATGAAGGTCCCGATGAGCGTGTGACTTGACGATCAAACGATCCTCGTCTTCATTATCCTCTGGTGAAAGGCGTTTTCATATTGCTATCTTCAGTTGAGGGGGTAGAAAGGTCAAGTATGGCAGGTCTCAACAGTAAGTACCTTTGGGTAAAGTCCGCAGAAAGTTACCCCACAATAAGGTACACGGCCCCTCAAAACAGCAACGATCTCACGAACTTTTCAACGATACCGGATTAATACCCCGTAGATATGATTTTCAGTGTGAGTACAGACTATCCGATAATATCGTTTTTAGTATGTCAATTTGGAAAAAGCAATAGTCGAGATTAGAATCTTCATGATAAGAGGTATGTGTGGTCGGTATCTTCCGCACAAACTGTGGCCTTTTCACCAGATAATATACCGCTGCTTCCCTAACACTGATACTTCAATGCTATTTGTTTTATTGCAATCCAAGGAGTACGTATAGTCCTTGTCATTGCCCAGGACTCATCGTCTTTTATATTGTCATCCCCAAGTTGCTGCTTTTCCGCACACCAGATGCCGTAGGCGAAACCCATGGCGAGCAGATTAGTCCCGACCAAGTCAACTATTAGTTATAAGATGTGGCCTCTTTTAGATGATCCCAGGTATAACTTGATGAGAAGGTCTTCGGTCTTTGAATCAAATGGATTCAGGTGCCAATAAGGCTGTTTCTGTCCAGCTGCAAATATTCGAGGGAAATGTTTATACCAGCGTATACTGCTGCCAGCAGGGAATTTCAGCAATACAAACATTCTTCAAAAGAAGGTTCTTATTCCTCTGAAATGGCGCATATAAATTGATATTGAGGAGTATAGAGTTCAAGGCACCTGGTAGGTAACTTCATGGGCAGATAGTTGCGGTCCAATCAGCGATAAGCACGGCAGGCATTGCGGACAGGAGGCGCAACCGAAGCAAAGCTGGCCTTACCGTGTACATCGTCTACTCCAGACTATTCAGAACCAGCTATTGTCCCTCGTTTTCATCACCGGCTTTCTGCTCTGGCCGATTTGTGTTTGCGAATTCCACCAATTCTGATAATACCTGCTCTTTCCGAGTCCGGAAAATACTGCATAAGAATCCATTCATTATGACGCGCGCTCAGCAGACGCTCTCAGTCCTTCTCCTTGTATCTTCTGTACGTCGGCGATTCATCTTTTACCTCAATTGTTTCCGGAACCCATGTGCTAATATATTTATATAGCTTTATCTCTCTTTATACTTGGGCCTTGTTCCCTTGAATGAAACTGTCCAAACAGAAATCATCCCTGTCGTGAGTAAAACCGTCTTGACTTGCAATATCCCACCCAGGAAGAAACGACCTGACCACCCTATTTATCTTTGCCACCGATTAGCTCCCTTTTTACGCATTGATTGCCTTCGCATGCTATCTACTCGGTCGACTGGGGTTAGCGATCCTGACGTTCAACGATGTTCCCGAGGCACACGCGGAGCTACAGAAGGAAATCGCACAAGCTAAGACAGAGCTGCGCAAGGCCAAGGTCGACGTTGACTGAATGAGCAAGTGATCTGGTCTCGGTTTTTGTAAGAGGTGTTCGATAAATTGTCCTGGCCTGGGCTTTGGAGATTAACAGACACAGCACGCGAAGTGCGTCTTGTTCCTTTTTGATATCATATAAAAATGGTTGATTCAACGTGTAAGATTACGGTGGTGTCGAGAATTTGGCGTTTCCTGAAATCCTCCTGATGCCTTTTGTATCTGAAGACCACAACTCGCTCTCGCATGCTTCTGCCACTCCAAATCAAAGCAGCAAAGCAATTATAACCCAGAAACTTCATACAATACAATTTCTGAAAAAGACGAGGATATGTATAAACAGTTTTTAACTTTTCTTGTCTCTATTGAATTTTTACCAGGGATATCTGTTCGTAACGTGACATGTCTAAGCTGACGCATGGACCAGATAGTAAATAACTATGTAGGCGGTATGTATTGGAAGCCCGGGGCCAGATCGTGCGTGCGTCCTGGAAAGGGAACGGAATGAAATATATAGGATTTGAATCGCTCAGATGAGGGGGTTCTCCTTGGCCAGAGCGTCGTGCTCATCGATGTCCCTGTGCAAAGACAATCAGTAATCATTATCATACCGAGAGATCAGAATGGCGAAATTTACTTAGCTTCCCACGGGTAGCAGATCCAGACATCATCGGTCGTGACCGCGGCGTGGTAGTGACCCGACTCCATCATATCCGCAGGGAGGACGCCCTTCTTCGACTTGTCCTTGTTCTGTTGGTGCAGGTTGGTTAATAAAGCCCGGCGGAGCAGAAAGGGCGGGGTGGGGACAAAAAGTAAACTCTTCTACATGGATGGGGAAACATACGTGTAAGACGAAGATGGAGAATGTCGTCTTCTCGCCCTCACGACCCAGCTGCTTCTGGGCCAGCTCCACATCCTTCTGGAGCTCCCGGACAGCATATTCCAGCGTCGTGCGCGTGTCATCCACCTCGTCGACGATGAGAATGTTCTTGCCAATCAGGTTGGCCATCTCTAGAGAACTGAGATCCAGCCATTGCGTGCGGGTCACCTTGGTTCCGGGGACCTCCTCCGGGTCACCGCGGCCCAGGTCCTCGTAAAGGGACAGACCAATCGCCTGGATGGGGATGTTTGGGTCACCAGAGCGCTTAAGGAAAGAGCTATTCATCGGGATCTTGTGGTCAGCCTGTGTTGCAGAAAGCCTGTCACTTGTTCTTCAACAGTCTGGAAACGAACCGTAGGATACGAGCGGGAACATAACCACCGCCACCGATGGCGATCATAAGGTTAGGATGGAACTCATTGAGGATCTTGTCGGCTGACGCTTGACACAACTTGTGGACCTAAATGGAGGGGGGCGGCAAAGACGGATCAGTATACGACTCAAAAGAGTAGGTGACACGAAATGATGGAAATTCCGCGTGCAAAAGACGGTCTGCTGGAAGACGAAGCAGCCTGCATGATTGCAGAATGGGCCATCCCCGCACCCAAGATCCCGGCGCATACCTGGTTGTATGTCACGTAGACCTTTTGCGACATGTTGGCGGTGGGTAGGTAGTTATCTGATAGCGAACTGATAAGTTGGATACAAGGCAATTCGGTCCTCCCACAGAACGCAAGAGGAACTGGATATCTGATTCAGGTATCTATGAGAAATGGAAGCAAAAAAAGATAAGAAATTTTGTGAGCCACAATAATCCGTCAAAAAAATTTTTCTTGGGAATGGTACGGACTCCTGCGCACATCCACGGGGTGATCTCATTGACTGGGCAAAGATATCCATGACTGATAAAAAACCCCACAGTGGGAATTTCTATATGAGAGTCGGAGAGCTCCGAATGCCTCAGTAAGTCCTTAGCCCCGCCATTGTTCTGCGTTATACTCTATAGAATGTCTCTAAAAAAAGCTCATAGCTTGAAGTTGATATTTTCTTTTTGAAAAATTACACATCTATATAATATGACTACATATTATTATAAGTCTTTGATGGTATATTTGGTTGAGGCTTTTGCCTGGAAGGTAGGTATATATATGCCTTATAGTTATTTATGAACCTACACCATAGATCCCTGTTGATGCAGAATAGATGCAGAATAGATGTAAACTTTGAGGGAAATAAGTACCAAAGTTGATTCACTAGACGAGAATACTACCGAAAAGGTATCATTATAATCATGTCAGTCATCATCTTAGTAAGTAAACATCTGCTTCAGACCTCACTCTCCTCGCCCGACGAGTCCGGCTTGATCATATTGATCTCGAATCCACCTTCATCCTTATCTTCTCCTTTCTGGGGCCACAGTATATGGTGCAAGACGATCGCTCGAATCATCATATAGAACACAAAGAAGTACATCAGTATGAGGGGGATTACCATTGCGCAGCCGACAATCAAAATCGGCTTGCAGGAGAAGGCATTTCCAATGGCAAAGGTCGATGTAATCAGTGCAGTATTCGGGAACACGAACGAATACCAGCCCATGGAGAATACCATGCGGCCATGCCCGATAGCAGACCAATGGGCAAAACTGGCGATGAAAAAGAAGAAGATCGCGAGCCTGTAAAGCAGATCAGCGGGCTACGTCTCACACATATGGTCTTGCGGTTCATACCCCCACAGCCACAAAGCACCAAAATCCACTACAACCCTCAAAACTTTGGCGGCTAGGGGCCCATCCCCCATGAAATCAGATGGAAAGGCACGGTGCGCGTTGGCAGCCATGTTGACTATCCCAGTGGTGGTAAACGCACTGGGGCCAACAGAGACGAACATACCGGGCCGGACATTCTCCTTGGGCAGCTTCTGGGTCATCAGGCGATAGATAAAAGCCGAGTATACCATGAGGGAAACCAAAAAGCCAACACCCTGGATTGTTGTTCCTCCTATAATGATTCGCAGAGCATGGGGTTGTGACAGCTTGGAACTCAGGACCCCCGCATGAGGCCCGATGATCAGCATAGGATAAGCCGGGAAGATCCAAATAGGCGTCATCTGGGCGATGGTGAAAGTTTGCGTCGACCACCTGGCTGAAGATTAATTGGGACGGTCCAAACTCCAAAATAGTACTGAAAAAACGAATACCCACAGCAAAAGGTATATTGCAGCAGACAAAACCACAGCAAGAGCAGCGTCGATCCAGAACAAAACTATTATTACACGTTCCAGCCAAGGCCCAGTCTTTTCAGGACCATATTGGGAAATATTGATCAAGATCGTGCCAAACGACACGATCGAAGCAGGCACAAAGAGAGACTCTGTCGGATGTAGGAATGATGCCTTGAATGTATAAGGGTAGCAATAGAATCGCGTCAACAGCAAAGACCAAATAATAATATACAGGGCGATGTTGAACAGGAAGACAACCTCGCCGATAATCTCGAGACCGCGAAACCTGTAAGGAACTAGGTACATCCAGACTGGTCAGTACCGCTTGAGCGTTGGTAGATAGGACTAGGACTCGTTACATGTATATAAAACATTGGCGATCCCACCCGTCGCCATGGTTAGTGTGAAAAATGCCCAAGTGAAATGACGGATCCGTTCTTTCCAGGTATAATGCGTATGGGATAGCTCCTTCTTTGACAAGTAGTGGAAATCTTCCTGACAATGGTTCAGGCCGTCCAGTCCTTTCTCATTGCTATTCCCAGCTCCTCCACTCATCCTAATTGCGGGATTCTCTAGCGACTGGAGGTTGGATGAATGGATTTCCCTGGCACTGTCAAAACGAGAGAGCAAGGTTCCATGGCTCCTTTGCAGACTAGCCGCACGTTCTGCATCTTCGATGGTCGGAGTGAGATAGCCATCTTCTCCTGGAGCCCTGAGATGCCTGGGACGAGCAAACGTCATCGTAGGGATCGATTAAGATGGACGTAGTAGTACGCAATCAAACCGTACCTGGCAGTCTCTCCGTCCGCTCCTCAAGACAGCCGCAGCTATTATACTCATCGAAGCAGCCTGTCGAGTAGCTAGATCATGTTTGCAAAGGTTTCGTAGAGGTGGGCAGGCAGACTGAATGACAATCAATCAACCCTGGTCACTTTCCATGGCTTTGCGACTGGGTTCGGTCGCAGGTTTTTTGGGTTGTTTGGGCATGATGGCATTAGATAGGCCGATAGGGCCTAATAGCCCATGCGGGGAGTGGGAAAGTGGGTTTGTTGGTGCCGAGTTCCGCTTATTATGTAGGACTGTCGACTCTGGATGTCCTGTAGATGGGGACCAAACACGATGATTTGCCTCTGAGCCATGTGTGATATGCAAGACCAGACGTATGGATCGACAGTCTGTTTCAGCTGTAGAGTCATGGGTTATGGAGGCTTCGTAGATAGGATGCGTAATAAATGTATATATGAGATCATACGGAAGAGCTCTGTATATTTTACTTATATTCTTCTAGTAATGATATTAAGATTTCCATTAAGTCTTTAACCCTAATATTAGCAGTCTATAATCTAATACTTATTTCTATTCTATGTCTAATTGAAAGGCTTTAAGTAGTAGTTATCACAAAATTTAGGGGATATCATAGAGTAGACCACTCAGTTGCTAAAAATTATTAAGAGAGTAGTAGTTACTGGTCAATGCTCTAGAGTAATTTCTCTTTAGTGCTGCAGCTTATACCTAAATATACTATACTTAGGTAGTTACTATACTATTAACTACCCTATTATTGATAGTTAAAACACCTTATCTAAATCATTTATATAAAAAATGCAAATCACAAGCCAGACTTTGAGGAAGGAGTATGTATCAGATCGTTATTATTGCCTCGGGAATGCGATCCGGCGCTTTTCCTAACTGGTCGAGCAACTCCAGTCCAAGCCCCTGGTAACTATCATTGAGCAGCTTCAATTCTTCCTCACAGTGGTGCTGAAAAACAGCTTGATAAATTTCTTTTCTCAAAAATCTACCATCCAATCCGGAAAAAAATAATGGATATTGTAACTGACAGCCGCAAATCGGTGCTGATCACGGGGTAAGACTGCTCAGTGCTTACTCTGTAGTAAGCACTTGATAGCCAATCTGGAAATCTAATACAGAAGCCACTATCTTCCCTCATCTACTTGCAATAAATACTGGGTACTGAGTACTGATATTATTGTCACTGCCAACCAGATGTTCTCCTGGTGGTATAGGAAACTCTCTTGCGCGGGAGTTTCACAGACACGGCTTGCGTGTCTTTGCCACAGCACGCGATGCAAAAGCACTCGATGACCTTGCAGAGCTCGGGATAGAGACATTGGATCTTGTCGTCGATGACGAAGGAAGTGTCAAAGCATGCTTTCTTGAGGTGGAAAAGAGGCTTGGGACGAGGGGACTAGACTATTTATACAACAATGCGTGAGTAGATATTAAAGGCTTAATGTCGTCATCAGAACCGCTCATCCAGCATTGAAACTGACTTCTCTGTACAGAGGCAGAAGTATACTATCCAGGGCTATTTAGGCGTTCCGTTTTCGGGTCTTACTGACACGACATCTAGACTGCACGGTGCCTGCTACGGAGGTACAGCTCTCCGAGGCTCGACAAACCTTCGAGACAAACTTCTTTGCCGTGATCAATATCTGCCAGACATTCCTGCCACTTCTTATTAAGGCAAAGGGTACTATTGTGCAAACTGGCTCTGTTGCTGGGGTTAGTCTCGCCTTACCTATTCAGCTCTTCCGAGATACTTAAGCCCTGTAGATTGTTCCATATGTTTTTGGGTCTGTCTACAACGCTTCCAAGGCAGCCCTTCACTCATTCAGCGACACCCTCCGCGTCGAGTTGGCTCCATTTGGGTAGGCAAAACTGCTCACTCGCATCCTCAGTTCAGCTAATCAATGGACTATTAGCGTCAATGTTACGACCGTGGTTACTGGCGGTGTGCAGTCTCGCATTGCGCGGACAAAACGGACTCTGGCGCCAAACTCCCTCTATGAGCCCATCAAGGATTTCTACGCTCGGCGCGTGGTCCACAGCCAGGAAAATGCTATGCCGCATGCCACTTACGCACGCAGCGTCGTTAACCAGGTGCTTTACGGATCTGCTCCTTGGCGTTGGCTTTGGCCATGGGCTGTTGGCCGTAAACACTGGATCTGGGAGGGCAATCGGAGCTGGCAAATTTGGCTCGTGAGTGGCGGTTGGGCCTGGTGTGACGTTTTTGGTCGAGTCCTCACTCGGATGTTCGGTTTGTACAAACTGAAGCGTGTTGGTTCTAGGTAAAGGGGTTTGGTTAGATATCCAGCGGGGAATCTTCTTTATTTCCTGTTTCTGATCTTGATACGTTTCCTGTCGCGTTTGAGGTACTTGCTTCGCCCACGAAAGCCAAGTGGTTTGTAACGTAGCTTGTTCATGCTAGTTGGTAGTGAGAAACGTCCTTGCGTACTATCTTGACCCGCTTTTTCAAGATGACATGGATTGATCCTTGTAGATCCGGGATCTTTTTGTTTCCGGCATCTCACAAACTGCTCATAGTCAATGTACATGGTATTTTTTATACCGATTGCAGAGCGCAGAACTCGAAAGATTTCGCAAAGTAGCCGTTCCACGTGCCGTAGGGTTCCGTTTTGTTGTGGATTAGTCATAGATTTACGAACGTTGATTGGAGTAACACGGGACTCTCGGTCCCAGCACAGGCAAGCAAATAAGACTTCCGATCCATATCGTCCCGAGAAGTGCAGCCGTGAAGAGAAAGCTGTCCCTGAATCCGCAATAACATCACTGTCGCTTTTTGGGAAGCGTAACTTATCCTCTCGTCCTATATCACGACGAGTCCTTTTCCCTAAAAGTTTTCCTCTCCCCTCTACTCGATTTTCACACCATGTTCAAGCTTGCTCGCAGCAAACCGGTCGCTGCAGCTTTCAGAGCTGCGCGGGTGAGGATTTTCTTTCCTACCTACATATTATGCTTCAAAGCCTTCAAATTTCCATAATAGAGCTAACATTTGTGCTTGATATTTTTGCAGGAGCCCTCTTTCATTCAGAGTCGATTGGCCGTGCCGCAAAAGCGAAATCTCTCCATCCACGAATACCTTTCCGCCAACCTTCTCAAGTCGGTAAGTCCTGCGGCATTCTCTCGACACCTCAAACTCAAGCGTCCCCCTCGTTTCCAAAGCTGATAAAAATCAAAGTATGGCGTCGGTGTTCCCAAGGGCGCAGTTGCTCGCTCCGCAGAGGAGGCCGAGGTTGTTGCCAAGGAGATTGGTATATATCCCTCAATTTCTTTCGCATACGCTGATTGCTGCTAAAAAAATTGAATCACAGGCAACGATGACTTGGTGATCAAGGCACAGGTCCTTGCCGGTGGTCGTGGTAAGGGTACTTTCGACAATGGTCTCAAGGGAGGTGTCCGTGTCGTCTACTCGTGAGTCCTATGCACAAGTTTTCAGTCCGGCGAGAGAAAAATACGTGTACTGACTGGAATCGTGTTGTAGTCCTACCGAAGCCAAGATGTTCGCCGGCCAGATGATCGGACAACACCTCGTCACCAAGCAGACTGGTGCCGGTGGCCGTCTTTGCAACGCCGTCTACATTTGCGAGCGCAAGTTCGCCCGCCGCGAATTCTACCTTGCTATCCTCATGGATCGTGCTACCCAGAGCCCCGTTATTGTTTCTTCGTCGCAGGGTGGTATGGACATCGAGACTGTCGCCAAGGAGACCCCCGATGCCATCATCACCACTCCTATCAACATCCACGTCGGTGTCACTGACGAGATTGCTCGTACCATTGCTACCGACCTAGGCTTCTCTGAGCAGTGCATCGAGGAGGCCAAGACCACCATTCAGAACCTTTACAAGGTTTTCATGGAGAAGGATGCTACCCAGATCGAGATCAATCCCCTGTCCGAGACCTCGGACCACCAGGTTCTCGCCATGGACGCTAAGCTCGGTTTCGATGACAACGCCGAGTTCAGACAGAAGGAGGTCTTCTCCTGGAGAGACACCACCCAGGAGGATGCGGACGAGGTCAAGGCTGCTGAGTATGGCATTCCTGAAGCCCTCTTTTCCAACAGACTGATTTTCTAATGCGGATTAGGTTCGGCCTGAACTTCATCAAGCTTGACGGTGACATTGGATGCCTGGGTAATTACTCAATACCCCTACATCCCTGTCTGATACATATCATGCTAACTTTCATCAAGTCAACGGTGCCGGCCTTGCCATGGCCACCATGGATATCATCAAGCTGAACGGTGGTAGCCCCGCGAACTTCCTCGACGTTGGCGGTGGTGCCACTCCCGCCGCCATCAAGTCGGCCTTTGAGCTGATCACCAGCGACCCCAAGGTCACTGCCATCTTTGTCAACATTTTCGGCGGTATTGTCCGCTGTGATGCCATCGCCCAGGGTCTGATCAACGTTGTCCGTGAGATGAACCTGCGCACTCCCATTGTTGCTCGTCTCCAGGGTACCAACATGGAGAAGGCTCACGAGCTGGTACGTCTATGACATAACCTAATATTTACGGTCTGCGTGATGACTAACCCTCTTTCAGATTAACGATTCGGGTCTCAAGATCTTCTCCATCGAGGACCTCCAGAGCGCCGCCGAGAAGTCCGTGCAGTTCTCCAAGGTCGTCAAGATGGCCCGTGAGATTGACGTTGGCGTTGAGTTCACCCTTGGTATCTAGGCGGTATAAGTGGGAAACCACTTTCTTCTTGCTCGTTGAATCCTTTCGCTGTCGGGGTGTTTCTATGCCCTATTTTGGGTAGATACAAGCATGGGACTCTTGATCGTCGAGAGGGGACACAGTAGAAGACTAGTGGGTGCGATTTAGGAAAGTTGATCAGCTGAAATGGCGTTTGCTGAGCGCTATAATGGCACTATAGAAATTGCTGATGGTTGGATACATGCACTACTGTTATACTATTATTTTTTTCTTTTGTCACTGTATTCTCATTCTGTGATTCTCTACATTATCTCTTAATTGAACCATTGAATGAAATCCCTATAGCATACTGCAAGCAGTGTCTTAATGATCTGTTTAGTAAATAAGTTGTTTAAGACTGTCTAGTAGAAATATGGTTAGGCAGTTGAATATCTGGGTTGAAACACCAGATATGCCACCCATGTTCACTTAAGGCGACAATAAAATCTTCATCGCCGTACAGAACAGGTTTATGAAAAGGTCCCTGGCCTGGAAGGTTGGACTCACTCAGGACCACTCTTGTATCCTTCGAGAGAATGTTTTCATTGTCGAGCTGATAGGTTCGAAGGAGACGATGATCACCAGCCCACGGAAAATCGTCCTCGAAATAGACCATGACGATATCGGAGGCAAGAGGGACGATATCAGTATCATCGTAATCATCCTCGGCCGCAAACTGGACCATACGGCTGGCAATATCACCGCCTACTGTATAATGGGAGATGATCAACACAGGGACGGCCTCGCTGTCTGTTTTGTCGAAGAATATTAATGGGGATTGTCCGCTACGGTTCGAAAACCTCGATGACCAATCCGGTGAGAAGTCATCTAGATCGTAATCCACAGAGATGCACAGCGAATGCGAAGCTAGGAAAATATAGCTCCTAGAGGCCGCATCAAATATCCAATGTTTGAAGAGGAACGTTATCTTTTGATGCTCTGTGGTTTCGTCCTTGATTTCGATAGTGCTGAAACTATCACCGGTGGGTGTAATACGGATAGACGAAATATCACACGGCGTTTCAATCCTCGTTACTCGAGTGATGCAGGAAATTCGATCCCAGATGATGAGATCACTGTTTATTTCGATTGCCAGCGCAGACTCGTTGGTAATGAATGAGTTGTATGCTGAAGATGGCAGCCGGATATCGGCAATCTCAGCCTTCGTCTCAAGATCCCACACGTGGCAGTGTCTTGCAAATCAGGTTAGCAATAAAGGCATGTTTATATTAGGGAAATACATACCCCATGCTAGTAATAGCAGCAAAAATCTTATTTGTGACTCTCACAGCTTTGATATCTTGTCTGTTCTCTAGGTGAATCACATCGACCACACCTTCAAGCCAGTTCCAGAGACAGATTGATCTGTCAAATGCCCCAACACATATTCCAGATGAATAATCAGTGATCTCGTATTTAGTATCTTGGTCTACCACTTCGAGCTGGTCAAAGATCATTGTATGTGGATATGTAGCCACGCTGAAAGGCCGTCCTCTTTGTAGTGCAATCCGCCGCCGTGCACATCGGTGGAAGAACATCTCTTGCTCTTCTAGAGTCGTGATTCCTTTAGGGATAGTGATCTGATGCCCCATAAGCACAGATTTCCTGATATCCCAGGAAGATAATATAGATTTCCACTGCTTTGAAACCTGTAACAGCTGGTTAGCAACATGCTACAATCTTCCATTACAGTCAACTAGACGCATCCCCTACTCTTTGCAATATAACAACATCCACTATACTTAAATGGCGAGTAACCAGTGCAACTAGTTCAACGGGCAACAGGCTGATAATGTCGGTCTGCAAGGTGATTTTGGATGAAATATCCTTGATTTCGCGCCATTCCTTAGAGGAGAGTTGCCGCAGCACTCCTTCGTAACTGGTACCCTAGTCAGTATGACATGGTGATACGAAAATCGTTCTTGCATACGCAGCACGTCGCGCTTCTTTCGTCTTCAGCTGCGCGAAGGACCTGACAATATTCGCAGCCATAATGTTGGCGTCAATCTCCTCGAGCTCCATGACGGCTATCCCGTCGAGAAGGTGGACGAGGAGGGAAAGCACTGTTAGTTGCAGAAAATTGCAGTGAAACGAAAGAACATAACTTCTTTTCTTTTTGCAACAAATCCAGAATATTGGACAGATACTGTTTGCTATATGGAGAATAGAACCTAAGTGGCAGGTGCAAACAAGAGCAGGCAGGTGACTGACTCCGACGCCTACTGGAGTCATCCACCACGCCAAGATGTACTCTTTACATACAAACGACCAGTCCAACCGAACAGGTACATCTATGCCGGTATTTCTGAGGGGACAGGTCGATGATTACCTTCCAAATTATGACTGGTACGATCAGTCTTCCGCATCCTCCGTTTCCAGAAGACTTGGTGCCGACGATCGCTGCAGGAGTGTGTTTGCCGCCCACGGGGGCCCATTCCAGAAGCCTGCATGAAATTTGAGGCAGGGAGAGGCTTGTCAGGGAACGTGGTCCAGACGTTTTGAAGGGAAAATATGGGAGGTGTCTGTCCCGGCGACGACAAGAAAAAGTCCAGGTATTACGCTCCTTATTACTGGGATCTTCCGATACGCCCCATATATTGGCCGGTAGGTAATTTACTTCTAGCCTACCATCGGCGTCGACAGCGATTGGAAATTCGTATTTTTCCCGGAAAAGTCTGGAAAGAGTTTCATCTCCACCGAGAACAATCGGCTTGTGCAGTTTGTCGCCCCCGGTAGGTAGTGACTAAGGCTCCTAGCTAAGCACCAAATGTTGGGTGTTCCAGAATCCAACACTTTATCTGGCCCCTCCGCCCATCTATCTCGATTTTCTCGATTTCGTCCCGGTTTTTCTCCCAGATTAGCAGCAATCCGTCTCTTCCAAGCAGATTGTCAATTGGTCGCACCACCGGCGATTCTCCGCTTTCTGCGTCGCGGTCGTGCAGGCCAGAACCCCCTCCCCGTTCCAGCTCCCAGATCGACCGACTGCCGCATTTTTCGGTCCCCCTCCCAGAAACCCTGTTTCACATTTCAGCTACCGCCCTCGCGTTCTGGGATCGTCAGGTCTTTCGCGCGACACAAAAAGAAGCTCTCTGGTTACTCCCCGCCGCCGCCGTCTCGGGGCTTCGTGGCCGCTGTGCAAAGTCCGGCCCCATGGTCATAGCTCGCAAAGCTATCTGCAGATCCGATTTTTATAACGCGCCGTCGCCGCGCGGTTGTCACCGGTCTCAGTCTTCCACTTGCCCTCTCCCTCCATCAAGTTCGACTGCCCTCTGATCGTGTCCGCCTCCATCTACATCCCAGAATAAAAACCTTCGAAGGCTCCAATAATCTGCGTGGTCCTTGTTCACCTACAATAATCATCTGCTGGTGGAAATTTTGCCAGTTCCTGTCGGAGGTGGTCGCTCCGCAATGTGTACAGAGGCGGAAACTGCTGGGTGTTGATCTACGGCTCTGCTTTCGTGATATCCACCCTCCCCACGTGTTGGATCTCTCATTGGTGATACCAAATCATTCTTTTGTCTCGTCGTCTCTCATATATCCCGTCGCACGCCACTATTGCTTCTTTTTCGATCCTTTCTCGCAGCCAAGCCTTCACCAGCGTGAGATCCACAGGTATTCGGAGCAAGTTGCTTTCGCGCGATGAGCAGCCTCGCTGGTCCCCCTCCCAGAAATATCATCACCGGTGGTCCAGGTGTGCCCGGAAAGACGCAGAACTTGCCAGTCATCTCCTCGTCCAGCCAGACTTCTCGCGATCCAATGGCTGTCACTCCGCCTGCGTCGGCGGCGACAGGCGGCGCGCCGCCGCCTGTCCACAGTAGCCCCGACAGTGATCGAGCCGGTGCCCATAATGCCAACGGTACTGTCGAAGCTGGTAATCTCAGCAGCAATACCAGTATCGCGAGTTCCAACAATGTGTCAAATCCAGCCGTTGGCGCGGCTGCTGCTGCTCAACAGCCCAAGGTCGTCCAGACGGCCTTCATTCATAAGCTCTATAAGTATGTCAATGCCAGGGTGAATTCCCAGACTTTCCCCATGTGTACTAATCTCTACGGTAGTATGCTGGAAGACCCGTCTATACAACATTTAATATCGTGGTCTAGAACAAACGATAGTTTTGTCATGTCTCCCACCTCTGAATTCTCCAAAGTTCTTGCGTAAGTGGTCTGTCTATATGTGTTTATGAAATCTTCCCCTTTTACTAATCGCTTTTCGTCCGCTATAGTCAATATTTCAAACACACCAATATCTCCTCTTTCGTTCGACAGCTGAATATGTACGGCTTTCACAAAGGTATGGACTAGGAAGGGCAAATTCTCCAATGAATTCACCTAGATGTTAATTTCAAAAAAAAAAAAAAAATAGTGAGCGATGTGTTCCATACCGGCGCGCCTGACTCGGCTTTGTGGGAATTTAAACATGGCAACGGCAACTTTAAGCGCGGTGATTTGATCGGTCTTAGGGAAATCAAGCGTCGAGCATCTCGACATGCGCTAATTCATCGGGATTCGTTTCCAAGCCACAAACCAACAGTCTCGCAGCCCGGTACACCCGCGGAGTCGGCTCCTGATGCGATGGATGCACGCATGATGAATCTGGAGAATTCCCTGTTCGATATGCACAACCGCTTGGCTCGCGCAGAAGAGAGCAATGCTGCGCTCAGCTCCAAATACCAACTGATGGCTGACAGTCTTGTCAGATGCTACCAGGTGAGCTTGGCGATTGTCCATTAGCTCGATCATCATCTCTAACCAAACCAGTGGACTCACTCCATCTCTCATTTCCTCCAAGCCATGGTTCCAGAACGCGAAAGTCCGCTCTTCAGGGATGGTAGGAAATCCTGCTCTCCCCTCTTTTCGATTGATTATGCATAGCTCACAGGCTCTAGTCTCCAACATGCAGAAAGAAATTGAGCAACACCTTGATGCGGTACGATCTCTAGACAACTCGCACGAGCCTGTCCCCCCAGCCAGGCAGCCCTTTTTCACCAATGTGACTGTCGATACTGGGCCACCGCTTTCACCTCGTCAAATCCCTCAGAGCGACAGCCGCAGGCCGTCGATATCGGTTGTCGACACTTCCAGGTCCAGTATGATCCGTCCCCCTGTTCCACCACACCTCGCCGTCTCTCCTCGTCGCTACGGCTCAATTGGTGCGGCAAACTCGTCTCCCAACTACAACCGGCCTCCAGTTCCTCCACCTGTTCCCCCGCAACAGCCAATTCCTCATCCACTTTCTACGGTCTCTTCTCCTCCCGGAGGCCCGAACCTCGCTCGTCGTCATACTTCGGCCGATATTCGCCAACATGGATGGTCGCCGTCTGGGTTGTCGCCTTTTGCCTCGGCCAATGTACCGGCATCGAATTCAGCCGCCCCGTGGCCACCTTCACCACACCGAACGCCAACTTCAAGCGAACAGCAGGTCCGCGAAGTTCTCGCTCAATATGAGATGGGAGTCCCGCGACGGTTCCATGACAACTCCCGACACGGTACACCCCCATTAGCAACCGACACTCCGCCATCTACATTGAGTGTCGAAGGTGGCTGGGCTGTTGGCGGCCCGAGGTTCCCTCGGTACGAGTCGTCCTTACCAGCAACTCGGCGCTCCAGCATGGCAAGCAATGTTCATTCATTGCTGAATCCAGCCGATACTGCAGAGAGACCAAACGAGGATTCGCCAATGGGTGAAGACCGGAAACGAAGGAGACTAGACTAACATCCCCTCCTTACGCCTCTGCACTTGACCTGGCCTGCCATTGCAGCAGAAAATGCTTTTCTTTCAGAAATGCATCCATTTCGCCACCTTTTCCTTCTTCGCCACTTTTGGTCTATACCAGTCCGTCTCGATCAGACAACCCTCTCATTGTTTCGATGTCTCTATTGCAGCCTTTTTGGAGGGCAAAGGAATATTTTCCGAGTATTATGCCCCAGGTTTCCATTGTGGAGGATATATCCACATCTATCTTTTCAATATTGTACACTCTGGGTGGGAAAACTCTTCCTTTGGAAAACTCCATTCGATTGACATTTTTTGGATATCCTTTTATTAACTTTTTTATGTCGGTATGCTGGGAAGCAGAACCGTATCGGTTCTCTTTGTGCCCCTCTCCTGTCTTATGCAACTGCTTTCTTCTCTTTCTTTTATTTCTTTTTTCTGTAGATGTTCCTTTCTTGTCAACACTGGTTGAATCTATCATCATAATTACCACCATCACCAACCTTGTCAGTTGTCTTTCGAGAGGCTGCGGGGATGTGCTGTTATGGCAGCTCGTGTTGGTATTTCCTTTCTATCTATTTATCATCTGGGCGGCTGCAGCAGCTCAATTCCAACCAGCTCATTCGCTGCATGTTATATACCCTTGGGTCGGATGGAGCAATACCCTTTTTAGTTCGTTGAATGGTTATAGATGTGCAAAGTCTTGGCCATAATTGTCAGTCTCAGAAGAGCTTCGAATCAACTCCCGAGTCAGATTTCACTCCTTATGTGACACTTTATATTTAAGTGAGGAATCATAATTTTTAACCTTGAACTTTTGTTCGGGTATCGTATTCTCCCAACGGGTCTCGGGACCAGATTGAACCGTGTACGCAGCCAATGCTCACAGCAAGGGTCATATTCAAATATCATTTCCCGGTCATTCTCCTCCCCGGTGTCAACGACCGGCAGAAAACAGGGTAGGACACCAGCAGGGGCGCCTATTGGTTCTCTGCTTTTGTATGGCGCGATTTTTTTGCGATTACATATAACAATCCACTATTTTCATTTCTTCTTTCTCTTTTTTGACCTGTCGGCAAGGATTTCATCTAGGAAGCTAGTGGCTTTCTTTTTCCTTCTCGACGGAACTGCCGCTGTCTCAGGTTTGGTAGACGTTGAAGACGGTTCATCCTGCACGTTGTCTCCTTCCGTTCCTTGCTTGAGTCCAGCCTGTGAGTTCTCACTTGTTGTATCAGTGATTTTTCTCTTCTTCCCGCCCAGCATGGTTGTCCGCCCGTTATCGTCGTCATCGTCATCATTGTCACCGGGTCGTGAAACGGGGGCTCCGCTCGTTTTCTGCACATGATTTGCTGCTGCTGCTGCTGCCGTGGCCTTCTTCACTTTCTCATAGTTCCGTCCAAGGAGTTGCTTTCTCAGCTTCTCGTTGGAACTGAGTTCAGTGCGATTCCAGCTTCCGTCTGCGGAGCGGTTCGGGAGAGGTGCTCCTACTCCAAGACTGAGAAATGTAAGATACGGATTTCGAAGCCTTCTCGCTCCAGAACGTTGAAAGGACTTACGTCTCGGGAACAGCGGTGAAGATCTCATCTTCCTCTCTCTGAAGTTCTTCTTCAGACTTAACATTTGCAAGCTCTTCGTTTGTCTTCTGAGGAAGCCAGGAGGCGACGAGTCGCTGGCTACGAGCTAAAGCAACGTTTGCTCGGTTCAGGATAACATCTGTTTCACTTTTTGAAATTGACATTGCATTCATTGCTCTGCAGTATCGATTGGCCAGGCAGGATACTCGCCTTGAGTCTCGTTCATCCCAAAGAAAAAAATAGTACGGCAGATTTTACCCGCTTTTTCTACCGCCTCTTGTCATGATCGTTGATCATCAGTTACATTATGAGGATATTACACCATTGATTAACATGATTTCTAATTATTATTTTGTAAATGATAAAGATTGCTCTTTTTGTAGCTTCATAAAATTACCTATGTTTATATCAATCATTGGGTTTCAGCAAATTTAATTGGTTACAAGTAAGATATATATATGTCTAGTGTATATAATTCATTATAAGTCATTTATATACATAGTCTAACATGGCCTATAAATAAAATCTATATAAATATGAGAGTCACAAGGTCTAGTCTCATAAAATGCAAAATGCCAGGATATCCGCGCATATTAAACAACGGTCTGTTCTTCTTGATGCCTCTGTCGCAACTTCTTCTCCGTCTTCATAAATTCCCTGATCCCGACTGGAATTTCGGAAAATAATTCATCAGGTCGACTCGTGGGTGCCCAGTTGGTCTCGCTACCACCGCCATCGTCATCCATACTCGTCACAGCGCTTTGGACTTCAGGCCTGGGGGTTTGCCGCATATCTGCGATCGGATCCTTCGGAGTACCTTTCGCCATCGCCTTGGCCTGCTCCAGCCTGGCTGCCCATTGTTCTACATCGTCTCTGTAATCATCCCAAACGCAATGGACGCAGCCGCTCATGCAGCAATTTTCGGGTTCTTCTGGCCGTGGCGGGATCGCAACTCCATTGATTGTCTTCCATGTCGACACCGGTTGCATTGTATCTGGATGATAGCGAGTCGATTGATACCCTGGACTTGCAAGGCGACTACCAAACACAATTGACATCTTGTCTTGGGGTGATTGTGGTTCGACTTTTACGGCGGGGGACGCTTCGTCTTGCGTGACGTTTATAGCCGGTGGATTCCCGGTCAGCGAGAAAGACGTAGGCTGGCCCCGAGATGATAGGCGGGAGGACAAAACCTCAAGATAGTATCCTGATAACGGTTGCCCTACTGGCGAGACCACAGGAATATGTTGGGTGGTGTTGTTCGGGTGATTGGAAATGGGGCTGGAGACATATTGTCGCACATATAGAGAGCGGGAGGGCCTCCATAATCTTCGTCTTGATTTAAGACTGTGCTTGAAATAACAATATTTATAGCCATTAGTAATTTTCTGTCTTAAACTGAGCGCGAAGCACTCCATCGTGTGCCGAATTAATGAGTCTTGAAATGCAGACGGAAGTGGGAAAGAGAAGTCGGCGAGGATTAGTTATGTCATGGTGCAAACATGGCAAACACAATATATCTACCTACTCTCCGACACTCCGCTTCTCATTTGCACGTGTCGAGAGACAACAGTGGCATGGTATGCTACACAACGCACAGATTGTGCCGCTATTATTATGGCTACTTGATCGCTTTCTCTGTCTTTACCCTTTCATTGAAGCAAATTGACACTAATAGGATATCTGGTCGAACCGTGATTCATAAGAATGTCTACCTCTCCCGCCAAGCGGCGCAAAACAAGCGAGACGACCGCGGTGCCTGTTGACGCGTCTCAATCCAACCGGCATGCTGTTGAGAGTAATAGGCGAGCGCGACCTTCGAGTCGCCAGTCTTTCCAATCTCCGACGCGCGCAAGCCTCGCAAAATCGCATCCCGAAGTGTTAGCGCGTGCCACCAGTCGGATCCCAACTAGAATCCCACAACCATCAAAGAACAACTATGGTACCACTGGCAGTCAAGATGGAGAGAAAGAGCAAGTAGATGCAAGGGTATTTGGATTGCGCGACCGAAAGGCTTTAAGGCCTTCGTTGTCCTCGACAGCAAGCCCGACGAAAGGACCTGCTGCAATTACATTATCTCCACGACGACGCTCTGGTGGGATCCAAGCGTTTACTGCCCCTCCACGCAGAGTTTCAAGAAGGATTGGACCTACAGACATTATATTTGGAACTCCGCCAACGTCACAGCTTGCCCCAGAACCGACAGAAAGCAATACCCCCGAAAACCAGCTATTTCAAGGATTGGCCAGCGTGACGAACGAATCAGAGCAAGGCTTAGACACAGGTATTTCATCTTTGCCCGAAGGGTTTGGAGAACCTGATTTACCCCCAACACCGACTCAATTGGGTCTCGAAGAGCCTCCAGGACGTCCCCAGGGTCTTTTGAGCAGTAGTCCAAGTAAGCGTCCCGAGAGACGCGTTAGAGGACTCACGGCAGAAGATCGAGGCCTCGGCTTTTTGAAGCCTAAGAGCACCATTGCTGGAGACAATCAAAGGCTAAAAGCTGAAGACGAGAGGACTTTTGTTTCCGAGACTATCTTAGAAAAACAGAAATTGCGAAAGCAGCTGTCGGATGACCTCCAGCGACTCAAGGATGACATTACAGAACTTGAAAAATGGACCAGAAGGTCGCAAGAGAGCGTGCGAGATGGAAAGCCTGGTGAGGCAGATCTTTATTCACTAATGTGAGTTTCATATCTGGCCATCGTGTTGAACCACGTATTGATATTTCAAATAGGTCGCTCCTGGCCTCCGATGACCCAACATACCAACAACATGCCGAATCTCAACCAGACAATACCTCGTTCTCATCCTTGATCTTCTCGCTACTCCCATTCTCACCAATAGAGCCTCCTAAGCCAAGTCACGAAACATCACCCTTTCCATCGAATCCTTTTGCTTTGCAGAAAGCCTCGCAGACAAGGCCGTACCTCACGGCATTTGCGCCCTTGAATTTAAAGGCACACTCCAACAAAGCATCCATGTCGGAATCCGATGTATTGATAGAAACACACACTCTAACGCTGTCACCACCACCTCCATTCCCTTCCAACCTATTCAACGTGTCTGTTGTGTACAGAACGCAACCAGAAACCTTGTCACTTGTCAATAAGTCATTGTCTATACTTCTGTCTGATGAGGCGTCCCGCATCCCAGAAGACTTGCAATCGTGGGTCAACACTCGATTAGCAAATCCACTGCTACAATTGGACGTATCCGGCCTCTGCTGGGGAATCAACCGGTATTGGGAGGCCTCAATATCTCGTGCACGAATGTGGGCAGAAATAGAAAGGAAACACTCCAAATTTGTGGAAGGTCGAACAAACCCGAACGGTACTCGCCGTGGAAGTGCAGAAAGTGATGAGACCGCACTCACGCCTCACAATCTGCGACTCCTACTGCCGCATATCGAACGCTCTAGTGTTCTTTTCTCTTCGAGTGACAAGTCGCGAAAAATGCTTCTTACTTGTTCGCTAATATTGGACGAATGGACTGGTGAGCCACAGCTGGCCTCGGAGATCTCGGTCCACGGACCGGCTTCTACTGGGAAGAGGAAGATTGAGCAAGAAGCAAAGAAACTATTCCGTGCATTGCTGAGCGAAGGGGAAAGAGTCAATAACGAGATGGATACGATCGTCCGAGCTACAGGAGCGGTTCTTAATCTTTTATTCAGTGTTGGATCTAAGGAACTCTCAAGCTAGGGCGTTCAATTTTGTATACCTGTCCTATAGTCACATATTTCTGTTTTATTGATACCAATGAATAATTAAGTGTTTCGCCATATCAAAGTCGCACTGTTGGAGTCTTGACTTAGGATGAAGGTCCCATTGTAGCTATCAATCGATTTCACGATTTATGGCGAGAGTGCGGTGCAGCTACAAAAATCCCAGAGACATCAGAACCATGTTGTACGCGGTACATACATTAAACAGTCCATGAAGGCTGCAGGGGAAGCCAAGCTCCGAATATACCTTGTGTGACAACTCAAATAGAATATTAATGACACTTTTATACCCTTATTCCCAAACCCATTCTGTCTCTCATCTAGATATGCCAAAGATCCATGCTGATCTGTTTTATGAGAAGCGTTTTGGCCGACTCGAGTGCGCGAATCTACGATCCATTCTCGCCGTCTTTCATCCAGGAGCAGGGCCCATGACAAAAAGGTAGGCGGAGCACGTCTAGAACATAATTTAGGAATTTGCATTTCGTTCGAGAAGGCTCGGAGGGTTCGTATTTTTAAGGAACAATAGGGTTTGGTTTAGTAAGGAAACGAGATAAGGAGGCGCCACGCCATGCCCACACACACGGTTACACACTTTATCCTCGACGAAATCAACCCGATGGTCACCGGTGCACAAGGAGGGAGAGAGAAAAAGGGAAAGGGAGAGAAAGAGACTGGGGGATTCTGCATGTTTATTTCTTGGCGGCAGCCTCCTCATCAGCCTTGACCTTGGCTCTCTTTTCCCGGGCACCCTGGTAGCGAGCCTCGCTGCGAGCATCGCGCAGGCGTCTGTAGGCAGCCTCCTCACCCTTCGGCAGGGCATCGCGCTTGACCTCGGTGATGGCCTCGGCGGCGGAGATGTTCTTGATGGGCAGGAGAGCGTTGGCGCTGGTGGCGTAGCCAGCGGTCTTGCCCTCGGCGAAGGCGGCCTGGGCGGCCTTGACCTCCTCAGCGGAAGAGTCGAGCTTCTTGAACTGACCGCTCTTGCGGGGGAAGAGGATCAGGCGGGCCTTGTAGTCCTTGAGACGAGCAACGTTGGCGACGAGCGACTCCTTGGAGTAGTTGACACGGCGGTGGTCAACGGAGATACCGATGGTGGGGGCGAGCTTCTTGGGGATGCCGGCTTCCTATATAGAAAAATTGCAATAAGCCTCTCTTCATATCGAAAAATGCAACTGGCTCCCAGCGCAAAAGAAAAAATTCCTCAAGATCACGCGCCCGAAAATCGGCAGTCGATCGTGGGTGCAGGCATATTTACCTTGAGCTCAGCAAGGGTGAAGCCACGTCCAGCCCGGACACGGCGGTTGTACTTGATGGTAGGGCATCGCACAACAGGGCGGAGCTTGTCGGTCGGGCGGGGAGCAACAGCGGCGGCCTTGGCGAGACGGGCCTCACGACGGCGGTGCTTGCGACCGGGCTATATTGCGACAGACAATCTGTTAGTTTTTTTTTTATCCCTCTTTCATTCTCATGTCGTTGACAATCGTATTCAGACAAAGCGAATTCGTAATGACACCGAGTGAAGTCGTAGAAACGCCGATGATTTATGGGACTCATACCTGGTCGAAGTGCACGCGGACACGACGCTGCCAGTCCTTGTGGAAGTCTATCCCAGATCCATTAGCACACCTCATTCCCTTGCACGACAAAAATTTTCGACCATTCATATAAAACAGATCGAAACACTCCTCCAGACGGGCGTTTACTCACGGTTGTTGGGGATCTGGTTGTTGTGCTTGATCGCCTATATATCACCAACACACAATCCGTCAGCATCAAATTCAACCTTTCGTCGCGTAGCCCTTCAGGGTACAAAAAAATTTGTCTCGAGCGATAATCTCACGAGTCGATCATATTTTCGACTCGACGATTATATCTCAGGATCGAAAAACGCACCATTGTGTCGGATGGGGATCAAGAACCGGGTATTGTCGTCGTCGGGTGGTTGCTGGTCGTATCTCAAGACTCCCGACGAAGGTCGTTTCGATATTGGGGGTGGAACTTTTTTTGGTGTGGTCCAAGCCCGCGTTAGCGAGCCCTACCCGCTATTCCACATCCGGAAACTCTCGTTACCGCTTTCATACCGTCGACGGTATCTTTGTATCCGCTCTGTACGGCGTATGTAACTTTGCCTTTTACTGTTGCGGTTTACCTGACTGGTAGTTCATCAATGTCCCAAACTACCTAGGTATGTGAGATCTACGACTTCACTTGATCTAGATATTCTATATGGAAGAGTAAGAGCCTGGTAGATTGTTCAAAAGATCAGGTAGATCTGATTTTATAGGCTGAGAAATCCCTATATAAGCAAGTTTTCTTAAAAATATAATGATAAGAGTTCTATTGTCAGCTTTGAATTTGCATTTAGTTATAGCTAAGAGTATCCTAAGGTACTTGTTATCTGCCTAGGTTGTATGCTACTTACCCCCAAAGCCCAAACATAGCCTAGATCATTTGTCAAGTTACAGTCAATTGAAAAAAAAACAACCCTTCTTCAAAAAGCATCCCTATCAAAAAGCTATCTGAAACGCCAGATTCCCTATCATATCATACTGATTCATGTCTCATTACTGACCCTGAAAGGCGCAGGCAAACAAGAAGAGCTAGCAAACATTTGCAGCGCGGAAGCTTTCAGTTTTCTCAAGTCAAGTGTGCTCTACACCCCATGTCTTGATTCCCAGACCGACCTCTTCAGCAGGTCTTGACTTTTTTGAGGCGATATTGTCGCCATCAAAGCTTGCTTTACGCTTCGTAAAGCGGGGAGAAGGTTCGGTGCCTGGCTTTCGTACTTGGCCAAAAAGCTTCGTCTGGAGAAGAGTGCTGGATTTGGGAACTCTGGTTGCCGCGTGGTGGTCAAGATTGTCATCGGTAGGATTTTGACGACGCGTGTCTGCCGCAACAGAACTAACCAGAGACCCAGGTACATCCTCGTCGGTTACCGCCTCTCCATCCGATGCCGATATCGTGCTGTCTCGATCATAGCCACCGTGGTCCGCCTGGTTGGTGTCTGATGAGAAGCCTAGGGGACGATCATTCCGTGAATGGTGCGCAGGGGTCATATACTGTTCCTCGTTGCGAGCAGTGCCGATGCGGGGAGGAGTCGGTGTCATTGGTAGCGAGGAGATTGAGTGGCTCCCGCGAACGTGGCCACCAGGTTGAGGCCTTGACATTCTCTGTCCGTACGGAGAGGCATTGACGCTAGCAGCGCCGCGGTTAAGGACCTTGTCTGCCGCAAGAAGAGCAGCAAACGGATCATGGCGGTTGTTGTGATTAAGGTGAGGGCTGGCATTGTGATCCGAGAAGCGAGAGTTAAACCTCCGTTGAGGTGTCTGGTATTCGGTCTGAGAGTTGGGAGATAAGGATCCCTGATCAAGCATGAGAGAGAGATGCTCTCGGTTGTCTCGGATACGCTTTTTGAGCAATAAATTTTCCTCGGCCAGGTGTTCGCTTTTTTCTTTCTCCTCTTCTATCATCTTCTTTGCACGGCGCAGCCTGCGATCCAGCGTCGCATTGACCATCTCCAATTCTTGATTATGCTTCAGAGCCGATTCAAGCTCGACAACATTAGAAGCAGGCTGTGCAGACTTGATCTCAGTGACTAAATGACGATTGCGATACTCTGAACTCTGCAGGATCTCAACCTCCCTCCTAGCCAACTGTTGTTCCACCTCAGCGCGTTTTACTGCCTCGTTGCTCGCAAATGAAAGCAGACTGTGTTGTAACTTGAAGTGAAGTGCTGACATGCGGGCTTCTTGCGCAACGCCGAGCAATTCCTTCGCGATGATGCGAAGTCGCATTTCATCTGCCGTCTCAATCTCTTCAGCAGACGGAAGGTTCTCTGACGCCCCATATGCAGCGCAAAGAGTCTTTTCGAGATCGGGTGGCGATGCGAGGTATGAATTTGAGCGCGACCGCGAGCGTGAGCGTCGCAGGGGCGCCGGTGGGACTTGAGACGAAGGCGGAGGTGTCATGTCAGAGGAAGACAGTGGCGGAGGCGACGGGAATTTACTCTTATCAGATTGTGAAGCATGGCTAGCGGCGATGATACTAAGAACGGGCGACGCTGAAAGTGATGCACGTTTGATTGGGGTAGAAGGACCCGCTATCTCAGCAGGAGGAGCAAGGGAGGCCCGCGAGAGGCGGCGTTCGGAATCTTGTGACATTGTGTAAAATTGTAGCGGCGAGAGGGGGACAATTAACAGCCCACAACTCAGAAGAGAAGGCTCGCACTGTCGCCTGATCAGCTTCTATTACAACAGTCAAGGAGGAAGAGAGAGCAATGCATACCGACCTCGTCTGGCTATGTTGACAGGATGATGTCAACAAATAAGATGTATCTCAGATCAAGGAGACTGGCGCAATTATGACAAGACTGCCTAAACCATGCGCCGAAAAGCACCAGAAAGTCTCTCCAAGTGTTAAAGTGCGACGTCCTTTTTGTCTTCTGCGCGTAATGCTTGTCGTTGGGTGATGATGCCAGTCGGATGCGCTTATCGCTGATACGGTTGCTCGGGAGGGGGCGTGCGACAAGGTGATCGGGAAGCCGGAGGGCCGCTTTCTCTCAGAACGCGCAAGCTGCGGGATCTTCTCGTGGGAGGTGGCGGAGGAGCAAGGGAGGCAGGAATGAGGAAAGATATGGGATGAGGAGAAGCAAGGACCGTGGGCAATGAAGCCTTAAGGACCGTGGGACAGCAGGAGTCACAGAGGAGGCTGGGGACTGTCGCTTGCAATGCCAGCCCTGCCCAATCATGGCCAGCCACTGCAAAACACGTGAACCCAACCGCGTTCCAAAATGCCACCATTCCAAAAGAGGCTAGAGCGGAGATCACAGGCGTTCAGGGCAAAGTAAACACAATGAGGAGGAGGTTGTTGGTCAGGCAACGGCAGGTCTTGGCCATGATATACAGGTTTCGATTGATCTCTAACTAATTCTGTCTATGAAGCTGGGGTTGAATGGTCTAATATTGATAATAGTTAGCGGCTGACTATATAGAGTGGTAAGACCTTTGAACTGAATGATCCAAGCAAACTGTCCTGTCTCTTACAAGGAGTACTCTCGTCTTCATCACTGATTCAAGGCTATCTTATTAGAACTAGCATCACGATTTCGAGTATCTGGAAGGTCAAGGAAAATAAATATATCCGTACCACCTTCATTTGTGTGTGTAGATGCGTTTGCGGCAACTCTTCATCTGGATATAAAGAGGCTGCGAATTCAATTCTGTACTACTTGCAGGCAAATTTCTTGCAGACAAAAGAAACCCTACTTCCGATAACCATTTTGATCATTTATGGTCTCTGTTTGTTTCCTCTTATATTACTTGCAATGCTCTCTTTCTACCTATCCATAGAACCCACCAGGGGTTTTGTATCAGTGTGCTTATGGAAAACCCCTGTTTCAGCTCCTTGGGAGTTATTTACTTCGCCACTGAAGGCTACCCAAGTTAGACGACCTCCAGATACTTGACAAACCCCAAATAACTGGTAAATAAGTTAGTTATATTATGGTAAGTAAGTCCAGCAGAGCTGGTGGACTGTTAACAAAACATAATGCCAAGGGAAAGTCTAGGCTAAACTGGATCGGGAGTACCATATGGTCAACCTTAACTAACTGTTTGTTCCCGCTTCGGTCATCCGTAAACAATGAAGTCCTAGCCAAGACAAAGAGCCACATTTGTGTGAGAACAATTGTGTTATATGTCTTGACTATACTCCGTGCTACCTGAAATACTGATTAGCCACCAATCAAGGCGTCGAAAATCTTTGGAATGCCTTATCCCGTTTGAGCCAACAGTTTACGGCCAGGATCTCTGCCCCCCTCCCCCCCCTCGTTCGTCTACAGAGTAGCAAGGATCGTCGAGTGCCATGAAAATGGATAAATCCTCGCGAACGCCAGGCCGACCCCCAAGCGGGATACCTCGATTAGTATCCAGACTGCCTCTTCCTACATCGACCGCAAACAAATCCGTCAGACCGTCCCCCTCACGTGAGAGATTAAGAGCAGACCCGGGCCTCGATGCTTCCAGATTACGGAGACCATCGGAAGAAACTATCTTCAAGAAGCCTCTTCCGAAGGCTGCTTCCCCTGTTAAAACACAGGGAACAACAGAAAATGCACAGGCCAACAGAGAAGGGTCCCGGATCCGGGCGAGCTTTTATGGCGGAAAACTGAAGGTCAACGAGAAGGGGATGGACGGATCAGCCGTATCGGAGGAGGCGGACTTGGATGCCGCTAGTCAAGACGTTCGAGGCCGAACACGGGCTACGCGGCCTTCTTTATCGGAGAGAACAAGAGAAACGCTGGCGCAAATCCCCGCCTCACCAGCGTCGGTGAGGCGACAGTCGAGCTTCTTCAACGGAGCAAGTCCTATGCGTTCCCCATCTCGTGCGCCATCGCGACCGCCATCCGCACTAACTAGCTACTCGCGATCGCCTTCGAGATCATCTTCTCGCCAGCTGAGTAGAACTGACGTGCCTGCTCAGCTCCTGTCAGCGGTTCGGTTGCCGTCGCGGCCTAGAGATCTAGACGCCTTGGCCAGCACTATAGCTGGCGAACCGTCAAATCAAATGACCTCACTTGGGAAGATGGCTCCTCCGAAGACTGTGAAACCTACATTGCGCAAAAGTATCGGACCAGACGGTCTGTCTCGAGATCGTCTTGCTCCAAAAGAAAATGACACAATACCTGCGAGGGCCAGTATATTTGGTGATATGAAAAATCATGACACAAAAAAGCCAAAGGCTTTATCTCCGCCGCCGTCCCTTGTGGTAAAAAAGACAAGGAAGCCATCATCCAACTTCTCCTCTACTTTGACCTCACCCTCCTCGACAGTTTCGAAGTCCTCATCCGTTACATCTGCTACATCTGAGCTCACGCCTGAGCAGCAGGCCGAGAGCGAGACAAGGAAAGTTAGCAAATCTTCAAACGCGCTGAGAGAGAGCATTGCCAAGGCAAAGGCTGCGAAGAGAGCTGCGAGCCAGAAAAGTTCTCAGACTGAGCCACCTGCAGATCCATGGGCCAGCATCGACACCCAGGACCCGTTCAATCAACGGCCCACGGACTCGAACAAAGGTCTGCTGCGGAAACGTGTGGAAACGGCTCGAACCACTGGACATCTTAATATTGCTGCCATGGCTCTCAGGGAATTACCAGATGAGGTGATGACAATGTATGACTTTGATCCGAATAGCTCGACCGAGTGGTACGAGAGCGTGGACCTCGTCAAATTTATTGCTGCAGACAACGAGCTAGCGGAGTTACCAGAGTCTGCGTTTCCTGACGTCGATCCTTATGATTTTGATTCGGAAACGGACGAGAAGGGAAGCCAGTTCGGGGGCCTAGAGTTGCTAGACTTACATGGAAATATACTGCGTTCTCTTCCACTCGGAATCAGAAGGCTTCAACGGCTTCACACCCTTAACATATCGAATAACAACCTGACTATGGACGACTTGCAAATTGTTTCCAGAATTGAGTGTCTCGTCGACCTCAAAGTGGCAAGCAATAATCTAGAGGGGCCATTGACATTATCCTTGGATCGGTTAAGCAAGCTGGAAACACTAGATTTGCATGAAAATTCCATCACAGAACTTCCAGAAAGTCTTGCAGCTTTAACATCACTCAAGAATTTCAATGTCGGCCAGAACCAGCTCACATCTCTTCCATTCGAGGCATTATGCAAACTTCCTCTCAAAGAGATAATGGCTCCAAAGAACCGTCTCAGAGGCATATTGATACCGGCATCAGTTCACATACTGCCAGCACTGCAGACGTTAAATGTTGTCAATAATGAGCTGCAATGCTTCTCTGAGAATGAGGCTTTGGCTCTCCCCAACCTCCAGACTCTGATGCTGGATTTCAATCGTATCAATACTTTGCCTAATATGTCATCGTGGCAAGCCTTGCTGACCCTTTCAGCGGATGACAACGGCCTGACAGATCTTCCTGCGGGATTCACCGAGCTGAAAAATATAAAGAATGTGGACCTCACTGGCAACAATATTACCAGGCTTGATGAAAATATTGGATTGATGGAAAGTCTATTTTCATTTCGCATCGCTAACAATCCTCTACGGGAGCGGAAGTTCCTCACTATGGACACCGAGGACCTCAAGCGGGACTTGCGGAGTCGATGCGAACCGGAATCGCACGAGACAGATGAAGAGGGTTCCGTCGGGACACAGTTTACCTTAGCCCCAGAAACTCCTGTGACTTCAACTGGCTGGCAAGTGAAGTCAGGGGGAGTCCTCGACCGTTCACATACCAAGATGACCGAGTTCGACACAGACCTTCTAGAGCCAATTACGGTCCAGGATGTTCGGTGTCTCTATCTGCAGTACAATGACCTGCATAGCTTTCCGGTGCTCGCCATTAGTATGCTTGCACAAAACCTGACCGACCTCGACCTCTCACACAACCCGATGGACAGTTCCGAGCTCTTTTCGTCCCCTCTCACCCTCCCTCACCTTCAGAGTCTCAACCTGAGTGCGACCACACTCACAAGCTTCGAGCCTCTGCAGACCTATATATCAGCGCCGTCTCTTTCATTCTTAGATATGTCGTATAACCGGCTTACGGGGGCTCTTCCAACCATGCGGCACTACTATCCAAAACTGATGACCCTTCTTGTAGCAGACAACCAAATCGCCAGTTTGTCGTTTGAGGCAGTACAAGGTCTCCAAGTCCTCGATGTGAGCAACAATCATATTGAGATGCTTCCCCCCAAGCTCGGCTTACTGGGCGCGGAAAACTCCAGCAAGAATTGGGCGGGCGGATCCGCTTTGAGGAGGCTCGAAGTCGCAGGAAACAGCTTCAAGGTCCCTAGATGGCAGCTCGTTCTAAAGGGGACTGAGGCAGTTCTGGACTGGCTGAAGGGTCGCATTCCTGCCGACGAGCTCCCTGAATGGGAGGCAGAAGAAGTAACGGACGCTTAGTCGTGGTGTTGGACAGATGAGGGGCCTCTTTCTTTTCATGTCTCCTATTTTCTCTCTTTCCGTACATATTGACAGGGGTTCTCTAAGTTCCTTTGATATCAATAAGTGTGGGTATGATGCTTTTTTTGGACATTAAACATCTTGTATTTCTACAACTGTGCTCTTTTCGGGCAATTTTTTCTTCTTTTTAATATATGTGACCTTCCCGGACACATTGATTTTATTTCGTCTCTGCATATTGGTGCAACCCCACAGAAACGCTGTATAAGTATTTACAGGTGATAATAATATTAGTTCTCGACTCCAAATCAGGCCTTGTCCGGCGTCTCATCCAGCCATCTGGTAACCTCACGCAACACTTTCACCCAAGCCTTGGACCACATTGCGAATTTGTCCTCTGTCGAGCTCTTCGCCCTTGCGTCTTTCTTGGTGCTCCATGGCGAAACGAGTATATCAACAGCGTTCGCGGCGTGGCTTTTCACTTGTTTCATATGACGGATTAGTCCGTCTGTATTGTCTTCGTAGAGCGCGCCGGCCGCTTCGTCAACTTGATCCGGGATGCTTTGGAGATTGGCCATGAGCGACTCTAGCTTCGCTATATTCTCGGAAGGCTCTAGCGAAATGCCTCCAGTGATCCTTAGTCGGTTTACGACGACGACAGAGTACATCTGGACGACGGGCTTGAGGAAACGAAGCGTAGCCTTTTTATGCGCGAGGAGAGCGGCTGTATCCTGATCATCATCGTCATCGCCATCATCGTCATTTTGCTGGTCCTCGTCTGCCTTCCCCTCCTCGCCTATCAGGTCATCGAAGAAATCGTCTCCTTCCTCGGGATCCCACTCCTCAATCTCCTCCATTGCATCGCGCACTAGGTCTCGCCATTCCTCAACGCGGCGTATCACAAACCCCACAACCCCCTTTGCGACGAGGTCGTTCAGCCTATCGCAGGCATCCCACACACGCCCGGTCGAGAGCGTCAGATCCGGCTTGGTGATATCTTTGTCGTCTTTTCCTTCCCTTTTCGCCTCATCCGTCTGCTTGGCAATCAGCTTCACTTCCTCCACCAATGCCGAGAATTCCTTCAGGGTTGTCTTGGACAGCGTATTGATTTCTGTGTGGAATGCCTTGGTATATTTATTCGGAGTGACGAGCAGGGCGGCGGTGACGAGCGAGGGAAGCACCGACTCGTTCACGGCCGTCAGGATACCTGCAATAGCTGAGGGAGTGAAGGGCGACATCATCGCTAGAAGAGAGAGTTTCGTGACTTGCGCCCTGAGCGCAGTCGCCGATGCTGATACCAGAGGCAGAGCATCTTTTCCTTTGTATTCAGTCGCTGCGGGGTCCGTCGTGGGAGAGGAGAGAGCCGCTTGGAATTGCGTCGAGAGAGCGAGCGACGTCGCGATGACGACAGTAAAGTTTTTGGACATTTTTTTTTCTGGAAAACGTGAAAGAGAGTAGAAAAAGATTTTCTCCTCTGAAGAAGCTGCTCAGCTTGTCTTCAATAATGGCCTGTCAAGGGACTGTCAGGTTCGTCGGGAGAAATTTCGGCCCCAGCTGAAGAGGGGTGGCGATAAGGCCAAAACAGTAGATTAGGGTTTTGCGTGTCACTTGCTTGGTTTTGTATTACTATAGGCCTCGTCGCCTCTACGACTTTACTTCGTTAATAACGCTCAGGCAAATCCAGCAAGTCATTCGGCGTTTGCCATCTTTATGTAGGCATTCATATGGGGGTGGACCAAGCTTTTTGGTAACTAGTGTTGTGATAGTCATAAATGGTCTCGATGAGAGGGGATAAAGCAAAATGGGCGCCATTTTAAAGACGCATTCACGGTTTTCTCCCTAGCAAAAGTGCACATCGAAGTGCTGATAATATAATATGGTAAGGGTTATATGGATAAATCGACAGTCAAGAGGTAGGAACCGGCCCTGCAAACTTCAAATGTGGTTAACAGTCGTGGGTACGTTCTCATAGTATGGTATGTAGGAAGAGATGTGTGAGGTCGATAAAATCGCTGTCCGACGAGTCAACGGGTCTTCCACTGCTGGCTTCTTCAAAATCTAGTTCTTCAATTTGTCTCTCGCTCTCGATCATCTCGAGCCTGTACCTTTCCAGCAGCTCTTGCCGCTTCTTCACAGCCTCGTTGAACCAGTAACGGTCGTAGGCCAGGTGCTGGATCATGAACGAGCGGGCTGTCTTCGCTTGTTCCTGCTCAACCTCCGATCTCGACTTGAGCGACGTCTCGAGAGCCACGCGTTCAACTCTCCCTCTTTCCTCCAGCGCCACTACGGCCTCGTCGTGTGCTTTCTCAAGTTGCGCTTTGGTGGTCTTCTGTCTTTCTCGAAGTCTCTCGAGCACGGCTAAGCTTCGCTTTTCGGCATCGGGCTGATTATGGAAATATGATGGAAGGTTCAAGATCAGCTTGATCTCCTGCTCGATGTGGATCGCATTCAGCCTGGCGGCCTCTTTAACTTGGACAGACTTCGCTTTCTCGACGCGGTGTTCGTGGTTCTTCTGTGTCCTGTCAATCAATGCGTTGCGGTCACTCTCAAATCGCTCCATGTAGGACTGCTGCTCAGCAAGAAGCGAAACCACCTCTTCCTTTTGTCGGTCGATCATAGTGGTTTGTTGAAGCTTGTTGATCTCGAAGAGATATCTCTGTAAGAGGGTCATCCGCTCGTCAATGGACTCCAAGCGTTGAAATTCACGTGCGCGTGCAGCTGCCTCTTCCTGAATCCGTGCATTTTCGCGACTTAGTTGCTCTCGTCTGGCTGCTTCTTCTGCTTCCTCTGTTTCCATTGCATCCCTTCTCTGAAGATACCCAACTGCTGCAATGGCAGCAGTAATTTGGGCCTCGTCGTCATCAGTATCACCAGCAGCAGGTAAATCGTTGTGTATAAGATTTATGTTCTCTGCAGGCGTGTCATCACAGGAGCATGGTTGCATTCGCTCCCCCCATCGCGCTCCACATTTATAGCTAGCCATCAATTAGCCAATATAAAAGAAGAATATAAAGAAAGGCAAGAAGAGGTACCAGAACTCTGCCCCGCACCGGCAGGTGATGTGAAGACACCCATATGTCCGCTCGACCACAGACCTACAGCCCCAGCATCTTTGCCACTGTTGGTTTCTTGCCTCATCGAGAACCGCAAGCAGACCGGTATCATAGGAACACTGTTTTTGACCGTGAGATATCCCACGGCATCTTGAGCAGATACTGACTCTGCAGTGGGGACATCGCTGAGAGTTGGAACCCTCTTTAATATCCTTCAACGGGATCCATTGCCCGCATTGCGGTGACGGACAGTACCAACGGTTTGCCACAGAAACGGCGTACTCACGTATCCTGGACATGTACTGCTTTTTTTCTTTCGAAGAAAGGTAGGTAACCATCTTTTTCATGGGGATCTCTTGAAAACAGCAACGCGGCGGGAACAGACTTTCATCTCTTGTAGCCATGAGCGCCATTCGAGCGAGGCAGTCCTTGCAGTAACTATGTCCACAAGAAAGCAAGACTAATCTTTTGACTCGTAACTCTGTGAAGCAGCTTACACACTCCCTTGAAGCGAATCAGACAGAGAATTGAGCATTCAGAAAGGTGAGTTGCTTACCCTCTTTTCTGGGAACAGGATCTCTGGAACAGAGATCTGAGTCGTAAATTTAGAGATCTAGATGTTGATCTGCAAATCGGTGGTTCAGAAAGGGCGACCTGGTGTACCGAAGAGCGAGGTAGAGAGGAGTCAGGCCGATGCAGAGTTGAATGATCCTCGTCTTGTTCTAGAACCTCCTCTTGGAAATTGACACTGTCACCTTCTAAAGCTGGCAGATATGTTTCCACAGCCCCAGAGCGCCTCACAATTTCCGCAACTACGCTTGGTAGCTTGATTGATAGTGTTTTCAGCTCTGGTGGACAAGAGTGCTGTAGCCATTGCTCTTCCACGGCGTCAGGTATATCTTGAGGGGCGTAGCCCGGTAGCAGCTCAGGCCACTCCAAAAGCCCGTTCCCATAAGTGGATGTCGATGAAGAAGAACTGCCTGACAAAGTCGACTCCATTTCGACCATAGGGTAGTCGACTTCTAGCAACACGGAAGTCATGCGTGGGTGTGTGTGTATTGGTTTTTAGTATGGCGTACTTTGTGTAACGAGAGATCAGTAGGGAAGAACGAAGGAAAGATTAGAGGGGCATCTCATGTAGATAATACCACCAAATACCATCTAATCAGCCCATTGTATAAACGATTTCTGCACAGCAACCGCCGGCTTGCTTTCGTGGACAAGCCATTTGGGCGGAGTCTTGACACAACCGGGCATATCTTGTCGCGCCACATGGTTTCCCCTCATTGACAACGGTATTATGAGTATAGTCTTTGAGTACGAATGATATCGTGGAACGAAACATGGTATTCGTCGTGTGAGACTGACTTGGGCCGCTAAGGAGCCCAACCACGGTGAGAGCTCAGGTATCTGACATGGCTTATCCCTTGGGAAAAAATCAATTCACAGCCGTCCACTAATGCTCATGAGACGGCACACTGGCTTTGTTGAAACAGAAAGAACGAATAGAGATAGTCAGTCTCGTACATGTGCTGGCGGTCTGCAAGGCTGACCCTTGATGCTCTTGTCTTTGCGGGGCGGGGGCGCAGTGCAGGGAAGAAAAAAGAAAGAAGGGACTCTGTTTCAGGATATTTAATGGAAAGATCAGCGAAGGCTCTAAGCCGCAAATAAAGTCTAAACGAAACAAGTCTGCCTTTCCTTGGGTAGGGATGTGGTCCAGGGAGGGGAGAGGAGGAGGCTCTCGTATCAGCGACCAGTGGGCTATTGTTTTTTGATTTAATTTTCATATTACCAAAGTGATTAGAATGGTTATATATGATGCAATTGGCAAGAAAGAAGCCCGCCACCAGAATGAATTAATTCAGGGTATCACTGACAGCTACAATGCTGTCGAATAGACGGCGAGTATCACCAAACACCAGACTCCACAATCCTGATTCAAGTAAGACCCAGGTAAGGCGCGGCTTTGATTGCACCTGAGAACTTCCTAGAAGCCCATCCTGACCCATGTTCTAAGTATTCCTGCCTGGTGATCGCGACCTGTTCTAGCTCCTCTCTATTCGTCGCGAAACGAGAAGCACCTAGCCAGGTTGATCTAATGGGGCTGAATCAAGTCAGTTATGAGAAATCACTTGCACAAGTAGGCTCATAGCCTCAAGAACAAGGAGTGACCTACTCTTTTGGACGTCGGACTCTGACAACACACTCTGCTGAGGCGATCTGGCGCAGTTCCGTTTCTCTGGAGAAAGATCAGCGAATATGGAAGACACAGGAAGATGGAGTAATGTCTTACAGCCGATCCATGAAGCCTGGTAGCAGGCAGTTGCCCCCAACAACCAGAACATTAGCCAGAAACGAAGGATGCAACCCAGTAGGCAGTACAGAGAGGCTCTGCAGGACCATGTCTGCTATGCCGGCCTGTTTCAGACCAATATCACTCGGGGTGAATAATATCTCGGGTACTGTGAAACGTTCGTTGCCTAGGATCAGGACATCTTCTGACAAGGCTTCCGTTGTAGCACCCGACAGCAGGCTCTTCCTTTTTTTGGCCTTGAGGAGAGGATCATGCGGTCGCATAAAACCCTTTTTGCCCGCATTTGGGTCAGGCAGGACATATTCCACAGTGATGCTCTCGTCTGGCTCCATTTGCAGACGCCTCTGATTGGCCTTCCATGTTTTCTCCATATCACCAGAGAAATCACTGCTCAGGTAGCAAACAGTCTCTTTGATCTCATTCATCACAAATGTTTCGTCAACCATATTATACTGACGCATTGATACAACCTCCTTGAGATAGTTTGTGAGGTGTTTCCCTCCCAAGTCTAACCTGCGAATGCCGCGCTGGATAGGCCTTCCATTGTAGACTGGAGTCACAGTTGTATGGGAGTACCCGGAATCGACAACCAGGAGACATTCAACGGGAAGAATGGGGGCATCTGGCTTTTGTAGAGGCGGATCACCAAAGAGAGAATACACCTCATTCCAGGCGTTGAGTGATGGTCCTGGGAAGCTTTGTCAGCCACCGTAAAGGATGGCAATAGAAAACAAAAAAGGAAGACTGAGCTGAAAATCCGAAAAAAATAAATAGGTAATCTCTTACCGATAGATCGCACGTATCCACCGAACCCACACTCTTCCATGACGATTTCGTCGGCATTCTTCTGCAGAACAGGGAGTGCGTTCGGCGCCTCGGTGAGAATGAGCGTTGTTTCTTCAGGACTCGCGATTCGAAGATCCTCACTCCCCACAGTCCTCTCATCGAGGAATGAATGTTCCCAGAGCTCCCTCTGTGCTTCCCAGTTCACGATGTATCCCTTCTCCACGGGCCGGCGAAATGTCACCTCGTTCCAATCCGTGATATGTGTCGATAGTTGCGAGCCGATAAAGACCTTGTTTGCGCGGGTTTTAGCGAGAGCATTGGGTATCACACTGCAAGCAGACAGGGCCGTGTCTTCGTCTTCCGGTGGCGGGAATTCCGGCGCGTAGCCGGCTTTCATTGTATATGCGCCATTGTCGATAATGAAGGTCTTGCGCGGTAGGGGCTGGATCTTCGGGACCGCAGTTTTCGTCGGTTGGCGTGCCTTCGAAGTACCCATCCCGGTGACCACCACAATTGGAAATTCGTATAAAAGACTATTCGCCTCAAATAATCACCCCGAGACCGTTAAATGAGTGTTAGATGGTTTGTTGCTGGAGGGTTTGTAGATGTTTAACCAGCAGCCAGAGTTGAGGAACCTCCGCGGAACCTGACGTGAGGCTAAACCATTTCAAGTCTTGGTCTTTGGCGTAAGTTACAAATCAGGAAGTTAGGGCACAACATTAGGGCAATTTAAAGAAGGAGTCTGATATGAAATAAGAGATATATCTTGATATTTTGGACTATTCTATTTTAAAAGAAGAAAGACGACGAACGCCCCTCCTAATAATCTACTTGACTGGCAAAGGCGTTCTCCTGATTGTTGATACCAGGTGACGTTTTACACCGCTTTGTTGTTCGCAGGCCAGTTATGATTTTTAAGGCAATATTAAATTGAAATATATATACTAATTATCTCTGACAAAGAGATAAAAAAACTAAGGTGACATTGATTCCATGACGATCCTTCTAGTAGTCGTAAAAACCTTTCCCACTCTTCTTGCCCATCCAGCCAGCATCAACCATCTTTTTTAGCAGGCCCGCGGGCCTATATTTGCTGTCTCCTGTCTCTTGATGTAAGACGTTCATAATAGCGAGGCAAGTGTCTAGTCCGATAAAATCGGCCAAAGTCAAAGGTCCCATGGGAACATTGGTCCCGTACTTCATAATGCTGTCGATGTCCTCACGGCCACCAACACCGGTCTCGAGACAGATGATCGCCTCATTGATATATGGCATCAGAATGCGATTAGCTAGAAAACCGGGTGAGTCCGCAGAGACAGCAGGAATCTTGCCCATGCGCTTCACAAACGCGACGGCAGTTTCTAATGTCTGCCGAGAGGTCTGTAGACCGGAGATGATCTCGACTCCCTTTTGCACCGGTACGGGGTTCATAAAATGCGTTGAAACCACTCGGGAGGCAGCCTGGAGATCCTTTGGATCGGTCGTCGTGGCCGCAGCAATCTTGGTGATAGAGATAGAGGAGGTGTTGGTGGCGAGAATTGCATGTTTCGGCGCAATCTCCGCGAGTTTCGAGAAGATAGAAGTCTTGAGTTCAGGAATTTCTGGAACAGCTTCAATCACGAAGTCGACTGCGGAAAGATCATCCAATTTCAGAGTAGCGGTGATGCGACCACGAACTATGTCGGCAGCTTCACGGGTAAGACGTTCCTTGGCGACATCTTTATCGAGAAGTTTATCTATATAAAAATATTGTCTCAGCAAGTTTAGAATTCATTAATGATATGGTGCTCGTATTTACCGGCAAATCTAAGACCCTTATCCAGCGAGGCTTGCGAGTTATCAACAAGGAGAACGGGAACTTCTGCTTTCTGGGCAGCAACCAGAGCGATTCCAAGTCCCTGGAAGCAATCAATAACAGCCAACAAGTCGCTATCCGACAAGGGACCTCTAACTGACCATCTGGCCAGCCCCAATCACCCCTAATGATTTCACCTCGGCAGCACCCTTTGGAAGAGTGGTGGTAAAGGAGCGGGCCATAGAGGGCCCATTTCGAGCAAAAGAGCGAAATTTAGAGGTCAACATCATTAATTAATGGATAAAGAACCCCCCGATTTCATGAAGAAGAAGAGTCCACTATTCAAACGTCTGTTATTAAAGAGACCCTGTCCCGCACGTGCTTTCCCGACGTCATCGGTTATCCTCGGCTGTCGGATAATATCACCATCCGTGGCTCCGGGCTTGGCAGGCGCGTCGACGCGTGACGGACGCGTTCTAATTGGTCTTTCTCGATTCGTTCTGGTTATCGAAATCAGAAGGTGGTGATAGCGATCTTGTGCTGAACAGGGAGAAAGGATCCAAAATAGGGTCTGTCGCATGACCTATAGAGCCACTAATATGGACGAAGACGTGGTGTCCTTTGGCCAGGAGGTCCAGGTCGTGGATCCTGAAGTTCGCGCTCATGTGTACAGTCTGGTGACTGCGGTGCGTTCGGCTTTCTCTTTGGCCTGACGATCTTCTCTGATTATACTGATACTATTACAGCTTGGAGGCTTTAATGGCGAGAATGCAGATTGCTATGTGCTTGGTGATGACGCGTTGGCGTGTTTACGAGATATCAAACGATGGCTCAAACTATACGACGAGAAGATCAACCGTATGGATGTGGCAAGATGTTTGGGAGAAGCCAATCTCGTGAATGGAGATCTACTGCCCATCTTGTCGAACTGGTGGACGAGCGGTCAGAACAACAAGCACATGTCCCGGATCGCTCTGGCGTGCTGTGAGTTGGACGCCGATGCTTCAAGTGTTTCGCTAACACGGTAGTGGAATTACTCGTCCCTTTAACCTGGCCTGCGGAGTTCCACAAAGATATGACGGTCAATCACCATCGCCATACCCCCTACATACAGCAAGCTCAAGTTCGATATAAACGAGGTCTGCTCAGTTACGGCGGCTCCAACCTTCTCCGAACCGTCATTCGAATCGCCCTGCCGAGTATGGCGGTGCCCCGATCAGAACGGACGACTAGAGACGAAGGCATCCTCAAACTTATGCTTTACCTCTTCCGGAATATTTCAATTATCTCGCAGAGCGCACGCCTGGCAGCAGAAGGTGATGAGGAGGAGACATCGAGATCGGTGACGATCAATGCATTTGCGGAACAGGATGTGTTCGCACTTCTCCTCACCATGTGTTCAAATGTGGGGGATGATTTCAGCCAGCAAGATATGGCCCTTCTGGAAATATTATTCCACTTGGTCAAGGGTGTGAATGTGGAGAAGCTGTTCATGGACGACGTCCAACGAACGGCGAAACGCACCGACGAGCTGAAAGATCTCCTATCTAAGGAGTCGTCCTTGAAGAGGGAATATGCAAAGAATGCACCTACACGTCATGGCCGGTTTGGAACGATGATCTGGGTCAAACGTGACGATGCCAAGATGTCGACCGTCTCTGGTCAAGATGTTCTCAAGGATGAACAGACCACTCTGTTGAAAATGGATCAGAGCAAGAAGTGGAATAAACCCCAGCCACGCCGGAGACAAGAAGAATTGAGCACGAACAATAGTTTTGACACTCCCACCCATCTCTCCTCCACAGCAACTAAGAATTTGCGGTCATTCGTGGAAGAGTTTTTAGACTCGGGATTCAACCCATTGTTCACTCATGTTCGGAAGGCAATTGAACGAGAAGCAGAACGTGTGACGGATATCAATAGTCGCCAGTTCTTCTATACGGTCTCCTGGTTCCTGGAGGCGGAACGTGTGCGTCGTACCTACCAGAAATATACGCACGAGCAGAGCAAAGGAAAAGCGAAGGAGATGGAGCCTGACAGCTTTGCGCTTGTTGCTGGCGTTTTAAACCAGGAAACATTCGTCTTTCTGAACAGAGCCATGCAATATGGTCTGGACCATAAAGATTGGGAGGACATTAATGCAGAAATGCGTTGCTTTACCCAGATCCTGCTAACTGTTCAGGAAATGTCAAAGTCCCCCCTTGAAGAGGACCAGGAGATTGCGGAGAACATTCAAAACCGGATCTTTTACGAGGAAACAACTCATGATAGAGTATTGGCTCTTGTACGTGGATACAAAGATCAAGGATTTGGCTACTTGGATGCCTGCACAGAACTCTCCCATGTTTTTTTGCGGATGTTGGAACGGTACTCAAAAGAGAATATTGATCTGCAAATACGATCGCGCCGGAAAGCCCGACGGAAGAAGACGGCTGAAAAGAATGCTACCACAAATGGAGAAGAAGAGGACCCTGAAGAACAAGCATCGGAAGACGAAGAGATTGAGGACGCAGTGAAGGTCGCCAAGGAACGAACATTCGATTTCAAGCGCTTTTCTGCCAAGTTTTGTACCCAGAAAAGCGTCGACACATTCTTCGCTTTTACCAAGTTTTATAAAGAGCTGGACTCTGAACAACTCAAACGTGCTCATCGCTACTTCTATCGAATTGCCTTCAAGCAAGAGATGAGTGTTTTGCTATTCCGTGTCGACATCATCAACCTGTTCTACAAGATGATTAAAGGACCTGGTGGCTTAGATCCCAGCAAGCCTGTCTTCAAGGAATGGGAAGAGCTGGTACGGCAAATCATTCGAAGGTTGGTGAAGAAGATCGAGCAGCGGCCGGCACTCATAACCGAGCTGTTGTTCAGCAAAATCAATGCCACCGCTTTCTATCTTGAATATGGCCATGAGAAACAGACATTGACGTCGGAGAAGAGACCGCCAGCTGAGCTCTCTATCCACCCCACATATGCAACTACACTCGATGATAAGATGAAGATTGTCGTGTCTGCCTTGGTCATGGACAAGCGGCCGGATCTAGTGAGATGGATCAGTGATTTCATCGGATCTGCTGCCGATGAGAGAGAGTCGTGGGAAGCTCAAGAAGAAGCGCAACGAGCTCAAACATCCGAGACATCTACTACTCCGAACCCTATGATTGGTAAGTTTCCCTCCCCCCCCGCATACTTCCTGTTGCGTAATACATCTTGGCTAACCGTTAAATCAGCCGTTACTCCTCGCGATGAAGAATGTCGTAGGGCAATGTTCTCGAATAATAAGCTACGGCTACTTATGTCATTAGCCGGTTTCGAGCGCCTCGGCGTTGAAGATGTGCCTGGTGCTTCTTGGATTATTCCCTCTAGGCTCTCGTCTAAAGATCTGCGAGACACCCAGGGACTTATCAATAGATACCTCGAAAACCCTGTCAATGACATTGACGGCCAGGAGCCTGGCAAGTGTCTTCGACGCAAGCGGACGGATGAAGCTCGCGATGATATCTGGCGACCTACGGTGAATGTTGATTTCGGATCAGACTCCGAAGGAATGGAAGATGTACCCGATGGTCCTCTTTTCCCTCCAAATCCTCGATCGAAAGCGAGTGCACTGGATGAATTGAAGAAGAAACGCAAGTCCAAGCGGAAAGATGATAGGGAAAAGGAGCCGCTGGACGAGGAAATCGTTGAGGAGCGCCGTCAAGCACGCACGGCTAATGCCCTAGCCAGGCAAGCGAAAATTAAAAGCGATCTTTACATCCATGCAAGTGACGAAGAGACAGACGAGGAAGCTGACAAAGAATTCTTTGTGCTTGAAGAAGAGCGAAGGAAAGCCCAGGCAGCTCGTGTCAAGAAGGCTCTCATCACTGGTGAGATGGAGTCCACCGACATGACAAAGAGTAAAACCGCTGGGCGTAAACGGTCTAGGACTGAGACAGGGAATGGACGGAAGCGACGGAGAGCCAGTCGTCAAGATGCCGGGAGTGAAGACGAAAACGATAGTGAAGACGTGCTTATGACTGGTCTTGATGATAAGGATGAAGAGAGCATCCCTCCTGGTCCTGATGAAGATGACCTCATGTTTGACGACGACCTTGCTTTCAGTCGAAATCGCAAAACCATATCCAGCTCGCCTCGGCAGTCCACACCAGATGTCATAACTGAGGATGAGGAAGAAAACGATGTTGCTAAGGAGGACAAGGAGGGTCAAAACCAGGGCAAGGATGACGACGACGACGACGACGACGATGATGATGATGAAGAAGTGCTGGTCGCTACTTCGTCTCGAAGGCGGGTAAGAGGTGGATTCGTGATTGAGAGTGATTCTGAATAATGATGATGGTCTGGTTCTTCTGGCTCATGAATTTGATGCGGCAACTTATTAGCTATCAGAATTATACATACCCTCATGTGTGCGCCCAACCTCTCAGATACCCGGTATTGTATTTCATGTCTATCACATCATAGATGCCTATATAGTACCTACGCGGCATATAGTTACTAATTGATTGATCAGGAATCTACCTAGATATTTAGGTATGCTCTATTCTCCAATACAGTAAGAGAACAATAGGGGGTATAGAGAACGTACATATGTATACAAAGCTTAGAGAGATCTAGGGCTATGGATAAGGTACTGAAGGTAGGTAACTACTTAGTTTTTAGTACTTAGTTGTTATATTATCTCATTATTCAAGTAATGACAATGGATGTTAGGGTAAGGAGATTCATGTTCCTATATTATAGTTACTGATTATCATAGTTGACAAATGTCTAAGAAGCTAGATCTACTAATAGTATTATACAAGTAATGTACTATATAAATACCTAGTCTATAGCATGTAAGATGTAATATCACTTATCATGGTCTCCCAGCAGTAGAAGAAAAACAGAATCATACCTATAACCAACATGCCTATATGTTACCTCTTGTCTTCATCTGCGATAACCCCAGGCAATGTATGATCCTAAGGCTTTCTGGCGTCAAATACCATCTACTTGTGGTAGCATTAGCTTCTAAAATCCAATGTGTATCTAGATATTCAATGCAACCAGACGTAGCATACCTTGCTGATGTTGAGGCTCAGGCTAGATATACCAAAGACACGGTCCATTTCCCCATCTTCTCTATTGTGAATAGCATGACGCAGCAGCTCTGGCAGTTATGACGACCGTTATGGGAGGGGAAGCTATCTGGGCTATTGGAAGTAGCTATCTCGATGAAGGGTGCACTGCTGGTTTCATCGTTGTCTACTTCTTTGTCCCAGACGTGATCTACGCCGAGACCGACAAGACGCTTATCCGGACTCGGGCTGTGATGGGAAAACCCTCTTGGACACAGCGACTGGCAATGAGGAGAGTGGTATGGCGTCGCATCTAACTCTGACTGGGAATGAACTGGGACAATGTCAGTATGCTATGGTGCATGGAGTGGGAATGGGAAGGTGCAGTGAGGCCGAAGTTGGAGTCTGGACCAAGGGAGATGGTGGGATAGAGACAGCCGAGACGAGGGAGACAGCAGTTAGAGTATCTGATGAGAAAATTTTGATTGCTTGAATTGGATTTTGGGCGAATTATGAGCTATCAAATACTGACCAAGGAGGATTTTTCAAGCATTTGTACCATCACCTCCTCTCACTTATGGCCAATATTTCACACCTCTCTTCAAAACAGACTCCAGTTTGCCATTTAGTGATTTCTAGTCCCTTTTGATAGTTGATGGTAAACATCCAAAGCACAGAGTCTTGGTGTTTATGTTTGATTGATGTTTGATCCTTGCAGAGGAAATTGAACTCACTTTGCCAGCGAACATTTCACCTTCATAAAGCCGTCAACCTTTCTCTCTATTTCAGAAGAGCTAAATTTAGAAGAAGCTCTATGTTCTTTCTGGCTTGAATTCTGCATCAAAGCTAGTTGTCAACTCAAAAGTCGACGATAGTATTGATATGGCAGCCGGTGCATTACTGGGAGGCGAATATAACATTCGAAAGGCTCGAGGTTCCAGGATTCCTACCCCAATTAGACCTCCTTCTAGTGGTCTATACTCTCACAGAATATCTGGGAGCGAACGCTGGGCGAATCATATACTGAGGCCTTCTGATGCTAGTCAACAGCCATCTACCTCAAACGTTAGTTGGCCGTCTGATGAAAAGGCTGTCGTCGAAGCCTCTTCAATCAAGAGGAACAAGAAAACCCCAGAAATAAGCAATACCTTCCATCAGACCACTCGTCAAGATCCCGATCGACCGCGAGATGTCATGGAGGGTGGGCGTTCTCGTCGGGTATGCCCGACAAGCTATAGAATGCCTACTCCGTTTCCCAGACAAGTGACTTTGGTGCCCTTTCCAAAACCTGCTCCTATGACAGGCCCTGATGCTCCAAAGCCATATCGTCGATTCTATTCTCTTCCACTTGACCTCACGAATAGCAAGTCGACTCCAACAACAGGTAGGTCTCCAAGCTTCCAAAGCCCACCCGGAAAGATGGCCAACAGTAACGAAGGGTCAGAAGGCAGACCCAAGAAGGTTGTGATTTGCCAGATTCCATCATATCAAGATATAAGACCAGCGTTGAGGAAGGTGCGACTGAGAATCAACGACGCTGCTGCCGCACTTAAGCAGCAGCCGGCACTATCTTCTCAAATCTGTCCCCCCTCCAGAATTGATACTCGTATCTTGGTCAACCGTGAGGGCTCTGCGACTCCTCGAGCAGCAAGCCAGGCAACGAAGATTCCCCGTTTGTTGTCCAGTGATATTTGTTGTCCTGAGAAGACGGAAAGCATAAATCGCAAAGCCTCGAGATGCAGAGACATGGTGAAAGCTTTGAAAGCGTCGAACATCTTACCAGGGCAGGAAGAGCCTGATCAATTCTTTGGAGGCTCCGACCAGCAGGAGCCACTCGCGGATTCACCACAGAGCCTTAACAGGAGTGACTTTGGATCTGTGGACACAGACGGGACGGAAAACATGGTGAGTTCTAGCCATAGTGAGAACCAGATATAAGAGATACTAAGTCGGCTACCTGCTTAGGTCGCTGAATCACAGCCTCTTGAATACTGGCTTGGCCGCTTTATGACTCTGTCGAATGCGTATCGGTACATGGAATCTTTTGATGAGCCCGACGAGGCGACAGCGATCAACACAATTCCTCTTTTCTCTGCTGCTTCGTTCGCGAACAGGAAGTTGTTGGATCCCCATATAGAAAGAGCCCTCGCGTATCTAGAAGCGGCTTGCATCACCATGGAAGCACTAGACAGTTTTTTCAAGTTTCACGACCAATGTGTTAGGGCATGCGAGAATCAACGGAAGAGAGAACGATCGTCTACTCGAGACTCACCTAAGAAAGGAAAATGATATAATGTGGGAGAGCAGCAAGGAGTCCGAATAAGTCCTGAGTTTTTAGCATTATCGCGAGATTCAGTGTAAAGGAATACAGCGAGCCCGAGCTCGAACAGAGTCACTGGCAGCAACTGATTCCCTACAAGTATAGTAGTACAGTATCTTTACATTTTGACATGATAAGGATTCATTAATGAATAAGGTATACCTGAGACATGCAGACTGTTATGCATGTTTAAATCAAAAAGCGCCGGTTCCATCGCAATATATGCAAGAATGACCCATCTATCATCTATAGACTCCCAAACCATATAAACCAAGCCACCCGTGCCAAGATAAAGGGTCCAGAATCATTGCATGGGACGATTAGCCCTGCTCCTTAGAAAAGCTGCCACCTGTTCATGCCTCGTCACGAAGAACATACGTTTTCGATCTGATTTCCAGACGAGCACGCCGATCTCCTCTGCATACCGGCAGGGGGCTTCATACTCCGCGAGACTGACAAAGTCCTTGAAAAGGAAGCCAGGGGTAGCTTTGACGCGATCCCGTTCCAGCTGCCACAGACGAATCTGATCCACGACGGTTGGGGGCAGGATGGTAGGAGGCATCCCGGCCTTGTTCGAGGTGGACCGCAAAATGTTGTGCTTGCGCATCTGAGGGTGCGCATGGTTGGATAGATAGGAGATGATCTGGTCTGCTGTGATGCCCATTTCGATGGCACGACGGACAGACTGGCGGGTGATTTTCCCGGTGATGAGGTTCGGAAAACGGTATTTGAGCGTGGTGAAGAGTGCGATAAGCGAAATCTGGAGCGGCGACGACGTGTAGGCGTACAATCGGTAGTTTGTTTCGATAATAATGAAACCCGAGCCTTCCTTGCCGGCACCTGTCCCCGGAGGCCCGGCAATAGCGCCTGAGATAGGGTTGTTGAGTGCGCTCGAATCGGAAGTCAGAGTTGTCGCTAGTCGGGTAGGATAGAAGCGTGTGGCGTCGGGAGATTCTTGATATACAATGCCAAAATCGGCCAGGTCTGTTAACGTTCGCAGTTGGTTGGAAGTGAGATTTCTTTTCTCATATGACTGGCCCAGTTCAAGGCTGCTAAGAAGAAATAGAAAGGACAGGACTTCGACGCTGTCCATGCCGATTGCCTCGGCGCTTTCCACGTAGAGGATCACAATGTGCCACACTTGACGGTTGACATCTTGTAGTACGAACGCAAAGCCGTCCTGTGTGATTTCCACCCGTCGGTCTCGGATCTCGACCAAGTGTCCAGCTTGTAGAAGTTGTTTCACTCCTTTGCTCAGATTCACTGGGTTCTGCTGCTCCCCTAGACCACTGGTCCCGACCATATATCCCAGCACACTTTCCCACTGTCTTCTGGCATATTCATCGAGCGCAGCAACGCTCACAGGGCGATCTTCGTCCGCCTGCGAAATTTCTCCAAACGACTGTGTCTCGCCGGCCCCAGTGAGTGCCTGTCGGAGGGAGGAGGCAAAAGGGTTGGTGACCATGTACGCTCGCACGTTGTCCGCCATCGTCGTGTTTGACAGAATATGTAACCTTCCCAATATCGACAGTGCATTATCTCGTTCTCTAGGTACAGAGTCATCGTCAGAGGTTAATCAGAATGGAGGTGTCAAGCAATACTAACTTTTTGCTCTCTGGCTTCACCCAGATCTCCAAATCCGCGGCGGGAAGAGGATCCTTGAGATAAAGAAGGGCCATCACAAAACATTTTGCTAAAGGTAGATCAATTACTGTACAGAAAGAGGCCGGAGAGAATCGTGTACCTAAATCAGGCAGCATACGCCTGAAGATGGCGAGCGCAGTTGACGGCTGCTGGTATAGCTTGTAAAAGACCGTACCAGGCAGGCCCTCCAGGTACTCAAAGGGACGGGACGAAGTGGCAGCCATGTTGCCTGAGCCCCAGAACGAAAACAAAGATCAGCTTTGTCGCATCGTGCGACGTTCAAGAGCTTGTGGGAGAAAGCCGGGGTGAGCTAAAGATTGCGGTTGATAAGATGAGCATGTCTCAAAAAGAATTACGGCGAGCGAGAGGGCCCCGGAATGCTATCATCACGATAGGAATAACCGAGGGAAAGTATAGACCTCATTTCATTCTTCTTCATGTTCCCAGCAGAGAGTACGCAATGACTGCTTTACGATTCGTTAGATCTGTAAGCATCTGAAATATTCATTCTGTACGGATTGGTGTTCTGACACTCTTTTAATAGGTCTGGGAGTCCTTCCGGGCTACTTCCGGCTTGGAGCCACGGTTAGTAGCCACGTCCAGGAGGATTATCGAATGTGTACTGATGGGAACTCTTCGAGAACAGACTCCTTGATAACGTAGGTTCCTGTCTCTTAGAATTTCCCGTGTTACTGTGGATTGTGTATTCCCGTTCGTGTCCGCGGACTGGGGTGCTCTTGGCCTATTAAATTGATGCAAACCATTGGATCTGACTTCTCTCAAACAGCTGCAAGTCACGGCTGCCAGACCTGGTGTTGTCAATTTTGAATTGGATATCAAGAAAGAGCATACGGTATGACCTCACTCTAACCAAGAGTATGAATATCGTCTCATATGAGTCTAGAACCGCTTGAACATCCTCCATGGAGGGACCATCGCGAGCATGGGTATGGTGTGACCCTTTCCGGGACCTCTGACCAATGTACTGACCTTCATCAGTCGACCTTGGAGGCTCTTTGGCTGTTGCTTCCCGTGGGCTCTTTGCTACTGGCGTCTCGACAGATCTCAATGGTGGGTGCTGTTGACATGAGAACGCTTGTGCTCTAACCATGTGCTAATCCCGATGTTCTTGATATAGTGACATATCTCAGTTCTGGAGGCAAAGTTGGCGACAAAATTCTGGCGGTTAGTCTTTTTCTATGAAGTAGAAAAAGCATATTTACTAACTCGTACACAGGAGGTTACTTGTGACAAGTGTAAGCATGCCTAGCTCTTCACTTCAACTATAAATTGCTTGAAAATAGGGTTTCTAATCTGACTGAGGTAGTCGGCAAAACGCTTGCGTATACCTCTATCAAATTCATGAACAGCAAAGGCGACATCTTTGCGCGAGGAAGCCACACGAAGTAGGTCTTGCGAGCATATTTATTTGCCAGTTATATATGGACAGCTATTGACGATTTCTTCCAGATTCATCGCCCTTGCCTGGAAAGACCCCAAAAACATTGTGGAACAGCTCCAGAAGGAAAGCTCGTCATGAACTAGCCAAGTCCACAGTCTGGGATACTGTATAAACTGTAATTATACCTCAATAGTTACACTCAACATAGAGAGGGATAGATAGATCGACTGTTCCGAAACATAAATGATAGTTCTACTTATTTCGTAATCTCGAGCAGCGTCATGTCAAACCTCACCAACTCTTCATTTCATAAGAATTGCAATGGTGGTTAAACATTATACACAATATGAGGCATTAATTAAATGGTTTTATAGTCAGTTGATGAATGCCTTGAAGTCGGCGAATTCGAAATTTGTTCAATAGCACGCACGTAAGCTCAGGGGAAGGAATTGTATAAATGTGCGTGCCGCCACCTCCACGAAAATGGTGATTTTCTCAAGTACTTTTCTGTTAATTCTCTCCAAGGCCGTCCACCTCTTCACCAACTCCCAGCATCTCCTCATCTTCGTCCGCTTGGTTCACAACGTTCTCGTCCGGCATGGCTTCCTCACCAACAACGCCTTGCTCACTCATAGATTTGAGCTTCGCTTGGGTCATCTCATACACATATTGTCCAAGATGTTCAACACTCTCCATGGGTGTCCCCTGTATATCATCATCCAGGATGCGTGTAGTGGGGAACATCTCTCCCGGAGCCAGCATCAGCTTATCCGGGCGTTTGAAAAGAATATCAAATGCTGGCTTCAGCTCAAAACATGTCTCGAACACCTCGCGGCGGCCTAGGATGTAAAGCCCAAGGCGAGCGCGAGAAAGGGCAACGGTTAGACGGCGAACATCGCGCAAGTAGCCTACCGAGCGTGTTCGAGTGAGAGATAAAATGACGTCTGCAAATTGACGAAGATTAGCACACTTTTCGAGATCCTTCAAAAGATTGGTTCTACTCACAGTCATTTTGCTCGCCCTGGTACCTATCCACAGTGGTAACAATCTTTGGCATGCCAAATAGGGCATTCTTCGCGCAGCGATGATTCAAAACATCTTTGATCAAAGCTGTTTGCCCAGCGTAGGTCGCGAGAATTGATATCTTAGATGCCGGGTAACCCAGCAATCGCATGTATTGGTAGAGAGCAACAGCATACTCAGCTTCGCCAAGGTTCTGGATGAAATGAGGTGTGGGCTCCCGTTCACCATTACCCTGGTAATCGGGGATATTGATGAATTGATAGTCGAACAGCAAACCTGCGTTTGCCTGTTTGAACTCCGGTGCAGTCTCTACCACAGGTAAATTTCCTAGCTGTTTGTATCGCCACTGGAAGAGCTCTGCAATGCTAGGCCTGGATCTTCCCTGACGGTCGAGGGTGATGGTAGGCACACCCAACCTCACCAGACGCAGGAAAAGGCTTTGCTCAAAGTGGGCATACTGACGGAACGCCAAATTCTGGATAATCGGCGAATTTTGGAGATGATCACCACACAGTACGACACGTTTCAGCGACAATTGCCCGTTCCTCATATTCTGGAGAGCACAGGGGATAAAGCTCTCAACCTCTGTAATCTGTGCGGCTTCTTCCATCACAACATTATCATAATGGAAACCAAGGTCTGCAATCTCTTGGCGACGCATGGCAGCATGTGTTGAGGTCATAGCGATGATCCTGGCTTCCTTGAGAAGTAAATAGTTTGCCTTGTCTCGGGGTTGCCGCAAGATCTCGAATGGACGGATGTCTTCAAGCTCCGAGAATATTTTTTCGATATGAGACTGACATCCACTTATAACATCAAGAATCTCATCTCTGGAGGCTTCGGAGTTGAACAATGGTTGGGGTGCATTGGCAAAGTAGGTTTGGAAAGGGAACCCTGCCTTTACTTCCTCCTCCGTGGAATTGTTGGAGCGAGCTAGGTCCCAGAACTTTGCCCATGCCGGCTGGACATAAACAGTGTTAAAATACCCAGCTGTCTCACAGGAATTACCATGTGCGCCCTCGGCTCCGATGGATGCGGCCAATCGCGAAACCTCAGCAAGATAGTAAGTGCGGTTCTCAAGGAAAGATTCGACCCTGCCGAACTTGCTGTAGCTAGTCTCAGTCTCCAACTCTTCTTCCCCGTGACCAAGCCTGAGAAGATGCCGTTCATCAATATCCAGGGCGACGATCTTTTGGAAAAGTTGGTTCAAAGCCTGGTTACTATGTGCAATCAATAAAGTCCGCTCTTTCGGGAAGTTATGATATATGTTGCTAATGATCTGGGTTGCCACGTCGGTTTTGCCAGTGCCTGGGGGACCAACGATAACGGTGAGACCTGGTTGTGTCCCGGATGCAATGGCTTCCACCTGGGAGGGAGTGAAGGAGACGGTGTTGAGCTTTGGAGCATCGACAGGATAGGGACCTGGATTGGGCGGCTTGTACGTAGAGACGCGAAGAGATTGAGACTTTGTTGGAGCCTTTTCAGCTTGGTTCTTCCGCCTTTTCTTTGATGGAGGCGCATTAGTCTCCTTCGCCGCACCTTCTACATACTCAAGGACATAAGGTGGTCCAAAGCTCGAATCCTCGTGTCCTGTGGGATCAATGGTCGAGCCAGGGAAGCTCTCGATCAAATGCTGCCAATTCAAGAAGGTATCACGGAAATCAACAGACTTGAGGCGATTGGGCAGCTCTGTCCACCGAGCACCAGCCGGATCACCGTAGCCAAGGAAAATGTCTTGAACCCAGGAAGGAAGAGAAATATCCGAGACGATCAATTTCTGCATTGTCTCCAGAATGGGCTTGAAATTGTTCTCTCTGCCCTTCCTTCGTGCAATGACATTGATGAGGGGATAAATATCCTGTTTTCCTTGGGAGCCGCGATCCTTGTCTGCCTTGAAGGCTGTGGTATCAAGATTGACTAGCAATTTTCTAAGGCGAGGTCGATGGCCATACCCATTCGTCTGCCCTGCAGCAGGTTCACGAAGAGGACGGCCACTTTCATCGAGGATTTGTACAATCTCTGCAGTCCTCAAATAGGTCAAGCGAGGCGCGTCAACCGAACCCTGGTTTCGAGGTATGAATTTTGCAGATGAGCCGGTTTGCACAGCCAAAAGAAAGATCACATCATCCGGTCGGAGAGAATCCCATTCTCTTCGCACATGATCGGCCAGCCTGCCAACCTCAATCGCTATCTCAGCTCTGACGAATGCTGGCTTTGAGGAGCCAACCTTCGGCTGCGCGACTTCAATAATCGCGGGGCTTGATATCGGGATAGCCATCCGCGAGAAGCCTTCAAACGAGACCCCTTTGCCTTCACGGCTGACCCGGGGCTGCATCTTTTTTACAATTGCTTCCATGTCTTTTCGTACTTGGAAAAATGACTCAGATCTGTATAACAGGAATGAGCGCCATAAGAAGTCCCCAAGGCTGAGGTACTGGAGGTTCAGCTTCGGGATGGCAAGGGGCCTTGACCCATCGTATGTTTCATTTCGCAGCGAGGCAGGGTCATAGAGACTTTCTTCCGTGGGAAGGACACTAAGCTGGTCGACGGCTTCCTGGAATGGTACCTTTCGTTCATAAACAGACAGGAGGATTTCAAGATACAGCTGTCTGTCGGGGAAAACATGTGAATGCTTGGGGTAGTCAGTTCTCAAACCAAGATGTGAACACAAGCTTTGCAGCTCCGATTCATCTAACAAAGCCAGTTGCCCTTCAAGCTCAGCACGCTGTTCAATTGTGCCGTAGTTTGATAGAGCAAGAATCATGAGTTTATCCTTGAAATGCTTCATCGAGGTTCTCTGCAATTGCGCAAGCTCTCGGCAGTGACTGTCGTATACCGCTTGCGAGCTGAGAGTTTCACCTGAATAATCATCAATTGCAAAGGTGACGAAATGCTTCAGGAGGTTGTAAAAGTCGCGAAACAGGGCATTTTCTGGGCCCCGATAGAGACTCGAAAGACGAATGACCGGGATGAGATTCAGATCCTTCAAAAGCGTGTTGACATATCGTCTCGTCGGTAACTGGCTGATCAAATCGACAAGCAGCTCCAAGAAACGCTCACAGTACCGCAAATCGTCCGCTTGTTCCTTTTCCGTCCCATTCAGTCTCCGGAGAAAGTCGAGCAGCATGGTGTACAACCAAGAGCGATCAAATCTCATCTTGGACTTTGCTGGCTCGTCAGCTGCATCGTATCGTTTCGAAGAAGCCCTCCAGGCTTTGCGAAGAGAAGGGGCCTTCCCCAGTAAATTCTCCCTGGCCTCTTCGCTCAGCAAGTTGTGCCATATCGAGATCGACACCAATGGCGCGCATTCCTTTCTAATCAATGTATTTTCCAGAGATTGGAAAGCGCTAACCAGGAACGAAATGATCGATAGGCGCGAAGACGTAGGCAAGGAATTATCAATGCTCATGGACAGGACGCGATGGAATAGATTCGAAAAATCGTCCGGCCGATCGGCGAATATGTCTAGTTCGCAGGCAAGTCAGTCACAATCCGGGCCTAAAGATCGGAAGAAGAGCGATATAAAAATCAGGCTTACCCCATATCGGCAGATGCTCGCGCTGTTTTATACTCACAACCAGTGCGATCAACAAAATATGATGGTTCGAAGCATCCTCCGTGTAGCCCGGCCACAGGAACCTGCACCCAATTAGCACGTAAACTCAGCGCAATCCAGGGGCCTAACACCGTACTTTTCCAAGATGCTTAGATTCTCCAATGTCAGTAGAGAACGGAGACTGAATCCCTCCTCCTCTAGCCGATCCCAGACCTCCTTCTTCACGACCTCCGGCTTGACCTTGCGGGCCTTCTTCTTCGACGTCTGGAGCCAGTGACTCTGGGCTAGCTTGACCCAATGACTATCCTCTTGGAAGTCCTCCACGGTTGGCCTAGATTCAAGGCCCGGTGCCATGGCAGAACGCGTCTGGAGCCCCATGTCGTGGTCGATAATCTGCGCTGAGAAAGCGGAGGGTGGTCTCCGATTTCCTGTCTGCACTGGTGGTCCAAACCGGAAAAGCTCCAGGCGCCCAGGCGCGCGCAGTCTAGCCGTTAAAGTAAGGCGGTTAGATCCCGCAGAGCCGCACCTCCTGCAACACCGGATCACTGCAACGCTGCCACTGGATTGCTCTTTCTTTTCCCAACAGAATAGCCAGGATGGCAGAGGTGGCAGTCGACGCTATTCCTGTTTACAGGAGGCTCATCGGGCGTCTCTTGGAGCGAGCAGAGGCCGCCAAGCCTGTCAAATCAATCGAGCCGCCTTTGACAGAGTCGCATCTCGGCGACTCAATATGGGCAGTTACTGGGGAGGACCAAGCGCAAGTCGATGTGCTGAGCCAGCAAGCACGATATGCTACGGTGGAGATTGCTTTTCGAGAGAATTTCTACAGCCTCTTGGTGCGATCATCTATGTTTCCCCCCCCTTCGATAAGCTAGAGATCACGCGAGCTGACCGCGCCTCTTTGACAGGCGACAACATCGATTGACCAGCCGGCATTTATTCAGATATGGAATCTGCTCGATATAATTTCAATATTCTCCGATAATGGTGCGTGGATGCAGGGCTATACAATGAACGCTGCGGTCTAACAGCCCTAGAACAATGCGAGCCGGGTCTAATATTCTGGCTGATCGAAGAGCTCCTCGACAGCCAGACAATTGACAGCTGTCGCAAAGTTTTCGACTACCTTGAGTCTCGGAGGGAACAAAACACAAAGGTATACAGCTTTATCGCGTTCTAGTCTCCTCTTTTTGCTCTCTTGACTGTTCGCTAATAAAACTGCTATAGAAACACTTCAAGCAGAAAAGCCTGATCATCTTGAGATCTTGCAACGAACTCCTCCGGCGGCTTTCTCGTGCAGAAGATACGGTCTTTTGCGGACGCGTCTTCATTTTCTTGTTCCAGAGTTTTCCCCTGGGCGATAAAAGCTCCGTTAACCTTCGAGGAGAGTACCATACGGAGAATGTTACGACATTCGACGAGATCGCCAAACTGGCTGTTCAAAATGAGAATATTGATATAGATGGCGATGAAAAGGACCTACTCTCTACGGCATCCGAACCGATGAAAGTCGACGAATCACAGACACCAATCGGTGCTGGAATCCAAGTAAACAGTCAAGACTCAGGAATACTTCCAAAACTCACGGTGTCAAAAGTGATCGATGGTGACTTGACTGAAAAAGTTGATCTAAACGATCTCTATCCGAAGTTTTGGACATTGCAGGCGTACTTCTCAGCCCCGACAAAAGTTTTTGATTCTCAACACTTCGCATCATTCAAATCGGGTCTCGAGGCCACTCTTTTGACTTTCAGAAACGTCACCACGGATCTGGAAGGTCAAGGCAGCTTGCGAAATTCAGAAGATGTGCGTAAGTCTGCCAAAAGAAAGCGAACAATGGACGGAGCCGAAATCGCTAGCAACTTCAACCCCAAATATCTCACCAGTAGGGACCTATTCGATCTCGAGGTAAGAAATTCCGGCTCTTCTTTCGCACATCAATTCGCTCATGTCAAATCAAAACAGGTTAGCGACACGGCTTTCAGGCGGCATGTTCTTGTCCAAGCTCTTATTCTTTTGGACTTCATGCTTTCCCTGACGCCCAAGGCGAAAGCTCGATTGGCAGATCTCACAAATAAATCCGTGCTCTACGGCTTTGTCCTTGGCGAAGAAGATGTAAGTTTTGTCTTTACCGCTTCAGCTGTCGTAGGCCATCTAACCATCTTCAGGCTCAATGGGCCACGGAAATGAGAAAGGCGATCGAGGAGTACCTACAGGAAGGTCTAGGTGGCAAGTTCTACTACCGCATGGTGGACACCGTGCTTTCAAGAGACAAAAATTGGGTACGGTGGAAGGCCGAAGGCTGTCCGCTCATTGAAAGACCTCCTGTCTCGGTGAAAGAGTACTTAGGGGCTCGCGAACATGCAACTAAACTCTATGCGAATAAACGCCTTCGACCGTCTCCAATGGGATCTCTTGACCTGAAATTTCTATCCGAGGGAGAGTCTACAACAAAGTTTGAGCGGCTCAAGGAACCAGATAGGTAAGGCCTCTTGATTCTTGATTCTTATTTCCAAGACTTCGAGCTTACATTGAAAAGGTCGGATACCCCTAACCCAGAGTCCTTCATGATGGGCATCATGGACGACGAGCTCGACATCGACATGGCTCAGTCCAAGGAGGACAAAGAAAATGCGACGAGAGCCAAGGCTAGCAAGATCTGGCGGATGCTTCGTCTGTCATCACGGAGCAAACTTTCTGTCTTCGATCAAATTGAGGATGGTAAAAACATCAAGATCCTTTTCGAAGCACCAAAAACCGCCACTGAGTCTGCAAACACCACAAACGAACCCGAACAGGGACAAGCAAACGCCGAGGAGAAGGTCGAGAAGGAGGGAACACCGGCTGATGCTTCCAATACTGCGGATGCTCAGGACCGCTCGGCCACTGTGACGTAAACCCGACGTATTCGGTGGCAGTCGCTACACCTTTCTCACCGACCCCTATCAATGTCAAGGCAAAACGGGTCATGGCCTAGACTGCTCTCGAGTAGTCTCTTGGTCAGGGGTACAACGAATTGATCACGGAGCTCTTTCAAAGGCCATCATATGAACATTGCTTGACAGCAGGTCCCACCTGGCATCCGGTATTTCCGAGCGCCTGCATTCGGGTTCTTGTTTGGCAATTACAAGAATCTGAAGCAACCGGATCGTCAAGGAGCTGTTCGCAGTCGAACTTAAAACTGCAGGCTGCAGAGACGGGACTCTGAACGACGAACATGGCCACCTGGCGCCGAGTGTGATTAGAGACTCTTCTCTCGACGCGTGGGTGGGCTCTGTGGCACGGCACAGAGCGGAGATTAGACCCCATATGCAATCTATCCTACCGGTTCTTGTGTCGAAATACCCCCTCAAGGCGTGATTATTTTGCAGCATTGTTGGTGCTGCGCGAGGCGAAACGACTTGTGTTATGTGCTAGATAGTCGTAACTCCAATTAGCTATTATTGCCTGGGATCATCAGGTTATAACACTAGAACATTCTGTCTAGCTCCCAAACTTGGTAATCATCAAGTCTATCATAGACGCTTAGAATTAGATGTCACCGTAGACGTTATACCAACAGATTTTACCTGCTGATAGTGACCATCCAAGCACTCCTCCAGCTTCCAAGCTCCAGTGCCAAGCGGTGATCGGAAGCGTAGGATTCTTAGCTCTTATCTACGTAAACAGCAAGTAAGACATGCAATCGTGCCCACATGATACTTAATCGTATAGGACTTAATTTCCCAAGCCCCTGGTTCGTGGCGGCGTTCGCATACGGACCTCGGTTTGACAGCTCTTCCCTTGTACTTTGTTCACGTACGGAGTACTCCATATGGCGGGCGTTCAGGCGACCAGCGCCCAGGATCACCAAGTGGAGCAGACAGGCCTGCACTGACCAGCTCTTCGAGAAGGAGAGCAGCGAAGAAAGTTTGAGAATCGCCCAGAAAGCAAGAAGCGCACATGCCACACACTGTTCTTGCGTCTGTGCTTCTTTTGTTGGGGGAGGGGGTGGGAGGGGGGTTTGTAGAAGAGGGGAAAGGGAAGGAATTGGAAAGCCTGACGGTCGCTACCACTGATGGTGGACGGGCCGGGTTCAAGCCTTGCTTAGACCGGCTCGGAATCCTCTTCCATCGTTGCTGCTAGGCCTTTGCATGTCAGCCAGCCAGCCAGCCAGGAGGCTCCCTGGGGGGCTAATAGCCTAATTACCCAACCATGCGAAAAACATGGAGCATCCGCAAAACAAGATGATTATTATGACTATTATGATGAGTATTATTATTGTCGATGCCTGCTCCGAGACCTTGTCCTTTCGGCCGATTCTGGCCCCGTTTCTACCCACGGAGAGCCGCTCTCTTGTTCCTAGTCCTGTTTGAACTTTGGAGCCACTCCTCGAACCCTTTTCCCCCGATGATCCTGTGGATTTCGATATTATTTATGCTTGCAGAATACGGGATAGGGGAGATCGGTACAAACAGATGGGCCTTCGGGGCCTTCTGTGTACTCCGTACCGTGGAATCGAAGAGCGCCATCATCAAGACGGTTCCAGCTGGGTCATAGATCTACGACGGACGAGGCAATTAATGAGGTTTCATCTTTACAGAGGAGACCCGCACAGACTGGAAACCGATGGAAGAGAGAAATGGAGACCTGAACGAACCTAGGGTAGACCTAGGCTTTTTGGATCAACTGCAGATGACAGGTAAGTGCCGTGTTCCACCGTGAAGCTGCTACGAATCACGGAGTCCTCTGTGTATGGAGTACTGTTACAGAAGCTAGTTAACGGAAGACGCGTCTCTCTCTGACTGTCGACAGACGCGCAGGATTCAAGTGAGGTGATAACTAGGACCAAATGGGGACGTGAAGCGACCTCTGGCATGGCTGATCATGATACGGAGGGGAGAACCGTTGCGTAAGACAAGCACGGAGACAATTATACCGAGGCATTCCTCAAAAGTTCGAACCTGTCAAATGAGCGCCAGGACCACCATCTGCAGTGGAAATGAGCAGGCTGATGGGGTGGAAATGAAGGGTAGACGCGATGCCTCTTGGCACCCACGCGAAGCCGAAATTAAAGTTGCTCCCAATGGATCTCCATCCAGCACGACTCAACCGAGATCGAGCGATTTCGATCGCTGTCCCATCAAGAATGTTGGTCGATGAGTCGATGGAATACCCTTGGGTCCGAGATTGTTCTGGCCGTGGTTTTCTTCCCCCGCACCATGCCTCCTGGCCTACGTTCCGCTTGGCGCCTCGATGAAATGATCCATGACTCGGCACCCCTGTCCAATGCCCACCACTATCTGGCAACTATCTAGTCAGTGTCCACTTCGCTTCCCTTCTCGTTGAGCTCAAGGGATAAGGCATTCCCATTCCCCAAGCAGAGGGCAAGACTGTCGGACTGCACAGCCATTTTACTTCCAACGGATCTCACTCTCTCAGAACTGATGGAATGGCCAGAGATTCTCTGTTCCCCCCCCCTCAGATGAGGTCTGTGGAGATTATTGCAAATTTTTCGGGGACGCTTCGATACACCGTGTGTCCCTGCTCCAATAGCGGATTGGATTCTTGTTTTTTCATTGCCTAGTACCGAGTACGGAGTAGTCAAGGTGTTTCGCCGTTTCAGTCACACTGGTTTAGCGGTACCTGTCGACCGACCCCTGCAGCTCGGTATTTGGCTTCGGGATTGGAGGGGCCTTTGCGAGGACTCGCTCTCGTTCGGGAACATCGTCACTACTCCACCAAACTGTGCAGCCTAACCGAGATCCATGTGCTATCGACTCTGTACCTCCGTACTCCGGACGGGAGATATTCCACAAACAGAAGTCGGCTAAAAAAAAAAAAAAACAAGAGATACTCGCTTCCACTTTGGTTATCAGCTACGACGACTTAACGGGTAGGCGTGATTGGTTTCTTCAGATTATTCCGTCCGATCGCCTTCAAGGGGCTTGTTGATACCCTAGGTAGATTCCAACTACGTAGATAGCCTCATGGCCAAGTTTTGCTCCGGACCGGCACCGCAGGAACCACTTGGCACACTTGGCACTGGGCATCATCTTCACTCCTATGATCATTGATCACCGATCACCCAGGCACTAACTAACGTACCTTACCGTCCTGCAGTCCTACTAATTACATTCCTAATTAACAGTTATGCATATTTATTGCCGCCTCCTCTAGCGTGGAGAAGATGACATAGCTAGGTAAAGTTTCTTCCAGGATAGGATCAGAAAGACAAAACAACAGAGACTGCAGCAGATCCACTTTCTTCTTCCTCCTAGAACCTACCTAACTCTAATGAGGCCGGACCCAAGCTTGTCTTGTACTGAGTACGGAGTAACGAGTTACCTAGTTACAGTAGGTAGTTACGAAGGAACTACCCAAGTTTAGGGAAGCTAGACCAGAAAGGTACCCGAACAAACCCATTTAGAATAGTGGTACCTTCAAGGTTAGTTCTGTAGCTGTCAGTTAACTCTACCTTAATAATACTACAAATTATCATAACACAGAGCCAGTACCTAAAGTACTACTCCGTACACAAATCTCTTACTCCTGTCATTTTTTTCCAGCGCTTCAGTTTGGCTTGCGTCCGCCCCTGACCCAAGCAATTTCATGCAGGTGCGCTGAGGGTGGACCGTGGAGTCGCGGTTTCCCCTGGGATTCGAATGGGACCACATTCGGCAACGGTTCTAACGCCTATCTCCGCCCACATCAGTCCAGTTCCCACCAAACAACTGACTGGCTGCAGCGACCAGGGCCGCACAGTGCGCTTTGCAATCATTCCTGAATCCTGAGCTCGCCTCCCCCCTGTCACACACCCGAATTTTGATACGCGACAGGGGAGAGGCTCTTGACTCTGCAAAAATTTCTCCACGAACCCTGTCGCAGCCTGAGTTCGGTAAGACCTTTGTACGGAGTCCAACGGAGTTGTCGTAGCGGGTACCGCTCTTGTTCGTTTCGTATTCTCGGGTTCGGCGCTATACACTTCGTCCGTCGATTGATCTTGTGTTTAGGACCGTCGTTTCTCTTCTCTTGGCCGGACGGTTTCGAACTTCGGACAGCTCAACAATTCTGCCTGCTCCTCTCTCTCTCGCTCCCTCTTTCTGTGGATGCCTGGAATCAGGAATGGTTGGTACTCCTCCGATCGTGGTGATGCTGCTGGCCTCCAGTCGGCCAACTTCCATGGGCTCCGTACGAAGATCGGCATCGCTCTAATTTACGCAGAGCAAACACCGTTGACTGGTTGAATCCCGGCGCCTGACTGGGCTAATATTCTCCGAGCTTATGGAGCGTCTCGGCACTGGGCAGCTTTCTTGTTTCCCTGTCGTCGTGGCGGCAGGCATGACTCTCGAGTGGCCACTAGCCCTCCTGCTTTCTGCTGGAAATCCGTGGCCGAACAGTTCTGGTGGCTGATGGGGCCAACGCAGCTTGCGAGAGCACAGGTCTCCCTCCCACATGGTTTGCCAGGCTGCGAGCCTCTGGCAGGACCCGCAGGGCAACCAGGGTCTAGTAGTCTACCTAGGTACCCTTCTAGACAACGGTTAGCGGGGGTCGATGGGCGAACCGGTGTCTGACTGGCAGATGTGGCTCTCCCGAGGGTATTTGGCGCCGGTCCCACGTCGGAAATTGTTCGACGTGCGTGTGGACAAAAAAAGTCGTGCAATAGTCCCTCCGTAGTCGTGACGGGGGGGGTAGTAGGGGTAGGGGTAGGGGTAGGGGTCAGACACTACTACTACTACTACTACTACTACTACTAACTACTACTACATACTACCTAGTACTCCGTACAGAGTACGGAGTACGGAGTACTCTCTCTACAACGACGTCCTGATTGTGGCGTGCACTGTGCAGACCTCACACAGTGGTGCAACTGGGTTTACTGGATCGGAGGATCGATCACTGCAACCTGGTCTGTCTGACTGCTGCTTGACGTACTAATTTCACAGCGCGGTCGTCGTCGACAGGCATGATACATTGCCAATAAGGCCACTGGCCCGCTTTAACAGAGGTTCATGGCTTCTTGTTCGCCACTTTCTGCTCTCCCTCCGCTCACAACCGTACGCCCCCCTCCCTACTCTCTCTCCACTCCTCCCGAATGTTTCTCCTCCACGCACCTCTTGCTTCGATCGAAGGGCTCTCTCTCTCTCTGCTACGTGAGGTTCCATTACTCTTGACGTCCGGTCGGCAGATACCAGGGAAGAAACTCTCTGCCTGATTTCTGCCTGTAGACAATCCTTGAACCTAGGCTTCTCAAGCTTCCCCCTCCCTTCCCCGTGATTTATTCATAGACGCATAGGGATAATGTTCTGTACCTTTCTATCCACTTTGCTTCCTCCAGTATCTCCAGTATCTCCATGTTGATGTGGTCGTTTCGTTGAATTACCCTTTTCTATCTATCAACTCTTGCCATCTCCCCTGTACGAAGTAGCAGCTCATAACCAGCAGTTCTGTTCTCCACCAACGCCCTCCCCCCCCCCTCTCTCTCCCTGTCTCTCTTTGCTCCCCCTCCCCTCAGCGTGCATGTTCTTCACCGTCTCCCACCCTCCTCTTGTCTGATTGGCGATCATCCTTTTTTTTCCCTCTGCTAGTCGGGAAGCTCCACCGTTGGTCTTCCTCTCCCTCCCTCCCTCATCGAACCTAACCTTCGGGATCATCGAACTAGACACCAGTAGTAGGATCAGCAGCAGCAACGACATCTCTATCAATCTCTCTGGTCCTCCGAGAGGAGAAAATCGGGCATCGACCCTTGAGCAAGAACACGGGCCATTTTTCGCCATCCGAGGAGTTTAACATTCGGGGGCGCCTGACGAGGACCGACTCTTCCCCCCCCCAGTGGAACCCTGTTCGGTCTCGACAAGGCCTGCGGCTAATAAGACTATCCCATCTTTTTCCCACTCTCTTGGCTCTCTCGATCCCTTGTCAAAGCTTCCAAGCACGTTTCTTGCGCCCCCCCTCCCCCCTCTATAACCTTCCATCCACATTCCGGGAGCTCCTACTAGGTTTTGAGGACCCAGTAGAGGATCTGCTTCCCTTTTTGGTCCTTTTGGCACCTGGTCCGAGCACGACCTGACCCATCACCCTCTCCTTTCTCGAAGCTACGGAGGAGGCGGAGCAGGCGTGAAGATATTGGGTCTTGGTGATCCATTTGCCTGCTGTTCTTCCCTTCGCCAGTTCCCGTCCCGGCACTCGTTGCTCGCAAACACCCAGCAGTGTGTTTCATCAAGTCAGTCCTTGGGGTGCAGAACGTCAGTAGGCGCGCAGGGCTGTCATCTGCAGCCAACCTGTGTGGAGGAAAAAGGCCTTACTACTACTCCCACCATCACTTTTTATGCCGCCGCGATCCCTTCAATCTCCCGTTGCCCTCTTTTGGTGACGCCCTTCTCCCTCAGGAACCGCCCCGACAGGTCGTTGAGACCCACATTATCCTCCTTTGTTTCTGGTCTCCAGACGCCATCGATTCCTTTCTTTTTTATCTTGCAGCCGCGGTTCACCCGGGCCTCTGTTTCCTTGATTACCGTCATTGCTACGCCTGTTTCCCCCTCCCCCCCCCCCCATCTATCCCCTCCTTCGATGCTTGTGCCATAGAGGCATGGAATAGGACATCTCTCTGTTTTCTATCATGTCAACCACTGGACCTTGTCTCTGGATTCCACCCTTTTCATCACCTCCCCATCTTCCTGGAGTGCCAGACTACGTCTCAACGACGACGGCAACCTGGGATAGCGAGCAGATTTCACCCAAGTCCAAGATATTCCCGCTGAGGCTACCCTTGTACTCGCGGGAGAAGGAAGGAGGGTCTGCCAAGCAGCTCATGGACGTGATGCAAGAGCCAGTCAAGGCCGAGAGCAACTTCGCTCATATCACGGATCCAACGTCTAACCACACACGGTATGTGGGAAATGATCGATTGCCAACGTCGACAGACAATTCAAGGCTGGGAAGAAATGAGCAGCATGTTCCTCTATCAACGGTGAACGAGCTGCCAAGCTTGACCTGTGAGGAAACTGCCTTTTCCATTGGCGACGATGCCGGTCATTCAAGCTCGCCAAGGGACCTCACACCAGACTCGGTCAAGGAGGAAAAGGAAGAGATGCAAATCGATGATCAAGCAATGCATCAGGAGGGCGACGAGGGAGCAGAGTTTATCGGTGGCGATCAACAAGAATCATCCACCGATGTCAAACCAGACAAACGAAAGATGAAGCGATTTCGGTAAGGGACGATTTCTTTATCTACGGGATTCTCAATGTTTGCCTTGAAGCTGACCAGGACTTTCCTTCCCTCCTAGCTTGACACATAACCAAACTCGCTTCTTGATGAGTGAATTCACTCGCCAGGCGCATCCAGATGCGGCACAGCGGGAGAGGCTGTCAAAAGAGATTCCAGGACTGACCCCACGTCAGGTTCAAGTATGGTTCCAGAACAGGTAAGACGAATACCAGATTTTCCCAAATTAACCAACTCCTCCCTGATTCTGACATTTACTTGAAGACGAGCGAAACTCAAACGCCTAACAAGCAACGATCGAGAACGGATGCTGAAGTCACGAGCCCTACCGGACGATTTCGACACGACCAAGGTGCTCCGAACTCCCTTTGACCATAAATCAGGGGCCGACGGATCTGTCTCTTCGCCTGGAAACCCTATGCCTGCCAGTCACGACACAGGGCTGAAGATGCTACTCACAGATGGTCTGCAAGGCCCTCACGAGGATGACTACATGATCTCACCTCTCAGCGCCGCCTCCGCTGGCGGGAATTACTTCCCCTCTGGTACACCTGACGGTACTTCGATTCACTCCTTATTTTTTTCTTTTCCTGCTAGTTGATAACTGAACTGTGCTGACCAATGTTTCCGTGGTAGGGCTATCGAGGGCTCCTCGCAGCACTTTCCCTTTTCCCAGATCCAGCAGTTTTTCGGATGCAGCAACTCAGCCCCCGTCGTTCATGCACGGATTACAATTAAACAGGTTCTCGCGAACGATGACAACCCCGATGGCTCCCTCACAAATGCCATACGCATCGAACGTCATGAACTATCGTCTCAATCAACAGCCCAGTAGCATGATAGTCGGCTATGAAAACCAACAGGCAGTTGAAGGTTCCGTCTCCCCCACAGTTCCAGAAGGCGGGTACGGGATGGAGAACCAGAGTAAGTAAACCCCTCCCACCCAACACAAGGAAATAAAAAAAAAATGATGAGTTACTTACACGATTTCTCGAGCAGATCATCCAGTCCCCAGCTACCAAACGCAACTTGGGATGCCGGCTACCAACATGAGTTCGCACATCCCCCATAGCCGACACATGACGATGCCTTCTGCGCCTGTGACCACATCCCAGGATTACCGCACCTTCACATACGATACCTCCTACGCCACAAACACAAACCTCCCCTATGCCCACGCGAACGCCTCAAGCATGAGTCTTCCAGCATCTTTCCCGACCACCGATGCTGGGAGTGCACCCTCAAGCGGCGTCTTCGGCGCTCCTGACAACCGGATCGGGGCCCAACACACAGTGGAGTCGCTACGAAACAAGTTCTCCTACGAATATACAAGTTATATTTAGGAAGTGCGGCAGGCTGGTGGCTGCTAGAATTCTTTCTCGACTCATCTCTAATCCTAATATTTTCTACGTTCCGTTCTACACCAGCCGCGTCCGATCCCCCTTCGTCTTCACTTTTTGACATATACATATTTTTCTGAGATAATTACGGCACATCAGTTTCCAACCTAAGGAACGAGCGAATATATTCCACTCGTTATTATTATTTTGGGGGAAGGGGGTTTTTTTTGATGCCCGCCAATCTATATATTTTTTTCCCTTCAATTCTTCTCTGTTAAGTTATCGCCTACTTCTGTTGTATTTGCCTTCTGTTACTTTGTCTTGATTAGAACGGGGGAAAAAATTCGCTTCTTACGTGTCTGGGTATTGCATTGCTGGCGGACCATCGCGGCGTTTTATTTTTTACTTATTCTTCAGCTGTATCTTATATGGGAAACGAATAGTCTTGGAGTGAATTGGTGGATGGATTTAAGCCATAACTTTAATTTTGATTCAAGAAGTGATAGAATAGGCGCACCCTATTAACAACATGCCTTGTCATATAACTTAAAGGAATGGTTCGTCTTTTTGGACGAGTTCCTTCTTCCCAACAACCCGTTTACTATCGAATCCTAGTACCTAGTATACGTATCTTATACTTCTCGTCAGTGAGATATTCCTCTGGTAATTAGAGAACTCTACATTGTGCCGTCTGAATAGAAATTGTGACATGTATATCAGGTATTCTTGAACACCGTTTTCTAAAGAGGACCCGGTATAGACGACGTCTCTCGAGAAACCCCTAGCATTCTCTTTCTGAGTCATACGTACCTAGGTTAGGTAGGTACTAGGTAGGTAGGTAGCAATCTCTAGTTATACCCGAGTACGATACTAACCTGACCCATAATGGAGACAATCATTCTATTTTAGGAGTCTAAGACTCTAAGCATCTAGATCATGGAAGCTTAATGAGAAAGACCTATGAGAGATGATCTATAGGTCATCTCCAGAAGCGTCCTGCCAAACCGTCCACTCACCGTAGAGATATTCCAGAAAAATCGGGAAATGGCATCCAAGTCCACTGTTGGATGGCCCAATCACAGCCGCACCGTTGCAGTCAGGAGATCCTTGAGTAACCGACCAATCAGCGGGCTCCCGTTGCTAAGCAGCGGCGGGTGACCCAACTCTATAAAGGTCGGTCCTGCCTGCAACCTTGACATGACAGTATTAAGTACCTGAATGGCATGATCTGTTTGTCTTCTTGACTCCTAAGGTTTCTCTATTCCCCGTTATCACGGAAACACTTTCTACAATTTTCCTCTAGCAATCTCTTTTGTCAGACTCGACAACCAGTCACCCCGTCCAAATTACGTCATAATCGATCTTCTTCCCTATCAACTACCTTACCCCTCACTATCAAAAATGGTTCACCCGGCTTCGACCTGCTGCAAGAACACCCAGGACGGCAGCTGTGCCTGTGCCGCCCAGGCCCGCTGCTCCTGTGGTAAGGAGTCTGCTCTGCACTGCTCGTGCAACAAGGCTTCTGCCGAGAACACCGTCTCTGGACCCCGCTGCTCATGCCGTAAGTTCAACCAAAAATAATACCTTGGTAATCGTTGAATAACGTTAAGACAGGCGCCCGTCCCGCTGGACAGTGCACATGCGAGAGATCCGTGACCGAGAACCAGCCGGTATCAGGGACCACATGCCCGTGTGGCAAGCGGCCAGATGGTTCGTTGTCTCCATCTATTACCTACTTACTAAGGTTGTCTTGTTTCGATCACTGACCTTGGCGATTTAGCTTCCTGCACCTGCGAGAAGGCTGCGGCCGTTGACTCTGCTGCTGAGGCTTTGGAGATCGACTTCACCGGGCGTGCTTGATTGAGTTTGAAAATATTCTCTTTCTGGCTTCGAAATTGAGTGTGCTTGATTCGGGTGTTCGGGTGTTCGGGTGGATTCTGTTAGGATTCTATTAGCCATTCAGCATGGGGAAGGCTTTGCATACTGTACTTGTTTATACCTATTAGTATCTCTGGAATCGACTGCAAGGGAGCAGCTTCACATACAATAGCCGTCAATGAAGTTTCATGAATGATATCATATCTATCGGCATCTTCTTTAGCGCTTACTTGAAATGTAGATTGAGATCAATCTCTTGAGATATGTAGGGAGGAACATCTTGTGGTAACTAGATAGTAGTTATATTACTAGACCAGTCACCAGAGCCTATGAGCCTGTGGGCCTGAGGCATATATCACGTGGACAAGACCGTTAGACTGTCACATGACAAGAGGTACATAAGCCACGTGACATCTGCTTTCCACCGCAACAACATTCCTCCGCGGTGGAGAGCAGATCAACGGCCAAAGCGGTGGAAACACGGAGCTGCTGGAGCACAATGAGCACAAGACGCGCCGAGAGGGAACCGTTATCGTATGCTTGAACTCTAGGATTCGTGTCCCTTACCCTTTGATGTAATTCCGTGGTATCCCCAATATTCTCTGAAAAGCAGCTGACCGGTTCTGAGATAGTTTGAGCTGTCTCTTCGACTATCACCTAAAAGAGAACAATTTACTCTCCCCCCTCCTTGGGGTGCCCCTAACTATCGCCCAGGGCCGACCGAAATTACCGGATTGCGCGCCATGTCTAGATCGCTCCAATAGGAAAAAAAAATACTATGATTGTGTGAAGGTCGTCGGTTGAATAATTTCTGATTGGGGAAAAAATACATAACAACATCGAAGCGACTATACCTGCCTAAGCGGCCTCGGAGTCAAAACATGTCGTCGATGCGTGGATTGGTCCAGTTCATTGCGGACCTGCGGAATGCGAGAGCTCGGGATTTAGAAGAGAAGCGGGTGAACAAGGAGCTGGCGAACATCCGGCAGAAGTTCAAGGGCGGCAGTTTGAACGGGTACCAGAAGAAGAAATACGTCTGCAAGCTGCTCTATGTCTACATCCAGGGTTACGATGTTGAGTTTGGCCATCTCGAGGCCGTCAATCTTATCTCCTCCACCAAGTACTCGGAGAAGCAGATCGGGTATCTGGCTGTCACCCTTTTCCTCCACGAAGAGCACGAGCTGCTGCATCTGGTTGTCAACAGTATCCGCAAGGATCTCCTCGATAATAACGAACTGAATAATTGTTTGGCGTTGCATGCGGTCGCCAATGTCGGTGGCAGGGAGATGGGCGAAGCCCTTGGTGCCGATGTTCACCGGTTGCTCATTTCACCGTAAGATCCCCCCCCCCCCTTCGATGCCCCCATCGATGGGGAAGGGATACTTTGCTAACTACAGCTAGTACGTCTAAAGCGTTTGTCAAGAAAAAGGCCGCGTTGACTCTCCTCCGTCTCTATCGCAAATACCCGGGTATCGTGCAGAACGAATGGGCGGAACGTATAATTTCTCTGATGGATGATCCGGACATGGGCGTCACTTTGTCTGTGACTTCGCTCGTCATGGCTCTGGTGCAAGACAAACCAGATGAATATAAGGGGAGCTACGTCAAAGCGGCGCAGCGGTTGAAGAAGATCGTGGTGGACAACGATATCTCCGCCGATTATCTCTACTATCGAGTACCCTGCCCCTGGATCCAGGTTAAGTTGCTGCGCCTTTTGCAGTATTATCCCCCCTCCGGTAAGCAGCGCCACACCCTTGTGTTTCTATATACTATTACTCATTTGCGTCTATAGAGGATAGTCACGTTCGGGAGATTATCCGCGAATCTCTGCAGCAGGTCATGCATACAGCCATGGATACGCCGAAGAATGTGCAGCAGAATAACGCCCAGAACGCCATCCTGTTTGAAGCTATTAATCTCCTCATCCATCTCGATACTGAGCACAGCCTGATGATGCAGATCTCGTCCCGCTTGGGCAAATACATCCAATCCCGGGAGACTAATGTACGCTACTTGGGACTGGATGCCATGACCCATTTCGCGGCTCGAGCAGAGACTCTTGATCCCATCAAGAAACATCAGAATATTATTTTGGGGTCCTTACGTGACCGGGACATCAGCGTTCGTCGCAAAGGACTGGATCTTCTTTACAGCATGTGCGACACCACGAATGCAGGGCCGATTGTCAACGAACTCTTACGATACCTCCAGACAGCCGACTATGCCATCCGCGAGGAGATGGTGCTCAAGGTTGCCATTCTTACCGAGAAGTATGCCACCGACGCCCAGTGGTATATTGACATGACCCTGAAACTTCTATCGCTGGCCGGCGATCATGTCAACGATGAGGTGTGGCAGCGAGTGATCCAGATCGTCACAAACAACGAAGAACTCCAGGCCTACGCCGCCCAGACGCTGTTGGGATATCTCAAGACTGACTGCCATGAAAGTCTGGTCAAGATTGCCAGCTATGTGCTGGGTGAGTTCGGCCATCTGATTGCCGATACCAAAGGTTCGAGTCCAATCGAACAGTTCCTAGCCTTGCAAGCAAAAATGATCTCCTGCTCAGACAACACCCGGGCCATGATCTTATCGTCCTTTGTCAAATTCGTCAACTTATTCCCCGAGATCAAACCGCAACTCCTACAGATATTCCGTCTCTACAGCCACTCTCCTGATTCCGAGTTACAGCAGCGGGCGTTTGAGTATCTCTCCCTCGCAACGCTTCCTACCGATGATCTTTTGCGGACGGTTTGCGATGAGATGCCACCTTTTTCCGAGCGTGCTTCCATTCTCTTGTCCCGGCTACACCAGAGAACCGCAGGGACCAGCGACAAGAAGACCTGGGTCGTGGGCGGGAAAGACGCCAACGCCGACGACAAGGAGGTCCTGATGGCGCAGAAGACGGGCCTCAAGCGCACTTTCACTACGATTGTTCATGGTGGCAACAGGGCGCCAAACGGTTCCGCCAAGTCTTCGGACGATCTCGCCGGACTGGATCTCAACAGCCCTGTAACTCCCTCGGCCCCCGCGCCCAACATGGCCAGTGCCGCACACTTGACGCCGGACTGGGAGGCCGGATACAATCGCATGTATTTCACGGATGAAGGTGTATTGTTTGAGGATGCGCAGATCCAGGTTGGTTTACGGTCCGAGTACCGAGGCCACATTGGGGTCGTGAAGATCTACATCACGAATAAATCGTCATACCCGATCGGCTCGCTGACCACGACGCTGGACAACCGGGCGGCTCCGAACCTGAAGATCGACACGCGGAATTTACCTGATTCGACGGTGCATGCCGCAGCTCAGACGCAGCAGACGCTATTCTTCGAGGCGCACGGCGCCTTCTCCGATGCGCCAACCATCCGCATTTCGTACCTGGCCGGTGCACTGCAAGCGTACACGCTCCAGCTGCCCATCCTGATGCATCGATACCTAGAACCGTCGAGCCTGTCGGCGGAAGAGTTCTTCAAGCGATGGAGACAGATTGGCGGTGCGCCGCTGGAAGCCCAGAGCACATTCAGCGTGGCGGGCAAGAACAAGATGATTGACGAGGCATATACCCGGCGCGTCGTGGAAGGGTTTGGCTGGAAGATCCTCGACGATGTCGATCCAAACCCCAAGAATCTCGTCGGCTGTGCCGTCTACCAGTTTGAGAAGGGCAAGACGGGCTGTCTGCTCCGATTGGAGCCGAACTACGAGAAGATGGTACTCCCCCTTTTTTCCTTTTCCACCCCCTTCCTTTTGATATCTCTCTAACTATTTAGATGTACCGCGTTACTATCCGAGCTACACAAGAGGCGGTGCCGCAATGCTTGACCAAACAGATGGAGCAGAAGCTGTCCGAGGGCTTCAGGAGGGGCGGGTTAGCATGATTTGGAACTCCTTTCCTGGTTGTATATAGGTGATATTGAGCAAAGAGCATTGACGATTAGCGTTGATGATCTGTACATCGGCACATCCGCATTAATAAGCATGTTTATTGCGTATCATATGTACAATTCTTTTCTTCTTTCTTTCATTTTTGAGGAACCAAGTCATCCTTTTTTTAAGGCCTCTTCGGCGGCCGGTCTCCGAAAATGGTAGTCCCGACACGCACCTCATCGCTGCCCAGGGTGATGGCGCCCTCAAAGTCCTGGCTCATGCCCATGCTGAGTTCGAGCACAGCGTCGTCACCCGTGAGGGCGAGATCAGCAATGACCCGGTCTCGCGTCTCCCGCAGACAGAGGAAATCCTCGTTCTCTGTTTCCGGCGTGGTGGCCCGCGAGCGCGCGATCGCGCCGATAGTCATCAACCCCTGCAGTTTGAGACGGGGACATTTTTCACGGATGAAGCGACATAGAAGCGGCGCGGCGGCGGGGTCGACGCCCGCCTTAGACTCCTCGCCGGACGTATTCACCTGGACGAAGATCCGAAGGCGGTTCTCTCCTTCTAAAGTATTATCTCGTTCCCCCCATCCTTTATCCAACAGGGAAGCCTTCTTCTCTGTATCCACGCTTTCCACGGCCCAGAGACCACGCACGTCGCGCGCAAGAGTCACGCATTTGTTCGATTGTAAGCCGCCGATAAAGTGCCAGCGGATCCCTGGCGGGAGGAGACGCGACTTCTCCAGCAGTTCCTGCAGGTAGTTCTCGCCGAAATGGAGGTGTGGTGTCGGCGAAGCGGTATACAGGGCGAGCACGTCCGACGCGGGTTTCAGCTTCGATACTGCGACGAGACGGACCGGGTGCGAGGGGGAGGAGGCACGAGGCAGTGTTGTTGTCGTTGAGGCGGCGGAGACCCGCGCGGAGACAGCGGCCAGGTTGGCGATCAGGGTGGCTGTGCGGGAGGGGGAGGCAGCCATTTCTTCAGAGGGTGTGGTCATTGTACTTTATAATGAAGGAAAAGCAACCAGTTGGCTAATGGTGACTTATGCAGATAGTTACGGAGTACAGAGTAGATGAGGGGAGATAAGTGATTAGCAAAAATTGGGTTTCTGCCCCACTACAGAGTATAGGGAGTATAGCCAAGCTTCTAGTTATTATAATATCCTTTATAAGGACTGATTTATTCTCACCAAGGTATATCTATTCGAGTATTCTTAGTATAGATGATAATTGATATTATAAGCCACTGGGTAGGTTTGTACCTCAATGTAAAGAGCTCATTGGGCTAGATGGATTTGGTGGAGAATGAATCTTGCTATAGTCAAGGTAATGATTAAAGCAATGAGATTGGTATCGAGAGAAGCAAACTAATAGACAGAGAGCACAGTCATTCTAGTGTAGCAGAGCAGAATTGGGCAGAGGCAGACCTCGGCTCGTAGTTAATGCCTTATATACAAGGCATCCAGTCTAACCGGAAACAATGGGTTCGTGGTTCAACACGTGATGCGGGAGATCAGCAGATCGCGACGTTCGACAAGCGACAGCGACGGTGACACAGAAGCAAAAGCATCGGCCACGTCCGTTTGCGTCTCCAGCTCGAAGCTGCCGCAGCAGCATCGGCAACCCCGCGATGGTAACATTTGACGTCAACGAGAGTGTCTAGAACGATTCGTGGACGCTCTGACAGCATCTCTGACGCAGTTGGGCCGATCATGGGGTTCACACAGAGGGATCTTGTTTTGGTGAAGTATATTCTTGTCGATCAGAAAATCCGCCCCGGTTGGTACAGACTCCCAGAACTTCCTATTGAGCAAAAGGACTTTGAATTTGTCAATACGCACTTTTGCACCATGCTCCAACTGATCTATAGCTAGCTAGATGTCGGCTCTTCGGTCACAATTCGGCTAGACCGTCGGATGCAACCTCTACCTACGCCCTCCTCCACTCCACCCATGAACTCCAGCACACTGGCCATCCGGAAACCCGCGGATGAGGTAATAATTCCAGACTATCCCATCGTGATGGAGCAGTTCCCGCCCTGGGGACCTTCGAGGGAACTCGAGGGAACTCACCGCCGTGCTCCGTAAACTCCGTGGGCTTCCATCCCACCTCGAGCTGACGTCAACGCCCTGGGGGGTCGTGACAGCATTGGTCCTAGCCTGTTCCTTTCCCTTTGTAATTGGGAACCATGGTCGTTTTTTGGAATATTAAGAGGGATTCGTCCCCTTTTTCCCCTTAGTTCTGTCTACCTTGTCTATCTGTCCGCCCATTGCTGCCCCTGTCGCTGTCTGCTGGCGATGGATCGGCTTCCTGATCGCTTATAGTTCCCTCGATCAACGCTCGGCACCGCGCACATTGACCGATATCGCACATCAGAACTATCCTGTTGTCTGACCAAATCCGGCAATCAGATTATTTATGCATTGCAAAATACTCTACTACTAATAACTATCGCTGCCAATCCATACTAAACACATACAACGCATACAACGCATACAACCCTACCTGACACAATGTGCCGCCAATACCTTACCTTTTATGAATGGTGCCGCTGCGAAGAAGATTCTGGCCACACCTCCTGCGCCAGCGGCAGGAGCCAGCGCTGCCGCGGCGTCAGCATCGAGACGGTCCACATGCACTGCTTCTGCAACACGCACGCGACCACCAAATGGGTCACGGAGGAAAAGGGCTTCAAGCGTGATCGACAGCAGAAGCGTCGCGCCGAGCAGGCTGCAGGCGAGAAGACGCTCTCGTCCAGTCGGAAACAGCTCCTCCGTCTCCAGTCTTTCCGGGCGATGGTGCTTGAGAAGACCCGACGAAGAACTAGGGCTTGACATGGAACGTTGACGTCGACTTATAATACTCTTTCCAATTGGTCTTTTTATGGGGTTTGGGTTGCGAGTATGGTGTACGGTCGGTGGCGTTATGGATTAAAATGGGGTTCGGGTTGAATGATACCTTCGGTCATGCAGATAGTAGTATTGAATTCGGAGCATACAAATTAATGTACAATATCCTCTACCTGGTACCTGAATATTAAGACATGATAATACCCTTGTTTATTTTCAGATCATCCAAACTGACTGAAGATGAAAATAATGGTTTATGAATACAATAGATGTCTTATAGACTCATCTTATGAATTTGAATGATGAAACAGCTGCTCTGATTTCTCCAACTTCTACTAAAGAAACTATAGTAGCTGTTTAGAGTACTCTCTGCCACATGTTTCTCCTAGAACGGAGTTCTCATAGAGGTAGACTATTCTATATACAAGAACTACTACCTACTCCCTACTACCAGAAAAATACCCAGGTATAACCTGTATACTGCATAGAAAGCAAGCATTACATCATCAGATAAGCTTAGATATTGCCTCTAACCAAAGGAGGTTAGTTCCATACTGGGATTAGCGCTGAACAGCAGTTCGTCACGTGCAGCGGCCACCACGTCAGGACTGAGGCAACGACAGAAGAATCGCTCTGTGCGACTGCCAGAGACAGACTCTGGCCAAGGGGCAGGATGAAGAGACAGTTCTACGTCTGTCTGCAAGGAAGACCAACTACGGAGTACCACCACACGCTCAACTGGGGATTCCCCTGCATCACTAGCGGGCGATCGTGCATACTACATAGTAATCTAGGAGGAGACAAAGCACTCACTGTATTCTCTGTACTCCGTACATCCTCGTAGACTGGTAGAAGGCTGAATCGTGGTATTCTTCATAAAGGATCTCCTTGCCTGGTCTTAGCGAGCCAGTATCAGCAGAGGAAGATCTCAGAGTAGAAGGGATGCTCGTTCTGGAATGGACCTCAGGGGAATGACGACCGCCCCTGTTGACAGCGCTAAGTAAAGCGCCCGCTCTCTTTTCCCACTCTACTTGCTCTCACCTTTCAAGCTTCTACCACCTTTTGTAGTAGACTGGCTCGCTTGCGGATTCAATGTCACTGTAAGTGAATGCGTCTGTTTCAGTGCTGTCTCGGTTAGTCGACTGCCAGCTGTTTCGACACGTTATGGACCCGCGCCACCCCTCCGCCGCGCATCGCGATAATGACGCGCCCGGGAGATTATTGCAGCCTCAAGATGCAGCTTTTCCTGCGTCGGATCCTGCAGCTGAGCTGTCGCATCCATCGCTATCGGACGGTCTCCGTCGTCTGTCGCTTGCTGCAAGCACGCCTGTGCCGGCCTCGTCGCCCGTCTTGTCGTCGTCGTCGTCGTCGTCGCTGCTGCTGTCTCCGCCCGTCGCCTCAGGCCCTCCTCCTCCACCGGGCGCTCTACGCCGGACGCCCAGCTCCAGCTCACTGAGGGATCAGCGTCGCCAGTCCATCCCCGCTTTGCACAAACGCTCCTCGATCACCTCGCTGCGGTCGGTTCAGCACGCTGGAGGGTCGCCATCGCCACGTCCTAGTCTCTCAAGACGCTCGTCGAGTAACCACCTGGCTGCTTCCTCGCCGCCCAGCATGGCCACCGCCATGGCGGCGGCGCCGCCGCCTCCTCCAGTCGTGACGGCTGCGACTATCGCGGAAGAGCACTTCCAGAAGGAACTGGCGTTGCACGATGCCGGCGATCTGCAGTCGACGGCCCTCGTTGTCTTGCACGATGCTTGCTACGGCCATCGCTTCTCGCGCCCCCGAACCTCCAAAGCCGCGCTAGGCACGATCGTCGAGCGTCCGGAACGTATACGGGCGGGTGTGCTGGGTGTGTCGGCCGCTTATGTCCGTCTGGGCAAAAGACATGCCGGCGAGAAGTTTGCCCCTCACCCGGATCTAGACGCGCAGCTACTGCCACGGCCCCCATTTCAAATCCGTCGGACAGGGCGCTCGATGCCACTCACCTCCCCGGCGGCGACCCACGTGCACGGAACCAAGTGGATGGAAGACCTCAAGGGGATGTGTGACGCTGCGGAGTCCCGTCTCGCCTTGAACGGTCGGGAGCTTGTGCGCCCTCGTAGCGCGGGCAGCGCTGGAAAGGAAGACCCAAACGGCGGCGGCGGCGGCGGCGGCGGCAGCACCACCACCACCACCACCAACAACAACAACGCTCCTAAGTTCCACGAAGGGGATCTATATCTGTGCTCAGAGTCGCTCAACGCGATCGAGGGTGCGTTGGGGGGTGTCTGTGAAGGAGTTGATGCCGTCTTGGGACCTGGTTCGACCAGGCGCGCGTTTGTATGCATTCGGCCCCCGGGCCATCACTGCTCTGCCAGCCATCCGTCGGGCTTCTGCTGGGTCAACAATGTCCATGTGGGAATCACCTATGCCGCCATGACGCACGGTCTGACCCACGCCGCCATCCTTGACTTTGACCTGCATCACGGCGACGGCTCGCAGGAGATCGCCTGGGACCAGAATACCAAAGCCATTGCCGCCGCCAAGAACGCAGCAAGCCACAAGAAAACCATGGTTGGCTATTTCAGCCTGCACGATATCAACTCCTACCCGTGTGAAATGGGAGATGCAGACAAGGTCCGCAACGCAAGCGTCTGTGTCGACAAGGCGCATGGCCAGTCCATCTGGAATATTCATCTGGAGCCATGGAAGACCCCTGCTGAGTTCTGGGAGCTCTACGCCACAAAATACAGCGTCTTGATTGACAAGGCGCGTGCCTTCCTGCGCCTGCATACAGAGCGCCTCGCGAACACACCCAACGCACCGGCTCCCAAAGCAGCCATCTTCCTCTCGGCAGGCTTTGATGCTAGTGAATGGGAGGGTGCTGGCATGCAGAGACACAAAGTCAATGTGCCCACCGATTTCTACGCCAAATTTACCGCCGATGTCGTTCGCATGGCCGAGGAAGAAGGGCTTGGGGCTGACGGTCGCATCATCAGTGTGCTCGAAGGCGGGTACAGTAATCGAGCCTTGATGAGCGGTGTCTGGAGTCATCTTGCGGGCCTCAGTGATCCAACCACCAGCGTGTCCGAATCAAGCTCTCAGACCAGTAGTCGTCTGGCTTCGGAGATGATGGGTCGCCTGGGACTTTCATCTCCCATGGGACTTGCCTCTGCGGGACAGGAAGAAGAAGGAGAAGAAGGAGAGCTTACGGCGGTTTTCAACACTGAGTGGTGGGCTCCGGATTTGCTGGACGAGTTGGAGACCCTTGTGTATCCCCCGCCTGCTCCCGTGGGCAAGTCTCACAAGGCTAGTCCGACGTATTTTGCACCCACGCGGGCGTTCAGTGCAAAGGTTGTAGCTCCAAATCGCGAGCGAAAGTCCTTTGGATCGCAAGAACCGGAGCTGCCTCCTCCGCTCCCCGAAGTGGGTTGGGCTACAGCCACTCATGAGCTTTCTAAGATTCTCATCCCCAGCAACCGCCAGACCCTGAGCTGTCGGCCAGACGAGCTTAATGCCGAAGCCTCTCGGATCCGGCGTGAACGTCAGACAGCAGCGAAGGGTGGTAGTAGTGCTGGTGCTGCTGGTGCTGGTGCTGCTTTTACCGCTCCAAGCACAACGGACGAAAAGCGCATGCAGCTTCGAAGCCGGAAACCCAAGTCCTCGCTGCCCAATTCTCCCAGAATAGAGACCCCCAAAAAGCAGGTTCTCAAGAGTAATCGGCGAACTACCATCGACGCCGTCAAGGATATTCTGGATCCGTCCCTGGCGAGTTCGCCCGCTGCTCGGACCGGTCGCCGCAAGAGCACAACCCCGACCACTGTGTCAAACAATGAAGTTTCAACCCCGGTGCGTAGTGCAGCCACCTCAAGAAGTCAATCCCTCTCCCGTCCTGGAACTGCAGCAAGCACTCAGTCCATTATTGGCTCAACAGCGGGTGCGCGCAAGACAACCAATTCTCGAAACGGGACGCCCAAGCGAGGTGCAACTCCTAAGAAAATGCCACCCGTGCCCCGGGTTCCTTCAGCCTATTTGAGCGATCTCTCCGCCCTCTCTGCGGCAAGTGAACAGCAGCCTCCTCCACAGGCCGATGTCACTGAACAACCGAAAAGACCTGAAGTGCAAGAGGAGCTGGACAGTCTGACGGCCGGCGTGAAGAAGCTCAGCATTAAACTCAAGGTTCCATCACCGGAGGAAAACGCAGCCCGTGAGAAGAAGGCGGCAGAGGAGCGCAAACGGGCATCGGCCAAACCGGTCAAATTGCCCCGGAAGACGGGCTCGAAGAAACCCGCCCAGCCAGTCAGAAAAAAACAGGAGAACCAAGACCCAGCCGTGGAACCCATGCTTTCACCCACTACTTCCTTGAGTGTCTCCGGCACCCAGAACGACGCTGCCACCAGATCTGTCGAACATCATACGGCGTATCCGATCCAACCTGCTCTAGTCTCAAATGTTGGGTCCCCACCCCTGACTCCCGGGTCTCAGTATGAGCCCGTTAAACCCCAGCCGTCGGTGTTCTCACCTCCCATGTCTGCAACACAGACCAAGCAAGGTCTCCCGGTCTTCACATCGAGCAGTCCGATCCCCTTTGCGCCGCAGGCGAGTAGCGCGACTAGCTCCCCCGTGGGGACCTCTGAATACACTGTCATGAGCGGTTCTTTTGATGAGAAGAGAGGATGAGTTGTGCAATTTTTGTTTTCTACTTTTCTTTTTACTTGCGCCTTTTGTTTGAATACCCCTTTAGTTATGTTAATACTAGTATCTATTTTACCATGACAGTAGTCAAGTACGGAGTAGAGGAGATAAGATTAGATCTGCAGAGCTACTCTCCGCGTTGTGGCTAGTACGCTAACCAAATATAGCTGGCTAAGGCTACCAGTATTACTCATCTGACGAGGACATTCTAGCGCTCTCCACGCCACGCACCCAGTGCTGCCTTGAATACATGAAGCTGTCTGATTTTAAGCATATTTCCCTGCATTTATTCTCTCTTTCACTCATTCCTTCATCCAATACATTTCAGTCTTTTTTTGGCTCTTTTTTTTGGACATCATGGCCGACACACAACAATCTTTCACGCAAATGGCGGACACCGACCTAGAATCCATCGGTCGACACTGCCAACTCGAATACTGCGGGCAGCTCGATTTCCTCCCCTTCCGCTGCGAATCCTGCCATGGGACATTCTGTCTCGACCACCGGACGGAGACGGCTCATAAATGCGCCCACGCGGGAGACTGGGCCCGACGCCGCAACAACAACAGCAACAACAAGGAGAACAGCAAGACCGGGGTATCGGCATCCGCACCGCAGAAACCCACCATTTACAACACGGCGCAATGCTCGCACCTCTCCTGCAAAACGCTGATCAACACGCTCAAGGACCCGGGCGTGCGCTGTCCGAACTGCAATAGGGAATACTGTCTTAAACATAGGTTAAGGGAGGAACACGACTGCGCGAAGATCGCCCCGCTAGGCGCTCGAGCAGGCCAGGCCCGCCCATCACCCAACGAGACAATCCGCTCTATGTTTTCGAAAGTGCGGTCCTCGTTCAAGCAGGGCGGTGCAGTGCCAAGCATGCCGACCCTCCTCAAGAAGCCGGGCAGTGGTGGTGGTGGAGTGGGAGGGTCGCCCGTTGCGCGGCTCAATGCATTGAAAAGATCGGCAAAGGGGGACGCGGCCGTCCCCGTCGATAAACGGGTGTATATGCATGTTGTTGGGACGAGCGAGGATGAGACCAAACCGGAGCCGCCGCGCGGGGACTTCTTTTACGATTCGCGCTGGAAGGTCGGGCGCGTGCTTGACGATGCGGCAAAACGGTTACGGGTCGAGAACAGGAATAACAGTGCCGATGGGGAGGAGGCGCGTCTGCGCGTTTTTCATGTCGAGTCGGGCGAGTTTCTGGAATTCTCGCAGTCGATTGGTGAGGGGCGAGTCAAGCAGGGGGATACCATTGTCCTATTAAGGGGAGCGGGCCCTTTGCTGGGGAAGTAAAGCGTTACTTCTCAGTTTATGATATCCATGGAGTAATGATCAACATATATATGAGTATACATCTGTAATCATTGGTAATTATATCCTATCACATTTACTAGCTGGAAAGTAAATCAACGCCCACCCCCCGGAGTGCACCGACAGCCCACGTCGGGAACTTGGAGCTGTCCCCGCCGTACAGATCGTTGAAGAATTTGCGTAGAAAGGCAGGGAAGCGGTCTTCCAGGATTGCCTGGCGAGCGGATCCCATCAGGGTGAGGAGATAGTGCACATTATGAATAGTCAAGCTGGCACGGGAAGTTAGTGGATTTGTAGAGCACATAATACCCCTAGGGGAAAAAGAAAATTGGTAACTCACAGGTGTGCTCCGACGGTCTCTTTCGCTGTCACATGGTGGATGTACGCTCTCGTGATACCCAGTCCACCTTGCTCCCTTGGTCGACAACTGGCACAGGTGCAGCCTTCCTCGATCGGTCCGAAGTCGTCGGCAAAGGAGGCCTGGCGTAGATTCAGCGAGCCAGCGGCCGTAACAGCATTACCGAATCGCTAATCTGTTAGTGATTTGCCTTGTGATGTGACTCGTCTTGGTATACTCACCGCCGTTCTTGTAGGCCACACGCAGTCGAACATGTCTGCGCCGAGGGCGGTTGCCACGATCAAATCCTCCGGATATCCCTGGTAGGTTAGATAGAACAAAATGCGGGTTAAAACAGGACAGGCATGCATCATACCACGCCCATCACGTATCGTGGCTTTTCTTCCGGGAGAAGCCCCGTACATGTGTCCACACTTTGACAATCAGCAACTGGGGAGCCCACCGGAGTGTTGATTCAAGGAAACTCACACTTGGCAGAACTGCTCTTTGGCCTCTCCCCCAGACAAACCTCCAATCGCGATCCCGGGTGTATCTCGTGCCACCATCTCCTCACAGCATTTCCTCCGCAGCTCCAGATCCAGACCACCCTGGATGATGCAAAACAGGTTCTGTCGCTCCGGGTATTTGTGCGCGTCGATACATCGGTCCAGCCAGCGAACAGATCGTTCCGTGGCTTCCTCGATACGTGCATGGTCCGGCGAGGTAGTTGCAATGACGTCATCCAGCTGCATGATGATATCTGATCCGATGGAATTCTGCAGCGATATCGAATGTTCGGGTGTAAGAAGCCTGTCGATCTCAGCAACAGATCAAAGAGAAGACTCGAGAGAATAAACGCACATCGGTGTGCCATCGTGTGGGCTCAGAAACCGGACACCTTCCTCCGTCACCTTGGCAAGCTTGAGTAATGAAACCATCTGGAACCTAAGGTATATGTCTATTAGCCGGATATTACGGTAACCCCTTTATTCCCTTGTTCCTCCGGTATGCCCTGTTCTCCCAGTATGTAACCAACTCACCCTCCACTATCTGTCAAGATATTGCGATCCCATCCCTGCAGCTTATGCGCCCCTCCCACCTCATCCAACACGGCCTGGCCAGGCTTCAAACCCAAGTGATACGTATTGTTCAGACACAACATGCATCCCGTCTGTTTTAGCTGGTCAGGCGTCAAGCCCTTCAGTGAGGCCTGTGTTGCTACCGGCATGAATATCGGAAGAGGAACCGCGCCATGAGGAAGAGTGAGTGTGCTAGCACGAGCTTTGGTTGTCTTAAGAAAAAAAAAGTTAGAATTTATATACTTTCAAACCGTCAGAGGAGAAGAGTTACCGAGCATTTGGCATGCAGCTCAAATGTCAGTGCTGAAGGCATTCGTTTGCGCGTGGAGGGGGCTGTAGACATGGCAGCGATTCGGGCCCCGCGCGGGGCTACGAGCGATCGGTTAGTGTTGACGGTCGTGGGAAAGACGTTATATAGCCTCAGATTATTCCAAAAAGAACTATGGCATCGCATAGAGGGAATTGACCGCGGAAACGAAGCGTGGGCTGGAATTGACTGCAGATTTCAGGCTGATTGCCCACATTCATTTATCTGCGTGTTTGTCTTGTTTGCAATGTTTTTTTATTGCCATTATGTAAGCGATGTGAGCCAATAATTACCTAGATAACTAACCTGTATCGAGGCTAGCATATTTCTCAAGGCTATCTAACCTTATTAGGCAGTTTGTCAACATCAGAGCCATTTTCCTGGATCTTTTATTTTAACCTCATCCACGGTTGCTGTTCGTAGCCCACAGATGGTGTCTTTCAGATTATCGCTCTGCGACGCAAGTCCTATGTGGCTGTGTGGTGTTTTTACTCATGATATGGGTTGAAAGACCAACTAGAAGTTGAGAGAATGAGTCAGTACCTAGGTAGTGACCTGGTATGGATCAGTTCCTTTCCCCTTTCCTTTCTAACTTCCAGGTCTTGAATTCAGTCCCATTTCCTCGCACCCCATTGACTGTCTGAATCTTTCATTCCTTCTCGACTACTCGTCCAGCTGTTAGCCATTATACAGCCTCCAGGACTCACTATGACTTGAGTTGGAGATATACATGGCACTGGAACAGCTGAGAAATGGACTGCAGCATCAATCCTCTCCAAGGAGTCAATATAAGTTCCAAGACAGCAATGAAGATAGTACCTTTAATGGGATTTAGGATGCGAGCAGGAACAACTCTCTTACTAAACAAAACTAGTAGAAATGGCGAGGTTCATTCACTGATGGCCCTCTGACATGCGGATTTGAACTCTGGATCCCACCCTAGGTGGTATATACACAATATCTTTGTTGGTAAGTTCCGGGCAGGTGTTGTGGTTATGACTGGGGTATTTTCTCCATCGCAGAGTTGGCCAACCCACGAGCGCAGTGGAATGTGGATTTTGTCAGAAAACTCGGGCTTTACGCTTACTGAAGGAGAAGAGATGAAAGACAGCTTTTAATTAATAAGAAAAGAATAAATCTTAGCTTTTATGAATAGCCGCATTACTTACTTTGAAAATAAGTTAGGTATTATACTGCAAATCAATAGATTCGACATGGATAGGTATCACAGTATACACTTGAGAATTTAACTATGCTATTCTACCGTACAAAAGTCTTAATAGCATCTATCCTAAATTTCTCTATACACAACACAGCTAGAGCATCTAGAGCTCGTCTCCACGCTGCACCACATCTCGTGCCACTGAAGATCATCGACTGATTTGGAATCACCTCTCATCAATCGTTGAAATATCCATTGACCGCCGGAGGTCTTCCGCTTGACTCGGTATCAGTTTCACAAAGCAAAACGCAATGAAAGGCGGGGTATCATTCCAATTCCAGTCTGGGCTGGTCGTGAATAAAATTCCACAAAGCCCCCCTCTCTCTGTCGAGAGCTGGATGAATTGCCAAAGTTCCTTACTGTCAGCAGCATGGATTCCCAGAAGAAAAACATTCACGACCTGGAACACGCAGGAGAGATATGGAGAGAGAACCCCGAGGTGATATTCTATTCTTTCTATTTTAGAGAGAATTATCAATTAATTAACCGGTAGGGTTAGACCTCGAGTCCTGGGCAGGTCAACATTGTCGTCGATCTGCGAGAGAAGAGCCTCGTCTGGAAGCAAGACCTACGAATCGTGCCTTTATGCGCCTTTATATATCTTCTCTGCTATCTCGACCGATCGAATATTGGTACAAACCATCCATATCCCTGCGAGTTCGAAGCACTCGGTCTTAACCCTGGCAGGTAACGCCAAAATCCTCAACGCAGACACCCACAACGACCTCTTATCTGAAACGCACATGACATCCTATCAATATACGTACGGTATTTCCTTCTCGTATTGAAAGTGGGCTTGGTTAGCTACTAATCTGGATAGAATCGCTCTCATGGTGTTCCTAATCGCGTACGCGCTGTTTGAAGTCCCCTCCAACTACTTCCTAAAGAAGCTCCGGCCGAGTGTATGTACACTGAAGTCTATTGTTGTATTCTTTTTTCTCTCTCTAATCCTTCAGAGATGGATTGCGTTCTTGATGTTGTGCTGGGGAGCGATCTCTATGGGTCTGGGCGGAGCACAGAACTATGCCCAGGTAACGGGAATTCGATTTCTGCTTGGTAAGAGTGTTCATTTGCCTTTTTTTTCTTTTCGTACAGATATTCTGATAATCTCATTTCTTAGGCGTTATGGAAGCCGGTCTCTTCCCCGGGTTCGTCTACTACCTCACCTTCTGGTATCGCAATTCAGAGCGCTCTATCCGTGTCGCCTTGATTCTCGCCTCGGCAACGCTAGCAGGAGCCTTTGGGGGCGCAATTGCCTACGGGGTGGGCCATATGAACGGGGCGTCCGGTCTGTCGAGCTGGCGGTGGCTATTCATCCTCGAGGGAACACCGTCATGTGTGTCTGCCGTTTTTGTCTGGTTCTTTCTCCCCGACTACCCGGAGTCTGCGCACTGGCTTTCCCCGGAGGAAAAGGCCCTGGCTCTCGCCCGTCTACAGGGTGAAGGGTCTAAGGGCGATGCGCATGCCATGACCTGGCAGGATGCAAAGGAAGTCTTGACTGACTGGCGGCTCTACGCCCACTACGCAGTAAGTTTATATAGAGAGAGAGAGAGAGAGAGAGAGCCAGGTAACTAACTACTCTAACGTAAGATCTACTTTGGCATTTCGACTCCGTTTTCGAGTCTCTCACTATTCACCCCCTCGATCATCGCCGGGCTGGGATATACCGACCTACGCGCACAGCTGATGACCGTTCCACCATACGCGGTGGCGTATGTAGTGACGATTGTCGTGGCGTGGTGTGCCGACCACTTTGATGCGTGAGAAGACTAGAACTACCTATCCGAGATATATGCTTAATAACAGTTTGCTGATACATTAGATAGTCGTGGTCTACACTCTGCCGTGTTTGCATTTATTGGAGCGATGGGGTTTCTGGCTTCGGCTCTTCTGCCGGCCGATGCTTATTTAGTAAGTTCTCCCATATCTAGAGAGGGGAAAAAAAGAGTAGTTTATTAATGTGTTTATTAATGGGTAGCATCGATATGGCTGCCTCATCGTCGCAGCCAGCGGAGCATTTGCATGTATTCCCCCTCTGCTGGGATGGCTCTCGTCGAACCTCATCTCGACAGCAGGAACAGGACTGGCGATCGCGCTAAACGTCTCGGTGGGAGCCCCCGGGCAGATAGTCGGGGTCTGGATCTACAAGAGCGACGAGGCTGATAAAGGGTATCCGACGGGACACTGGACGAACGCGGCGTTGCTGCTCTTTGTGAGTGGGGGGTGTGTGTTGTTGCGCGGGTATTACGGGTGGAGGAATCGGAGGGGAGGCAGATTTGTTTATTAGTACGATAGCAAGTGGTACTCCGTATACTAGATGGTAAGAAGAATATCTTATGATCTACATAATAGTATACTGTACATCGATTCTAGATCGAGTTATTTGTTGTGACGTAACCATAGTTTCTCCCAATACAGACTTCAGATCGGCCAACAATGCAAGGATGCCCTGCCTATGTGAGGCGAGTTAGGCGCAGTAAGGTAATACAATACATTACTTATAGACCTTACTAACTCCTGTAATTAACTAACCTAGGTAGGTACCTCCTAGTAACTACTCCGTATTGTAATATCTTATTGATGCTATCGGACCGTTCCGCGTACCAATATTTATTACCATCGATTTCATCCTTTATATCCACTTGATCCACAATAACTTCTACTCTGTACGGAGTACGCAGTAGTTAATAGTCAATGCTGAAGCTAGGACCATCAACGAGGGGCAGCGGTATGACAGATTGCTGCGTTGTATTGCATCCAACGTCATCAAGGCTGATTTCTAAATCTGTTTACTTCGTACCTCGGCAGGAGGTACTCCGTACAGAATATTATCGTTACTGGCTATATAATGTGGCAGACAAGGCGCAGCGTATACCTAGGTAACCAACTAACTTTTACAAAGAACTAGTCAATGTACCTAGTAGGTAGCCAGTTACCCAGTAACTATGATTCTGTATTATCATTTCAGTACTGTTCAGCGAGGAGGCGAGACATCTGATGATGTCTAGGCCGAAGAGAGGTTGCACACGTAGAATAGTTAAACAATGCCTCAATAGAATAAATAAATAAATAAGAAAAAAAAATATAATATAATAATATCTAGACTTGCTACCGGTGAAACGTGGCGTGAGTGTCCTGTCCTAAATGACTGACTGCCTCTGCTCTGCACGCTGTTTTTCTTTTCCTTTCATTCTTTCTTTTCTGGCATTCTGCGTTACTCTCGCCCTCTCCGCCACATTCTCGTCGACTCCCCCCTCCCTCCCTATATCTCCCTATCGCCCTGTCCTTTTGCGTCCTCCACCGCAATAACAACAGCATTGCATGATCGCATCCCTGTCGTTCCAGATCTGGCCCTGGAATCTCCGCCCTCCCCGCTGGCTCCTTGGTCCCTTGGTCCCTTGGTCCCCTGGATACTCCGGCCTTCCATTCAAGCGAGTGTGGTCCTAGGGCGGTCATCACAGGACCCTCTCTCTCTCTCTCTAAATATCTTCTGATTCTTGACTTTTATGGTCGTAAGTCTGTCTGTGTCTCTTTCTTTCCTTTTTAAACGTAAATGCCAACCACCAACAAACTTATGGAGTAGGCCATGGGTTCCTACACCGACTCCTACCGCGCTCGTTACCAGAAAGGCGGCAGCTCCAGCTCCACCGACAGTGATGCCTCAGACCGCTCCAAGAGCACCGCTCCGACAGTGTACAGTGCGAGATGGGCCTCGAAACCCATCCAGGTGCCCCATTCGTTCCATCATGGCGACGTGAGGGATTCTGTCTCGACATATGCCTCGACCATTCCCTCCGCGGACGACCTGCCAGAGGTACCACGCTACGAAGTTGAAGATCGCACCCCAGAAGCTTTCCCGGCAGAGGCCCTTCCCTCCAACTCGACCGTGTTCGCCGACCTGTTTCCTTCCTCCCGACGCCTGCTCATCCGACACGACGATGCTACCATCGACGGTAACATGAATCTCCGCGTCGACACGACAGCGTCACATCGGGGCGGGTACCAGCGAGATGTCACCCTGTTCCATCTCCGTATGTATGATCTGTATTCGCGCAAGTTCTCCTTCCGCCGCTACTGTCGAGATTCGGGCCGTGAGGTTTGTCACTCGGTACGGAAGCCTCGTTCGTCTCTCCAGGAGAAAAGACCCATGTTTCGACGCTCGTGGAGCAGCGTCTTGGCCAGTCTACGACCAGGCTCTTCGAACGGCCATGGGGTGACGCCTCATTCGGAACCGAAATCGCACGAGGCAGTCTCGAAAAGTGCCCGGGACGATGAATTTTGGCGTCTGGACGAAGAGAATCTCGACTCCCCGCTGGAAGGTGGAATGGAGCGGGAGCGTGCCCCGGTGCTAGGGGATACCACGCTGCTTGAGTTCTCCAACTACGCCCATGTCGAAGTCAAACATCGTGGCACCGGCTCCTCCAAACGGTACGAGTTTGAATACTGGTCGACCAAGTATCAGTGGCGGCGCGAATCGCGCTGGGACGGTGACCTGCATGAGATCTCTTACCACCTGGTCAATATTCAAACCTCCAAGACTATCGCACACATTATGCCCCAGATCCTCACGCCGCTGGAAGCCGTTGAGGAGGAGAGCAAGGGGGGCTGGGTCTCCCCTTCTTCCATGTGGATCAGTGATCCCTCTGTCTATGACAAGATGCATGATATTGCAGAGTAAGTATCATCACTGAATCTCCTATCTCTCTCTCTCTCTCTCTCTCTCTCTCTCTCTTTCTAACTCAATAGTGTCATTGTGGCTACCGGCTTGATCGTCCTGGTTGACGATTGCATCCGGCGGCGCTGGCATCCGAAACGACAGATCCCGCTCATGCAACCTTTAAGTTCCTCGCTCTCCAGGGGGATTGAATTCATGGGGCCAAAACGCCTGATCGACGAGATGCTTCACTGGAGGCGAACCCCATAGACCTCTTTTTTTTTTCTCCATCAGTTTTGTATCAGTTTTCATTCTTTGGAAGGCTAGCAGGCTACCTACGATAACGACAGAGCTGCCTACGTCTTGCAGCACATGACACCTTTTTTTTGGCATCAAAATGTAATGCACTGGGCCAGATACAGTGACTGGAAACTCCTAAAAATCCTTTATTTCTACCTTGTTGTTTCACTTTTTGGATATGATTTTGATGATGGATTTCATGTATCATGAATGAACTAGCAATCTTGGATTGAATGGCCCTTCGAGCTGGATTCAGGCGTATGCCGACTCGTATAACTCATATGTTGGTTGGTCGGCGCTCTCCAACACCAGAATTTGTCCTGTGTCTGTTGGCAAGTCTCGAACCAACCGGTCCAGGGGTAAAATATCCCTCAACGATCACCGCACTGTATTGCAGGGGTGTGTCGGGAACCTATTCTCTACCGTTTCGATTGGCTCGACAAATATCGATTCGCTATTTTAGGTCACGAAACCTGACTCAGGTCCCTCCTTGCTCTGTGGTTGCACCTCGGCGAGGTTTGGTCAGATACACGAGCTTTGCTTCTCGATTAAGCTTCTCAAACAATGCGGGGAGGGGGCCTCAAATCAAATCGACGACATGCCCGCCCAGCACTGGCTGGCCCTGCTTGCTGTGCTGGCCCGCACTGGTGTGTCTCGCGTCTATGGAGTATGTGCCCTCGTGTCCCTCTCCTCGATCTTCCTTTTGTTTTTTTTTTTCCCTCTCCCAGATCAAATGCACTGGCAATTACATCAGCCTTGAGAGTCAGGCTCCGCTGTCGACAACTCCCCCCCCCAATACCCCTCTTATTCCTCTCTCGGAGCTGTTGCTTCGAATGAACTCGAATCTGGCGATGCAGGCATGAATGCCCAACTCGGTGCCAAAGGAAAGCAGCGAATCATCGCGGCTCCTAACCCGGGGCTCACCTCCGATATTTCCATATGGCTCTTTGCTGGCACTGTTGTGTCGTGCGGTCGTCCAAGACTAAACCAACGACTTGGCATTCTATCGGATTATCTTCTATATATATATATATGGATTTTTGATATTTTTGATGTTTTTTAATATTTTCTTTTTCTACTATTTTTCTGTTGGTACAGAGCATCGTGCATTTTTGTCCCTGCGACCGCGCCTAGATACTGCACCTAAAACAGCAACTGTTCATGCAGAGCGGCCCGGCCTGTGGCGATTGGCGCGAAGACGAAAAAGACCGGGTCGACAGACTCGCGCCTCTCGATTATCTCTCTGTCTTCCTTTCTCTGGTTTGTTATTTTCCCTTGTTCGCACATAGTGGGCATGACTCCGTCTCCTGCGAGCCAATTTGTCTTGCTACTGGGGCCCTCTTTTTTCTTTTTTTTCTTTTTTTTTTTTTTCTTTTCTTTTTTTTCTTCTTCTTCCCTTTTCCTCTTTGCTCCTGGCCCATTCAGTCATCGGTTGATGAGCTGGCACCGTTTCCCTTCCTTCCTAGGGCCCGCTTGTGTGGCCACAGTCGAACCAGTTCTGGCTTCAGAATGGAGCTTTTCCACCCCATCCTCTCCGCTTTTGGGCACAGGCTGGCCCTGGGCCCTCTTCCCCTCCAGAAGGTTGAATACCATTCGGTCCCCTGGGGGTCAAAGGCCAATGCATACCCGATCCGAACGCCTTTCTTTTCCGGACGGTTGACAATGTCAGATTAGATGGGCTGAGACTCTGAGTTGTCATACTGCTGTCACACTTGCAAGCCAGGTCCCTGCCGGTCTCCTTTCTACGGCCTTATCAGAGTGTTTGTGTATGGTGTAGGAATATGTGTGTCTGTTTATGTGTATATGTGTGTCTTGACTGACTGTCATCTCGCTTGTGGAGAGGGGCAAAAAGAGATACTCTATACCTGACTAGTCAGTGGTTCACTGCCCACTTCCTGGTCTGTAGCCAAGCCCCTCCTCCTCCTCTTCCTCCCTCCTCGCTTGTCCTCCGCTTGCTGTCTGGCATGTTCTTCAAGGGTGCCGGCCTAATCGGCGTGCGCCGGGCCGTTCCAGCTTGCAGCCTCGAAATGATCCGCATGCTCCTCCATGCAGTCGGCATTCCTTGAGTGGAGGACCAGGGGGAGGGGGAGGGGGGAGGGGAACTGCTGACGCCGTGCTACGTCTGCTACGACATGCATAAGTCCGTCCCGGAAAAGTCTGGTGGTCAGGCTCCATGTTTGTCACGCCAAAGGACAGGGGCATAGGTGGGAAAAAGGATAATAATAAAAAATGCAAAGCATATATCATTGCCATCATCATAACGGCTCGACGTCTATCACGGCCCACAAGATATTTGAAACCCCGCTTCCCATATCAATTTCTTTTCAAAGGCTGAAAGGCACTTTGGAAGTTTCCTGCAGTCTTCAGTATCATCACTCTTCCCTCAATTGATACCCGACTCCTCTATCCTGCTTACCGGCTCTCGCGCAGTCCGTCCTTGCTACGAATAGTGATATAACCCGAGCCTACCTCTTTTTCTCCAACTTCCGAATCATCATCACAATGCCTAGCCCACAGAGCAACAATGGAGGCAGCCGACCCAGCTGGCAGGATAGACTCAATGGTCTGCCCCACTAGCCCTCTTGTTTCTTATCCTTATCCTAAGAGGATTTTAACTCACGATGTTGCAGAACACTGCAGGAGCAACAAGCTTACCGCGCCGGTTTTCAATATTGTCTCTGATCGTCGAGGTGAGTCCTGGCGTGTTTCTGCTCTTCTTTCTACAGAAAGTTCCCATGCCGCTTGGTTCCTTTGGCCTACCTACAACCAAGGGGGGTGGAGTATTTTTTTTTTTTTTTTTTTTTTTTGCTTCTTTCACCCACTTTCGGCTATCCGTTTGCATTGCCAAGGCGTTCTTGCTGACCTTCTTCTCTTTCTTTTCACTTCAGGAGGTCGTACCGCTTGGTCAAGTACGGTCACAATCTCCGGACAGAACATTGCAGCACGATATTGGTACGATGGCCAGTATATCAACAATGCTCGGGAAGATGCCGCCGAGGTCGCCCTGCAAGCCTTGATACGCGGGCAGTGTTCATCTCCCGTTTTCCAGGGACAGCTATACTCGCAGCAGCCCAACTACTTGCCGAATATCTGATGTCGACCATCATGCTTTCTTCCCTCCTCCTCTTGCTTCTTTCTATCCGTCTTGCTTAGGGTGATCATTCTTTTTTCTTCTTTTTTTTCTTTTTTTCCCCCTTAGGATGGGAGGGGGGGGGCTTTCTTTCATTCTTTTTCCTTTCTTCAACGCACCATTTCTTCTCTTCCATCGACGTTCGTTACATGAGTACGACACATCGGTCCGGATCGACTGCACAATGTACAACATGAGGCCTCTAGATGGCGCTACACACACCCCTCACGACAGCGATTTTGTCTTATCTGCCAACGAACTTTGATGGACGTTCACGATACGCCCAAGCCGAAGATTCGACATGACACTTGCATTCGATGGAAGGCATCATGCCGGACTGCTTCGGGCGACTGAACGTGATTTATACTGTTTTCCCTTTTTTTTACAATCTACCACGACCCACATTCTATTTCCAAACACAGGAACAGAAATACGAACCGAATACAGAAATACAAATACAGGCTTTTTTTCTACAGAGGGCTTCAGACAGGAGGGGCAACGAATGAGAAACAGAACAGGATGGGCGCAGGCATAGCAATGATGAAAAAACAAACCCCCATCTGGACCTGGGCTGGAGTTTTTGCGGGATGGAATTTTAGGTAACTAGTTAGGATGATTCTACTTCTTCTGTACGACATGAGAACAGACATGGGCGAAGGTACGGCTCTCATACGGCGCAATGATTATCATGAGTTACTTACGAATTAACCTGGATTTTTTTTTAAACAGTTGTAACTGACAAGTGGAAGTTGAGAGTTGTAGGTATTAAGTTGAGATCCAAACAACCTTATCTTGCGAACCATGGTTCAGTTGTTCGGTTCACTTTTTGAGGGGTCTAATTAAATATCTAGAGGATCAACATGACATGCCAATCGAGAGAAAATCACCTACATTTGATTCTAATGGTATATATATCAAGCAGATAATTCTAGCTTACTTACAGGTGAACAAAAAAAAAATTTCAAAAAAAAAAAATTTCAAACCTGCGTCCACAGGGGCGTGGGAAGTTCGTCTCCCGGCCTGATCCTCGCTTCGCGCCGGCACCCATCCGCAACGGCAACCGCAACCGCAACAGCCGGGTGTGTCACGACAACCTGACGGCCGGTCGTGACGGGCGGGTGGAATCCGACGTATGCCTCCCGGCGGGCCGGGGACCCTTCCTCTTCGGTACCGACGGTGACGGACCAGGTGTGCAGGCCATAGTACGAGGCGAGGGAGTGGACGAGCCAGCGGGCGAACCCGGCGGCGCGGTCGTCGACATGGCTTTCAAAGACCTTCTTCTTGCCTTCTTCCCACTCGTGGTCGTGGCGTGACGAGCTGCTGACACGGTCTGGACGAGGGGTTTGTTTTTGCATTTGGCCGCGACCGGCGAAAACTACCTCGTCTTCATCAGAGTCTTCATCTGCTTCTCCTTCTTCTTCTTCTTCTTCTTCTTCATCGCGCAGGATCAACTGCTTTTCGTTCCATCGCTGGATAAATCGCCGGATCTCCTCTTCCAAGTCCTGGAGCAGACCGCGGGCCGCGCGCGCGTGCTTGAGTTTCATCCGTACCTCCTTGGAGATCCGAGTCTGGTCGTCATGGGTGCCCTTGGGGGTCTGTTTGGAGACAGTACAGCCCCGCTCTTTGTATTTTGCGTCCCACAGCGAGGCAAGGTAGTAGGGCATTGGGTCGTGGCGGGTGTACGTGGGTTGCACGGCCCAGTCGCTGGACGAGGGTGGTTCCGCCCACGGGTTATGCAGCAAACGGTCTAAAAGAGACACACACAAAGAAAAAGAGCATGTAAGCATTGATATCAATGTACGAAATCTATTGATATACTGGCAACATACCATTCTCCCACCGTTGTCGCCGCCGACTGCCATCTTTGCCTTTGAGCAACGCCTCGCGGCGCTTCAAACTATCCCGGCGGAGAGGCTCACGCCGCCGAAAACTGACCGATACCTTGGGAGCCTCGTTCTCTGCAGCCGCGGGTGTGCGGTTCGCCAGTCGCATCCGTGGTGTTGGGCTGAGCTCGGCTGGCGGCAAATGGTCGTCAAGCGGGATGGTCAATGTGACGGAGGAGGCCCCGCGCATGACTCGGCGCGTCGAGGTCGGCGCAGCAGTCCCATCGCCCACGGTAACCACCTCGGAGAGCGTCAGATCTTCGAGAGACGCCGTGGCTTGCTCGGTCCAAGCAGAGATTGCCCGCGTCTGCTGCGGTGTCAGACTGCCCCGAGACGGCGTGGGCGACGGCGATGGTAGATGCGGGTGGATGGCCATTTTGCGACGCGATAACGGGGGGGGGAAAGGGGATCGACGCGAACTTCGACGGGTGTTTGGCAGCACAACCTGGTCGTTCTGGGTTTCAAGAGTGTCTCTGGAAAGGACCTCAAAGATGCCGCTGTTATTGCCTTGCTTTGAGCCTGAATGTAGGATCTCGGATCAGGAATCCAAGGCCAGATACGACCAGGCCGCGTTACTCACAGTCCGGCTGATTCAGGATGATTCAGACTCACGGGGCAGCAGATCAGTTTGTGATTGGCTATTCGGGAGACAAGATAAGCCCTAGCCCTAACCAGCCCCTCATCCGTTTTGAGACAACCAGTCTATACCTAATCGGGCAGTATTACTCGACTGTCCAAGAGCTGCTCCATAAATACTGCCTGAGGCGAAGCAAATAAGAGTCCAGGAAAGGATTCGGCTGTCATTGATCGAGTAGAGTTGGATAAGCAATTGCTAAGTATGTAGTACCGAGTAGTTATGGAGCCGTAGTCAGACTGACTCATTGACTAATTAATCCTGACAGTCAGTAGTCTATAACTAAAGAAGTCTTCATTTGATATTATAACTTTTGAAGAGATTAATTTCATCTCCAGTACATACTACAGAGTACTCACTAGTTAGTTAATAATTAGGTAGTATACAGAAATACGACATAGCTTGTTGTGGTTAATTATAGATGGCGGCTGCCTTAGGCAGTATATTAGTCATTGTTATTCCGTTCCTTCTGCAGTAGATAAGGTCGGAGCCCCCTAGCTGTCTCATCCCGCCTCCCATCGATCCTTGGTTATTTGACTGTCCTGCCATACCTTCCCATACACTACACGATGAGGCTTTCCACGGTTTTGGCCCTCGGCGCCAGCACGAGCGCGCTAGGTCTTGTGCTCCCTCAGCAGGAGCGGTTGGCGGATCTGCGGCCTCATCCGACCCCGGAGAAGTTCCTAATCGAACTTGCCCCGTACGAGACCCGCTGGGTGACTGAAGAGGAGAAATGGGACCTGAAGCTGGTAACGCCTGTCGATTGCGGTGGTCTGAACTGGTTGATCTGAAGCTGACTTGTTTTCTCTCTTGTTTGTGTCTTGTTGGTTAGGACGGCGTTAATTTCATTGATGTAACGGAAGAGCTGAGGTCCGGAGCGTACCCAACGTACCATATCGCCGATGTCGTTCGCTATCCTGCGGAAATGAGCCAAGCCGAGGCGGTCGTCCCGTTGACCGAGAAGTTATCCAAGGCCAACATGAAGGCCAACCTCGAGCATTTTACCTCTTTCCACACTCGGTACTACAAGTCATCCACGGGAGTCGAGTCCGCTACTTGGCTATATGAGCAGGTGGAGGCTCTGATCGATGGATCGGGCGCGGCGGAGTACGGCGTCACCGTGGAGAGGTTTGCCAACCCCTGGGGCCAATTCAGTATCATCGCCCGCATTCCTGGCCAGTCCAACAAGACCGTGGTGCTAGGTGCCCATCAGGACAGCATCAACCTGTTTTTCCCGTCTCTGCTGGCTGCCCCCGGCGCCGATGACGACGGAAGCGGCACCGTGACCATCCTCGAGGCGTTCCGTGCTCTGCTGCAGTCAGAGCCGATCGTCCAGGGCAAAGCCCCCAACACCATCGAGTTCCACTGGTACTCTGCTGAGGAAGGTGGTCTGTTGGGCTCCCAGGCCATTTTTGCGCAGTACAAGAAGACTCGGCGCGATATCAAGGCCATGCTGCAGCAGGATATGACCGGCTACGTCCAGGGTACCCTGGATGCTGGCCTGGAGGAGTCTGTTGGTGTCATCACCGACTTTGTCGACCAGGGTTTGACCGAGTTCATCAAGCAGATCATTACCACAGTGAGTCCCTTTTTTTTTTTTTTCTCTCCTAGTGTAATTCACATAACCTGATCTTTCAGTACTGCGATATCCCATACGTCGAGACCAAGTGTGGCTACGCTTGTTCCGACCATGCCTCCGCCAGTCGGTACGGCTATCCGTCGGCCTTTGTGATCGAGTCTGAATTCCAGAACTCAGACAAGAAGATCCATACGACCGAAGACAAGATCGAGTACTTGAGCTTCGACCACATGCTTCAGCACGCAAAGATGAGTCTAGCTTTCGCCTATGAGCTAGCCTTTGCGCCGTTTTAGTGAGAAGCACTCCTCTCGGCTTTCTCCCGGCATGACTTTTCGGCGTTTGATAATGGTAGTTCCTTTTGTTTGCAGCCAGCCACGAGTCAGATCTTCGTAAGCTCACAATACAGGAGTGCCTGCTTTATGTACAGTTTCTTGTATCTTTCATGGCCCTCAATATACCTTTTCCTGGTCTTCTTTGCACTTTTAGTCTCGCTGTTTTCCTCAAGTAGAGAGACCTCGTCAGATATGTCACGTGGTGATATCGCTCGGAGTCGGTGATCCGCCTGGCAGCGATCTGCAACTGGGACGGTGAGCGATTTTCAGACGTCGGTGAAACTGTCTTTGACAACATCATCCAGAGAACATATCTCGATCATTTTGACAGTAATACTCGTTACAAATTAATATTCAATATTCAATATATTGCAGTTGAGAGCTCAATTGATCGTACACGGCTGAAGCTTACTACCAGGACGTGAAAGCTGAGACTTGAGAAGGATACCACAATTGATTTAATAATTTCGATTTTCAAAATTATTGGCTGAAGACTTTGACTCGTTTCATCCAGGAACCGAACAGCAACTACACTGCGGGTGTTGATCTTGAAGAATGGATACATCAGCCTACGCCAAGGAATTCCAGATTGCCTGTCTGACTGTGCAGAGAGCGGCTCTGGTGACCAAGGCGCTTCTGGAGCAAGTGGACAAAGGCCAATTAGACAAGAGCGATGCGACGCCGGTGACCATCGCCGACTTTGCGGCGCAGGCGCTCATAATCGCTGCGTTGCACCATGTTTTCCCCGAGGATGAGTTTGTGGGAGAGGAAAGCTCGCTTGCCCTCCGCGAGAATCCCGAGCTGCTGGACCGCACATGGGAACTGGCGTCATCCATTCATCAATATAGCGACAATAGCGACGACGGTGGGGTGGATGATGCGCTGCTCTATTCACCACGTTCGAAGGAGGAAATGCTGGATTTGATCGACCTGGGTGCGGAAGGGAAATGTGCAGGACACGGCCGCACGTGGGTTCTCGATCCCGTGGACGGGACAGAGACCTTTATGCGCGGACAGCAGTACGCAGTATGTCTGGCGCTGGTGGAGGATGGATGCCAGAAGGTCGGCGTGCTGGGTTGTCCCAACCTGAGCCTCGCGACGGGCCAGGTAAGCGAGGAGGCAGTCGACCGCGATGGAAACGGATATATGCTGTCCGCAGTGACGGGCGAAGGGGCATATCTACGCCGGATGGGCCGGACTACGACGACGCTGCAGGCTGCGACTCGGATTGCGCCCGTCCCCTCCGTGGCGACGAGTCGTGAGATCCGGTTCGTGGACTCCACGCGGATAACCTCGTCGAGCGCCGAGCAGCACGAGCGGCTGGCGGTTGCGCTCGGGGCGGCCTGGCCGCCGCCGGGGGACCTGTGGTCGGCTCAGATGCGGTACGTTGCTCTCGCGGTGGGCGGGTGCAACGCCCTGGTCAAGATCCCGCGCAAAGAGACGTACCGGTCCAACATCTGGGACCACGCGGGGGGGATGCTGATCGCTGCAGAGGTCGGGTACACCGTCAGCGATCTGGCAGGCAACCCGGTCAACTGTGGGCTGGGCAGGAAGCTCAGCGGGTGCTATGGAATGATTGTGGCGCCTCCTGGGATCCATGGTCGGTTGGTGGAAGCAATAAAGGCTCTATGAATTAGCATTTAAGGAATTTAACGATAGATGGAATTAATAGAAATAATCTATACATCTCTTAGCATAAAATACTTGAGTACCTTGTAGTCACTAACTAGGAGTGTTGATGCTAATTGTCAACCAAGCTGGCCAGTTGATTCTCCAACAGTAGAACTCTACTCCTACGAGCATGTCGACATAAGTTATGAAGTAATCTTCACACTAAATGGGATAGATGAAACAAATAATAATAATAGAATCATCTGTTAACACCACTAACGAATTAGTTGAATTATTACGTTTACTACTGTTGCATTAACCACAAACCGCTACCATCCGATGGCCTGATGTCATCCTGGCCTTCCAAGGTTCCGAGTCAAGGTTCCAGCATCTCAGCCACTCGAGTTCCACGATCAGCAGCATGAAGCCCCTCGTTGGCCACCGAGTGCTGTCAGGAGACCAAGCAGATGCGGGGAGAGCAGATCTTATAAAGAGTCCCTCTTGAAACCTCAGGATGCCTTCATTCCTTTCTCCATCTCAGCAATAACTACTACCTAGCTATACGCACTGAATACTGATTATTATGGACGCCTGTAGGTTGTTGCGAAGACTCCAGCAGTGCTGACTCGGACTAACCCGCTCTTGAATCTCTAGACAACCCCTTCGCGAGACGCGAGACACACAACCGCCAGTCCCTGGCTGCCTACCGGGTGCTGGTGCCTTTGACGTGGGCGCTGGTCGTCATCGTGGGCATCTACTACTCTCTGCACAAGCCCGACGACGTCAAGCACGGCCATCGAATCCCCAAGCAAGCGAACAAGCACATCACGGCATTTTCGCAGAGTACGGTGGTGACTGGAATATATTGGTGGGTTGACCTTTTACTCTAAAAAAAAAAGGATTAGTAGATTTAATAGCTGGTTGCTAGGATCCTTCTCCTTCTCTCACAGCTTAGCTACGTCTGGCATCTCTTCTCCAAGGATGCGGCACTGGTCAACGCGGCAGCCAATGTCGCCAGCCATTTCATCCTGAATAACCTGTTCGTCTTCGCCTGGGTGCTGCTCTGGGTACGCAACCACTTCTGGGGCGCCGAGATCATCCTCATCGCCCACTTCATCAACCAAAAGATCACCTACTGGCGCCACCCGGGCCTTCCGGCCTTTGTTCATCTGCCTGCCGTCGCTGGACCCTATGCATGGACCCTAACTGCCCTGTTTTGGAACGGCGCCGTGGCGGTCCATAGCAACAGCTTGCCCGCCCGCATCGTTGCCAACGTCTTCATCTGGGTCATCTTTGTCATCGGCGCCGGTCACATCCTCCACCGCCAGGATTACCTGCTAGGTTACTGCTTTAGCTTCTTGTTCTTGTGTAAGGAAATCATTTGAAAAAGAATACTTTGCAGGCGAATTTGCTGACAGTATCCAGCTCTCGCGGTCAAGCAGATCGCCATCAAGGTCATCGCGTTGCAGTGGATCTTCGCTTTCGCCATCTTCGCCGCCTTCCTCGTCTTGTCCCTGTACATCTCTAGCACCAAGTACTACCACCGTGACTCGCTGCTGCGTCGTATTGCGGAACCCGAGTCCACCGACCGCGAGAGGCAGCCCTTGCTCAACGAGGCGGCGTGAGGAGTTTTGCAGAGTAGGTAGCTGGAAGCAGTTGTGGGTAGTTTAATTTGCCGAGTCACATTTTTTCATCTCACTACCATCTCTCCTTCTCTCGATTCTCTTTTTCTTGATGCGCATGCGTCTCTGACCACGAATATGCGCAGAGCGGCAGTCTGCTTTCTTTTTCTCTATATATCCTCTCTACTCCGTCTTTGATGCTTCTGGATTACATCACGCTTGCCTTTGGCAAAATCTTTATGCCAGGGTTTTTGCACCACTCAAAATCAGGATTTTTTTTCTGTTTATTTGTCCAAGTCAATACGCCGAGAGCAACCCGGCCCATTGATCAGTACTCATGTGTTGATTGGTATTCTTACGCGACATCCTGCACTCTCTGTTTTTTTCCCACTCTTTATTGTTCAGTGGATTGAACATGCAAGGAACAAAGAAACTTGTCATTATCATTTAACTACTATTACTCCGTAGTACCCCGTACTTTGATTTGTAGTTGACGATTCCGGACAATCCGTGCGACGTACTGCCCATGCGTTGCCCCGAGCAACCATCACCACCACCAGGTCTCCAGCCGCGCAAGCCTGGAGACGTCAACTCGCGCGGTAAGGTCAACAAGAACCAGGCACCGTGATTATCTGACTGGTTGATATTATAATAAGCGTATTGGCTTCCAATAAACATCCGATTCCACCAGAAATCTCATCCCACCCCCCTGTCTAGGCCGTTCGAGTCTCATCTTATCTTTGTTTACCTGCCCCCTCGCTAGTTATTTAGTAGCCGGATGCCGCTGCACCTCCGTACGCACTTCAACATTCCTGAAAAGTGTTTCCATCTGACAACTGTGTGACTGGAGCTGCTACTGACTGAATTCGTGTTCGTTTACAGGGCGATCGCCCCCCCCCCCCCCCCCCCCCCCCCCCCCCCCCCCCAGAAATATCGGATTTCCTACTTTTCACCGGAAGGAGCACGGCCGCCTGGTTCGACCTTGTCTTAGACACCGCGTGTGGGCATTACCATGAGCACTTGAGACAATAGCGAAAGGAGAAAAAGAAATACCAACGCATTATGAGCTTCTCGTCGCGCGGGCACCCACCTGCGGCGAATTACGAGGAAGAGCCCCCCGCGTACCACTACGGAGACTCGGTGTCGTATCTCTCGGAGAACGAGCCGCCTGCTGTGGCTGCTCGGGGGACGACGATGAGGCTCCTCCCGACGTCGAGCATTGAGTTGGATGACGATACCCGGACAGAGATGGGCACGACCAGCTCGCAGTATCAATATTCAGATACCACACCGTATGTACCCGCTAGAAAACCAGTCCATCGCACTCTGCCTCTCCCGCCTGGGAATGAAGACACGGTTGAGGCTTCTGAGAAGAAGAAGCTTCCTGTGTCAGACCCTCCTCTCTTTCCCCTAAAGAATGCCAATGGCGCAGATCCCGCCAAAGGAAACCACCCTATCTACCCCTTGTTTGCTGGCGCCACACCCAATAGGAGTACTGCTTGCCAGAAGTCAGCCAGAGCAGTTTCGCTATTGGCACAGACGGGCTCCGTTGAAGCAAAACAATCCTCCGCCGTGCAGGATATACAAATACTGCCGGGCGTGGACATTCCACCTCCTCTCTTCCACCATCACCCCCCCAAGAGGAACAAGAGTGCCCCGGATCAAGTGTCTGCTGCGGACTCTTGTCCTTTGAAGATCACTTCTCTGAGCCCTAAACGTCCTGTCCTGGGCCAGAGGAACTCTACCGCAAACATGTCCTACTACAGGTCAAGACGGAGAAACGCTGACGGAACAACCCTTGAGTATAGTACCGATCACTCCTCGAGACAATTCTCCTCGCGTTACCAGCCCTATCAGAGCCAAGGGTCTCCCTCGCGCCCACCATCTAGTATAGGAAACGCTCCCTACATCCCGCCTCCCGCGGCGTCGGTCGTGGATGCTCCGCCGTACCCATCTCGCGCAGGGTCTCCTACTCGGCCGTGGACTCCGTCTCGTGCGTCGGAATGGGGCAGACCCCCCGGGCCCCCGTCAGTCTCTAGTCTCGGTTATGAAAGAGCGGATCTGAATGGTAGTCCGCGACCGGGCACCCCGAGTTCAAGATATGGTGGAAGCCCACGTCGGCCTCTACCCACCGCTCCATTGTTCTCTGTCGCCGGTTCAAGTATAGACACGAGCATCGATATTGGCGATGGCAACACACAAGCTGACGAATATGGCGATGAGGATCCTTTTGGCGGCGGAGGCCGGACGACAAGCGATCTCGGCGACCGGCCCATGTCATTCATGAGCGATTCAACCATGGTCATTGACGACAAGGAAGATATGGAGAAGATTGACCTTGACGAGGAAGAGGATGATTCCGCGCGTATGATCGATCCGAACCTTCACTATGGTCCTGCCCCCGAAAAACAGAACCGTCGTGGGGTGCGCGAGACGCAGATGTCGAAGAAACAGGTCCAACTGATCAACGGCGAGTTGATTCTGGAATGTAAAATCCCAACCATTCTGCACAGCTTTCTGCCTCGTCGTGACGACCGTGAGTTTACCCACATGCGATACACGGCGGTTACCTGTGACCCGGATGATTTCACTGCGAGAGGCTACAAGTTGCGCCAGCAGATCGGAAGCACAATGCGCGAAACGGAGCTGTTCATCTGCATCACCATGTACAACGAGGACGAGATCAGTTTTACGCGGACCATGCATGGTGTCATGCGCAACATCAGCCATCTCTGTTCTCGTACCAAGTCTCGTACCTGGGGCAAAGACGGCTGGAAGAAGATTGTCGTCTGCATCATTGCAGATGGGCGCAAGAAGGTGCACCCGCGCACGCTCAACGCCATAGCGGCTCTAGGCGTTTACCAGGAGGGAATCGCCAAAAACATCGTGAACCAGAAGCAGGTCACGGCCCACGTGTATGAGTACACCACGCAGGTATCGCTGGATGACGACCTCAAGTTCAAAGGTGCCGAGAAGGGCATTGTCCCCTGTCAAGTCATCTTTTGTCTCAAGGAGCACAACCAGAAGAAGCTGAACTCTCACCGCTGGTTCTTCAACGCCTTCGGACGCGCCCTGCAACCCAACATCTGCGTCTTGCTCGACGTTGGTACCAAGCCCTCCCAGACAGCCATCTACCATCTCTGGAAGGCCTTTGACCAGGACTCCAATGTGGCCGGCGCCGCTGGAGAGATCAAAGCCGGCATCGGCAAGCGCGGAAAGGGCCTGCTGAATCCCCTGGTTGCCAGCCAGAATTTTGAGTACAAGATGTCCAACATCCTCGATAAGCCTCTTGAGTCTGTCTTCGGATATATTACCGTCTTGCCAGGTGCCTTGAGTGCGTATCGGTTTTTCGCGCTGCAGAATGATGCCGATGGCAATGGGCCCTTGAATCAGTACTTCAAGGGTGAGACACTGCGCGGCAAGGATGCCGACGTCTTCACGGCAAACATGTATCTTGCCGAAGATCGAATTCTGTGCTGGGAGCTGGTCGCCAAGCGCGAGGAACGCTGGGTTTTGCGTTTTGTCAAGAGCGCTGTGGGCGAGACAGATGTGCCAGGTATTTATCCTCTATGTCATCCCGTTCCATTTGATCACTACTAACACCCCCAATTTCAGACACCATTCCGGAGTTTATCTCGCAGCGTCGACGATGGCTTAACGGAGCGTTCTTTGCTGCGGTCTACTCTATCTTCAACTCACAGCAGATCTGGAAGACAGACCACACATTGGGGCGCAAGATTCTGCTTCACGTCGAATTTGTCTACCAGGGCTTTAACCTGATGTTCACTTATTTCTGCTTGGTAGGCCTTCCTCTTCCCTCTCCATATATAGTCTCGAAGAACGGGGTTATTGACATGTCTAGGCCAACTTCTACTTGGCGTTCTACTTCATCGCAGGTTCCCTCAGTAGTTCGAAAATCGATCCGTTCGGGCACAACATGGGTAAATATATCTTCCAAGTGCTGCGCTATGCCTGCATCGTCGTCATGTGTTTGCAATTTATCATTTCGATGGGCAATCGGCCGCAAGGGTAAGCTGAAACATACCAAACAGTCATTCGGGTTTTTCAACGTATCTAACGAATCAACAGAGCCAAAAAGCTTTACTTGTCTGGAATCATCGTGTACAGTATAATCATGGCCTACACCATCTTTGCCGCTCTGTATCTGGTCGTTCTGGAATTGATTGCGCGCTTCGAGGGCAGCTCGTCGCTTACCGTCAGCACGAGTCTCTTTGTGAACATTGTCATCTCGATGCTTTCAACGGTCGGGCTGTACTTTTACACGTCGTTCCTCTATCTGGACCCGTGGCATATGTTTACCTCATCGGCACAATACTTCCTACTCATGCCCAGTTACGTATGCACGCTGCAGGTGTATGCATTTTGCAACACGCACGACGTTACCTGGGGTACCAAGGGTGACAATGTGGTGAACACAGATCTGGGTATGGCGCAGGCAATCAACGGGTCAACGGTGGTGGTTGAGATGCCCTCGGAACAACTGGACATTGACAGCGGCTACGACGCTGCGCTGCGCAACCTGCGCGACCGTCTCGAGGTGCCAGAGGCCCCCATCTCCGAGAGCCAGCAGCAGGAAGACTACTACCGCGCGGTGCGTACGTACATGGTCTCCATCTGGATGGCCGCCAATGTCATCCTGGCCATGGCCATATCGGAGGTGTACGGCGTCGACTCGGAGGGTACCAACATCTACCTGGCGATCATCCTGTGGGCTGTCGCTGTTTTGGCCATGGTCCGCGCCGTCGGCTCTACCACCTACGCCATCCTCAACTTGATCCACAAGATCATCGAGGGCAAGACCAAGTTCGATGCAGGCAACATGTCCTCCAGCTCCAAGTCTGATGCCCCCAGCAAGGCTATGAAGTATGCTCGGGGAACCTGGAAGGACCGGATCCGCGATACAGGCGGTAACGTCACGGAGACCGTCAAGAGCAAGGCTGGTCTGTTGGCCTTTTGGAAACGGAAGAAATGATCCGAAAAAAAAACGAACCCCCCCCGGCGAATATGTTTTTCAATTTTACTCATTTCCTTTATTCCATACCCGTTTTCATTGGTCCTTGATGATTTTTTCCCCTTTGTTTTTGATGGAAATATTTGATGAAGATGTATGTACATGACACTCTATGAACGCAATGTATATGATTTACTACCCCCCCCATTCTTGTTCCGCAATATCCTGAATGACCTATTGCTACCCATCCGTTTTGATGATACCCACGAGAAGCTTCGCCGCCGCCAGAGTCTCCTCATCATGATACCGTCTCCCCGCTAACTGTAGGGAGATCGGGGCGCCATGATACCTGTCTGCCCCGGCACTGTACTTGGCCCATTCGCGGGCCTCTGCCTCACCACGTGCCTGAAAGGCAGACTCTTCAACAGGATCCAAGGCTGCATCCTGTACGAGCCCCGTTGGGAACACCACCGACGGCAGATCGAGCACGTTCCAGATCGCCGTGTAGTTCCAGTAATGCGATTCACCTAGCACGGCCGCCACACCGTTAAAAGATGGGCTGAGGATAAAGTCAACGCCGCGCTCGTTCATGAGAGCGCGGTACTCGTCGCGGAAGGCTTCGCGCATTTTATTGAACTCCCAGTTCTCCGCGATGGAGAGACCGCGCGCGCGGCCGTAAGAGAAGGCCCATTGTGAGAGAGGGAGGATGGGTTCGCCTGATTTGGCGATGGCTTGGTACTGTACCAATGCTGCGTCGGGGTAATACAACGTAGACTTTTTTTTAAAAAAAAAATTGTTAGTCGGCCACTTTGATATACCTATAGATTGCCCGGTATGCTACTTACGATTATCTCCCAGCCGTGATCGTGCCGGTAGGGTTCCCAGTCTACCACTTTGATGCCGGCCGCTTCGAGCCTGGCTTTCGCATGCTTGAGGCCTCGGGTCATGGGAGGGTGAGGACGAACACATCTGTAAACAGGTGAGATGTAGGGTCAAAAAAGGAATATAAGAGTCCGGTATAGCACACACCCGTCATCCCACATGATGGCTATCGTGATGTCCTTTGTCGGCGTCACTCGTTTCCATGGCAAAGGAACAAGCGATGTCTCGGTCTCCCATGGCTCCTGATCAATCACTGCGCTTTGGAAGAGCTCTAGATCTTCGATAGACTGGCTTGCTAGTGGTCCCACGACGGCTTTAATCGACTCTTGCCCCGAGGCAGCACTTTTGAGGCCGTTCATGGGATTCCGCAAGCTGCTGGGTCGGAAGCCATAGGCGCCGCAGAAGGCGGCAGGACATCGGATAGAACCCCCAATGTCTGTCCCAATGCCTAGAGGAGCGCATTTGAATCCCATTGATGCGCCTTCGCCGCCGGAGGACCCGCCGGGGGTGAGGTTGCGGTTGTATGGGTTGAGGGTCGTGCCGGTGATATTGTTGCTGCAGCAGAGATGCTGTGGAAGTCAGCTTTCATGCAAAATCTGTCACTTCTGTTCATGCTTTGCACCGTACCATGAGAGATTGAGGCTGGTTGGTCCGCACATGGAAGACAGCGCCTGCCTTTTCTAATAATTGTAGGAGAAGGGCGTCCTCCGTGGCGATTTGATCTACCCTAAGCACACTAGTCAGTTCTACAACAACTCCAAGTCGCGAAGGCTGAATGTATACCATGCAACGTAGCCAGTGTTACAGGTGAGTCCCTTGATGCCGATATGCTCTTTCACACTGATGGGCACGCCGTGCTATATATATGAAGAGGCCTCGTCAGAACTTCCAATCATCGTCAGTTAGGGTAAAACTACTACCAAAGGCCCAACAAGTTTCCCGGTTTGTTTGTAGTGTTCATCAAGCTGCTTGGCACGAGAAATGGCTCTTTCTGCCATAAATTCAGTGGCAAAGTTCAGCTGTACAAGTCAGCCATGTCGCTTCTTATCAGACCGGTCTCACGCAAAGAGCGCTTCGCAATCACCAATTGATGTCCCAGCACTGCCCTCTTCAAAAACGCAACGACTACTTCTTCTGCCGTCAACTTCCCTGCGCCCATCTCCGCTAGCAGAGCCGAAGCTGACATTTCAGTAATCCTGAGCTCTTCCGCTGAGAAAAGGCCACTCTTTCGAGGAAAGTCCTCGACATTTAATTGATCCGCCGCAGGCAGCTGGTCGACTGGAATAAGCCATTGCTTCGGAATGGAGTTGTCGAGAATAGCTTTGCCTTTCTGGGCCTGTAGCTGCCACGTGTGAAGCGTCATGGTTTCTGAGGGGCCTTGCAGGAACTGCAGTTAGCTAGCTGGCTGTACAAACAGAGGACTTATCACCATACCCAGCGTTAGGGTCCATGACGTTTATATAGCATCAACCGCCGGACGGCCTATCTCTTCTTAAGACAAGCCCCGCGCAAGCACCCCTCCGAACCCCTCTCGATATCTCCCAACCAAAAAAGAATTCGGGTATCGGCAACTGCAAGTCCATTCGGTATCTTTTATCGCTTTCCACTTCTCGGGGGCGAGGCCATCTACCGTTGGCTCAACAAGACGGGCTGATAAGCCCTGAGGGGTTGTTGTTATCTTGGAAGTGCCCTACGGAGTAAGGAAGGCTCCTGCATGCACCTTCCTAATTCATCTAGCGCAATAACTCACGGCGCTCCCGGAGAAACTCGTTGCACACACTGAGGAGATGACAAGATGCAGTAGGGAAGCCTGTTGACAGGTACCTACTGGTTGGCGGTGTTATCAATCAAGTCTATATTGTATCTATGGATTGTTTTTGGGAGTAACGACGTTGCAAATGGCAAGGTGCCTTCAAGATCAATTTCTCACACAACCCGCTCTACCCACAGCACGTCAGTTCCTCGCACAAAGTTCCGCAGATAATCTGACACTTCGACAGGGATCTCCGTCTGAGGCTTCGACTTTCGATTTCTACTTCAATATCCGTGGACTCGATGGTGATGGCCGCGACCTCAGGCTGCAGCGTTGCCGAATGGATGCCGTACGCGTGGAAACATTCGTTGATGATCTTGGCCAGCTTCAGGAAATGAGACACGGAGTGATCAGAGATGACCACATGGACAGAGGCGAGAGATTTGTGCTGATTGAGACGCCAGATGTGGAGTTCGTGGATGGCAAGCACGCCGGGAATCTGTGGGAATCAACACAAGCCCGTTGACCAGAGTGGAGATAACAACTTACTTTCTCTAGATCATGCTTCACATCCCCGAGATCGACTCCATTAGGCGCACTTTCCAAGAGAATGAGACCTGCCCGTCGGACTAGATGAAGGTGGAGTGTGAGAAAAGGCTCTGGCAATACGGGGTAAAACCTCTGGCACGTACCGATCGGAATCGATGAGAGAAGAATCATCACTGAGATTCCCATGCTCGCAGCCGGATCTGCATAATATCGCCCGTCGTAATGAGCCAGCCAGATCACTAGCGCTGCGGCCATCACACCGAGATTATTTGCTGCATCGCCGATGACATGTACTAGGGCTCCCATCATTCCTAGATCATGATCTGGGGAAACCGCTTCCGGTCCTTGACTATGGTGTTTGTGTTCGTGGTGCTACGGCCACTTGTCAGTATTTATGGTAGCAGTGAGTGGTCTTGAGATTAGGTCAGGCGGTTGAACCCACTTCATAGTTCACGGCACCGTCATGATCAGTCAAATGAGGGTTCAATTGTAGTGGGACATCTGGCCCATGGCTATGGTGGTGGCCGTGATCATGTTCTGTACGGTCAGCATATGGGCATTTACACCCAAAGAGGGGGCAGGCGAACTAACCGTGAAGAAACAAGACGCTGATGATATTCAATCCCAAACCAACACATCCCAAGATAAACATAAGTTTGGGATCCTCGACGCCTGTGCCGGGATGTCTGTCAGCTACCTAAGAAACAACGGCCCGTTATTTTTGGGGTGGGACCAACGTTGCAACGATATGAATCGCTCAATAGATTGCAGAAAGATACTGATTCCCAGAGTGAGCAGGAGTACACCATTGAAAAACGCCCCTAGGAGCTGCGCTCTTTGCCATCCAAAGGAGAGTGCTTTGGGAGAGTCTGCCGATGCCGATACCTAGAATGGACACCATCTATCAACACTAATGATGCTATCAGCCCGACAGACATCCCTCTTACCCTGATCGCAATGAGAGCGATGACGAACCCAACAAGGTCATTCAGCTATTGGTTTTAGCTTCATGAATTTTTCCTATCAATTGATTGCAACATACATAATGAAAGGCATCCGCAACCAAGGCAAGCGAGTGTGTATAAAACCCGACTGCCCTCAAGTGTCAGTTCCTATAGTTCTGTTTTCTTGACTTCGCAGATCCATACCTGACAGCTCAGCTAGGAAGAAACATGTTGATATTCCAATAACAGTTCCCAGGCGCTGGGTACGAGACAGTTTGGGCATCATCTTGTGTAAGCAGGACCAGCCAGCTCACAGATCGTCCTCGTAGGCCTTCATGGCAAAGTAGTCAGCCATATGGCACAGCAGATCAAGCTGCCAAAAGGAGACTACTCACCTGAATGATCAAATAGGGAAACTAGATAATCAGTCTTCAAGATAGAAATCCAAATCAGGGGCGGAGGTCGAAAGGTGACGACGACTGTAAGGACTCTCACCGTCAGAGTACAAAGGACAAAGGCAAGGAGAACCGCCACTTTTGCTTGGCTGTGCAATTCTTTTTATTTCGCGTCCCGTTCTCCTTACAGCTCCTTAAGAGTGAAGTAGAAAGTGGATCTTCATTGTTTGTTCCATGTAGATCTTTGCAGAGAGTATTGCCGGCCGGTCATATAGAGTACCATATAGGTGGTGTATTTAGAGTACTTGCCAGTTGTCTCTTTTAAAATATAAATTATCTAACAGGATATTCACATGATAATCTTTAGATTAGGTTGTAGTATTCCTTAAATTATTACCCTGCCTTGACACTCTGCCAACTCAAATCCTGTTCATCGCGTTGTGTAACTGGTCTCCCCGATCCCGTCGGGAACCTGCGCATTCCAGGTTCCATGGAATGAGGCGCCATGTTGACAAAAGACTTCGATTCAATACGAAAGTTAATCAAGTGTCATATTGAAGCAAGTAAAGGAAAAATCTGGAAATTCACATAACAATGTTCAACAACCTTTCTCTAGCTTGTGTGACAGATGAACCAAGCACTCCATATTCCAGGTAGATAGCGGGTTCAATGTATGGGCGCCCCTTATGATGGATATCTTGCAGCCTATTGTATAAAACTGCCCACCGAGGACTGTGATATATAGTCTGGCCCATTAACCAGTTCAAGCCACTCCCTATAGCTCGAGCCGTAGACAAGCTCAGGGATCCGAGGCTGCCTGGTCAATTGCTTGTTTGTTGTCAGAAATCGACCATGGCGTCTTTCTGGTTGGCGGAACTGTGAGTATTGCTTCTGGATAGCAACACTTTCTACGCAGACTTGCCGACGTTTCCTGCCTCATCGTACAAGTCTGCAAATATCCTAGGGTTGTTGTTTTTTCTGTTGAAACGGACACAGCTCCTTCTTTATGCCTGTCGGTCTCAACTCGCAGCCAACACAGTAGCCACCACGTACTCGCCATCATGCGAGATGGAAAGCTTCCCTACCCGGCCCCCCTTATCATCCAAATAGACAATCTCCGGCCTACTCGACCCTGCGCTTGGATCCTGTTCCTCAACCCGTACCAGGATCTCTTTCCACCCCGTATATGCCGCGCCGGTTGGCGCAGCTTTGCGCGCAGCTTCCTTGGCAGCGAAGCGCCCAGCGAGCCAGCGCGTCATTTCCGCTGACACCATGTGAGGGCTGGTATTAAGTGTATCAAAGGCTGAGCTGGTCAGCTTGAATCGCGTGCGGAAATCGTTCTGTTCTTGTTCGCAGAGGATGCGGCGGGAGAAGCGCTCGAGGTATCCTTTCTGTCGGGTGAGAAGACGCGCCACGCGTGGGAGATGAACGACGTCGGTGCCGATATTGAGAGGGAAGGGAAATGGTAACGGTTTCATTTTGTTGTGGATCACCTCTAGGATGTATATCGAACACAACGTCGTAAAGTGACGATGATGGATGTTGAGCGGACTGAGCTCTTCCTGAGGTTCCAGCCAATGACCGACTTCGGTGCCTGAGAAACGGGAAAACATCGCCTAACAATAATACTACTAACAACATGACATTGATGGTAGCCAGACAGTGTTTTTTTCGAATAAGATTGTCCGTAAAATGATTGTATATGTTTCTTATACGGGAGATTAATCGATGCATTTCTCTTGCTCACATATCACCATACTCACCACACTAATACTGTTATGTGGACACACCTAGCTTACGACGCTCAAAACCGGTGTAAATAGCGGGTTAAATGGCCGACAGTCCTACAGGTAACATTTGGTAATTTGCAAGAGCTAGGGGGACTGCGTTCTCACATCCGGGCACTCAGAGACGTGAAATTGAGCCGATATGAAAAGACACGTCCCGGGTATCTCGATCTGACGACCATGGAGGGAATTAAAAAACTTTGATGCTTTGTATACACCTATATGTACAGAGCACACATCCCATCGCCAGTCGAGGGGATCAACATAGTCTGCCTTGACCGTCGGCACGGAACTCGACTCGTGGAATCTTCCGCCCCCGTTGACTTGCTTTTGTCTCGGACTCCTTCAAAAGAAATGGCCGATCCATCAATACAGGTATTGCACTGATAGCATGCGCCACTGACTCGATCTCCGGTCGGTTCTCATATTGATTTCGAGAATATTTAGTGCTTCTCCGTCTTCTCCTCGCCGTTGACGGTCTTCAGGAAATCTCTGTTACGCGAACACCAGTGTTAATATTAATTCCCCGATTGGAAAATAGTCCCAGATGAAAGCTTCAGAGCTTCCAGATGAGTGACGTACTGGATGAAGGTCTCCTCGTCCTTGGAAGAGGCGCTGATCGGAGGACCCGCCGCCGTCTTCTTCTTCTCACCACCGCTGAAGGCAAGGTAGGAGCCACCGAAGAGAGCGCCCAGGACGCTCATGGAAAGCTAAAAAGGACAGAAAAGAAAACACAGAGTCAGTATGATCGCACTATCTCGGACGCAATGCAACCCGGTCCGGTCGTCGGAACAAGGAGGTTGGAACCGGGTGACCGAGGGGGAACGGAGAGAATGGCAACGTACGACATGAGAGCCGATCTTCTTGCCGGCGATCTGGTAGTACTGAACCATTGTGAACGGTGGGAGAGGGGCTTGGACGGTTGGGAAGGGAAGGCAGAAACCAATGTCGTTGCAAACAGAAGCGTAGCGCCAGCAGCAACTGCAAAGTCGCCGGGATCCTGAGGTTCGACTTTCCACACCCGCTAGTCCTAATTGGACTAGACCAACAAACCCGATGACTCAGCTCAGCTGCGCGAGCTTCCGGACGGCTCCGACGGCTCCGAGAACCACCGGGGCGCTGGCTCTACGTCATCAAAGTGTCCAAAGCTTCAGAATAACTAAGCAGCCGTGCGTAGAGGCTGCAGAAACTAGGTATCTATCGTAGGGACTAGTCTGTATAATTATCAGATTCTCGGGCTCGCCAGGAAAGTTCCAGAATACTAGGCACATGGTGGGCTGTGCCGGTGCCAGCAGGCAGAAGGACGGCAGTATTCTCTTCCATCGTATGGACCGAGGTCAAGGTGCCTGATAGGTGTGCCGCTCGTGCGAGCCTTGCCTACCTTCAGTCTTACAGTAACTTACTTTTGCTATTCACTCTGTGTACCAAAGGATCCTGTGTGACTTCTACCTTTGTCTCCCTCCCGTTGTTTCTCATCCCTCTTGTTGTCTCGACTCCGCCGGTAGGGAGTCTGCTGTAGCACCTGTATTAATCTCACGGGGATTTTCTAGCAGACTCCAGCTGAGACTCTGGCAATAAAGCCATTGAATTCATTTTCGCATATCGAATATCTCATCGGATACGCGACAGCCACTCACGATGTTCTGGGGAAATCGCAACAAGGACGAACCCTCCGAGAGCGAGGCGACTGCGAACCTCAACCAAACACCTCTCACTCGCGAGAAACTTCCTCCCCAGCTACAAAGCCTGGTGGATCGCGACGACGAGTTCTTCGACGACGTATACCCATCCTAGTAAGTGACGCCCTTCTCTGGTTCGTTCAGAACGTACCGAGTCTCGTCCGTCCACGGATAGCCCCCCATCATAACTACCTAGTACCTACCTTATGTACTCCGTACCTTGTACAGATTAACTAACGTTGAAAGCTCCGTCGATTCAACAGACACACCGTACCGATATGCCGCATACGCCAACCGGGTGCGAACCATCCTCCTCTCGGCGCACCGCTACGTCGCCTACACCTCTGACGTGGGCGAGTCGTTCCGCCCCGTCGCACACCCGTGGCTTGTGCGCGCCGCGTACGGCGTCTCCTGGACGTACTTGATCGGCGACGTCACCCACGAAGGATACAAGGCCTACCTGCGCAACCGGCACGTCCTGGCACCCCCCGGTGAAGCGTACAAGGATGCCAGCGCCAGTGTCACTGATTTCTCTCACACTACGAGCGTCGCCCGGGGCATGTTCACAGGCAACCTTGTAGGTCCGTTGACTTCATCATCATCACCATCACCGACAGAGCAGCAAACGGAACTCGCTCCCTGGCCGACCACCCATATCCCCCTGATAGAAGATTACCGTACGGTCATGGCGCAGCGGGCCGTCTTCCAGAGCCTCGCTTCCATGGGGTTACCCGCCTTCACCATCCACAGTGTGGTAAAGTACTCTGGTCGGATGTTCAAGTCGTCCAAAAGCACCTTTATGCGAACCTGGGCGCCAATCGGGGTATGCTTTCTCTCCCTTTATCTTACTCCATCTTTACCTCTTCTTCTTCTTCTTCTTTTTTTTTGGTTTTGTCGACTAATTTATCAGCTCGGCCTCTCCGTCGTCCCCTTCCTCCCGTACATCTTCGACGAACCCGTCGAAGAAGCAGTCGAATGGGCCTTCCATACCGCCATCCGCACATTCGCAGGCGAGGACCAAGTCCGCCATCTCCCAGCGCATGCGCCGCATCCAAGTCTTTCCGTCGTCGAAGCGGTCAAGGAGGCTGCTGAAAAGGAAAGAGAGCCCGCGCGTGAATTGCAGAAAACTCAAGGTGGATGGGGAGGGTTCTGGTCTGGGTCCGGGTCGAAGAGTAAAACGGAGTGAACCCCATATATCCATTATATCAACTAATAATCACTCTGTTCTGTACTATACGTCGTCTTGCCTACGGTACCGTATCTACTAGTATATACAAAGGTAGTATATAGGTCTTGATTGAGAAACTACGTAGACATTATTGAAAACGCTCATTTCTACTAATCTGTACAAATAGGAAAGGACATTGGCGGAGTAAAAGGGGGGACAGGAATAATACAAGATATTCCACAGCATCACTCATCAAAGACCACATCCGACCACCCGTACAAGTTGAGCGAACGTGTACGGAAGGAGAGGGGGGGATGGATCTAGAGATAGAACTAGTTAAGGCGCAACACAAGGGGGAATAGCAAGCTTAAAATGAGATATAGGGGGAAAAAAAATAAAAGGTAGATTGAGAAGAAGACGAAAAAGGGGCCTCTGCGGGCTTGATGAAGGTGGAATTTGAATACAGTCAAAAGGGAGAAAAGGGTAGAGATAAGAGGGCAAAAGATACATTCCGTGAGATGAGAGAGAGAGAGAGAGAGAGAGAGAGGGAAAGAGATGGAGACGAAAAGATAATGAGCATCAAGCTGCATCTGCCTAAGGTCTGTACAGAGTCTCCATCTGTTTTCGACAGGAAGGGTTGCCTTTTTTATCCGGTTTTTTTTTTTTTCTTTTGGTGATTGTTAAATTCATCTTGTCCTCAATTTTCTAGTTCCACCCCAGAGAGTTCTCTGCCATGACAGGAGCACTAATCATCTGGGTACGGTTACTGTTGTGGCTGTTGTGCGACATGCGACCTCCAGTCATGAACAGGGAACCGCCACGGGGCATTTGACTCATCTGATCGGCGGTGGAGGGAGTGCGACGATGAAGTTGGCGCTTGTTCCTGTAGCGACGGGCGAGCCAGAACATGCCTGCACCGTACGCGGCCGCGCCAGCCACAGCACCGACACCGATGCCAACCGAGCTTGCCTTGGTGGAAGAGGTGGTGCCAGCGCCAGCGTCGTCATCGAACGAGGCACTGCCGCTGTCACTGCTGGTGCTGCCACTTCCAGAAGAGCCACTGCTACCCGAACTGGAGTCATCACCGCTGGAAGCGGCGGACCCCCCGACCACGAGAGGAATGGTGGGATCGATCATGGAAAACATGGTGCGGGTGGAGGTGTCCGGCTGTTCATAGAGTCTGGAGTTGGGATCAAGCAGCATCTGAGCGAGGGAGTCAACCAAGTCCGAGGGGATATAGGCCAGAGCAACCGTCGCGATGTAGCCGGTGGTCGCGGAATTGTTGTACGGCTCGATAGCGTACATGGGGACCTCGTCGGCCGAAACTTCGAGAGCATACTCCAGACCTTCGGGAACATAGAGGAAGATCTGCGAGGAAGACAGACTGTGGGTGGCCACGAAGCTATAGCGAAGTTCACCGTTGAACCCAATCTGGATCAAGGTCGAGTTGGCAGGGGCTGATGGAATGCCTCCGGCAGGCGCGATCATAGCCGGAAGGTCAGTGGAGGTGCTGGTGCTGGTGGAGGTCTCGGTGGTGGAGGAGGTCTTGGTAGCCGTCTGGGTGGTTTCAACCAGGATACTGGACGGAACCCAGTCATTATTGGTGCTAGTCGAGGCGGCCTCGGTGGTCTTGGTGGTAGTCGTACTCTTCTCAGTGGTACTGGAGCTCGAGGTCTCGACGGCGCTGGAGCTGGAGGCCTCGGTAGCGCTGGGGGTAGAAGTCTCGGTGGTGCGGGAGGATTCTGCGGTAGTCGTGGGCGTGTGGACAGCAGACGTCGAGAGGGCAGCAGTGCCGGTGGTGGTTTCCGCGTCAGAGCCAGTCGCAACAACAGTAGAAGACACTACCGCACTCCCAGAAAGACCGGTGACACTCGTCGCAGTCGGAACGCTCGGGCTAATGATGGTGGCAGAGCCCGTAGTGGAGATTCCGGTCAGGGAAATGATCGAACTGCCCTCCGTACTCGACTGGGAAGGAATCGCAGAGCCGCTGGAAGTGGTGCCAATGAGAGGAATGACAGTTGTGTCGGAAGCACCTGCAGAGAGGATTGCAGTGCTCGACACGCCCGGCACGGCCACGTCGGAAGTCAGAGTGGGAACGGCAGTATCAGTCACGGGCACCGAGGGTAGCACGGTCGAAAAGGACGTAGGGACGTCGACAGAGATGGCCGTCAAGCTACCAGTCGCATCGGTAGCCGTGGAAGTCGGGGAAGCAGCGGGGGTCGAGAGAGCCGTAGTCTCATCCAACGGCACAATGATGCTGCTGGATGTGGCGTCGAGGGGCGCAGATGTGGCTTCGACGAGAGCGGACGAGGCTTCGGCGAGGACGGACGAAGCTTCAGTGGGCACAGATGTAACCTCAGAGAGAACGGCAGACGATGAGAGAGGGATGATAGCTGTTTCCGAAGAAAGAATATCAGTAGCCAAGGAAGACGCTTCAGTTAAAAGATTAGCCGTTGCGGAGGTGGCCTCGGTGGTCGCGGCTGCGGGAGTCGAGATCGCGGTCGAGAGACCGACTGTGGTCTCATCAGACTGGGTAGGCGTAGCGGTATTGGAGCTCTCCGCAGAGGAAGATGCGGCGGCGGTGGTGCTCGCGCCAGCTCCGACAATGGAACCAACATCAGAGAGAACGGAACTAACGACATTGCCGCTGGTTGTGGCCTCCGTCGTGGCCGCAGTTGTTGTGGCCGCGGACGTAGGGGTAGAGCTCTCCGCAGAGGTCTCGGCAGAGGTCTGGGCGGTGGTTTGAGAAGTAGTCGGAGCAGTAGTCTGGGCGGCAGTGGAACCTGTGGCCGCCGTTGTAGAGTCATCAGCAGTCGTGGCCGCCGTTGTGGATGCCGAGGTGGATGCCGATGTAGTTGCAACCGTTGTGTCTGTAGGCGTCGGCGTCTCAGTTATCGTATGTGTCACGCCGAGAGAGTCAACGTAGATGATGACGGGAACCGTGATGACTGGCACGGCGGTAGTAGTTGTAGTTGTCGGATCCGGGACGACCGATGAGATAGCGGTTCCTTGGTCGACGATGTCGTCCGTATCCCTCTTCACGCCAATGTTGTACTTTTCGGCCGAGCCCTCATGACTCAGGGCATGGGAACCGCCATGAACCGATCGTTTGATTTCCCGGGGGAAATAGTAACGAGGTCTCGCGGCTGGGGAATTCGGAGCGTGTCGCGCTGCGACCAACTCAACGCCTCCCAGAGACAGGAAGGCCGTCAACACGGAGAGAGCTGTGGAGACCATGGTTGCTTTCTGACAGTAAATACAACAGACTGATACACTATACACCCAAAAAGAATATTAGATCCCATCAACATCAATAGATGATGAACGTACCGCTAAAAACAATAGTGATTAGTTCGAGTATTCAAGAACGAATGTCGCCCGAGGATTCTCGGGAGTAAAAAGGAACGACGACTATGGTTCAAAATGAACGGACAGAGCAGCGGCTCAATTTCCCAAATTGTCTCTTCTTCGCGTTCAAGCAATGCCAGTTGCCGAGTTGGTGAGCTAGCGGAGCGGATCGGTTGTTGTAAGGCTGAGAGTGCAGCCTTTTCTTTGTCCGGTTGACCTGCACCTTGCCCAGCAGCAATTCTTTGTATTAGTAGTTCCGTTTCCCACAGGACTCAAGGTGTAACCGATGAGAGATCCAAATTCGTAGAGAGAGAGAAAGGAGGCTGAGCCAGATTAGTACGGAAAGCGTGGTGGGCGTATTGGGCGCAGCACGCGGAGGATAAACAAAATCGAATGAGTGGCAGGGGAAGATCTGGATCAATAGACCCAAGGAAAAAAATCCCCGAATGAAAAAAAACACAAAGGCAGGTTTAAAGCGAAGGTGAAGGAGACTGCAGTAAGGAGCGAACGACGGCTTCTGAGTCAGGAGCGCCTAAGGGACAATGGGAGAGCGATGAAACGAGGAAGCCAGTTTGGGATGCTGGGCGACCGTGTGCATGCAAGGAGCGGCGGCGTGTGGGAGGGAAGTTGTCAAGTCCCAACGGCTCGTTGACGCAGAACCAGAGCTTGCAAGCTACGTCAACGACTGCACCGGATGATGGCGAAGCATAAGTGTTTAAAGCAGAAAGCAAAAAAAAGACATAGGCAGGGAAGAAAAGGGAAGAAAACAAAACGAGGGAACGTGAGCGGCCGGCAGGTGGTTAGGGGGGGGGCAAGTGGGTTAGTTAGTTAGTTGGTGGTGGGCGGAGAGAGAAACTTGGCGCCCTAGTAGTTAGAGGGGGGCTACTAGGGGCGGGTGTGCTGGAGTAACACCACGCACCGACTCTAAACCTCAGGCATCAGTATGTACGGAGTAGTACGGAGTTAGTACGGAGTACTACCGTATACCTACCTAGGTACTAGGTACACTCTGTGGTTACAGAGTAAGTACGGAAGTACCTTACTATGGGTACCACATATGTAAGTACTTAACTGTAGCTTATTTATGAGAGCTGTTGACTCCGATTCTACCTAGGAGTATTACAGACAAACTATAATATGATAACTTATAGTGATATAATCTGATAGTAGAGAGAACCCCTCCGATAGTTCATCGTAGAGTAATATTACACAGTATTATAGCACTGTTCGGCCGTATGCCGCCGGACGTGGCGGCATTCCCACCCTGCGCTGACGCGACATACCTGCGCTAGCCTCAACCTATGTCGCACTATGTACTCCATAGTACTGTCCTCCATACGTTGGAGAGATACCCAGGTACCCAGCACTCGGTGGGTGTTGGGCGTTATGGCACGCCACAGCCGTTGAACAGTCAAGGCGTGAAAAAAGTGCCTATTTTGGAGTACTTAACTATTACCTACCCTACTACCTTAGATAACTACCTGTTCACTAGTTACTCCATACCTAGTAATTAACTAACTACTGTACATACTACAGGTGCTAATTACAAAGTACAGGGAGCAATCGAAGGCTGGTAAAATACCGTCACCGTTGGTAAGACTGATCGTCATTCTTCAGCCAGTAAAGTACCTACCTGGTAGCAAGGGCGTCATAGAAGTACAGAGTACAGAGTAGGGTAGGGACTTTCTACTAACTATTATCTCATATACTCTGTATACTCCTCAATATACAACTGCAGGAGTCAACCTGTTTACTATTAGTATTAATTGTCTAGTAGTTGATTCCTACATAGTTACCTAGGTACCTTGTCCATACACTGATACAGTACTACCAAGCATCTCCACACGCTAAGCTGTTTCCTGGCAAGGCTGGTAGACTAAGCCTAGACCTCCTGCGGTGTTCCTGGATGTGGCATTAACAATATGCGTGGGTATATCTACTAAGTAATAGGGTACACGGCACGAGGCAAGACTAATAATCCCTAGTGTTATTTCTGGGTACTAACTAACTGCCTCAGTACTAGACAACAGGGACAAGGACTCCATTGATTTAGTAGTAGTATATGAACCATAATTGCTGTCACTATGAGCAGGCACTGGCCGTCAATAGTAATACCAAGTCTAATAGTTGATCCTGTTGCTACATAGTACATAGTTCTAGTTCAATAATAGATAGGTATCTACGGAGTATGTAGTATGCTACTACAGTATTAACAGAATCCATCAGTCCAGATCTCCGTCCAAATTCAGGGTCGAGGCTAATAACTAGACCAACTATTTCGTAATCACTAGGGACTTGCTCATGGGATCTCGTACATTTCCAGGGTGATGTGACTGTCGGCAAGAATTACTCTCTCTTCAGTGCCTTGCCAATGCCTTAGTAGATAGTTAGTACCTCTCCGTACCTACCTACCTAGGTACCTACCTAGGTACCTAGGTAGGTTGGCACTCCGTACTACAGTATAGTAGTATACTAGAGCAGCCACGTGCAGGAGGCCGAGGATCGGAATGTTGCTGGCCTGGATTCTGAAACAGCTTGTCATTCATCCCTGGCAATTTAGAAAACCCAACGTGGCTGAGGAGGATTCTTTCTTTATCAGGATTCAGAACTAGCTGATCAGATGATAGCTATTACATAGTATAATAATAGAAGTGGTATACAGACTAAATATACTGTAGTAAAGGAATCTTACTCCGTAGACCGGTTGTACGAAGTACGGAGTATATTTAACTACTAGGTAGTTACTAGGTAACTAACCTAACCCATTATTCAGCCTTGCTAAGACCAGAGACTAACGAGTCTCCTTCCGCAAAGAGAGAAAGCGCAAAGGGGAACACTAATTACCAGGTAGTGTTCCTTACTAGTTACTACATAACTACCTAGTACTTATGTCGTACACTGTATTAGAAGATATGTGTCACTAATATAATATAGAATATGTACAGCATTTCCTGTAGTACGGAGTACACACTCTGAACAAGTTGAACAGCTTAGCCACCCACTCCTAGACTACAGCACTCAGGGACTAAATTCAGGACTAAGATCAGTGAGCCATGGCCTGAGCTGTCGATCGGATAAGAATGAAAAAGAAAAACATGGAAAGGGGCGCAGACTCGCTCAGACTCACTCAGACTCAGCCAAGTCTCCGTGAAATTAAACCGGCTGTTTTGGGTTTGGGCAAGGCGCCCACGCTAAACCTGTTCCTGAAGCGACGGCTGGGATCCATGGAATATTTTTATGTATGGAGTACGGAGTAGTAACTAACAGTTTGAGCTATAGATAGTACTGTATACTGTTTTTAAACAAACTCTATAAATTCACATAGTTGGTAATTATTTTTTTTTTTTTAAAAAAAAAAAAAAAAACCAAAGAAAAAAAAACACAGTTACTGACTACTGTACAAATAGAAAAGTCAGTCAAGTAAAGGTAATAGTCTGCAGGTTGCAACTCTGGTTGACTCTTATTAGGATCTGCAGGCCGAGAATCTAGAACGAGGTCACGTGGACAGCGTGCCCTGCCCTAGAGTCTAGACTATTCCTAGACTCCATTCACTGTCATCAATCCGTACCTCCTACGTTTTGACTCCCTCCCATTAACTGGTCGTCAACTACCCGTCAACTACCTATTTGAAGTCTCTAGCTACTAATTAATCAGCCACAAGTACTGCTCCTACTCTAGAACTGAGATTTCTAGGAAACAAATTCCTGACTTATTCTGTCTTAAGCCACAGAACGGAATGTGACATCATCCTGCAACGAGTATGGAGACTGAACAAGTCATCTTATGGAGCACACGTCACTTATAAGGTGGCAAATGAAGAGTCTAGACAATCATTTTATGTAATTACTTTTATTCTATAGTATCTCTGCCCAAGGCATCCTTATGAGAAGTCAGTGATTCCTGTCTGTGTCGTAACTCGAGCCATTAGCTATATAAGCAATATATATTGATAGGCATACCTTTGTAACTGTTAGTGAGCATAGCAACAGTACACCTAGGTGGTCATAGAATAAATAAAATGGTCAACTGTATTTGATATCATATTCTATATAATATGTTGCAGCAATTATTTTGGTATCTGGGTAGTCGTTGACCACTCGACCTTAAGTAGCTATTGACATCAGATAAGAATACCCTATTATACAGAATCAGTAGATTATTCCTCATATTAGTTTGTACTTATATTCTATCTTATGCTTTCTTATTTCTTCTGGTTTTATTTCAAAGGGTTGAAGTACCTACAGATGACACAAATTGAGGACACCGTTCGATACGTTCAGTGTATAGTTCTATTCTATTTATTGACTGTAATTGAATCTCGAGTTCTATCCAGTACTTATACAAAATTCTCGAAGCTCTGCTTATTTTCCTGTTGTGGTGTTGGTTTTGGTGGATATATAAACACGCTTTAACCACTATATATAATATCATGAGTCCAACATCTCATCTAAGAGCTACAATAGAAAATATATAGAAGTGATGATAAGAATCCAGAATAAAGAGAAATGGTATCCCCAAAGAAGTGTTTCTGGTTTCTTTTAAAGATAATGTTGAGGTGACAGTCATTCTCACCACAGCAGCCATAAGTGTCGATATAAAATAGTATAGAATACACCAGCCTCTTCCCCCCTAACCAAATATTTCTGCAGTGAATTCCATTCTTCTCCAGACTCTCCTCTTCTCCCTCTCTCCACGCATCTTTGTCCTCTCCTCAAGCTGACCTGGTTCCATTCCACGTAGCCAGCAGCCGGACACGCCAGAAGGCTGTCGCGCGCTAAAATGGCTTCACCAGATGGAAAACCCTCAGAAGACATCGAGATCCGCATCCACGACCTGACAGCTGTTGTGTCTTTGGGTCGGCCGATGCAGGAGCTGATCCCAGAGCGATACCTGCACGAAGCAGACCGGACCTGTAAGCCAGACAGACTGACAAGCTGAGTAGCCGAAGAAGGTAAATCAAAATGCAAGCTAACATTTATTGACCATCGCTTTCATAGCCGTCCTCGAGCGACTTCCCTGGATGTTCCGCCGCGGTCTTGAAGACGCAACCGACGTCGATGTCGACCGGTGGTCGCCCATTGACGTCCGCTACCGGGGCGTCTACAGATCTCTCTCCAAGGCGCCCCCGTTCCCTCACGGCCTCTACGACAACGCAGACTCCATCGAACTGATCCGCGAGTGTCTGGATTCGGCTCCGGCATATGCGCAGCGACAGGCGGCGTACGCTCTGTTCGAGGAGATCCTCAGGATGCTGTGCATCAAGCGGAGGACTTATTCCGAGAAAGACTACTTTCACCTTCGGTAGGTCTCTCTCTTTGCGTTTCCTGGCTCCAGATTAGCTCATAGCTGAACATTCAGACCCAGACTCCTTACACGTCCAATGGAGTACATGACTGGCCGGTACAGAACACACCATGATGGCCCTGACCCTGCGGGAGCGCTGTGTCTTGATTTCTTCCCTTCCCTGCACACAGTCCCCTCTGTCGTTCCTGTTTCTATAGTGAGACCTTTCTTTTCATGAGCTTATTATTATGGTTATCTTTTTTTTCTAATCGTATAGACCACCGACGCAGAACCTCTCGAGTCCGCCCTTACGGAAAAAATCAAGCTGATCCTCGGCCAACTGAATCTACAGGCTCGCATCCTGCGCGCCCCCGGCGACAAGATCCCCGACCAGGAAGTCTTCGTGCTGGCCTTCCACGGCTCGAGACTGCACATCCTGCATGCCGAGTTTCCAGGAGACCAGATCTCGACAGTCTGGTGTGAGCGTGGCCGAAGCAGACTGCGAGATAAACCCGAAGCTACTCTAGGTACAGATACGAAGGCCGGGCGAGATGCGAAAGCTTTCCACGTAAAAGTATCAAACGAGTATAACCTCTGGATGAAAGCAGATTACCTGAAGACCATCCGCGCCGTTGCCGGCCTAGTCATCTATCTGATGAGCGGGACCTCGCGCTGCGGCGTCATGCAGACTGCCTTCCATCTGTGGCCGTACCATCCTCGACCCGACAGGGATGAAGAGGCGTACGCGCTCCGCAGGGAACAGGCTCTACACGAACAGCTCTGGTTCGACGAGGAAGAGGTCCGGATCGAGCGCCGCGAGCGTCTGAAACAGCTTGAGCATGAATTGTGCGATCAGCTGCGTGACTCGATGCGGTACACTGCTGCGGATCGCATTGGGGGGATCAACGAGCGGTCTAGACCGTGGTGGAATTGGGTATGGAGTGATAGTGAAGATGAGAATGACGTTGAAGAAGTTGAAGATGGAGGCATGGATTTTGGGATCCAGGATAGTGGTACCGGTGGTTCCCACGAAGAGAATACTGGAGAAGAGAATACTGGAGAAGTGAATACTGGAGACGTCGAGGCTGGAGGTCAAGAGGAAGACGAGTTTGAGTCCGATTCAGACTCTTCCGATGAGGTTTTGTATGATAGATTTCTGGATGCTTGAATAGCTTGATCAACCATTGGATTGACAGTGGAAGTTAAGAATCGAACTAATAGGTATCACAATTTCAGAGTGGAGAGCAGACTATGTACAAAAGAGTAGAGAGCAGATCATGTACCAAAGAGTAGAGAGCAGACCATGTACCGAAATACTATTCCCTGTGTCTCCTTTCAGACTCGAATTCCGTGAATCCATCGATCCCGTATCCATCTGACCCACCGGTGCGGAAATACTCGATCACCACCCCAATGGCATAACAGGTGGCTGCCGTTGCGGTTCCCGTCAGAACCATCCGGCGCAAGGCGTTGCGAATAGTGGATCGCGGCTTGGTCGTATCGTAGTGATGGTCCTTGCTATTCTCCCATGTGGAAGCTGGACTGCCCGTGAAGGACGTCTCTTGCCTCTTACTAATGATACGAGGCGATTTTTCGGCTTTCTCATCGACACGACGCCGTGAAGATTCCAAGGCAGGGACCTCGGACACCCTGTCACCACCATTCTCCTGGACCACTGCCTCTTTAACCTTCTGGAAAACAAGGATATCCCCACCCCCGGAGACAATCTCAAATCCATCGCGCTGCATTCCAGCAAAATGGGGCAGGAACTTAGCAGCGTTGTTCAGCCGCGATAGCACCTCCGTGGGATGCAGATGCTCGCTTGGCGTGTAAAGAGATGACGTTGTCTCCGCTGTAGTCACGCGCAAGGTAGAAGAGTCGTATGCCAGGATGCGATAGATGGTAGGCGTCAACGGCTCTTCGAGAGAAGGTCTCGCGGGCAGATCAACCACCTCCAGAGGATCGAAAGCCATCTCTGTTACCGGAGAGACTAAATTAGGAGACTCGGATGGCACGGTCTCATCTGCCGTTGAGCTGGTTTGGTGCACTTCGGGTTCATTAACATGAAATACGTTTTCTGGATCAGGGGAGGGATTATGTCCATCTCCTAGGACAGTATCGGGGCCTTTGTCTTCAGACTGCGGCTCGATTTTGCGCGAGCTATAGAGTGCTCGAATATCACTCGCTGTCAGTGAGTCAAGGTTATCTTTTTCAGCTAGATGGCACAGATCGTCCTGTAAAACTTGCTGTTTATCGGTATCCATTTTGAATTGTTGAAAATGCATGTCACTTTTCTGTCTGGCAGGGGAGACGTTGGGTTGGTTCATCGTATCATCCAGCTCGATCACCTTCTGGTTTCCTTCTGCATGGCTTTCAAACTTAACACCCGCCTCTCCGAGGGCTGTCTCTCCCTCGGATATGACATCCTTGTGGTCTTCTGTTGGTGGAGCATCGTTGCATATAGAGCGGGCTGTGTTTGTACCGGTCGTTGATTTGAGCCTTTCAATGGGAATTTTCTTACTACCACCATCACCAAATATTTCCGGTGCCATATCTACCTTTCGGACCATGCGTCCACTGACAGGATCGAACGCGTAGCTATTTGCATCTGACTTTGCCGTCTCCGAGGTTATCATAGACGTGACATCGGAGCTGCTCTTTCTGGATGACAGAGACTCATCTTTGGGTATCTTCGCTGCTTTTTCAGACTTCACACTTCCGGTGTCATCGAGACCCAAAAAAGACCGACAGAAGGCCGACCAGGAGCCCTGCGGTCTTTCCAAGGGCCGGAGACGTTCAAATCCCCCCCCAAACAGCGCAGTATAGGGATCTGCTTCGATCGCCTGCTTCATCTTCTCAAACCGCCGGCGTGTCCTTTCCACTTCTTCATTCCAGAAGTCCTTGTTTTGCTTTGATCCCACGGTATACGGTGTAGATCGGCTGCAGGTCGAAGCCCAGCTCCACCACGGAGAACCGCGCCAGTGTTGATCGGAAAGTGCTTTCCGACGCAGCTTGTGGAGATGATGCTGGTGATGTCTGCTGAAGCGCCTCATAGCCCGCTCATGCTCCTGCATGAGCCTATCGTGATCGTAGCGAGCGTATCGCCAGAAGCTCCGGCGCTGACATGACGAGAAGTCGGTGGCGAGTATATATGGTACTCGGGAGGATCTGACGGCGGAATCCCAGGAGACTATAGCAGAGCTCATTCTGAAAGCAGTTTTTAGAGTATAGTAAACGGGTAGAACAGTTACATATAGTAATCGTTTTCGTGCCTGCGACGCTTAATCGTCGTGACCATTAACTACATCACTAGGCACAGCGTGATAAGAGAAGATGTCTTATCTATCGCGCTTATCTTTGGGCAGCCAGCCCAAGAGCCGAATGATATTCAAGGGATGCAGTGAAAATTATGGCGAAAAAGGGAAATGAACGAGTATCTCTTCCTTTACGATGAAATCGAGCGGGTTTGTTTGTTGGGTGTCAGCAAGCACTGCGAGGGAGGTGACACAAGTACGGTATGATATTCCCCTCATCTGAAGCTTGGGCCACTTCCGAGACGCCCGCATACGATTATCTAAGACGTGAATCGCATAACTAACTAATCAGAGAATATTGATGGATTAAGCTAGATAGCAAGATTTGATACTGCGAGGCTGTCAAGGATGCCGTTCCGTGTGTCTCGGGTGGAGATATGATTGCTCCAGAATCTTTGCCCTTCGATGCCCTCTTCTCGGCAGAGGATACCGCGATCCTCGGCCATTTCGAGCTCCTCAGCAGCTACCCCGACGCTCCATTTGAATCGCTGTGCAGCTTCTTGGGCCGTCACCGCCCGACCGAACAAGCGCCAGTCCCACGGAACAGCCTCGATGGGAGGGGTGCGACGTAGTTCTTCCATCCAGTCCTGGATCTGTCGAAGAGTCTTCTCGTCGCCCCAATCAAATCGCTGAACAACTAACAACCCACTCTTGAATTTGCGGAGACGGACAGGTAATTTTAATTTCTCCCACAGTTCTGCGGCCTTCTGAAAGTCTGAGGGACTCACAAGTTCTACCCCATTGCGTGATCGGTTGAAGACTGCCCACAGATCAATAAGGCTCATGATACCGCCTTCTCTGTGCAGAACCCCCTTGCGGTCGTCGGTCAGGTACTCGGCCAAGTCTCGAGATAATTCAGAGAGATAGAGAGACTCCGCGCCAGAGCTGAGCATGTCCTTGGTGGTAGTCATGCCCAAGGCGGCGGCGGATTCCGAAAGTACCGCACCCGTCTCCGTGGAGTTCTCTGGCGTCGTCATCCCAGATTCTCGGGCCAGGGTTTCGGCGAGGGAAACGATCTGTTTTGCTGATGCCATCAGGGCCTCCAAGTCCTCAAACGCGTTTCCAATGACAACTTCATTGTTCCGCCGCGCCTCGAGGCCACGCCGCTCAAGGCCAGCAATGCCGACTCCAGTGGATCGTGTAGGTACCGATTCATTCAACACAGGCGTGGCGTCAGACAGTCCCTGAGATAAGCTAGGTTGTGATGGTGGAGGGACAGGTGGTGCATTGTGCAACAGCCATTTCCTCTGAATCAGAGCACCCTTTAGCCTTTCATGAAATGTTTTGTCCCCGCCTTCGCGAAAAGAAAGTTTGATGCAATCTTTGATCTCAGTGTTCTTGATACTGCTTTGGTCGAAAAACGGCGCGGGAGATTCGGACCGGCTCTTGGAACCGTCACGCGCACTCGCAGAATTCCCAGGGGCCAATGGAGCCCCGCATATCTCACATTCATGGAGAGAAGGGTGGTTTACAAACGTGCAGCGAGGACATGCAATCTGAGCGTTGCTCGAGAAAGGCGACAGCCCCTGTTGGCCATTCCCCACGATCGAAGAATCCCCGTTTGGCTTTGCTATACCCGGGTTCGTCGACGAGGCCTCTCGGTTGGCCGTGGCACTGATCGCGGCCTTCAAGACAGTTGTGAAGGGAGGCTTGATCCCGCAGGCTAAACAAGGGGGCAAATTCGCCGCCGCTGTAGCCGTTGTAGGATCGAAATTCGAAGGAACCGGATTGGAAAACGAGCAGATCGGGCAGATCCAGGTCGCATTCACGGGCTTGGGAGCAAGCGGCTGGGGACCCGGAGGCTGGGAGGGGCCGTTCGTCAGTTGTGAGCGCGAGGGACTCGAGGTGGCGCTTCTCGACCTGTCAATTCGATTCTTGGGTGGTTTCGCATAGATAGTAATCTTCGGAGATGACTTGAGAAACCCAGCCTGCTACCCATAAATCATCCTGACACTCCTTGCGTCAAGAACAAAGAGACATATCGCATACCTGGCTCTCCACCCGGTCGACATCTTTCAAGTCGATGCCAACCGCGTGCTTTCGTGGCTCCTCCAACGCAACATAACAGATCCGATGGGACGTGAGGTACGCATGGCCATTTTGGTACTCGGGGATCTTGTATTTTCTGGACAGTCGTAGCCCGCACAGTTAGAGACCACACACCACTTCTTTTGCAAAGAAGAAAACAAAGAAACGCATGTCGAGTCAAAGTGCGGGGTTGCCTGCCACATACCCTTCATACAACCCCACCGCATCCTGAACGAAAAGAAGGGTCTCATCCGGTAACAGAGAGGGTCGAAGTGCAGTGGTGAGATCTAACGGCTTGAAGAACATCTAGTCGAGTCCTGACAGCATATCTCACCACCTTTGGTCAAGAAGAAGAGAGACAACGGCCGACTGCCCTCTTGACCTGGGGGGAGATAACCAACTGATAGCATGCGAGCAGGGCGCCTGTACTGCCCGCTCTCACCGCCTGCCAACACCGTAAGCGAGCCAAAGAAGCCAAAGTTGGAAACCTCCACATCTCTAAGGAAGTTGGATCCGCTGCGAGCATCTCACACTTTCCATCAACCACTGCATCAACAGATAGGAAGTATTATTGTTGTGTGATCCTGTCTATCTTCTTTATCATAAGAAGAAGCTTTCTCTCATCTAAAAAAGTCCTAAGCCTCTGTTTTCACTGTGCTTGGAATCTCTTTTTGAGTTTCCACACAAACCCCAGCTGTAGGATCGTTTGACTTGATTTTCTTTTCTCTTTTCTCTTTTATCTTCTTTCTGCGTTCTTTCCTTAGTGCTGCTTTGCTTTCAAGATGAGTTCTGGTATTCCCCCATGGCGTGTCACAGCCTCAGCAACTGCAACAGCCACCCACTATCCCACACATGGTAAGCGGATGAACCCAGGAAGAAAGTCACTAGGTGGCCTTGTTACTAACTTTGGTGTCTTTCCTAGCAACCCCAGCATTTATCCCAGTACAGGCGCGCCGTAGCTTTGCTCAGAATGCCCAAGTGTCAACTCCAGCGGCTCCTGTCTCTAATCCCGCTCCATCGCAGCCTTCGGATTCGCAACCTCGCAAAAAGGTCGACTGGCCGTTGCCGGTTCGTATGTACGTGCAGCGGTGCTTTGCATCTGAAAATCAAATTTCGGGTGTGAGCAGAGAAGAGATGGAAACCAAACTGAAAGCCGTCATTACCGAGGCTGCGGATGCCGACCGGCTCTCCGAGGTCGACTGGGACCACCTGCCTCTGCCACAAGTCATGATCCAGAACGAACGGATCAAGAGCCTCACTAACCCTGCTGTGTCCGCCTGGGGCGGTGCATCCATCATGGCCAGCCCATCCAATAAAAGAAAATCTATCGAGGCATCGCTGCCCCGCGAGACGGACACCTCTCCGCCCTGGAGACAGACTAACCATCGCAATGCTTTTGAAGATCGCGTCACTTATCCCAAAGCAGATAAACGACAGAAGATTGATATGAAGAACCTCAGTAAGTCCAAAACTAATCTCGAGATGCGGAAAAAACGATTTGAGGATCCTCGTGCCGGGTACGGATCGTCACCAGCCTCTAGCCGTGGAGACTCCCCAGCCGCGGATGCGCATCGTGGTCCGATCGTGGGTAGATGCCAGAATCTGGAGAAGAACTATTTCCGTTTGACGTCGGCGCCGAACCCGGACACGGTGCGACCCTTGGCGGTGCTTGAGAAGACGCTGGACCTGCTCAAGAAGAAGTGGCGCAAGGACAATAACTACGGCTACATCTGCGATCAGTTCAAATCCCTCCGACAGGATCTGACCGTGCAGCACATCCGGAACGAGTTCACCGTCAGTGTCTACGAGATCCATGCCCGCATTGCCCTGGAGAAAGGAGATCTTGGTGAGTATAATCAGTGCCAGACCCAGTTGCGCGCACTGTACCGGCAGCAACTCGGCGGCCATCCGACGGAATTCAAGGCCTATCGTATTCTCTATTTCATTCACACTCGCAACTGGACGGCCATGAACGATGCCCTAGCCGATCTAACCGCAGCAGACAAGCGAGACCCTGCTGTGAAGCATGCTTTAGATGTTCGTTCCGCTCTGGCGCTGGGCAACTACCATCGCTTCTTCCAGCTCTACCTCGATACCCCCAACATGGGGGCATATCTCATGGATATGTTTGTCGACCGTGAGCGGCTGTCGGCCCTCGCTGCCATCTGTAAAGCGTAAGTCTTTTTTTTTCCCTTCGTTTTCTTTCCAGTCCACTGCTAATCCACCCTAGGTATAAGCCGGACGTAAAGATTCGCTTCATCACCGAGGAACTTGGGTTTGAGTCGGACGAGCAAGCCGCACGGTTTATCCTGGACCACACCTCTGCCGATCTGCTCCAGGAGCAGGGCGGCCTGGTCAAGCTCCTCACGGGGAAGGCTGGGCAACTGTTTGAAGTGGCCCGAGCCGAAGCGCACCGGGTCGTCGACATCAAGGGGCAGATTTAGAGCCGATCCCCTCTCACTTTCTCCTTTTGTTCTCGTGCTCTTTTTTTTTTTTTTTTTTTTTTTTCTTCTTTTGCTATGTTTTGCTATGCGAGGCACTACAAACTTACTCGCGCTGGACGTATTCCTAGACACCACCAGCCTTGTTTGATATACCCATTTTTTGATTTTCTGGCGCAGGACGGGTTGGGATAGTACAGTAGGTAACTGTAGGTAGTACCTTAGCATTTGTTGAATCCAATTTCTATTCTCTGATCCTACCACAGTACTCCGCTGAAGCCATAATCGACTGGTACTCCGTATACTCCGTATACTCCGTACAAAGCAACACTGTGGATACGCTCCACAGTCCTTTGTCCGACCTCGCAACCCCACCAGACATACGTAAGATATGGTAGAAGTAGTGAAGATGGATATAGATGGCTAGAATTTGCCCATGGTCTATAGTGTAATATCTAATAGGTATCAGTCTAGACAACTACATAAGTACTTCACGTATACCGAAATTACATACCTACCTAGGAATGGAGGTACTTATGTAGTAGTACTGTAGATACTCTAGTAACTACCTAGTAGGTATGCAGAGCCAGATCTACTAACGCCACATGGTATCCAATCAATACGAGAACAGCATAAAGAATTTAGTATAGAGTACTTCAGCTATAGATTTATCGAATTAAATCATCTCATTCGCTCCCCTTCCCCCTAATCTTGCGACCTAATTTTCGACCTAATTTTGGCGTTTGTGTTCCTTTCTTTCAGCTCCTCTGCGACCCATGGCTCTGGGCGCACACGTTGCGGAATGGAATCGAACCGCCCAACCCAAGATCTGTGGCTAGACTTTTAGGTCTGTAGCACCGTACCACATACTACAGCGTCTTCGAGTGCCAGTGCCTAGATCTGCCTATTATATCACATATCACGTACTAGGCATTAAGAAGCATGTAACTAATAATTGACTGGGCTTATACCAACCTATAGCGAGGTAACGACTACATATACTATCACTTCATCCGACCCTCCCAATAATCTTCTCGCCACTCACAGGCGCGCTGTCAGGGGCCAACCAAACTGCCAGTCGCCAATAATTATTCTCTGCTCACCCGTGGTCGAGCTGATCCAGCGGCTGCCACCACCACAAAGGAGGGGGGGGGGAAAGAGAGGAGAAAAAAAAAAGGAGATCTTTTCCTGCATCTACTGCATCTATCCCTCTCTCCGTTATTCTCTCTTGTCTTCCAGATAACCGAATAGTTGATTTCTCTTCCAAGTCTGTCAGGTCAGACTAGTGAAGAAATGAAGGTCTGTTCTTCTAACTCTTGTCTTGTTCTCTGCCCCTCCTGCCTCTCCCGCCCCTCGTTTAAATAATAAACACCCCGATCGCGCGTGCTGACCCTGACTGATGCTGACACTATCGCCCTTGCTTCTTCATCCCAGGCCATCCGACGCTCGCTCAAGGGGGATAAGGATCCCAAACCCCATCACCACCATATCTCCATCACTCCCAAGTCTGCCATTGCCATCCTGCCTCCCAAGAAAGTGAGTCTTTCTTCGATCTTTTTTACTCCCCTAGTACTCCTCCGTACTACCGCCCTCCTCCCTTCCCTTCCCTTCCCTTCCCTTCCCTTGTTTTCTCTCTCCCCGCTCCTCTGTGTTTCACCTGCGCACTGTGGAGCTTTTTTCTTTCTTTCTTTCTTTCTTTCTTTCCTTTTTTTTTTCCCCTCTCACCTTCGCCTTTCTTTTTTTTTCCGGGAGAGAGAGAGAGAGAGAGAGAGAGAGAGAGAGAGAGAGAGAGAGAGGCTTGGCGATTGCGGAAGAAAAGAAAAAAGTCCCTATCTTGCGTTGAGATCGTCGACGAAACGGCTGGCTGATCGCTCCTTTCTTTTTCCTCTTTTTTTTTCTTTACTTCAGGTTATCAGAGCCCTCTACGATTACCAACCGGAAGCCGGGAACGCGCAGGAATTGGCCTTCAGCAAGGGCGACTTCTTCCACGTTATCAGCAGGGAGGACGATTTGGATTGGTACGAGGCGTGCAACCCTCTCATCCCTAGCGCCAGGGGGCTGGTCCCGGTCTCGTTTTTCGAGGTGATTGGGAAGAACGAACGCAACAGCGACGACTCCATCGACCTTCATAAGAAAGAGCATCACGACTCGGGTTTCGCCGACCGCGCCCCTGCTTTTGTCCCGTTCGCGGAACCCCCGGCATCAACGATCGCTACGACGACGACAGTGACGACCACCACACCACCACCCCCACCAACAGCAACAAACTCGACCGTCCCTCCGTTGGGTAGTTATAACAGAATGTCTGCCCTCAAGGGAGCCGGGCCTATGGTCTACGGTATCGTTCAGTATGATTTCCAGGCCGAGCGCCCCGACGAGCTGGACGCCCGCGCCGGCGAGGCCATTATCGTCATTGCCCAGTCCAACCCCGAGTGGTTTGTCGCGAAGCCTATCGGTCGCCTTGGCGGGCCAGGCCTGATCCCCGTCTCCTTTATCGAACTGCGCGACATGCAGACCGGGCAGGCTGTCACCGATCCGCTCGAGGCCGTCCGTCGCGCCGGTGTCCCCAAGGTGGAGGAGTGGAAGAAGATGACCGCCGAGTACAAGAACTCCAGCATTACCCTCGGCAAGATCGACTCCGCCGCCTCGGGGGTTCAGTCGGCAACCGCTGGCATGGAGAAGATGTCCATGACCAACAACAACAACAACAACAACAACAACAACCATAATAGTTACGCCAGTCACACCAGCCAGAACGGCACTCACCAGGTATGTTTTCAATTCCTTTTATACCCTTTTTTCCATCTTACAGCACCACTAAAAGTTAAGAACTACCACCAGCGCAATCCCAGCAAGGTCTCGCAGCAAGCCGCCGCGGTTGCGGCCCCCCCCCAGAACTATCTGCTCGCGCCCGTAGCTGCCTCCATCCCCCGCTACTGCTTCGACAACGACAAGTACTGGTACATCATCGAGGCGAAGATGGAAGATGGTCGCTGCTGGGAGCTGTCGCGCTACTATCACGACTTTTATGATTTCCAGATCGCCCTGTTGACCCAATTCGAGGACGAGGCCGGCAACAAGGGCAAGCCGCGCACCCTGCCGTTCATGCCCGGCCCCGTCACCCACGTCACCGACGCCATCTCCAACGGTCGCCGACAGAATCTGGACGAATACATCCGAAAATTGCTTTCCATGCCGCCGCACATCGCCCGCTGCCAGCTGGTGCGCCAGCTGTTCGCGCCACGCGCCGGCGACTTTGAGATTGATCCTAACGTCTTTGGCGAGGATGCCCGCTACTCCGCCGGTTCCCACCACTCCTCCTCCGTCCCGGACGGGTCGCGTAGTGCCTCCCGCCAGTCCTCTCATCATCAGATGGCCGTGGCCGCCGCCGCCGCCACCACCACCACCACCACCGGGCCCCAACCTGACCGTGGCTCCCATCATCGCTCCCAGCCATCGCTGTCCCAGACAAATGGCAACCACAACGGCGCCGCTCCCGCGGTCACCCCCACCCCCGCAGCTGCTATCCCTCCCTCCCGGACGGATCTCCAGGGCCAGACGATGAACCGCCAACCCAGTTCGCTGACGCAGGTCTCAACTACGTCAAGCAGCGGTGCGATGAAGATCAAGGTGTTCTTCCAGGACGACCTGATCGCCATCCGCGTGCCCAACGATATCAACTTCCAGCAGCTCAAGGAAAAGCTGATGGACCGCCTGAAGCTGACTGATGATATCATGGTGCAGTACAAGGACGAGCCCTCGGGCTCGTATGCCGACATGCTGAGCGATCACGATCTCGATATGGCGATACAGCGTAATTCCAAGCTGACGCTGTATGTTGGATTCCCAATATCTTTCTCTTTTTTTGCGAAAAATCTTTCTATCTTGAAAATAGATCCCCCTCCACCCCCCACTAAACTAACCCTTTCACGTCCTTTTCTCTTTTATTCTTCTCATAGGGCTTCGTTTTTGACACGGCGTATCGGCGTTGGGAGGTTTGCCGTGGACGATCGGCCTGGAGCGAAAAGATCTTTTTGCAAAGCGACTCTTGGGTTGATCGATGACCAGAATGATTTGATGCCCAGACATGTTGATGTGATATGTACTGCATTTTTTTTTTCTTCTTCATTCTCCTTGCCTGCATCTATTTTTTGGTCATACCATTATCGTCTCGTGCTGCTGTCTGATCCATACCCTGATTAGCGAGCATGTGTGACATGTACATATTCTGCATATAATTGTACTGTACAGAACTGGTAGATTGACGTACTAGACATAGGTTTAGGAGCACGGAGTAACTACGGAGTACAAAGTACCAAGTACTTTTGTAGTAGGACTACATACTAATGCATACTGTTATCGGAATTGCCGCTCTCAGTCACATGACCCATCTTCCGAAGGTTTGCCGTTCCGTTTCGCCGCGGAAGAGAATAACAAGCCTGGACAAGACTTTGCATACGGTTGGATAAGCGCAGAGCGTTCTCGTTTCTTCTTTCTCCTGTCTGTTTTTCTTCTTCTCTGCGATTTCGGGTGTGACTCGGAACTCCATATATACCGCCTCCTCCGCATGTCCTATGTCCTACCCCGTTATTGAAAGCGTACAAAGACTACCATGACACGGGTCAAGATCTGCGCGGATTGTCTGCAGAAGACTCTCCTTCCGACTCGACGGGCTGCCGGCACGCTGCGAGCGAGAGAATGGAGACGCTGTGTCCATTTGCGGGGGCGAGCGATCCCTCCAGTTCCTACAGTTCCTACAGTTCCTACCTACCCGACTAGATCTATATCTTCAGGGCAAGGAATTTCGGTACAGAAGAGATTTGCATCTGGAGCAGCAGAGGCTGTAGAGGTTGCAGTTGCAGGGGAGGCAGTTGCAGGGGCATCGACAGGCGGTCCGTTGCACGAATATAATCGGCGGGTGGCGGAGGGGCGACTTCGCGACGATTCATACCAGAGGGGTAAGCTGTCAGCTGGGGGAGAATGTCTTATTAATCTTTTTTTTTTTTTTTCTGTTGAACTCTCGTTGACCGGTTAGGTCTCATTCAGAATCTGCAGAACCTCTACGAAGCGCTAACAACCTACCATCCACCCCGGGTGGTACATCCGAGTGTCGAGTCGCTGGATCCAAAACCCAAGTCGTTCTTCGGGTCACTGTTTGGTGGTGGGAAGGTTCAGACAGCGGCGGGGACAGCGGTGCCCGCCGACTTGCCCAAGGGGTTATATATGTACGGCGACGTGGGGTGTGGCAAGACGATGCTCATGGATCTGTTCTTCGACACGTTGCCGCCGAACATCACGTCGAAGAGCCGGATCCATTTCCACAACTTTATGCAGGATGTCCATAAGCGGATGCACGTCATGAAGATGAAGCACGGTAACGACTTTGACGTCTTGCCGTTGGTGGCGGCCGATATTGCGGAGATGTCGAGCGTGCTCTGCTTCGACGAGTTTCAGTGCACAGATGTCGCTGATGCCATGATTTTACGAAGGTATTTCACATCTCTTTTTCATCCGCTATTTATTGACAGCTTTTGCTCAACTTCAGGCTGCTTGAATCCCTCATGTCGCACGGAGTCGTCCTGGTGACGACCTCCAACCGCCACCCCGACGATTTGTACAAGAACGGCATCCAACGGCAATCCTTCATCCCCTGCATCGAGCTGCTCAAGAACGACCTCACGGTGCTGAACCTCAACTCACCCACGGACTACCGCAAGATCCCCCGCCCCCCGTCGGGCGTGTACCATACCCCGCTGGGCTCCGACGCCGAGCAGCACGCAGACAAGTGGTTCGCCTTCCTGGGCGACCCGAACGGCGATCCGCCGCGTCCCGCCCAGCAGGAGGTCTGGGGGCGGACCATCCATGTGCCCCTCGCCAGCGGGAAAGCAGCGCGGTTCTCCTTCGACCAGCTCATCGGGAGCGCGACGGGGGCGGCCGACTACCTCGAGTTAGTCCGGCACTACGACGCTTTTATCGTCACGGATGTCCCGGGGATGGATCACACGCAGCGAGATCTAGCGAGACGATTCATCACGTTTATTGATGCAGTATATGAAAGCAGAGTAAGCTTTGCCCTTCTTCATGATTTTTTTTTTCTCTTTTTAATGTTTTTCTCGCAAACAGGCAAAACTCGTCCTTACCACCCAAGTCCCCCTGACACACCTCTTCCTCGGGGACAAAGACGTCAAGAGCTCGGTGAAAGACGACTCGGACGTGTCGGACGCGATGCGCAATCTGATGGATGATCTAGGCCTGTCCATGACGGCGCTCAAGTCGACCTCGATCTTTAGCGGAGACGAGGAACGGTTCGCCTTTGCGCGGGCGTTGTCGCGTCTTACGGAGATGGGGAGCACGCATTGGGTGGAGAGGGGGTTAGATCTATCGGGAACGGAGGATTAGTGAACTTGAATACATAGGATCTATCACGTAGTCAACTGCATATATTACTGTCGACATCCCTTGCAGAATGACATGAAGCAAGGAGGTATTGTATATAAGGAATGCTGGAATGTAAATATATATTCAACTCAACGTAAGCTGTAGTGATTTACTAACTACTGACACTCACTACCTATAGTTACGGAGTATCATGAACCTCAATATACTCTATCTACTTCACAGCGTAGTGGCCATCAACATGGTCTACTACCGCACGCTCGCCCGCATCGAGCCCGAACTGGGCACCTTTATCAACGAGTAAGCTTACCAATGAAGTCAATGGAATACAGATACAATATTGAAAAGGTAGATACTACCACCAGATGGAAGATAACATCACGGGCGACGCGCTGGCGGCCTTTTGCAACGATCAGACCGTGATGACTCGCGAAGGCTCTCTCCGCGGTTCAGGCAAATACGCCATTCGCGATGCGCAGAGTATCCGGCCGAACGCTTCGAAGGATGTACAGCCTCATGTAAAGTTGACTAGAAAAAAAAAAAAACCTCATTCCTAGAGCGTTTGCTGATGATTAATTAGCACTTCCCGTTCTATGCAACCGTTGGCCTTGACAATGAGACACAGAAACAATATCGGGTTCGGGGCGTCGTGAAGGAGACGTATCCGAATGGAACGTGTCTGGCGAATTTGTATTTTTATTTTTATTTTTATTTTTTTTTCTCTCTCTCTCTCTCAGAATATAAGATATATGTATGCTAATGTATATGTATAGGTTTGGCACCGATTTCACCGTCGAGAAGGAGAATGGAACCGCCCAACTTCGACCGGAGAGTGGTTCGCTGCTGGTCTTGGATATTCGATATGAGAACACGACGGAGATGGCGTGTGAGGATTTCTAATAGAGCAAGAGATAGAAAGAGGAAAGTGTTACATATATAGTGAGTAAGTATGAAAGTACTTCAATTGATAGATTCATTGTTCTAGGCTAGGGCTAGCGAGATTAACCCTAACTCTTCCAGAGAGACTATATGACATCTAAATAGGGCATATAAGAGTCAACTGTAGGTATTAAGCATCAATATAGGTACTGATTTATTTGAATAAGAATACCAAGATGTTTCTAGAAATACTCGAGATCTGGTCTATAGAATCGATTCATATTCATATTGATATTGATATCAAATATAACTAGTCAATTACTGTCTATACCTTATGTATATTTTCTCATCTAATCTATACACTCAACCAACCAGCCTTTAACCATATACAGAGCATGTTCTGATGTCTGAGTAGATCTGGTATTAAGACAATTATAGAACAGGCAGTGCCGTGGCTGAACACGAGGCCAAAGCAAGTCTCAGATTAGAATGTCTAAGCGAGATCTCCAGGGTCTTGTTAAGACATACTACATATAACTATTTGCTATTCTGATTTACTCAACCAAGTCTTACTACTACTTCTACTACAGAGTGAAATACCAAGTCTATAATAAAGTCATTTCTACGATAATGTCCCCTCCCGTTCCTCCCCGAATTCCACGCCGGCCAGTTCCGACTGCCACTTCCATTTCCCCTTCAACTTCTGCTTCACCCATTACAATCTGCCCCGAGAACGACCCCCTCTACGCCACTGCCTTCTGGTACTCTATCCCTGGAGTTCCAGGCTTCGAGACCTGCTCGCACTGCTACGCGTCGCACATCCGCCAGACCCGCTGGGCCGATCGCTTCCACGGCGAGCTGCAGGCGCCGACTCTCACGCGTCGCTGTCGCTTCAACACCCCCCGCGCGCGGCAGCTGTGGTCGGAGGCCCTCCGCCGCGACGACTGGGCGTCTGTGAGTGCGTACTGGGCCCGTCGGGCCCAGATCGCCGACTGCCAGGGCGCCCGGGGCCTCGCTGCAGACGTCGGCACGCAGTGGTTCCATCCCACACACCGCGATATCGACGGCTTCGGCATCTGCGCAGCCTGCTATGAGGATCTGGTGTGTGGTACCTCCCTCGCGGGGCGGTTGACGCCTGCAAACCCCGGGCAGCCTGCCGGAGAGCTCTGGAGCTGTAAGATGACGCCGTACCTGCGTCGGGTGCTGCTGCGTGCGGCTACCCACAACGACTGGGTGGCCTTCTCCGTGGCTGCTCTGCAGGCAGCGCGGCTGCCTGCCTGCCCTGGGAGTGCGGGAGTGGCTGCTTCCAAGCGCAGCTGGTTCCAGCCCGTCCCGGCGATTGATGGGTTGGTGGTATGTGAGACGTGCTATATCAACAACGTAGCCGCCTCCTTTATGGAGACGAACTGGGTGGCCGTCCCCGCGGCGCCGGCTTTCACCGCGGCGGGCTGGCAGACCCGGGTGTGTGGGTTCTCGGTTCTCCCGCTGAAGATCGCCTGTCTCAAGGCGACGCAGGATCAAGACTACCCCTTGCTGTGGAGGGCGGCAAAAACTATCTTCAGTACGCCCTACTGCGCCCCGGCGGGGATCGAGAACGGGACATGGCACCGCCTACGCTGCGGACAGGATCTGGAGTTTGAACTCTGCGCGCAATGCATGGCGGGGATTATGGTTCCGTTCGGGTTCGGCGATCGCTTCGTACAGATTCCATTCCCTGCAGGTACCAAACGACTATGCGATATGAACACTTCGGCGCCCCGCCAGCGCGACTACTACCGCAAACTCGACGAGGCCGTCAGTCTAGGCGACTTTACCTGCTTTGAAACCTACGCGAGGCGCTTCGCGGGCGTCCCGCCCTGCCCGACATACAACATCGTCAAGGGCTGCCACCGGTGGTACGGGAATGACGAGTTCCTTGCCTGCCAGCAGTGCTGGGAGGAGTTTGTGCGCGACACCCCACTCGCCAACAACCTAGTCCATAAGGGCGTCGTTCTGCCCGACGGCGCTTGCTGCGATCTGTACTCGCCTCGTATGCGCCAGTTGTGGATGCAAGCCTGCAACACGGGGGATCTCGCCTCCTTCACTGCCGCAGCCCAACACCGCACAAGTGTATACGCGCAGACAGTCCCGCACATGCAGGAGCTGCTGGCGATGGCGCGGATGCGGCTCGCGCAGAAACAGACCCTCCTCTTCTCCTCTGTCATGCTGCAGGGGGCGAATAATATCGTCGAGGCGTCGCGCGCCCCGCGAACCCAGACAACCACCTATGGCAACTCGCAGGTCGGGTACCATGCTACCCCGGCGGGGGCGCAGGGAGCAAGGGACTGGCATCAAGCGAACAACATCACTGTTGTACCGGGGAACGAGATGGTGGTAGTGGCTCAGTTGGAAGCCATGTGGAAGGAAGTGGAGTAGAATTTACTTGGAGAAGTTTACAAGGTACGCCTAAGAAGTTTACAAGGTACTTAATTTTATATTTATGCCATTCTATTCAATAAAGCAGTGTAATACTTTGTACAAACCACGCTATTCAAAGCAGAACAAGAGTGTGTCCCATTCTGCACCGAACGTAGGAAGTGAACGAGAAACAGATTCTCCTCGGCAGTGATTTGTAGCGAGGAATCGAGGAAGGTATACTCCTTTCTCAGGATATCCAATGCCAACAAAGCCGCAATGGAAGAACTATGCAGCCCCTCGTAATGTGGCCAAGCGCGTAAGAGCCTGATAGCTCTGACGCGGAGGGAGATGTCCGGACACCGCGTGGCAAGAACGTACATGTTCGCAATGACGCCATGGTTGAGCACCAACGTCGGCCGATGCGAAAACCCCGCCAGGTGGGATTCGTGCGCTTCCAGGACGGCGCGGTACTCTGGGATAAACGAGGGGGGAACGGGGCCCTGGAAGAGACAGGTGCGGAGGACTAGGATCTGGCCGATGGTGAGACAGTGCATTATGTGTGCTCCGCGGCGGTGTTTTTCAGTCACGAGGACATGCGTCGATGTGAATAGGGCTAGACGCTCGGCGAACTGGGTGAAGGCGGATAGGAGCCGGCCCTGGGTGAGATGGAGGGACGCGTACTCGGACTGGGCTACGGGCTTGGTGGGGAACAGGGCCAGCACGGTGGAAATAAACGGGATGCCTCGCTCTAGTAAACTGGCTAGTACTTCTTGGGCGTGGTCGAGGGTGGTGAAGGGGGGTCCGTCGCAGGGTGGCAGTAATCTATCCAGAGGGAGGGTGTTGTCCGTGCATAGAATCGGGTGGCTTGCTGCCCCGTACAGCGAGGCTTGGATGTCTAGTCGCCGGAAGACGGCGATGAGAGACGGATCGACCGAGTCCAGCTGGCCGTGCGTCTCTAGCTCGGCGATGATGCGCAGCCCGCTGCGGAGATGCATCCATGCTCGGTGGTAGTGTGTTCGGAGCACGTCTGCCAGGACGAAGAGCAGACAGCAGAGCAGGACGATCGACCGGAGTTGGGGATCGTGCGAGGCGAGCCGCCGGGCGAGGAGCGCCACGGCCCGAGTCGACTGCTGCAGGGAGAACAAGCGCACTCGTTCCGTGCACAAGACGGCGTCCGACATCTGCATGCCGTGTTCTTCGCACTCCTCGTGCACGGCGCTCAGCATGTTGACCGCGTGGAAGACGGCCGCATCGTAGCGGTACAGCTGCAGCACGCGCTGCTGCCAGAAGGGAGCATCAAAAAGACCTGTCAGGCTGGCAATCAACCGGTGCTGGAAGTAGCTGAAGCAGCGCCGTTCGTCGGCGGTCATGGGCAACCCGCGAGTCGCGATATCGGAGATGTCAGCGGCGGCAGCAGCTGTCGTACTGACAGAAGCAGACGCAGTGCGCGGTAATTTGTGTACATTGTAATCGTAATCGCATGTCCACCCAGCAGACCGGCAGTTGATACAGCTTCCAGGCGCCTCGTCGCATTTGATATGCCGGATGCTATCCATCAAGCACTATCAGTACTAGTACTAGTAAGGGGAGATCCCATATGGACGTCTTACCGGCAAGCCTGACAGCCGTTTCTGGACCGTGCCGCGTAAGCCTTCTTGCGATTGCCTCTCGCCATCCCCCGTAGCTGCAATCAGCCTGGTCTTCTGGTCTTCTTGAGGCGAGAAACAGTCGTTGAAGGTGAGACGACGCTCTGGGTCGGTCACGTGAGATAATCACTAAGCGCATTGGGTTAGCGCGCTACTCAACCAATAAGAATCAAGATACTGCCCACCCGCCCCGCTGTCTGACGGTAGAGCCAATCACAGATTAGAGATCGCCTCTTCCTTCCTTCCTACCTGGGCGGAACTCGGCTGTGCATATAAAGAGTCTCTTTTCTATCATTTCTATCATTTCTATCATTTCTATCATTTCTATCATTTCTATCATCTCTACCAGACTCGCATTTCATTCTTATCTGTATCTTCTCTAGACATCCTGTATATATTCCATCTCAAGCCAACATGCACAAACTCTCCACCACAGTCTATCTAGACGACCCCGACAATGACACTCCCAAGACGCAGACCATCGTGCTCGGTCTCTGGATGAACGCCCCCCCACGGGCATCCAGCAAATACCTCCAAGAATACCGTCGTCTGGCTCCCGCTGCACGGATCATCGTTATCCTCAGCTCGACATCCGACTTTGTTCTCCCTCCGAGTCAGAAGAAACAGCAGATCCGGCTCTCCTCGGCCGTGGAGACTCTGCTTGCCTCAGAGACCCCCGTGCACATCCATCTGTTCTCCAACGGCGGGGTGTTCTCTGTCACCAGTCTGCTGGCTGCGTATCGGCAGGCAGCAGGGCATGCACTGGACGTCTCGTCGATTATTATTGACAGCGCGCCAGGAACTGCCGATTTCGCTGGCGGATTCCGTGCTTTCTCCTACGCGCTGCCCAAGATGTGGCTCCTGCAGGCTCTCGGCAAGATCGTCATCGGAGCGGTACTGGGATTTCTCATGTGCTTGAAGTTGGTGGGCCTGTCAGACGCCGTGACAACGGGGAGAATGGCACTCAATGATAAAGACTTGGTGGCAGGGAAGGCGAAACGGTGCTATATCTACTCGGAGGCTGATCAGCTGGTGAACTGGAAGGATGTCGAAGACCACGCACGCGAGGCGGAGAGACACTGGGAGGTGAAGAGAGAGAAGTTTAGCGACTCGCAGCATGTTTCTCATATGCGGGTTGATCCAGAGAGGTACTCAGAGATCATCAAGGGTTATCTAGTAAGTAAATGATAATAAAAAGCTAGAATTCATTGGAATATAAGGAATTCAAGACCAAATATCATGCTTTCAACCAAAGCCTCTACTGTGCCAGCTGTGAGTAACTGCGACATTACATTTTGCTACTTGCATACTACTAATATCGCATTCACCAAGCCTTTGCTGAAAGTCACCCTCAAGCCTCAGTCTTAGCTTTTCCAGGAATGATGAATGTTTTACTGACTATTAGTAATTTTCTTACTCCATATGTCTATAGATGGTGCCTAGTATGACATCACCATCATCAGTATAATACAAATTGGTACTAATAATGGTGGACTATTTAGGCTTCCATATCAAAATATCATGTTGAATACTCAAAGGGATTTCTAGTATCATATCCTGTCATAGAATACTAGACAATCATATATTTATAATTCCAACGAAAGTGGGAGATATGCAAGCAACTGGAATCACAGCCGGGCTTCCCCCAAACCACATTATCACTCCATCAAGAAGCCTGATATGATAGGATTACGTGCCGATGCCCAGCGAGCACTGGATGAACTGCATCGCAACAACGACTCTGGCAACCGATACATCCTCCTCCCCAATCTCCCCAGGGCCATCCGCATCCAACTAGACAAAGACAAGAACATGCTGGACGGCATCCCCTTCCGACTCACGTTCGAAGGGAGAACTGGCGTGATGAAAATCATCCCTTCCTACACGCACGGAGTTGTCACGAGGCGAATAGCCGACGAGATCCTATTTCAAAGCATGCTGAATAGAACCCCCGAAGACGATATTGGATGGGCGGCGACGACCACGTTTCGATCGACCACGCGGCACAAGGGGAAGCAGCCAGACGACTGTTTCTTACCCGCCACCAGACAGGGACGTGGTGGTGACCCTCCCAAATCGCCGACGCTGGTTCTTGAATCGGGTGTGTTGGAGTCTCTTCCAAGGCTGCACGAGGACGTCAAATGGTGGTTCCAGAATTCAAGCGGTGCAGTGCGGATCGTCTTGGTGTTTAGTATCGACAAGACTCGAAGGACTATCCTTCTTGAGAAATGGCAGCGGAGGTCGGCGGATCGTATGCTGCACGGCATAAACCAGATGCCAATCTCTATGCCTGCTATGGATCTCCAGGACCCTGAGCTCCAGCAGCTATATGTCGCGCAAAGTATCACTATCACGTCCACTTCGGTGGTTGGCAGTGTCCCACTATCTCTTCATTTCGAAAGCCTGTTTGACCGCGCTCCTCAGTCTGCGGAGAGAGACCTTCAACTTGATGTCCAGAGACTAGTGGATATTGCGCAAAATCTATAATCAGTTCAATACGACACATATTTTGCATACTTCCAAGCCCATCGAGTATCTGGTAATGATTTAAGACACTTAAGATGGGGATGAATAATAATTTTGTAGGTATAGTTATGTAGAGGAGACATTTGTAATACTCTCAAGCTAACTTTTACTCGGTGCTTCCATTCCATCCATCGAACGAGCGAATCAGATCTAGAACATTATTAGCAAGAACTACAACAGAGCAGTGAAGTAGATAAGGGGAAAATACCGTAATAAAACATCATAGCCTCCAAGTGCACATCCAACCGAATCCGCTCATCGACCGTGTGGATATTAAACGTTCCACCTACGCGCGACGGACTCCACCGGTAAATGTTCTCCGTCAGGGACCAGTAGAACCGCGTGTCGGTGTTTCCAGTCATGATATCACCCGACACGACAACAGTTGGGGTATTCGAGGGGGGGGATCTGCCCTCTGACTTGAGCAGAGGGTTGGGATGCGACTCAAAGACACTGCGTGCGACACCAGAGAAGCGGGCCCAGGTCTTGGAGGTGAGGGGGTTTGTCGGCGAGATAGGGGCAGGAACCAAGGGACCACTGAGGGGCGACAGGGTGAGATTACGGTCTTCCCCGCCTGCAAGCACGTTGGTGTTTCTGGCGGCGATACCAGGGAAATCAACCGCCAGCGAGACATTGTGGCGCTCGGCGATGGGAGTTATGATGCGCACTGCACGCTCGAGAATGAGATCGGGCGTCTGGTGAAGCGCTACGCGGTAGTTGACCGTCGCGGAGATCTTCTCGGGAAGAGCATTGCTCTTGACGCCGCCGTGGATCAGATCTGCTGCCTGGGATGACTGGAGAGTGTATCGGACTGCAGGGCCTCGGGACTGGGCGACAGCCTCGGCCAGAGCGGCAGGATCGTCTGCAGCCAGCTTACTCGCCAGCCACGACTCGACATACTCGGGTGAGTACCGCGCCTGACACTCGAGCATCCCAAACGAGGGATGGGTCTCATCCAGCCAGGCTGTGAACAGATCCTGGCGCTCCAGCTCGTATATGATCTCTGCCATAATCCCGATACCCGTGTGCGCAGGCGGGATGGAGCTGTGGCCGCCAGGTACCGCCAGGTCAATCACAAGAGTCAGCGCTCCCTTTTCACCTACCCCTGGCAGGGCATACAGAACTTCCGCCTCGCCCGACTCATAGTCGGCAGCACCAAGACTCTGCAGACCCATACCCCCTTCATCCAAGATGAACTCTATGCTTCCCTTGCCATACTTCTGCTCGAGAACGGGGGCGATTGATGCCGCGCCCAGCCAGCCGCCAGCCTCTTCGTCAAATCCAAAGGCAAAGAGAATGGTGCGCTGCGGACGCCAATTTTGCGAGAGGAGATCCTCCATTGTGGACATCAGCCCAATGAGAACGTTTTTGCAGTCGCTGGAACCTCGACCCCAGATCCATTCGCCATCGAAGACTCCATCGAAGGGAGGGTGTGTCCAGTCAGCCGGGTCGTCAATCGGGACCACATCCTGATGAGCCATGAAAATAATTGGCTTGATGCTGGTGTCTTGGCCCTGGAAAGTGAAGACCAGCCCGAGCCGGTTGATATGGTCGATCTCGGCGTGGGAGTGTCTGTTATTCGAATCAATTGCTGTTTTCTTTCGTTCGTGTGTGTGTGTGTGTGTGTGTGTGTGTGAAAACTTACACTAGAGGAAAAAGCTCCTCGAGCAATTTCTGGAATTCCACCACCGGCTCAAATGCTTCATCGTACGGATCGGTCGAATAGTCTCCAACAGTCGTAGGGATCTGCACAGCCCGCGAGAGTCTTTTCGCCTGACGGGCCCGAAACACACCATCCTCGAGGAAGTTCGATGCCGGGTGCAATCCGTCATTCGGTACAGCGACCTTTTCTGCCTGGGGACATGACTCTCGTGCGGAGGATAGCTCCGCTTCGGGGACGAGGATCTGCTGAGATGGGATGTTCAGGGCGAAAGCGGATGGCAAAGACGCCAATGCGAGGAGGGCGAGGGGGGTCTTCATTTTCGAGAATTGCTACACTCTGTAGAAGTCAATTGTGCGCATTCTCTCAACCATTTAACGAAAGGCGAGTGTTGAATGTGGAATTGCGCCATCTTTTATCCCCTTCTTATCTTCCCCTCACGAGTCGGAGGGGCCGATACTATCCCTTGCTTCAATTGGTAGTTCTTTGCTGGACTTTGCCGATCAGTCGGGGATAGACCATGCCACTTGTTTATCTTATACTCCGTATGTCGAAAAGACAGGTCTATAAACCATCCGGATTAGCATGTTTCAAGTCCTGTCCTTCTTTCTTAGCTGGGCACCTAGTCAGGCTGGTTACCAGACTCCTAGGCAGTCGTCTTTGCCAAGCGCTCTGTATCCCAGCCATGGTGATTTTTTTGCTCTATCACTTATCCCCTGCCGAGAAGGCACCCTTGATCGATAGACACAAATGATGAAACCTGTCAGGAGAGATGGAGAGGGATAGAGAGAGAGAGCGGAGGTTCACTCTTTGTGATTGCGACTCTGTGGAGACTCCAAAGAAGCTGACTAAGCTATATGGCTCGGTTTCCTGATTTGTAAATCACGTGGCTTTCAGTCCCTGCCAAGTTCAACTGCCAACTGCCACAGTGAAATTGACCAGCCTTTTTGCTTCACTTTGTCCGTCTTCGTCCGTGTTCCTCCGTCTACGTCCGTCATTTGAATGATTGCCAATGAGAAAACGCCTCTACCAGGATGACTGCTGCTATAATTATTAATCAGGGACTCCACAACTGCTTGGCGAGTTGCCTAGTCAGGTTGGAGTATTTGAAATGGAGATAATGGCTCACTGGCTGAGGGATTATCTGACCATGAAATCAGGGGCGTGATTACTGGGCTATATAAAGAGGATATCATGGCTTCTTCATCCTCTAAGCAAGTCTCTTAAGCAGGTCTCTCATCGATATAACCATGTCCAAAGTCCTCGCTATCTTTGGTGCCACCGGTACCCAAGGCGGTGCGGTTCTCAACTTCGTTTTGAATGACCCAGAGCTCGCTAGCACATACACAATTCGCGCAATCACTCGGGATGTCGGCTCCCTCTCGGCTAGAGAGCTGCGGGAAAAGAAGAAGGTCGAAGTTGTCCGCGGGGACGTGTATGACAGGGCCTCTCTCGAGACTGCGATGACTGGCGTACACACCGTCTTTGCCATGACCACGCCTGTCTTTGGCCCGAACTCCCTGGAAGCCGAGTACAACAACGCGAAGACAATCGCCGACGTCGCCGTCGAGACAAAGGTGCAGTACCTCATCTTCAGCTCGCTGCCGTCCCCGCGCAAGATGTCTGGCGGGAAGTACACGGGTGTCACTGTCTTTGACGCCAAGGCGCAGGCAGAGCAGTATATCCGTGGCCTGCCTATCCGCAGCGCATTCTTCGCGGGCGCCTATTTCTTCGAGAACATCCAGCAGTCATTCTTCTTCTCGTCTGAGCCAACATTATCGGGTGCCTCTAACGACGACGGCAAGACCTGGGTCATTGGCCGCCACATCTCGCCGCAGACCAGCTTGCCCTGGATTGACGCCACCAGGGACACCGGCAAATTCGTGGGTGCCATCCTCGCCGACCCGGACAAGTACGAGGGCAAAACGTTCTGTGCGGGTGCTGCTTTCTACACCTGGGAGAGGTTCGCCGCCATCATCTCCAAAGCGACGGGCAAGAAGGTTGTCTACCGCCAGATCCCTGTCGAGGATTTCCGAAAAACCGTGCCTCCGGTTCTCGGAGATATCTTTGCCGATGGATTCAGTTCGCAGGAGGAATTCGGCTATTTCGGCCCTGACTCAGAGCAGTTGGTTGCCTGGGCTGCTGCGAACGCCCGAGGCAAACTCACTACATTGGAGGAATATCTGGAGGCGAACCCATTGAAGCTTGAATAGAGTATTGAGGCGGGCTGTATATATACTGGGTGTCGATTAGTCGACGAGTGAATTATAGAGAGTACGGACTCCAAATCAAATAGCAAAAATCATTATTGACACCCACTGTGGCATCACCGACCACCGTAGATGAATTGATGCAGTTTCAAAGTCCCCCCATAAAACTTCATCCATATGGTTCGACCTTTGGGCTGGCTCGTCCCCTCAAATTTCTTGTATTCGTTTAGCCCTCGGAGGGTAGAATTGCAACGACACGTAGAAGTTCGAGGCTGTCTCGTATCGGCGAGTAGGACTTCCTAAAATCAATATCTAGATAGCCACGCTCTGACCCTGAAGAAAGATTTATACACCATACCTGGGAAACCTGTTCCAGACTCCTGTTCCTTTCATCCAAACAACCAACACTGCGTGTAGCGTCTTCGAAGGTAACATAAAATAAAGCAGATTCGTAAAAACCAAGTTTATAGCTCTGATACCGAAATCGATTGCCAGCTAGAGTGAGGAAGGAAAATTATCCTCACTTGGTAGACGATCGTTTCAAAGTTCATTCAGGCATCTACTTCTTTTCCTGGGCTAGTCCTCTTCGGACTGACCGCAATTTCCCTCTCGACTTCAGCTTCATCTCGTCGAAAGTCAGTCTTCTATCTTGATACATCGAATGACATAGCACTTAGCTCCGTGAAAGGTTTGGAATGTGTGAGAGATCTTTAGAGTTTATGGATTAGAGGGTATAGTACTGTGGATTTTTCCTTGCCCCCTGATGTTCTCTAGTGTTCGTGGCTGACATGACTCTATCTTTACGGTAGATCTAATGAACATGCGATATCCGACCACCTACACTCATCAATACATATAAATTGAATTTGTGATGTTTGATATAGAAGATGGTATAGTGTTAACATGTTGATGGCCATGCTGTATGACATAAAATCTGATGCATTCCTCTAGGATCCTGTCAACAATTAGTATGCTAACTCGGTGAACCTATGATATACGCAGGCCAACCTACTTGAACAGTCTAAGTCTGAAATGCAGCTCCGATAGCATCGACGTCTCCAGCGCTTCTTCCCTCGAAGCCAAGAAGGATGCCATTGCCAACGTGGCAGGAGAAAGGCACACCCCCACTGCCACCAATAGCAAACGATCGGCTTTGATTGGTTGTGATTTCGATCCTGTCCACACGTCCCGATGCATGGATGGTCATTTCCTTCACCTTCTCGCCATTGTTGAAGGTGAAAGACTGGTGGTCTCCGGACGCAGTCCCAAAGACCGCACTTTTGACACCATCAGCAAAGGTGAGCTGGACTCCCTTGACGATATAGAAGGCGGTTGCCCAGTCGAATCCATGGTCTCCCCATGCGTCGATTGTGTGGACTGGAGACTTTGATGGACCGTACGCTGAGAAGATGTCGCCGCCGTTTCCTCCGACGATGGGGTTGTTGCCCGCCATTTCCAACGTTGTGCAGGGTAAGTTGTATTGAAATAAAGATCAAACTAATTAAGTTCTCAGGAAGACAGCACAGGAGGAGGGCTCTGGCTATATATGTCTATGGATAGTCTATTACTTATTAAGACTTGTCATTTCATTGTCCTTGCTGCATGGCTTTCTGACCTGTCTTTATGATACAGCAACAAGCATCGTCATTGGATACCCTTTACTCCATAACAGCACAAGTCTGACCTCACTCTGTTCTCTGGATGGAGTACGGAGTACTCTGTACGGAGTAGTTTATAATCTCATCAGCAGAGATTCTAATTAGGACTACATATTTACTTCCTTACTCGTACAGCTGAACCTTCAACCTCCAGCTTACTTCTTTACAATGATCTTGTATTCATTCCACAGAATCATTCGTATTCTAGTAATTAGACCTCGAGGGCAATCAATAATTTTACTCTAGTATATTATAAATGAACATTGAATTCCTGACTCAGATAACTGATGATGGGCCAAGTATATAGTAAAGCTATAGTTATTAGGCATCATTGCTTAAAGCTCCTGCAGTGAATAAAAGTGGCGGTGAATGCGTCATTTCTAACAACCCACTGACAGTATCTGCAGTTCTGACTGTAATTTATGCTTCTCACTGATCTTCTCTCTGTACCTAGTCTATATTATCTACTAAATAATGGAGCTGTTACAGCATGCTGGGTACTATGACGTCCACCTGCGCCATGGCTGGCTGAATATTTACGAGATCATGGAATATCAAATCCCTGGATAGATCAAATATGTAGAATAATCTCCCTTGTCAAGTAGGTCTTTTGTTAGAAATTTATGCTAGGTAATACTTGCTAGAGTGAAGACTATTTAGTATTCACTGCACACAAAGAAGCCTAGAGCCTAATATTTTTTCATTCAACTGATTCCTTTCTTTATTCACCGCTGCAGTAACTATGCCTTTATTCTATATCTATATGTACATATATTAGAGGACTATATTAAGCCTTTCCTCTCTCTCTCTCTCTCCTCTTCTTTCCTGTACACCCGGCACTTTCATTACTATACTATTTCTTTCCCTTTTGATATATAAAAATAATCCATGGAGTGTTGGCACTGCCAGAGAGATCTGGTGCAGCCATACTGGGAGGATTATATGGCGGCGTTGAAATCGCGCATATCATCCCATTTGCATACGCACCCTGGGATATACCGTTGGTAATAAGACCTTCATATAATGATGAACAGATGAATTTCGAATATATCCACTTACGCGAGAAACTACTAGGTTATTTTCTGACGAAGATCAAACGATGGACATTGGGTGAAGAATACTGGGAATATATATGGATAAATGCCATCCGAGGGTTCCCAACTACAGAAAGAAGATGCAGAGTACCTGGATCTTTCCAGTGCAACCATTCTGGACTGCCATTGTTGACTTGCAGAAATTCTGAACGCATCCAGAATGGGAGAGATTATCGAACAGAACAGTCGTCTCTGGAAGGACCTGAAGAAGAGCGCAGGAAGCCTTCCCGATCACCAATGCTAGGAACCTCGACAATCATTTGAACAAAGAAGACTTGTACACGTCTGTCCCCCTCGAAATACTCTCACGACGACCTGTGTGGCCATGAGGATTGGAAACTGCATGTCCATTAAACCAGGTTGATTGTCTTGACAATGTTTAAGCAGGAAGAATGGGGTACTCACCTGAAGATACCAGAAAGAAAAACCCAGGCTATACATCATATTCATGACGAAAAGGCATTGATATAGTATCTAATAGTACCAAATAGTGATGGATAACATGTAGAATTAATCCCTGCCATAATTCAAAAGAATTCATGCATTTGATCTGTTTGATCTGTTTGACTGTTTGACTGTTTGACTGTTTGACTGTTTTGTATCCGCCCCGCCCTTCTTCTTCAGGAAAGAATCTCTCTTCCCCTCCCTCTCCTCCTACTAACGACCCTCTCTACAGTCTCAGAGCTGGAAACACTCAGCATGGCAGACTCACAGAGAGCTAGATCTCACAGGAAACCCCGAAGAGGCCGTCAGCAAGTGGCTAGAGGAGGAACAATGCACGAGGCTAGCAGTCGTCAGTACCACAGTCAGAACGGTGATTCTCCTGACCACCTGCAAATCCAAATGACCGAGAGGAACGATACCGGTGCTGGCGTTTCACGAGGGGATTTTAGGGTCCATCGAAGAGGACGTGGCCGTCATCGAGAAAATGGCATCGAGAGAAATCAAGAGAACAAGAGATCCAGGTGAGTCTTTACCATGGTGGGAGCATTTGAAAGACAGCTTTGTCTGACCCTTGTTAGGCCTGTTCCTGATTCTACTACTGCCTCTACTGATAGGAAACACACCCACCTCCTCTCCACCGATATTCCAACATTTCTAGAAACCTCACTGGCAAGCATAACACGCAGTCAGTCATCCAGACACGAGCTGATCGCAACCTGGGCCCTCGAAACCGGGCTGGCAAAGGTGCGACAGATTGTCGAAGCAGACTTCGCCTTCACTTACAGTGTGACGAAACTCATGTTCGACCCGCACTGTGTCATCTTCCTCAACATTCTCTCGAGAATTTCTCAGGAGCAAAGACTTTTCTCTCTCACCCTGGAGAAGGCGGTCGGGACTATCTACAATGTCGTATACGGGCTCCATGGAAACCGGGCCGTGGGATTCTTTCGTCGGGTTGTGGCCTGGCTGACTCGACAATGGACCGAAATGCCGCAAGGGCCGAGCAATTACGATCAAGTGCTGCTCCATACCACAGACGTGATCCTGAGCACCATTATCCAGAACCACGAGGCTGTGGTCCAGCCGGAGCTGCGTTCCCTCGTGAAGGAGCTCGCCAACTGCTCTTCGTTGGCCACATCAACCCTAGACTCCGACGGCTCTATCAGCGTTGATATGCGACACGTGAAAGAGAACATCCGAATGATGCAGGACCTTCTTGGAACCACAGAAGGTGCAGGTGCGACTTCAAAGAAGGCTCAACCCGCTGTGGTATTATCAGAACGTGGTGCAGCTCCAGTGGACGGGCCAGGTCAGCTTTCTGTGGATGGGCCCAGACATGACAATGACCATAGAACTATTACGGGCATTCGGGTCCTCCCTACCCTGTCAGAAATCTGGCTCAGCCGGCGGCCTGACTTTCTACCGACCAGGGATTCCCTACATGGCCCAGAAAGCCATCACGACAGAGGAATTCGCCGCCTTCTCGACACCCATTTCCGTCTTTTGCGGGAGGACACGGCCGGGGTCCTCCGGGATACGGTCCGCGTCATCCTAGAACATTGGGATGCCCTTGCCCACGAAACGAGGTCGCGCGAGAGACGAAAGATTCTGCGTGCACACAGTCCCACGCCCGTGAGAATTTACCTTAACGCACACGTGCAGCAAGTACGATCGGACGGCATGAAAGGGATACAGATTGATGTTGGTTTCGACCAGTCCCCAAGAGCCAGAACCTTGAAGGTAGCTCAGAGAAGGGAATACTGGCGCAGATCCGGTGCCCTGCGAGAAGGGCCCGCATTACTTGCTCTGATTGATGGCAAGGTTGATGAAGATATCAAGCTGGTCTTCTTACAAGTTTCCCAGCGAAACCTGGGCTTGAAAGCTACCGAGGGCAGTAATGCTGCTGAAGGCGTGTGCGATCTAGTGAGTGACTCCAGGAGGGCCATGATCACCTTGCGTCTCCCCGGTTCACCGTCAAGAGAAGACCTGTCCAATCTAGTCTCATTGACTGGGCATCGGCTCATACCTTCTTCGTCACGATCCCTTGTCCTCGTTGAGTTCCCTGCCGTTCTCTACAACTCGTTTGAGGGCATCCTTCGTCGCCTTCAGGAGCTGTACACGGACCCCAGTTCTATCCCGTTGACGACCTGGATAGCCCCGCGAGATGATTCTTACGCTCTCCCGCCAGACCCGACTTCGACCATCACTGCCTACAAAGATCGCAAAGTGTTGGTCTCTCTTCCAACATACCTGGTTAATGAGACACTGGATCTCTCGTCGATTCCGAAGGCTCCTGAGATCGGAGAAAATCTAACTCATACAGAACTACCCATAACTCTTTATCCTGGCCAAGACACAGGCGTCCTCTGTGAGCAGCTATCAAAGCGAACGACTCTCGACCCAGGTCAAGCAGAGGCTCTAGTATCGGCATTGACGAATGAAGTTGCTCTTATTCAAGGGCCCCCGGGCACAGGAAAATCATATGTAGGCATTCAGATTGCAAGATGCCTTCTTACAAACCGGCAGGTGTTAGGGCCGGGGCCAATACTTTGCGTGTCAGTTTCCCGTGAGACCTAGGTTCCCCTCTCTTGCCTTGCCGCTAACGAAAGGTATAGATGTTATACAAACCATGCCCTGGACCAGTTTCTTGAGGGGTTACTTGACTCGGGTATCTCCAAGATTTTACGTCTCGGAGGGCCAAGCAAGTCAAACAGGCTTGACCTTCTCTCAATCGACAGCTATAAAAGAAGCGACAAAATTCCTCGTATCCCAGGTAAGGGTAGAGTAGTCCAGGAATCGAAACACCACTTGGACAACCTAGCCTGGCAGATTGGGGAGATCTGTGAGAAGATTGCACAGCCTGGAACACGGATGGTGAAGGAATTCCTGATAAGAAGATCCCCTAATCACGCAAAACAAATCACTCAGGCCGTTCCGATCAGGGACAGCGATAATGTGGCAATCTGGCTAGAAGGTAATGCCCCCGGTGACCTTAGCGGCAACGGGGGCGAGCGCTCGCTCGACCAGCTTCTTTCGATTGACCTCTGGACGCTGAAGAATGACGAACGTTGTCGCCTATTCAGTCACTGGCATGAAGCTGCTCGCGCAGACCTCATTCTCCATTTCCATAACTTAGTGCGGTTGCACGCCAGGGAAAAACAGCGGCACACGGCTCTATTCCACCAGGAAGATGCCCAACTGTTTGGCATGGTCGATGTTGTCGGTGTCACAACTGCCAGTCTTGCCAATAACATTGATCTCCTGCGAAGCCTCCCCGCCAGGGTGCTGATCTGCGAAGAGGCCGGAGAAGTGCTTGAATCGCACTTCCTGGCGGCCCTCTTGCCGAGCCTGCAGCATGCCATTTTGATTGGCGACCATCTCCAGCTGCGTCCCAAGATTGCCAACCGCCGCCTCTCCATGGAATACAATCAGATCGGGCCCAAATACAGTCTCGATCAGTCCCTCTTTGAGCGCCTAGCAAACCTTGCTTTCCACGATCATCATGCCTCTTCGGGGACAGTGGGAGGCGTCTCTAGAGGTCTCCGTAGATTCCCTGTCGCACAGCTCAGCCATCAAAGACGGATGCATCCTTCAATCGCGTCTCTTGTGCGTGAAACAATCTATCCAAAATTGCAAGATCACCCTTGGACGTCAGCGTATCCTGAAATTGCCGGTATGAGACGCCGGCTGTTCTGGCTTGACCATCGCCAGCCAGAAGATCCAGATGACCCAGATGACCCAATGCAGAGTAAAACAAACGCTTGGGAAGCCAATTTGGTGATTGCCTTGGTGAAACATTTGTGCCGACAGGGACGCTACAGGCCCGGCGACATTGCTATCTTGACGCCATACATCGCCCAGCTCAGGCTGTTGCAAGACAGACTGGAGGATGTGGCTAAGTTGATTATTCACGCAGACGACTTGGACAATCTGGATGGCCCGGATTCCATGGAGGACACTGCTCATATAGATTATACTCGTGGTTCGTCACGTCGGCAAATCATTGGCACCGGAAAGCTCCTTGATGAACTGCGGCTGGCGACGGTAGATAATTTCCAGGTTCGCACGACGCTTTGATTTCGGCTGAATTGAAATTTATAATGCATGTAATGTTGCTGACTCTTCTCTCCTTCCTTCTCCTCCAGGGCGACGAAGCGACAGTGGTGATCGTCTCCCTCGTGCGAAGCAACAAATACCAGAATTGTGGTTTCCTCAAGACGCCTAATCGCATCAATGTGCTTTTGAGGTACGGGCTGAATTTCTCCTTATCGTATTCTGTCGGTCAATTATGGCTAAAGTGTTCTCCTTCTCTGTTATTCTAGTCGTGCAAAGCATGGCATGTATATCATTGGGGATGCAAAAACAGCATCCAGTGCTCCGATGTGGAAGTCTGTCATCGCAATGCTGGAGGAAGGCCAAAATATTGGTCCCAAAATTGAGCTTCAATGTTCCCGGCATGGTGACCGCCAGATCTTCGTCTCTTCACCCGAAGACTTCCTTGTTCAGGCGCCCGAGGGCGGTTGTGATCAGCGGTGTGCCTGGCGGTTGCCCTGCGGCCACAGGTGTATGGTCAAATGCCACTCGAACACGCTACATGAAGCGGTTCAGTGCCTGGAGCCCTGTCCCCGTATGAGAGAATGTGGACATGTCTGTCAGAGACGGTGCCATCAACCGTGTGGCGAATGCATCCAGACCGTCCCCAATGTCACTCTTCCCTGTGGACATACGACCGACATTGCTTGCAGACAGCAGAAGTACCTTTCTCTTGTCCAGTGCACAAAAATGGTAACGAAGAAGATACCACAGTGCGGGCATGCGGCCCGGGTCCTATGCAGCTGTCATGATATAACCAAAATGCAATGCACGGAGTTTTGTGGAGCTGCTCTGGACTGTGGACACACCTGCCGACGAAGGTGCTCAACATGCCGAAGTGCTGTCTACCAGACTCACGGTGCATGCACTGTTCGCTGTGGACGGGCCTTTACCACGTGTTCTCATACTTGCTCCCAGCCCTGCCATCCGTCGACCCCATGCCCACCGTGCCAACAGCCCTGCGAGGTACGTTGCAAACATAGCCAATGTCCTGGAAAATGTAGCGACCCGTGCCCTCCATGCGCAGAGAAATGTGGATGGAGCTGTAGCCATCGCGAAGGCGTGTGCGAACTACCGTGTGCCGTGCCTTGTAATACCATTCCCTGTGACCTGCGTTGCACTAAAACTCTGGCATGTGGGCACCAATGTCCAAGTGTCTGTGGGGAGAGATGCCCTGATGCCACGCTCTGTCAGAAGTGCGGTGCGGAGGCTGTACGGAGCCGCATTGTCGACTTGATTTCGATGGGCACGTATCATAACATCAATGCCGATGAGGATCCGTTGGTATTCCTCTCGTGTAATCACTTCTATACGGTCTCTAGCCTGGACGGGGCAATGGGGTTGAAGGACTACTACGACGTTGACCCTGATACCGGCAAGGTAGTTCGTCCCAAGCCATCCCGACGGGTCGCGAACGGCGAGAGCACGATCCTCGGATGCCCAGAGTGCCGTACGCCTCTTCGCAACATTGACCGTTACAATCGTATTGTGAAGAAGGCGCTGCTAGACGAGTCCACCCGGCGATTTATTGTGAAGGCGAATCGCGATCTTGGCACGCTTCTCGACGAGTTGGGGAGCTGGGAAGTGATTGTCGACAAGGAGCGAGCAAAGCTTGTTGGGAGCTGGCCCGAGTCAACAACATCGTCCGCGGCCAAGAAATCTACAGAGGTCCAAGCCGCCGTCGCTGAGTATCAGCATACGGCAAGACATCTGGAAAGCCGCATAGAAAAGTTCATCAAATCAGTGGCAGCCGTCGAGCAGCCGTACGGCAAGATGAATAATCTGCTTGCAACTTTTCTGGCACGACAGCAGAGCGGAGGCATGCCCCATCCCGCGATGCCGATGGATGAATCGGCGGTGCAGACTGGCTTTCATCTGCGTGGACGCTGTTTGCAGATCCGCTTTGCTTGGGCCATGCTATGGGACTATCGGACAATCTCTGTTAACATATCGGTGGACTCGCGTATCCGAGACGAGCTACGCGAGGTGATCGGGAGAAAGTTTGATGAAGTAACCGCCAAATGCCTGGCGATTAAAGAAGCGAGTCAGATGGCCAACTTTCTACCGCAACAGGTGGAATCAATGGTCTTCTACGTTCTTTTTTCCTCACTGGCGGTTCGCCACGCTGAAGAGAGCGACTGTCCTCTTAGCGAGATGGCCAGCATAGAACATATCGAAGAAGTATCCCAGGTCCTGCGAGAGTGTGAATCAATCGTTGCAGCGCATCCGGGAACCTTGGCCTTCCTACGGAACGACATCGACAAGGCCAGGAAGCTGTTCAGGGGGGACACCTTCTATACCGCAGTCACCACCGAGGAAACCCGGCAAGTATATCAGGCCATGGCAACACAGTTCTCAGGGACAGGACACTGGTACTACTGTCGAAACAATCACCCGGTTTGTCTCTTCCGCCTCTGTTCATTTATCGATCATCTTGCATATACTAATTGGTTGCTAGTTCACTATCGGAGAGTGTGGCATGCCGACGGAAGCAGCACAATGCCCACAATGCGGAGAGGGAGTGGGAGGGTATGACCATCAACCACTTCCAGGAGTCCGTAGAGCTGAGGATCTGGAAGCCGCCTATGGTGATGATTAAGAGAAAAGATTGCGTTTTGTTCAAAGGTGGATGATCGTGTATCAGACCGTCAATGAGCCATTGAGATTCCTGCGACTGGAAGATTCTACTACCTATTTTCACTCCCTTAACTGAGCTTTATAATTCCTTCTACTATTCAATTGATACTTTTCAATGGTAAAATCTTCAATTTCTGTTCTACTGGTTTGAACATTCCACTCTAGGCAGCTGTCAACCGGGCCATCCATAAATTTCATAGAATGATACCTCTACTTGACATATACAGTGTTTCTCACTTTTGCTAAAGGTCTTCCCAGTCAATATTCCCTGCAGAGATTAATCCTTACTGATATGACATGTAAGTCTTGGAGTTGATACCATATGCCTCCTGACGCATACCAGTAATGATATCACCAAGTATGGGCTCAGATTTTCTCGAGTAATCTTTGAAAGCTGCTGTTGCTACCACCTCATGTATTCTGGTGAAGGGATACAACTTGATGACTGAAGCTATTTAGCAAAGCTCGGAGATGGTATTGCCATTGGCACGAGATATCTCTATAGGATCCAGATCCACTCGAGGCCCGTCTTAGGACCAAGTAGGTGACTTTCCATCAAGAATCTTACATGGGAAGACTTTGACTAATAGACCAGGAACATGGTAAAGCTCAAGAACCTGACGATATCTCCATGGCATTCAATAAGATCTACAGCACTAAACTCTCACTTAGGACAAGGAACCTTGATATGAAACAGTAAACTTTTAATGTCTGGTATATAATAATAAAGGATTTATTCTAAAGATAACTGTCTTCCTGAGGGGTTCTAAGACATGACGCAAGGTGCAGCTAGAAGTATATAAACCCCTACTATTAAAGGAGCAGTCTGTTTTTTATTCAATATGTATATACTTTAATGACTAATTTACTTAGTCATGGCATCATATTATTAACAGGATAAGGGCAATAGACATTTCTAAATGTATTATTTCTTAAGGAGAGTTGTGACGCTATTTAAGATTATCTATAATTAAAAATGTCATGTGATATTCTATGCCCTATTATCATTCATCTATAAGAAGTATTAACTAGTAAATGGAATACGTTACTATATATATTGTTACAATACTGTACAGACATTATGATAAAGCAGATCTCTTGACCCATCGATGGTCCAGCTCCCCCATTGTGATCTTCCCCGTTACCCGACCCTTCAGACCGTCGAAAAGCTTCCCCCGAAGGAAATATGACGGCGTGCAGCTCCACGCATGACAGAAGCTGTTGTTCCGCGCATCGCCATAGGGGCTGGCCTTGGCGTCGTCGGCATCATAGCATTCCCAAAAGGTATCTGCGCCGGCTTGCACCATGCCGCCCCAGTAGGACTTGATGAGGTCGAGACACTCCTCGTAGCAGCCGACAGTCATGAGAGCGTCGCATACGTAGTGCCACAGGTAGGGAGTGAGGGGTTTTACAGCTGCGGGGTGGCGGATGGTAGCGAGGAGGGCTTCGCGGGCGATGGTGGGGGGGAACGCCTCGGCGAGAACCAGCCAGGCGGCAGACGCGTAGCTGATCTGCGAGTTTGGCCCGGAAATGAAAACGCCATTTTGTAGAAATGTCGATGCGGCGGCGGTCATCTTGTCCACCATATCGGTGTAGGGGGCGTCCTGGCCCAGCCGGGTAGCGAGGTGGTTGACCTTCTTGAGGCAGTAGAGCAGCAAGCCGTGCGAGGCAGCGGTTTTGTCGAGGTCCTTTGCCCAGTCGATGAATTTGAATGCTTGGGTTCGCTCGAGTTCGAAGACGTGCGTGGTGGGGTTCAGACTGGACAGTCCACGCTTGACACAGTGCAGCACCGTCGGCCACAGGGTATGCCCTGTCTCGAGGTCGCCCGAGGCGGCGACATAGTCGTCGACAATGGCGCTGAAGAGTTCATCGTAGTCGATGATATAGTCCTTTGAAGGGGCAAACTGGGGCTTTTCAAAGACGCACGCGGGCAGGGAGCCGTCTGTCCGGACAACGGCGGCGAATTGGAAGATGCACCGCTTGACGAGATTGAACTCTCGCAGGGTGCTGTAGTTGGCGAGCGCCTGAAGACGGAGATCGCCGCTCCAGAGCCTCCGATCGCGCCGCGGCCCATCCTCGAAGACAGTCTGCATGCAATCTCTCAAGGTGGAGATGCCGACATGGTCGATATCCTGCAGCAGTGGGTTTCCGAAATCCACGGCGTCAAGGGTATGATCCTGGCCAATGGCACTGATACACTCGCAGAAGACATCGGAAAAGGCGACCTTGTATTCCGGAGACGTGTCGATGACTTGGACGCGCAGAAAGCGGAAAGCATGACGTCGCGGCAGGGAGACGGTCTGGGGTAATTCGTCGATGTTGAGGATCTCGTCCGGCAGCCAGGCAGTGCTGATCCAAGTGTCAACCCCGTCCATGCCCATGGTCACGTCGAGGGGCGATTCTCCAAAGGTGAGCCGTAGTCGGCAGGGCGCGTCCATGTGTCTTCCTACACCGGAAAGCTGGAACGAGAGCCGTCCGACCATGTGGACGCCGAAATCGAGGATAAAGTCCGCTCCCTTCCCCCAGGGGAGAGACGGCAGGTCCGAGATGGCATGGCTGGCTGGCGAAAGCTTCACCCCGAAGAACGAGGACTCTGTCGCCTGTGTGAAGGAGACAATCTGCTGAGGGGTTCTGTGCCAGCGTTGAAGATCCGGAAGGAGGCTGTCCGCGACGGCTTCGAAGGCCCGATTCCAGGCCGTTTCTGGGGGATTTAGCTCCGGCATGTTTTTTTTCTTATTACTCAACTGGGAACAAATCGGAGAGATGAAAAGGGAGAGAAAGAGGAGGAGAGATGAAGGAAGAGATGAAGAGATGAAGAGAGAGAGAGAGAGAGAGAGAGAGAGGAAGAAAGAGAAAGAGTGAGAGAAGGAGTCAAGTCGAACTGCCGCTTTGGGAGTCGGCCCGAGTCCCGCCTTCGGCAGTCAATAACCCGATCGGCGAAATCATGGCCGAGGAAGGAATGGTTTCATGCATGTAAGAGTTCATACTAATAATAAGATTAATAAGAGTATAATAATCTATTCTATCAGTAAATGACAATAGTTAATAGATACATGTCTAAGATGTGATCTGACGTCATGATGTGTTTCCCCTCATCTATATTGGAATATATATTGAATCAAGTATAAAATACCTTTCTTCTAAGTTGACTGATTTATTATAGCCTCAGAAATTGCAAGGCAAGAAAATTTAGGTAATATTTATACAATAAATCACACCCATTCTCTAATCCACCCACGCATCCACTCCGCCTGGATGGGCTGCAAACATGCCAGAGAAGGACTCACGCGCGCCGTATGGACTGTAGACAGCCGGACGGGATCTCTAGTCTGATTGTCTTCGAGCAGCTGTTGGTAGAATTCCAGCAGTTTAACTGCCGGATTCTGTCGAAGGGCATCTGCATCGACTGAGCCGGAACTGCTCTGTAACCTGGCGAGCCATTCCTGAAAGCTAATAGTGCCGATGGACGATCCGCCGGTTGAAGTCAATTCTTCGACGATGATAGAGATAAGGTCGGACCAAGGGATGGAACGAGGATTCACGCAGTTGAAAACGCGCAGGGTGCCCGTGCTGGATGTCAAGGAAAGAGAAGAGGAGAGTTCGACAAGGATAGATGCCAGCTCGTCGACGGGCACCCAGTCAACCACGTCCATCTGTCCTCCCCGTCTACCAAGCGAGTCCGGGAGGGCGTTCACGTAGCGAGAGCTGACAATCAAACTGGGCAGCCATTCAGCCCGAGACCATCCTCGCGGGTTCTGGGCGGTGCCGGCCACCTGGCCGATTCGCGACACACCTCCGCGCAGGGAGGGGAGCTTGGTCGATGCGTATTCCAGCAGTCGCTCGGCCACGTACTTGCTTTCGCCGTATCCCATGTGCGCTGGACAAGCGGGGTCCGGTATGACCGCTTCTGGAAGAAGACTCTCGCCATCAGACTCTGGTTTGACAAATGAGCTGACGGCACTGATGGATGAGAGGAATAGCAGTGATGGCGACATCTTTGCCTGTAAGGTGAAAGATATCAACCCTGTCACGCCCTGCAAACTGGGTTGGAAGAACGCCAGGGGTTGGTTGAAGTTTACTGGCCAGGCACAGTGGATGATCTGTGTTGTTCGGTCCAAAAGCGTACAAAATGTAGCCTTGTCCAGTCCAAGGGAGGGCTCTGTGAGATCGGCCGTCAGGAAAGTCACCCTGTTAGAAGGGAAGCTGTCGGGTAGATCACGCTCGCGGTTGCGAGATACCTGTAGCAACCCAGAATCCTGCGCACGGTTAAGACAGTAGACATGGGAGACGTCGGTTTTTTTCAAGAGCTGATCGAGAAGAAACGATCCCACAGTTCCAGTTGAGCCGGTCAGAACAACCACTTGCACGGTAGGGGGTGTCTTCGGATGTACCACATTGGTAGGCGTATTAGAGGCGAGCTGGTCAATCTGTTCTTCGTAATGTTGCAGCACCCGGGTAATAGCCTGCGTACGACTCTCGATATCCACCGGTCCAGATGCTTGCCGGTAGATATGTCTGGCGAGAAGGGTGACCGATGGGTTCCGATAGATGTCATTTGCAGTGATGGAGATTCCCAGCTTGGACCGAATGGTGGCACTAAGCTGCAGTGTTTGCAACGAGTCCATCCCCAGTGTGAAGAAATCCATGTCATCTTGAAACTGCAGCCAGCCAGTGGTATCGGCTACTAGTGAGTGCAGTGCACTTAAAACTTCTTCCAGGCTCGAGAATGACATTGCAGCTTGTTTTTCGACAGCTGTTTCAGAGTAGAGCGCGTCGATCTCCGCGGCATACAGCCGCAGAGTAGCTTCTCGCTGCACAGTTCCCTTTGCGGCGCGTACCATCGGTTTCTCCGCATCCACGATAAGAATCTTCGATTTGGAGACCCGGGCATGGGCTGGACATTGGAGATTTGCAGCCTCGACCGTAGGCCAGACTGACTCGATCACAGCTCTCGGAGAATCCGATGTTTCCAACGGCTCGACTAACAGACATGCCTCGACGCGCTGGTTACCGGCCACCAAGGCCGTCCGCACGGCCGGGTGCCTACTAACCTCATTTTCGAATGAGATGGGGTTAGTCTTCTCGCCGTTGAGGAAGACTACAATATCGTCGAGGCGGCCACGGTGCCTCCATAGGCCTGGGAGACTCGGATGGGGAGTGAAAAGGTCCCGCGTCTCGTATTCTTCCAGAGCGGGGAACATGGCAAACACGGGCTGCGCCTCGGGAGAGTCGGGAGACTTCAGAATCACGAACTCGTATAGATCATCCATGCAGTGTCGGAATTCCGAACAGGCAGCGGGATGAAAGTGGAGGTACCGCCAGGTCTCCGTGACAGGATGGTCTGGATTCCGGATTTGAGGAAATGCAGCGCACTCGCTGGATCCCAGACCGGAGAAGAGAGGGATTCTAGTCGATACGACTTCCCCGGCGGCGGGAGGTAGCGCACCGCCCGTGTAGAAGAGATGGGTCAGCTTTGTGCAGACCAGCTGCAACGCCTCGGGATCACGACTCAACTCCTCGACCATGAGTGGGAGGAGAAAGGCCCAGGAGAAGGACCCATATCTGACAGCCTCGAGGAAACCATCTGTGGACGGCGGGCGACTGGGAAGCGGCAAGACGGGGACGCTGTCTGCAAACAGCGGGAGCACGATACCCCATCCGACACCTGCAATCTAAGTTGCCTCCTTAGTATGTTATTTCGAGAATATAAACCAAAAAAATCTCTCACATGAAAGGCCGGCAGGACAGAGAAGAATTCTCCACTCAGAAACAGATCGTCGACGCGAGACATGCCCTCCGGCGCGGGCAGAGTGTTTGCCTTGTTGATCCGCCAGATGAACTCATTTGTATAGATCATAGGTTTTGGGATTCCTGTTCACCGTCAGCCCGAAGAAATGATACACAATAACCAGCGTTCAGTAGAGACCTACCCGTCGAGCCAGAGGTGTGGAGGACCAGCACCGGATCATCCCGAGCCTCCTGAAAAGACTTTGTATACGGATAGGGGGTAACAGACTCGACATTTATATTAAACAGCGTGTCTAGCGATGGCATTCGCACTGTCTGGAGGGTAACCTCTCGCAAAAGGGCCGAAACAAACGGCGGTTCTGGATCGACGGTCACCAAGACGCGGCACTCCAGACGAGCCAGCAAATGCTTCTGTGCGACGAGACTATTGCGCGGAGAGGGCAGAAATGCCTGTACTGTTAGCTCTTTAGCAAGTAAACAGGAGCAAAGGGGGGCTCACCTTGTATCCTGCCTTGATGGCCGCGAAAAACACAATGTGATAGCGCAGGTCGTTGGGCCCGAGAAACGCAAGAGTTTCGAACTGGCCGGCGGCGCACGTGCCGAGGGTGTCGACCAGCAGCCACGTGACGCGGTCGACGGCATGGCGCATCTGGCGGTACGAGACGGTGTGGAAGCCGTGGGCGTAGGAGGTAGGGGAGACGGGGTATTTGGCGTAGACACGGTCTGGGTCAGACTGGGCGCGGTGGTCGAGGATGGCAGGGAGGAGCTGTGACGCCATGGCGGAGGAGTTTACTATTTACCTGGGTAGGTAGTGATAGTGATAGTGATAGTGAGGGAATGACGAGCTCAAGGAGGGGCAGGCTTGTATTTATGGATGTTTATTTTAGGCTGTTTCTACCCAGTAGTTCTTTTATGCAATGCATTATTTATTCATCGTTCATTAGAGTGTGCCACTCCAGAGACATGGATCTCATCCCAGGTAAGGCATATTATGTATGGAGGTAATTGCTCATCTAGAGTTCGGGCAAGAGGGTATTATAATATTAGTATCTGAGTTCGTACGCTAAGACAATCTATAGGCTTCAGCTATAAGCCATCTAACGAAGCCAACATAACGGCGGTTTCAATCATTTCCGCACACCGGTCCAGACCAGCGGCAGTCTGCGGCAGCGTATGGCCGCCCTCGTGCACGAGCACATGTGTCTTTTCGGGTTGGTAGAGATCGACGACCATCCGCGAGGAGGCAGCAAACGGGTCCCTGGCGCCGATGACATGGACAGTGGGGATGGAGATCCGCGCCGAGCTTGCTCTGGGAGTATACCAGCGTGCCTTGGTTGAAGAGCTGGTCTGTTTGAGGAGAGCGAGATAGCTTTCGTGATCCTGTCCACTGACAACTTCGCCTAGCGGTTCTCCTGGTATCTTCTGGACGGTTTTCTCTGGGATTAGCGGTATCACGCTGTTGAAAAGGACAGCTACATGGAAGCGATTCTCATTATCTCTGCTGCTATTGTTCTCACTCAGTAAGAGGCTGGCGACCACCGCGGCACCCTCGGAGAACCCAACCACGCCGTCGTACGGCCCATCCTCGTCAATAATGACGGCTAGATCGACCAGTGCATCCTGAACCTCCACAGGCACGCCGTGTTCGTACCAGCAGAGGAATGGCGGCGGGTAGAGATCAGTGATCCCAGGGCCTGCCGGACAGAACCTTTGGGCATCGACAAAGTCGAGAGTGTGTTGGGCGGACAATCAACTGCGTAGGGCTCCTATTTATGCACGGAGACACGCTTAGTGAGGAATTCCTCGTACTGGGGGGAAGTCTTACCAAGCTGGGACTCGAAGATATCCGAGTTGGTCCCCCTGCCGTGTAAACAGAGAAATCTCATTGTGTAGGACACACACACAGAGAGAGAGAGAGGGCAGACGGTAAGACAGGGTGGAAAACACAAAAGCTGGATGTTTCTTACAGCCTGACCGATCGGCTCTTTCATTCCTTTATTCTCTCCTCCTGTTCCACGCTTCATCTCAAGTCCTTTTTTCCCTTTTTTTATTGCCTCCGAACCCCAGCTATTCACGGGTTGACAGTTCGCATCCTGTGGACCCGGATCGACACGTATGAGCCACTAGACTGAGGCATTAACATCCCATTCGCTTGGAAATCCTTCTATCTGCCGAAAGGATCCATCCTTTTCGTCGGAGAAGCCGAAAACGCCGAGCAAAGTTCCAGCAAAAGAGTGCCACGAACAGCGCTATCCACGGTGGCTGGCTGATACCAGCTGTCCTTCTGTCTTGAGCTGAAAAGATAGCAGGATTTGATAGGTACGGAGTTCATCCCCGACCAGTTCGAAGGGTAAGAGAGAGTAGAAGGAGCCAGAGGTTGAAAATAAAAAGAAGACAGAGAGAGGGGGGGAGGGAGAGGGGGAAAAGGGAAAAACCTGCGGGGTTATAAAATGCCTCCAGTCACTTCCTGGTTTCCACGCAATTAGACTATATTAAAAGTACTTTTAGAAACAGAAGCCAATAATATGAAGTTTCAATTATACTGGAAGACTCATTTCCTTTTTAATGCCTACTTAGCTTGATTTAAAAAACTATATAGGTAGTGTTTTATTAGAATAGACTGCTGGTAGTAGCCTTAAGTGAAGTATTAGTCTAACTGGAGTAAATAAACATAGATAAATTACTTTGAAATTATTTGTTATTTTCTTTTTCCATTCTGGATATATAAAAACAAAAGGAAATAAGCATGGAGGAATGAAAAAGAATGAATTATATAAAGAAGAGACAACCGCATGTCGCTGGCCACAGACTCTCCCCCCCTTCCCTTTTCAGACTTTGTCTCCCCAACCTCCCAACACTCCCCAACACTCCCTCACCTCTCTCTCTCTCTCTCTCTCTCTCTTCGAGACTCTGCCCTATCTTCCCTCACCACCGAAAATGAGTGCTTCCTATTCACATGGCGATATTGCAATCATCGGCATTGCCTGTCGTTTCCCTGGAGGAGCGTCAGACCCCGAGAAGTTCTGGGATCTTCTTTCCAACAAACGGTGTAGGAATCGCGAATACTGAGCTGCTTTCGAATCTGACTGACGGACCTTTTGCTGCAGCGGCCTTTACAACCGTCCCTAAAGACCAATATAATGGTGACGCTTTCTATCACCCGGCGAGAGAGAAACTCAACACTCTCAGTGCGCGAGGCGGGCACTTTCTGAACGAGAATATCACCACTTTTGATGCCCCTTTCTTTCACATCACCGCCCAGGAAGTCACAGCAATGGATCCAACAGCACGTATGCTGCTCGAGGTCACGTACGAGGCGCTGGAGAACGCAGGTCTGCCCGTCGAAAATGTGGTGGGGAGCGATACTAGCTGCCAAGTCGGCTGCTTCACACGCGACTGGCACGAGATGTTGATGTGTGACGCTGAGACCGCGCCCCTCTACGCTGGCACAGGCACGGGGTTTTCGCTGCTCTCCAACCGCAACGCCTTGCGTGACAGGGATTTTATACATTCCGTCATCCGTCGCACAGGAATTGATTAGGATGGTCACACCACGGGGATTACAGTACCTTCTCGTGAAGCGCAGCCCACCCTGATCCGCTCTGCCTATTGTTCTGTAGGCTTAGACGTCTCACATACTGCATACTTTGAGGCACATGTGAGTAGCCTCCCCTCCTCCTCTTATTTCAACTAGCTTGAACTCCCAAACGGGCTCGGCTGGCGTTTGTCTTCACTGGCCATGGCGCTCAGAGCGCGCACATCTGTCTTGAGCTCATGTAATACCCCGGCTTCTGCCAGAGTATCAAGTCGGCAGATCAGCACCTGCAGACAAAGCAGCCATGCAACAGGTTCTGGATCGATGCACCAGCGAAATGCCTCCTATCCGCGGTGTGATCCAGGGCGCTGCTGTCCTCCTCGAAGGCCCAATCTACGATAATGTGACGCACGATCAATGGCGAGCGGCCACCCAACCCAAAATGTACGGTTCCTGGATCCTGCATAAGCTCCTACTATCGCACGAGCTGCAATTCTTTATCATGCTCAGCTCCATTTCTGGGGTCGTTGGCGACCGCAGTCAGGCCAACTATGCGGCAGGAAACACCTACCAGGACGCTCTGGCACAATATCGCCGGCGCTTACGTCTGCCTGCTGTCAGCGTCGATCTCGGTTTGATGCTGGGGATTGGTTTGATTGCCGAACGAGGTGGTGCGACGAACCTGAAGAAATGGGAGGCAGTGGGTATCCACGAGGCCGAGTTCCATCGCCTACTCACGGCCGCTATGACAGGCAGCTGGAGCTCGTCTCCCTTACCCACGCAAATGATCTCTGGCCTGCCCACAGGAGGTATCCTGGCATCTCAGGACCTGATCCGGCCATTCTACTTTGACGATCCCCGGTTCTTGATATCCGCAAGAAGGACCTGCCAACGGCGAGCGAGGATCAAGACCAGACGGGAGCTAGGAATGACGAAGCAACCCTTGCGTCGCAGCTGGGTATCGTGCAGTCTATGCGCGAGGCCACCGATGTTATCGTCGGGGCACTCCGGCAACGACTCGCTCGGGAGCTCCAGACCGCGACGGAGAACATTGACGCCAGTCTGCCGCTGCACAGCTACGGTGTTGATTCTCTTCTCGCGGTCGAGATCCGCACCTGGATCCTGGTCCATCTACAGGCGGAGCTTAGCCTATTCAATGTGCTAGGTAGAGGGAGTCTATATGGGCTCGCCGGTCGGATTGCAGCCGTTTCGAAGGCTGTTCCTGGTAGTCTGCAGTGATTCTGATCTTAACTATAGTCGATAAGTGTCAGCCTCATCAATCAACTATGACCTTCCCTATATAGAATTCAATCATGACACTACTGATATAGCTTGACGCTGTGAGAGACCCTGTAAGTCCAGATTAATCCATCACTTGGTGTCTACTGATCTTCACTGATGTATTCACCAACCGGTTTATCCTGGATCTCTCTCTTTCACAAGCTCAGACACCGGTACATCTATATCTAGTAAGTTATTCTTTCGATCGAATCATACCACCACACTATCTATCATCATCTCTCCCCTTCAGGCATATTACGACTGTTGTTCGACATGGAGACCACGCTTGAATGAAGGGCTCTCCATCAGCTTGGACCAGTCATGCATGGCCACCGCCGTTTGGGCACTCAGACGAACCTCGGCGCCTGTCCGTTCAATCATCTCAGCCTCGTACCGACTGATAGCGGCGTGACGGGCATCCATGAAGGAGGGGTCACGACGATGAGGCCAAAAGTTCTGAATAGCCTGGCAGAGAGTAAAGGCATCCTGAATGGCATGGTTGAGTCCCTGTCCGCGCTGGGGGGTCATGGGATGGGCAGCATCACCCGCTAGAGTTACGCGGCCCTGATGATTATCCCAGCGATGCTCGGGGAGGCTAGGATCCCAGTGATGCATCTTGGCGTAGGTGACCTGCTGGCAGTCATCGGGCATCCAGGCGAACACGCTACACCAGGGGTCGACGAACTCACTGCCCAGGGTCTTGATGTGGGCGACGTGTTCTTGCAGAGTGCGACGCGGATTAATTTCATCGCGCCCTTCTTTCCATGAGATGTAGTGGAAGAAAGTCCAGTTCTCTGGGTGTTCTTTATCGTCGCCGTCCAGCAGACTGAGCCAGGCGCAGTAGCCCTTTGGATGCGGGGCAGCCTGGTAGAGCGGATGGTGCGGCGGACTGCGCAGAAAGAGAGCGTGCTCGCGAGTATGTCGTGTCAGACACATCGTCGCGGCATAGTCGATGGGAGTCGTCGTTGCAGCCACGCCGTCTAGCAGTAATAATGAACGGAGAGTCGAATGCGGGCCGTCGGTTGCCATGAGCGCCAGCCCAGTATCGCTCCCTCCTTCCGCAAACCGACAGGTCACCGTCTGTCCGTCGGAGGAGTATTCGATTCCTTCCACCGTTCTTCCCCAGTGGATCTCGACTCCGTCCTCCATGTCCGTGAGAAGGAGTCGACGGAGTTTGTCCCGGCGCAGGCGGTAGAACTTGGACGAGTCTATTTCCTTGATGAGTTCGCCCGTCTGGCCGTTGAGGAAGCGCACACGGTCTGTTTCCTTTGTAGGAACGTGCGGGTCGACCTGGGCTTCTTGAATGCGGGCCAGGATGTATTCCGGCACGAGCTGGGAAAGAGGCTCCATGCCCCAATGTAATCCCATGCTCCAGTTCCGCGGGAGTGCGGGGGTAGGGTTCTTCTCATATACGACGAAGGGAATCCCTGCCTACATTGCTGTTAAGCCGTGGGTTGTGAATTGAATGAATAAGCAAGAGTACCTTTTTCAATCCCTGTGCCAGGGCGAGACCCGTACATCCTAAAGGTCAGCTGGGAAGAAAGATATTGAACTGGGTTCTTACCTGCACCGATAATAAGGATTTTTTCTGAGTTTTCCATGCTTATAGTAGTAGTAGTAGTAGTAGTAGTAGTAGTGAGGAATGTCAATAACGTGATAGTGTAAGACGTTGTTTGAGTTATTTTTGCCATCCATCTCTTATATTCAAGATCGGCGGGCGGCCCCGTGGGGTTCCCGTCGGATCTTATCTGTCCCCACATACCTATGCATGATCTATGCCAGATGCAGGGGAGCCTTGTGGATTGGGCAGCAATGCAGGAGTGATAAAGAGGTACCTAGGTATTATAAAGGATTAGATTTGTTAATAAGTGGGTAGTTTATTGTAGACATCCTTTTATAAATCAGTGACCATCTAGTTGCTAGTGAATGGATTAGGCATCCACTAGACAAGAAATATAAATACCCGCCCAAGTGTCTTCCTCTGCAGTCCTTATAAATATATCTCCATTGTCTATAGCCTTATAAATGTTGAACCTCAATTATTCTTGAAGATATGCTTCAGCCTTTATTTTGTTGCGACGGGGATTATTTGAAGATAATCGACAATCCATCAAGCCGATAGATCCTCTACGAATATCCCTACTCTGATTGTGCTCGATTAGCATATACACTACACTATAAAGATTCTTCAACCGACTTGCGGCATCAGAACGATGGACATCTTCGCACCGTCAGCGCCACAGATCAGGAGTCAGAAGAGAGGGTGTCTCCTAGCCCTACATGACTGCACACTCGGTCTTAGTTTCCTATTACTCGATGAACATCATAAACTCAGAGCTCTGGTAAACAGATGATTCAAGACCTAGAGTGAGAAGGAAGAATTATGTTACCTTTTGTAGAAAGGCTAGAGTATATAGTATTCAGTAATTGATCATGATACCAAAGTGAGAATAATGTACATGGAAAGATGAGTGATGGAGATGAGGGAGGTATCATGATAAGAATGTTTACTGATCAGAGCTGCATCCTCAAGGGCTAGACTGTACCAGCATGCCCGGCATCAGAGCCCCCAAGGGAGGACAGAACTGAAAGTTGATGCAGTCGCCTGAAATGAGGGCACAGCGGCCTTGGACAAAGGAGGAGCCCGGGGGACATTCGGGCTCGAGCATGGCCTCACAGACGCCCGAGTGCTTGTTGAACTGGGTGTTGGGCTGGCAGACGGGGCCCTTGTCGGCGAAACACTTGTGGTCACGAAGGCTGAAGCCCTGGGGACAGTCCGGGGGCAGGTCGAGGACACAAGCGGAGATGCCGTCAAAGTGTTGGCCCGGGGGGCAGACGGGACTGTCGCCGACGCACTTTTGCCGGTCGCGATCCCAGTGGGTGTGTGGGACGGGACATTCGGGCTGCTTGTCGGACTCGCACTGGCCGTTCTGACGACGCGTGTAGCCCTCTTGGCAGTCGGCGAGGGTGTCGCTGACACATTTGTTGTCGTCTTTGGTCCAGTGGTAACCGGGGGGGCAGTCTGGATCCTTGCGATCGACGCACACCTGGTCCTTGCGGTCGTAGACGGTGTCGCCGTGACATCTAGGGGTGCCGACCAGACAGCCGTCGGTGGTGACGGTCTGGCCATCGGGACACTCGGGCTTGACGCTTGTCATGCAGCTGCCTTTGCCGTCCGGCATGGAACCCTCTCGACACACGGGCTTGTGGGTGGAGACGCAGTGGTTGTTGACCAGGAAGGTGTCGGACGGGCATCCTGGGGCCACGGACGCAACGCAGACGTGACCCTTTCTGTACGAGCCGTCGACACAGTCGGGCGAGTCGGTGGTCGAGATGCAGAGGTTGTCCTTGAGGGCGAAGTCCTTGGGGCAGGTTGGCCCCAGGGTCTTGTGCACGCACACGTTGCCCTGCAGCACGGTGCGCTTGTCCTCGCACTCGGGCTTGATATTCCGGACGCACAGCCTGCGCTCGCGATCATACTGGTGGTCGTGACCGCAGCGAGGCCGTTCGGAGTGGATGCAGATGCCGTCGCCGACGCTGAAGCCCGGGCGACACTTGGGGCCGGACAGGCTGACACAGTAGAGACCGTCGCTCTTGGAACCGGGCGGACAATGCTGGGTTATGGGATTCACGGCACAGCCCTCGGGGACGGGCACCTCGCCCCTCGAAGCAGCCGTCGGGGCCGGGCTTGCGCACGCAGGTGTTGCCGTTCCACGTCATCTGCGCGGGACAGCAGCGGCCAGAGCCCAGGTCTTGGTTATAGGAGAAAGCCAAGCCTGCGGGGCAGGCAGGTTGATCCTCGTGGGTGCAATTGTTTGTCGTCGGGTCTAAGCGATAACCCTCCTCGCAGCTGAGGCCGACGGGAGAGATGCACAGGCCTTGGACCGCCGAGTAGACACTGTCCTTGGGGCAGACCGGGGGCATATCGGAGATGCAGTCGCCCTGGTCCATCTTGCTGCCTGGGGGGCAGAAGGGGGCAGTCAATGAGGTGCACAGGTGGTTCAAGTCGTTGAACTTGGTCTCGGGCGGGCACCGGGGCGGCTCCAAGCTGGCACAGTGTCCATCATTGAGCATCATGCCCCCCGGACAGACGGGGGGTTTCTTGTCAATACACATGCCTTGGTAGTAGGTGTGCGGCTCCGGGCAGCGCGGCAGCTCGGCCGAGATACAGGTGTTTTCCTTGGGCTCGTAGCCGGGGGGACAGAAGGCCGCGCCCACGACGCAGGCGGAGCCATCCCACTGGGCGGGCTCGGGACACTTGGGAAGGTCGTTGGAGAGACAGTACTCGCCCTGCAGCGAGCTTCCAGGGGGACACAGCAGGTCAAAGGTGGCCACGCACTTGCCGTCGCGCAAGTCGTAGTCGGTCGGGCAGCTGGGGATGCCCAGCACACACGCGTGGCCGTCGAACATGGTGCCCACGGGACAGCATTTGGACTGACCAGAGATGGGATCGGTAGAAGGGAAAGATGTTGTCCAGTGTAGCCTTGACGGCGTCTCCGAGGGGGAGTTGAAGCTGGGCGGCTGCCTGGGAGCTGGCAAAGGTCCAGGCGACTAACAACCACGAAGCAATTTTAGTCATGGTGTGTCCTATAATGAAAGAGGAACGAGTGAAATAACGAGTGATGGAAAGGAGATGGAAAAGAATGTTGTGATGAGGAGAGAAGTTGAACGACGACTTACTGGTATTTATACCACGACCACCAGCATCATCGCCAGATATTCCCTTCTTTTTCGCAAAGCACACTCTTCAGCAGCTTGTCTGATTGTGACGAGACGGAAACCGGCGTCTTCGTCACTGTCGTCGTCGCCTCTGTTGTCTCTCTCTGCGCGACTGCGATCGGGGGCTCTCGTATTCCCCTGGGCTGTGGCGAGCTGTGAAGCAGGAAAACAGTCACGACAGCCGAGGAAGCGTGAAAAGGCCTGGAGATGTGATGCAGGCGAATGCACGTCCTGCAGCTGCTGCGTAAGCGTTTCGTCCTGCAGGAGAGAGTCGAATGAGAGGGAGAGTCGAGTGAGAGAGAGAGTCGAGTGAGAGAGAAGGAGGGAGTGACGGTGAACAAGCAGTGCTGCCTCAGGCATGCAGCCTCAGGCATGCAGCCTCAGGCATGCTGCCTCAGGCACATCCGAGATCGGCAAATATTGCTGAATAGAATCACAGTTACTGTCACATTAGATATCACTCATATACTAGATTAGTATTTAGTTCATTGTCTATAGTCTACTACTGATAGCCAGAAGATATGGCTCTATCTTTTGTAGAAGAGTGTATACTCTATCTATATCATAAGAATGTTTCAGTACAGTCCAGCTCTAATTACTGCCTATTTCTATAATCAGCCAGAAACCTCTGGATCTCCTGCGCCTCGGGATCATCTTCCAATCGGATTCTCCTGCAGGGGGGCGCTCGATCAGGGGCATACACAGGCCTGTTTCGTTCATATTTGGCCCGGAAGATATGCAGGTCAAAGGTATCATCACGGTAAATACGCAGGGCCTGTCGCTCTGCCGTCATGGGGAATGGAGAGGGGGAATTGTCACCAAGACAAAAGCTGATGAATTGCTCCATCTGGACCTCTGAGAGCCTAAAAACCCGGAATCCAGCGCTGGGGTGGAAATAGACGTCTCCAATCTGACAATTAGCCACTTGTATATTATATAGTATACTATAGTATGGTATAATACCTCTTGAGACTTCCAGTCAAACAACACAACACCACCCAGCACCCGATATTCTGCCCAGTATCCAACCATATCAGCAACTCCCATAGGATACTGCTTATGGAGAGTATAATCCACATGGAAGAGATACGTGGGATCCTCAGGTAGCGACATGGGGGGCATTTCCTGCGAGTCTGAAAATCCGGGGATCCCCGGGATGGGAAACAAATCAAAAGACTGCGGCTGGGGGCGTTTATAAGGGGGATTATTTGTGTATGTAAACAGCAGGGATGCAGCTGTATGTAGAGACACAGCAATCATTCCAATCAGATAGAGGTGGAACTCTCGTGTCCCTTTGACTGTCTTTTGATATCCTTGAACCATCTAAATACTATTAACCAAGGAGAAAAAGAAGGAATATAAAGGCATAAACATACATCACTGGCAATCTCAAGGCTTTCCACTTGGAACTGGGATCTCCATTTCACAACCTCTTCCAGAGCGCTGTCACTTGGCGCTTGACGCCCTGAAATATTCGGATCGTAGCCAAATAGCCACCTGGTATCAGTCTGCTCGATGGGGATTCCATCCACAATCTGTGCAAATGTGATTTCTGCCAGCTTGGTGGAGAGAATCCGGTCAAGAGATACTCTAAGAGGGGTGAGATGGTCTGTGTCTAAGCTGATGGCCACTTGACTCGTCATGTCGAAAGTTCGGCCTTCAAGAAAAAGGATTTTACCAAGTGAGAGTGGTATAGGTGAGAGGAAGATGATTATATAGTCTTTAGATAGTTGACATGATTAAACAGAGAGGGTAGGAAAGCACTGGCATGAACTTGGGATGTTAGTGTTTCATGGAGGTGGGGGGCTGTTTTCAGTGTTTTGATTGGTGTATTTACCGCTGGCCTAGTGATATATACTACACCTTTGGGCAATGCGCAAAGAAGGAAGAAATGTAAAGACTTCCTTAAGGTGGGAGAAGAGAAGGGAGGATTCTTCCTCACCCTATAATATCTATAATGGTAATATTTGAGGCTTTCAAAATGTATGTAAAACACCCCCCCTACCCTGGGTGGTATACTAGAGTAAACCTGAGCGGTGCATGGGTTTTCCTCCACTATTTAAGTTACTATTATTAGGTTTAACCTATAATAGTTTTCTATAAAATAAACCAATGACTGTTATATGTTCTATTTAATGAGGGCTTTATACTTAAAAGGCTTCTTTTAAGCCATATAAATTAAATCAACTTCCTTGGCTAGTGATTAGTTAAACTCACAAAGCACAGAGTATTATGTATGATATAAAATAATATATAGGAGGATGATAGCTTGTAACTAAACCCTAGAACTACTTTCTAGCATGTCCTCTAACTTATAAATACTACATATCACTTAAATAGCCGCTTTCTTTAAATATTTATAGTGATGGTGGCCCTAATGTTTCATAACCTCACCCTCGGCGGCAAGGTAATGGGGTAGTGGTAGTGTACATGCTCTAAGCTATAAAGTGCATCACAGCACACAGAAGCAGAACCATGAGCCAGTATCTCTTTTCAAGTCATCTAAAAGACTTTATCATTTCCATCCTTCCATTTACCCAATTCAATTCTCATTATGGCTGAGGTATTCAATTTTACAGTCTTCACTCGGTTCCCTGGGTACAGGATGGATATGCATCAACCAGAATCTAGGGAGTATACCTATCTTGCACATGCTTCAAGACTTACCGTCGATCTCCTCAATACCGCAAATGGCCGCCAGGCCCTCTTGGCTCTTGCGATGGAATTTGATGCCGAGCACTATCAAACCGCATTATTTAGAGGCGACCGGCGTCAGGCGCAATATTACGTTGATCTGTTCCTTTCCAAAATCTCCCAGACATTTCCTGCTGTGCTGATTGATCAGACTGTGACCCATCCTGACAATCTGGGACATCACCAAAGGGGCGAATGGAGTGGTTCCTACGAGGAATTCGACCCTCGCATGCAGATGATCTCTCTCAATGCCTCGGTAAGTAATTCCAAGTGACGATGGTCAAACCAAGGTGACTGACACGAAGACAGAAAGTTTACGACATGATCAGGGCTGGCCAGACTGAAGAAATGGCCCCCATCTTTTGGAGATTCCAGTTTCTTTTCGCCACTACATTGGCCCACGAGGTTGGAGGGCATCTGCTGGTTACATTTCTTAGCCATGGAAAAGCATTGACCCCGAGGAGAATTGGGGCCCCGGGATATTTCGACCTTGAAGGTCGATTGGGAGAAGCAGGCCGCAAGTTCGAGATATGGCTATTTGGAGGAACCTTGGAATATTACCAAGCCCAAAATCAGAATATGCATGATGTGAAAAGACCCCTGCCCTCATCATTGAACTGTTCATTGACTCACCATTCTCTAGACTGGGATTCCGCACCTTGTCGATTTGCGAGGGAGGAAATTCAGAATACATGATGGTGTGTTTCGAAACTTCTTTGAAAGACGTATGACTACATCCCTTTTTTTCTTTCAGGAAGAAATGTCCAATGTGTAACACGTACAGGATTCGAGTTGCCGATGAGGATAGCAGGGGAAACAACCATTGCCACAAGGAGCATGGGCCATGGTATTCCATGTCCACAATATGATCCTTCTGTGCGATCCATGACCGCCGGGCAAGCTTTGGATAGAAGGATGCAGCATCTTCTCACTGGATTCAATGTTAGGCTGAGAGACATTTATATGCTACCCAGAAATCCTGGGATACTCCTTGAAGGATATTGATTGAAGTTGGGGGTAGAAGAAGGTACTACATATTCAATTACATTACATAGCTTTGATTGTGTTATAACTAGAGCGACTTTTACTATCCAGCAAAAAGCAGGAAGGTTAGGGTTAGACATCTTTTAGTTATAATGAGAGGACCACTATTATTATGTACTTTTTATTAATAAATCATATAATATTAACATATAGATGATCTTCTGAAAGCATATAATATTGTATATAAAGGGGTGTGATAATCTGTCTCTAGCTAGAAACTGAAATTATTAAGGAAAGGCAGACCTAGATAAGGTAGAGCAATAGTAGAACACTAAAAGGATTAGACAGGGAGCTAAGGAACTATAAAACTTATTTTCCTAAGTAGATTAATTAGAATATTGACTAAAAGTTCAAAAGAGGTTTGCCTTTGCTTTAATATGTTCAAGTCTTATAAGGTTTTACTTATCACTCAAGAAATAAAAAATAAACATAGATATAAGAAAGTACTTTGAATAGCACTAGATAAGGAATTTAAATGAATGTGACTTCATTGGCGACACATGGTTTGCTTACTTTCCTCGTCGAGGCAGACATGCGATCCATCAAGGCACCTCCACCTGGATCGTCTCCCTGTGCCCGACAGCATCCAAAGCCTTGTTCGAGGCTATCTTGACCAAGACAACAACCGTCAGCATCGAGCCTGAGCTGGGCAGGTCTGCCCGGTCAATCTCGACTCGACAATTGCCCTCCACGACGCCCGCCTTGGTGGAAACGGCCCGGAACGCCGCCGTCTCGCACAGGACCGTCACCACCACCTCCTGGCCCGGCTGCGGCTGCTGTTCCGTCCACTTGACCTCCAGCGATGCAGACGACGATCCTGTCTCTGCGGCGAGGAATCCGGCCGTCACGGTGCCGATCTTGCTCCCGTCTGCTCCCCCGTCCGCCACGGCGCGACTGGGGAACTCCCACGTCTCCGAGTCGGCCTCCTCCTCGACGACCATACTGCCCTCTGGCGCCGGCTCAAGCACTCGCACAAAGAAGCTGCCGCCCCAATCTGCTCGCTCAGGCCCGAACCGCAAGACTGCCCGGTGTCCGTGAATCGACTTGGCCGGCACATCCTCCACAACCATGACAGGTGCCGCGGACCCTGTGCGGGCCTTGTGCAGTTGGAATTTGGTCTTTTTGCTCAGCGGCCGGTTGACAGGGCTGATACTCAGACTCAGGATGCGGGTGACCAGGTCGTAGTTGGACGACTCGTCGATTTGGATCTGTAGCGGCGGCCGCAGCGTGAGGTTCGTGGCGGACAGCAGACAGATCGCGCCAGCTCGTTTGGCACACACGATGACCTCCATCCTTTCGCCCTCCTCCGGGTCGACCAGCGAGAGGAGCCCCTCGATCCGGGTACCCCGGATCCCTGGCGAAGAGGCGACGGTGTATTCCACCTCGCGCCGTGTCTGTTGCCGCCTCAGACTGATGGTATAGTCCGCAGCGGCTAGCCCGGGGGCAGCATCCCATCCGACCGCGATGTCGCTGCCCTCCATCCGTGCCACCACTCCCGCTGGCGCGGCGACGACTTCCAGCGTCTGGAACGAGTCGGTCTCGAGGCTCGCGTTGAAGAGTTTGGCGAACCAGGGCCGCTGCCGGACCCGAGCGACGACAGGCCCCTGAAACGCCGTCCTGTCGTACCCGAACGCAGCCACATCGATGGCAAACTTGCCGGGTCCGGCGTTCGGGTGAGAAAAGTAGGACGTCGTCGACGACAGGGAGGAGGAGTCTGTTTCGTAAAGGACCTCGGCGCTCTTGTCTCCGCTCACCAGTCGGATGTCCCAGTCGCTCGCAGGCTCGAACGCGGCGGGGACTTCCACCACGACAGTCGACGCGTCGCGCATGAAGAGCTGCACACCTCGTGGCCGCTCAAGCCACGGCAGATGCACCGCCGTCGCCGGCTTCCACTCTGTAGCAACGAACTCGTGGCCGCGATAGACGACACGCATACGCGCCCATACATGGACGGTACCAACGCGCCTGAAGGTCTCGGCAGGACACCTGAGCTTTCTTCCCACGCCGCTGAAGCTGTACCACTGGTACCCATCATCCTTGCCAGGGGAGCCTGTGGCCGACGGGGGTGGCGGCGGCGGCGGTGAACCCTTGTCCTTCTCTGCTACCAGGCACACTTGCCACTGGACACCCTGGTAGTCCTCTGGATGCACCCATTTTGGCAGCGGGAGTGCCGGACTGACATCGACCTCGATGTGCGACTCGTCCTGAGGAGTCACAAAAGTCGCCGTGATGGGCTGCTGCAGCTGTAGATTCATGCGGTCCTGGATCGCCTGCTTGGCACTGCGTCCTTTGGCCACGGCATCGGCGATCTGGTCCATCAGACGCTGGTGCCGCCGATCAACGTCGTCGGCCAACCCCTCCCAGGCCTTCCACTTCCTCAGTACGCGGCCCAGTCCCTTGCTCCTGATGTCCTCTGGATCGATGTCGTTGATGCCAGTGATGGCCTCCACGTACATCTTGATGAGCACCAGTAGGCCAACAGTCCCAAACGGACCCCCGGGGATCTGCCCTGGGCCGGGGATCGGCCAGTCCGTGTCGGGGAGATCTGGGGTTGTGTCCGGAGGAGATGGGAACGGCAATGGGAACGGTAGAACCCTAGGGTCTGCCGCTGGGGGCACTCCAGGCTGGGGATCCTGAGGCTGTGGCTGGGGCTCTGGCATAGGCAATGGATCAACAGGACTAGGGCCAGTAGGGCCAGGACCTGGAATAGAACCGGGATCTGGAATGGAACCAGGACCTGGAATGGAACCAGGATCTGGAATAGAACCGGGACCTGGAGTAGAACCGGGATCTGGAATAGAGCCAGGATCTGGAATGGAACCGGGACCTGGAGGAGTACTTCCGGGATCACCAGGATTCAGACCGGGTGCTTGTCCAGGTGGCTGCTCCCCTCCAGCCCTAGCCGTTACATCGTCCAGCTTTCCTCCCCCTCCCTTGACTTCGTCCTCCTTCTTCTTGGTCTCGTCCTCGTGGTCTTTCTGCGCCCTGTCCCGGAGCCCCTTGGTCCCATCACCTGTGGGCTCACGACAGACCAGCGGTACGACTTGGTCGGATGGAATACCCTTGTCGGCGTCCATGCCACCCAGCAGCCCCCCTAGAGCTGCAGGTTCAAGCAGCTTCAAGCCGATCTGCTCCAGCACCTCCTCGCCCAGGATCTTGTGCCATAACTCCGTAAGCACGCCCTTGAACGTGTCAGGTTCGAACCCGGCAAACGGCAGGATAATCTCGAACGGAGGCAGCTGGATCTCAGTCTTGGACTGGCCTTGCCTCCCCTGGACGAACACCGAGCATGACCAGCTGCCCACCTGGAACACAAACCCCTTTGCGTCGGCATCCTTCTCCCGCGCCAGCATTGCCGCCTGCTTCATCTCCACAAGCCCAAGCTCAAAGTCAAGCTCCATCTCGACCCTCTCCCCAATGGTAAACGGGGAGAGAGGGCCGCAAGGCTTATCCTTTGTGCTGCCCACCTCGATAGTCCGATCAATATTGAGCGGGACGTTGTCGAGGTCGGCCGGCAGCTGGTCCGGCAGTGGGGATGGCATCTTGCCCGAGTCCCAGTAGGCGCTGCGGTGAATCTTCCACCCAGAGAAGCCCCAGCGGCCGTCCGAGTAGAAGATATTGATCTTGGGGTTGTCGACACGCAGAGTCGTGCCGCTGTACTCAGCTGTCCCCTCAAACCGGCTGTGCTTGGAGTCGGCTTCTGCTGGCTTGTACTTCAGTTGGAGGGGAGTCTTCTCGAACCCGAGTAGCTTCAGCCCGCTGTCGACATTGAGATGCATCTATCAAATCGTCAGCTTTCTGAATATAGTAGGGTTAACACAAGGGGAAACAAACTTCATCGGCAGTCTTCAAGGTCGGTGACAAGGAACGGACTGTCTTCCCACCGTCCTCCTCGTATTCTGTGAACTTGAACACGCCCAGGTCTAGATCTTGTCCGTAGCTGCCGGTCATTTCAAGAGCTCGAGGCTCATCTTTGATCTGCACCGAGACGGGAATGAGCAGCTCAAAGAGCCGGAGTTGGCCGTACAGATGGTATCCCGCGTGGTACGTCCGCTGGGCAATAGTCACACTCGTCTTTGCCCTGTTGTAACCGATGTAGGCGCTTTCGATCTCAAAGTTATCCCAGCCAATAGGCCAAGGAGTGACCTGCTGCTGGCCTATAGCAGTGGGCGCTGGGCGGAGAATGTCGTCGTATATGTCTGTCATCTTCACAGTACCATCCTGTTGTTTTGTAGGGATAAAGGGGTTACTTGTACTCGCGGGATCCTGAGTGACGCTGCCATCTTTAATGACTTGCAGGGTGAAATCCACTTCACAAACAACGGGATGCCCTCGGTCAAAGTAGATATGTCCCAGTAACTTGTCCTCTCGACCCCCAAGAATGGCAGCGCCGTAGATAGTGCATTCGCGCAGCACATCCTGGCTGCCGTCTTGTCTGGTCGCTGAGCCCCTGATCATGAGATCCTCGAGCTTGACGTTGAACATGCCTCCAAAGGGATCGGTGATGGTTTGGCTGGCTGCCGGTGTATCACTGCTCGTGGTGAAGCTTGTCTTCGTCTTGTCCATTGTCAGTAGTACCTCGAAGGACAGCCGCTCCCCCTCCTTCTGGTTATCCATGTCCGAAAATAGTAGACTTAGCTGCATGGGAGAGACCACAACAAGCTCCTCATCGCCCGGGAAGTACCGGCCACGGTTGCCGTCGAAAGTGACGGCCCCTTCAAATATTTGCAGGTTGCGGATGTCGACGTGGTACTCTGTCTTTTGCTGGTTGCCAACCGGAAGGACCTTGCCGTAGAGACGCACACGGGGAGGGTTCGAGGATCCGATGTTGAAGACATCCAGAGCGACAATTCCTGTCATATCCCGTCTGTCTGGCTGGGAGAGATCGATGTCGGCAACGAACCACGCCCCGTGGCTAAGGATGATTGTTTCGTCCATGCCCTCCATCAACCGGACCGCCGTCTTGGCCGGCGTGGCATTCTCAGCTCCTAGAATTTGGTTCTTAGAGTCCTTGCTACGGTCTTGCCCTTGCTGATCTGGCACACTGGGAAGCATTGCGGCAACATGCTCTCGGACCTCCTTGATCGTCGTATCTTGCCCGAGGACCTGTACTGCGACCTCGGAGATGTTGAACTGTTCGACCACGTCGCTCTTGGTCTCCATCCAGACACGGTTCAGATCGGCGGTCTCGAGGAAAAACACGTTCCACGCCTGTGTCTTGTCGGCGGGCTGCCCAATGGCGACATCTTGCGCCAGGAGCAGCGCTCCTCCTACATCTTTGATGGGTGCGGACAGCACAGCTCTCTGTTGGGAGAAGTCGACTGCGAAGAATAGCTTCGAGTTCTCCTCGAAGTTCATCGGTCCAGTAAAAGCAGGGACCGTATCCTTCCAGGCGGTGCCGGTCGCCTTGTTGATCTCATCCGCTACCTCTCCGAACACGGCGACATCACCAACACCCCCATCCGATTTTGTGAGCCGCGCCGTGAGAATGCGGTTCCAATCGGAACTGATCGAGAGTTGCGCTGCCCTCGCCTCGTACCCATTGAGCTGCAGCAGACCCCGGAGGTAAGCCTCGTACGTGGGGTCATCTCGCACTTGCGGGCCCTGTGTGTATCTGAACAGTGCAAGGATATTTTTCAATTCGACGGTGATCCCGCACGTATGGCTGTTCCAGGACTCATCTCCAGCTGCCCAGACCTCAATCATGCGCGTCGGCTCGACGCGGACACGGCCTCCGATCCGGGTGGGCTTGACCATGGTCTCGTGCAGCCCAAGCTTGACATCAGGCACGGCGGTTCTCTCAACAGGCATACTCGTCGCAACTGCGAGTGCGGTGGTGTCGATGCCCGCGTTCTCAACGTTAGCCAACCGGATACTAGCCTCCTTGTTGTAGTCCTTCTTCAAAATCTCAGACAAGCTCTCCTGACCCAGGAACAGTTGACTGGGAGGCTCGCTCGCATCCGGGGTGCCGTCCTCTCCGCCTTCTCCCATGTATCGGTCGTCGGTGTATTCCAGCTTGAGGAGCAAGTCTCCGATCTTTATCTTGCCGTATAGAGTGCCTTTGAGGCCTGACTTTGTCTCCGTGTCCTCCGCTGAGAAGGCCAAATCGAGGGTGATATCGTAGAGGTCCACGTCCGGGCTCACAACCAACTGGATGGGCTTTTCAGTGTTGGCAATGATGTGAAAATCTCTCAACATCATCACTGTCCTCTCTTTCGACGGCGGATTGACAGGTTTCACCTTGTCGTCGATGACGTGGGTGAGCTTGCCCTTGACCTCCTCGATAGGCACTTTGAAGACCGGCGGGTAGGTGTATGGGTGAGCAAAGTCGACACTCTTGTCGTCCCAGCCAAAGAGGCTGAGGAAGTTGCCTAGGAGTAGCTCTTGCTGGGCGGCGGGATATATGCCAAAGGACATGACTTTGTTGTCTGGCCCAGCTAGTGACTGGATGACGATGTTGGTCATGACTGCTTCCCTGCCCAGGAGTGCTTTGATGACCAGGTCCCTTTTCTCTTGCCCTTCCTTCTTCTCCTCGTCGTAGACGACTCGAACCTCCTTTAGAGTAATCGATTGCAGCTCAACGGCGGTCTCTTCGGCCACATAAAAGTCGAAATGACGGATGTCGAGTGTTCCAGAGGTCTGAAAGTCGATGATCGCGTCCCGGAGATGCATACGGTTGGCTGCGGCCTTCATCGCGTCGAGTCCAGGGAAGGTATCTGGCAGGGAGGCAGCCAACAGGCTGTCGATGGTGACAATGGTGTCAGGCTGCAGGCCTGCTGTCAGGCTCCCCTCAGCGCTATCATATTCTATCAGGGCGGAGATATCACCGCTGTCTTCCTCATCAGCATTGCAGCCAAGGAGTCGAGCACTGGCCTGGACCAAATCCCCCTCAATATCGTCTTGATCGTCGCTCTGCTCGTTCTCGTACGATTTGAAGAACGCGAACTCAACATACTGGAACTGGAATGGTCCGATCTTGAGAAGCGGGTGGTTGAGCTCGACAGAGAAGGAGTCGATAGATACCGGCTTTCCGGACACAGCGGTGGGCATAGTGGCGGTCATGGAGCGTATCTCGCTAGACAGGACCTGGCCGACCAGTGGCACGTTCTCGCAAGTATCGAGACCGAATGCTGCGAGCACGTTGCTAACCGAGACTGCTCCAGCCCTCACCTCAGAGACCTTGAGCCACAGCTCGCCTGCGGAGGCCGTTGTCGGAAGCTTGAGGTCAAACCAGACGACGGTGGAGGGGGTTTGGAGCCGGATGGCGGCCGTCGCCATGACGCGAATGTCATGCTCAAACTCAGAGACCGAGAGTCGCACGTCTTCCAGCATCACCGCACCAGGAATCAAGTCGAGCTCCGACAGCCAGGCGGTCGCGCTCCAGTCGCCGAGCGCCCACTGTGGGCCTTCTACCGCGATGATGCCAGCCGAGACACGGCGCAGGTAAGCCCGTCTGCCTTCTCTGTTCATCAGCACGGCGTCGAGGAGTGGCACCGCGGCTGCAACTCTAGGCGCTGCACCGCTGCGCAGTCCGAGTGCTTGGGTGATCTCGGCAAATGACAAGTCTGCAGCATCCCTCGCGTCAACGTCGAGAGTATACTGATAGTCGCCCTTCATGATGAGCGGGACCACTGAGGCTTTGGCCGCGACCGGACGCGTAATCTTGCTATCGCCGTCACCCGCAGTCAGCTCCAGGTCGACAGCGACCTCGACCTGGAGTGCGCGAGTGAGAGAATTTGATGGGCTCAAAATAGTCACGTCAACTACAGGCTTTCCGGACACGATCTTAGATGTGATCTCGGGCGGAAAGAGGTCGCGCCAGCCCTCGAATTCTTCAGTAGTCAGGAAAATACGGTCGAGGAGCACTTCCGGGGCTTGATCTACATGCTGGCGCAGCACGAAGCCCACTGAGCCCGGCTTGAGAGTAAGCGCATCGAGCCTCCGTGCGGGAACGATGATGCCATCGCCTCGTCCTGGACCGGGCGGAGTGAGCGAAGGCAGGAGGAATTTGCTCAGATCCATGGGGGAGGAGGCTTCCTGACCGAGCGCACCGATCAGAGCCTTGAGGGAAGAACTCGGGTCCTCGCCGGTCGTCATGAAGTAGGCGTCAATAGGGCGGTCACTGCTAGACGACAAGGAGACGGCCAGCTGCAAGTCTTCGCCCGTCGAGAGGCTCATGACGGCGTACAGGGTGACACTTTCAGAAGCCATGCGCGCGTCTTCGACGTCAATGAACAGCGTCTTGAGCGAGAGCGAGAAGTCGCCGGCAGAGACACCATCGATGGAAACGGTCTTGTCGAGTTTGCGGTCATTCAGGTTGCACACGATGCGGGCGTTGCGGATGTAGACGTGCTTGGTAGGTGTGTATGAGGCTTCGCCCGTCGATGCAAACCAGTCCACCTGGAGATTGACGAAGCCCCTGAGCATAGCCAGGACTGTGGGAACGCGGTCGTAGACCATGTGGATGGCGGCGTGATAGTCCCCAATGACGGCGCCCAGGGTTTGGATCATTCCCATGGCAGCCACGGCGCTGGACTCGTAGCCCGTTGCGACGAGGGCTTTGGACAGCAGCGAGGGCCCGCGGGCGTTGTGCAAGGACCTAGTCATGACTAGGGTGTTGAGCGAGTCCAGGCCGTCATTTGAGACCAGCGTTTGCACCGCGAGGCCGACAGTCAAGACCTTGTCGATGCCAAACTTCAGCATGATATTGGCGCTGACGACGAGAGCCAACACCCCGCCGTCGAGACTCAGCGTCGCACTGGGGGGGATCCGGAGCTTGATCGTGGCATTGTTGGCAATCACGGCGAGGCGGTCGTCGCTGTACTCAACCCATGTGCCCTGCGTGTCGGTGTAGTCCACGTCGTAGGTGAGGATTTGCTCCTCGACGGTGGTGCGCCCGCCGCCGCCGCCGGCTTTGGATGAGAACTTCAGGTCGGCAAAGTTGGCGCTGCCTACCATGGCCTTGATTACTCTCCCCGCCGTCGTCATCTCCGTTTCATCGACTTGTGCGACTTGGAAGAACTCGTAAAAGGTGTTTCGAACGCCTAGCACTGGCTGCTGCTCGAGTCGAGTGATGGCCAGCTTTTTGTTGCTGGTGGACATGTTGTCTTCTTTGTCGTTGTCTTCTTCATCTTCGGTCAATCCGTTCTCTTTCCCATTGCCGCCCCAGGTGGTGTCAAAGACAGCCGGCGTTTCGTCCCCGTCTCTCACCCTTTTGGCTGTATTCAGCTGCGCAGCTGGCTGCTGTCGGATAGCCACGCCACGCCGCATCAAACTGACGGGCTGTTCCACGACGCTCATGGAAGCAAATGGCGCGGATAGAACTTTGAGGTTTATGCTCTGCTGCGAAGCGAACTGCACGGGCTGGATGGGCTCGAAGTGGAACCAGACAGGGACTTTGGTTTTGTCCTCGGACACCAGGGCGGATTCCGGCTTTGCGGTGGCGGTTGTCCCCGGGTAGAAAGTCCACATCTTCCTGTCCACCTCCCACATGATCTGATAGAGAGATTCTTTCTTGTTGAATGAGACGTGAATCATCTGGCGGTCCGTCGAGGTGGCCGTCTCCGAGAGGAAAAGGGTATTCATCTTGCTGTTATGACTGCCCTCCCACGCCTCTCGCACACGGACTGCCCGTTCCTGTGTCTCCAGCTGGATTCCGGTACTGGTGACGATGAGATGGTATGTCACGGCCAGGTCACCGGTCTGCACCGAGGTGCTGATATTGAACATGGTGGCCATCGTCGGCAACAGGGCGTCCCACGCCTCCACACTCTCCAGGTGGATGTGGCGTAGTGTCTGCACCAGATTCCACGCTGTCGCCTCATCTCTTGACAGCGACTGAATGCGTTTCGTGACGCCGTATACATCGTGCACATCGGAAGCATATTGTTTTGTGTCTGTAGCAACCGGCAAACCTCCCTGCAACTCGATCTTGCGGCGTTTAAGGTACTCCTTGTCGAGGGTCGGGCTCGCCGTCAGGCTCATCGTGTGTCTGGTGTGTGGATATCGCACAAACAGGGTCTTCTCCAACAGCTGATCGGCGTCCAGGCCAACCCGAGCGCAGAGAGCTGCGAACTTGTCCTTCTTGAAGCTCCTTGGGTTGGTCAGGTACAACGTGGCAGGCCGATTCCCGCCGGTGCCCCTGTGCAGGGCGGAGGCCAAGCCACACAGTGTCTCGGGATCCGGGTGGTTGTGTTCGGTGTGATTGGCGCTGACGACGTAGGCATCGGCAATGAAGCTGTCGAAGAAGTCGTGGATCTTACGGATACGCTGGACCGACCTGAACAGGTTGAACGGCAGGCCTGTTGGGGCGTCGCCCTTCTTACCCCCCCACCACCTCTGCCACCAGGTCAAGTAGTCACCGTTCTTGACGGCATCGAGTTGCGTCACGGCTGCGGTACACGCGTTGGCGGGATTGCCTGCAAGGACGATGCCGGTGGAGATGGCGCTGTCCTTCAGCTTCTTGGTCACCGCCTTGTCTGACAGCGGATCTGTCAGATCGCTGGGCTCTTTGTCTCGATGCTCTTTCTTCGATTTCTCGCGCCAGAAGAAGGCCCTCTGAGAAGCGTTGCGATCCGCTCCCCATTCCGCGACTTTGGCGACGACGGCCTCCCACTCCTTGGCTGGATCACCATACTCTATCCCATTGCTCCCAGTCAACTTATTCGAGTACTTGAGCTTGGCATACTCCCACACAGAGACCAGGTACTGCTTGTGACGCTGCGCTAGCAAGGTCTCTATCGTAACGAGAGGGTCCGGATCGCCTTTGTCTTTCATCTTGTCATGCAGAAAGGCGCGCAGTACCTGGAGCCCCTTCATGGCGTTTACCGATACCACTAGCTGCACACCATCGACCCCGAGCAGTTGCCGGTTTTTACTTTTGTTGTTGCTCGCGATCAGCGTCATGAATAGCGCGGTCTCTTGAGCCACTTTTATTGGCACACCGTGAGCTCTTTTCTTCGGCTGCAGCTGAGCATCATCCCTGCTGCCATGGTGCTGAATCTTGTAGATGCTGAAATGACGCCGAGGGTTATGGTTGGCAAACTGACGTGCGATGATGTTGCCGTTGTTGTCACCTGTGAGGTAAATCCCGCCATTGGGGCTCGATACGTGGATCAGCAAGCTGGAAAAGTTGATGTCGTTTCTATTACCCCGATTCATGATCAGTCGTGGGTTTAGCGCATTCACGAATCTGCCGATGAACTGGGTGGCCTTCTTCAAAGTGCCAAACGCCTTGCGCGCCTCGCCCTTGCTCATGGCTTCGCCTTTCTGCAAAGCGATGACCCTGGGACTAGAAGGATACTCGATCGTGCCACCCTCAAACGCGCCCTGATCCCAACCATCCATCTTCCGCAGATATGGGCGCTGGGCACCAACCTCTTCGTGAAGGGTTGTGAGGTGTTTGTTCTTTTTGCGAGCTTGCTCAAAGGCTGGCATGATGAAGCCGGTCTTCAAGTCGACAAAGCCGTTCGGAAGTTGCAACAGCTTGAACATGCCTTCGTTGTGGTCTGCGTGGAGATGCGAGTTCACCATGGCATACAGCTCGATGGGCGCATCGACACTGTGTCCCAGTTGCGTATACCAGATCTCCCGCCCTGCCGAGAGGAAGAAGCGAGCGTACGGGCGCGGAGCGCCACCACCTCCATGTAGACCGCCATCACCCCGAGGACCTCCATCCATGACATACAGCTTGCTCTGGTCGGCATTGTCGGGGGACTGAAACTCGACGTACATCGAATCGCCGCGACCGGCGTACACGACGTGCAGGATGGGCAGCGGTCGCTCCATCTCTGGCTGCATCGATCCCGTCTGCGAATTGGGGGGCATTCTGCTTGCTTTGTTTTCTCGAGGTTTCTGCTCTGCAGCCGTGGACGGTTAGTTACTTGCAAGGAGAGAAGGAGGAGGGGAAATATTCCACGAGAGGGGAAAGGGGAGGAGTAAAAGCGCTTTCATCAGGGGCTACACGGCTACCTCGTCACAATCACACCCCTGTATCCAGTCATCCCCGGAGGCGACCACACTCTGTACCTGCAGCTGCCATCTGCGAACCGTCACAGGCGAGGCACAAATAGCTCACCCCGCTAGGGACGGGCCTTGCGAATCGAGGATAATAGACTCAGACGCCATGCTGCTTTGGTTCGGGGCGCTGTTGGTGGTAGTCGCTTGGCTGGCTGAGGAAGACGCAGAGGGCAAATGGAGCCGACGAGGAGGACAAGCTATAGGCTGTCGGTTAACATGTCGTTGCCACAGCAGAACAGCATTCAAATACGGTCTTTACCTGAGCTGGGGGTGTTTCTTGTTTCTTCTTTCCTTGTCCAAGGGTGAGTTGGAGGTGAGAAAAGGAGGAGGAGGAGGAGGAGGAGGAGGAGGAGGAACTGAGGGAAGGAGCGGCTGCCTCGGTACCTTCCTTGTTTAGGAAGCGCGTCTTCCACGTTAGATAAGCGATAAGACTGGTTACTGCATGTATAGAGTATATAGGTCCAGGTTACCTAGGTAAGATGAGAAGATTATAAACATGAGCATATTTTATATCTAGGCTCAATTTATTATACTGATAGAATATGCTATAATATCCTAGTAATACTAGGCCAGGCACTTCTAACTAGGTATTTGTGTATACTAATTAGCTACTCTGCACCCCATATTATCCTTATCTTAGAATTAAGAGCAGATAGCTAAACTAAATAGGCCTAGTGGATCTTCTGTACTTTTATTGTAGGTAAGGTGGATGTTTTGCATAAGAGCTTAACCAGTATATGTGGGATATGTCCTATAGGCCCCTGGCTGCTGAATGTACTTGGATTTGTTGATAGTAGAGAGATTCCTATGCTATATGAGTATGAATGAGTATGAGTCTAGAACCATCAGTCTAACTACCATTCTAGCGCTATGTCTCATGATATTATATATTAGGCTTAATAAATTATACCTTAAGGAAACATCTTAATAAGAATACTATCACTATATTTATCATTTAAACACCTCAGAGGGTTTTGAATATTAAAGGAGATTTCATCATTAAAAAAATAACTAGCTGATTTCTGTAAAGATAAGTGACACACTGTTTAAACTGAGATACTGTTAGATTATAAGGAATGTTAGTAATAATAAGTAATAATAATGTTATATTTTAACTTGACAGAAGCTGATACTCTATCTATTCTATAGAAGAGCCTATCAGCACAGTATAAATTAAATTAGCATCAAGTTACTACTTAGGTATCTTTAAACAAGCTTTTAGTACCCATAATTATGTACCCACATAACACATTAACCTTGGATTATATTGATCTAATCATAGTAATACCACTATCCTTTGCTTTATAACCTTATTATTTTCATTACAATCCCTATATAGGATGCCGATGAAGTATCATTATGTCTACAGTGGAATCAAAATATCTGGTATATACTCTCCATCTACTACGCCCTACTTATAAAACTCATATTGCATATTGGATGAGGAGAGATAGCTATATAAAATACTAAACTGGCAGCTCTGCCAGCTGGTCCTCAGCAGAGAGCTCAAAAACAGTCGTCCCTGCCAGCTCATTCACAGGCTTTTCAGCTGCCATCTCGTTCAAGACAATTCCCGGAAGCTCATTCGGCCTCCCTCCCACATATACAGAACCCCCCTCTAGAATCGCCTTGCGAATGCGTTCCAACTCCAGCTTGGCCGCATCCATCACGGCAGCAGCCTGGTTCCCCTGGGCCGTCCGCAGGGCCAGTCTCTCCCTGCACGCGTTCAGCTGCGCGACGAGGTCTGCCTCGGCCGTCATAACGGCAAGGATAGCCTGGTCGATGCCCGTTTTGAACGCAACTGCATCACTGACGCTGGGGATAAGCCACATGGCGACCGTCTGTCGTGGGATCGTGATCTTGGGCAGCGCGTGCACCGCGCCGTCCAGTCGCATCGCCATCCCAACCAGCGAGACGAGATGAGCGAGCCTGATCTCGGCGCGCTCAAGACACGAGTCGGCGCCCATGGTGGCCGAGCGTCGCTCACGCCCGAGAACGGCGACCTGCGCGCAGAGCAGCGCCTCGTTGAGCAGCACGCCGAGCCCCTGGATGGCCTCGTGTGCCGTCTTGAGCTTCTGCGACGCTCTCAGTGCTCCCTGGTACCGTGCTCGTGTCTCCTGGAAGTGCTTCTGCGCGGTGTGTAACGCCTCCTCGGCCGCGTCCTCAACGGGATACTCGGGCGTCGGTCCGTCAAAGAGGGAGCCGTACAGGGCGTCCAGCTCTGTCTGGAGGGCCGTGTATTCTGCTTCCACGCCTTTCACCCTCGCCAGAGCGTCTGTCTCATGCAGAACGCGTGTCTCGAGTGTCTCCTGCTGTGCCCGTAAAGTGTTTGCCTCGTCAACTGCTGTCTGGTACTCGCTTTCTCCCTTGGCGGCTCTGGCCTTAAATGTCTCCTTCTCGCCCACAGCACGGTATGCGAACCGCCGGAACCGGCTGCCCTGCATGCGCTGTGTATTTTGCTGCCGGGCAACGGTCTCAGCGCGTTGTAACTTTTGTTTTGTCGTCTCGAGTTGTGTGTTCAGGCTTGCGACCAGCTCTGTCTGCGCAGACAACGCGGCAGGCGCGTATGCGGCTGCTGTGAGTCTTGAGAGAAGGTCGCTGTGCCGAGCACGGGCGGCGGGCAACTGGTCAGAGAAGCTCATTTGGGGGGTATATCGAATAGAGATAATCTGTATAAGACGACTGTCAATAGATGGTCCGTTGATTCAGTACTGGAATTACCTGTATATGGAGCAGATGTATTCCTATCAATAATATGCTTTATGATATTCAATAGAAATATCCAGTTTGATAAAGATATCTCTTCTGTGTGAGGCCCATTAGGCTCAATAAGCAGCTGAAGAAGCCAACGTCGGAGATGAGGCGTATCACTTGGTCAGTCACCTACCAGCTGACAGTTACAAACTCTGAATTTAGGCTGTTAGTCATTCATTAATATATACTAGATGAGTATGTTTCAGCTGGAGGGTAGGGATTGGTCTGTGGAGAGCCAATGATATGATGGACAATTTAGTTGGAAACAGATATCATATAATAGGACTATAGAGTAGGCAATGCCTAATATTAGAGAATGATTTGAATATATTTTCTTTTATATTATATAGATATAGGAAGCAGCAGCTGTTAGTCTATTAAGTGAATACTCAATACTTTCACAAAAAAATCTTAATATATCTTACTTGATATCTATTCTCATATTTAATAGTAAAAGATGTTATTCCATCACTTATGCTATACATCTTAGATAACCCGGAGACGATAACCTCTATATGGTCTCACTTTCCCAGGAAGCATCAGTTGAAGAGGGAATGCTGGGAGCAACTGCGGGTTGGAAGAAGACCTCCTGGAGTTGAAAGTAAAGCCCAGATATGTATCTGGCCTGTCTTGTCCATTGAATTGGGCTGGTCACTAATGATAAGTGATATGGAGTCTTTCCGCAGGTCGCCAAAGAATAAAAGAGCAATACACACCACCTGGATACATCATAATGTTCACCTTCAGGAAAGGAGAGGAACATGGGCCATGGAATCACAGAATATATATCTCCAGTTTGTGATCCCAGGCGCAGGAAGTAAACTCCAAAGGGCTATACAGACTATCCCTATATTCAGAATAGAGGGATATTACTTATATTAGTACAAGAGAGTCCTGTCCTAGAGAAGGGAAGGATTAATGAAATGAGATCATCTGAGTAAATATAATGCATGACGCAGCCTTCATTTCTATGGGAAAATAACTAAATAGAGAATAAATTCAGTGTTGAAAGTTCTACTTAGATATTTACTTTTATATATACCTGCAGAATCAGCATGGGAGACTAGATTATTATAATGTATTATATAGATTTTTTTACTGGAAGCTAGGCAGTTAACTTAACTATACTGAATATAAATGATATCACTGAATGCATTATAGTAATCCTAACTACTAAATATAAAGGGTATGAAGTAAATCATCTATAAGTATAATCACAATCCTATCTCGTAATCTGATCATGGCAACTCCTGCGCCGGTTGAGTATGAGGCAACTCGGCTGGAGGTACCTCTCCCTGCGGCAATCCATACTTCTCCCCCGTCTTGGATCCATGATATGCAGCCGTATACGGCGGAGCATGTTCCATCTGTGTCTGTCCATGTCCATGTTCCTCTCCCTCTGTGTTTCCTGCTGCAGCTACGGCTTTCTTGTTCCGCCGACGAAGATACCACCATGCTCCGAGGGCAACCAGGGCGACACCACACACGCAGCCGATAACCGGACCAGCAATCCATGCTTTAGATGATGAAGAAGAAGAAGATGAGGATGAAGAAGAAGACGATGTGCTGGCTGTGGCTGTGGCTGTGGCGGTTTCGGCGACAGAGAGTCTACTGGCACCAGCAGTGATGGTTACAATGTCGTAGGCGAAATCATTGGCGCTGAGGGAGAAGATAGTCGCAGTGGTATAGGGGACGGTTGTGGCCGGCGAAACGGGCGAGGTGGCCGTGTAGGTGCCTGCGTGGGAGAAGCGCCATTCGGACAACAGACAGATGGCGCTGAGGGCAGACGAGGTGATCTCGCAGGTTTGGTAGATGGAATAATACTCCGTCCAGCCATCGTCCACGACGCTGCTCGGGTAATGGAAGGCGATGGTCGACGGACCCTGCGTGATGGTCACCGTGCCACTGAAGGGCGGGTAGGCGCCGTTGTTGGCGACGGCGATGGTGGTCAACTCGCTGGCGGTGTCGACATCGACGACACTGCCAACCAGGCCTGTTGGATCGATCACGATCTGCTCGATGACATCGAGCACCTGGATCACCGTCGTGCTGGCGGTTGTGCTGGCGGTCGTGGTCGTGGACATGGTGGGTGCGTCGACAGACAGGCAGAGAGGGAGAAGGAGGAGGTTAAATTAAGGGAGTCATGGTCATTTCTAGGCGAAATCACTAGTAAAGCTAGAATTTCTTGGTAGTTATACTGTAGTACTACTTGGGATTGACCCAAGTACTAACCACGATGTAGTAAAAGTACTTGTGTATAATACTACTGACTATAGATGCCATGCAGTCTAGACTGAAAAGTGATTTTATGTCTTTCTTACTTCCCCCAGCAAAAACATTCAACTATTTATTCATATACCCTTCTTTATCCCCTTTGAATAAGTGTGGAGAAGATCATCGCAAAGCATCCAATCTGTATGGGAGAATCCTGCTACTTCTCAGTTACTGGATTAGGCCTAAGGGTTGGGGGCCATCTGGTCAGCAGTATTACCTAATCAACTAGGAGTAAATAAAGAGTGTTGATGACAACATCCAATGATTTATTTAAAAGCCTCCCTTCACTCGAGAGGATCAAGGCATTAAGGCATTAAGGCAGAGAGTGGAGTCACATGATCCAATGACAGAACATGTGATCCTTTCCTAAACTGGAATATAGGGCTAAGGATTTATAGCTAAATTGGTTGATATTCTAGCTAGTGCACCACTATCTAGTAACCAGTATTAAAGAAACTGTCACAAGTACAAAGTAAGGTTCATTAGAGCTTGATTATCAAGGAGAAAATCTGTTTCATTGCCTTCAGGCAGCCGGTCGAACAAGACCTGGAAGGGAAGACAGAGAGGGACATTGCCAACAACCGTGTTCGGAGTAATGGTGACTTGCTGGGCGATATATGGATACTGCAGTGATGCAAGCTGCCATTTCTCAAGCAAGATCGTGCGACTAGTCCGCCTAACACTCATGACAATAACGATGCGCACTTGGCCGTTGGAATTCTCAAACCACCATCTTGCGTCCTCATGTAATTTAGACAGTGATTCAGAAACGCCCGATTCAAGGACCATTGTCGGCCACCCCGGAGGTTGGCCTCCACGACCTTGTCGAGTGCTGGGAAGCAGACAGTTGTCAGGCTGTTTGCCTTTGTTGTCCACAGTTGTTCTGAACGTTGTGTTTCCAGCCCATCCGATATCATTAAGGGGGACACCAAGAGCAGCGCCTGTATAAGTAATGGTGTCGACGAACTTGTGGGTTGCTGCGGCATGAGCATAGGATGGAATGATCTTGATCAATCCTGTGCTACCGTCAAACATAAATCGAAAGGGGATCCCATCAAGGCTGTTTCTATTCTCATCCAGCTGGGTCTGAACTGCATTTGGGATTCCAAGGATCACAATGAATTGATTTCCACTATCATCGTTTCTGTTGAGGTTGTCGAGGACATTCTGTGTGATGGCGCAGAGCGCCTTCATGCTGGAAAAGGAGTGAAGGACATATTCTGCAGGTAGTCCTGAGGTAATAGATAAGGACATCTATTTAATAGTATAGTTAGTCACTTCCCTTCTATAGAATAGATGTGAGAGAAATCAATTGGTAGTGACTTGCCAAGAAATGCTTGACTTTCCTGCTCTATCAATCATAGTGACTTCATTCCATCACACTCAGCTTAAACTACTACACCCCCTTTCCCAAATCTTTACTGCACTACTCTAAATTATAGCATATATGTTTTTCCAACACATAAAGCTATGCTATAGAGTCATAGTTAAAATAATGAGAGCATACAATAAGTATTTTACTTGAAGGAGATCTTTTAAAGAGGTAGTACCTATGTACCAACTACTCAAGGACAAGATCCTGATATCATCGAAATGAATCTAACTAATGAAGTAGAACTGATACAGGACCGTATACACCTATTTAGGTATTCTCTCTAGAACAGAAACTAGCTGTCAGCTAGAATAGCAACAAAGGACATATTTAATAGAGAAATCTTTTTAAACATCAGGCTAACGTTTATAGAGCAAAGGCAAGACCAAGGATACCAGCAGCACCCACCATGCCCATGGCCAGGCCTGCAGTCGAGACAGGAGCGCCACCAGTAGAAGAAGAGGAGCTTCCCGTGGCGTTTGATGTAGTAGCCTTTGACGAAGTGGCAGTCGAGCCAGATGCAGTGGTCGTGCTCGTAATCGACGAAGCAGTGGCTGCAGGGCCGATAGTGTAGGGGGGAATAGTGATGATAGTGACCTCGGAGGAGTATAGAGCCTCCTCGCTGCTCAAGACATCTTGACATCGCTGGGCAGATTGGAGTACCAGGCTGGCATGATACCCGACGCCTCCGCGTCCATCACGCTCTCAAAGAAGGAAGAGAGTGAAAAGCAGGAAATACATGATTTTATATACCAAGAATTAAACATATATTTCAGAGGCAAATCACTTTATGTATTAATTTCTAGCCTAAGAAAAGAAATCAAGTCGATAATTAACTAGATAGAATTTATACTAGCACTCACTGTTTACCTAGGAAATCTAAGGCATGCCTAGTTGAAAGAGGATACTAAGTTAATATATATATTTATCTATATAAATGATATAGGGGTTATCCTTATATAAAGCTAAAAGTGGGCCATGGCCTAATTATGGACAAATAATAGGAATATTAGAAATTGATATCCTAAATCTGGAGTCTATGGCTAGAGGATTTTCTCAATAATGCCCCCTAGTCTAGTCACGCGAAGGTCAGATAATAGTGAGGAGAAAGACTTCTTCTACGCGCATATTTCCTTACAACCTTTCATCTTCAACAGAATCAACAGAATGTCGTCCGACGAGTCCTGCTCCGACTCATATACCGTTGTTTATGACCAGGAGCCCTTCCAGCTATTTCAAGTCGTGCTCGTTCCTGGGGCGAAATCTCAGAGTACTGTCTACTGACAGATGATATGTCCCTGTTGCCTTCAAAGATATCAGATGAGTGAAGGTCCTTGCTGTGCCTATTGATTCCCTTGCTAAATCAGCAAGTGAGTGTTCTCCAGTAAAGAGTGACATACAGTCGCCTTGAACATGCTGAAAACCTGCACATTCTCATCAGGTTCGTTGCGTCATTATATAAAGACCTAAATACTATCAGCCATGCTCAGCTGATTATATAAAGAGATATACCGAAAGTTCGAGCGGACTCATCGTCAAGTTCGGGTTCATAGTTGTGGTAGTACGAGACGGAGACCTCGACACAACGCTGATCTTGTCGTCTCGATCTATCTTCCATGCCAGCGACTACACATCATATCCATTCCGTGGTAAGAAGAGCTTCTTTGGTCTTTGGAGGATGATTTCATCATCTGGAACACATCACAGCATCTGGTGATAGATGGTTCATAACTAGATGAACGATATAAGAAACCAAGGGCCAATCAGGGAGTATTTATATCCACATCACTCCCCAATGGTTGTATACTTGAATTCTGGTTAATAGTGGTAATTGACTACAGAGAATACATGAATAGCTTTGGTTTAATACAGATACAGTTAATGCCTATTAAATATTCTCGACTATCTTTCTCCACTTGCTTGTTGATGTGACCTGACCAGTTAGTAAGAGCTCTCATAGTGAATAGAGTAGACGTACATCAGCCCACTGCACCGAGGAGCCCGTCACAAAGTCCTGGTCAGTATAGGGTACAATGGTTGACTTGTGCCAGAGTTTATAGCCGAAGAGGAGGACGGCAAAGAAGGGGATGGGGAAGTAAGTGGTGATGAATGAGGAGACATCAAAGGTGTGGACTGAAGGTTAGTATTGAGGATTTATCACCAGATAAGTGGGATAACATACTGAATGCACCGAAGCCGCCGAAGATCATCACAAGGATACACACAACCATTCCATCTAGATGGTTAGCAGGTATACACAAGTATTTAACAGAGGTCATTAAGAAACATACAGTACGACAGGTATGGTTGAAGAGGCGCCCGATAAGGCAGTGTAGCCCGGTCGATACCATGGACCTTCAATCCCTTGTGCCAGCGGATACTCGTCCAGAGAATGCCTGTCCAGGAGATCATCCCGCAGATGGAGGTCATATTGGAGACTGTACAGATTAGACAGCGGCAAAAGTTATTGGGGAAAAGAAAGGGAATTTACAGTAACCAAACACTGTTCCGGCCTGGCCTGAGCTCGCCGCCATGAAGGAGAGGAGGGAAAAGGCAGCGCAGAACACGACACACACCCAGGGTAAGCCGTCAGAGCGTGTTTTGAGGAAGATGGCTGGTGCCGCACCCCGAGATGCGAGGCCGTACAGCGTGCGCGAGGAGACAAACAGATCGGCACAACCGGCAGACCAGGCGGAGGTCAAAAGGGCGGCATTGATGATGGAGGGGAGAACAGAGATTCCAGCGTTCTATAAACATGAGTTCATTCAGATGAGCCACAGGTGAGTCTAGAAGTGCGAGTAATACCTCGATAGCAATGACAAAAGGGCTTCGGGCTGCCGTGGAAGAAAGATCCAGCTGTGGATTGGAGGGAGACACGAGGATGCCGATCTGTTGGTTAGAAACACTTATTTCAGGTATACTACTTATGAGGACATACCAAAAAGGCACTGCAGATATAAACTAGAACTGTTAGAGAAGTATATCAGACAGTGTTGAGAGACTCACATAGCACCAGTCGAATCCAGACGCTTTTGATAGCACGAGGAACGTTTTTGGCAGGCTGTACATTAGCAGAGGAGCGTTGAATCAGTGTCAAGGAACGTACATTGGCTGTTTCAGCAGCTGCAATTGCTGTGATTTCCGTGCCAATAAAGGCAAACGCAGCGTTGATGAGAACTACAACATTAGTATCAGATGAACAATGCATAGATCAAGAACTGAAATACCAGCAAAAAACCCTAGAAAGCGTCCTTTGGCGCCAGCGATACCCTCATACTGCACAAAGCCTCCTGTTTCATTCCAGTATTTGAAGCCAATTGCCTGGTGGTCTGGGCCTCCCCCAGCCGAGATGATGATGCCGGTGATGATCAATCCAACAATGGTAAGCACTTTGATAGAGCAGAACCAGAATTCCATTTCACCAAAGACGCGCGTGCCGGCCATATTGACAGCCCACACCACCACCAGCATGAGTGCCACCCACAAGGCATTGTTACAGATGCCAGTGGTGCAGGTGGAATCTGCCTGTCCGGCGGGCGTCCAGTAGGTGATCAAGACGGCGGCAGCGGACAGTTCGGCGGGCAGGACAATAATGTAGTTATACCAGTACAGCCAGCCCATGGCGAAGCCCAGCTCAGGGGCCACGAACCGTCCTGCAAGGGCGAACTGGCCGCCGGGGAGAGGAAACTGGGAGACCATCTCTCCCAGGGCGGTCATGACGGCGAACAACAACGATGCCATCAGGCAGAAGGCGATGAGGAGGCCAGCAGGGCCTCCATCTGCGAGATCAGAGGCAGTTCCGAGGAATAAACCGGTTCCCTATGTTGATGAGTTTGATTGATATTATGGGATTTGGCATTGCTTACAATGACTCCTCCAATGGCAATCATTTGCCTGTCTATTAGTATAGACATGTATACAGACTCCATCTTTACTCACATATGACGGGGCTGTTGATCAATGTTAGTCTATCATTTTCTTCAACAACTGGTATAATGCAGTACCTTTAACTGCCGTTTAAGGCCGTTGACCTCTCCCTCCTCCATCATCGCCTCATCAACTGGGTCAACACTCATGTGTTTCTGATGGTCAGTAGAGTCCAGGGACAGAGAGGTAGGCTATTACCTCATCCATAGTACTCTTCATATCCATATTGGCATTAGCTGTACTTTTTTATTTTTCTTTGAAAGAGTGTATAGATGATTATTAAACACATGGCAGATATGGAGTAACTTACAACTAAATGACTATTGGTACTCTTATGAGTCTTATCATAACCATTGATAAGATATTGATGTCAGCGGCATCGAGCCGATGAGCCGATGAGCCGATGATAAGGGAAAAGTATAGATAACCAGGAGGAGATAGAAGGACTCAATGATAGTGGACCGTCAATCCTGCCTCAGCATTCCAAAGATGAAGACACTCCAACCGGGCGTGTATGCGCCTCTGCCCACATTTTTTGATGAGAAGCAGGAGATTGACTATGAGAGCTACAGGAAGCATTTGCTGAGTAAGTGTTTTTTTGTTAGGGTTAGGGTTAAGTTAGGGTTATACTTACTTGGATAGACCTCGCCACCAAGGGAATGGGTAGGTATTGTACTACATATTGTTTGTATCACACACTAACCTTCAGTCCCTGTATGCGCTGGTTCTCTTGGAGAGGCTGTCCATTTGGTAAGGCCCTAGAGATATTCTTTGACCGTCCAATGGTTAATGAATAGACACCCAGTGAAAGAACATCTCTCATCAAATTCATCCGGAATACCCTCAACAATGCCGGCCTCGAGACCACCCCGATTGTCGCGGGCGTGGGGGGTCTCAGCACGAGGGAGACCATCGAGCTGGCCAAGGCTGCTGCAGAAGCTGGAGCGTGAGTCCTTTGTGCTTCATTCAAGGGTTTCTCACCCATTGATCCTCCTTAGGGACGCTGGGATGGTGATTCTCCCTGCATATTATGCTGCCAGTCTCAATGCAGACCCAGAGCAGGTCATACAGTATTACATTGATATCTGTGAACAGTCTCCAGTGAGGAATATCCTCTTTCTCTTTTTTGGGGGGTGTTAATTAATATTCTATAGATACCTATATTGTTGTACAACTTCCCGTCCAACGCAGGCGGACAGGACATGTCATCAGCCGTGATTGAAGCCGTCATCCAACAAGCCCCGAACCTTGCCGGCGTGAAACTGACGTACTTCCCTCCCTCGATATTTCACTTGATGTGGTAATACTGATGGTAGATGACTGATAGCTGTGGGGGAAGTATGGCAAAGCTCGTGCGACTGACGGCAACCATCAGCGCCGACGCAAGCATCAATACATCACGTCCGTATCCCTTCCTCCTGCTCGATGGTCTGATCGCCGACCTGACGCCCTGGATGGGCACTGGCGGGCACGGGACGGTGAGCGGGATCCCGAACTTCGCGCCCAAGGCATCGATGCGACTGTGGGAACTGCTGAATAGAGGCACCCTGGGCGCTGAGGAAACCGAGGAGCGCATTCGGTTGCAGGCTGTTCTCTCGCGGGCAGACGTGGCGGCTGTTCCCGGGGGGGTCAGAGCCATGAGTAAGTTTTCTTCATGTTTTTCCACTACGATCTGATGATATACTGATGCTTACGATAGAATATGCACTTCATGAAATGCATGGATATAGTATCTATCCTCGACGGCCTTTGTTGCCCTTGCGTGCCGAGGAGGGAGAAGAATTTATGCAGGCTTTGGAAGAATTATTAGTAGTGGAGAAGACATTTGAATAGAAAGAATATCACTTATCTACTCTTCATAAACCATATCCCTTATTTATTCCATATCTAATGCTGCTATATCTACTCATTAAAGCCAACATGTGAATCATTAGACTGCAACACCATGAGCTTGTGGTCCGTCGTCAATAATAGTCGACCTGCGCACATCTCTAGCCGTCATTGTCTCTGTATACGGATTCGCCCGATGCATGGATTGTCTATGTAATCAGTATCGAGTGATCTATAAGATTGAGATGCTTACCTATTGTCCCACCAAACCATATCCCCCCCCTGCAGCCACTCCATACTAAACACATATTGGTCTTGGGTGCAGTGCATGATCAACTCCCAGATCAACTTCTGGCTGTCTTCCAACGACCAGCCGACAATCTGCTTGGCATGCGCCGCCAGATACAGCGTCTTGCGTCCGTCGGGGGCTGTTTGAACCAGACGGTGGAAGGCAGGTGGTTTGGCAGCCAGTTCATGGGGGAGAGGGTTTCCATAGACAACTGGCGACGCGAGTTTGCGCGAGTGCCATAAACTAGTATTAGTTAGTATTGTTATTCTTTCGGTTTGCTAGATAATGTACTCATGTTCCACCACCAGATCCTCAAGCTGTTGCTTTTTCTCCTCCGGTAGATCGTTGTATGCCCGGCGCGTGTCTGCAAAATGCGTCCAGGACCCCCCGCGCACCGGGCTTCCGTGAGAGAGGAGGATGGAATACTTGGACCGGTGCTGGTGGTAGGAGGAGTCGGTGTGCCAGAGCGCATTTCCTAGACTGTGGTGCCATCTTCGGCTGTCTTTCTGCACCAGCGAGCCATCGAGACAGATACTAGGGTGAGGTTAGATAGAATAGAATGGTAGAATAGAATGGTAGAATAGAATGGTAAAGCACTAGGGTAGGTATACGCACTTCCCGACGTCAAAGAGAAAGGGCTCGCCCAGTCTATCGTTCTGCCGGCCGTAGAAGAACGGATTGATCTCCTGCTCGCCCAACTGCTGTGAAAAGGCGATATGGCGCTGGTTATCGAGCCCCGTCTGGCGGAAGATGAGCACGGCGTATTGATCCTGTAGAGCGACCAGCTGTTTCACCAACTCGTCAGGAACCGGCTGCGTCCAGTCCACGCCGGCAATCTCGGCGCCAAATGCTGATTCATGGTCGACCAGCACGGGGGTGATGGTGAGGCTGCCCTGCTTCACACTCGCCCTTGTGCTGTGGGAGATGTTGGGGTATGTGCGAATATGGATATATGAGAGGGCCATAGTGTATGAATTATTAATATGATCTTGTTTTTACTGATATCTCACTATACTGCTTCTTACTCTACTTATATCTTATTATCTTATTATCTCCTCTCTACTCTATCTCGGGATCTTTCCGTCGGGCCGAGCCGATGATATAAGGATAAGTTTGTCCAAGTCTGTACCACAACCCAACAACTCAATAAGAACAATGGAATACATTCGCATCACTGCTGGCCCCTATGAATTCCGCGCTGTCTTTGAGAATGCCGCCCCCAAAACGGTCGCTGTCTTTCGCTCCCTCCTCCCCTACCGCCAGAAGCTGATTCACGTCCGCTGGAGTGGCGAGGGGCTCTGGATCCCACTCGGGGAGACCGACTTTGGCCTCGGCTGGGAGAACCACACGGCGCATCCGTCGGCAGGGCAGATTCTGCTGTACCCGGGCGGCATCTCCGAGACCGAGATCCTCTTCTGTTACGGGGGGGTGTCTTTTGCCAGTAAAATGGGCTCTCTGGCTGCCAACCACTTCCTGACTATTGTCGAGGGCACTGAGAATCTGCGAGCCTTGGGCGAGCTGGTTTTATGGAAGGGGGCTCAAGATGTTGTTTTTGAGGTACGTTAGGGTTAGGGTTACTGTTACTGTTCTTGTTATTGTTATGTTCTGATGGTCAGATTGAATACAAGAAAGAAAGCAAGCTATAGCTGGCTACTCCCACTCCACCATCGGCCACTCGAATCCTCCCTCGTTGACCAGATCCAGAACAGCCTGTAGCGCCAGTTCGTCGACTTCACTCTCGTCCGGCGCCAGCACCAACGCCGTGGCATCACGGACAATGGCGCAAAAGCCCCGGGCGGGATGCAGCCGGGTCGCCTCGCAGACGGCATCGAAGATGTCTCTGGCCAGACGGAGCAGACGGGCGATGAGAGAGGTCTCGGGGGGGATGATCAATGATGGCGAACTGATCTGCAGGTTATCTAGAATAAATTAGTATATCACCACTGGAATACTATTATATTCAACACCATACCATCAATCACCCCCCTTGTGTAGCACAGTACAAGAAAGGTCACAGCAAAGGTATGGGAGATCCATGTAGAGTCCACTGCATAGCAGAGCTGTTGCACCGCGGCCCGATCGACCTGGAACGCATGGCTAGGGAAACTGGCTGGATCTTGGGAGGCAAGACGCCAGACATGAGCGCCATCAGTGGACAAGGACACCAGCATCTGAGCAGCAGCCGTCAGGCTTGTTTCGAGACACCGCAAGAGGGGGGGAGGGGGGGGCTGCATGGTGGATAGTAATGGGGCAATGGCGGCGCTATTCATTGCCAGACGGTACCACTAGAAGCATAGTGAAATGTGTTAATGTATAATAATTAAGAGGTATCAATGGTAGGATAATTTAACCTGGGTATACTCACTCTCACAGAGGTCATAGGGAGCTGGTTATGTTGGGACTCGCAATGACCCAGGCGAACAGACCATACCCTATTCAAAAGAGAATTAATCAAGATAAGCTTAACAGGGTAGAGTGATCAATACCCCTCCCATTCATCCAACAATACATTCAAGGCATGTAATCCCTCTGCATTCATCTTCCTGCCCGAGGCGTCTCCCCCGCGCCTCATCGCCCGATGCACAAGAGCCACCAGTTCGACCAGGCCCGCCACACGCAGATCCGCCGGCTGCTGTGCTGCTCGATGGCCGCCAAACCGACGAGCCACCTGGGCAGAGGCTTCTGGGTCGAGACTCGCCGGCAGACCCGAGGTGAGCATGAGGTTGAAGTCGCAGGTGAGGAGATTATACCAGACGCGGATGCGAGCCAGATGGTCACCGGTGATGGCAGCCGGGTTGGAAGAAGAACATGCCTGGAAGGGACTCAGGGCAGACGCTTCAAGCCCCAGGAACTGTGCATATCGCACCGCCAGCCCGAGCACTGCCCACGCGCTGATCTCGTTGTACCGGTTGCCCTCCGCCGTGTAGGGCATCCACTGGGCGTACAGCAGCAACACACGGATCGAGTCGAGCGTCACGTCGGTCAGACTCGGGCGAAGCAGAAGTCGTGAGACGGCCTGATCCAGGAGAGACGTGAGAGAGTTGTTGCCCTGGAATAGAGTGAGAGGGTGTCTTGATATTTAGGGTTAGGGTTAGGGTTAGGGATTACTTCAAAACGCATGCCAACCGTGCAGATGCCGAGGAAAAGAACAGGCGTCTGCCGCAGCTCAGCGCATGATTGCACACTGATAAACGGCGCCCATGCATGGCAATATGTGAAGAATCTATGGACTCCCTTTTCCGCTTCGTCAAGCTGTAGAATTCCCCGACTGACAGGATCAAACCCAGTGGCGGAGTCATCTTTGGTCACGGCGCCGAGGGAGCGTAGAGTAGCCATTGGCGGGCCCAGATCGATGCCATCCATACTGAATGGAGAGTGTAGATTGGGCGAATCCTTTGATTCCGAGGGTTTTGCTTCTGATCCTCCTTGTTCGGCGTGTTTTCTCTGCCTTTCCAGCTCGGCAATCCGTTCTTCATGTTGATGAAGCCTCATCATATCAGTACTAGTATCCAGCCACTACCAAGAAGTCAGGATGAGAATCACCTGCGCTCCAAGTCAACCACCATCTGCGCGATCCGTGACGGTCCTATATCCGGATACACTCGTTCCGTCTCAAAGGAACAGGTGATGCCGTGTCCCCGGCAGCGACGACACGGTGCCTGCACGGCGACGTCGGGCGAACAGCGTTGCTTGCGGGCGCGACATTGTAGACACGCCCGCGATACACGGCGGGACCTGGATCTGACCGGTTAGATGGTTTCTTTATATGAATCTGTGCTTATTGTACTTACTGCTCTTCCATGTTGCAGTTGAGAATGTTCATGGGAAGACGGCGGCTTGTTGGCTGGAGATAAGCTGGATTATGTAAGGAGATAACAGTAGGCTGTTGTCTATTACTCAAAAGATAGGAATAAAAGGCCTTTCATGTATTTCTTGAACTACTTTATACTGATGTTTTATCAAGTATTATATGTCTCTAATACTTGGAATATAGTTCAAGTGATTATATTCATGACCTACACTATTGTTCATACAACCACATTGCCACCTGTCGGGAATCTTTCCGCGACACTCCCTGGCTGAGCTGGCTGGGCCCTCGTTTAAGATACTGTCCGTCTCGAACTTGCCCCTGCAGCTGGCCGTTTGCCCACATCACCTTGCCACGGAGGATAGTGTAGCGAGGCCAGTTGACGAACTCGACGCCTTCGTATGGGGTGTCTGTCTCTTAGCCCCTGCGGTATTCATTCTAGTGGAATCACTTACAGTCCACGTTGTGATGGAGCATTGAGTTGGTCAATCGGAAGGGAGTAAATGTTTTGTCAGGGTGCCACTGTCACCTTACTTAATATGATCATTTCAGAGGGTTCAGGGCACGCTGAACTTACAATAACGAGATCGGCATCAGAGCCGGGCATCAACGCTCCCTTTCGGGGATACAGACCATACTATATAGATGTCAGAAGGGTAATGTCATCTACAACAGAAAGCTCGCTCACCAATTTGGCAGGGTTTGTCGCCGTCAATTCCACAAACCGTGACGGGGTGATCCTCCCTCTCGCCAGGGCGTTGTAGAGCAGCGGCAGCCTCGTTTCCACGCCAGGAATGCCGTTTGGAATCAGTCTGAAGGCGCCCTGTTTGCGCTTCAGCAGAGCTCCCAGATCTTCTGGCTCTTCTGGCTCTCCTGCCATGCTCTTTGCGTCTTCAAGGACCCCCGATGGCTTTCCATGGGGGTGGTCGTACCGGAAGGGGCAGTGGTCGGAGGAGTAGATGGTAAATGTCCCATTATGCAGGCCACTAAAACAGATATGAGTTGTGCTTATCAGAAACGGGTGAAGGTGAAGCTGTACATAAATAGATCTTCCTGGTCGGTTGTATCCGGCGGCGGTGGAGGCGAACAGATCATTTTGCTGTTCTCAAAGCAGGTTGGGGAGTGGAATCGTTTCTGAACCTCAAGTCAGCTTGTAATATAGCCTGTTCATTGTTCGTATCATTATACCAGATCATCCCATGTGAGATTGAAATACTGCGGACACGTCTCGGCATACACAGGCAACCCTTGAGTCTGCGCACGACGAACATTTGCAGCCCCAAGCTGATCTGTTAGTGGAAAAGACACAAAAATACATTCGAATACATACTGCTGATCCGACGTGAACAAAGAGAATCGGATTCTGGATCAATTGGGCCAGAGCAATGGCCCGGTTGGTTGCTTCGCCTTCCACGAGAGGTGGCCGGGAGAGAGCATGATAATAGGGTGCTATGCTATTAGTATTGAGGTGGTTATAGGGCTAGATATCTTACCAACCATCCCTTTACTCTCCAGTTTATCTGTATTCATTAGCATCATTAGGGTTAGGGTTAGGGTTAGGGTTAGGAAGACTGTACCAGTCAGCCATTCGATCATATCGCCATTCTCTGCATGGATCATCTATCCATTCATCAGCTTAGAATCCTTCCTTTCCCTTGATTCATACTCACAGTCGTCATGGAATTTTTACGTGCTGCAAACATCACATCCAGCAGCTGCGCATCCGTCAGCCGCTGCGTCTCATACGTAAGAAACAGTTTGCAGCTGCTGATCCCCCAGTCGTGCATCAGCACAGGCAGTTCTCTGTCGAGGATCTCGGCGTCGTTGCGCACAATGATGACATGGAACCCATAGTCAATGTAACTGCCTGTCTCCTCGGCGCGTGCCCGGTATGCCTTCACCACGTCCAGCAGGCTGCGATCTTGCTCGGCGCGCGTCTGCGTCGCAAAGGTGAGGATGGTCGTGGTCCCACCAGCCACGGCGCTGCGCGAACCCGTCTCGAAGTTATCCGCACATTCGCCGCCGAGACCATGGGGGCCTATACCAGTGAGTATGAGATTAGCTTCTTCATGCCTAGGTCATCAGGCTGGGGTATTTACCCGTCTTCAGGTCCTGGCATAAATGGACGTGTCCGTCAACTCCCCCAGGCATGACATATGCGCCTCTGAACAGTCAGTATACGTAGGAATTCGAAAGATATATGTTTACGACTCACTCGGCGTCAATAACCTCAGCATCTCCGATTTCCTCGCTGGTGAATGAGTCCACTAGAGTCTTGATCTTGCCGTTCTGAATCCCGATACAGCAGTGACTGGAGGTTAGCAGAGTCTTGTTGCTATTAGTTCTTGTCTTTACCTGACATCGCTGGCAGTCACTACCGTCGCGTTCACAACCACCAGGTCGAATGCCATTATCTTTGGAATTCTTTGTAAAACTTGAGAGGATTCATCAATCACTAGGTATTCTTTATTCGGTGGATCTTATCGTCGGCAGAACGGCTCATAGCCGACGTCGGAAGATGCCGATATCCAGATAAGCCTTTATCTATATATGACTACTAGAGAAGGCAGAAAGCATATATAGAATAGAATCAATTCAAAGTTGACAAAAGGCAGACTCATGACAAGTGAAATTCAGTTTCCTAGATTCAATAATACAGTGGTTGTCATAAATAAAAGATAATCTAATAGATTAGCTATTAAGCACCCCCAATCTTATCTCACTACCTGTTATGTTCCCTAAGCTACTTTCACCTCATTCCTGTGATGTCTTTGAGAAAAATTCATCTGAACCTCTATATTCATTCATCGCTCATAAGGCCAGTCTCTGTCATCTGCTGTGCAGCTTTGCGATATATAGATGCGGTTTCTTCTGACACTTCTCCAGCCCTTTCCCCTCCAAATGCACGGAATTCTGCTTCCCAAAAATCCCATCTCTCGTGAGACATGCCTTCTTTCCCTTTATAAAGAGGACCTTCCGCCATTTGGTTCAATTCCTTGGTCGAGAACTCGGAGTCTAATTTCTGGAAAATTGCCTGTCTGGAATGTTCGATCCACTGCGCAGCTGCACAGATTCGATACTCCCACGTATCCTTTTTCCGATACGGCTCTTCTTCAGAGGCAAGACGAAAGATTCTAACAGCATACATGAACCATCTAGTTAGACCCGACTGGAGGAGCCGTGCCGAGAATGCATGCCAATTTATCCCTTGCTTGAATGCTTCATAGGAATCATCATAATCGGAGGGCTCTATCGTGGATTTTAGTGATCCTGATTCCTACATCAGATGAACAAAGACTCTGTACTAACCGTCCCAAGCTTCAGTCCAGGCTGCCCCCATCAAGGGCAAGTCTGCCCAAACCCGCAACTTTTTCTGCAGAACACAATCGCTCTGTTTAGTTCAGTTTCACAACGAGTTGGGACTGATATCTCACCGGCCCCCAAATTTCGACTTCCACTGACGGCAACAAGGTCAGCTCTTTTATCAGAGAGACCAGTTTGTCCTGTGATGGATGGTCATGGGGAATCTGTTTTGAAATCTCGATGAAGAAGCCCCATATCTCCCACATATAGCTCTCTGGGTGCTCAACATCCTCTTCACCCTGCGCCTCCCGCTTCATGGGAGTAAGCTCATTTATCTGAAAAGCCGCGTCAGCGGGGGAAATGTAGCTGTCTGGTTGCAGGAAGTCCTTTCTGATAGCGAAATTCTTTTGCTCGACGATCCACGGGTCGTCGTCTTCTAGAGACTTGAGGCGAAGATGGAGTTTTGTAGCCATGGTAAAAATCTTGGATGAGCTTAGAGACCTTTGTAATGCTTGGACAGAAGAGGTTTAAATTCAACAGTAGGCCGCAAAACATTACCATAACCCTAAAAAAAAAGGAACACACTTAGATGCGGGGTTCTCTCCCCAGAATAGCCACCAATGAGGGAGAAAGAATTCTTGTGGAGATGAAGCTGTTAGCTATAATAGTGACAGTTATGCAGACAGATAACGCGCTTTCTTACTAAGGAAGGCCCCTAGACCTCGTGACTATTTAATAGGTATAGAGTCGAGGCAGCCGGCATTGAAACACTAATTTTGGCAGCAGGTAACTAATTTACATCACCTGGACTTTCTTACCCTTAGTTCTTATAAGTTATTCCCTGGATACTCTCCATGTATATTAAAGTCACTAGGTGAATAGCATACCACTACCTTCCTGGTAGCGGGTGATGAATATAATTAGGGCTTTATAGTCATGTGACCTAGTCCTCAAGATATGGCGGATTTTATACAATGGCCTCAAGTATGATAGAAAATAACAAACATGTAGTTTGTACTTGAAAAACCAAGGCTTATCAACTCTATGCTTCTAAAATACATAATATCGATACTGGAGGAGAAAGGCAAGCCCCTGTTGTCATTAAGGCTGCAATGCCAGCCCTTCTCTTCTTTAAACTAATGAGAAAAGGAAGGATATTCCTTAAATAGCACTGGCACATAAACAAAGAATGAACAAGCAAAAGAAGTAATCAGTAGAGATCAATACCTTAGATCTAGTGAGTTGAAAGTGGTGCCTGGCCAAGTTTAGTCATCATGACCTCAATCCAGCCGCAATTCAGGCTGAACCTCTTATGTCTTGCCTGATTCTTTAGCTGATTGACAACTATTCTGTCAACCATTCACTCCGCAACATCTCTTTCAATGTCACACGATCAGGAAGCCCTCTCTCCATACGAGGTGATGCTCCAATCCGCCCCCCTCGACTACCTGACAAATCCCGAGCACGCCACGCCCAGGCTACCACCACCATAACCTCTCTACTACTTCTTCTACGGCACGTTGACCTCCCCCGCGACTCTCCAGCACATCCTAGATCTCCCCACTGAGCCGACTCTCCGCAAAGGCAAAGTGATCGGCTACGCCCTCGCGAAATGGGGCGACTACCCGGCCTTGATTGATGGAACACCAGGCTGAGAGGGCGACTACCCGGCCTTGATTGATGGAACACCAGGCTAAGAGGTTGAGAGATACGCATATCTGGCGAGAAGACGCGAGCCAGGACGTTCGTGTATGCGGGTGATACGCAGGCTTTGCAGGAGGGGAGGTTTGATCGTAAACTTTGGGCGCTTCAGTGGGCAAATAGGTAGGTAGGTATATCAGGTGAATATGTAGCAAAGAAAATACATTCTCACCGAATCGAATTTACTACACACACTCCTCTTGATACGTCTCGAATATGGGAAGCAGTGTCGGATTATGAATAGGTATATTGTCCGTCATCTTGGTTTTCAACTCCACCTAGCCACTCCGTAGTTTGAGGTCATGAAAGTCATCATTATTACAGTGAGTATATGACATCAAGAAGTAAACCTTGAGAAGTAAGCTATATCTATATGAAGAAGCTTTTTTACGCCAAAGACCCGTTGAGATATACGCCTCATTTTAGCTGTCTATTGTTATGATTAAATCGTAAATTAGAGCTTGGCCAGTTTCCATACAACCTTCCATGTTTTGGCTTCTTGATATCTGCTAATAACTTAATAACAGACAGCAATTATTTGCAGCAGATGCTTACCATTCTGCCTACACAGCACTAAATAATCAGTTTTATCAATTAAGATCATGCAATCACAAGTCATACTAAAACTATCAAGATAAATACTAGGCTTATAAGGTATTTATTCACTCTGCAACATATTATTTCTCCTACCTTCATCATACTCTCTTCTCGGGGCAACCGCCTCTCAGCCATCAACTTTGCCCATGGCTGCTTGGATTACTGTAACCCCATTGGAACTGTGAAATTTTCCAATACAGAAATGTAGCCAGTCAATAATAAATGAATATTTATCCCAGAGGCACTGTGCTGACTCACTCTTAGGCTTCAATAGATAACAAAATCACCTATTTTATTAATGAAAATAATGAATTCAGCCGCTTATGCTGCTTATATAAAGAAGGCTACACCAGGACCAAGCAACTCTACACCGCGATGACTAACCACTAGAAATAATATTGTTCTCATTGTGGGCATCTAATGGTTGGTTCTGTCCTTGGTTCTACTGAGCTGTTCATATTTAGGCCTTATTAATTATTTAGTATTCAATAGTGCATCATGGCTTGAGAGTTAGACTAAAGATAAAGGAATAGTAGCACAATTAAGGTTAAGGATATATTTTAGTATATTTATTATTCTCTTATTAATAATATGACCATAATTAATTATAAACAGTATATTTTCATTTTAATATAACTATCTCATCTGACTTAGTAACTGTGTATTCTTCATCTGTGCATCCTCCCCGTGCTGCCAATATATGCAAAATTAGAGAGAAGAGGTGAATTAGGCAGGGAGGTTGCTATAGACAGTCCAATTAGCTTTTCTCTCCAATACAAGGATAATAGCGTACCCTGGCTTAAATGCAGCCAACTCCACAGTAGCAGGTGCTGTTTTCGCAAAGCCCCTCGCTTCCATAGTCAGCGCAGCATATTTGGACAGTCTCTTCGGCACAGATGATCGTGGTACAGCTCTTCTTCTCAAGGGGAGATGCAGCCACAAGGACAGCAAATGAGAGGACAAGAGCGATTGGAATGGAGATGAACTTCATGTTGGCTGAACTAAAGTTGAAGACTTGATGAAGAGTTTCTATGGCTTAAAGATGAGGAGTGAAGATGATTGATGATGGATAGAAGATATGTCTGGATATAAGCAGTCTTTTATATCCAAATTCGGGTCTGATCATTTCCTTTCTCATGCTTTTTGTTCATGTGCATATATTAGCCTGATTCTCAACATAGCTAGAGCCGTCGAGTACCTCAGTAGTCACTAAATACCGCAATTTCACATTATTAGATACAACATTATTTATTATATTGTCCTATATTACAGGCACGAGAGACATATGCTACGAGATAGAAAGAGAGGCTGACCTGGTAACTATATAGTATATACTTAGAGGATATATTGGGACTTCATACTCTCCATGATATTCTTACTACACTTTATATTATGCTCCTGTCTCTTGTTGATGCTGCTGGACGCCTGATGCCCACTATAATGTAGATCCTTATGCGTGGGTGTATCTGGGACGGTTTTAATTGGTGATACAAGTCAGTCGTTAATAAAAAAAGTACAAGCCACGCCGATTTAGGAAATCAAATAGTTCACCGCTCCAACCCATCAATCTACTCAAGAGACATTTCCACGGTAGTGGTATATTGCCTTTAGTCCGCCTCGGATCCTTCTTAGCCGGCGGTAGTAGGGCGAGAGAGAAGTTATCTGCCTCTTTTTCTCGCCAGCGGCAGACATTTTGAACTAGTTTTTTCTTTTCTAGAACTGAAGGTGGAAGAAGGGATTCAAAGCGTCAAACACAAGTAGATTGACTTTTTTGAAGTATATTCATTCTTTTTAAACAGTGAATTGAGTAGGTCAATTACGGCAAAGATACTATCATGAAAAAGTGATTCTTATATGAAGGTGGCTTCATGTACTAGAATAAACTTAAACCTAGATTTAGTTGTAAGTTCCAAGATCCTTCCTAAGCGTGCCTATTGTAGGTAGCGATGCTACTACTTAATATAGGAGGGATTTAAGATACTAATCCAGATATTTATTTATCTGTCATTGCGCCACAAGCTGCTGTACGCCACTGCCAGCGCCACTCTAGACACACCTATCACAAGCAAGTCACTGGCGCCCGTTTCTTTATTTCAGACAAGAACAAAAGAAGACATTATCAACTTTTTCTTATGCACCTCCCTTTGCATCTCTTCTGCTTCATCTTTATTTAACTTGTGGTATGTGATAATAGGTGATGCTGTGCGCCCTAGTAAGGAAGTCTTCAGCTATGTCCTTGAGGAGAGGCTCAAGACGTGGTCCTCATACCTGGATGCCGGAAGGGATGACATCCAAATTCCCCGGCAAGCCATCGACCTGAAATCTCTTGTGAACGAGACTCCTCGCTTTCTCGCAGATGGCATCGGTTCTATTGAAGAGCCGATTTCGTTTGCATGTGAGGAGAAGCAGTCAGCGCAGCGGAGAGAAAGCCTGCTCATCAATGGCCGATCAACATGGAGAACTTCCGGAGGAATATGTGACCTACCACCCAAAGTCCTGCCAAAGAGTCTTCCCCTGGCAGTCAGCAGTCGATTGAGTGTGACATTATCAGAGAACGCTCCCCTCTCGGACTGGCCTGGAGTACGGGGATTGACGGACTACGATACGGGAAACTTTCTGTCAGTCCTCTATTTTGCATGGGCTTATATACTGTCTGCTCGATGGGTGTAATTGCTTAGTCGATCTGCGGATCACGAATGCCATATGAGCTACACCTCGGAAGTCTTGAAACGTCCAATGCCGCAGCCAGACAACAAACACACGGTTCATGTTGACATTGGCGATAATGCGTCTGAAGAGGAGATCTTGTGGTGGCGCGCGATCTTGATTCCTGAAAATGGATGGGATGCAACCGCCAAGTACAATGGTCATGTCTATCTGTCGCCATGGTCAATTTCGGTAAAGAAGACAGGATTAACCCTGGCCAGAAAGCCCTCTTTAGGCACCAGGTTAGAGCCCCTGGGATCGACTACTGCTCTCGAATATCTCTCTCATTTCTGTGTCTACCATCGTCTTTATGCTCAATGTTCAGTCGCGCTTGCTGGTGCACTCTACATTTTATTCATGAGGGGGAAGACGGTTTCCCTTCCACTTCTAAAACAACCTTGTCAACTCAGAGTACCGCAGAGGCTAGGTGGCTCCTCTCTCTCTATTTCAAATCTTCTCACTGAGCATACCAACCTCCTTTCCAAGTACATGACATTGAGTTGCAATATATGGGGGTTGCGATCACTCCTGTACAGCACCTTTTTCAATCTAGATATCGAGTGTAACCTGGTCAGTGCCTGGCTGAATCCGGCTTTTGCGGTCCTCGACTCTATCTCGTCTACAGAAAGCTCACTGGCCACTCTTTTGACAAATCGGCAGCCTCGACTCAGAGTTCTCTGGTTAGGTGCAATCTTCACAGATGTGGCAGGGTCTGTCTTGCGCGACATACGAGTGGGAATGGCAGCTTTGGATCTTCCAGCCTCTGCCTGGGCGGGCGCAATACAGACATTCTTGACCTCCAAAATGGAAGGCAGTGATGGCGAGTCTATACGCCGTGAGGATGAATGTCGGTTGTTATTCATTACTGCTTCCGAAGGCCATGATCGACCTCCCGTCTGGCCGTGGAAGCCCTTTGGTGATACCCAATTCTGTGATGCAGATATTGCGGTTCGACAACATGCTCAATGTGCCGTCCATTGCCTGGAATACGAATCTTGGCAATGGATACTATCGGACAACCGCACAATTCAAGACTTCAGAAGAGGGAATAGCCATGCTGATCAAGGAATACCTCCATCCCTCAATAGTACATCAGTTGCGCTCGAAAGTTTCAACTATGATTTCTCTTAACAATCCCTTTCTGAAGGAGCCACGCGTGGAATATTCGAATGGCTCCGATCAACGAGAGAGGCATATACCAACATTCATGGTTTGATTTGGAAGGCACTGACGAAGACTTTGAGGATACAGAATCAGACGTGGCAATGGATTGTCATGTTGAAGATTGGCTTGACGGTATTGTTTCTTCTGTGCTGGGTTAGTGAGGTGTTTATAAACATCAAAGCGATTTAGAATCCATCCTTAGGTTTAAGATTTGGGCAGGACACACTATATAACCCTCCGTTCCCATTCTGATGGTACATACGACCACAGGGTGTGGAAAATAGGGCTTCCCGTCCGCTCAGCCGTACTCAAGCCACACGCCGGTAGGTTAGTAGTTGGGTGGGTGACCACCAGCGAATCCCTACTGTTGTATGTTTTTTATACTTGGCCATTGATTGAGTTGAGAATTTTATGTTATAGTGAGGATTTTATTTCATAGTAATGCAGTATTTTTTAATATTAAGAGTGCTTCTGTTAACTGACTATGAGTCTGGTTAGGGAAGTTGAGGACACTCAAACATAGAAGAACTTCAAACTCCATACTCATCCATTTTATGGCAGTGTAGTCAGTATAGACTTCACATCTAGCCTGTAAATTATCTAGATGATGTTTAAGTAAGCATGTCGCATCTTTCCTCTAGCCTATTCTATATTGGGCTACTGTCAGACTACCCCTCACCATGATAACCACTAGATTTGGGGGCCTTCCTTGAAGCTTCTTGTTCACAGTTCTCTAAGCATGGCTCCCTTCCACTACGAGCAGCGACGCCTTGAAAATGATCTCATTACTTTAGAGCCATTTGATGTATGTGTATAACAATAATTAGCTACATTATACTCCATACTGACAGCATTACAGCCCTCCATCCACACCCGCTCGTTAGCAGAGATAGGAAAACAGCATCCATCAATCTTCACCTACACAGCCATGCCCTCTTTCTCCAGTGAAGAGGAATTTCGGACTAATTTGTATGACAAATATATTGCTCACTCGCCAGCTGAATGTCTCTACGCGGTCATCGACAAGAAGACGCAGCAAGTGGCAGGGATGGTCGGCCTGGTTTCCACCAACCCCGTCAACGCGGTGACAGAGATTGCGATCGTGATCTCTCCTGATTTCCACCGCACGTATGTCTCCAGTAACGCCGTCGGTCTGTTATTGCTGTATGCGCTTGATCCCCCTTCCAAGGGCGGGTTGGGTCTCCGACGCGTCGAATGGCAGTGTCATGCTGATAACGAAGCGTCGAGACGGACAGCGACACGGATGGGGTTCGAGCTAGAGGGGATCCTACGCTGGCACCGTGTCATGCCGATTGGGACGGAGGGTGTTTCGTTATCTGTTGATGCACTGGAGAAGAGAAATGGTACAGTAGGAGAGATGCCGGGCAGACATACGGCGTTTTTTTCGATTGTTTGGGAGGAATGGGAGGAGAAACGGCCTAAAGTGGTTGCGCAAATGGAGCGGAGTAAATGACTATACTTACTATATTATGCTCACTATAATATAACTACCCAGGTACTTAGTATTCCATACCAACTATGCTATACTTATATACTCTACTACTGAGTACTGGAATAGTCTCAAAACAGATTAGCTTCCTGCATTCACTTCTCCACTGATCGACGATTATTTACTTCAAGGTTTATTTCAACGTTCGCCAAGAGTTCCTGTTCTGTCGACATTGTTGTCAGCATTATGAAGCTTGAGTTCTGCTTAAATACTGATCCTGTTGTAAGTGCAGCCTGAGGCCGAAATTACCCGAGTGCATAGAACTAGCTACTATGCCTATTCCAGAACCCACTATACCCGTTTAGGAAGGGAGTGCCTCCAACTGAGAGATGCGAATATCAGGTTAGTGAGTCACAGGACCACGAGATCACGGGGTTGATCTCGAAAAGAACAACCACAGCAGGCAAAACAGAAAACTTTCTCTCTCCCAGCTTCATGCTCCATTCTGACTCTTGACACTCCCCGTCATCTCTTGCCCACGAACCATCAGCTTACAACATCACTCGATTCGATTACCTATACTCTCAACTCATATCAAAGCAAAAGATGTCGCCGAGATACCCCCAGATAGGCGGCAAAAGGAAGAGGGGTGAGTGTCTTCGACAGAAAAGTAGAGAGAGAGAAAGAAGAAGAGAATATGCTAATTTGAGAAATCTCTGATCCATCTAGTGACTCTGACGAGCAACCAGTCACTTCCTCCTCCCTCCCCCTGCCGTCATTGCAAGTTTCTTCCCAGCCCGGTTCGTCTCAAGTGGGCTCCTCTCAGATCGATAACTCCAACATCTCAGAACGATCTCTGGGCGAGATTAGTGAGGCGGAAAAGGCTCTCTGGAGGCAATGCAGTAACGCGAGAGATTTCGGAAAGTTCGCCGGCTGGGATCACGACTACTTAAAACAATTTGTCGATGCGGTTGGAGATGACGAGCTAGAAGAGGTCCTGTCTGTACAAGCACGGGGTTATATTGACCGAGTCAGGAGGCATATGGGGACTCGGGGCAATCGGATTTGTTGGAGCCGCCTCTGGCTGGACTCTGCTTCATTCTCAACTGCCGGGGATGTCGACGATCTTATCTGGTCATGGATCCAGCTGACCAAAATCTCCTTGCACCCCACGAAGCGATCGGTCGACGAGAATATTGATCAGTACGTGACGCTTCTGGAGAGACTGCTCCCCATCGTGAAAACAGCCCAGAAGAAATGGTGGGAGCCAGCGGTGCTGGCATTCCATCAACCTGAACGGTCTACAGAGGACGGCCGACAACCAAGTAAGAGCCTTCTGGAGGCGATTCTGCATTGTTACAACAACTACAGTCCAGATGCGCATATTGCTCCCTACACGTCGATTGTTGGGCCATCAGGTATCGGCAAAAGTTTCACGGTCGGTCAGCTCGCGATTGAGCATGGTATTTATGTCAGTTACACCAATCTTGCAATCGGAGGGCTTGGCTATCCTCGGTACTCTTTTATCGCAAGGTTCCTCCCTGAAGGCAAAGATAGAGACACCATGATGGTATTCTGGGAATGTTACATCCTCGTCTCTCTGCTAGCCGCCCAGGCTTGCAGACGTGTCGGGATCACGCCCGGAGGCTTCTACAGACTTCAAATCATGGACGAGTACGAATGCTATCAGAGAACATTCGTCAAAGCGGTATGTGACTTTTTTGGACTCTTTGAAAGCTTGAAGGTGAGGCCAGCAGCGTTTTTTAAAAGGACCGAATCCAGAGACTTTGTCACCAGTCGTCTCCATTTCAGCTTGGAGGAGTGGAAAGTTCTTCTTGAAGAAAACCACCACAACACGAAGGCTTCCTTGGACTTGGCGCAAGGTGCCCCAGAGACAATCCTGTGTATCGATGAAGCTGGAGCCATCATTGACCATGGCGAATCGCTGTTATTTCGATCCTTTAGACAAGCGGCGAAGAACCGCTTTCGTCGCACACATAGACTGGGACAGCCGACCTTTCCCGGTGACTTCTTCTCCATTCTTTTGGACACAGCTTCCAAGGTTGGAGACTTTACTCCGCCGCCGCGCCACTACAATAGCCAAAAGATACTTCAACTCATGGGTTCCAATGCAGTCTTCCAACCAATTTACGGCATCAGAACGATGGACATCTTCGCACAGCAAGGAAAATTCTTGAACCAGGACGGCTCAGAAGAGGCCGTCAGCGAGCTCTTTCGCTATGGTCGACCACTCTGGGGGGCGCTCCTTGAGAGCGGTGCATCCCTCGATGAACTCATTCAGCTCGCCAGCCAAAAGACAGAGGGAAATGGCCCAGCTCATGCACTCGCGATTTTGTCATACCGCCTCAACTTCCATGTCGCAAACTACGCACTGGCCGAGGAGCTTGTATCAGGAGTAGTGTTTTTTAATCACTTCATCCGCCTCAATCAACCGCCGGCTAAGGACACGCTTGAAAAGGCCTTTAGTCGTGGTGCAGCACTATTTCTCCCTCATAGCTTCCCAGGGGCGGACATAGTTGTCCCCATCTATGTTCCTGGCTCTGGGATGAGAGCGTTCTTTATCCAGGTGAAGAATCGAAAGAATGATCGTCTGACGAGCGCTGTGAAACAAGAATCTCTCTGGTCTCTGGACAGCGCTGCGAAGGCCATCGATCCTACCCTACCCTACCTCGGAATGATGATGTGTCTGAGAGGTGGTGATAGATCGGATGACGACCAGAGATTCGAGATCATCGCACCACTACCTACATCTCACTCGTACCGAACACGAAACACCCAGGATGGAGCCTACAGATGGACCTCGAGGCCCAAAAGGTTGATCATGCTTGCCACCGGGCTGGAAACAGATCTGTATCCCTCAACTACTCTCTGTCGAGGAACTCGAAGCCCTGCCGGCGATGAGATCATGTCTTGGCTACAGCGACTTCTGGGCTGCGTTCCCGGTGCGTCTCTTCCAGAGGATGTCGACGAAAAATACGTTTTTTCCCTGTCGCCTTTAGGCTAGTTGCTTTCTGTATTCAAAGAAACCCGAATTTCTCATGTTGCTAGTGAATGATAGTATTCTCAAGACTATTACCTTTCTGACACAGCAGTCAATACCAGAATGAAGTAGATCTCACACTGAACCTTCTAATTCATCTCCAATTTCTTAAGGTAAAAGTAGTATGTTCCTGAATCTTTCATGTCCTTGTTTTCCATGGCCCCCATGACAACGTTGTCGGCCACATATCTAAACGAATCGATGATGGGGAATCTGTCGTATATCATGGCCGTTGAAACGATCCCGCGATATTCCACCTGGCGGAGCTTTAATGGTCAGCACTGTCCACTATATATGATCTCTCTCTCTCTCTCTCTCTCTCTCTCTCTCTGTATTTCTTACACTTGCATGGCCGTACTCTTGATACCACACCCGCTCGTCCTGTGCGTTGTACATCATGATAGGGTCAACATCGTCCACCGAGTGAAAATCCTTCCCAGCCCACTTGAAGGTTGTCAATAGCCGGTGAAGCGGGTGCCCTGTGTCCAGACTGAATCCCTGCCATCTCCCCAAGAGCTCATCGGCAGTGACAGACTTGAGACGGTCGTAGGCAGCTGCAACTTCGGCTTCTTTGATAGTACCGATACGCTGAACGAGCTGGGAGAACTGGTCGAGGGGGCTGGGTCTGCAAAGGAGATGATATTGGGTTAACTGGAAACTTTTACCTCACCTTTAGAATAGATGTTACTCACTCATCTGCCATGGCTATAATTGCGAAATAGTGGAAAGGGGTGGATTATGATGGTGGGAAGCCTGAAAACGGTCCATCCAACATATATGTATCTCTTTCAATAGGCCTTCCCAGTAAGCCCCTTTCCCTAGGCAAACATGTGGCGTTTTCCCCTCAGTCATATTTTAGCCATTTCAACCATCACCATCCTATTCATTAGCTATAGTGTATATATATATTAATGGTATGCTCTCAAAGTCACTTGAAGAACTTATAAAATACTTAGGACGGGGTTTATGAATAGTCCATCCTGGCTTTATTTCACATGGAAATCAATCGTCGCTAGCTTTGCCCTGACTTTGTACCTACTTTCTGCTACTTTCTGCTAACTTTCAGCTGAGCCTTTTTGCTTATTTCTTACTTAAGAACTTGACTAACTAGTCAGTCTGTTGACATATGACTGGCAAACTGTTGACCGAAACGGCAGGGATCTTGACCTGTAGGATGGATTTCACAAAAACACACCCTGCTGATTGATAAGGAAAAGTAATTCTTGGATCGATACTACGATAAGACACATATAGAAACTTTTATAGGGAATAAAATATCAATGGCCTTCTGGAGACACAGAAACTCCAGGTAGTTCCTATTGTTGCCTGTAGAGATTTGGCCCGGTGGCTTCAGTAAGCAACTTATACCCCTGAATCCCAGCGAGCTTTGAGTACACACTGTAAGCCGAGCTGAAGATCAAAAACGTTGAATCAGTAGGAAACACGCCTTCTAGGAGGTTTCTGATCCAAGCGATAAACTGATTAAGCTGCTCCTGGCTCATATTGTTCGTTATGTGCACGCTGAAAACAGCTCGAACTGTGGGTGAAATGAGTAAAGGATTCACAGTCTGAAGGCCACTAAATGGTAGACAAATAGATGATGCTCCTAGTTGCAACCCATGAGCTGGCTTATCCATGGCGTTTTCCCTACTACGGAGGGTCTGCACCACATCCGCAAATTCAACCTGTCGATGGCCCTGCCTCTGTCTATGACAGATCTCACCAGCAAGCTTTGCCGTCAGAGTATTTCGTGGCGGAGAATTTGCCAAAGGCGATGCATCGTCACTAGCGGCAATGACTTCAACAATCCAACATCCAAGTCCGGCGAACGACATGCTGCAAAAGAATAACAGCAGTCGAAAATGAAGAGGACGTCAAAATTCTTGGAATTCTGCAACTCGTACTCGACTGGAAGGGTCAAGTCGACCAGATAGCGCTTTACATTGAACTGACGATTGGTAGGGCCTTCAACAGCTAAAAGATCCCCATACTTGTCCAATGTACCGTGTCCTGCGTAATGAACCATGATGAGTGATCGTCCGTTCGTTTTCTTCGCATTGTTTAGAACTTCTCTCATTGCCCCCATAACGGTCCATCCCATCCAGGGGTCAAAATTAACTAAATGCCTATTTTAGGTTTAGGTTAATATATATTTTCCGCTGCTCTTACTTCCTATATTAAGTACCATTAATATTCTCTCCTTTTTAACCACCTGTTCGGCATTATTCAATTTGCAACTTCTTTTTTTAATATTTTTATACCAGTGAACTTCTAATGAGAAAGCGCAGTCTATAATTAGAGGAGACAGTGCTAATCTAGCCTTGTGGCAGTGAAGAGCTCAACCATCCTATTTTACAGCAAAAATATGAGGTTCACAGGAAAATCTGGGAATTTAGAGGAATGTGTCAGACAGTATGGCATTTTATAGTATTTCATATGGCACTTCACTGGGTTTTTCTTGGTGATCTCTTTAGGTAGGATATTATCTATTATAAGTATTATAAGCTAGTCATAGGTCTTGATATCACCCCGAAACTGACACGCCCAATTTCATACTGCCGGACAGCATAGAATCCTATGGGGACAGTCCCTGGCTCAATGGCCATTGGATGAATAGGACGAGAGTCTGTTGGCAAATACTTGGGGTGGGAGAGGGGTATAAAGGATTTGCGATTCGTGGTGATCTGCATTGTTTAGTAAAATCAATATAGTTATGGATATGGTGCCACACAAGTATATGCTTACCCTATAGAAGTGAGGAAATCCATGATTAAAATAGCGATGGCGGATAGCGTTATTGTGATTTTCATATCCGACACCGAGCTCCGTGATGCGTTCCCCTCCTGGTCCATCAATCTTCAAAGTAATCTGGCTTCCGAACGACGAATGGTGATATAGTTCCGGCAGATCCCCGGCGTCGACAATTCGGACTCTGTGATACGGGTGCGTGATTGGATTCTCAGCGTAGAGAGCGTCGATCCGGTTGATACGGTTCTTTGTAATGATGAAGATGAGCTGGGTAAGATATGGCAAGAGGCTGCCGTCTTCACCCCCGAAGAGACCCCAGACGATGGGTCGATAGCCGGGGATCAACGGATCACAGCTTGAAAATCCACTTTCATTGAAGAATAGCTCTGTGGGAGGAAGTTTCTGCCATAGAGCAGTAGCTAGCATATTCTCCATCCAGGTATCTTTTCTCTGTGACTCACTGTCCACCGCCAGTCGAACCATTTTGTATTCCTGGAACTTAGCTTTTCCAATCTTATGTATGGTAAAGAGACCTACTTACATCCACGCTACATTTGATAGCTTTGATATTCTCTCCTGCTAACCGTCGAGTGACATTCATTCCCTGCGGTTTCCCAATCCATGAAGATGTATAGGTTTCAGTTATCACCTTCAAAGCGTGGATCCCCTTTTCATTTATAGCCACGACGAATCCATGGAGAGTAGAAAGACGAATAATTGGACTATTAGGAGCTATATACCCCAGAGTGACGACCGTCGTGCCTGAGAGGAACCTCAAGCCTGTGATGTATGTGATGTTCTTCGGCTCGTGCAGAACAGAAACTACCATTGTAGTAAGTTTCTCTGGTATGAGGCCTATGTCAGTTTGAATCTCGTGAGCATATATTGCGTATGGACGGACAGGGAGATCTGGATCGCAGTATATATGACTTTGGACCTCTCTCCATTGATACTGGTCTTGCAGCTCCAGAGGATTGCATATCTCAGATCTGGTGGAATATGTAATATCCATCAACCACTGGCACCGATGCCAGATTTGCTCTCTAAACCGAAATTCATCACCCAGCCGAGCGACTTGACTGTAGAAGTAGAGGCTGGGCCAATCGATTTTCTGTTGAGGATGAAGACAAGAGAGAAAGCTGTACTCTCCCCCAATCTCAAATCGAGTCTTCCAGAAAGTTGGTTCAAAGAAGAGTTCGGCCATACACCGTGAAGCCATTCGGAGAGCGTAGAAGTCTCTTGTAATAAGAAAGCGGGCGATGAGATGCCGGATTTCCGGAGGAAATAGAGTAAAGGAATCACTCTGTGGATTTGATATGGGCCTCTGTGGCAGCTGGATCGTTTGGCCGATAACTTCATTTGCATCGACTTGCCCATTTGGAGGCCGATCGCTGGAGTAACCAGGACCAATAGTCCGCCTGGCCCAGGGTGAACGGATCGATAACGCCTTTGCCAGTCTTTCTAAAGGAATCGAGGGGGAAAGAGCCCGCAGCATATTCCAGCAGGCATCATGAATAAGGAATGTCTCCCTGACTGGCAGCCGCCTCTTATTGATGGACTGAATATCAAACGTCAAATTCTCGCCAGGGATGATTAGATGGTATTTTCTTTGAGGATTATAATGTTCTGTTGTGTCATAATCATGAATCCCAATACCGGTAATTCGATAGGTACCTTCGGCCTTAAGCACCATAGACACAGTTAATGTTATAGCTCAGTAATGCTGAGAAGATTGGAACATACAGACTCGAACCTCCCTCATCCAAGGTCTATGAATAGACCCATCGGCATCATAGTCACAGACCTGGCACAAGGCTAGCTCCATGTTTGAATGTTGGTTGCACTTGAAAATTGAAATCTCTGTCTGGGAAAATGTTGTACTTGCAGTGCCGTCATATTGACGCATACTACTCATTGTAAGTCACTTTCCGAGTAGGGCCCTATTTGTGAACCTTTAGGTAACAAAAGAGTAGAAAGCAACAAGGCAAAAAAAGCCAGTGACACTACACTAAGAAAAGAAGACTACATCACAGCATGTTGACTCCGGGCAAGCCGAAACACCCGTCCAACTATCTATGAAACAGTCATAGTGATATCTCTGATGTGAACCAGATGGGCATGGATGCGCTTGGCATCCTCCGGTATTGTTAAATCGAGCCTCTCCTCGTAGTTCTGGTGGCCTTCCAGGACGACAGAAGCAGACTCCCCCCCCCATCTCTGGCTGATAGATGAAGAACTGGCACATTTTGCCAACTCCAATGATGCCATATAGCATTGCGGGGACTTGAGCAATCTGCGCAACGCCGGGGAGATACCGCTCTAACTGTCTCCTTCCTTCATTCCATCCCTCCCGACCTGGCTCTCGGATCTGTCGCTTACACTGGGTCACGAGGAAGTGCAGCTCCTCTCTGTCGTTGGTGCCATCTCGGGGGACCCATCGGCTACTGTTGAAGTCGAGGTAGCCGGCAAAAACCTTGTCTTGGGGATGGTGGACAAACATGTCGCTTGAGGGAAAGTAATGCCCGAGCATGAAGTTCCACAAACCTGCGACCTTGCCCTCGTAATCGGTGGTGTTCATTGACCCGACCTCTTGCCAAAACACAGGCATATCTGTATACTGGGCTCAAAATTAGAACTGTGTACTTTTGTAACTTGCCAATGCTGGATTGAACACGTACTATGGGCGGCTCCGGCGCTCGCACTTCATTCACTGATGTATCGGGGACATTGCTCGCATCTGACTCCATTTTGAAGGAAATTCACTTGCAGCCTGTTAAAAAAGTATGTCTGGTCAGCCTCTAGCCTGCAGGACTTGTTCCATTTCCTTCTCCCTCCCTCTCTATCCCCATGAACCCCCTGACACGTACGGTAGACGCAGGAAGATAGCTGCGGCAGATGACGAACAAGAGTCTTCGGCCAATCGGACAAGATCAGAGACAGTAAGAGGCGGACAAGAGCTATGAAGTTGGATCAAGGAGCTCGAAACGGCGCAAGTTTGCTGGTAGAGATTTCTGTTTTGATTTCGACACAAATCTGTGTGTTGAGCTCTCTCGCTTAGCTTTAGTAGTCGCGTTTTCCTTGTCGACTTGCTCTCACTTGAACGCGTCGAGCACCAGAGACATACGCGCTTGTGACACCAGGCTACCATAGTAGGCAAGCAATTATCCTGTATATTACCACCTATCCACTACTCTATAACCATGCAGCGATCAGTTGTATACTAGTATTAGGTTCTGTCAGTGAACAGATGCCTAGAGGGTCCTCTCCATGTATGCCCTAGTCAACTTCCACTGATGTGCCATATATAAGTATCAGTCTATTCAGCCTGCGATTATATTTCTGGAAAGACCAAAGAAAGTGTGCTGTACCCTGAGCGCTCCTTGGTGACCCGGCTCCTTATACCAATTCTTCTGCGTCTGCGGCTTTTATAGGCTGCTGCCCACTGAGAAACCACTGGCTCAAAAGCCCTGGCAGATCAGTCAAGAAGTGATCAAGGGCATCCACCACAACGAGACCAAAGGCGCACAGTAGACCAAGGATGGAAAAAACAGTAAAGCCATATTAGGCGTTCATGAAGCTTTTACTGTTTTTTGGCTGGTCTGTAGTAAGCGCGACTTGCACTGCTGTGAGAACCAGAGTCCACTTGATAGAGTAGATGGGGACAATGACAAAACGCCTACTGGTGTATATTTCTATTTTAAATTGGCTGCAAATTGTTTATAGTATACTATGCAGTCTGACCATGTTACTACTATTCCAGGGTTTAGAGTGAAATAGTCAACAGGCAAGGAAAATGCGTATTCTTAAGGGACTTGGAAATCATGCATTGATATCAAATGGCCAGATGGACCATAGTGTTGCTTCATCCTTTACCGGCTCATCTTCTAGATCCTTATTTGTCAGAACGGCTTGCAGCATCCCTTGAAACAGCTCCTCATGGGCGGCCTTTGTTTCCTCCCAGCTCTCCAGAGGTACCCATCCATCAGAAGCCGTGTTCAATAGGCCTGCAAGGTCACTTCTTAAAGTCTGTGCCGCTTCAAAAAGCTTATACTCCCTTTGGTGATTTGCCAGTTCTTCGGATGATGGCAGGGGATATGGACATGGACCAGTGAGCCCCAGCTCTTTCCAGTGTTGAGCCGCCTCGATCATCTCATGATGTAGGGCAACTGCGCCGTTCTTCCATGTAAGATAGCAATAGCGAAAGGGCCGGAAGAGGTTCTCATCAAGTAATCTGGGGCGAGCGAGCTTGGGGGTAAGGAACTGGGAGGAAACATCGTACGCTTGGGTATAGATTTCCTGCCCTGTCTCAAGGCATTGAGCAAAGTCAGGCACTTCATCTGCATACCAAAAGGACGGTTCAATACTGCTGGCCTGCCAGTCAATATCCCCGTGACGACAGAGGGGTCATCATCTGAAACAAAAATGTTCCTTTTGTGTAGGTCAGGATGAAACAGTAACGGGTTGGATGCCTCCAGGATGCGTGAGTCGGCAGACATTTGTCGGAGTAGGACCCTGCAGCATTCTAAGAGGCGCAGGTGTGATTGAACTGATCCATGGTATGTAGGTTCGCTTTCGGATTCGGCGCCTACTGGAGGAATCCGGGAGAAACCAGCAGCAATAAGTCCTTCAAAGTATTCACTTAGGGTTGTCCCTTTGTCTCATGTGAGTTCACATAAAATACCTTTACCATCGAACGTGATGGGACTTACAAGGCCCTTGATTTGGTTTCGTGTTATGATAATACCTCCGCTCCCCAACATTGCAATCCCAATATCGAGTTCCACAATGCGGCCCGATATAGAAATCTTTATCTAGCTGATGCCTGTGGTCGATACTCGGCAAGGTTTTAGTGAAATATATACTGCCATAGGCTGGAAAATTGAGACTGCCTGCTTCATTACCTTACAGATTGCATTGATGCATTCGACACGCTTGTCGCCAGCCATCTCGGGCCATTTTTCATTGAGGGGAACACCATTGGCATGCTTGAAGATGATGTATTCATGTCCAATAGCATTTCTGGCGTCTGCAGGGTCGTTACTCCAGTCAAGAATTGCCGGTATGGGAATGGTAGTTTTGGCCTGCACTAAAGGGGTTATTTTGATTAGAGGTATATAACTTAATAGCTAGTAGCTAGTTATTTAATACTCACAGTACTTGATTGTCGCAAGCTCTGAGGCTGTAAGTAGTCCTCCTGGGCCAGCCAATGCGAAAGGAAGTCTTGCCACAACCTTTTTAGCATTATCCATTGTGAAAATGAACACTCTATTAAATCCCCCTTCAATCCTTTGGCAGTTCTCAATAGCTTCTGCTCCAGGGCATAGCTCGATTACCTTCTGAGAAAGGGCCCCAAAAGTGAAGTCAATATAACGCGCGCCACGCTCTAGTTTGTCATGACGAAGCCATCGGCCGCTTGTATACGCAAAAGGCTCTAGGCCTATAACAACTTCAGTCTCTCTTGCAGGAAGAAACAGTTCAAAAAAGGTGCTACCCGCCTTCCACACTTGGTCTTCGGAGAATAATTCAGCGAATATATAAGCTTATTATCCCCCCCCTTCTACTTCACTCTTGCTTTGATCCTTGGACAAGATTTACAGAAAGAAAATGTCATCTCAAGACTCTGCCTGGTCGGAACGACAAAACTTCCTAAATCACTGTTATATGCAAAGGCAAGTGACTCTAGATATAGTAGTTAGCCCCTGCGAGCTTTAGTCATTCTCTGTAGTCACTACAAACCTACATGCATCATATGGATTCTCTTTATAATAGAAAAGATTATGACCTTACTTAATAAGTAAAGGAAAACCTTTACTCCTGGGCGCTGTGTCCTTTTTCTTTAACTTTTGCTAATTTTAAACCTAGCCTGTTAAATATCCATCCTCTCACTCTTCAGGATTACCTTCACCCAAGAAACTATCAATATATCCTCTTTGTCATTTGTGAGAAACTGGAACTATGTCCTAATTATAAAGTTCCAAGAAAAGTGCGGCTGAGAGGTGTGAATTTATATGAATTTATATTACTTCTAAACTAGTGTAAAGCTAGGCCTGAAGATATTCAACTCACCACTACTAATTTCAATGATGTTTATTCCTAACTCTCAAGAAAGGTCCTTGCTGGCGGGATCGCATGTTTTCTCAAACCACTTGAACACGATAACAGAAGGGCAGCTATCTGTGAATTAGGAGTTTATAAGTAAATAGAGACTTTAAGTCTTCATGATCATGTCTAAGTTCCTCGCTTAATTGGTGTTGTTCAAGATGAGCAAGAAGAGTCTCATATTATTGGCATTCCATTGATATGGGTGCAATGTGATAGTAGAACTCTATAATGTTCTATAAGACCTGAAACCTTATTTGATCTGCGCAAGTGATGGGGCATGTAGGTAACAAGCTCCTTAGATTACTTATATACAGTGAATATTGTCTGGGGGATGTTAAGGCAAAATGTTTGGATCAATGTCAATAAAAATGCGTGGCTTATTGATTTTGGCGGTGGTTACACCTGAGGATGGGTAGAGAAGAGCTGCATGGAGACAATTGAAGGCGATGGGGAGGGTCTCTCCAAAATCCGGGGTCTCTTGTTTCAAGAGAAACATTCTTAAAGAAATGTAAATGTCTCTCTTTGGAGCAGGCTATTCCATTGTAAGATCTCTTGTATAGCCTCGCCCTGAGTAGATACTCAGACCATCAAGCAATCTGTCACTTCTCCTACTCATCCTTTCCGTAGGCCCGAAGTAACTACTTGTAATAGAACCAGACGTTGAGTCTTGCATGGTAAGAACATAAATATCTCTATATTTCTAAGATACTTGATATAACCCTCTAACCGATTATCTTTCATGATATTCTTTAGAGTCGAGCCTTCAGTCAGCATAACTCCATGTTACATATTTTTCAAGGAAATATATTCTAGGTATACTCAATCTAAGGAGACTTGCAGTATATACTCATCTACGACCAAGTGGATGAGCCGCGGAATCTCCATCTACATTAACACAGCATACTTTGCAAACTCTTCATCAGCCAGCAATCTCTCCATCTGCTCTTCCACCAAGTTAATCTTAACTTCAATGCCTGTCTCCCCCCGCCGTCCAAACGAGGGCAATATCAGATAATATGATGGGATAAACGGTGGATCCATCAAATTGCGCATCGCACAGAAGGTCCCCACTCCAAGATCCATCTCACCCGGGGTGGAAAACAGGTGTTCCCATGAATTAAAGAAGAAGTCGCGCTCCAGCAGCTCCAGTGGTGGAGGGATTCCCTTCTGAGCCTGCTGGAAGAGATACTCATTGATAAGTCGTAGGTTGGCATTTGTCGCGTCCCTGCGTAGAGAGGTTTGGACTGTAGAAATAACATCTGTATCTTCCTGTTGAGCAAGGAGACATGCAAAGGCGTTGCCGAAGAAGTCTGCTGGTAAAGGGGGAGCCAGTCTTGCCCGCATATCAACTGCTATCATGCTGTTGCTTGTATTCAAGTTCTTCCCACGGGCACGCATGACGCACCGCAATGCCAACGCCATAAATGCTTCAAAGACAGTCGGCCGGAGGGATGTAAACTCATGCATAGCAGTGCGAAGAGCATCTAGTTTCTGCGGAGAAAAATGGAACATCTGACTGACGATCCTGTCACTTCCCTCTGGAGAGGGCTGCAGACTGTCAGGAGGATACTGATGGAATAGCTTCTCCCAGGTCCGGAAGCCATGTATATCTTCCTGTACCGTGGACAAATCGACGCTCTTCATCAACAAAGCCCTGTCGTGCATGGCCGAGTGCTCATAATCTATATTCTCGCCCCGTGTACGCTTGAACCAGTGTCTTATAAATCCCGCGAACCCGAACCCGTCAGTGATCTGGTGGTGAACCTGTGCCACCAGCACGAGCCCCCTACTTAGCACTGTCAACTGGACAGCGAACCCAGGCAGGTCGCTATGCCGAGCACGCATGGAGGCCAAATCCAGCCCCGTCGCAAAGTCGGCCATTGGAAGAGCTGTATCGGGGAATCCGCGTCTGGGTTGTAGAGCTTCTATACCAATGTCTGGTCGAAGAACAACGGTAAAGGCGATGCTGGAAGACTCCTCAACAAGAATTGAGGACAGACCATTGTTGGTAACCACCCGTCCCAGCAGCTGTGGATACGCCAGCTGGCCGTCCTCCAGCGGTTGCAAGAAAGAGCGCAGCGAGTGCTGCAGTCGTGAGACCAAGTCCTGCACATCCCCCTTATCAGTAGAATAGATGAACGCCTGGCGGATGTAGCATGGCGGGACCTGCAGATCGCTTGAGGAGAGGGGATAGCTGGCCTCAAAGGGGCGCGAGGGTTGGATTGTGTATGTTGCCATTTCTGATTGATAAGGAGTGGTGGGGTAAAGGAAACCAGGGGTCGCCAATCTGATATATATATGTGGAGTCTAATGGTTAGGGCCAGCGCTAACTTGTATAGGCAATAGTGAGAGTAGTTATTCAGCTAGTGACTACTAGACTGCCAAGGATAAAAGAGATTAAAATATGCAAATATAACAAATATAGTAAATTAAAAACAATCTTATTCTTTACTCCTCTCTTCTAATAAATAATACTACCCTTTAGCCTGTCTTTTCAGACATAAAGATCAACACCACACCATGCCATTCCATCTAATGTCCACCAGTGCCTGCTCCATCAGATCGCTGACACCAGGAGAGGCTAAAAAACCATTCTGTCTCATATACTAGTGTTTATGGCACAATGTCCAGAGTCGAAGCCTCGGTGGCCTCTCTGGTGTTGGGCGATAGATAGCATTAACCATGTGCTATATATCAAGAGAATCTATGGTGGACAAAGCTTAATGGATATCTTTTTAGCCTGATGATTTGACCACGCTACAATGTAATGCGGAGAAAGAGGACTGTTAGTTCCCTATAGAACAACCACAGCAGCTCTACTATAAATGAAATGCTTAAGCATCAGCCTCGTTTGTCTTGTATATCTAGCCTCTTCAGTTCAAAGCATAGCTTGTCCCGCTCAGCCGAATTTAGAGGCTGATACTTGGTGTTTCACCCTCCTCACCGCATCTTAAATCCCCTCTTGAAGCCCTATTCCTGTCTTCAAATTCACCTAGAGACCATAGATAGTCTGGTCCGGTCAGTGTACGACCCAAACTTACTACAAGCAACACACTCGCGGCAGGGGGTTGATGGTAAGAAGGATTTTTAACTAGCATGTTTTCACGATAGAATCTACCACCCATAAACAAGGATAGAGATCTCATCGCCGGTAACCTTGCACAAGACCAGGCCACGCAGATCAACGGAGTAGTAGGCCGGTAGAGGTGGTATCGGAGCCATTGCGAGATGCGGAATAAATAATTAAGTTTATACTGATATAAATTATATGTTGTAATAATTCTGTAGAGGATACCATATATTATTAAGTATATGCCAGAGGCACTATAGTAGTCTCTCTCATCATTGCCTTGAGCTTTTAAGCAGCACACCTAGAGATCTAAGGGAAAGATGTCACTAGCCAAGCATTACCAGCATATTAATGGCAGTGTTGGCTTAAACTATTCATCAGGTCAGCTCCTCACGGACATTCTCTGTAATATTTATATTTCTAAATTAATCAGCTTTAGCTTCCTGTAGGAGGTATTTCCTTCTACATACCTCCTGAATTGCATATAGCAACAAGAGATGCCATTAACCACTAGAGGTGACTCAAAATAAAGGAGCTTTGATTAACATTATCCAGTCATTAGGCATACAGCTTATTAGGCCTGGGTCTCACTGCAGGAAATGAGGTGAAACTGCAGTGTCCAGTCTGTGTACTTGGCTGTGAAAATGTACCTGTGCTATCATGTATAGCATCTCTAAGTGCAGGCTGTGTAGTTTCCCCCCACATCACCACACCCAAGGCAACGGTATGTGAATCCTCATTTCTAGCAGGGTGGCAGGCCGCACTGATAGCAGCACTGCAGGACCCTGCAATGGGAATTTCAGAGCTGAATCTTCTGAATGCTAGAACACCCAATATACACACCATGAGAGCCAGCAGGATAGCCCCCAGAGCGATAGCCGTGGTGGAAATACAAATAAAGCTCTTCGTGAGCCCTGTGTCCATCTGGCCTTGCCTGGTGTACGGGATGAACACGGCAAAGAACATGCTCTGCGAAGCCAGCCAGTGAAGAGCCGTATTGCCAATCAAGAGGGGGAGGCTGTACTTGAATGGCATGCCCAGCAGGTATGTTGACTGCTGCTCGCTGTCTTTGGCTGGCCACGTCACTCGTAGCGGCTTGGGAGCAGCCCCATAAGAGCTATACTCGGCGGCAGCAAGTATACTCGCCAGGATATTGCTATAGCCCAGAGAAATGAGGGTCACGGCCAGCTGCGGCAGGTTGGCTGCAATCAGCGTGCCCAGGGAATGGAGTCCCGGGTGCGTTTTGATAGATTCTTGGTTTTTGAGGTTTGTGGCCTGGAAATTTCTGAGCGCGTCTCTGCTAAATGGCCGCAGATAGCTATAGCTGTTCAAGGAGATAAGGTAGAACGCAGACAGTCCAAAACAAGCAAGACACAGGCAAAGCATTGCGCACCATCTCCAGCGACTCGCTCCCCGTACCCAGCGGCCGGGGCGTGAGAGGCGCCTAGCTGTAGATAGAGTATGCCGAGTCTGTTGAGCATCCTGTATACTACTCCTCCACGCACCACGACACACATCTGCCTAGAAAAGTATGTTAGTATGAGTATAGTATGGCCATTTCTGCTGTACCTTGGACATCCAACACAGCCCCTGTGTTGTGGGATCGGGGTGTTGTAGAAATGAGTGGATAGCATCGCCTATCGTTAATAGGGGCCGCGCACGCCCACGGCCAATTCTGGCAGCCAGGAACATCACCGTCACCTTAACCAGTGTCGCCAGCGAAATGGCAGTAGCAATTAGAGGGCTGAAGCGCGCCTCACAGTTCCCATGACTGCGGACCGCCAGGCACTCTGAGAAGGGGTACTCTTGAAGCCCAGGCGTGCCCGGGAGGGCGTCGGCGAACGGTGTTGTATCCGTACATTGTGAACTATTATTTTCCTGGGTAGAGAAGGAGGTGGTGAGAGCCACTGAGTGAAGATGGTTGGAGCCATTATACGTTAGTGTGTCAACAGGCATTGCAAAGCGCACCGCCGCATCTCCCCCTTGGCTGACTGTGAGGTTATCCCCGAGGAGGACCAGCAGCCGGACCCCATCATTCCACTCGCCATATATAATGCCCTGGCACTGCTCAATGGATAGTCGCTGATAATTCCCCTGGCGGATGGTGGACGCAAATGCGGTCCAGCTCAATGGTGGCGAGGACGCTGCTTGGAATGGTTGATTAGGAGGCGCAAAGCACTCTTGCAGGGCGGGCGTCGTGAGATCCTGGACATTAGTCGAGTTGAGATCATGAGGCGCTAGAACTATGGTGTATTGGCCAATAGCCCAGGAGTGAAAGACCATGGAGTTATACAACAGATGAAAAGGGGTTGTTGTAATCAACAAGAGCAGCGCGAGAACACATCGATAGCGGTTGACAATGAACAGGTTGCGGATGCTACCGGAGCCAATATCCAGCCACTTGAATTGGGCATGGCGGGCATCAATCTCCTCCCGCGTGGGAGCAACAAGCCTCTGCATGCAATAGTTGCTTGCTGCTAGAATAACAGTGCTTAATATATTAATAATGACATGTAGTGCAGTGTTCCATCGTTCGGCAACGTCGCAGTCGCCCCGGTAGGCAACTAGAGAACTGGAAAAGTCCCCCTCGGATGGGTAGCGACGGGACAAGATAGCCATAGCAGCAAGAAGAATAGTGTTGAGCAAAAAGATGGCCGATGACACTTGAGCGCAGAGGTAGACCCCGCGGATCCATTTGGGCTCATTCTTATTATTCTCTGACCGGTCCATTAGGATAAGGACAGTTGATTCAAGTGAGGTATGACTGCTATATTTGCCAATCCCGAGCATATAGATAGATAGATAGATAAATAGATACTCATCTACAGCCAAGTACATTCTATATCTTGGACGCCTTATCAAGTGTCATGCATAGGAGCGCCTATGCTGCGGGGTGTCTATTTTAATGTATGACAAGCATTCCTGGTTGAGGGTATCAAATTAATCTTCCCACTGACTTTTCCACAGTCTATATCAACCGTATCTATGGTTTTCTTGTGGAATTTCAATAAAGAATATTATATTCAACATTTAATCCAACATCTTTACTAATTGCCATGTGTATAGGTGATATCTATCAAGTATTAAGTCTTATATTATTATAAATACTATGCCTCCTGGCTTCATCCCTTGCACCTGTAGTGTATCACAAATGCTATATGGTCGGGTGCACATGTACGCTGTACTAGGGTACCCTGTATGATATGTACTTGGCCGTAGCATAGGAATCAGTTTACTCTATATGTGGCCAAATGAATAGAATATATGTCTAGATGTTATGTCTACTGAATTCTACATCTTAACTAGTTGTATCTCTGAATTTTACACTATAGTGACCATAGAGACATTGAACAATATAACTATTATACTACCCTCCAGCTGCTTCTCTCTGTCAAGCCTAGCTGCCACCTCCTTACTGTTGGGTACTTCACCCGAAGATAGCCATGTTCAAATGGCTCTACTGTCATCTAATATGCTCTTTATAATAAGCCCACTGACAAGATGGCTGTGCATGCAAAGAATGTGCTTATGCCCCTGCATAGGGCTTCTAGCTGAGCAAATCTGACATTTAGTGGAAGAGAGAATCAGGAGATATGTGTTGCAGGAACTTCTCATGAGGTTATAAATACAGCCCTGATCCTTCTTTTATCTACACCCCGTCAGACATTACATCTCCAAGAACCTAGCAAGCTAATATTTTCCCTCAAGATGAAGTACAACGTCCCTCTGACCATCTCACTCCTGCTAAGTGTCGTCATGGCCATGCCTCTTAACCACCAGCTTCACAGGCCTCCCTACAAGCGCACAGTTGAGGACAAATACAGTGACAACTGGGCTGGCGCCGTCTTGGTCGGCACAGGGTACAACAGCGTGACGGCTGAGTTCACGGTGCCGACCCCTTCAGCCCCCCCTGGCGGCAATAGCAGTAGTGAGGAGAGCTACTGTGCCGCAGCCTGGGTGGGCATTGATGGCGACACCTGCGAGACTGCGATCCTACAGAGTGGCGTCAACTTTTGTGTTAAAGGCAGCGAGGTGTCCTTTAACGCGTGGTACGAGTGGTATCCAGAAGACCAGTATACCCTTGACCTGGCCATCTCTGCTGGCGATGTGGTCAAGGTAACAGTTATGACCAGTAATGTTTCCAGCACTGCAACAATTGAGAACACTACAACAGACAAGTCGGCCATATACACCTTTGCTAATACGAGACACGACCCTCTGTGCGAATATAATGCCGAGTGGATCGTGGAGGACTTCAAGATCAATAACAATTCATTTGTTCCCTTTGCAGACTTCGGCACTGTCACCTTCTCCTCTGCCTCGGCCGGTACTACATCTGGCGACACCGTCGGTCCTGCCGATGCTACCCTTTTCAATATTATACAAGAGAATGGCCTTCTCACTTCAGTCTCTGTTACTGAAGACTCTGTCACTGTGACCTACATTTAGCTGCCACTGTCAGCTGTTTGACTTGCGTGACTGTGGGGCAGATTCAATATGACTGTGTATTGAATGAAAGGACTTGGCCATTTTCTTTACTAGATCGCCAGAAAGGTACTTCTATGTTTTATGGAATAGTTAATTTACTGCTGGAGCTTGGTTGAATAAGCTGTTACTTCTAGAATTTTCAGCTCACAATTAATCAGCATTGCCAAATTATAAATATATAGACACATACTTGGCCAAGGGTTATATGTATAATTATATAGTATATACTCATCTACGGCCAAGCGTATCCAGTGACAACCCCAGGTTCCGGTGTCTATGGCTGTAATGGCATTAGTTGAATTAAGGTATAACGGGCTGACCCCACCAAACCCGTGGCGGGTCGGTTTGACCCGAACTATTTAGCAGGGATCTGTGAGTGGGACTCGTCAGTATGCAACTATAATTCGCCAAACAGGGCAAGATAAACGACCCCTGGGCTCATATGGCCAGTTGAAGGAGTTCCAGATATTTCTATCTGGCTTGTGGATTATTTCTCGGGGAAAAAACTATATTAAGTTACTCCTAGAAGGATTCTCTATATAGTAGTCTAGCGTCTGTATGCCTTTACAATGGTCTAACAAGCTTGCATATTTAAGCCACGGATTGTATCGGAATAGGGGTGTTAGAGAGTGTTACCGAGCAGGGTACTTAGACTAATATAGTCAATAATTTATATATAGCTAAGTATATATAGTGACAATGATTAATAAACTCAGCATAATGCTAGATATCCTCCTTTATTAATCTAGAGGGAGGAATAATTGGGCTCCAGCTATCACACACAGCAATCTCACGCCAGCGTGGTGATGACTTTGCCCTCTAGTAGGTAGTCCACTGCATATATCATATTTAGTGACCCAAGAAGCTACTTATATTAATCATATAGAAAATCTTAGAGCTTTAAATTCTTTAGAATAATAATAATCAGCAAATAGCAAAGCTTAAAGGTTATAATTAGGTGAAAGCTACACTAATTTACACTATATACTGGGCATAAGTAGTATATAAGGTAGTTTTAATAATGCTATGACTTTTAAATTGCCACTAGGCGACATTTCCAATTAACTTAGGTAGCATGGCTATTCACTAATAAGTATAGATAAAGACTCTATATATTATCACTGCGTACAAATTCGTGGTAAATGATAATATATCTAATTAGTGTCTAATTATAGTCTCATTCTTGGAAAGACTAAAAGCAAGTCAAGTATATATTATTTAAGTTAAGGGAGTAGATCTATAGCACTAAATTATATCATGTAGAAAACACTACAATACTTTTAGAATATAGAGACACTTGTTGATTTCCTGCTAAAAATTCTGAACATTTTGTCGTGGTAAAATTGCCAAAGCCGGCACCCTCCATGGGATAACACCAGAGTCTGTAAACTAAATCAGCCTAGAACTCCCATCCACTTGTATCTCCATTCCAGTCCCGGCTACACCATTTCCTGTCTGGCACCTTGACCAAGCCATATTGAGGTAGGAATTTGATATTCCATTTATATTTGATGTCTCCGCGCTTACAATCGAAGAAGCCGACAAAGTACCTAGTAGCTATGTTAGAAAGATAGATACAAAGGAATAGACAGGGAGAGGGAGAGGGGGGAATGCTGTATAGTATACTAACAAATTTCGTCTCTCCCAGTTCCATACCAAATTTCTCGGTGCAGCGAAGATCGGATAATATCCCAGAGACATCATTTGGTTATATCCATTCTCAAAGGCAGTCCGCACGGCGTCGCGCTGTTCCCTTGGCAGCTCCCAAAAAGGTGCTGGATCTATCTCCTTGCCCAGACACACGCCAGGAACAATCTCCCAGACCAGATGGGTCAAGTAACCGCCTGGGACCACCCCGTCCTCATCCTGTTTGCCCTCTGACCACGCGAGCAGCTTAGGCGTTATATCTGATCCTCCTTCAGTCATATTGCGAAGTGCTTCAAGCTCGATATGCGTGTATGATGTTGCCTGTGGAGCTCGGATGCGCGCAGGCTCAATCTCAGTGCCTATCCAGGGGATCTGCTGGTAGATCCGCATCAGGGCCTGTTGGTTTGGGTTTGGGTCGCTTTCATCATGGCAAAGAAGCTTTATAGCAGCGAAGGAGGGCTGAGAGCCGCTCCGGATATCTTCTTCGTCCATCTGGTGCTCCTTTTCATTCACCTTAGATATGATTCTCCAGGTGGAGGGGGCAGGTGATGTAAGCGAAATCACAGTGCCGGGGGCGACCTGACACTTTCGAAACCAGGTGTGTGGCTCCATGTTGATGCTGATGAGTGAATCTAGTGATGGGAGTCTCTAGGCAGAGGCGGATGTCTAAATGGAGGGGAAAAAAGCATCTTATAATTACAGTTATGCATCTAGCTACCCCTAACCTTTATGTTCCATGGTTCAGGCCTAATGGCGTCGATCATCCACATGCCGTACAACTGGGGAAGCATATATAAGGTAGGTGACTATTCATAATTCCATATCATTGATTTTGCACTGATTGACTTGTTGAAGTTTACTATCCATATCTCTGGAGAAAACATGCTGTTAGACCCTATAGCCCCTCTGATTGGCTGGAAGGATAATGATCCAGTTTCGTTCGGACCGACATTCCCCATTTGGTAACCCAAAAGGCGTATCTTGGATGAGTCATCAGAATCAGTTCCTTGCCGGCATTCATTTATTATAACCAAGACAAGATCTCAACACTGAGAAACCGCCACCAGCTGCCATGTCAGATAATGAGCTCCCATCATCTCTTTTAGATGATATTGACCTTCAATACTCCCTCTTTCCTGACTTACCCAATCTAATAAACGACGAGGGGTTCGAACTGAGCCCACTTGATCGCTGGAAGAACTCCCCGCCAGAGACAGAAGCTGCTCTGCTCAGTGATATCGCAAACTCCATCACAACTGCGAACAACGACAATCTACCGAATGCCTCTCATGATTCTCTCACTTCCTCGCAACGTCGTCGACAGCCTCACCGCTCAACGCCATCCGTTGCCGCGTCTGACTCCACCAGGTCGAGCGTGTCCAGTAGCTCAGCTTCATCTGCCCACAGCTTTGCGTCAACCCTCTCGGGATCGTTTGGTCGGTTCTATGCCGGAGTTCCAACACGGCGCCGACGCCGGAGACGCCAGCGCAGGAAGTCTCCATCCCCTGGTGGCTGTACTATGAAGCCATTGCCAACACGGCCATACCAGTGCACATTTTGCACCGATGTGTTTAAATCAAAGCATGACTGGGTACGGCATGAGAAGAGTCTGCATCTTTCGCTGGAAAGTTGGACTTGCGCGCCTTTTGGACCGACCTATACGGATGCATCTTCATCTCTCTCACGATGCGTGTTTTGCAATAGCGAACACCCATCAGAAGCCCATCTTCGCAACCATCGCTTTTGGGAATGTCAGGAAAAGCCATGTGCCCTTCGTACATTTTATCGCAAAGACCATCTGGTCCAGCATCTACGGTTGATGCATGGAGTTGAGAAGGGTAGTTCTCAGGTGGAGGCTTGGAGGTCCGAAGTGACACATATCAATTCGCGATGTGGCTTTTGCATGGAGGTCTTTACTCGGTGGACAGACCGCAATGATCATCTTGCCGCCCATTTCCGGCAGGGCCTCTTAATGAAGGATTGGAAAGGCTGTCGCGGGCTTGATCCTGCCGTGGCCCTGGCGGTTGAAAATGCCATGCCGCCGTACCTTATTGGCGCTGAATCTGCTGGCCTTGATCCCTTCAGCGCCTCGAAAAGATGCAATAATGACCCGAGTCTTGGTGATGCGTGCTGTCTGCAGCGTGGAGAAACCCAACCAACTCCGTTTGAGCAGCTGACAGAACACTTGATCCGTTTTGTGCGCGAAAACCAAGCAACTGGAGTGGCCGTCACGGATGGTTCAATCCAGCAGGAAGCACGCTCTTTTGTGTATGGTGATGCAGACCCTTGGAATCAAACCGCAGCAGACAATCCGGACTGGCTGCAACTATTCAAAGATGGGATGGGATTAGATCCCTCTTCGGCTGGAAATCTCCAAGTTCTCGACCGATGCGCAGCCTCATCAAAACCATTCTTCCCCCTCCCATGGACACCAAACACAGCAGAAATCCATGGGTCTGACTCTTCCATCTGGTCCTGGCAAAGCCCCGAGTGCCTTGTAGAGTTTCGCAGGTCCAACGATCCGGAAGTATCGAACAATCCTGATATACCATAGTCACAGGTATTATTATAGTAGAGTGTCATTCACTGTTCTATATCATTCAGCCTTGGAGTTCAGCCACTATTCAAGATCATTATAGCCATGCTCCTCCATCCAGTCGTCGTTGGCAAAAGTCGTGAGATAATTACGAAGACTGTCCGGCAGTATTACGACAACAAGCTTATCCTCCACATTCAGTTCGGGGTGAGCTTCCATGAGCTGGACCAGTGCAGCAACCGTCGCCCCCGAGGATCCTCCACAAAGAAGCCCTTCCTCTCGCACAAGGCTGCGTGCATACCGGAAAGAATCTCGATCAGAGGTTTTTATCCACAGGTCGGGCTCTGCTTGATCCAACACCTGTGGCACAAAGTCGTATCCGATTCCTTCCACCTTGTATTCAGCTTTGAACTCGTTCAGCCCCTCTGGCTGAGCAAGAATGGATCCAAGAGGATCGACCGCCACGATCAGGACATTCTTGCTGTGTTTCTTAAGGCCTCTCGCGGTGCCGGTAACAGTGCCCCCAGTTCCAGCTCCGCTGATCACAATATTGACCCGTCCTTCAGTCTGATACCACAGTTCTTCCGCGGTCCCAAACTCGTGCGCCGCTGGATTTTCTGCATTGGTATATTGGTTCAGGATGAAGGAGTTGGGGGTTTCCTGCTGCAGACGCCGTGCCACGCTGAGGATGGAGTCCGGAGAGTCAATGGGCACCCCGGCCGGTGTACGAACGACTCTCGCTCCCAAGGCTTTCAAAACTCGCTCCTTTTCCAGGGACATCTTCTCCGAGAGGGTAATGATGCATTTGTAGCCTTTGATGGCCGCCATTAGAGCAATAGCAATTCCACTGTCCATCAAGAACGAGTTAGGGTCAAGATTTACGGTTTCTGCTGACCGGCCGCTTCGGACTTACGTGTTGCCACTTGAAGCCTCGATCAAGGTATCTCCCGGTTTGATTTTCCCGTCTCTTTCCGCTTTCTCGACCATGCGCTTGGCGATCCGATCTTTGACTGAACCGCCTGCATTCAGGTATTCGAGTTTGGCGTATACTTGCGCTTTGATGCCGAGCGTTGCAGGGAGGCGGTTCAGACGGACTAACGGCGTTGCTCCAATGCAGTCAGCGACAGATTCTTTTTTGGGTTGACCGAGAAATGGCGATGCTTGGTTGCTTGCTTCCATCTTGTCACTGCCAAGTCACCTGGTAATAGTAGTGGATGAAAGAGACAAGAAGTTCAAGAGTTATCTTTGAAAGTAAATATACGCCTGAAATCATCAAGGCCTTGTTTAAAAGAGGAAATCACAAAGGCTCGATCAGCGGGAGAATTACTTGAAAAGGAAACCCGTAAGGCGTAGAATAAAAGAAAGCCCCACACAACTCCTCCCATCACCAGGATAAATTCAATTATAAGGCTATTCTGTATTTTGAATCTATTTGTTTTAAACCATTTCATTTCCTGGATTTTGCCCTGTCAGCAAAATGTCAACACATCCAGAAAAACTCCAGACGCCTGAGAAACAGACTCGCCTGATCCGACACTTTGAAAAAAGGTATTGATTGTATTTGACATTATGGGTCACAGAGGTCTGACAGGTGGCAGTTCGATCGAGGAGCATAACAATGCATGGACAAACCTCTGGGACACCGATAACAGTGACATGTGGGACAGAGGGAAGCCCTCGCCTGCTCTGATTGATCTGATTGAACAGAGGGAAGACATTCTGAGCCCAATTGCAGTTGATGGCCGGAGGAAGAGGGCTCTCGTTCCTGCAAGTATCTGCCTTCCCATTCTCACAAAAATATAAGTCTTACGGGTCCTAGGGATGTGGAAAGGGCTACGATGTGGTCATGCTTTCTCTACATGGGTTCGATGTTGTTGGGCTTGAGATCTCGGCCAAGGGAGTCTCCATCGCAGAGAACTATGCACGGGAAGAGCTCCAGACTCCCCAAGCGTACAATTTCGGGTCTGCTTGGGTAAACAAGTTTGAAAGAGGCTCGGTATCTTTTATTCATGGAGATTTCTTCCAATCGTCCTCTGTTAAGGGGGAGAGGTTTGATATTATTTATGACTACACTGTAAGCCATAAATCTTGCAGGACCTATTATATATATATATATATATATATATATATATATATATATATATATCTCACTGTCTATAGTTTCTTTGTGCTCTCCATCCAACAATGCGTGCTCAATGGGCTTCACGCATGGCTGACCTGTTGGTTTCCGGTGGTCTTCTGCTTTGTTTGGAGTTTCCTCTCTTCAGAGATCCTAGCCTTCCAGGCCCACCGTGGCCCTTGCAAGGCGTCCACTGGAACCTACTCGCTGAGGGTGGTGATGGAATTGTGTATCCTCCCAGGCCGGATCAACAGGGGAAAACGGGGTCTTTCGAGAGGAAATGGTATATCAAGCCTGAGAGGTCGTATGAGAGTGGGAAAGGAACTGATATGTTGAGCGTTTACAAAAGGAAGTAGATTAATAAGTACCTTCAATTAAACTCATAATAGTCATTTCCTTACCGTGCCATCCATCTAAATGTGGAAAGATGGCAATTATGAAGTGGACGATATACATCTCATTAGAAGTATCTTATGATTATATAGCCCATGTGTCTCTTAAATATATCATAAACCCCCTCTAATAATCATAAGATAGGGCTAATCTATTAGGAATATATAAGAATGAGGTATTTTTTATCCACCATTTTGAAAACGCGCCCTACAGGTTTCCTTTTATGATTTAGTGTTATTACCCCTCTTAAGGCTACCCTTAAATATCAGCTGGGCTATCTTGTTGGAACTGAGAAGTCATTCTTCTCTCATTTACAGCAAAGGCTTCCCTTTTGTTAATGAACATAGCCATTTGCAACATGGAAGGATTCGGTACTCAGGCTGTCCGATCAGGCCTGCCGCGAGATGCTGGCACGGGTGCACTGGTAGAACCTGTAAGTACAGCCGATCTACTTTGGATTATTCGCATCTTACATAGTTTCTATTGAGATATTCCTTGCTACGACCTTCGCCCAGCAGCATGTCGGATCTCCGACGGGCTCCTATATCTACAGCCGCTCTGCCAACCCGAACCGGGAAAGCTTTGAGAAAGCCATCGCGGCATTGGAATCTGCAGAGTATGCTATAGCCTTCTCTTCTGGCATGGCTGCAACGGCTGCAGTTCTCCAGGGGCTCGCGTCAAACTCGTCTATTGTTGCCATGGGCAGTCTGTATGGTGGAACACATCGGTACTTGATGCATCTTGCCCCGGCATTTGGCGTGAAAGTATCGTTCGTGAATGATATCCATACAGAACTGGGTCCGCTGCTCAGCCAGGGATCCGACGAAAAGGTGACGGTGGTGTGGATTGAGTCACCCAGCAACCCGACCCTGTCTCTTGTCGATATCAAGAGTGTCGCGGATATGGCCCATGCCGGTGGAGCTCATGTCGTGGTAGACAATACCTTCTTGTCGCCTTACTTCCAGAACCCCTTGAAGCATGGAGCAGATATTGTGCTGCATTCAGTGACCAAGTATATCAATGGACACAGCGTAAGTTTTCACCTTCTTGAAACTGCCTCGAGTTCTATATTCTGAAACGTCTTCTAGGACGTTTTGATGGGGGTGATTGCCTTGAGCTGCCCTGAAATAAGGAAGACGCTCTCCTTCATCCAAAATGCCGCTGGAAGCGTTCCGAGTCCATTTGACTGTTGGCTTGCTCATCGCGGACTGAAAACCCTTCACCTTCGTGCACCGGCAGCGTCTCGCAATGCTCTGGCAATAGCTAAATCATTGGACACGTCGCCCCTTGTTCTGAGCGTCAACTATCCCGGCCTTGACGAACATCCACAACGACGGATTGCACTGTTGCAGCACCGGGATGGACTAGGAGGGGGGATGGTTTCATTTCGCATCCGAGGTGGACGTGATGCTGCTGCCAAGTTCTGTGAGAGTTCAAAGCTTTTCACTCTGGCAGAGAGTTTGGGAGGATTGGAGAGTCTTTGCGAGATACCAGCCGCAATGACGCATAATGCAATGCCGAAGGAGGCGCGAGAGGCAGCTGGGATTTATGACGATTTGATTAGACTCAGTGTGGGGGTGGAGGATACGGATGACTTGGTGCGGGATGTTCTAGAAACCTTGAAAGTCACTGCGATAGTGTCTGCTTAACTAGTTTTCAATGAGGTTCCAGTCGATTGGTTTTACTCATAGAGTAGATATTCTTATGCTAATTACATATAGAAGTCTGACACCGAAAGTATCTAAATTCAGAACAAAAAAATATCAAATTGAGTATGGCTAGAAAATTCGGTTGAATGCTTAGACTTGCCCCAATATGATCGAAGCTCAAATAAAGATGACAAGCTTCGGCGGATGGCTGCCTGCCTTTAAGATTCCCCCGCAAATGCAATCTACGTGTACTCCGCCTTTTGAACAGGGATCGGCATCTGGTCCGCCCGTGGGGTTGCAACAACAACCCTATCCCCCATGCCTATACCCCACGATCATACTCCATGTCCATACTCCAGATCATACCCCGCTCTATTTCAATAGCCGACAGTGCTTAAAGCTTTTTCCTAGTGTGTGAGAGAAAGATATATAAGTGGATTAAACCTCACTATATTAATATTGAACCATGGTCTACATGGGCGTTTTCCCACCAATATGACTCTTTCTATGGAATTGGCAGTTCTTGCTGTGCTGCTGCCACTTGCAGCCAGCGTCACAAATATCACTAGCACCATTAGCCTCTCTCCAGCCCAGACTCCAAGTCCAGGGAAACAGATGCACGATGCCATCTACAACTCCTTCTCTATCGAGTTCTCATTTATGGTGGAGTATGCAGGGAACGACTCGTAAGAGCTATAATCTGATATTTTGGCTCACCCCTTGCTACTATTCCCACTGCTATTCTCACTACTATTATAGGCATCCCAACACCTTCTCGCAGCAGGTAATTCAGAATCTGGTAGATATCAGTGGCGAGCCACCCATGTTTCGGGTTGGAGGGAGTACCCAAAGTCTAGCTGTCTACTATCCCGACCAGGCCGAGGCTATCATTGATCCCTTTGAGTCTATCGCCTCTACACAGCCGAATTACTCATTCATCGGGCCTGCGTTTCTCCAGTCCTTTCACCAGTTCCCTGTTGATACAAAATATATCTTTGGTACGTTTTATTCGTTAATCAAAGGAGTGTTTTTTATTCCTATGCTGATCGACCAGGACTCAACTTTTATAACCCTGATGAGACTCTTTTTGATATAGGCGACGGACTGGCGCAGTGTGTCCTGGAAGCACACGCAGCATACACCAGTCTTGGAGATGCTCTATACGCCTTTGAGATTGGGAATGAGGTTGACGGTGAGCAATGGTGATGTCTAGGGTTAGGGCTGGTCGTAACCCTAACCCTAACAAAGTGAAGGCTGCTAACTATTCCAGTCTGGCCTGGGACTGACATGCGATCTGCCAACTGGACTCTTGATGACTACGTCAAGCAGTGGAACCACTATGCAGCAAATATCAGCCTGAACTTGACAGGAAAGGACGATCTACAACTTTTCCAGGGCTGTGTGTTTGAGTCACCACGTAATGTGTACAACAAGACATCCTAGGACGTTGCCAACGCCGAGGCGGACGGTATGACGACAAAAAGGGCCAAAACGGTTTCTGACCATGATGTTAGCTTCCACCCTTCAAAAGAAGAATGAAGCTTCTTGCTGATCATGGTAGTATATGGGAACGAATTGCGGGTATACGGGAGTTGGCCCGACTATTGAATCCACCATCTTCAACCGAACGCTCGTGCTGTCCATCCTGTGGTACCACGAGTACCTAGGCAATCTGACCAGAGCATCCGGCATCCCCTATGTACTTGGTGAGACGAATTCAATCGCATGTGAAGGGGCAGAAGGCATCTCAGATGTGATGGCGTCTGCGATCTGGGCAGTCGATTACGTGATGTATTTGTCGTCACTGCAGGTTGACCGCGTGCACTTCCACATGTGTACACGATGCCGCTATTCCGCCTGGGTGGCGACTCCCTTCAACGGGACGGATCCGCAGGTATACCCGCTCTATTATGCCAGTCTGTTCAATGCGCAAGTTTTTGCCGGCGGCGAGAAGCAGACCGAGGTGCTGGTCAACACCACTTCCATGGGTGCCTATGCAGTTTATGCCGGGGGTGAGCTGGAATCTCTGGTTGCCGTGAGCGTTTCCATCTGGAATTCTACTGAAGATGCGACTGCACGACCCTACACGGCCCTGCAGCTGCCTGAGGGCTGGGAACAGGCTCGTGTCTTCCGCTTGACCAACCCTGGAGTCGATGTGGCCACAGATATCACGTTTGCTGGCCAGTCAGTCAATCAGGCTGGGGAGATGGTCGGGGAAAAGAAGTATGAAGACGTGTTGGAGAACGGGGTGGTGCTGGTGGGTGCCGGGGAGGCTGTCCTGATCCAGCTGTGATAGCACTATTTTTCAAACTGTGTCTCTATATATTCCCTCTTCTGTAAACAACCATCACATACGACCACAGGGTGTGGAAAACAGGGCTTCCCGTCCGCTCAGCCGTACTTAAGCCACACGCCGGTAGGTTAGTAGTTGGGTGGGTGACCACCAGCGAATCCCTACTGTTGTATGTTTTTTTTATACTTGGCCGTAGATTGAGTTGGAATACCGCCTGTTGGCAAGTAGAATTATTCCCACATGATTGATTCACTCAGCAACTGATAATTTTTGATATATACTCAACCAACTTTATGAGTCGACAATTCCCCCAAGAGTCTCGGCATCCCCCTCCTTCCTATACCGTGATCCTAAAGATTACTTACATATATTAGAAAAGGTTCTATTTCTTTCAAGTTATTAGAGATCTGATGGTTATCCTTTATATAATACCGAAAATATAGGGAAATGTAAACTATAATATCAAATAATAAATATACCTATCCTTATACTTATTATTTAGTATTATTATTAACTATCTCATTCATTGTAAAGCTATCAGTAATTGCTTATAAATTTCCTGACCAAGCACTATTCTCTGTGCCAGGATGCACTAGGAAACTGGTAATAATATTTTCCTATTCTAGCGCTATTTAGCCAGCCTTCCGGCAGGCCCTGTCAGCTTCTGAGATATATAGTCTGACCCTGCTGATACTAGTCCCTTTCTCCTATACATACGCTTACTCTTCAAAGTTTTAGGACTGTGTAAGCGATTGCCCTTAGACCCCGATTCTTTATATCTATCAACTTCATCTACAGTCAACTACAATGTCGAAAATCGATGTCCACCACCACTTCTATTCCACTGCCATCACAGAGGGTAAGCATCACTAGATAGATGAAAATGTCACCTAATTCTTCCAGCCATTGAAAATGCCGGCGGGGATCCTTCCGGCTGGACTCTTCCCCCCTGGACCATAGAAGCCGACAAAGAAATCAACGTCGCGGTGGGAACAGATATCGCCATCCTCTCTGTGACTGCTCCAGGCGCGTGCATCGAAAGCAACCCAGTCAACGCCGCCAAGTTGGCTCGTCAGATCAATGAAGACGGTGCGGCGATCCGAGACGCCCATCCCACCAAATATGGCTTCTTCGCCTCCCTGCCTTCTTTACTCGACACTGACCTTGCCCTCGGCGAGATTGAGTATGCCCTCGAAACTCTCCATGCCGACGGGGTGGTGGTCTTCACCCGCTATGGTGAAGACTACCATTACCTTGGCCATCCAGACTTCCAGCCCATCTGGAAGGAATTGAACCGTCGCAAGGCCGTTGTCTTTGTCCATCCAACCCATCTGGCTGATACTAGACTCATCAGCCCTCACCTCCCGCAGCCGATGTTCGACTACGCCCATGAAACGGGCCGCACAGCCATCGACCTCATCACCAGCGGCGCTCTTGAAAATGCCCCAAACTGCAAGATTATCCTTTCGCACGCTGGTGGGACTTTGCCTTATCTGATCTATCGCGTTGCCGGCATGATTCCGCACACCCCGTTTACTATAGGGAAGACCACCAAGGATTTACTCACCCTCGCAAAGCGCTTCTACTTTGATACCGCCCTCTCTGGCTCAAAGATGACGCTGGACTTGCTGTATTCCTTTGCTTATCCAGGTCATGTACTCTTCGGATCCGACTTTCCTAATGCCCCAAGGGAGGGGATCGAGTATTTCTCTGCCATGTTCGATGCGTACAGTGACGACCATCAGCGGAATACCAGGGAGGCAGCGCTGGCGTTGTTTCCAAGGTTTCGATGAGAATACTATTGGAAGATCAGGGGGATGAATAGTATGAATAGCGAATAAAGTAGTCTTTTCAATTAATGTATTATACCAGCTGTTTGACCATTTTATATATCATCTGGGGTGGCTGGAACCACGTCAATTACCCTAACCCTAACCCTAACAGCAGTTCTATACCAGATTTTGCCTAGCTGTAGATAGAGTAGTCATAAATAGTCGATCTAAATCATCTCAACTCGAGCCCAGGAATGGGCACGCGGCCCATGGCCTCCGATATCCCCCCTCAGCGAGAGATAAACGTGAAGCGAGGACCTTGGACCCGGAGCAAAAGATCATCATGTTGGGTCCCTTGTTGGCGGCCTGCCCCAGCGGCTTTAGGGCGCTGCTCCTCAAGGAGCCCCCAAGTCCCCGACAAGCCCCGCGGCGGCGCTCATGCCTACAGAAGCCTAGGTGGGCGTTTTGCCCTCGATGAGGCCCTTGACGGCCTCCACAGCAATGTTGGTGACGACGCCTGCGGCGATGTTCAGCCCGGCGTTGATGGCCGTTATTAGGCCCGGAATCAGGACTGTGTCCAGCCCGGCCGTCAGCGTTGAGATGGCAGCGCCGACAACGACGCCGATCACCGTCGATGGGTGGCGTTGCCGCTCTCCAAGGGAATCGAACAGGGAAAGGCCGGGACTGACATCAAGACCACCGACAGTGGCAATCAGCTGGAGGTATCTAATCACAACTAGAGAGTGAGTTGAGTGTCTAGTCTCAATGAGGGAAATAGTTGGGGTATCAATCGCAGTTGAAGAAGTGGTATCATCTTTGTAGAGCTATGCCGCATATTAGATAGATCATCCTCATTATGGTGATCATGCCTGCATATTGCTGTTGTACTTAATATAGGGGGTAACCTCTATTATGAATTAAGAGCCTTTTGTTGAATACTATTGTTACTATATTATTATATCTACCTAGAACTTCAAAAGTGCATCAGAACAAAAGCTTTGTTTGACTAAATACATAAGAATCCTGAATATTCATTTATATTTACTATAATTACATCATATATATATAGAATTCATTGGTTATATCTTTTAATACTAGCTAAGCTAGAGCATCTCATTGTACTCTCACTATCTGTATATCTAGTTCTCAAAGTAGGGCTTAGGGTTAGGGCTCTAAAATGACTTTAGGTTCAATGTCCTGGCTTCATCTCTATCATAATCTTGTATCTGATATGGCCTCCCGTTCTTCCTCATTCAAGATGATACCAAAATCCGCACTCAACGAAGCCACCCGTTCCTCTTCGCTCTGGCACCGTCGAACCAACTGCGTCTTCCCGCCGAGATTCTCCTTGACATCGCCATTCACCAGCATACGTTTCCCATATATCTCCTGCCCCCGTCTGAGGAATCGCACCACCAAGACAGTAAACCTCTGGAAACTGTCGGGGCTCTGGCTCGTGAAGAAGTTCATCACCTCAAAGTCTGCGCGCTGAAACTCGGTCTCAGTGAAGGCGTAGAAACTGTTCCATTCCTGCTCGGTCGAGTTGCGATACTGATAGATCCAGTTCTTCTGACTCTCTGTCTGACTGATCTGGCCAGGAAGATAATCGTGTGCCAGTCGGATTTCCTGCGTGCCAATATTCGCCGTCACTACACCTGGTGTCAAGGGTAACGGGGCAATAGGCCCATCTCCCCCGAATCCGGAATCGACCACATATCGACCACAGGGGAGAGAAACGATATTCACAACGTGCACCCTACAAATCAGATCAAGCCCTTGGAAAAAAGGTGAAACGTGTAGATTGAAATAGAGAGATGATACCACCCCGAGTAGTCTCCCTGTGGAACCCCATCGACACGGTACCTAATCCGCGCCCCAGTAGGATACACGGTAAACCCCAGACTGCGCAGGATGTCGGTGAACAGCAAGGTGGTCTCCATGCAGTACCCGCCGCGTCCGTTGCGTGTGCATTTGCGCAGCAGATGCTGTGCATCGAGCGAGATGCGTTTGTTGATCGAGTAGTGCAGCGCCAGATTCTCGTACGGGATCGCGGAGATGTGGTGCGTGTGCAGCGCTGTCAGGAAGGACAAGTCTCGAGGCGGCCATTCATCTTGTCCATCCGCTGTTCGGCGCCGGAATTCCAGTGGAATGTCGATGTACTCGAGGTACGCATCCAGTTGGGCGGGAGTAAACATTGTGAGATGTATAACAGTAGAATCTCTTTTAGTGACTCAACAGAGTGCTGCATATTTATACTAGTTATGAGTCAGATCTCACCTAGTTAATTAACTGACCTTGCTTACCAATAAACTAGCATAGAACTTATTAAAGTTGCGGATGAAGCGGCAGTATAATAACTATAATTCAATAATAGTGGATTAGATTAGCGTGGATGGACCATCGAACACTAGAACGGTATCTTTGGATTGTTATATATATTCATATTTCCTATAATTAATAGAAGTTTGATGAGAAGAAAATCAAAGCTATATCTCATGTACTATACCGAAATATCGTCAATAGATTTCATCACCTTCTCGATAAATTGCACTGCAACAAAATCATCACTCAGTCCTTCCTCCCCTCCAAAATCCTCATTATCGTCGTCTAAACATGTCAGGCATGATATTACCACCTGTATATACCTATCGCCCATACGAGGGGCCAGTAGTGAGCCAGCCTGCTCAACCAGGTAGTCCTTGAGCCTGTCGGGGAGATCTTCAGTCGATACGGAGCCATGTTTCTTCTTAAGCCACGCTTGGAAGCGGTTGTAGGACTTTCCAACCTTGGTTTGGGAAGGACCAGCCGACTCGTTCTCATCTGTATATTCAACAAAGGATTCCCACAGGCCAATCTCGAGCAGACAGACGCCAAGACTGTAGATGTCGTGCTGCATGCGGTACCGTTCAGCTGGATTCACACCCTGGCGGCGCGGATGGCGGTACACATTGCGGTCCCAGCTCGTGTCGCCGCCCATCATCGTACCAGTGCCTGATTCACGGAAGGCGTCGAAGCCAACCAGGAAGGCATGGCTGCGGGGTGTTCCCTCGCTGCTCTCAAAGCAGAGGACTGACTCTGGTCGCACATTCTTGTGCACAAAGTCGAATGTGTGCACGTAGTTAACCGCCTTGGTCAGCTCTCGCGCAATCCGCACCTTCTGCGAAAGCGATAGATAGGCATCCGAGTTGAGAAGGAGGTGTCGCAGCGACTGCAGCACCTCCATGCCGTGTGGAATCCGGAACACGAGCTGGAATCGGACGTATTCCCTCTCGCTGGAAGCCGCGTGTTGCCGCGATACGGGAACCACTCCCTTGCAATTGAGCAGACCAAATGCCAGGGGATCTGCTTGAGAGAGTTTGGTAGCGAGCACACGGACATCGCGCAGGAGATCGCGGATCCGGGTGGTGTGGTCGACCTCGATGCTGTCGACAATGTACCATCTAGTGTTCTGCCGGCCTGCTGTCGCTGTCGAGAAGGGAATGTTGCGCCACTCCATTTGTGATTCCGGGAGCATGACTGACCGGCGATTATTGCCAGTGGTCGACAGCACGCTTCGAATCCCTGCGGCAAGTGCGAGGGGATTTTGGGCAGCGGTGGCCAGTCCATTTGGAGTTTTTTTGAAGTTTTCTCCGTCTCCCTGGCCTGTGCCAGCTCATTGTCGATACTAGGGTTGGCAATCTTGATGAGGAGAAACCAGGAGGGATCGAAACGGGCTTGCCACGCCTCTAAATCTGCGATGATGGCCTCAACTGTATCCTTCTTCCACAACCAAGTAGGCTTCCTAATCTTTGACCTGAGTCTGAATATGCTGGGCCGCGCCCAGGGAGTCCCTCCGGATCACCGTTTCAAGACTGAATATTTCACAATCATAACTGATAAACTATTACTGGAAAAAGATAAGGCAGCTGGTAGAAGTTACATAGTTTATGTCAACTTCTGTTTTACTTTGTTAAAGTTACTGGAAAAATGTATAGCTATTACAGAAATCTCCCTTAGCTAGTATTGCAGTTTCTGTGTCAAGACCCTCCTTATGATATGGACCTCCATTTATAGGAAGGTAAAAGACAAAGGTATTTATTGACATACCTGCAGTTCAGTGTAGGATATCATATCAAGAGAGGTCAGGCAGGGAATACCTCACGCCCCAATAGCACCTCTCAAATTGCCCGAGCAGACCACAAGGGTATCTTTTCACTCTGTACTACCATGGACGTACTGTATAGAATATGTTTATTGATATCGATGGATGGGTGTCGCTTGTCCATCCAGGTTTGCCATTCGAGTGGGACGTGCTATGGCGCTTGACGTATGACCACATTTGCATTCGTATCTCTACTGCCAAATAGTTACAGAATGACGGCAACCGAGTTAATCAAAGCGTTACTCTTTTACGAGCACTCGAGATCATACTCCTAACTCATGCTTCCTGGCCGCCTCAATAATTTATATATATTTTACTTGCCCTCTATTGATGATGAAAGGATAGGGCTAGTATTAGGGCTGTCTGAAAGCTTAATATGCTACCTTCTCTAATCAATATAAAGAGGATGTTTATTATGTAGAACATCATAGTTTATAACATAATCACTATATATAGGATTAAATCAAAAAATGAATGATATGAATAGGGAATAAATCACTATGCTTAAAGTAGTTACTTGGGTGAGGGTATCCAATGTAGGACAAAATAAGATTCTCCCTTTTGGTTAATATGCTGGTCATATTGCCTAGTACTAAAGTATATTTCTCTCCCATGCTGGTCATGAATCTCACCATAGATACTATTGAACTGATATTGAAAGATCAGTGGTGGCCTGGCATATAAGCTAAAGTGGGCGTTGGTTATGCGAGCAACCCTCATGCCCTCTAGCCTCCACTGATCACCAACTACATCTTTCAACACACCAGAAATGAGGTCTAACCTTTTGAAGTATCTCAGTGTCTGTTGAGACTTTCTTGGGAAGGCAGTGATAAGAAGGGTTGTAATGCACTTTCTGTAGCAGGGTAAGTGAATCATTTTTCTTGATATTTCTTAGAAAATGACTGGTCAGAATGCTGGTCTGGAGCGAGGGTTACCTATTGCTAATCGTAAATGTAAATGAAAAGGAGTAATAGAGTAGAATGTCAAGTCCGTCTAGATCTCAACGATCAGTGAACGGGTCTAGATAAGAGCTAGGGGCGATGTCGACTACTACCCGCAAGACCTCATGGGTGTCTTTCTTGTGCTGCCTAGGATGTTCAAAGATCAATACCCCTTGTCAGTGAATCCTATATATTCCTTCTTTCATAGTCTTCTATCACATACGACCACAGGGTGTGGAAAATAGGGCTTCCCGTCCGCTCAGCCGTACTCAAGCCACACGCCGGTAGGTTAGTAGTTGGGTGGGTGACCACCAGCGAATCCCTACTGTTGTATGTTTTTTTCTTTTATACTTGGCTGTAGATTAAGTGACTCTACATAGATTTTTATTCCTCTTGTTGAATATTGTGGTCTGCCACAAGAAAAGACAACGGACAGGATGGTTGGTCTGTTCTATAGAGGGATACAACGGGGATTAATCTGTAATGCGGATCTCCAGACTACATAAGCACTAATTACTCGGAAATTGGGAACTAAATGGTTGATAAATGGTGAAGACGCAGTATCTGAGTATTAACTAACTGGGTAATAATTCAATCACTGGATCTACAGAAGAGGCATATTTGTCGGCTTCTCCAGCGACGACCACATGCCCCTGACAAATGCAGATCTCCTGCTGGCATTGAAAGGAAAGCCACGGCGACCAGCTTGGCGATTCTGGTGACCCTGATAAGCTAATTATACAAATTTCGTGGAATAGGCTAATCGATCAATACCGCGTTTCCAGCAATCTGGCTGCGTTGCACCAGGGCTGTGAGGATATCTGGGCAGGGAGGTCGACCATAGCCGGAGAGAAAAGTGTGTATTGGAGTGAAGAAGAGAACTGAGAGCTGATGGCAATAGTTCATTGTTGGCGGCGTGAATCTGATGCAGCACCTTGCTGCCACCCTCCTCCTCAAGTCTGGGCGCCCTTCCTGCCATTGCCGGCGTGATATCCGCGACAATCACCGTGGAGTCGAAGGCCATCCCCCCGTGGCGGGGCTGGAGGGCGTGTATTCCTAGATTGCGCAGCTCAGCATGCCTCGGGACTTGTATGGTATGTACTGTTTCAACCTAGCTCTAACCCTAACCCTAACCCTAACCCTATAATTCCATAGAATGCATCGCCTCTGAAACCAGGAGCTAGACAAGCCGACCTTTGCCCAAGCATCGTACGTGGCAGTCCAGATTGCCCTGGTGGATCATCTCTGATGAATCAAGTTTGTTCTTCCCTTTTCTTGTCTCAACTCATAAGTCTCAGACGATCTAAAAGACCATCTGTCCACCCCAGTGATATCCTCCTTCAGCAGTGCACGGATACCGACGTCACCCAGATGTAATATACTCTGGGGAGGACCTTTGAAACATAGGATATGAGGGTCTCCCCCGATGGGAAAGAGGGCATTGCTACTGTGATGACTCCCAGCATCCCCCACCAGGCCACAGCTGGTTGCATATCTTTTTGTTTGCTGTTGATTGCATACGTACTTCTTTACGAGTTGGCTCGGATTGCCGGTTGGTATTGGTCAGCCTCGCGGGCTTGTTCCATTCACCCTGCCTGCACTCTGCAGCCTCGTCTGGGCGTGGATGCGGGATATTTCTGATACGCCAGCACACACATCAGACGCAGGAAGCAAACTCACTCATGATAGCCTACAAATTAAAAGGGATCTCTTATTGGTGAGCCTCGGATTGTTGTCTAGGTTTCTTTTTAGGGTTTAGGGTCTATCCTCTTAATATATACTTCAATTGCCGCCCCTCAATCTAGTCTAGACGAGAAGCTAATCTTCTAAACCCTGTTTCCTCAACCTTCATACTCTCACAAAAATCCTTACTTTGATTCCCTACTTCAGCTCCGAACCACAAACTACGAGACGCACAGAAGATATACAACAGCCGGTAGCCAGAACATTAAAATGACACAAAACGAAGGACTACTCAACAGGGAAGTTGATGAAGCAAGAAAGAGACTTGATGAACGAAACAATGAGCGGAAAACAGCAATTGCCCAGACACGCAATAAGATGGACAATGAACTTGGAGAACTACGCAAAAGCAGGGAAAAGGATATTTATCAAAGATCCACGAGGAACTTTACATATACAGGGGCAACTCTAAAGGAGGTCGAGGCTTATTATAAAGCGAGGATGGAGGAGCGCGAGAAAGCTCATAAAGAAGAGATAGCGTCACTTGAAGCATATCACACTCGGCGGGTACAGGAAGCTCAAGACTTGTACTTGCAGGTGCTTCAAGTCGGGGCGAACCAGCCCTCCACTGCTATCGAGCCGAGCGGAAATACCGACCGACAGAGGGGTAGTTATGGGGGATCCGGGGCATTGCTTTACCTTGAACAAAGTACAGGTGGCTGGCGCAATTGGTAAGATAGGACGACATCCTCTATATTATATGAAGGAGCAAGCTAAAGGGTGTCTGTTTAAATAGATGTCTATCGATGGCAACATATAGGTTTAGGGGAGAAAGCAAATGTCTTTCAGTGGGCAGGCTATATTGCCAGCGGTGGAAGTACCGAGACGGGTGTTTTATCCTATATTATATACCACTCTGAGGTATTAGGATTAGGCATGGTTTATTCCTTTAATGTTATACCTGGTTAAATGAAAGTCTAGTGCCCTCAGAAGTCCTCTAGCAGACCGATAGACAAGGGCATCTTCGAGTATAGCCAGTCCGTGATTATTACTCTGTCGAATGTCAATCTTCCAGATGGTAAACGGCCCGCTGAACTCGACCGTCCGAATGCGATGCGAAAACTTGAACGCCGCTCCTTGCATATTGTGGATGGTGGTCAACACAGAGGGCTCAGAGCAGAGCAGATCAGGGCAAATGCAGCTAGGGCTCGTGTCAGGCAGGATGTGGCACAATTGAGAGTGGAAAAGGAGCGTCTCCTCAATGAGATAGGTGGTGAAGGGAGTCTTCCCTCTCAACAGCCATACAGAAACTCCCAGAGACGCTGAGGAGGCAGAATGAAGAATTTGAAAGAGAATTTAAGGGCATCAGTGAGGGATTGGCGCAAGAATCATACAACTGGCGCGAGCACTCCAAAGGGTATTTGGCCGACATGAGAGAGAGGCTTAACAGGCTAACACATCATCATAAAGGGCTCTAAGGAGGACATGAGGGGCTACATGGGGGGGCACATGGGTAGCATCACCACCAGGACTAGATATAAATTTATATAAGATTTCTAGTATAATATTATATTAACTAAATACTTGTTAGTCCTGAATTATCAGTGCCTTAAATATCTAGACATATTCTAAATGATACTATATATACTATATATAATATACTATAATAGTCTAGATACATCCCAAGTGTAACCACAACTCTCCACACGCCACCGCGACATGATCTTTGCTCTTCTTCAACGCGGCTCCATCCTCCCCCTCAGCCAGGGAGATGTCAAACGAGATGATGAGCTTGGCCAGCACATATTTCATCTCCATGTACGCGAACAGCTTGCCGACACAGTTCGATGGGCCCATGCTGAATGGAATAAAGGCTTTGTTAGAGGGAGCAGCCCATCGTTTCACATCGAATGTATCAGCGTTGTCGTAGTGTTTGGGATCTAGAAAATATTAGTATGATAATGTCGCATGTTTAAAGTCTTTAAATAGATTTGTTTACCCCTCTGAATTGACCATGTTGGACAACTGGCAGTCGTATATTCCGGGATAAACGTGTTGCAGACATGGACTCCCCCCTTCGGTATTTCCCGTGGCAATGCCGTCGCCCCCGGGGGATGCAGCCTCAGCGTCTCATTGATCAGGCCTTGTAGGAGAGCCAGATCTTTCACGGTATCGAAGGTGAGTTCGGCTTCAAGATTCCCCTGAATCTCCTCTCGAATATCGCGTTGTAACTGCTTATCAATAGCCAGGTGGTAGCAGGCAAATATCAACGCCGACAGGGTCGTATCGCTGCCTGCAACCTGCAGCAACATCGCATCCTGCATCTGTTCGCCAGGAGTTAGATCTTGCTTCCCGCTAAACACGAACGAGAGCACATCCGCTGACGGGTTGGACTCTTTTTTCCGTTCCTCGAGCGCCGATCGAGCAAAGTCCTGTAGACTCTGCGTCGGGTCGGGGATGGGTAAGCGGGACATGATCTGGGCGACCCAGGGGACATATCCGATCCATGAAGCCGCAGCGAGGAATTGCTCCAATGCCTCGATTCCCTCGTGCATGGTGCGTGTCTCGAGGCATTTGTAGGATTTGCTGTACGCCAGCTCACCCATGATATCGAATGCAAAATAGGATAACCATCGATTCAACAAGACGTGGTCCTTTTCCTCGGATAATCTTGTCACCAATAAGTCTGTCAACCGGTACAGCGCGGGCAGATACTCCACGATCCGCTTGGGACTCAACGCTTTTTCAAAGGGGACACGTCGTGCTCCATGGCGTCGGACATCCAGCTCGGTGTTGAGGCTTCGTTCCTCGCGCATACCATACATGGTCGTCGGCTTTGCAGCTTTGGTTTGGTTGCCGTAAATGATATAAAATGCGTTCACATCGTTGATAGACAGATGGTTAGGTCCTGGATTTCCATTAGGAATATAAGTATAAGTAAAAAAGTAGATAGAATGGTATTCTTACCAATTCGGACGATCGGCCCGTACTCTTCATGCAGACGATGAATCACCTCATATGAATTCATATGCGCTACTTGCCACACACGCCACCACATGGACAGTCTGGCGAGAACAGGACCCGGAAAGGAAGACAAGGGATGGAAGAAGAGACGGTAAACAGTGATACTCGTGAACAAGGGGATGAAGAAGCTGCCGTTTACAAGAGTAAATGTGACAAGAGCATGGAATCCCTCCACGTATATTAGCCAGAAAAATACAATACTCTCAAGCAAGACGAAAAAAGGGGAATATCTTCCCACCAGACTGTCCGGGTTGCGATGGCGGACGAAGAACTGGTGGGAAAAGAGTCCTAAGAGAGCGAGGGTGAGATAGTTCATTGTAGATTTTGCAGATAGCTGGTGACAGATAATAACTCTGGATGAGGGGTAGCTTAAGTACTCAGATTGAATCAAGATTCAAAAGATTGGTCAAGCAGAAGTACCATGCAGATACTAGCTGCTACCTGATAGTTACTGCAGAGGTACTCCATAGTTAAATGATACCACCATGTACTATATATGTAACTACCTAGGTACCTTACCGATAAGTGGCAGCCAGAATACTACCGAGGTAACTTGTACAGAGTACAGCTTATGCATAAGTACTAGTTAGCTGGAGAGTGTGGCAGCCTTGGCGCGTGCCTGACAGAGCCCTATTAGCCAGAAAATGCTGCTCTGGAAGTATATGAGGAGATAAAGAATAAGTATATATTTAAGACTCACTCTATGGCACCTGGCCCTAGTATGGACGAAGCTCGGCAAATCGCCAGGAAGAGTATAAATGCGGCACTGGAGCCAGTAGAAGTGAGATCACTAATAGTATTAATAATAGCAAGAAACACTGTTAATTACTATATATACTCTGGAATTATGGGTTAATCTGCTATAAAGATCTCTAAATCATGTGTGGAACAATAGCTGAAAAGCCCAATTCAAGAATAAAAGATGTTCCCTAATATAAGATATGGAATACATAATAGTCTAAATTATTATATTATTTATTATATCATTATAAAAGGCATGAAGGTCAGTTTTACTATAGATTCTTTCATTTCTAATACCATAGAGTGAAAAGGAAATATATGATTACATTACTGATATGGCAATGAAAACAGTTACTACTTACTACTTCTACTTAGAGTAGTATTGCACCCATTGTGCTCTATATAAGCAGTCTAATAGCAGCAGTTCTACTTACTACTTATTTAGTATCCCTTCTTAGCTTGCCAACAAGATTGATGGTTCCAGTCTGGTTATATATATACTACTTCATAGTCATCTATAGTATAATTAAGCAGTCTCCACTGACAACTGAACAATGCTGAAATCCTCCTCAGGATCACTCAGATCTGCCATCCACCAGAGCGCCTTGGCTCCCTCTGCACTGGTGTTAAACGCCCAGGTCTGCTCTCCGCCTTGGGTGAAATACCCATCGCTCTCCCCGTAGCCCGTGACAGTGATGTCTGCGGATCGTGCGGCGCCCGGCACGACGAAAACAGCGACTTCGTTCTCGCCGACGTATACTCCCAACTCCTTCTCGACGCCGGATACGTTGTAGGTGAGGACGGTGCCGCTGTCGGTTTCTTTGGTGGTGACTAGAACATGTCAGAATTACCCTAACCCTAACCTTAACCTGGGCTAATGATAAAAGACGTACGCTCAAGAATGCTCAGACCAGAGGCACCGTCGTCCACGTAGATCTCCACTCCATCGGTCACAAGGTTTCCCAAAGTGGAGGATGTGAGGGTGAATTTGGAGGGCAAGGAAGCCATGGCCGAGACAGCCAGACTCGCAATGATAAAAGACTTCATAATGAGATAGATATGAGTATGCGGTTGAAAACAAGTGATAGATATATAGAGTAATTTGAATGATAATACTTTCCAGTGTTAAGTCGTGAACTTGAGCTGAATCTCTTATATGTTATCGACTATGAGAGCTGTCTTACTCAGTGGGCGATCATTGGCGGAAGGAGTGGTGATCAACAGGCCGGGTCGCCTTAATGCTTATATCCAGTATACTTTTTACTAAGCATTATTGACTGGACTGTCATCATATCTATATATAGAGTGCTGATCTGTACCTGAATGATCATCATGAAATCCTATGTATGCACTATAATCCTGCAAAAGTCTTCCAGCTGTCATACTAATCTGTATGTCTCAAACAATTCCTCCTCGACGTCCTATTACAATCTTTGACACGTAATGGTGCAATAATCTTACGTTGGAAGCGGCGGCAAGTTACTTGTTTAGTATAAACATAGAATATAGTAATACAGTAGGGTTTGATTCATTAGATCATCTCACCAAGTGGAGATCTTTTAAAAGGATCTGCCGACGGGCTGAGGGGACATATATGTGGCTTAACGCCATCTACAGCCATCCACAGCCAATAGAAAGCCAATAAAAAGCCAAGTATAAACAGGTTGATCTCGACATGGATTAGAGAATAAATTGAATATAGCATACCCAGCACTTCAAAAGTGGAAGAAAAAAATAGACAACAGCATTGAATTATTTAATCCCTTCCTAATCCCATATTCCCTTCCTGATCACATTTGCTTCGTATCCCGCTTTCTTTTTATATAATGTTTCATACTATAGAGGAGAATGAAATACCCAATCACTCTTGCCTACTATAGGTACATGGACCTTGCTTTGGAATTCTTTATACCGGTTGTCATCTCGCTAATAAGGACGCTTTTATATTTAGACAACTCATAGAATACTAGTTCTTTGGGAGAATTGCCTACAAAATATCAGAATCTATCTGATATTAATATATAAACCCGAAAGCTCTGTTCAAGCAAACGCATGGTATTCCTCTAAAGAACAATCATTAACAGTGGTAATATCCGTGAAGTATCGTGTCTCAGTGTATGTATACACCTGGCCAGAAGGTAGCAGGTTCGTTGCGGTGGCAATTGGAGCACTGGTGCCTGGGTAAGTGATGGGTGTTGACAAGGAGGCGGAAGAGGAGGATACAGCCGAAGAGCTTGCAGGGGCTGAACTGGATACAGTAATACTAGGCGTAGGGGTGGGTGTTTGTGAAAGAGTGATGGTTGATGTGTAGGTCACTATGCTCTCCATGGTGGATGTCTCAGTTGATAGTATCGTTAATATAGATATTTTGGTGATAGTATAGGGATTGCTGGAGAAGCGCATTATAGCCTGATTAGAAGCCAGGGCCGAGGTTAGGGTGAGCAAGCTAGTCAATAGATAGCAAATGTGGCTAGTAGTATTATAGTTGACTTCATCATATTCTTGATGAGATTGATAGCAGAACAACTTATAAGCATAGAGCGATAAGTATGTAGTAGAAGAAATAATTGTCCCCCCCACCAGGGATATGTCTAAGCAATATTACTTAAACCAGTTGCCAGATATTAACTAAGTGAGGTTGGTGGTGTAGAATGGCTGAGCATATGTTAAGGCAATATATAGTATTGCAGTGGTGATTAATGCAGAGGTACTAGTGATAGTGGTTATGACAGTGTCAGTATAGGTCGATGTCAAGGTCACCACTGACACTCGAGCTGCAGCCCCTGGTTCATTGGCCAAAGCCAGACTTGGAAGGATGAAAGCTGGGAGCAGGACTGCCACTTGGGCTAATGTTAGGCCCATCATGATGAAGGGGGGGCTGAGAGCATACAAAGGAAATATTTGATGATAAAATAAGAGAAGGTTAAAGACAATATTCATTTCAGCTCCCACAGAAGCGTTATTTATTCAGGATTAGAAAGAAGACACTATTGAGATTTACGCAATCCTGCCCGGCACTGGACGGCATTAGCAAGACTTAGCAGGGGAAGTAGACTAATGAAAAGTAGGGTTAGGTAAATATTGCCGAGCAAAAGGGCCAATCCCCATCAGGAGGCGAAAATGCCTAAAACTGACAAGAGACTAGTGGAGGTAGTTCTAAAGGAAGCTCTGTACTATAACAGGGATGATATATCATGACTGATGATTGTATCATTTGTGGCTGATGTCTACACAAGAGTCCCTGAGAACCCTAGACTCATTTCCAAACAAACAGACAACACTTTTCCTTTTTGGGCGCCACGCTAAACTTAATGAGCTCTAGCAGTGGGAGCTAAGTGGGTGGAGGCGCGCCACATGGCACATGCAGACCCACAGCTCTGATGCCTGAGGCCTGTTACCCCTCCACTGGACCTGTTTTTTTGGCTGACCTGTTTTTTTGGCTGACCTGTTTTTTTGGCTGACCTGTTTTTTTGGCTGACCTGTTTTTTTGGCTGAGCGAAGAAGAGAAACCTTGGGTTGAACTAGCTGTAGGTTGATATATCAATAGAATAAAAGATTACAATACAGAGTGGTAATAGTGACTAAGTAACATTAAGTTTCCAACTATGCAATAGTGACGTAAGACTCATCTTATACTATTGTATCATATATAGAAGATATAGTCTTCTGGTTATAGAACTATTCTGCAACTGTTCTCTTCACTATATACTATCCTACTTTACTATTCTAACTCCAAGTGACAGTAACCCATTTGGGTGTCTCATCCAAGTGAATACCCCTGTAATGGGATTTTTTATAGATATCCTTGAGAAGGAATAAATAGACCTGTTCAAGATACCCAGCAAAGGAACAGAACACTCTATATTATTATTTCTTATGTGGATAACCATATATTTAATATAGAACTTTCACTATCTAACTATCTACTGCTCTGGTATTCTCACAGCTACTAGCTTCTCCTTATTAAGATGCTACCGCAGCGCACGAAATTGCGCACACTTACCTTTATGACACACCCCAGGACAAGGCTATTTATATAAATTCAAGAGATTCATAAGGCCCTTGGCCATGCTAATGTAATGTCTAAGCATATTATAAAACAGCCTAACCAGACTTATCGGCCATGGGTTCTCCCTTCATCAATATAATTAATGGCCATCTATAGTGATGGATATATGCTATTCCGAGCGCAAAGGCAAAATGGCAAATAAGAAGGCTTAGTGGTGGCTTGAAGAGTTAAACGGTGATGTAAAGGCTGTCATCATCATATCTAGATATAGGAGATCATTCTTGATGATTGGCAACCTGCCAATCGCCCAACTAGAGCAGCACTAGACTAAATTATTGAGGTCGTCTGGAAGTTTGCCGTCTCACAGAGTATGGCAGATATGAGTCCTCAATCCAGGTTACCAATATGCCATTTATTGTGTCTTTTCCACCTTCTTTCTCCGTGATGCTAATCCGGGCACAAAAGAGATGGAATTCGAATTGACCAGGGAAAAGTTCAAGGGTTAGTCAGGGAGGTGTGGGGGGAATGAGAGAGTGAAATAGAAAGAAAGAAATATAATAAAAGGATACCATGGCTGCCAGGATTCTATTCTCTGCTTAATCACGCCTGTTTTATTTCCTTATTGAATCCATGGGATAAAATTGAAAACACCCAGGATATTGCTCTTTATATCTACTAGATTGTGATGTTACTTTCCTGGATAGAGCGTTTCAGTCAGTATACACTCGAACCCATGGGGGCTGGCCTATGTGCTGCTGAGATCTTGCGTGTAGAAGACTATACTATCGGGAATGGAGGATTCTATAGAGAGCAGAATATTCAATCTTTAATAATGTCAGGCTCCCTTTTCTACGTCTTTCCCCACGGATGCCTCCCATTTCATATCTGTAAATCCTCCAGTTTGAGGGACAGTCACAGGGATCGTCATAACGTCTTCGTGTCCGAGTGCACTAATCTCCGGCTCCATGAATTGCACGGCTGCGGTAAGAAGCAGTTTAAATGTACAGCCACTCCCAGACGCCTCCTGGGACTTCCTCTGCCGGCGTGTCAATCTAAGTAACCACCGCAGCAGAATCACTGCGTCCCCCGAGGCCTTCTCGTCAACCAGATAGAAGGGCAGATTGTCGGTAATACAGAAGATCACAGCGGTGGCGGGGAGGAGCTTCAAGGCGCATTTGAATCGCTGGCAGACTGCGTCTAGATCATCCCCCTGGAAGTCTCCGAGGGAAATGAGGCCTATCAGGTCAATGTCCCTGAATGCATCCAGCAACTGTGCTAGGAGATTCTGAATGATGAAGGCTGCTGAGTTTGATGCATTGTCTTGATTGGTATGTTCACCGCAAAAGAAGTGCAGGGCCGCAACCTGGTTCTGACCTGGTGGCGTTCGTTCACGCAGCAGATCAAGGGTGTAGACGAGTCTGGCGGAGATGAAGCTCAAGGGGGAGCGGAACTGCGTCGTGTTCATGTTCCCGTTGATGACCAGGACGCGGGATGTTGGGCATCTAATCCATGAAGCCAGATCCTCAGAAGTCAGTACGTAGACGCAGCGGTCTTGTTGTATCAACAGCATCACGGTTCCCTGATTGTAATTCTCCTGGACATCGAATTGCATGCGTTTCCGGTTCGAATTGAGCCTCGATAGAATTACCCGGCGGAAATCGGCTTGTGTGTATCCTGAAAGGGGAGAATGAGTGAGATTGATGACTTTTTTTTCTTATGCTATGTCGGTCAATGATGCTCACCTTGCTTAGTCGACTTTTGTCGGGTATAACATTGGACAAGAATATGCGCCGTATTGAAGGGTTGGTCTTGATAGTGTTGTTAGAGGGCCAGGAAAATGATATCAAAGGGAGAGAAACCTACTCATGGCTGTAGCTGCATCAAGGAGAAGGGGGCTACTCTTCAGCACCTCCAAGACTTCATCCATAATGCTCAGCTGGGTTTCTTGTGTTTTCTGTATGCTGGCCATGTTTTCCTTGAGAAATTGCGCGTCTTCTTGAAGGAATTGCTGTGCCCTAGTCTGCTCCTCACGTGTAGTGAGCATGAAGCGTTGCACCAGAGAAACGTCTTGATGGAGGCCATGGTCATTGCTGTTTTTGACTTCCAACATCCTCTCCACCCTCCCTTGCATTTCGATTCCACACAGCCTGGCTTCTTCGTTGAAATTGTCCCGACAGTTGCGCATTTCTCCTAAGCTTTTATTCAACTTTCCCTAGAAACTGGATTGCTTAAACACTGCTTCCACGGCCTTGCCGAGGGCATTCCGATTGATATAGTGTACCACATGGCCCAGGCTCGTGAGAGTCGCTGTGTAAAGGGAATCACTCAGAATCCGAAGTCGTGGTGATGAGGGGTAGATTCCCAGAACCCTCTGCGCTCCATTCAACAAGACTGGGATGTCATGGAGGCCGGTGAGTATGGCATCCCGGGCGTCCTTCATTCTCTCGGCAGCCTGACGTGCGCCAGTCAGTATCCTAGAATATCTAGACCTTTAGGGATATGGAGTGTCTGGGGCTCTACTCCAATGATGATCTTGATGCCTCCACAGACAGTGGACATATAGTTGGACCCAGAGGGCACCAGTCCGAGCCACTGCTGGATTGCCTCCCCATTGTTCCCTAGCCCGCGAAAGGCTCGCCGGACTCGACTCCAAACCCCAGCTTTGTCTCCTTTCTCATAATTGTCGACCGCTTGATCTAGGACTTCCCACACCTTGGCGAGGGTGTGCATTCCATCCACATTGATCCCGGTTCGGTACTTTGGTTTGGCGGTTTTCTCGTAGTCTCGTAGCTTCTGGAGGAACTTTTGTTCTTCTTCAACCACCATCTGCGGTTGGGTTGGGTTTTCTCTAGAAAGACTAGTGATTAGAGATGTATACTATAGTTCTGCTATACATATTCAAATTGGTATCACTCACATATTGCCTTCTGATGTCTCATCAGGACGCTTGTCAAACCGTGCAAGGGACGCTGGTATCCCGAGCCCCCGTTCGTCATCCACAGCGTACCTACCAATGATCTTTTCCATGGAACGTCGGATATCATCCTGCTCATTCAGCCGGAACTGAGAATCCTGTCTTGAAGGCTTTTTCGGAAGCTCAGATGATGAGCTGACTGGCATGATGAGAAAATACGTTATTATTAGGTCTTTTCTAATGATTCCAGGGCAGGGAGATTTCAGGATGCCTTCATACCAACATCAGCCTCCCTTCCCCTCCATCTCTACACTGGGGCTTATCTTTGGCTCAGATGACCATGAGGGGTATTTTAATCAGTAGCACTGTATACGTGGCAGTTTGCTTCAGATGAACCAATAAGGTCGTTATTTACAGCATGGGTTTGCTTTTCAGCCCTGGTAATAGATTAGGCAACTGCGGCTGGAAAAGAAGGCTGTCTGAAAGATCAGGCTGTCCACTGCATACCCCGCTCCTTTCAGAATACAAAATATATATTTGTAATATCACCTCATATCGCCATAGTCTGGCGCTTTTATAAGATGCCCTCCACGTCTCTTCATATTCTGAGCTGTCTTATTTCCTGTCAGGCTGGCGAGATAAGAGATCGGAGCTATTTAAAACCTCACAACATATCGTGCAATTCTCTCATCAATCTCTTTTGAACACACATCCGTTTTGTTCAGCACAATGTCGCTAGTGATGACAGAGACAGGCATCACAGAGGTGGAAGTACCAACGACCGAACATGATGAGGCAACGCTGTTCTAATGATGAAACTCTAAAGATTGACAGTGATGTTGTGATTGATTTCGAAATGGCCTATCGTAGTGAAGCGCAAGGTATTGAGCCACCCAGATTTAATGGTGATCTGATCCTCAAACCAACCGATGAGGATAGAGAGGAGACGCATGGCGACCGGTTTGGCTATGACAACGAGGACTTTCGAATAGCGCGCAGTCTGGGATTCATGTACCAAACTACACTGCTTGAGGACCGTCGACTGGAACAGCTGGACGAAGAACGGTTGCTTCTCCTCCCCAACAGAGTGTTCGGATATGTCCTACTCAGTCGCAAGTGGTGTGCGTACTTTCAGATCCCTATACCCTAGTTCAAGTCACGGTTCTCACTCTAGTCCAGATCCATTGAGTGTTGATCTGATCACTGATGTGAAAACGATCCAGGATGGGGATCATGATGCATTCGATGACCTGGTTCTGCCAAAGAGACATCGTAGCATCATTCGAGCATTAGTCAAGACTCATGTTCGGACGAGGGGGGCGCTGAGCTCAGACCCTGCAGATGTTCTCCTCAAACGGGAATTCGACGTTGTGCGCGGTAAGGGAAAAGGCCTCATCATTCTCCTCCACGGATCTCCAGGCGTCGGGAAGACGTCCACAGCGGAATGCGTAGCCGCCCATACGGGTCGACCGTTGTTTCCAATCACCTGTGGTGACCTTGGAGGAACCAGTGCGCAGGAAGTTGAAGAAAACTTGGAGCGATTCTTCGAATTGGCTATGAAATGGGGGTGCGTGTTGTTGTTAGATGAAGCCGATGTCTTCCTGGGCGAGCGCATCCAGGGAAACATTATCCAGAACAGTTTGGTCTCTGGTAAGTTCGCTGCAGTTCGCTGAGGGAATCACCACATTGCTGACTGCCTATTGTAGTCTTCCTACGCGTGCTGGAATATTATTCTGGGGTCCTGATCCTGACCACGAACCGCGTGGGACAATTTGACGAGGCAGCGACATCTCGCATCCACTGTGCCTTGTATTATCCGCCTTTTAGCAAGCGGCGAGCCCTGGAGGTGTGGCAGAAGAACGTCGACCGGCTGAAACGCGAGAATGGGTTGTTCACCACTCCTATTCAACTAGATGCAAAGAAGATCATGAAGTTCGCAAATCGCCAGTGGGAGGCTGGGACCCGCTGGAACGGCCACCAGATCAAAAACGCATTTCAAACCGCCGTTGCGCTGGCCGACTGGGACCGTCTGAGTAAGGAGGCCCGAGACGACGTACCAGCCGCGATCAAGCTGCGAACCAAACACTTCGAGGCGGTGGTCGAGACGAGTCGCCATTTCGAGTCGTATCTGACCAAAGTGCGCAAGTCCGACGGCGAGCGGGCGCGGCTCAATGCTCTGCGAGACGATTACCACCGCCCAAAGTCGGGTCCAGAAAAGGCTGTTGCGCGTCCTCAGTGGCCGGGGATGGAGGATTCAGAGGAGTCGGACGGTCAGAAGCCCGACGAGATGAGCAGCGGTAGCAGCAGCGACAGTGAGAGCGATTCTGAACCGGCCAAGAAGAAAAAGGTCAAGAAGTCCAGCAAGAAAGAAAAGAAAAAGGGGACGGCAAAGAGAAGCTCCAAGGCTAAAAAGGCGTCGAAGGCGTCTGAGTCTTCTAGTTCATCTGGAAGCGAGAGTGAAAGTGATTGACCTATTCTTATTTTTAGGTTTATATAGAATGAACAAGAGCATTTGGCTGTTTTGTTTTATATGAATGTACTATCAGTAGCATTTAAAGAACTTGAAGTGTATGATGGATCAGAGATGCCTGTGGAATTGAATAGATTAGATATGATATCTATACCTCATACCATAAAAGCTTTTTATACCTGAAATCTATCCATTCTATTTCTAAAGGCCTCAATAAAACAGTATACTCCTAGGGGACTCAGAGATCACCATATAACCGTAAATAAGATGTATATAGCCTGACTTCTAAACATGCTGACACCTCCTTTAAACCTTCAATATTTTGATGGATAACCTAGTAAAGGGCTGGCAACTAGTTTCTTATATAGTATCTACTGATCACTATCAGATCTGCACAGCTCTTCAACAGCATTAACCCAGCCATCTAGCCCATGAAGGCCTATATGTTCCCTCCGAGTCAAACGAAAGCCCATATCCAACCAAACCAAGAATCAAAACAGCCAGGAAAAACAGCAGATTATGAAATGCGATATGGTTCCTCGCCATAACAAACGTATCCGGAAGAAACAGCACTTCATCCCTAAAGAGCCTGCTTTTGTCTGCTAGAGCGATGACGAGCAGCCATATAGTCGAGTAGAGAAATATCAACCCCCCGAAATACATCAGCAGCCTGGGAGCGTCGATATATGGTGAAACCATACAGAAGGCGATCGTCAAGGCGGCACTCGCGGCGTAGAGAAGCATGCGAGGGATGGCATCTGTTGGTCTCCTTGCGGTAGAGGAAGAAGAGAAAAGATTGATCAGTTGATCTGGCGCATGGAATAAGACCACCATAAACGAGCAGAACAAGAAACACAACGATGCTTCCAGATATGTTTCGGGCGGCGCTCCCTTTGTCTGGAACAGACTCGTGGCCTTGATGCAGATGAAGAAGATGAGCCACTGGGTATAGATGGCGAGAAGGCCAAGGGTGTGTTCCAGCCTATCACACAGAGTGTCCACTGAGACATAATGAAATATGCCCAGAGTCACTGAAGGACGGTGTTCTTCAAGATGGTGGCTGAGGAGAGCAAGGATCTCGTCCACACACACAGGAATCAGGTAGCAATACACCCATGTTTTGGTCCAGGGCAAGCCAGAGCATCCTAGAAGCTTGACAGCTTGGATGATGCCGATGACGAAGACGACCAGGCGTAAAAAGGGTACCTTGTGTAGCTCGCGAAGACCAGCCGGGCCTCGTTCATCCGCATAGAGAGGGCGGCGATATTGCAAGGTTCGGCGGAGAGCGTGTCTCGCGGACCCAGTATGAACGAAATAAACGCTGAATCTCACCAACAGACCGAGAAAATCAGCGATGCAGACGATTGGACTGCCACGCAGATAGATTCGTAACTGGGGATCGAAACCACAGACACGACCGGATGGCTGCAGGATGGCAGTAACGGCCAGAGGGAAGAGACCCCAATAAGCCGAGAGGAACGAAACTACTCCGTCAGTTGAAGGTTTGGCCAAATAGATAGTATCAGGGTCTATTTACTCGAGTCTGCTTCCATTGTCAATATGAGTTGGAGGTTGTGAAAGTCAAGAGTTGAAGTGAAACTCGTAAGTTTGTCTTTAATGAAGCCAAGGCTCGGCACCCCACAGCATGTCGAGGGTTCTGCTCTATAGACAATTAGTCTATTCGAGTAGTCATTTATAGATGAATGTATTAAGAATATACATTTATCTATTATATTTATCCATAATATACTGCAGTTGAAGTGCTATTCCTAATAAATTTACAAAGACAAAATTGTACCAAACAATAAGCTATTGCCAAATATAAGCAGGAGAAGCAGTCTTGAGTCTTCTAGAGATAAGTTGGTTATATGCAATAGAATAAGACTGATTCGCTACTGGTATGATATAGCTATAGAGAGAGATGCATTCTCAAGTGACAAGTCAACCCTAACTTAACCCTAACCCTAACCCTAATAGTACAATAATTCCTATTACAGTTACCCTCACTTTCTTCTCTGTAGTAAAAAGCTATCGGATATTCAGAATCAATAATCTATTTAACATGCTACTGCGGAGTAAAGTTGGGGAAGATAAGCTTGTCGGACTCCGGCTCCTCCTCCGCCCCAGGAATTATATAACTGTTCTGCCTAACCATTATTCTCTCGCTTTATTTATTCTATGTACCATATTTACTCTATTCCATATACCATATTTACTCTAATCTATTCATGCACCTGTCTTTCCTCTCCCTACTCGGACTAGCGTCCTGTGTATTCGCCCAGCAGAAAGTGCTGCCTGAGGCATGGCGGGAAGAGGAACTTGAAGCCTCCCCCTTCACCGTCATCCACAGCCCCTATTCTCCCACGCACACCATCCGCATCCGCGAACAGAACGAGTCGATCTGCGCCGCCGGTTCCCGCCAATACACGGGCTGGCTGGACGTGGGAGCAAGCCATTTCTTCTTCTGGTACTTTGAGAGCCAGAATGACCCGACACGCGACCCGCTGACGCTGTGGATGACGGGGGGGCCGGGGGGATCCAGCATGCTCGGCTTGTTCGAGGAGATGGGCCCCTGTCTGATCAGCGAGGATGGCAACGGCACAGTGTACAACCCGTGGGGATGGTCGAGGAACTCGTCGCTGCTCTTTGTCGACCAGCCGGTCGGCGTGGGCTTCTCCTATCTCGATCCCGGCCATGATCTTCCGCAGGACTCTGCAGCTGCGGCAAGCGATATGCAGCGTTTTCTGCAGCTGTTTGTCTCGACGGCGTTTCCTCATCTGCAAGACCTTCCTTTTCATATCTCTGGAGAGTCATACGCCGTAAGAAGAGGATATTTGAATTTCTCTAGCTGTGTATCGGTAGTGTTTAACGTTTTTAGGGCCACTATATCCCCAATCTCGCTTCACAAATCGTCCAGCACAATTCTCTCTACCCCAACGAGCCACAGATCAACCTGCAGTCCTGCCTGGTCGGCAATGGCTTCATGTCCCCCCGAGAGTCCTACTATGGATACTGGGAGACCCTGTGCACCACAAACCCGGGGGTTGCCGAGCCCATCTTCAACAAGACCCGATGCGATATCATGGCCGCCAATATGCCCCGCTGCATGGAGTTGTTTCATGTCTGCGAGCAGAATCCTGATCCGGCCATCTGTCACGCTGCTCTGGATGTCTGTTGGGAGGGGATTATCGGATGGTATGACGATGAGTCAAAGGTGGGAGGGAGGAACCGATTCGACAGTAAGTTAATCCTATCACTTGTAACGCTGTAGAATAATTTATATCTCTCTAATCTGTGGTCCAGTTACCGCCCCCTGTGTGATGGAGGATTTTTGCTATATTCAAGCAGCATGGATAGGAAAGTACCTCAACACCCCTGCTGTATGGGAAGCGCTGTCTCCCCCAGAACAGATCACAGAATACAAGATAGCCTCTTTAGCTGTCAGTGTCGCGTTTGAAGCCACCTCTGATGAGATGACTACAACCTCCGACCTGGTTGTCTTTCTGCTGCTCAACGGGGTCGATTATCTGGTCTACCAGGGGAATCTGGATCTGGCGTGCAACACGGCGGGCAATCTCCGCTGGGCGAACTCCTTATCCTGGAAAGGACAGGTCGAGTTTGCGGCCAAACCGATGCGTCCTTGGACGGCCGTCGTGAACGGGACGGAACAGGTGGTCGGTTCAACCAAGGAGGTTGTTACTGATACGGCCCGTTTTGCTATCGTCACTGTCGATGGAGCAGGGCATATGGTGAGTTTGAAGAGTAAAATCACATTGATTCAAGAACTGAATAATGTCTAGGTTCCTCAGGATCGACCCGATGTTGCTTTGGCTATACTTGACCGGTGGCTCACGGGGGGTCAATTCTAGCACAACATTGATCTCCAGCCCGCAGTAACTAACAGTCTATAAGCAACAGTAACAATCAATGATATGGGGTATAATAAGAACCCTTTTAATATCAATGACTCATATGACGACCAGTAATAATAATACTTACTTTTTATTGGCTAATGATTGCTCCAGTCAGAGTGCCTCAAGTCTCACCAATGACTGATAGAAATTCAGGGCCCACTAGACCACTGAAGTAGTGCTCTATCAGATTAGAGAGCTCAATATAGCCCCTAGCCATGATCATTCTTTATTCGCAGCCTTCTACTACCGAAAAATTCACCTCGCTATGAGAAATAGGCAACCACCAATATGGAGCAGTAGAGGTGTTATGATGACTGTGCATGAGAACAATTCAACGATGTCATAAGCTTGCAAAGGAGAAGAAATTGTCTCTGTCATGCAATGAAAATGGTCCATTTCAACTCTGGCGTGATGATTTCTGGCCAGCCAACATCAAGGAAGTGGATGAAATGGAGACAGGGTTTTTGTCTGGGACCTGGATGGGGAGACTGAAGCATTTTGCAAGACATTGAAGAAACGGGACAAGGGTGGTTAGGGTTAGTCATCTGTAATCATTACCCATTGTGAACCAGTCAATTTCCAACTGGAATGATATTAGTCTAAGTCACTAGATAACTCATGCTATTTGCAAAAAGCACCTTTGCATACCCGTAATGAAACCATATGAGAAACTTGGGCAAAGCAGAGATATCTTGCTGCGGATTACACTGAAACCCCTGCAACTCAACTCTTACCAGAGCCTCTTCACTGCTATCTGTGCCTTGAATTCTGCTGACCTGCATGCGATGGCAGCCTGAAAAGCCGGACGTATCCGAACCAAAGCCGTAATCTACATAACTCGGCTGGTCGGCGTCTTCTGAGATGTGCTTATCCACGAGGAGAAAAGAGCCAAAGAGACGCGTGCCGATGGGAAGGAGATGTGTATTTGGAATTTCCGATGCTTTCCAAATTGCCGTTTGTGGTTTGTTGAAGCCTTTCATTAATACGGCAGTAGAAAATAGACAGTATGAAGTCTGTTTACCTGTATATCCTACTGGCAGGATCTTCCCGTTCCCTGACCACAACAACCACCGCTCAAAGCTAAATACGGCACCACAAAAAAACCCTGCTGTAAAGCGCGCAAGCAGCTGCTCATCGTCTAGCCCAGCGACCTTGCTGGCTGGGAGAGTCTGGGAGACGCAGTCGGTACCAATTTGGTGGTGACGGGGGTTGATGAGCCGGAAGGAGGCGGAATGGAGAAAGGAGGAGGACACAGAGTATGTCAGGGTTGACTGACGGAGGGAGGAGAGCATTGCATTCATCAAATAATTCAATAGTAAAGCTGATATTATGGAGAGAAATATGCAATCAGCTTTATAAATGTCTGACTCATCGGTTGATACCGGGAGAAGCCGGAATTCACCGGCTCCTACGCTAACCAATTTAGACATATGCAAAGACTTAGCTAGATGCTTGGTATGATACTTGGTTGGATGGTCTTAGGAGCATTCTTAGACAAATCTATTGAATCCATTGTCAACACTGCCAGAAGATGCTCTCTCTAACTCAGTCCTCTCAACACTGGCAGCAGCAACCAGGCATCATGTATTCTAGCCAGAAACATGGATAGATATATAACGATATAAGATAGTCCTATACCACCAGAGCCAAATCACGTTCAAGACATCTCTGATATCAATATGCAGACCTGTCCTTGAGCCAGCGTCTCCAAAGATCTATACTCGGTTAGCTGGCATTGCTAAAAGGGTGAGTCTCACAAGATAATAGAGTAAATATACCTTTAAGTTGTTTCTCTCCCTTCTCAAACGCTATTTTAGCGCTTTTCAGACAATCCTCGCCAGCTTGAATATGACCATTGATACTGTCTATGTCTTGGAAGGCATTCTTGTACGACTGGACAAAATTAAGTCGTCCCTCGGTGGCTCTGAATATATAAGCACATCAGTCACACATGAAGGATGATTTATCAAGAACGTACGCCAGCGCAGCCTTTGCCCAGTCAACAGCTAGCCATGCTTTGTTCAAGGATTCTTCGGGAGCCTGAGAGGACGGCAAAAGGTCTTTAATAGCATTCTTCTTCTTTCCGAGCACTTTTTCCTGCGTCTTGTATTCCTCATAGGCCTTTTTCATCTCCTCTGTCCAGGCTTCGGACTTGTAGGTCAATGGGTCGATGGTGTCCACCCATTGCCTCAAAGTGGTGACGAGTCCATCGAAGACGTCGATTTGGTCCTGGATCTGTTGCAGAACTTCGTTTATAGACTGCGACCAGCTGACTGACGCCATCGAAGTATCTCAATGTAGCTGAAGCGTTGAGGTATGGTTTCTTTTCAATGATGAAGAGTTGGGAAAGCCCCCTGGATTGGTCTCTCTTGTATACCTCACCGACAGCAAGCAACGCAACACGGTACTCAGGCCTCTCCTCTGCAGAGCAAACACGCATCAGAAGACAGGGGTTGCAGCCCCTGCTGCAATGCTGCGAGCTCAGCCTCTCTCGCCTGATTGAAGGGCGCCGTCCCCGGGCTGAAATGAAATCTCACTGCCAGCACGTATGCGAGCACATGATAGGGACGATGGGTAGACGCCCATCGCCAGCCTCGTCCGCGTCTTCCAGCATGGTGAATACGTGGGAGACTGCGAAGCCGATCTGAACAGCCTTGCTTATGTCACCGCAGGCGCTTAGGTAACTATTTATCTAGGCATGGGTCCTGATTTGCTGCCCCGCCGCCCTTGACTTCCTTGACTTCCATCCATCTCCCACCCATCCCCGTTGTGCTTTCACACCGCTCTTCATGGCAGTGAGCCTCGACGACGCGATGAAGGAGCTGCCGCCCCCTGAGGACGGCCAGCCATGTGAGAGCGCAGCAGCGACAGCCTCTGATTCACTGCTTGAAAGCCTCCCCGCCGAAGTGCGGCGCTACCTACTGTCGCTGATGGACGTCCAGGGGCTGCGAGCCCTGGTCCACGCGTCGCCGGTCTACCACCAGCAGTATCTTTTGGATCGGACATGGCTGCTGCGGCGATGCCTGGACCACACGCTGCGCAGCGTTCTGGTCGACGCGTGGGCGGTTTATCAGACCAGCGAGGCTCGTTTTGCACGCAAGCGCACAATGGAAACAGTGGCTCCATTCATCACAGCCTACCAGGATCGCCGGGCGGTATTTGCGGACACAGGCGCGCCCAGCCCCGCGCCAACCATGGATGAAGTGGCCGGGATGATGGCCTATCACATTGGCGTTGTCATGCCGCTTTTGCGACAGTATGCTGGCTGGGCGCTGGACAATCTCTCACGCGAAACTGAGGACACCACTCATGAAGCCAAAGACATCACTCATGAAGCCAAAGACACTACTTATAATGACACCACTTATAAATCTGAGGACACCACTCGCGATGCCAATGAGACCTTGACAATGACCGAGGAGACGCGGCTGATGCGTGCCCTGTACCGCTTTGAGCTGTGCTCCAACCTGTTTGGCGTCCGCACCGAGCGGCCTACATTTGAAGGGATTGATATTCGCATCACGCTGGAGCGCTTGTATCAGCCCTGGGAGATAGAGGAGATTTCCTGCATTCACACCTTTGTGAGAGACAAGTTTACGCAGGTCTTTGACGAGATCCGCTGGGATGTGGACGAGGATAACCCCAAGTACGCCGGGCATCAACGGCCACCGACCCCCGACGGCGTCTTTGACCTCGTAAACCAAGGCGAGTCTGCTTTCTCTTCACCTGGTAATATCTTACTGACGGGGGTATAGTCGACAGCTTCCTCAAGGGCTGTGTCTCGCGCGGCCTCGTCTTGCTGCATTCCGTTCTCTGCCAGATCCACGACCACGACACCCTCGTCTCGACCATGCAGGGAAGCCTGGTTTACTTCTCGGGCGAGTTCCTCGGAAACGACGCCTTTGGAATGCTCACGCACGACAAGCGGCGGGAAGAGGCGCCAACGCCGCGGGACATGAAGGAGGCTCGGCGCGAGCCCTTGCCCTTTCGCGGCGATCTCGCCCCAGACCCAGACGGGATGTATCCCCCGTTGGCATGGACGCTGATGTGGGACGGAACATATAGCAACCTGCTTGGGAACTGGATTCCAGGGTCCCTCCGCCGCTGGGGATATGTCCTGTGGGATGCACCGCGCCTGGTGCGCACACAGGCGGAGGAGGTCTTGCGGAAGGAGCTGCAGGAGCACTGGGGAAGTTATGATCCACGAGATGACCAGCTCTATGAAGAGGACTATTAAATAAGCATTGGTATGATGAGGCTTGAGCTACTTTCACTCCATGTGGCGAGATTCATTTCCTCCGTACTCATTCACCATGATGTTCTTCGAGTATAGACGCAACCAGCCTCTCCATCGGCACAGTATTAAACTGCACGTCTTGGCTGTAAACTTGCTAGACATGGATATTACTTAGCAGTAGATCAATGGTTAGTGGATTATACGTCGATAAAGACACCGGTAGCTGAGCTTCGCGTTACTAATACACCCTTTCAACCTCAGAACTAAGACATATACCCTGAATCTAAAGCTCCATGTTTCTTGTTACCAACTATATATGTCCTGGCCAATAAAAAAGGGGGGAAGCCACGAGTGTCATAGAACTAGGTAACTAGCCAAATTTAGTGAACTAGGCCTAAAAATACCTAGGTAGCTAAGCTAATAGGTCATTATTATGTATCTAGTTAGTGCAATTTGATACCTGGATAGTAGTTAAAGTGCCATATAAGGTTTAGGTAGATTTTTAACCTGCCTATTTCATTTTGTATATTCCATTAAAAACCAAGGTACTCATCTATAGTTGATAGTAGCAACTTTTAGCCAGTCTAGGCCTGTATAGAGTTTAAATTACTTCCTAGGCAGCTTTTACTAATATGAACCCCAGACAAAAAGAGTCTAGCTTTGAAGATCCGACTCAATCTAGTAAGACATTATGTAAAGACAACTAGGAGCGGCATAGGGCAGAATAATAGCTCGCTGATAGATATGCATATTACCTAGACTGGCAGAGAAAAAGAAATTGCTGTGAGACCACAAGCATATAAAGTGGAGGAGATTAAATTAGCTATTCCTCTAGTTTTCAAGTCTTGAAGATCATATTTAGTGGTAATCTAAAATGAACTCTCGATGACAGGATAAGAATACGAGGGAGGTATTTTCTCAATCTATTAACTAACTGCACTCTATATTAGTATACAGCACTGTAGTCTGCCATCTCTTGTTTCATCTATTTATTGAAATGAGATGATGATGGTGGAGAGACACATATAGGCCGTTTCAAGTATAGGCAGTAGGGGTCCTTGAAACAAGCCTTAGTTAGACATCCCTGGACCCACCACCAGACTAAGGTTGATTATAAGAACAGAGCATCCCCAACATGCCAACATCTTCATCATCATCATCATCAACTTCATCCTTCATTCATTTGTGATCTGTTGAGGCTGGTTCTCGACTTCCATTCCTTCTTTCTTTCGCTTGACCTGCTGTACATTGTTCTATATATATCATCCACTATATCAAAAATATCAAACCATGCGTTCCTTCTACGCCCTGATTCCTGCTGCCGCCATTGTCGGCGGCGCTGTTGCAAGCACCACCGAGGAGAGCGACTCGTGGTATTTCGGCAACAGCATGTTCTACCTGGGCCCTCCCACCTCGGGCATCGACATCATCAAGGCCACCTACTCGATCGTGCCTCCCAGCGTGCCCTGCGGATACACCTCGCCCGACAACGAGGACCCGGTCTGGGTCTCCGTCTGGGTCGGCGCCTCCTCCTCGGAGAGCAGTGACTCGACGGACCTCTACCAGCCTTTGTTCAACTGGTCTCCCAACCAGGAACTCCAGTACGTGAATAAAGGCCTCTTACGTAGTGAAGAATGATGTCTAAACTAACCGCTATGATAGGGGCTGTCCCGCCTCTGTGTCTGAGTGGTGTGTTGCGGCCAGCACGTACACTCCGGCTGAGCAGGTTTCCGCAGACTATGTGACTGTTCCTCAGAGCACTCAGGTCGATTTCGAGAGTATGTTCTTCGTATTTGCCCTATATCCTGTTAGAAATGAGACTGATAAAGTGGTGATTATTAGTTTCCGTGGTCGACGACGAGGTTTATCAGGTTGTCACCATGGGCGGCAAGGTGATTTCCAAGCTGACAAACTGTATGTCACTATCCATAACATATCTCTGTTCAAGCTCTCCTTACTGACCACCAAACAGCTCTCGACTCTGGCCTGCAGTATTTGATGTCTAGCGATGAGTGCTACACTGGCTCTGACGGCGCCTGCGGAACCCTCGACGCCTGGAGTAGGTTTTCCTTTTCCATATATATGGCAACGTATTGAATAGTGCTAATTCTATATAGCCATTACCAATCTCACGGTCACCCTGAGCGGCGCGGACGAGAAGTTCGGCGACACCATCGCCCTCTATGGATCCATGACCAGCGCTTCGCTGACCACCTCCGACGACGGAACCACCTGGCACACCGACTATCTCGATGTCAAGCTCGTCGACTTTGACGACACTGCCGATCTGGATGACTAAGCTGTTGTTGTATAGGGGGAGCACTGGGCAGTGGAAGAACCGGGCAGCGACAAGCCAATCTTCCGGGTTGAACTGGACCCATTGATTAGTAGATAGAAAATATAGCTATCTGTGGTTTGCACATAGTCTGGCATTCCATTGACCGAAAGACATTATGATCGAGTAGTCAATGGCGAGATTGTCAGGTTAAAGGAATCGTGAAGGTAGAGAGTACTATATAGTCATGAGGCCTCAGCCCACAAATGCGGCAAATATTCTAACTTCAACTCTTTTTACTCAATACTTATTATTTCATTACCTACTCTTCTTTTTGACTGCTATAATCTATCTTCAGAGGAAGCATTCTCCTATAAAAAACTAGTGCTATAGAGAATAATTATAAGATAACCCTAGTATATATATCACACTGATTGGACCATTAAATCACAAGATATACTTATTCTTCCTTGACATGTAAACTGGAAAGGCTAGCAAACTTTTCTCTTCACTCCTAATACTGAGGATATAGTGTCACACTGACCAGCCTATTAATTTACACTATTATTATTCCCTACAAGTTAAGCCATGAGAGGCGGAGAATGTTCCAAGGCTAATGTTTTTTTCAGTGTAGCAGGAGACACGTAGTAACACTGGTCATATCTATAGTTAGCAAGAAGCTCTATAGCAACGACACTTATAGAATGAGATTAATCTCTTCTTATATAATAATCTATATTCAAGAAGCTCTGCAATTAGGGAGTTAGAAAGATATGGCCTGGCACATTATTCTGCTCTACTGAAAGTGCCATCATAAATCATATATAAATTTCATTAAAAATATATAACGCTCTCCCTCTTGATCTAGGAATACAGAATTCTTACACAACACCATCCTCATGATTCAGGGGGCCTTGAAGGCTGATTTACCTCCTCAACCTCCATACTTTTTGCTCTCCCGCTCCAAATGAGTGCAGTGCTGTCCTGCGCCTGCTGATAAAGCAATAGAGCCTTGTCAACGTTCCCTAACTGGACGCACAGATTGCCAAAATTCTCGAGGGTTTTCCAGATAGGGATGGAAGTTGCCAATGACACCGTGGCTAGAGCTTTTTCATCGCCGTGCAGTGCTTGCTCAATGGTAGGCGTTGGACTGGAAGCTCTAAGCGAATTATTCAATAAGCTATTGACCATATTCTTTGGGTTTTTTGTTACCTTTGCGCCTCTTGAATAGGAAGATGGAAAAATAATTGCCTCGCATAAGCGGCTGCCGCCGCTGCTGCGAAGCCATGCCATACGTCGTTTTTGTGTGTGTCGCAATAGTCGCAAATCCCTCGGATAACCAGGCATGGTAAATTGTTCAGGACGCCTGCTGCTTCCATCTCGAAGCAGAGAAGCCCATGCTCTTGCGCTAGAGAATCTCTTTTTTGGGCATCCGCAATTACTAATCCCCCAGACGCGATTGTGCCTCGGTGTACAACAATGTATGAATCGTCTTCCTCGTCTATCTGTCGCTCGATGCGCTGTCGTGGGTCACATCCACTCTCTTGACACGACATAGCTTTCCGTTGATGCTCATAATGCGGTTGGTAGAGATGATCCTTGTCAGCACCGGGAAACCCAAAGCGACGAAGAGCTCGACGACCAGTTGGGATCCTCTTCGTGTTCTCCCAGATTGGGTCATATTCCCTCCGGTGACGCCGCACAGCCATCTCTCGCGCCGCGTTGAGGAGGACTATTGGCGGAGGCGCAAGAGCACCTCCGCGTTCCAAAATACCTAGCATTGCATCTCCATGATTGTACTGTATAACTCCAGGGTGTATACCTGTCGGTTTGCTTACCACCACATGTCCCAGACGAATCATCCCGGCGTCGGTCTCAATAGGAACACCACCTCCAATCCCTACTAACAGGCCGTATTTAAGATTTGGGAATGTCATCTTCATCTGCGTGACAACGGTGGCTGCGGAGCAATTCCCCATGCTAGGGAGTCCGACGATTATAACGTTATGATCATTGATGCTGCCAAGGCTGTAGATATTTGTGTCATTTTCCGGTTGTGGCAGAGGTTCATGTTCTTCGTCTAGCATCTCCATGGCTGCGATCTGCTCTATCTCCAGAGCACAGATCCATCCCACCTTATAGGCGTCATGATTCAACCTTCTCAAAGGCATTTTAGTCGCACTGTTCCAAATGGTCTGGTGCTTCAGGCAAAGGCTCGTGCCCGGAAATATAGTCGTTTTCAATGTCAATAAATTTGTATTAGAAAGGCTATTTAGCATGTAATAGATACGGGAAGAGAAAAAAGAAGAAAGCTTCCAGCTTTTAAAAGACCTCGCTATTTACTAGATGGGAATTGGGGAATACTAGGTGAGTATTGAAGAGGGGTTGAGGCTCAGCGCCAATTCCTGTGGTCTGGATAGATCAGCCAACTATACTCCTCGAGGAGCCGCCGGAGATGTCAGCCCAATTCAATAGGTGTGGCGACAGTTTTCGTGTTTCTGCTGCGGTACTTCAAATGACAAATCCAATATCAGTCGTTTTTCTGTCTCTAATTCTATGTCAATAACAGAATAGGAAAAACCTAACCCTAAAACCCTGAGTACAATCGGAAGAAACACCCTTGAACTCTTCTTTACCTTTTTATTGCATTTCAGTATATTATGGGGGTTTTGTATATTATAAATATTGGAAGAATTAGGAGGAACACTTCTCACTAGTCATACTGGTGTCAACATTGACATAGGAATAACCAGGGAAATCACTTTTCAAAGCACAGACCAAATCCTGATGTAGTCATTTTTGAGCATCAATTGGAGCTTTCCCTTTTATATTAAGTATGCAGTAGTGCTTATTTTGTCTGTGCCAAATCATGAACTCACTGAACCCCTTACAAAGCTTTGAATAGCCACTGCTGGTTGACACTACCTTTTCGCTCCCTATTAAGCAAGATAGGCGTTCCATCTGCAGGTCGAGCATTGGAGAGATCCATGGCCATATCTGGATATGCCGCATTGAGGATCTCAAATGTAGAACCGACTCTGTTCAGTCGCCATCGAAGCATTGGGTCCAGGCCTGGATCACTGCAGACGGCCCCTCTCAGCTGGTTATTAGCGCCAGCGCCTGGAGAATCATTAGTCACGGTGGTCTTGAATTGGAATCCTGGAAATACTACTTGGAGCAGCAAGATAATTGCCTGTGCGGTCTCGAAATGACCATTCCTCTGCATTGATCTTGTGTGCCTCCCACTGCTGCGTCGGAGCGTCTCTCTCATGCCTATATTGTTAGTTATAGATCATGCGATATTATCTAAACCACTGTGACTTTACCTAAGAATGATATCGCCTTCTGGCTCAGCGGCTGTCACGTCCACAACACCATTATTGCCGAGGACTATGGTGTGCAGGCAGTAAATCCTTCCATCAACAGGTTGAGCAGACATGACTAGTATATTATTCCAAGTACTTTGATTAGAATAAAAGTATCAGTAGCAAGACGTTGATGAAAGGTGGTGAAGGTTAAGTTGTGTTACTAAGCCCCAGCCACATGCTTCATACCCATGTAATGATCATGTGGTCTATTCAGACTTTAGAATCAAAACTTACCATGTTCTCATCTCAACCAATAAATATGATTGCCATCGAAAGCATCTTTCGAGTCTATATGACGTCGGTTTCGGTCATGACCTATGCACAGGACTCCATAGCTGTAACTTCTACCAGATGAACGACATCACACAATGAGAAAGGTCTTGGTGATCGGAGGCACTGGTGCTCAGGGAGTACCCGTTGTCAAAGGTGTATAACACTTCCTCTCTACAATAAATCTCACCTGCTGACTTGATCTGAAGCTCTAGCTACAGGCTCCGAATATGCCGTTCGTGTGATAACCAGAAACACCCAGTCGAAGGAGGCGCAGACGCTGGCACATCTCCCCCGGGTGACGGTCTTCCAGGGCAATCCGTACGACGAGCTCACGCTGCGCCAGGCTCTCATGGGGATCGACTGTGTGTTTGTGAACACCAACGGGTTTGCAATCGGCGAGAAAGCTGAGATCTACTGGGGTATCCGGCTGTACGAGCTGGCTCGGGAGTTCCGTCTACAGCACTTCATCTACGCCGGGCTCGAGTACGGGTCGAAGCTGGGCGGCTTCGATCCAAAATACCGCTGCGGCCATCTCGACGGCAAGGGAAAGGTGATCGACTATCTCTCCGCTCAACCTACGAGCCCGATGGCGTGGTCGGCGCTGACGTCCTGTATGTACATCGAGGCGTTGGCGGAATTCCTACGGCCCTTTCCCCATCCAGACGACCCAAGTACATTCGTTTTTGCTGCACCGCTTGGAGCAGGCAAATGCCCGCTCATCTTCCTGGAAGACTACGGGGCGTATGCGCGGTGGATGTTGGACAACCCGGCGCAGAGCAATGGACTGAACCTGCACGTCGCCACGGAAGACATAGGGTGGGAGGAGCTGGCCACAGTCTTCAGTGAAGTGACGGGGCAGAAGGCGATTTATCACGATCTCGGCTTGGACGAGTACTTCCAGCGTGGGGTCTTGGATCCTGACGCCAAGGTCGGCCATTCGACAGACCCGAATGACTCGACTTTGCAAACCTACCGAGAGAACTTCACAGGCTTCTGGAACACCTGGAAGGACGAACTGTCGCACAGAGACTACGCCCTGCTGGATCGCATCTTACCCGGTCGTGTCAAGACGGTTAAGCAGTGGATGGAGCTGACGGGGTACTCGGGGAAGCCTGCGCCGGTTCTGAAGGACTACCGGGATAGGGCGCAGTGAGCATTACTGTAGGCAATGATGGAGTGATTATGACCGAGGGAAAAGTGTTACACACTGGTATACAGAATGGTATATTCCTGATATTTATGCCAAAAATACCATTTCATGATGTAGTTTAATTGGATCTCTTCTAGATATGATTAATACATAAGTATATACACCTTATTACTCTGTACTGTGAGAGCTCTTCTATTATCCTCATTCCCACCATCATCTCATCCTATTCTACCGATTCCTCGTAGGGATACACACACCATCAAAAAATACTGCATCACTATAAAATAAAATCCTCACTATAATAAAATCCTCAACTCAATCTACGGCCAAGTATAAAAAACATACAACAGTAGGGATTCGCTGGTGGTCACCCACCCAACTACTAACCTACCGGCGTGTGGCTTGAGTACGGCTGAGCGGACGGGAAGCCCTATTTTCCACACCCTGTGGTCGTATGTGATTGATGATCATGGAAGAGGGAATATATAGTATGTTTATATGTGCATAGCTAATTTGCAGAGCAGATTTGGCAGATAGTATAGTTATAGTGATCATATAAATACTAGTATTACTTCCACAGCTGTATATACTAGAGGTTATTAAAATAATACTATTCTATTGCCTATTAAGTCACTAGTAGTATAAACTAGCATATCTGCCCACCTCTATCAGATTTAAAGGTATCCATAAACTGATGGTAGTAATACTAACTGTCACTCATCTTAGTATAGAAGTGTTGCTGATATCTTGTCTCTTGCCGTCTCCTTAGAAAACCCTCGGTTAACCTATCCTCCCTCCTATGCTATTCACTTCCACATATCTGTTGCATAGTATAAGGGGAGGTAAGTATCATAACTTTCATAGTGAACTGCATTTCATTTAGCCGTAGAATTATGACATAATCTTCATAAGCAGTATATTAGCATCATCCTGATAGACTATAGTAATAGGATAGTTAATTCTAGAGGATAGTATATAGTTAGGAGGTCTATTCAATTAAATCATTATATTATTCCTATAACTCACTAGTATATTCATAAAGTTGCTCAGCTAGTACAGAAATAACAGTTAAAAGACTTGATAGTTCTTTAAGTAAATATTAACTTTACCACAGCATCATAGTGACTACAACATATTCTCAGTGATAATAAACCCAGGCCCAGCAAGTCAACACTTTATTTTTTATTTAGGATGTATTCCATTATTATTATATAACCTCAAAAAAACCCAGGAATGGAGCGACAGCTGTCAGGCCACAGCCTGAAGAAGGCACAGGGACAGCCCAGGTCCTTTTTATCGACTCTTGAACCCCCCATCTTCCATGACAAGACAGATATCATCTACAATCACCGGGAGAGGGCGCAGAGACGACGGATCGAATGGCCAACAGTGGATGACACCGTTCAGGCGATTGTGAGGGCAGGCGATGACACTCCAAAGACTCCTCTTCCCGCCACTGCCCAAGCCGTCGTCGACAGGGAAATCGCACTGTGTGATACCCGCCGCGGCTTGATTCGAGACCTCGGCGTATACGACCAGGTCTACCTGCGCGCCCCCAAATGGCGAGGCGTGCTGAGAAACCTCTACTGGCGAGCCCGGCGCCAGTCTGCGGTCTGGGATGTGTTCTGTCTGCTGGTTGATCGCGGCTTCGTCCACCCACAGTGTCTTGTTGTCCCTGTTGATCTCCAATCCGACAGTCAGGACACCCATCTTGTGATCCTGCTTCTCTGCCGCTTTTCTTACATCCGACAGGATGAAGACGCCTTCCTGCAAAATAAGATCCCATGTCAGACAGGGTCGTGGTATGACGACATTGAATGGCTCGCCACGATGATTGTCCGCAGCGGTGTCGACCTGGAAAGACTCTTCGATACAATCCAAGCCTGTGGTTTCCTGGGTGACTGCAGCCCCGAGGAGCTGCAGGAATTCAAGCAAGAGTATCCCGACGCGCGCATCACGCATAACCCTCGCGATCGAGAGGCGCAGCCTGGCCTGGACCCGGCCAGCGAGCATGTCTTTGGCTTCTGGCTGCCGCACGGCCTGGCGTCCGACGATGAGGACCTTTTTGGTCAGCAGCTTGCCGGCTGCCTCGGCAGGTTCAACGACATTGAGAAGGCCTTCCGGGACACAGAAGATATTTCGCCAGACCAGCTGTGGCTCGAGAGAGAGCAGATCGAGTTCTTTGGCCAGCGTGAGGATTTGCTGCCAGGTTCGAAAAATGACCAGCCCCAAGGCGACGTTTTGATTGACGATGCCGTCCAGTCTGGTCAACGCCTATCTGCGTGATGCAGAGAGCCGCTATTTAACCCTAAATAGGTGAACATAAAGACTGGCGAGTGGAAAGTGAAGGTGAGGTTGACAAGTAGCTTAGCCATAGTTGAATACAAGTAGTCTTTCTCTTACTATTATAACTAAAGGTGAACCACTTAAAGTATAGATTAAGTATAAGATAAGGTGAGAGGGGGCGACAGTTGTCTGCTACTTAGTATATATAGTCATTATTATAGTTACTGTAAAAGAGTAAGGATGATGCTCTACTTATGCCTAGACCTAAACATAAATAAGTTATGAGGTCTCATCTATTACCACTGCATTTATTAGTATATTAATAATTCTTGATGGCATATCAGATACTCAAGCATTAGCTGTTATGGCCACACCATCTTTTATAACCTATAAATATCTAGAATCCTATAGGAATTTCAATAGAACCTTAACTTACCAATAAGCCCTTATATCATTAGACATAATAATGAATCTTGCAGAGTTTATAATTTAGGGTTAGGGCTTAGGGTTAGGGATTCCTACTTCAGCCTCTGTACCTTAATCCCAGCTATCTAATTAGAAATTCTAATAAATTAGCATCTCTTTTATCTTCTAGCATTGCGACACATTCCAATAAGGACAATCTAAGGTTTGCACTGATTAGGCTATGTCTAGTGTTGACGGAGACAGCTCAGCAGGTCCAAGACGAGACCCTACACAGCCGGCTTTACCGCAGCATTTACCTGCGTGGCGGGCGTCATTATGGCCGTCCTGGTGCCATACATAATCAACACCGACCAGTGGAACTAGAGCCTCAAGACCGGCTGGTTCTATGCGGGCGTGGGACTCCCTTTTGTCGTGGGCATGTGGCTTCTCATCCCCGAAACAACAGGGTATGTATTGCACTATATCTTTTAAAATGAAAATCCCTGACAAGATCTAATAGACGGTCCGCTGCCGAGCTGGACGAATTTTTGGAGGCCAAGGTGAAGCCGTGGCGCTTTCATAAAACGATCACCGCAGTTCAACGCGCCCTTGAGGAAGAGAAGAGGTAGAAAGGGATTGTTATCTTTCATTGAATATAGCTATGGTATAACAGAGACTGCCTTTACCAATATTCATACTTATGATATTAACTATGAAGGCCAAGATCTGAAATCTAAGATCAATGACCTTACTATCTCTCATCTATCTATAATTCATATTCCTGATGGCTGACACTACATATTACGTCTAGAAAACAGTCAATTCTATATATTAAGGAACTGTGCAGATGTGATACTGACGGCAGATAGGATATCAGCAACTGCCGATGTCAGGGCCTTAATCTAGATTTGGTCCTTCTCAATTATTCGGCTTCTTGTATAAATCTCATAGGCCAACACGATTTCATCTTCCCGTCAACTATCACGCTTCAATCAAAATCACTATTCTTGATATCTAGACAGTTTTTCGAAGAATGCCGAGTTAGCCGAGCGGAATCCAAGCGTCAACGTACATATACGAGGTACGTTGTTTGCAATAGCAAACATGAGGAACTGGCATGGTTGGTCATCATGATTGATGCTAATCATTTGCTGTTCTTAGGCAAGTATAGGGCTGTATCTCAATGGTAAATGCTGCCTAGTACTATGAGAGCTGAAAAGATCTTCTTTGGGATCGGAAATAAATATCACATATGAGATTTATCTGAGAGTGTTTGAAGTGGGTATCGGATTCCATTACACCAGAGGGTGTATGAGGCGGAGTTTAGACATCATTTTGAACCAGCCTAGCTACAGATAGGCAAAAAGAAATCCCTCAATCAGGCTCTCGTAGGTTCATCAAGCCCTGGTTGTATTAGTATACTTCCATAGGGGCTGTCTTACGAGACTCCGCCTTGCACCATGGCAAACAATCAATGTAAGCCAATCTTGAGGGCCGCCATGAAGCCTTGCGAGCGCGGTGACACATAGGCAGGAATTGGTTTGCGTGTCATCTGCTTACTGGTTTCAGGACCGAGAAGGCTGGCTGAGATGTTGGAAGAGGAGACAGACGTAAAGGCTAGAATTGGAACAGGAAGAGCTTTATATACATGCAGGCCATTTAGATGATATGCCATTTTCTATATATTTAACATCCTTCTCAGTCCTAAACTCTAGACCAGTATCAAGCTTCTTATTTATATCTATCTATTATCATACCAAAGAACGACAAAAGAACAACTCGTTTTCATTGCCCTTTGAGAAGTAAGGGAAACTGCCGAAAAGCTAATAATATTTGCGCTGCACATCAGACTCTATGCAGTGAGCATGAACTCCCTCATTTAAATACTGAAGAATGCCCAAAATGTGAAAGGTATGATTACCTATACTATAATGGTCATGAGTTATTTTAATGAATAAAATATCTAGCCGGGATGGATTCAAAGAGAGAAGACAAATGAAAGAAGAAACAGCACAAAGGGAAGCAGAAAGACAAAGGGAAAGCAACCCAGATGAATACCAATCAAATTCCCGGCGACGAAGGGCCCAGCAAGAAAGACTCCAGGAGGAAAGAGCCGAACAGCAAAGAGCCCGACAACAAAGAGCTCATCAACCAGAGCCTATCAACCAGGAGCCTATCAACCAGGAGCCTATCAACCAAGATCCTTTCATTTGAGGAATAAGCTCAGGGCTTTATCTTATTTTTGAGCCGATTGGATTATTTAAAGGCTATTATGAATCTGATATATAATATCTTGACCAGTTCATTGACTTCCAGAATAAGACATCTCTTTCTCTTGGTCCCTTTAATGTATTAACTCTTTTCATATTTAATGATCATATATATTTCAGCAACCTACACACAATCATCTTCAATTTACTGTACAACCATATCTATGCCCCATGTAGACTGTACACTCCAGGCGATATCTTAAAGTACCGAGAGAGCTCTAAAGACATTTTACCAATAAGGGTTTGCCAGGAAATACTTGTCCCTCTATTCAGCTCAGATCCGCAAAACCAACGAGTTATCTTCGACTAGTTAAGATAGAAAGAAGCCTGACCAGAGAACACATCGGCAGTAGGCTAGAAGCATTTGGTTCAGCTATTCATCCTCTTTGGCAACCTTTGCCGATTCCAACAATTTTCGTACCTCATCCCACTCACTCTGAAGCAGGTCAGCTCTATCCAAGTCTTCAGCTACCTGTATTCCATCAATAGCAAAGTGAATGAGTGTCCGAGCTAGTCGATACTGAGCCCCGTACGCAAACCGAAGATAGGTTGGGCCAGCCGCTTGTTCAAACAGTTCTTTCAGTTGGCGGGATTCAGGCGCTGAGGGAATGTCTCCTGCAAGCCGCTCATCCTCCTCATCCTCCTCATTCCATGCCCATAGCCACATTGGGGGAGCGCAAGACATCACAAGCGGAGCAAAGATTGCACTGTCCCAGTCAAGGATGCCACTGATGCCTTGCGCATGTGCCATGATATTGCGAGGCTCCAAGTCGCGGTGGCAAAGACAGTTTCCACTCTCAGCCAGAATGCCCAGGGCATCCATCTCTGATGCTATGGTCAGAAACTGATCATATAACTCGATTCTGAATGAAGCTGCGCTTGGATTCATAGCAGTAGCCAGGTCTTTTTGATGTTGGAGAATTGCATGGATTGTGTCAAAAACCGTCTGTGCTGCAGGTCCCTTCTCATACGGCACGGTTGAGTCAGTCGCTGCTGGTCTATCCAAGGGCTGGATTCTCAACGAGTCCTTGGATGGATCTTCCGGACAAGGCAAAGAGGTGATTCTGCCCGCTGTAACACTTCTGATCGAATGTAACTGCAAGTAGACCGCGCCAAGGTCTTTTGCAATGGCGCATTTCAATTCCTGGGACAGGTCAGGGTAGCCTGGCCAAAGAGGCGAACCAGAAATACGCATCATGATCATGTATGGTTGTTCCAGGGCATTGGATTGGGTTGCGTCGAATTTGACGACATGTGGGATTTGGATGGTTGATTCTTGCCGAAGTAATTGGAGGGGCGCAAGATCATCGACTATCTGCCGGATCTCAAACCGTGGGATGCGGAGGATGTACTGTTTGACGACGGATTCTTGGTTTCCATCTTCATGACCGGCCACCGAGACGGCAATGACCCTGTTGAAGCCTCCTCCGCGCATGCGCTCGATTGAAACCTCGCCACTGGCAGCAGCGCCCAGCACGGCTTCACATAACTTCAGAGCCCGCAGCTTGAAGGTCTCAAAAGGCTCCTGGCTATAAACAAGAGTCGACGAGTCCGATTGAGAGTTGGTCGAGTCCGATAGAGAGCTGGTCGAGTCCGACTTTGAGTGGTCGGATTTCGACTCCAGGTCTAACTGTTCCAACTGCGACGTAGCTTCAGACATGATGGCTGATTTTGAGGGTGGGCTAGCTGGAACTTCCATAATTTGGTAATCGATGGGAGTAAAAGAGGAGAAAGGAAGGCTGAATAAATAGAACATCCCACTTCTGAGGCTTGATGCTTGCAGGGGCGGCCAGCCAATCAGACCATATAGTGGTGTGAGTTGGCCAGTCTACATCCTAATCACTGTAGGGATAGTGGAATTATTGTGACAGGGGGGAGGAGAGTCATAAAGAACTTTACAAGTTTACTAGTTATTTCTCATATTGTAATTATGCATATTTGGCAGCTAAGGGGTTGAGTAGAAGACTAGTTATAGTCAAAGACACTAGATACTAAGATTCCATAAAGATGGGTGAAGGATAAGTTTTGATTAAGGGTCCTTTAGCATTAGATCTAGATATTATTTATAATAATTAAAAGGCTCTAAGAAATCACCATAAGAGTCTATTTATAATAGTATTATTGCAATATATAATAAAAGTATCTCTCTTTACTTAAGGTCTAAAGCATGATTTTAGTGATTCCACTTACCCTCCATCAGACTGTCTGGAATCATATAATATACTAAGATAATTACCCCCTTCTTGTCTTGTCTATAGGCTTCTACACATGATAATGCACTTTTCAGCCTCGTGCAGGGATGCCTCGTATTTCGCAAACACATTTAGACCTCGCACCCCCCTAATGGCCTCACAAAACCATGTCACAGCCCGTCTCTGTCTTCTGAAATGGCCGACACAGAACTTGTCGGGCGTCAGTCATTCCAACAGACATTCTCACGCACTTTTGCCCCGTTGATCGTCACCAGCGCCGTGTCCGTCGTGCTGGTGCTACTGCGAAACCACGCCTTCCACGGCGACGCTGTACAGCACGCGTCTGCGCGTCGAGCGACGCCCGACAGCATGCTGCGCAACCGCGAGGCACGCCGCATCGCCGACGACGACGACAGCCAGAGCGAGGACTCCATCACGCTCAGCTCCGTGGAAGACTTCTTCGCCTCCGTGCTGGACGACATCCTCGTCGGCTTCGGCAGCGCCCAGCTGGCCATCGCAGACGACGTCCAGCTTTCTCTCGACGCCCGTGCAACTGTCGAGGCCCTCCATATCGGGAAACCAGTCTACATCTTCGCCGTATTGGTTGTCAACATCCTCCTTCTGCTCGTCTTGTTGCAGCAGTCTCTCCACACGGGGAGACGTCTCGCCCTCGATCTCGACACTGGCCGTGAGGGACTCGAGGGGGGAGATTCTTGGGAGAGACTCAGGGTGCAGCTGGCTGTGAATAAGGGGCTGTTGCATGCACAGGAGGGGGGGTACACACCTGCTCTGATTCCTAGATAGATTTATATAATTACTTATATATATTGAGTATACCTCAATACCACTCGATGATATTAGTCGGATGTGAACGAAGCATCCATAGGGCACAGACCACAGACAGGGACTCTATTTACAGCCACCTCATGGTTGTTTAGATATGGAAGAGAGCATTTCTGAAGAGATCATCTTCAAAAATACTTTCCAAATCCAGCATCCCATCATTCAACTCCATCTCTTTCATATCAACAGGCCTTTGAAGCTGAGCGATAAACAGAAGCTCCAGCTGGGTATTCCTCACGGCATATGCTTTTAAGCACGCATTCCTCATGGCGAGATGGACCGGTCGGTTCATATCCCATATCATAGACGGGTTCCTCTCATACACAGACTGTATATACCGCCACGCCTTTTCTGCGTCTTTATGGTCTGGTTCGGCGTGGAGAGTGTCAAGGACGTACAGGATGGGATGCCATACTTGAAAATACGGGGCGTACCATGCAAACCGTCTGATCTGGGGGTTGGCCTGTAGCATGCCATGCTGCTCGAGAAGACGCTGGTGGTGCCCATGAACCCGGCTCTGGAAAGCGACGTCTTGGTAGCGGCGATGTACCGAGGTAGAAGGATACACCGTGCCTCGCCGAGTAGCTGTAGACATTCTTCCTCTGTGCTGTATATAGTAAATAGAAGGCAGAAAAGCTGCGGGTGATGGTCTTTGTGCTCCTTGCAGCCTGATCAACGACGGGTTGTAACGTTGGTACGTGGACGATCTTGGTCAGAGGATCAATGTTCTCGACGAAGATGTGCCAGAGTTGGTGTATTCTTTTAGATGATGAGAAGATGAGAAGATGAGATGAGAAGATGAGATGAGATGAGGAGAAGATGAGAAGATGCCTCAGGCAGCTCGGGATTCGGGCCCGAACGTACCATTACAGTATTACAGACAGTCTATACATATTCTATTTGATCCTCCATGTCGGGCTCGAATGTTGACTATTGAGAGGATCACAGACAGGTATCCTCATCTTGCACAGCTGGTAGGATCTGGCTCATTCTTTGCGCTGGGGAATCACCATGTTCTCATCACGCAGCGAGGAGCGTTCGATTCCTGCCGTGTGTATCTCTGGCTGACGCTGGAGGAAACGGCCGATCTGACGGTATCAACCGCAAGAGACAGGATCCTGGGCGACGAGAAGTTGTTTGGCACATTTGACGATTCGGTCAAAGAGATCATCGCCGCCGCATACGAGGTAGATATCAATATAAACAACAGCACACTTGATCTCCGGCCGCTGTATACTCTCCCGCATGGACACTCCTGGAACCACCACGCCGGCGTCACGCTGGTCGGAGATGCCGCCCATCTGATGCTACCGAATGGAGAGGGAGTCAATTCCGCCATGTGGGATTCGCTGCTTCTGTCGAGAGAGCTTGTCAAGGCATATACCACCTCTCCCAGTAATATAGACGTGCAGACAATGTTGGACCCCCTGCTCAGCCAGTTTGAGGCGGATATAGTGACTCGTGCACAGAAAATAGGCCTCAAAGCAGACTTTTTACTTGACAAGATGTTTGAGGATGATGCCGCTTATGTATTTAGTACTCTTTTTAATGGTGAGTAGTACAGTAGTTTTATTATACTTATATATTATGCTGTAGTCTCTAGTGGGTGAATATAGATTATACCTACATCTCCTGTGGTGCATTATATGAAATTAGGTCACTAATTAGAACTTATCTAGTAATAGATATAAGTTATAGGCAATTGCTATAGTATATGCCTTATAAATTATAAGACTAATATTAGACTTACATATCTTCTACTCCCTCTATATTATTCACATATATCAAGATGCCAGCTCTAGAGCTTTCTCTCTCATTCATACAAACCATTGCACAGTTGATATCTGCCCTACCAGTTCTTAAGGATATTTTATCCGATCTCCATGAGCGTTCTCGCCGTCTATGGGATTTCTTCTCGGCCACTATCCCGTCCTACTGGGTATATAGAGGTAGACAATTGACGTGTCCAGAGTGACTTTATAGTAGTGGACGATATATTGATTGCGCACGGCCCCACTGATAGGTTTCTAGATCGAGTCCAACCACCATCGTCTCACACCGACACATTCCTCTATGATCTTGAATTCGGACCGTCTTTCAATTGCGAAATTCCAAATGATAGCACAAGTGATGTATCTGATAGGCTTGGAGGGATCATCAGTCGAAAGAAAGAGCTATGAGTATGTGTTTATGGTCTTTACTCTTATGTTGAGGTTTATTAACATCTGATTACTCTGCATACAATACGTTGTCTATGAACTAGAAGGTTAATATACTGCTCATATAGATTGAAGTAGAGGCGATTTCCATCACGGGATGATGGCGCAGTTGGGAGCGCGTTAGACTGAAGTGGTAACTTCAGCCAAGTAACACCAAAGTGTCATCTAAAGGTCGCTGGTTCAATCCCGGCTCATCCCATCTTTTTCTTCCAATTTTTTCTACTATTTTTCTATCTCTGATTCTTGTGATGGTTAATTGTAAGACCTGGATATAATTTGAACAGAGCATCGGCAGAAGATCCTCCATGATGTTTCGATTTTGGTAGACGAAGCCGGTCGAGAAAATTGCGTATACAAGAGATGATCTTATCCTACTGACTTTAACTGTATACGATTTCTATTCTTGACTATGCATCTAATTTAGGCGGGCTAATTGAGATTCCTTCAAAGTACTTCTGTTTACGCATAAACACTACCCTATCCAACGCTTTCTTATCGAATAAAACCCCAGACCGATCAACCAGAGAGCAATCAGAACCAAGGCCTGCACGGGTGCAAAGACAGCTCCCCGCGCGGTGACCAGGAAACTCACCACCGCGAAGATGACGGGGATCCAGAGCCCCGGTTTATAGGGGCGAGGGAGGTCGGGATCCCGGAACCGCAGGATGATCGCCCCGAGCACCGTCAGGAAGAAGAAGGAATACTCGCCCAGCCCGGTGAAGGTGAGGAGAGCGCGGAAGTTGCCCCAGAGGATGTACAGGATGGGCAGGATCGTAGAGAGGATGATGGCGTTGAAGGGTGTGTCGGACTGCTCGGTCGATTCATCGGAGAGATGATTAGAGTGAGTCTTGGGGAAGACATGGCCGATATAACCCAGAAACGGGGGGAACCAGTTCGACCTCGCCGCTGCGACTATCATGCGGCCTACAACGAAGGAGTTGCCGAGCAGAGACCCTGCGACGACCAGACAGATGAGAGCGGCAGCCAGAATACCAAAGCCTGGGCCAAGAAGGTGCGTGATGGCCGTCTATCAGACAGTTAATATTATGTACTTAGACCTATACAGCATCCTTTCCAACGACTTACTACTGCCACGCTATCAGTCGTGGAAACAACACTCCACGGGAGAAGGATGTAGTAGGCTGTGTTCGCCGCAATGAAGCACAGGATGATGACAGGAACGGCGGTATTGATGGCAAGAGGCAGCTGTCGCGCTGGCTGTGATAGTTCCGCGGTGATATACATTGCCTATTATTTCGTGAATATGTGAGTGCCCGTGTGTCTTCTATGTCCCCTGGAGAAAGCAAAAAAAAAAACCCCCCACCTTATCCCATCCCGAATACGCCCACAAGGCCCCGTACAAGGCTGTAGAGAAATGGCCCAGCAGCTCCCACCCCGACAGCTCCTCCCAGTCGATCTCCTTACCGTCTGGCGCGGTGGTGTTTCTGGCGTCAAACCACGACCTGCTGTACCAGTCCGTGGGCACCGAATCGTCCTCCACACCCGACAGATGAAGCAAGACGACAGCAATGCCCCCCACCACGACGGCGAGTATGGTGATGAATTTCGTCCCGACAAAGAACCCGTTCAGGCGAGTGCTCACTTTGGTGCTGATGGAGTTTGCCGCGCCGATCGCGATCAAGACGAGGATGGCGAACAGCTTGTGCGAGAGACGCGTGGCCTGGTCCGTGATGCCAGCCGCCGTGTAGATGGTCTCGACGAAGACAAGACTCAGGATGGCCAGCGAAGCAGGCATAACAGCCACGATCCACGTCCACGCCGCCAGAAACCCGAGCGCGTCGCCGTAGACGTGCCGCAGGTACGGCTGCACGCCGCCCTGGCCGGGCAGGGCGGTGCCCAGCTCGACGAGGGTGCTGGCGCCTGTCCACGCCAGCAGACCGCCAACCAGCCAGACCAGCAGAGCGACGCCGGGCGAGGGCACGTTGGCGTCAATCGAGCCGGGCGAGGTGAAGATGCCGCTGCCGATCACGATGCCGACGACGATCCCGAACGCCTCGAAGGCCCCGAGATTGCGAGAGAAGCCGGTCTCATCTTCGCGGGCTTCTTCTGGCTGCTGCTGAAGAAGCGGCGAGCGTTCATCGCTTGGTTGAAAGTGCTGAGACATGTTGTGGTGGTGGAGAGAGAGAGAAGAGGGGAAGAGGAGAAATGAGGAGATAAAGAGGGGGGTCACGCCATTATGCAGGAGATTGCATTATTTTATGACTCTATATCCCTTACATCACATTATAATTCTTTTTATCTTTAGATTGATAGATGATCTATTATTATATTGAATAGATTTGAAAAGGTCCAGGATAAGTTTACCTCAGTAGCGTCAAACCACTATATATATATTGCTATTCTGTTCACTGTACTGTGAAAGGAACTGTCTATATAATTAGATATAAACCCTAATAATATGGTAAGTCTATCTCAACCCCATCCACGTCTGCTCTAGACCTTTATATCATATGTGGTCATAATACATATACACACAGGCATATGTTTAAGAGGAAAATATAAGGAAGAGAGAAATCCCCACAAGATTTGATAGAAGAGATCATATTCAAGAACTGGTATGTAACGACCAGACACGTATATGGTATGAAAGGCATATCAAACAGGTATTAAACAGGTATTAACACAGGAGAGAACTCCGCTACAACCAAACCAAGAACTGATTTACTTGACATAATCCTCAATCTGCCGAAGGAGGTCCCGGAAGCGAACAGGCTTGGAGAGGAACAGATTGAACCCACAGCTCGTCGCTTCCTGGCGGACAGCAGCGCTGCCCAGTCCCGACAGGGCGATGATGACGGCTGGTTCCAGCGGTTTTTTAGGGGCGTTGTTGGTGTCTCGGTACTGTTTCTCGAAGAATCGGATTTCCCGCGTCGCCTCGAGACCGTCCATGACGGGCATGGAGATATCTGTGCCGTCGTTAGAACAGTACACTAAGAACATTTACAGAACGTTCTTACCCATGAGAATGACTTTGATTATGTTCGGATTCGCCTTGAAGGTTTCCAATGCCTCCAGCCCGTTGGTGGCAGTCATATAGGCTAGTTTCGCCTTCTTCATGAAAGCAACCAGGAGCTTGAGGTTCACGTCGTTGTCGTCAACAAGCAGGACTGTTGGCACCGGTTTGCTTGCGACCTGGACCTGTTGGACCAAGACTGTCTCTGGAGGACTACTGCCGGGACTGGGATCGTCTATCGGCACCGTCGTGATGGTCACCGGGTCCACGGCCTTTTTGGCCTGCACCACAGTCTCGGCCACGGCAAAATCGTCCTTCAAGTCGAATGTTACAACGCGGGGTCTCGCTCTGTCCTCTGTTCCTACCTCGGAAGAGGCAGGGGGGCGTTGATCTTGGTCTTGGATGACCGAGAGGAGCGCCTTGGCTAGCTTTCCCGGACCGCATGGCTGAGTGATGTACTTGTCTATCGGTCCCGACTTATGTGGCTGATCCAGCCTGGTAGACAGCTGCTGCGAGGTTTGAGGGGTTGGACAGATGACAATTGCCGGCGCGGGCGGGTGCGAGTCTTCCGTGCCTGGCAGCCTCCTAAATTTATCAAGTAGATCCAGCTCGGATCTATTGACCAGATAGAGGTCACAGGGAACAGGATCATTGGATGTCAACGAAACAACGGACGCATGCATACCGAACTGCTCCTGACACAGCCGGGTCAGCGACGACCGAAGCAGGCCCCGAGCTTCGGAATCGACACCGGCCGATGAATCAAAGCCCACGAGGCCGATAGATTTGCCGCTGGCTTTCCGTTTCGCTTCTTTAATCTCCGCTAGTGCAGTTTGATCACCTCCTGCGACGCGAGAGTACCCGACAAACGGCAAGTCAATACTCACTGTGATCTCTGAGCCCACGCCTTTCGTAGATGTGATGTCGATCTTGCCATTCATCGAGTGCACGGTGTGGTGCACAATGCTCAGGCCCAGCCCGCTGCCTGGCGAGAGAGTATTCTCCTGGGAAAAGGGCTTGAAAATGCCGTTCTTCAAGTATTCCTTTTCGATACCCTGGCCGGTGTCCTTGACGACAAGAGTCACACGCTGCATCTCCGTCTTTGGAGTGTCTGCAAGATGGTACCCCTTTTGTTTGGATACCTGTGGAACGGGGGATGCCTTGAGGGAGACCAGGATATAGCCCTCTCGGGTGTATTTCATTGAATTCCCAAACAGGTTCATGAGTATTCTCCGCCAGGAGCCGGCCTCTGTCTCAAAGATCCATTCGATGCCAGGGTCCACCTCGTAGATGATGGTGAGAGACTCGTTGAACGATGGCATGCTCTGTGTCCGGACAAAGTCGCCAGAAAGGTCGCCAGCCTTCTCCGGTATGCGAAGGAGACTGGAGCGCGAAGTGTTCCCGGTGTAGAAACAATGTCCGGCAAATATACTGTCCACCACTTCTTCAAGCACCATGTCGAGCTGGACATCGGAGATGAGATTGATCATACCATTGACAGGTGTTGTCTTCGATCCTAGAGGTACCGGTATCTGTGACCTGGCAGGAAGGTGGTTCTTTTTCTTCCGCCGGGAACGGCGAGACTTGCGCAGGAAGTCGTTAATCTTCGCAAAATCCAGCATGTTGTTGATGATATCGAGAAGGGTGCGACCGCAGTGTTCGATGGTGTGAACCATGGCGTGTTGAGACGGTGTCAACGACGAGTCACTCAGGAGTTCGGTGCTTCCGAGGATGCCATGCAACGGGCTGCGGAGTTCATGAGAGATGCTACTGACCAGCGTCGCTTTGGCTTTGTTGGACAGCTCCACGTCAAACCGATCGATCTCGGCCATGATACTGTTGGAGAAGGCGTACAGGTACGCCACCTCGCCACTCAAACTGAAGATCCGCGAGGATGTGGTCCAGACAAATAGGCCAGCGAACCACCGGTTGCGCCGCGTGTCCCACATCGGAAAAAGGGCAATGCTCCGGGCTCGCGGGAAGGCTTTGAGAATTGCCTTGTTCTCTTCCTTGAGGCTGCCTTTGACCCTTTTGTGCCGTGACCACTGTTCGAATGTCTGAGACCCGTCCTGGCGGCGACCGATCACATCACGGGTCACTGTGCTCCCCGGAGCAGTGTCACTGCCTTCGCTGGAGGAGATCGAACCATTTTCATCAATGTTGAAGATTCCGCCGCGAGGGTAATTTCGTAATAAGATCTTGAGTAAGGATTCCCGCATAGAGCCCTGATCTGCTAGATCATCGCCTGAGTCGGTGTGATGCTCGGAGGAGACAGACATGCCAAGGACTGTACAGTTGCCCGCGTCGTCCGTTTCGGTGGCTGAAGAGTGTGTATGGTTGTTGCCTTCGCGCTCGCTCCCCGAATTGATATCTCCGGAGCCACTGCTTTCGGGATCGGATGCTCTGTCATCGGTGTTTTGTTCTAGGTCGGTATAAGACCCTGCCCCTGCGTCCAAGAAGGCCACGCCTTCAACTTCGAGAGATTCTCGGATGATATTCGCTGCTCGCACGAAGATCGTTTTTCTACCCGCTGACAAAGTGTCATCCTTGTGGGTTGCTCGCGAGGATGAAATCCGCGAGGGGATGTCCAACAGAGTGCGATCTGCAGGGTGGTCAGTTTTGCTTTTTTTGCCTTTTTTTTTTTTTTTTTATTTCTTTATTTTCTCGCCCCAGTGAGGATGGAGCGTTTCATCCTTACCTGACACAAACGGGAATGGATAACTCGAGGACTCCCTGGGAGACGAGTTTGCTTTGCTGTAAGGCGATGCTGGCGGTAATAGTGGTGATGGGCCCTTGCGGCTGTGTCGATATCCCCCCGTGCTACCGGTTCCATCGTCTGTGCCGTTACTATTGTTACGCCGGTGGTGTGACTCCGAATACACGGCACGACCCTCGACAAAACTGCCGAGGCCAGCGATCATGTTTGCGCCACGACGGTTCTGCTCTCGATGGCGAACCATCTCCAAGTGGTTCATGATGGTGGCTGCGGTGTCCTTCATGAAGCGTAGCAAGTGGGCGTCGAGACCATTCTCACGAGGCCTGGGGTCACTGACGGCAAAGGCACCGATGGTGATTCCCCTGCGGCTGAAGATGGGCACACCGGCGTAGAATCTCAGGTAGGGTGCGTTGACGACGTAGGAACGGTCTTTGAAGCGATCGTCCTTGGACAGATCCGGCACCACAAAGGCAAAGTCGCCTTCGGAGCATCCGCTATCCTTGCCGGCATTGAGACTGGTATTGTCGGTGACATACTGGCAGACTCCATCCTGTCTATTGATGACACTGGTGCCCAGCCACAGAGCGTCGCCGTCCAGATGGACCCCGTCATCCTGCAGGCTGAGCGTTTTAGTTGCCTCGGCAAGAATATACTGCTGGCGGCGGTCGAACAAGGAGATCATACACCGGCGGGCGTCCAACCTCAAGGCACCCAGCTGGGCCAAGGCAGTGAGAGTAGTATCGCGGGAGGACTGAGGCAGGGGCTCGTTGCTGCCAGCACCCGCCGTCTCCAATCCTTCTGACCTCGATCTCGGCGGCAGATCCAGAAGACCTGGGCGATCCGGCAGCTGGTAGTACCTGGAACATCGCCCTAGTAGTTAGACTCGAACTCCTCCTTGGAACAGGAACTATTTTCCACACAAAAAGAAAGGGGGGAAGCAACTCACTTGTGGAATTCCCGCTCCTGCTCCATGACGGACGACCGGTGAGGAACTGCAATCACATACTCTGCGCTCTCATGCATCACGCTGGGCACCTCGGCGGCACGCCTTGAGACAGCGCAACATGATGGACAGAAAAGTGAAAAGAAAAAAGAGATCTCTTTTGGTGAATGTGGAGAGCGAGAGGGAGGAGGCGAAATTGGGCCCCAGGCGATGGTTCCAGAACCTGGTTCCTGACACGCAAACGCCTTCCAGTCTGGCTGGCCCTTGGAGTCTCCGACTCTCAATCTCCCGCAACGGCGCCTGCCAACTTCCAAGAAATCCCAGATCCTGCCATGGCGCCTGATTGGCCGGTGGCAGACTCCGAAGTCTCGACCAGCAAAACTGACGTCTCTGGCTTCATCCACTGTGGTCTAGTTTTTTTCGGAGTTTTTCGCGTTCCGGTGTCCGAGGGCGGAGCGGACTATTCTTTATGCGATGACAGGCAGCTAGCCGGATATGGTTAGCCTATACTAACTGCTTTGAGACACATATAGAGTGTCCTACCTACCCTAGGTAGGTACTAACTATCTAGTAGTAGTTACACAGTGAATAGTATACTATGGTGAATAGTTTAGTGGGAGATAAAGCTGCCATATTAGACCTATACATTTAGGCAGCCATATTCCTCCTATAAAAGTTGCTCACACGGATCTTCCCCTCTCCACCTCTCCAATATATATAGTCTGGTATAAAAGATGCACGTTTACGTACTGGTCTTATTGTGACCCTTTCAGAGGCAACTAAACTGCGAAACAAGAAGCGAAAGACTTCATATTACATGTACTCTCTTCCATTTCCTTTTCTTATTATGACCGACGACGATAGAGCTCGAATCCCTATATTACCTGCCGTTCTGGCTCGACACATGCGAGTGTACTATACCCACGGAGAACGTAATGGTTGCAAATAATACCAGGTATCTTCGACCCGGAAGAGGGAGACGATCATCTGGCTATCGGCTCGTTAATGATTTCATCTCAATCAATTGTTGACAATCAAGTGCAAGCCAAATACCATCCTCAGGCCAGACTCGCAACACCTCTGCTCTATATCTCATAGGTGACGATCACTCGCCTAGAGCGATACATCGTACATGAAAGTTGGGGGACATGGCAAGAGAGTATATTCCGAGTTGAATACAGTCGCTAAGGGATAGCGGACTGTCGTTTACCGATCTCTTCTATACCTAGAGCTCAGATAGGAACCAAATGTATTCCAAATCACATATATTCTATACAGCAATGAAATGAACGAGAAGACACAGATCAATTGACTGTGACAATCCTTGAAAATACCTCTGCAGGGCTTGAGCTAATCCAAAGGTGAACTAGACTGACTCAACGGCATGCCGAATCTGGACATGGCACCTGACAGCGACCGCAAATCTCCCACCGCTTTTTCTCTTCTTCTTCTTCTTCTTTACACAACCATGGAGTCTGAAACCTGTTGATCATCGAAAGGACGTGGTAAGTCGAATGAAAGATATATGTAAACATGTCGGCTGTTCATCAGACACTAGACTCCCCATAAACAGGATGCCTATCGAAACGACGAGCTCATTTGCTTCGCAGTGTCCCTGGCCCGTGGACTTCCTCAACTCTAAAGCTTGACTCTTTTCCATTGGAAACAGCCAGAATCAGAGCTTAAACAATGCTTGCTATGGTCACTGATCGGTTGCCATCATTTGTATTACTCATCCCGAACGTCATGGTGGAGTAAGGAAAGCCTGATGATCCTGAACCTTGAAGGTTGCCTGCCCTCTTCGCTTCTTCTCCACCCAATAACAGCCTGCTGATTTGATCGATTTCAGGTTTCAGCAAGGGTTGACAGTCTTCTTTGCCTGATGGGTTCTTTTCTTCGAGAGCTCCTGAAAGCTGCCTCCCTCTTCTACCCGTCAACCCCCTCTGACATCATGGCGACGTCGGACAGAAGACAGGACTTTCTGAAAACAACCAGGATGAGAGGGAATAATAAAAAGGACCGGTGAATGTTATCTAGATTGCATTTGCTCTCTCAGACACTACGATATATGACAGGTCTCCTACACAACACCTTGAGCGATGACCTCTCTACTGAAAAGTGATAATACCAGGTCGGCAGACGGCAAACTCGCCGACCTCAAGAAAGACACGGTTGAGCTTTCCAAGGACCAGCATATGACCACCGACTATGGTATCAAGATCTCAGACCCCGACCACTGGCTTCGAGTTGTCAACGACCATCACAATGGACCGAGCTTGTTGGAAGACCAGATTGCCCGTGAAAAGGTGCTTTATCTTTTTTGCTTTTAAGAATTTCTTTTCTCTTCTAACCACCAATATGACTAGATTATGCGGTTTGACCACGAACGCATCCCTGAGCGAGTAGTACATGCCCGCGGAACCGGCGCTTTTGGTTCTTTCAAGCTCTTCGAGAGCGCAGAAGATGTCACCACAGCCGGCGTTCTCACAGACACCTCGCGTACAACTCCAGTGTTTCTTCGATTCTCAACGGTGCAGGGCAGCAAGGGCAGCGCGGACACCGTGCGAGATGTACGGGGTTTCGCCGTCAAGATGTACACCTCCGAGGGTAACTGGGATATCGTGGGAAACAACATTCCGGTCTTCTTCATCCAGGACGCCATGAAATTCCCCGATTTCGTGCATGCTGTCAAACCTGAGCCGCATAATGAAATCCCACAGGGCCAGAGCGCGCATAATAATTTCTGGGATTTTGAGTACATGCACACGGAAACAACACACATGTATCAATGGGTATGTAGATGATGCTTGCAAATTCTATACGCTTTTCGTTGTATCAACAGAAAAGAAGCTAACTTGACTGTATAGGCTATGTCTGACCGTGCAATCCCTCGTTCCTATCGGATGATGCAAGGATTTGGGGTCAACACTTTCTCCCTGATCAACGCCCAGGGCAAGCGTCATTTTGTCAAATTCATCTTCACCCCGGAGCTCGGCGTCCACTCTCTTGTCTGGGATGAAGCCTTGAAAATTGCCGGTCAAGACCCCGATTTCCACCGGAAGGACTTGATGGATGCGATCGACAAGGGCCATTTTCCCAAGTGGAAGTTTGGTCTGCAATTGATTCCCGAGGAGAAACAACATGACTTTGAATTCGATATTCTTGATGCCACCAAGGTCTGGCCCGAAGAGCTGGTTCCCATCCGATACATTGGCGAACTGGAGCTAAACCGCAATGTGGATGAGTTCTTCCCGCAGACGGAGCAGGTGGCATTCTGCACCAGTCATATTGTCCCCGGAATCGACTTTTCCGACGACCCTCTCCTCCAGGGCCGCAATTTCTCCTACTTTGACACCCAGCTCTCTCGGTTGGGCGTGAACTGGCAAGAGCTCCCGATTAACAGACCGGTGTGTCCATTCATGAACATGAACCGGGACGGTGCGATGAGACATCGGATCACCAAAGGGACTGTAAACTACTGGCCCAACCGGTTCGAGGCGAACCCTCCGTCATCTGTCGCCCAGGGGGGCTTTGCCAGCTATCCCGAGAAGCAGCATCAGGGAGTCAAGGGCCGCTATTTCTCGGAGAAGTTCAAAGAACACTTCAACCAGGCGCAGATGTTCTACAATTCTCTTTCCAACATTGAGAAACTCCACGTGGCCAAGGCGTACTCGTTTGAACTGGACCACTGCGACGACGAACTTGTCTACAAGCGCATGTCGGAGCGTCTGGCGGTCATTGACCTTGGCCTGGCACAGACTGTGGCGAAGAATGTCGGAGGCGACACGCCCACCAAGGCCTTGAAGGAGAATAAAGGCCACAAGGCCAAGGGACTCAGCCAGTTCGACTTCCTCTCAGACAAGCCCATCATTGCCACCCGTCGGATCGCGTTTCTCATCGGCAATGGCTTCGACTACGCCGCCTACTCGGGCATGAAGTCTGTCCTGGAGGAACACGGCGCCTTTGTCTTCACCATCGGCCCGCATCGGCAGCCCGTGGAAGCCGAGTCGGGAGAGAAAGTCACACCCGACCACCACTTCCCGGGCATGCGTTCCACGATGTTCGACGCGACCTTCATCCCCGGCGGTAACCACATCGCGGCTCTCAGCAAGAACGGCGTCGCCAAATACTGGATCACCGAGTCCTTTGCCCACCTGAAACCCATCGCAGGTCTCGGGGGAGCCGTCGATCTCATCCGGCAACAGATCAATCTGGGTGAGGTCAAAGTCGCCGATGCATCCACCGACCATACAACTACTGAAAGCTACGGGGTCATCACTGCACGGTCCAACCCTGCGTCCTTCCAGGCGGATCATGTCGATGCGAACTCCAAGGGGTTCCCCGAACAGTTTATCTGGCATGTTTCTCGACACAGGAATTGGAAGCGGGAGCTTGATGGCTTAGCAGATCAGATTGCTGCGTAGTGTATCATAATTAATTTACTAGTGCCTAACCTAATTTGAATTCTCTATCTTTCTATATTCGATGAGTAATTACTTCCATGCAATTGAATAGGACATGCCGAGATATACTTCCACATACAGTTAGTCCCTGCACTAGTACTTTTGAGGTTAGTGAAGTGAATGCCTTATATATTAGGCATCCAGTATCATTCCCGTGATCTCGACATCCCACCAAAACAGACTTGACTTCCTTCTTTCCTTACCCGACCGACCCTGTACATACTTTGATATACAGCATATAGAAGCACATAGGCTGGCTTAGGCCGTCTCCCTCTTATCTCTCTCTTTCTCTCTCTCAGACACACAGCCAGAATGCCCTTCACACACCACAGCCATTCGGGCCAGTTCTGCCCCGGCCACGCCAAGAACTCGCTCGAAGAAGTGATCGAGACCGCAATCGCGAAGAAGATGCAGCTCTTCTGTCTGACGGAGCACATGCCGCGGCACGAGCAAGATTTCTATCCGGAAGAGGTATGTGCTAGTGGTGTTGAGGTTGGCGAAATGCCCAGTTGTCCAGGTAACCTAACCTTGGTGCTTTCTCCTTCAGATTGAAGGCGGAGATACAGAAGCCGGCCTGGTTGCAAACGAGGCTGCGTTCTTCGCCGAGGCGTCGAGGCTACGAGACAAGTATGCGGACCGGATCCGGATCCTGATCGGGTTCGAGATCGACTGGATCCGCCCGGAGTCGCTGGCGCTGATCCAGGCGTCGCTGGCGCGTCTGCCGTTTGAGTTTTTCGTCGGCTCGGTGCACCATGTGCACACCGTCCCGATCGACTACGACCGTGAGATGTATCTCAAGGCGCGGGAGATCGCAGGCGGCACCGACGAGCGCCTGTTCGAAGACTACTTCGACAACCAGCTGGACATGCTACAGAAGCTCCGGCCCTTGGTTGTCGGGCACCTCGATCTCATCCGCTTGAAGAGCGACGACCCCGAACGCAGCTTTACCCTGTGGCCCGGCGTGTGGCAGAAGATTTGCCGCAATGTTGACTACATCGTTCAATACGGCGGCCTTGTCGAGCTCAACTCTGCGGCGCTGCGCAAGGGGATGAGCGAGCCGTATCCGAAGGCGGAAATTTGCAAGGTAAACAGCCGATCTCTCTCTTTCTTTCCCTTCTGACAGGTTCGAAAGGAAATCCTTGCTCGAGGAGGCCGTTTTTGTTTGTCTGATGATAGCCACGGAGTGGACCAGGTAGGGCTGAACTTCCACCGTGTCGTCGATTTTCTGGACACGGTGGGCATCAAGACGCTGCATCACTTGCAGCTGGCAGATGCAACCTCCCAGTCGGCAGTTATTGATTCTCGATTTCCCCGGACGGAAATCTGCTCGACCTCTGTCGAAGAGCTGCGGAAAATGGCCTTTTTCACTGCGTCTGCCTGAAGAGACCCTGGCCTGGGATTGAAGACTGGGCGCAATTTGTGTGCAGTAGACGGACTCCCGTACGAAGTGATATGAATGCAGCGAATCTCTTGTCTACCCAAGCGCGGCTCTACCAGGAAGAAATACGGAGTAATGAAACAAAACCGTTATCGGACAGGTGTCTGAGGCATTCCCCGGATATGGAAAGCCACCTGTTTCCCCTCCCCCAGAACACGAAGCGGTCGGGATTGAAATCGAGAACACAGCGTAGGTACTCCGTACTCTGTACTCTGTACCTTGACGATCGAGATCTCGATCGACTCCGACACTCTTGGAAGCACTGCATATGCAACTACGCCACCGAGAAGACCCGTGCGACTAATTGGAGAATTATATCCGACGCACCTGAGGGATCGTTGCAACAGTTTCACCTTGTTTCTGTGACGAGTCGACCTGCACTATCAGCAAACAAACAAACCAGCGTTTCTAGCCAATTCCCACGTAAAAAAACGGGATGTTTTCTAGCTCGGGCAAGGCACATGTGGGATGAGTTCAACCCATCAATGACCACTAATGCTTGTCTGGTCGCGACAGACCCCGCCACTGAGAGCGAGTGTCTGTGAAGCTGTTCCTAGACGTCGGCAAGAACCGGAAGGGGAACCTTTGCAAGCGCGTTCTTAAGTTCGACTAGAAGACGACTAGCAAATCGCGAAGATATTCCAAAAGCGTCAGTTTTACAAAGTACTCCGTACACACCCCAGCTGAACTCACGTCCGGGATAACTAAGTAATTATAGAGGTGCGTGTCCAGAGTGGCGATAGCTTCTCGACTGATAAGCCCCAGGCAACGCAATCAATCAATCATCTGTCGGCAAAGACTATCCTCCGTACTCGATACCAACGGGATTTTATGGCCGGAACATGGATTATCATAGGATATTCACCCTCTGGCTAGGTCCATGCTGCAGCGGAAGCGGCCTTACCGTTCGAGCACTCTAGCTGTCGCGCCGGACTAGATCTAGACGATCGACTTGCAGAGTTCCCGGCTTCCGCGAGAACCGGCGGATGAGTGGCTTTCCTGTCCTCTACTGCGGATGGACCAGGGCCAGCAGTTGGCTTGCGGTATGGAGTTACGCAGTACCCCTCTCCCCTCTCGTCTTGTCGTTTCGATCTTCAGCTGCTGCGTTTCACCGTGGAGCTTTCCATAGCCCACTACTACACTACTACTCCATACATACGCTATGCTGGTGGCGATCCGTGAGCCGCCCAACCAACAAGACCTGTATAAGCTTGCCTTGCGAGTTCTATAGCTGAAACTTGTCGGTTTTTTCTCTGCTATCGTCATCCCTGGAGCTGCGTGGAGCAGGGGGGGGGGAAGTCGTAGTCCAGACCCATGTGTGTCGTCGGGGTCGGGATTGAGAGTAGAGTTTTTGTTTCATGATCTCACCTTTGTAGTAATTGTAATAATAAGCATACGACTCTGTAGGAGTAAGACTAAGAAGAGTATAAGAAAGCATCATCGCCAGCTCTGCCTTATCCTCCCGTTTCACCCCCCACCTTCCCGGACCCATTCAGTTTTTGCCCCTCGATTCTTTTCGACTTCATTCCATCACTCTTTTCCTTCCCTCCCCTTTCCTATTATCTCCAACAACAACCACTGCACCCATCTTTCATTAAACTTACTCATCAAAATGGGCGTTGAAAAGACCACTCTCTTCAACGGCAACGGGGTCGACTATCCCCAGGCCAACGACAACGTCACCATGCACTACACCGGCTGCCTCTACGACGCCAGTGCTGCGGGCAAGAACTACATGGGAAAGCAGTGAGTTTCTTCTCTTATTCTTCTGTTATGAGCATAATTAGACCTTATAATTGCTATATTTATCTATAATAAACCAACTAACTTTGAATCTCCAGGTTCGATAGCTCCAAGAAGCCCGGCCGCGGCCCCTTCGCGACCAAGATCGGTGTCGGCCGTGTTATCAAGGGTACGCTTTAAGACGTTCCACAGAATATAAATCTGAGGGAAAGAAGGGTTATCTGATATGTGATTGAACAGGATGGGACGAGGGTGTGCCGCAGATGAGCCTCGGCGAGAAGGCCATCCTGACAATTTCCCCGTACGTTGATCGCGCCTTTTTTTTTTCTTCATGAGGTATATGCTAATAGGAACAGTGACTTTGGCTACGGTTCCCAGTATGAGAAACAGATCCCCTTTATTTTTTCCTAGGATAGGTTGGAGCTAATATTGTTCAACAGGGGCTTCCCCGGTCTGATCCCCGCCAATTCCACCCTCGTCTTGTAAGTGCTCCCTATCAAATACTACTGTTATGTCGATAGGCATGCTGATTCCCATCCAGCGAGGTTGAGCTTCTCAGCATCAACGGCAAGAAGGCATAAATGTTTTCGAAAGAAGAAAGCCTGAAAAAGGATGAAGACGATAGTCGATTTGATTTCGAGAATTGGACGGCACAATAATACTCAAAAAAACCATGGGTTCTGATTGGAATAATGGCACGATATATAAAGATATCTGGACGAGGAGAAGGAGAAAAATGAGCCTTCTATTTGCTTTTTTTTATGACTTGCACTCGGAAGAGAAAAGAGATTGCTTTCTTTTTGGGAGAGGCGGTTATCAGTGCAGCCGAGCTATCATAATGCTAATGATTGACGTCTGATGAGTTCAGTACCAGGACAATCAGTAATAGTTTCCTCAGTGGTAAATTGTAAAACCAACTGGTATATAGATACTAGGGTATGTATTTCTGCTCTAAGTCGCTCATAAAAACAAGATTGTAGTGAAGAGATACAGAACAAAAGAAAGCAATGTGATATAACCAAAGCAAATGTAACCATCATATCAAGAGGACTAGGCCAGGATATATGCCGAGCATAGAATGGAGGAGATATATCCTGAGACGAGACCTGGACATAAACCAGACCATTGGGTAGTAAGGCAGTACAATGCAACGCTGTCGAAATGACATGTAGACAACGAAATGCACATGTATTATGTACTGGTAAGCAGCAGGTAGGCAGGCTCAAGAACCGGTCGTTCTGGAAATTTTCTCTGCCGCGCCATTCATGTTCGTTACGAACGAGTCCTGCTCGTCGAAGATGTGGAAGGACTGGGAAACCGTCCTCGGAGTGTCGTGGCCTGGTTGGAGTGGAAGCGGGCGGCCGTTTGAATCGGTTGCCGCTGCGCGTCTAAAGGAGGAGGGGGAGGAGAAGTAGGAGGAGGTGGTGGTGCATCGTCCATTTCGATCAAATCGCCCACACCCGACTGCAGGTCGTTGAGTCCCGCTTTAGCTTTCGTGGCGATATTTCGGACCCAACCCTCGAGAACGCCGCCGAGATTATCGAGACTGGTAGTGGTGGTGTGGGACAGGACGGTTGACGTCGAGTCGGAGGAGGTGCGGCTCTGGTTTGGCGGCGGTGGCGCTCCGAACGTGGGCAGGTGTTGGGCAAAGAAGTTGTTCAGTCCGTCCGGAGCCGGGCCGGGTGCGATGGCAGTACGGTCCAGAGTACCGACACCGGGGCCAGTGAGTTGGAAGTTACTGCGCTGGCGTTGATGGCGGATGCCAGGGCTGGGTTTTGTGGATGTCAACACGCCGGTCGGCAGGTTGTTTCGAGGAAGAGACGGTGGAGGTGCCGGGGATTCTGGTCTTTCGCGCAAGGGAGTCAGGGATGCCTCGGAATCACTGTAGACGAATGATTTCCGTCGAGTTCGTGGGAAAAACCCCAATGTCATCCGCGGCACTCGCCCGATCTCCACTGCGGCTGGGAAGCCGTCGATCTGCACCCACGATTCATGCTTCCAGGTGCGGTCTGCTTCGCTTTCAGTCGTGGTCGTTGAGAGTGTCGTATCGGCTGTAGACCCGGGTGCGATCGAGCTCCCATTCATATATCCAGACGAGTCGTGTGTCAGAAGGTCTGCCGGCGTCGAGCGGATGGGTCGTCCCTTGACGCTGCAGGCGTCCACCGGTAGAAGCACGGTCTTTCGACTCTGAATACTGTCACTCGGCCAAAACCCATTCGATTTCCTGAAGATCGCAGCCTGGCATCCGTACTTGATAGTGACGCCGGTGATGCTGTCCGTCGGATGAACTCGATGTACGTAGACCAAGGTTTCCCCGTCTTGGCCCGGGTCGACGACCGCTTGATCAGGCTGCTCCGTCGAGTCCCGTCGCTTATGCCCCCGTTTCAGCGTGGAAGTCAACCCCGTATCGGCCAGGAGCAGCGCTTCCCTCTTCTTGGCTTGAACCAACGCCTGTCTTTCCTCCCTGGTGCCGGCGCCGATCTCGGCCGATGTCAGGCCCGTCGGACCCCAGGTCGATGGAGACGTCGACCACTGCTTCGGCGTACTTGTCATGTGGTTGTCTGAACGCAACGGCTTCCGCCGCCGATGTGACATTGCGTCGCCATTCGTCGATGTGCCTCCAACATCGCTTCCCAGCACGGACGAAGCGAGACTCTGAAGCGACGACCATGAGGCGTCGAACAGGTTCATCGTTGGCCGAGACTGGCCGGCGGCGAGCTTGGCCCGATCTCCGCCGGCAATCCCGGCTCTTCCCAAAGAAGGCACCCTGACATTATCATCCCAGCCCTCACTGCCACTTTGGCTGCAGACCTCTGTCGCCCGGGACGGGTGTCGCATCGGCATCGGGGACGCTCCCCGTGAGGTATAGGGCAACGGGGTCGCACCGCGCGACCGTGGCGGGGTTAATTCCGAGGCAGCAAGCGTGGTTGAGAGCCCCGATGCCGGAGACTGGTAGCCATCGCTACAGTACGGATTGTTGTCGTTGTCGTCATCGTCATTGAAGGAGATGAGACGGCGGGTGCGTGGCCGGACGGTGGAGGCCGACCTCCTGCTTGTCGTCGCACTGGAGCTGGCGGCCGCGCTGGTACGAAGACTATCGCCCAGGGCGCCCGTGGAACTCATTCCTGGCGGCACAGATGGACTGGATATCTGCTTCTGGTTCGTTTGAGTGCGGAGACAGGGTCTTCAGCGTCCCATCACCAGCGAGAAAGAGCTGCCTGCGATGGCCATCGGAGGAGGGTCGTCCTAGGCGAGACCATGCGTCATCTAGCCCCCCCGCGGTCGCATTCGACGAGGATCCTGTAAAAGCCCACGCTCAAGAAAGGAATATGGAAGGAGACGTAGTCACAGATAGAAAGTCAGTCGGTTCAAGTGGCAGAGCAGGTGGTGGTGTGGGCGTGGCGTGGTGAGAGTCGGTTGCAAGGGAAGCTTCAAGGTTGGCGGCTGGGAGGCGGGAAGCGGAACCGGACGATAAACCCACAGCAAACGGACGGAGGAGGAGGAGGGTCAATAATCAACCAGTCTAGGGTTTTTTTCAATGGTATTTAGTGAGCGGAGGTTGCGATGATAAGTTGAGAGACACGCCCATTTCAAGGACAAATATACAACAAGCTTTGGCTCTTGCTCAGTCTGAAACTCGCCGCCTGGCCGTCCTCGGTCACAGGCGGTACAACGCCGATACAGCTCTGGTGCGACCAATGGCCCAAATGATTAAATCAGAGGGAGGGAATGGTATCTTGATTATTTAAAAGACTTCAGACTTGGAAGCCGGGTGGGTTATGGTATCTATTTATTGTGGTGAAGCTATAAACTGGTATAATGGCCACGTCGCCCAGCAAACGTATACCACCAAAACTGGAACCTCGCGATCAAATATTATTCTAACAGGCAGAAGGCACAGCTTCCAGAAATCTACTGGCATAGATAAGCAAGTTCCTGAGACCGACTTATAGTCACAAAGATCACGTCACATGGAGAGAGCAAGAGCAGAGAAGGATATCCACAAGAAATGGCCGCATATCCACATAATATAAGAGCAAGGAAAGCAAAGAAAAAACGCCGCCCTGTCGTATCTGGTTGTGAAGAAGAAGAAAAAAAAAAGTTACTCGGGGGGCTCGACGAAGGAAGCAGAGGGCCGTGGCTCTGCGTCGTCAGAGTTGCCTTCTGACTCTGTATGCCATTCCTTCTCGGAGCTGGGCTTACTCGGTTGCGTTGAGGCCGGGGTGGTTGTTGTTGTCGTAGCCGTCGTCGTCGTCGTCGTCGCCGCCATAGGAGCGATGATTTTCGGTCCACCCGCGCGGGTAAAGAAATCATCTGTTCGAAGGCCACGGACGTCCTTGGGGTCAACCGACGTCATCTGCTGACCGTCGGCTTTCTTCTTGCGGATCAGTTCGCGGACCGGGATCATCGCCGCGTCGCGGCAGGCTTCCTTGATGTCGCTGCCGGACATGCCAGCCATAGCCTTGACGAGGAAGTCGACGTCGAACTGGTCGCGGTCCACCTTGGTGTCTTTGAGGATCAGGCTGAGAATGCGCAGCCGCTGGGCCGCGGGCGGGAGGGTGACGGGGAACTTCTTCGGCATGCGGCGGAGTATGGCTTCGTCAATGTCCTGGATGCGGTTCGTGGCGCCGAGAACCACAATACGCTGGGGTTCGCCTAGCGAATTTGCTGATGTCAGACCGTCCCAGTGCGTCATAAACTCCGCTTTGACCATTCCGCTGGCCTCGTGCTCGCCGCTGCGGCGGGTACCAAGCACTGCGTCGATCTCGTCGATGAATACAATTGACGGCTGCAGCTTGCGTGCCAGCGAGAACACCGCGTTGACCAGCTTGTTCGAATCACCATACCATTTCTCCGTCAGGGTCGAGATGTGTAAGTTGATGAAGCAGGCACCGCTCTCGTGGGCAAGCGCTTTGGCCAGCATCGTCTTCCCGCAACCGGGAGGCCCATACAGCAGCACACCGGACGGTGCGTTGAGCAGTGACGAGGACGACGAATATAGGTGTGGCATAGTGAGCGGATAGATGACAGACTCCTTCAGCTCCTCGATAATCTCGTCCAACCCCCCAATGTCCTCAAAGGAGACCGCGATGTCTTCCGGAGTGACCACATCCATCGCGACCGCCTGTTCATACTGGTTCAGAACCAGCTCACCTTTATTCTGCCGGCGCCCCCGTCGGGAGCCTCCCCGTCGGGGATTCTCGCTGTCGGAGTCATCGCCTCCGTCCAGTCTGCGCAGAATGGCCGCCGATTTCCGTCGTTGTTCCTCTTTCTTTTGGCTCTCGGGGTCAAAGTCTAGGCGCGAGAGAAGGTATCGGATCAAAAAGTATGCGGAAGCAGACTAGAAAAGTATCTCTCAGTCAGTAAAGAACACACACAACTTCTGTTGGTTGAATGGTGTCATGTTTAGACGCCTACCGTGCCAGCGATCATCACCAGCTCTTGCACGAACTGCTGCCATCTTCGACCGCCTGCAGAAGCCATAATACCGCAATTTAGACGCCCAGGGAGTGGAAAAGTAGAAATTAAACCTTCACGCTTTATTCCCGACGTTGCACTGGGCGAAATGTCTCTCGATGAGGCAACCGTTGATACCTGGTAGTCGTAGTTAGTAGGAACACGACGAGACACACGGTGAGACAGGTGTGGCGTCGAGGCCGAGCTCGCCGTGGCTGGTGCATCACATGCTCAGCGTGGCTGAGAGAGACACGTGACGCTCCCATTCCCGACGCTGGCGGGCGCGTTTGTGTTGATGCGGCGCGCGTGGTGCAGGTGCATTGCAACAGCGCATTCGCATCAGGACATATTCGATTACCCTTACAGAGTTACCTTCTAGCATCATGCCGAAGAGGAAAGCTGCAGCCGCCAAGCTGACCGGTTTGGCTGGCTCCGATGACGAGGATAGTCTCATACCAGCGGTCGAGAAAGCACGCGAAGAGCCGCCGGCAAAGAAACGCAGGGGGAGACCAAGGTCGCTGTCATCTTCCAAGGGTGCGGAGATTATGGCCAACATGAAGGGGGGTGCACGCGCCGCAACGGCGGAGGCAGCTCCGAGGAGGACTACACGGGGAAGGCCCAAGGGCCAACGAGTGTCGACAGACTCGCATGAGGCAGAAGTCGGCGAAGGGAAAGACAGCGACAAAGAAGCGGAGGGAGCAGTTGAAGAGACAAGCAAGCCATCGCGATCGAGGAAGCCTGCAGCTACTCGGGGCAAGAGGAAAGTCAGCGAGGTGAAACAAGTGCAGAATGATGGGGAGTTCGAGTACACACCCGGACGGTCACGACCGATCGCGTCGTCTGATGTAGCCGCGCTCAAGAAATCCGAAGAGGGTCCGAAAAAGAAACGGGGGAAGGTCAACATCGCCGAGGTCGAAGAAACTATCCCGGAGACACAAGTGATTCCAGAGGTCGACGAGACGGTCCTTGCAGAAGAACCGGCGCGAGCTCGCTCGGTGACAGCATCTCCGACGAAAGCTGGCTACGATAGACGGGTGTCGCGGGCGCTGCAAGAGTCTCCCCGCAAAGGCAATGCCAACGGTGTCCATAAGGGACAGACAGAACCCGAACTCAGACGAAAGATCGGCGAGCTGAACAAGAAGTGCGAAACACTTGAGACAAGATACCGGAACCTGAAAGAAATCGGCATCGTTGAGGCGAACGCCAATATGGACAAACTACGCAAACAGATGGACCTGCTGAAATCAGGTACTGTTGACGCCCTCGATGTATAGTTTTATTTTTGCTAACTAGCTCAGCGTCGAGTGATCTGGTGGAATCTCTCGAGGCCGAATTAGAGGAACAAAGGGCCATCAATAAGCAAACACGGGCTCTGCAGAAGCAGCTAAAAGACCGAGACAGCGACGTCGCTCGCCTGGAGTCTCACAGCGAGGACCTGAGTGCAAAACTGACCTCCGCCTGGGCGGAGGTCAAGGCTTTGCAGACCAAACTCGCTGCTGCTCGCAACACAGCTGCCAGCCTTGAAACGGTCGCCGCAAAGGTCCCCGGCAGCGCGATCAAGAACACTGCTGCCAACCGGGCACATGCCGCTGCTACTGCTGAAGCCGCCCAGATGGCGCAGTTTGCCCAGCTCAAGGAAGATCTCTACAGCGATCTGACGGGGCTGATTATCCGCGATGTGAAGAAGCGGGAGTCTGACCATCTGTATGACTGCATCCAGACCGGACACAACGGAAGTGAGTTCCCCTCTTATATTCTTTCTCCAAAACCTTCCTGCTAAGTTTCCCCAGCTCTTCATTTCAAGCTGGCCGTGCCTCAGGTTCCCGCAGGCGAGTTCCAGAGCGCCAAGTTCCACTACGTGCCGTTGTTGGACGAGAGTCGTGACCGCGATCTCCTCGAATTGCTTCCGGATTATCTTGCCGAAGATATTGAATTCGCCCGGTCGCAGGCGGCGAATTTCTATACTCGTGTGATTGAGGTTCTAACAAAACGACGAGCTTCATTGGGCTAACGCCCTACATCGTATATACAACACGTACCCTGCCCCTTTTTGGTCCTTTCTCCTTCTTTTATCACCGAGAGGTCTATCTATTCTCTATTTCCTTCTAGCGTTGGTGCACTCCATCCTGTTTTTTTTTTGCATATTCTCTGGTGGGTATTGCCAGGTATTACTAGTATTTTGGTCTACAAAATGCAACAGTAGCTCTTCAACGAACAAACTACCCAGGTACTCAAGCCATAGTCCCATATAATTCACCCCTATAGGTAACTAATAATGATCTTCATGCCACTTGGCGCGCAAGGTACAACGGCGTGGGGCAACTGCAACTAGAGGCAAGATATTGTATATTATGGAGTAGGTATTTCTGTGTAAAGGAGAGTCCTACAGTAATTTAAATGGTCCTATAGATTTGAAGCGATTGATATTATGAAGCTAGATCTATATACTTGGGATACATAAGAAGACTAGAAAGCTCAGCGACGGAAATACTCCATACAATATACATTATACTAGAAAAAATAATATATAATTATATAAATTACTCCTAGTTACTCCTATACTCCTATACTCCGTACTCCTATAAAGAGAAAACACTTGGCAAAGTACTGATCCAAACATTAGCCGTGCCACACTCACTCCACGCGATTGGCGGCCAGGCCAGGGACCAGGGTCTTGCTGGAACACCCATCCTCACCACCAGGGAAATAATGGGTTGGCGAGCCTCCAGTCTGCCCTTCTTTCGTTTCTGGCTGGTTTGTGAGTGATTGCAAACTTATTCTGTTGGAATTCGAGTCCAGTCCTTTTGTTTCTTTTTTTCTTTCGTTGATTCCACGACAACAGGACTCACTCGACTTCGCCATGGCACGTCTCGGCCGCGTTGGGTTCCTGACCCTCGCAGTGGTCTTCCATCTGATCTACGCGTACTCGATATTCGATATCTACTTCGTGAGCCCGATTGTCAGTGGCATGAGCCCCTTCCACGTGGAGAGGGAGCCGGAGAGCGAGCCCCCCGCTCAGCGTCTGATGCTGTTTGTGGCCGACGGCCTGCGCGCCGACAAGGCCTTCCAAGCGTTTCCCGACCCCTCCCCCCCGGCAGACCCGTCCGATCTCGATGTGAGCAGCAGCGATCGAACGATCCGTCTGGCACCCTTTATCCGCTCCAAGGTGCTCTCCGAAGGGACCTTTGGGGTCTCGCATACCCGTGTGCCGACCGAGTCGAGGCCCGGCCATGTCGCCCTCATTGCAGGGCTGTACGAGGACGTTTCGGCCGTCACCACGGGCTGGAAGCTGAACCCGGTGAATTTCGATAGCGTCTTCAATCGCAGTCGCCACACCTGGAGCTGGGGGAGCCCGGACATCCTCCCCATGTTCGCGGAGGGCGCGGTGCCAGGCAGGGTTGATACCGAGATGTACAGCGAGGAGGCGGAGGATTTCACCTCGGACGCGGTCCAGTTGGATACATGGGTGTTTGATAGAGTCAAGGGCCTGTTCGAGGCTGCTCGCGAGGACCCGGAACTCGATGCGAAGCTGCGCGAGGACAAGGTCGTCTTCTTCCTGCACTTGCTCGGTCTCGACACGACGGGCCACTTCTTCCGGCCGTATTCCAAGGAGTATCTCCACAACATCAAGGTTGTCGACCAGGGTGTCCAAGAGATCTCCCGCCTCGTCGAGGAGTTCTACGGCGACGGCAAGACGGCGTTTGTCTTCACCGCCGACCATGGCATGAGTGATTGGGGCAGCCACGGCGACGGCCACCCGGACAACACGCGGACACCGCTTGTCGCCTGGGGATCGGGTGTCGCAGGCCCCAAGACCAGTGAACAAGGTATCGCTCCCGGTCATGAAGATGGCTTTTCCGCAGACTGGGGGCTGGATCATATCCAGCGACACGATGTGGCGCAGGCCGACGTTGCGGCCCTCATGGCGTACCTTGTCGGATTGGATTTTCCTGTCAATTCGGTCGGCCGGCTGCCGCTGGAGTATATCGATGCTAGTCCCCGGGAGAAGGCTCTGGCCGCGTTCGCAAACACCCAGGAAGTCCTGGAGATGTATCGAATCAAGGAAGAGCAAAAGCGCGCCTCTGCCCTCCGGTATGTTCCTTATGAGCCATTTGCAGAGGACAAGCACTATGCAACACTCAGCGTGGTTCAGGGTCTCATCGCCGCCGGTTCTTATGACGAAGCTATCGTGCAATCCTTCGACCTGTTGTCCGTGGCGCTCGAGGGACTCCGGTACCTACAAACCTACGACTGGCTTTTCCTCCGGACAATTGTCACGCTTGGCTACCTGGGCTGGATTGCGTACGCGTTGACTACCGTGATCGACCTGCATGTCCTGCACGGTACGGCAGAGGCCCATCGAACGGTAGCGAGCAGCATGTTCTTCTCTTCCGTCCTGGTCGCTCTCTTCTCGGTCTTCTTCTACCAGGGCTCCTCGGTGCGGTATTATCTGTATGGCATCTTCCCCGTCTTCTTTTGGGAAGAGGTCTTTGCCCGTAGAAAGGCCTTCTTGGCTGGTCGCCAGATCCTCTTCGCTCACGTCACCTCGTTTACGGGCTATCTGTCCCTGGGTATCCAGTTTTTTGTGTTTATTGTTATTCTGCAGGCATTGGTAAGTCGGGTCTAGATCTTCCCTTCGATCTAACAACTTTTCTCATCTGTCCCTATAGGTTCAATCCTATTTCCACCGGGAGATCTATACCGTGTGCTTTCTTCTTGCGGTCTTTTGGCCGTTCCTTTATGGTCTAACCTTCCTTTCCCAACATGTCCTGCTCATCGCCTCGTGGGCTCTTGGTTGCGCCCTCATGAGCACGTTCACCTTGCTTCCTGCCAACAAGGTGGAGGATATTGAAACGTTGACGTTCAGCGCCCTTCTCATCTTCTTCACCGGTATTCTATATCTCCTCTTTGAAGACATGATCTACCAGCCGCATCAGTCCTCCAAGGAGTGGTTTGGGCCTGTCACTAGTTACGGCTCGCGGATCATCATGGGAATGCAGGTAAGACATTTGTCATTGTCAAAGAGAGATGTTATGGTGCAGGTCTGATGAATAATAGGTCGGCATGGTCTTGTTGTCCTTGATCGTGACCCGGTCTAGCGTTGCCTCGATTCAAGCGAAGCAGGGTCTTCCCCTTGGAAATCAAGTGGTCGGGTGGGCCGTAGTGGGTGAGTGTTTTAAAACATCGATTTGTTGATTTTGTACCAGCTGACGAGTGTAGTTGCATCGCTTATACTCCCCTTCTTCCATCGGCTGTATCCCAACAGCCACTACCTGCATCGGCTGATGATCCTGTTCCTGACCTTTGCACCCACGTTCATCATCCTGACCATCTCGTACGAGGGGCTTTTCTACTTTGTTTTCTGCATGACGCTCGTGACGTGGGTACGTCTGGAACATGCGATTTACGTCCACACGACGGATTCGAAACGCGAGGAGCCGCCGAGGATGGTCAGCAACGAGCCTGCGACGCAGAAAGCAGCTGGCCCGGCTGTGACGGCGACGGCGAGTGTGGCGGGCGAGACGTACCAGTACCGTCGACTGAGCGTGTCGGACGCCCGCGTGGCGCTCTTCTTCCTCTTCCTGCTGCAATCGGCCTTCTTCAGCACGGGCAACATCGCGTCGATCTCGTCCTTCTCGCTGGACAGCGTGGCGCGCCTGATCCCCGTGTTCAACCCGTTCAGCCAGGGGGCGCTGCTGATCTTCAAGCTGCTCGTGCCCTTTGCGATCATCAGCGCCAACCTGGGGATCCTCAACCGGCGGCTGCAGGTGGCGCCCAGCGCGCTGTTCATGGGCGTCATGGCCATCTCGGACGTGCTGACGCTCAATTTCTTCTTCATGGTGCGCGACGAAGGCTCGTGGCTCGACATCGGCACGACCATCAGCCACTTCTGTATCGCCAGCTTCATGTGCACCTTTGTCGCGGTCCTCGAGTTTCTCAGCGAGGTGTTTATCAGCGGCGTCGAGTTTGCCTAATTGCCTAGAGTCATGTATTATATAATTGATAGATTCAACTAATGTACTCTAATGTACTCTTAAATGCACTCCGATGTACTCTGTGTGGCAGTAGACACTAACATGCTGCTGCCTGAGGCCAATATTGTCTGGTAAGTTCTGCCTCAGGCAACAGGATCCACTGATCTTCAAGACTATTGCCGAGGCGTCACAAGCGTCTCTTTGGGAGACTCAACAGTGTCTTTTGTGCTCTCCATTCAATTGATAATTCGGTTTTATCTCCTCCTTATTGGCTTCGAGCATGTAGTATTTGAAACGATTCCGCTTCAGTTCGGGATAGGAAGATACTACATAATTATAATTAACTATACCTTATAACTATACGTACGGAGTAGCTAATAACTAGAAGAACCATAATCTGTAGAACTACAATATTACGCATCCTTAGACAATAGATTATATTAATTTCAGAGCCATCGAGCACTATTTCTGCAGATTCGAGGGCTTCTATATTATCGTCGTATCATCTGACCAGCCCATATTAAAGGCTGCGTTAGTCAGACAAATGATGCCAACAGGGAACCTCACAAAAGTCCGCCCTTGTGCTTCCCTTTCCTACTTATTGCCACAGCGAGTCATTGTAACGGGTGAAGACACCTGGTAGTTCCCTACTTACTACCTGCCTCCCTACTGTCTATTCTATTACTCTCATCTTTGACTGGTCTTCCTTTCTCGTCCCCCGCCTTGATTTCCCCGCGACTTCCGACCCTGCCAATTCTCTCGCTCAGGCACCAAGGAAGCCGGATCGACGACTACCACCACTACTACGACGACGCCAAAACCCCAAAGCTCCCTCCTCCTCCTCCTCCTCCTCCTCCTCCTCCCCACTTCCTCGAGTCCACACCTCGACATCTTCGCCGAACTCCCTGTCTTCGCCTCGAGTCACACAATCGGATGGGGTCCTCGTCGCTATGAGCACTGTCGCAGACCCCAGCCCGTCCGCAAGCAGCGCCGGCTCCGTGAGCCACCTTGCAAACAATAACAGCGCCCTGCCCGCCGGGCCTAATTCTGCACAGATGAGTTTCCGAAGGTGGGTGTGATTCGATATCCCCCCCTCCTCCCCTCCTGATGGCCGTGGGTTTCGCGTTCGTCGCGTCGGGGGAAAGCAGAGGCGAGGAGAGAGGGGAAAAGGTTGCAGGGCGGGGAGGGGAGAGGGGGAAGTTCTCTTGCGAATCTCACATCTGGACTCAGAGATGGGAATCCACGGTGGGAAGGTTTTATCTTCGATGAAAATGCTAATTTATCTTATCGGAGAATAACAGGCAGCGCGCTTCGCGTGCGTGTGAGGTACGTTTTTCCCCATTCTTTTTCCTCTATCGTATCGCCCTCAGTGCCGAGGCACCTCGGTTTTTTCGCTCGCGACCGCAGAGACAGACGAAGGCGAACAGCGCAGAGCAGGTTACACAACGTGTGCAGTGGCTAACGGGGAATTTTGTTTTTTCAGACATGTCATGCTCGAAAGGTGTGTTTTGTGTTTTTTTTTTTTTTTTTGACACGACCTCTCCCTAACCGTGTCAGGTCCGATGTGATGCCGCCAGTCTCGGGGTCCCCTGTACCAACTGTGTCGCCTTTTCCATCGAATGTCGAATCCCAACGCCGAAACGCAAGAAGCAGCAGCAGCAGCAGCAGCAACCGCAGCAGCAAGAGCAGCATCAGACTGGATCAAAGGAGGACAGCGTGTGAGTGCTTGAGAATTCCTAAGGAAAACGGGGAGTCCGGGCGTTGACACCGCGTGGTATAGGAGCGACGACGTGACCGACAGCAAGTTCAGCGGCAATGAGACCGAAAAACGAGAGCCGTCGCCAAACGAAGGCAACCAGGGGGTCTTTGGTTATCGCAATAAGCGCATGCCCGCCGAGGCAATGCCAAACACCGCGCTCCCCGAGTCGCAGCCGGTTCCGAAAGAACCATATCAGGCCTCCGCCTCCGCCGCGTCTTCGTCGCCCGCCCCGTTTATGAAGCCCAAGTTCTCACGCGCCCCCATCAAGGAGCCCGGTCGGGTGGCATACATGGGCGAATCGACCAACCTGTCGCTGCTGGTCCAGGACCGACACGGCTCCGACGACGTCGTGCACTATCCGCTGCCGGTGAACATCAGAGGGTCGCGCGCCCGGCTAACGGACCTGGATAACCTCGAGATTGAAATCCTGCACCAGCGGGGTGCCTTCCTCTTGCCGCCGAAACCCTTGTGTGATGAACTGGTCGACGCCTACTTCCAATGGGTCGCGCCCGTCGTGCCCATCATCAACCGCAGCCGCTTCATGCGTCAGTACCGCGACCCCAAGAATCCCCCCTCGCTGCTCCTGCTGCAGGCCATCCTGCTTGCCGGGTCCAGGGTTTGCACCAATCCGCAACTCATGGATGCAAATGGCTCCATGACGCCCGCGGCCATGACCTTCTACAAGCGCGCGAAAGCGCTGTACGACGCTAACTACGAAGATGACCGTGTCACCATCGTTCAGGCTCTTGTTCTCCTTGGCTGGTACTGGGAGGGGCCAGAAGGTGAGCCTTCCTTCCCTTTGATATTGGCTTTTTCGGTTTCCCTCCTCTTTCTAACCTTCTAGACGTCACAAAAAACGTTTTCTACTGGACCCGGGTGGCTATTATCGTTGCCCAAGGGTCTGGAATGCACCGAAGGTCAGAGCTTGCCACTCATATATCTATTCTATCGGTTCTAGACTAACGCCCATCAGCGTGGAAACATCTCAGCTGAGCAAACCGGACAAGAAACTGTGGAAGCGCATCTGGTGGACCCTCTTCACGCGAGACCGCTCGGTGGCCGTCGCTCTGGGACGACCGATCGGGATCAACACGGACGATTCGGACGTGGGGATGCTGACCGAAGACGACTTCATCGAGGACGAGGTCGACACAGTCGCCGAGTACGCCCCGGATCCTGTCCACGTCCAGTTCTTCCTCCAGTACGTCAAGCTCTGCGAGATCATGGGGCTGGTCCTCTCGCAGCAGTACTCGGTCGCGTCCAAGGCCCGTCGTACCAACGCCATGGACCTAACGCACTCGGACATGGCGCTTGCCGACTGGTTGCAGAACTGTCCCAAGGAAGTCTGCTGGCAACGCTCGCGCCATCACTTCTGGGCGGCGCTGCTACATGCGAACTACTAGTAGGTCTTGGCTTCCTCAAATTCTTTTTTTTTTCATCTTGTCTAAAACGATCTAGTACTACGCTCTGTCTCTTACATCGCGCTCATATGCCCCCGGCATCATCGGTGGCGAGTACCTACCGCGTCGAAGAGATGGCTTATCCGTCGCGAACTATTGCCTTCCAGGCAGCGGGCATGATCACCTCGATTATGGAGAATTTGTCGGCCCATCATGAGATCCGATATACGCCTGCTTTCATGTATGCCCTCAATCGTGCCAGTAGATACACTCGACTTACTGACTCTCCCTCCTAGTGTCTATAGCTTGTTTTCCGCTCTGATTATGCACGTCTATCAGATGCGATCCTCGGTCCCCTCTGTGGTGGCCACGTGCCAGGAAAGGATCAACATCTGCATGCAGTCACTCAAGGATGTGTCCAAGGTGTGGCTGATGGCCAAGATGGTGCACACGCTGTTCGAATCGATTCTCGGCAACAAGGCGCTGGAGGAACGACTCCAGAAAGCTGCGGGCCGACGGCACCAGAAGACTCGTCCAGACAGCTTTGGAGGAAATGGGTTCAATAATGCCAACACCACCACCACCACCAACAACAACAACGGCCATTATAACTATTCTGGCCATCGCAGTGCAACGCCTGTGCCTTCGCGACGGACGGACCCCCCGAAACGCAAGTTCGATGACATGGACCTGGGCTTGCCCACGGGCGGTCCGACCCCGTCTGTCTCATACGAACGCTCGCGACCCCAGACGCCCGCCGTGACTCCCTCGCGCGATCTAGGCCAGGCACCAATGTCTCCCAACGCCCCCCGTGCACAAACTGACGCTCTGCCGGGGACGGCGGCAGCAGTAGCGGCGGGGCCAGGCGGAACGGGGAACTCTCGCTCCAACACGCGACCGACAACACCATTCAACGGCCAGTACTCACTACCGGCCACGCCACCGGATCTATTCCTTGTCACTCGAACTTCGCCAAACCTGTCACCGTCGTTGTGGGAGAACTTCCAGCCCGAGCAGCTCTTCCCGGACGGGACCTCCATCTTCCCGGAGCTGGCATCGCCTCAAACAAGTACGGTAGACCCGCAGCTGCACATGTCGACGCATATGCCCGCCCAAAATATCCCGTCACGGCCGGTTATGTACGGCCAGCAACAGCAGCAGCCTCCTCCACCACCACCCCTACAACAATCTGCGACAGCCCACCAGATGACGCTTGGGCAGGGCAGTCCCGAGTTTCTCTCCACCATTCCACCGGAGATGGGATTGCAGCCGCCACCACCGCACCCTGCAGCAGCAGCTGTGCAGCCAGTATTCGGGCTGGAAAGCCAACCCTGGGCGATGCAGGGCTTGGATGCGCCGCTGAGCGGTGCGCCGTTGGACGCAGCCAGCCAGGACGACACATGGAGCAGTTCTTCACGCAGTGGGCCGACGGCACCTACGACCTTGAACATGGAAGATTGGTAGGTTTCTTTTTTTTTTTTTTTAATACTTCTCCCCCCTCTTTTGAATAATTTGAAGATGTTTTACTAATGAGTAGGTTCCAATTTTTTGGCATCAACGGTGGATTTCCGGATCTATCCGCTTCACACTGACAGGTATTGCCTACAGCAGGGTATTGGATCCACCACTGGGTACAAATGTATATATGAGAATACCCAGGTATATACTATATATATATCATTATGCCTTGAGCAAGTAGAGTAGTTTGTACCTTGGAAGTGATGTTGATATGCAATGTGGTTACATAATCAAGATTCTCTCTAACCGAATCTGATCTAGCGGATGACGAAATCGCCGATACCAAACACCAGCCAATCACATGCACCAGGTCGGCTCCCCCCCATGACTGTGACTCTTTTCTCCTCCAAACCGACGTCCATCACTTCGTTTCATCCGTTCTTCCTTCTCAACCTGCTGTATTTCCTGGTCAATCCCTGCTCTACTCGTCGTGTTTCTTCATTTTCATCCTGTCAACATCGCCGACGGGCTTTACTCCCCCCCTCTGCTTCTCTCAGGCCACGCATTGTCCTTCCCCACCCCGCAGCGATGTCGGAGCCCGTGTTGAAAAAGGCCTTCCCTCACGTCGACCTGGACGGGCACAATTTGCCCCCTTCGCCGGCCCCGTCGAGCCCTCACCAGGGCCGTCGGTATAACATTGCAACGGAGCTGGTGTTTACCGATTCCAATGATCAGTATAACTCGAGCAGTGTCCCGATCTACCAGGTATGCCCACAAACATCAAGCATCGAGTCGCCCTCTCTATCAAAACATGTATTTGGATAAAGATTAATAGGATCTAGAGCGCCACGTTCAAGCAGACGTCTGGCAGCGGCGGCGGTGAATATGACTATACGCGGTCCGGCAACCCCACGCGGACGCACCTGGAACGACACCTGGCGAAGATCATGTCGGCACAGCGGGCGCTGGTGGTGTCGTCTGGAATGGCGGCGCTGGACGTGATCACGCGGCTGCTGCGGCCCGGGGACGAGGTGGTGACGGGCGACGATCTGTACGGCGGGTCGCACCGGCTGCTCAAGTACCTGTCGACGAACGGGGGGATAGTGGTGCACCACGTCGACACGACGGAGCCGGACAAGGTGGCACCCGTGCTGGGGGAGAAGACGGCGCTGGTGCTGCTGGAGACGCCGACGAACCCGCTGATCAAGATTGTCGACATCCAGCGGATCGCGGAGCTGGTGCACGCGGCGAACCCGCAGGCGCTGGTGGTTGTGGACAACACGATGATGTCCCCGCTGCTGTTGAACCCGTTGGAGCTGGGGGCGGACATTGTGTACGAGAGTGGGACGAAATACCTGTCGGGCCACCACGACCTGATGGCGGGCGTGATTGCCGTCAACGACCTGGCGCTCGGGGAGCGGCTGTACTTCCCGATCAACGCGTCCGGGTGCGGACTGTCCCCCTTTGACTCGTGGCTGCTGCTGCGCGGGATCAAGACGCTCAAGGTGCGGCTCGAGCAGCAGCAGAGCAACGCCCAGCGCATCGCCGAGTTCCTCGAGACGAACGGCTTCCGCGTGCGCTACCCGGGCCTGCGCTCCCACCCGCAGTACGAGCTGCACCACTCCATGGCGCGCGGCGCCGGCGCCGTCCTCTCCTTCGAGACGGGCGACACCGCCGTCAGCGAGCGCATCGTCGAGAGCGCCAAGCTGTGGGCCATCAGCGTCAGCTTCGGCTGCGTCAACAGTCTCATCAGCATGCCCTGCCGCATGAGCCACGCCAGCATCGACGCCGCCACCCGCGCCGAGCGCGCCATGCCCGAGGATCTCATCCGCCTCTGTGTCGGCATCGAAGATGCCGACGATCTCATCGACGATCTCCGACGAGCAGTAAGTTTTTTTTTTCATTCCTTGCATTTTAATTCGACTTGTTGTTATTTATTCTAATGTCTTAGCTTGTCGAAGCCGGCGCCGTCAACGTCACCCTGGACGGGATCCAGGCAGTCGATACTGCATAAACATTATTTCATTATATTCTATATCTGGCGTTTGGCGTGTTGGACGTATATGATGTACAGTTGAATAAATAAAATCAAGCATTAAGACGATAAAAATAGCTACCCTTTTCTGCTTACTTTTCTCCTCCTCTGTATGGCTCCGGCATCGGCGGCCTCCGCATTTCCCCGAGTCTTTCACTCTCGACTGTCTCAGGCTCTTTTTCCTGACGGTTATTCTCTCATCCTATCTTTCCTATCGGGCGCTGGTGAATTAATTTGTACTTTTGGCCCTTTTTCTTTTGGCCCTTCCTTGTTCCTGACCAGTCATTCTTTCTCTCTGCATTGTATCTTCCCCGGATGCCTGCGGGATGTCTGCAGTCGAGTTTATAAGTGATTTTTCCAGACCTGGTTCTTCCTTCTAGAACTGTTATTCTTAATAATTCCCTCGCTATTGTCTCTGTTATGACTCGCAATGCCCTTCAAGACCCAAGATACCCCCCTTCCGACCGTGAGTTCGAAATGGAACACGGATCGACTCGGTTTACGCCTCGGCGTCGACCTGGCCAGCGCGACCGCCGCGGGCGCGTTGACGTGCCCGATCATCACAATCATCGATCGGTAAGTATCTTGGATCGGTGTGTCGGAGGGGAGAAAGCTGACCGTCAGGGCAATCATTGAAAAAGCAGCCAAAGGCTTCCCCATCCGCACAACCATCACCTCCTGTCTACGCAGCATGCTCGCCCGGCCGGCCGGTTTCTTCTGCAGCACCCCCTTCATCCTCATCTACACGCTCTACACGTCGACGTACCTGACGGCCAACGTCATTGACACGCTGACGGCGACGGTGCGAGACAAGCCGTTTGCGACCGTGACGCCGAGCCTGGTCAAGTTCCTGGCCACCACGACGGTTAATATGGGGATATGTGTGTACAAGGATGCCAGATTTGCAAAGATTTTCGGTGCGCCACCGTCAACACCGTCAACAACTGCTACCACCGCTGGAGTCGGTGCCACCGCTGCTACGACTACTGCAGCAGCAGCAGCAGCAGTGAAGAAGATCCCGAAAAGCTCCTACACCCTCTTCTGTCTCCGCGACAGCGTCACCATTTTCGCCTCGTTCAACGTCCCCTCCCTGATCGCCCCCTCGATCCCCGACTTCCTCGCTACAACCCCCTCGGCCAAGATGGCGGTCGCCCAGTTCTCCTGTCCCGCCATGATGCAGTTCATAAGCACGCCCATGCACCTGCTCGGGCTGGATCTGTATAACCGGCAACCAGCCGGGGGGTTGGGCTGGCGCGAGCGAGCGGCCCGGATACAACGCGATTATGTGCCCAGCAGCTTTGCACGTATGGGGAAGATCGTGCCTGCGTATGGAGTCGGGGGGGTTGCCAACGTTCGGTTCCGCGAGGCGATGATGGGGTGGATCAATTCTTAGAGTACGCAGTACTGACTACAGCAGAGTACAGACACAGACTAGTATAGACGTGATATAGATGTGATATAGATGTGATATAGACAGATACATACAACATAATCAGTCTTCCTCTGAATCATGAAAAGCAATCTTGATCCCAAACGGCGATTCACTCTCGCTTTCAGTCTCGTTCTCCTGGCAATGAGAAGCCTTGGAATCCTGGGAAACCCCTGTCTTCTCATAAGTATTCCCATTGCTATTAATTCCAGCCCCAGTAAACGGCGACTCGCCGAGTAACCGCCAGACCTCCTGTTCTGCCTGTGAAAAGGGATGCCACGCAGGCAATGCCAGTCTGGATAGTCAGACGATACAAGACAGCCCTCTTTCTCCTTGTACACACCTTTCTGTTCTCTCCTTTTCAATTCTCTTCGCAGGTCTCCCTTTCCTCGAGCTGGCGACTAATGTACACTCCACGCCGTGGACTCTGCAGTTCGTACACGCTTCCCCAGGCCGCATCTCGCAGCGCCGTTTCTTGCGATTGCACAGCGTACAGGCTCTAGATGATCGAGGCATTATAGTGATATAGGTAACAAGTTGACAGTATCATAGAATAGAATAGTCAATAGTCAATAGTCAATGGTACAATAGGATCAAGGTAGATATATTGATGTCTTAGCATGTGAAATCACATGGGATGATATCATGCATGTGAAGGATAATTTATAAACAGAATAAGTGTATTAAGAATAATGATTACTCTAATCATCTTGTAGAATTATCTTCTATTGTATAGGTTAACTATAAGCAGCACATAGTATACAAGAGAAGCGAGTCATCATGTAATAACTACTAGATACTAGATAGTATAACTTGACCATTATTATTATTATTTATAACTATAGATCAGCCCATCTATTGTTCTATTGTTCTATTGTTACTCCTTTATAGCAAGTGGGGCGACTCCTGACCAACCTCAGTCAATCGAAAAGAACAACAGACACCGACAACAACCAGAAGAATCAGACTCTTCCCCCGAGAGATGGATCCGGCCACCTTTATCGACCCCAATCTGACGCCGCAGGACCTTTTGGTCTTGAAAGATCTCCTGCGCGATGATCAGACGCGCGAGGTTGGGTTTTTAGGTATTTCCCCATTCTCGGCTCGTCTCGCTGCTCAAGCTGATCGTCTAGACGACACTGACGCCATTATCCATCGACTGCAGAGCGTCAACAACCCCCAGGATGCAGAGTTCGAGCCCACGGTGTTTGTCACCTGGGATACGCCCGTGGTGCATGCCAATCTGCCGCCGCTGGTCGACCGCTGGCTGTTCCGACCGTACATCCGCTGGGCGCGTCGGCTGGTGCGCGTCGAGACGGACGTCGTGATGCTGACGCATCTGCTGCTGTACCTGACCACCTCGGTGCCCAGCGCGCTGTGGCTGTACGGCCGCTTCTCCTGGGTGCACGGCGTGCTGCACGCCCTCATGCAGGGCTGGTACGTCGGGACGTACACGCTCATGATGCACCAGCACATCCACATGGGCGGCATCCTGTGTCGCCAGTTGGCCTGGCTCGACGCCCTGTTCCCCTACATCACGAACCCGCTCATGGGCCACACCTGGAACTCCTACTACTACCACCATGTCAAGCACCATCACGTCGAGGGCAACGGGCCCGACGATCTGTCCTCCACCATCCGCTACCAGCGCGACGAGCTGCGCGACTTTCTCTGCTACGTCGCCCGCTTTGTCTTCCTCGTCTGGTTCGAGCTGCCGCTCTATTTCTTCCGCAAGGGCCACTATCTGCAGGGCTGCAAGGCCGGCGCCTGGGAGCTGGCCAGCTACGCCTCCATCTACGCCCTCTTCCGCTGGGGCAATGCCCGCGCCACCGTCTTTGTCTTCATCGTGCCTCTCGTTCTGCTCCGCATGGGCTTGATGATCGGCAATTGGGGCCAGCATGCCTTTGTCGACGAGATCGATCCCAACTCCGACTTTCGTTCCAGCATCACCTTGATTGACGTGCCGGTAGGATCTCCAAAAGAAAAGAAAACCTTTATACAAATACTGACTCTGATTAGAGCAACCGGTTCTGTTATAATGATGGATACCATACCTCTCACCATCTCAACCCCCGCCGGCACTGGCGCGACCATCCCCTGGCCTTTCTCAAGCAGAAAGACCGGTATGCCGCCGAGCACGCGCTCGTCTTCCGCAACATCGACTACCTGATGATCACCTTCAAGCTCATGCAGAAGGACTACCTGCACCTGGCCAAATGCCTGGTTCCCATGGGCGACCAGATCGCCCTCTCTCTCGAGGAACGAGCGGCCTTGTTGCGCACCAAGACCCGTCGTTTCTCAGACGAGGAGATTAGAAGAAAATTCCCTTGAATCATTTTATCAATTTTGTTGGAGATTCAACAGGATCCCGCCGCTGAGGCCATATATACTTTTGGATAGACTTAACTAATCGCATTGATTATTGAAATAATACTATTGGAGAACCAGTATCTTCCCCTGTGATTACATTATTTTCTTCGTTATTTGTATCCTGTCAACCCGCGCAAATCTGCTCATTATCCACCTTCCCCACGCTTGGCAGTTCCTTGCAAAATGCTCAATTGCGAGCGACTCGAAATAAATACAGAGAGCAAGATGACGATGCTGACCCGAGCAGAGCCTTTCTTTTTTCCTCTACTCACACCATGTTGCCCTGGCTGGATTCGCCCGTCAAGCTCCATTCCGACAGAGCAGACACCTCCTGCGGCACCTTGACGCCAGAACAATGTGCCTACCGTCGGGGATACTGGCGGCACTGGTATTATATATATATATATATATATATATATCTATCTATATAAATATGACTTTACTGACTGATGCTGCAGGTATACAGCTGATCATGTCTACGCGCTGTCAACCATCTACTTTCTCTGTGCCATGACAGGCGTCTTCATCCTCGCCCATTTTTCCAGACACGCGTCTCCCCGAGTGAAAGATACTGGTTTCTGGCGAAAGACGGTTGCTCTTTTGCGATATTGCTCATATAGAGGCTTCCGCGTCTCGAAACTCAGATACTGGTCGCCTCCGTTAGGCGTGATCCTCGTCATCGCAACGGGGGCAGTCTTCTTCTTCAGTGAGCAGCACCATTAATATATAAATATATGTTATCTAACAGTCTAGGCATGGCACTCGGCCCCAAGCCGTACTATTGGCCGAATACAAAAACCGTGACCTACGGGGGCAGCCCGCCCATCGCCACAAGATCAGGCTTCATGGCGCTCGCCCTGCTTCCTTTCGTGATGTAGGATTACACCATTCAAGCTATAATAGGGCAGTAATGCTGACTTGACAGGCTTCTTGCCTCCAAGACGAATCTGGTGACTGCGTTCACCGGTGTTTCCCATGAAAAGCTCCAGGTATTGACCAAGACCCTCTGGATTAATTGGATTTCTAACGAGTGAATGATAGATCTTCCATCACTGGGCAAGTTACGCCATGTTCGTCCTCGCCTTGATGCATACCTTTCCGTTCATCGTGTATAACATCAAGATCGGGGATTTGGTGGACCAGTGGAAGACGCAAGTGACATACTGGACCGGCGTGGCGGCTTTGATCCCCCAGGCATGGTTGACCTTTATGTCTATTCCTTTTTTCCGGTAATTTTCTATCTTCCAGCTTATACCTATACTCTCCATATTCCAGCTTAACGATACTTATGGGTAAAAGGAATCGCTTCTACGAGCTGTTCAAAGGAACGCACTTTCTCGCCGCCCTGCTCTTCATCCTCTTCCTCTTCTTCCACTGCGACTTTATCCTTTCGTCCTGGGACTATTTCATCGCCATGGCCACTCTGTACTCCTCCTGCTGGCTCGCTGCCACCGTCAAGACATTCATCTTCGGCATCCATACCGCCCATCTCGAACCGACCTCCTCGGGGCTTCTGCGGCTGAGCATCCCGACAGTCATGGGATGGAAGGCAGGCCAGCATGTTTTCCTTCGATTCTGCACGGGAGGCCATATTCTCACGGCGCATCCGTTCACCATCTCTTCCTCATCGCCCGGGCAGTTTGTCGAGGAGAAGATGCCGGTCAAGATGAACGAAATGGTCTTCTACATTGCTGTTAACAAGGGACTCACTGCCCGACTAGCCACGCTGGCGTGCAAGTCATCGCCGACAGTCCCCGTGTACATCGAGGGTCCCTACGGGGGTCCGTCCAGCTCTGACTTTTCCCGATTCGATACCGTGCTCATCGTCTCCGGAGGGTCTGGAGCGGGATTCTCCATCGGATTGCTGGAAGAGATCCAGAAAGCCAAGAGCGGGACCAAGTGTCGGGTGGTGTATGCGACACGCACCACGAAGATGGCACAGTGGTATATTGAGGAAATGGAGAGAGCGGATCCAGCAGGGACCTGTGCTTTCTCCGTCCATGTCACCCGCGACGAAGAGGCGAAGGCGCAAGTGACGGAAACGAAACGCGTTACGGTCGGGGCGAGCGATTCGCAGATCCAGTACGCCCGACCCGACATCCCTTCTGTCATCTCTGCTCTCGGCAACGAAGCAAACGGCAGGATCGCCATCTTCACCTGCGGACCGAGAGAAATGCTGTACGACGTGCGACGGGGGGCGGCAGCAGCGCAGTGGAAAGTATGGCAGGGGGCCTTGCAAGAGGTGTATCTCCATTCAGAGGCTTTTGAGTAAGTGCATTCTTCACTAGACAAGATAAAGACTGACTGGATGGTAGATGGTGATCAAATAAATAGATTAATAATTGATAAAATGTTCATTCACATTGAATAGACGTAGTCACTCTAGGCTTCCGGCTGCAGTATAAATAGGTCCAGCCTCTCTTCTCTCTTCTCTATTCTCTCTTCTCTTCTACTCATATATATACTCTGACTCTGGTAAACTGCCAGTATATCCTCTCCATCTCCCACCAACCATACTTTACACACGACCATGTACGTGTTTCTTTGGAAACGACATCCAGCAAACATAGCGGAATGGATCAATGCTCCGGATCGACTGCCGAGCAGACTATAGCCATGATCAAAGGACATGATGAAGTCGCTCAGCGACGGAGTGGATACATCTGATATAGAGTATTGATATTGTTCGTCAGCCCTGCATGTGAATCACGAATCTCTGCTAAAGTGTCTAGCTATGGAAGTCTTAGCTGTACATTTTCAAGCCACAAATGTTGGAATAAAAGGTCTTGGGATGGGAAGAACAGATGGCTGGTGAGTCCATTACTTATTGTCATGGATCAATCTGACTGGTATAGAGCCTCGTTCGTGTTTAATCCAGGCAATGCGTGGTGAGATCTTCTGCCATGAGATCTGTAACTGACGATGGCCGTATCCACCATCTTATTCAAGTATCGATACATTTGTGGACGGCTGTGAATGATGACTAGGCTCTACTCATCCGATTCAAGGGGTCATACCATCTGGCAGTACTCTGGCTGACAGAAAGCGATGAGTAAAGAGAACAGTTAAAGCGGTATCATCTGAGCTAAGCAAGGTTATAAATATGCACTGGCAGGGATGAGGTGTATATTCTACAAGGAGATGGAAATCTAGTGTTGTCTAAAGTTGATGGTCATATCACATAATGAGCGACGCTTTCTGCGTCTGTGTCTATATCTATTTTATTCTTCCTCCTTGAGCTGGGCGACGTCCCTGGCAAAGCGGCGCTTGTTCAGGAAGAGGTTGATGGGAATCCAGACGATGAGCCAGCCAAACAGGACGGGCACATTGCGGTAGACCCTGCTGGTGGAGCCGTGGGTGAGGATGGTGGTGTACAGCTCAAAGCAGTTGTAGCTGGGCCAGATGTAGTCGAGATGGAAGAAGGCGGGCTTGAGGGGGATGGGGAAGGCGGCGGCGGTGACGTTGATGATGATGTAGGTGAGGACCAGCGGGGGGAACAGGAAGGTGGGCAGGGCGGCGGTGGCAGAGTCATAGACGACAAAGGCGATGATGCCATACATCCAGAAGGTGAGCCAGATCAGACAGAACTGGCTACCGGAGATGCCCGAGTGTTCATGGAAGACCTCATGCCAGAGCCCCCACGAGATGCCCATCAGACAGGAGAAGATGAGCATGGCGCAGCCGCGCAGGAGATAGTGCCGCTGCAGGGCGAGACGGCCCCGGGGCAGGCCGCACTCGTCCGAGGCGCCGCGCAGGGCCATGGAGAAGAAGAACTCGAGCAGGGCAGGGAAGACCATGGCCGCCGTCGAGAGGAAGGGCCGTACGCCGATGGGGAAGGGCTGGATGTCGACCGAGGTGCTGCCGAAGCCGTCCAGCAGCAGCCGGATGCCCGTTGAGCTGAGGTTGCTCTCGCTCGTGGCCTCCAGCAGCGCCGCGCCGTACGTCTGGATCCACAGACTGCTGGCCCCGTCGACGGCCTCCTCCAGCGACGGCGTGATGTATCCCTCGGCGACCATCGGCCAGTGCGCCTGGTTCCAGATGTAGGTCAGGGCGGTTGTCGAGTCGTACGTGGTGGTGTTGTCGTTGGTGATGGCGCGGTGGAGGTTCGTCGACGCGTTCGGCATGGCGATCACCGCCGCCCAGGCATCGCCCCTGTCAGTCAGCATTAAGAAGACAGAAAGTGGAAGATAAGATAGATACCTCCAGACGTGATTGTAGGCCTCGTCGTAGGTCATGTTCCGCACCGGGAACGAGGCGATTCCATCCGTACCGGAGATGCTGGCCGCTGCTGACAGAAGAGATTCGCCTATCCAGTCAACACCTCTCACCATCAGCCATGACTATACCTGTACTCACCAACTTCCCCCCCGTCCAGGTCGACCGTGACGATATTCAGATGCTTCGCGTGCTGGGACTGGTCGTACGCCGAGCTGTAGATCCAGACGGCGTTGAACCAGCCAAAGAAGAGCAGCAGCACCATGCTGCGAGCCACATGGGCAGGGTAGATCATGATGATGAAATTAAAGAATGGAAGGATGGAAGAATGAAAGAATAAAAGAATAAAAGAGGGAAGTGATCAAGAAAGAGCCCGCCTGTCTCCTGACCGCAAACTGTGTTTATATAAAGGCGTAGATCCGTTTATCCGTTCGGCTCGTTTGGGCTATAGAGCCAAGCCGGCGCTGATTGGCCCATCCGGCCGGACTCGTGTTCGGAGATACCAGATCGGGAATATGCCGGATCTCCTTTTCAAATGCCGGACCGAATTCATGGTCTGATCTAGATTTGTTTATTAGGAGTAGATCCTAGATCCGAGATTTTATAGTATAGTCACTAAGTAACTATACTATAGCAGAGGATATTAGGTTATATATAATCTTAGAATAGAAAGCATACTTCTCTAGTACTAGAGCAGATATATTTATCTCAAAAGTTTAATTTATATATCATTATAATTTACTATTTTTTATATTCTTAAAAATACCTATATAAAGGCAGGATCACTGATCCCTTTAATCTAGCACTGTATATGCATCTGTTGCAGATCTTTGACTTCCAGGCTATACAGTGATTCATCTACTGCTGTGGATTATAGAGAGTGAGAGTGGTATAATATAAAGTAAAGAGTATTATTTACTATTACTATATCATTCTCCTGACTCTATCTTGATTGCATGTTGGTTCAAGTCCTGTATCTAAGAATATATATACTATATCTCTCTACTGCTTGATTTAATACCCCTCTGAGGTGCCAGCTTACTCCCTACTACATTATATAGAGCATACCCCGCATATAGGATATAAACTAAATAAACTAGTAGATCTATACTCTAGTAGTTAATAGTATACCAACTATCAACAGGGTAATAAAGTTAGACTAATAGCAACCTGCTTATATCCATGTTCATGTAGTATCATTTCTGTAGTACTCACTCCATCTATTCCCCGCAACGGACGATTATCGCCCCCGACACGGTGCATATTACAATCACTTAGCATCTGCCACTCTCTGTTCACATCAATTAGAAGAGATCTCGTATTGCACCCCGCATCTGAAGCTCCGCCGAATGTCCGATCCATGGCTATATGCTGTACATGTATCAAATGGGCGATCCAGGTCGCTTGGCGAGAACGAATGATAGTCTGCTGTACAGTTCAGCGAGACGTCAAGTGAGGGGAAGAGATACACTGTGGAAATGTATAAATTGAGTCTCATTCCTGTCATCTCCAACAGCTCCTCATCCACACTTTGTCAAGATGCAGCTTCTTTCTCTTATTGTGAGCATTGTTCCCCTGCTGTCCCTGGCGGCAGCAGCACCAGCTATGAAATGCAACCCCAGCACGCTCAACACCACCGTCGGCCGGTTCCCCATCACGGAGGCCAACACGACCGTCTTCGAGATCGCACGGCTCACAAACCGCGGCGTGTGCGACATTGGCCGCGGCAACCTGATGGCCGACGTGACCATCATCCCGAACGTGGGCCAGGACCTGATCATCCCCGCGGAGGTGTGCGAGCCGGACAACAGCTCGTGTCTGATCCCAGACACGAACCGGACACGCACCTGCATCGACGGCGGCCCCCGTCTGTACTATACGGTCAACGGGGACACGTACGACGTGATTGCTCGGCGGCTGAACATCTCTACCGCCGCATTGCTGGACGACAGCGCCTCGGCGAAGCGGATCGGCAGCGACATCATCGCCACGACGGGCACGCAGCTGCTGGGCGTCGGCCAGTTCGTCAAGGTGCCCAGCTGCTCGCCGAGTCGGTGTGTGATCGAGCCGTTTGACTTCAACGAGGGCGTGTATCTGGATCTGGCGCGCAAATACGGCACCACCGTCGGCCAGATCATGATGCTCTCCCCGACGTACAACTATTCCACGGGGTACACGGCGGGCGTCAGTGGGCCGAGCATCGACATGGCCTATAACTGTACGGAGCTGTCTAGCAATATCACTGTCTTGAGCTAGAAGACACAGTATACAGTCAGCATACACTATCCATACTAACCAGGCAGTGCTTCAGCCCTGATGAGAATAAATTTAGCTTTAAAAACAGCTTTTACATCGAGTATAGAGTATGTAGCTACCAAGTATACCTATTGGAACCCTAATGCTGCTTATTCAAGTGTTGAAGATGTTATAAACTTCACAGGTATACTTAACAATGGTGGAAGAGAAAGGACTCGACCTTAAATCAGTCACAATGTAGTCTATGGATGAAAAATCACTCTTTTCTATCAGATATGAGTTGAGAATTTATACTCGACAGTTCCTCTGCTTGCCATTTAATAGTTTTAATTTATACTTTTTATATTTAAAAACTAAGGTTAAAGGGAGTCTAGAATATATATTATAAACATAGACAGATGGTATGCAGTAAGGAAATAAAATGTTAAGGATAATAGTCTATATAATGTTTAGGAACTGTAGAATTCTCTCTCTTAGTCTACCTAAGGATACCTAGGTAGTACATACTACACATCTGTCGTGAGTACATTCTTGACAACGGAATGGGGATAGAGATGTAATATTTACTCCCCTGCAACTGCAACACATCCAGTAGCGTTTTATCGGTGGCCAGAGCCCGTCAGTGATAAGCCTAGAGGTAGACACTATTGGTCTAGCCGGTTTGATTGAGTAAGTATACTTAAATTGTAATGCGTTGACCTCGCTTTCTTGTGCTATCGCAGTAGTCTCTACGGTGCGAGGGCCAACTGGTCTCGCAGCAAGAGCCGTGTCTGGATTTAAGATGTGAAGAAGACTATTCTTGTCAGTTCTATGATTGACCATATATAAATCAACATTAATATCACTAACCAAGCGCCACAAGGGATCCCAGCTTGAAGCACCTTCTGTCCACATCTTGGACAACCATTCCTCTTGGAATCAACTTGTATGACCATCGTCAATAGGCCTCCTGGCTGTATGGTGTAGAGCCACTGTTGCGGTGTGATGACTGCTCCTCCAAATCTTCCACTGACCATCAGATATTCTCCCTGGCGGACCCTATGCCAGCCAGGCTGAGCTTGGAAATTATCGATGAGGAACTTGTCAAATGCCTGCAATTGCTTCCTCAGCGACGGGAATTTCCTATAGACTGGAATTGGCAACGCACCTCGAGATTCCTGCATAGTTCAAAGGGTAATAACTGTCTCCGGCCAAGCGCGTCTTCAAACCGAACACATCTCCACGACAGAGGAGACAGCGGGCTGAGACAAAGGTGGTGCAATGCTAGTAGTAGAGATGCCACAAAGCGTCTCGTTTTTCTAGACACTCGGTTCAGAAACGGACGGCAATTCCATGGCAAAGAGGCCGTATACTTACAGTCTTTGTTGGAGATTCCAGATCACCACGACCATGACAAAGTACCTGCAACAGTCATGAATCTTCACAACAACTATATATACCAGGCAGATTTGGCGTATGAACGACTTACACATAATCGTACGACTCGACCAGCGACGCTTCTTCCGAACGCGGGTCCAAGAATAGAGACGTCTTATAGAGCCAGGGATCGTCTGCTCGTCTGCTGCTGGAACCCGACGTTCCTGGCCGAGATGCATCAGTTCAGGTCATGCCAGGTTAAGATGAAATAAAAGACACCACTGACTGGTGATTTCCTCTATCTGTGAGGCCTGGTCTGCCACAATCCACTGTCTTAGAAATGCTTTCATGCATGCTGCTCCCACTGCCGCTGCGTAAGCCTGCCACTTCTTGTTTTTATGACTATCTGCATAGTCACACACGCCCTTGATGATGACAGTCGGCACATTGTCACATACTCCCGCCCCTTCCATCTCGAAGGCGATGGCACGCTCTGTTTTGGCGATCTCGTCTCGATGTCCCCCCGACTTCATCACCAGGTCTCCCGATGCAACGAGGCCAAAGTGTATCTGAGGCGTGCCCTGCGTTAATCGGCGGCGGCGCGAGACCAGATTCACATCACCGCATCCTGACTCGTCGCAGGATATCTCATGCACACGCTCGCATGTTTCACCATCATCGGCAGCACATCGGGTACAGACCTCACCGGTGTAATGTCGATGCCGGTACGTTGGATGGTAGAGTCTGTCTTCACTTTGACCGGGATATCTGACTGTGCTGATCTCTGTCAGGTAACGAAGCGTATGGTCTTCCAGCCTGCGACGGCCTCCCAAGCCGCTCACCTGCCGCAGGAAAGACTGGATCTCCTTTGATGGCCGCGAAAGATGGCCCCCCGGACCATCTGTCTTGCGCACCATCTTGTTCGGCAGCCGGCGACCAAAGTCGTATTGTACAATCCCCGTGCTGATGATTGCATCCCCCAGCAGGACTTCACGCGTCGTATCCGTCGGATCGGTTGGTACGCCTCCACAGACGCCCACCACAAGCCCCAGCTTCACGGCAGGGAAGCTGGAGAGAAGACTGGCAGTTGCGCTCGCCGCGCGAGCTTTTCCCATGCCGGGCAGGGATACGAGGACGACGTTGTGGCGGCAGATCCGGCCGGTGATGTAGCTATTCGGATCAGCCTGGGCTTTCCCCAAGGTGTATTCCCATCTCTCCTCCAAGACTGCCTCGACGGCGTCGGATTCGGTCTGCAGGGCACAGATGATGGCGATTTCAAAGTCATCCCGACAGTGCGGTGGAGGCTTCATCATGGCCTGCTATAGATAACATGACACACTGTGATTTCTCTTCTGCTGTCGATAGGAAGTAGTGAGGTTGATGAGGCTGTGTTTTGAATAAGTGAGGGGTAAGACGTGGTCCAATCAAGGGTATATTTCAGGCTTATTAAACTATTAGAAACAATAGTTTTTAGTTGAAAAACTACACATATCTTAGTATCCTAATTATACTTATATTAATTTTAATTTTATAATATTCTCACTTATAACCCAAATTAAAATATAATATAAATATTATAACATCTTAAAGTTGATGAAAAAATTAAATATAAAATAGAAGAAAATTAAGATGCTCGTGATCTACACCACTATAGATTTAGTGACTTCCCTTTAGAATAATCTAGCAAAAATAAGATAAGGCACTAAAGTCTATTATTAAGATAAATTAATTAGTTAATAATAATATATTATAAGTTTAAAAGCTAATAAAGTAGATTAGCTAGTTTAGTAGTGTGTGCTAGGATCATCAGCCTCATCCCTGTTTCTCACTCTGTGATGCCAGCACACGTAAACCACCCACCTGCTCCCCCACGCCGACGGGCTCAGGGCACCCGATCTCGCAGGGGGTGTCGAACCTGCCGGTGAGTGATGCAGAATCCATTAATAACTGGTGAGTAGAGATAGATACTCATCCAGCAGTGCTCGCCATGTCAAGTGCGACGAGACACCAGAGAGCTGCACCAACTGCACCTCGACAGGACGATCGTGCGATGGCTACGACAAACACGAGGTCCCGCGTGGGCGGCAACGAGCCCAGACGGTGACTTTTGCAAGAGAAGAGAGAGCAGGAAAGCTGCGGCTGTGTGCAGAGATCGCGACGGCGTTTCGCTGGAGAACCACCTCGGACGAGCGACGGGCGCTCTCGTTATTCCAGCACTTGACGGTTCCCGCTCTGATCGCCGTGTTTGACTCGTCGCTGTGGCAGCGACTCGTGCTGCAGATGAGCCACGGCGAGCCTGCGGTGTACCACGCCGTCGTGGCGTTGAGTGCGATTCACCAGGCCTCAGAGGTGACGATAGGCAGTATGCTCGCGCGCCAGCGGCGTGGCCCTCCGGCTGAACAGCTTCACAGGGCGTCCGTCTGGCGGCGGTTTGGCATCGAGCAGCTTGGCCGGTCGCTTGCGGCCCTGAACCAACGCTCCATGTCGCAGGATCCGCAGCTGCGCGAGGTGACGTTGCTGTGCTGTCTGCTGTTCATCGTCGGGGAGCTGCTTCAGAACCATCACGACGCTGCCAGCCAGCATCTACTCAGTGGCGTGTCGATATTGTGTGAGCTCAGAAGACAAGAGTCTGGTCGGAAACCGACGGCTCTCTCCCCTGTTGAACCGGCTCTGTTCACCACCTTTCTCCGGCTGGAGATGCAGTATACACACATGGGAAACAGCATCCGACTGATGTGTCTCGCCGACTCCCAGCCAGAGCAGAAGCACCTGTTCTCTCCGCCGGTCTTCCACACGCTCGAGGAAGCCCGCCAGGCCTTTGACCCGATCAACAGCGCCGTCTTTCGCTTCCAGGCGTCCACATGGACAAAGTCGCCGGCGGAGATGGCAGCAGCGTACCCCGTGCTGCTGGCCATGAAGCACGACCTGCTCTCCCGACTGGACTGGTTCTGGTGGTCCTTTGAAGCGTTCTACCACCAGAACCACCCTTTCCTTGGGCCCAAGGAGCAGCGCAGCATCGACATGCTCCATCTGCATTACACCGCCGCCGTCCTCTCCGTCAAGGTGACCATGCACTTGCATGACTGGGCGGTGCTTGACCCGCTCGAGGCCGAATTGAAGCATCTCCTCCTCCTCGCAGAAAGCATGGTGGACAGGTTTCCTGACCGGCCCGCTCTAGTCATGGACTTGGGGGTCATGCCTCCGCTGTACATCGTGGCCATTGCCTGTTCCGATCTCCGGGCGCGCTGGCGGGCGATCGAGCTCCTCCGTGTCTGGCCGCACTGGGAGGGATCGTGGAACTCCATTCTCGTTTCTTCCATTGCGGCAGAGCATGTCAAGGCGTATACGATCGCTAGACCGGATGTTTTCGCCGGGACTCAATCGTCGGTCATGCAGATGCAGATGCAGGATGAACTGCGCCTCGTCGATGCTCTGCAGTCTGTTCGGTCCATGAGGAACTGGGTCTGCGTGCAGTCTTTCTCCAAAGTCTTATGAAGAATATAGTTGAACGTTATGTATAGTGAAGATAGACTAATCGAACTGTTGTATTTCTCTAGAACTTCCTATGATACTTCAACGTGCGAATATCATCCGGACCATCCACCCGGACCCGCGCGCTGCGCACTTCAGGACTCCCCAGAATCAGCTCATACACATTCGCAAACTCGGACGACTTGGTCACCCCATGCTGCACGGCGTCTTGGTCCACCTCGACCCGAAAGCCAAGGTACAGCTCGTTGAACCGGACGTTGGTCTTTTCGTTCTCGCGCGCCGCCGCCGTCGACATGGAGAACAGCGCGCCCTGCGTCATGGCCGGCATGGGTCGCAGTGCCAATTCGCCTTGTGCGCCGGTACACAGCGTCCATGTGCTGGACGGGTTCTTTTGTTCCAGCAGATAGCCGATTGTATCCCGGTAGGCGACTGTCTTGTCAGATTCTCCCCCTCTCTCTCTCTCTCTATGTGTATAGAGAACTTACAAAAGTTGGATTCAAAAGAGGCTTTCATGTTGCTGTGTAGCGTCTCGGTGGTGATCTCCTGCAGAGAAATCGTCGTATACTGGCCGCCAACTGGAGAATGTCAGTAACAATAAAGTCAATTGAGGAATGATTTCACCAACCGCTGGAAAACACATGCTGGAAAGCCGGCAGTTTGCCTGCTCGGACTTGATCAACCACCCCCTTGACCCCCGAATCCGAGAGGACATTGGCTTCGGCAAAGGTGATCCCCTTGGACGACCCGATGTGCTTCACAAGCTTGTCGGCCGATGTCTGGTTGCGGACAACGGCCAGGACGTTGCGTTTGGAACGCAGCGCTGCCATGACGGCCGCGACGCCGATATTCCCCGTGGCTCCGACGACTAGAACGGTCTCCATGGTTTGAGTGAATCTTGATACAGAGTACAAGACATGGCGGGTTTGAATTCTTTTTATGAGTCCTCTACTCCGTCTGATGCATCTCATCGCAATCGGGCTTCGGAGTCGCGAGTCGGTCTTGATAAGACGCGAGTGGCGAAGATGACAAATCGAGGGTGATCACTGTGTTCCATTCAGATTACCACGGAGGCAAGATTAATGGGCAGATGCGCTCACGTCAGATATTTGGTCTTTATGCAGTGGCTCCAAAGGGCGACTTCGAAACACTATATCCTTGTAGACTTGCCATTATCTGCGACATGTCTCTGATGTCTGGTCCAGGGAGTCGAATATCCATGGCTCCCGTCTTCGCCTTGATATCTTCAAAAAGACTCGAAGCCAGCGTGATGTAGCCATCCCCTCTAGCATGTGTTGCAAAGATCATGCCCACAAACTCCAGGTCCTTGGTAAAAACGAAACTGCCCGAGTCGCCCGTATCTGCAAACTGGCGGCCTTTGGTACCACACACCACTGCCTCGCGCGTCGCGACTGTTTTCTTCTCAATCACCGCCGTCTGGAGACTGTTATATAGACCTTCAGTCCATTCCGTGGATCGCCCCATCTTATACAAGAGCATCCCGTGCTCTGGTTCAATAGGTTGATTGATGATATCACACGGCAAGCGAAAGCGAGGTGGTCCATATGAGTCGACTCTATTGTGTCCTATGCGACGTTTGTCTAGCATTATAAGAGCCCAGTCTAGATGAATAGGATGATCACTGTTCCGCATGGTCTTGAGACGAAAGCCTGATGCACACACAACATGACCGAGTCGCATACGCTCTTCATCAAAGGTATTGATCTGGCTCATGATAGTCTCTAGATCATGTAGATTCCGTTCCTGGGCGACGTGGATCCGGCTTGATAAGGGAGAAAGCTCGCCACGCGCCATCATAGCCCGATTTGCCAGGAATTTCTGGTCAGCAATCCGGTTGATCTGTTGCTGGATGGATATCTTCTCCTCTTGGAGGTCTTGACGACTTGGCTGCTGGACAGCGAGTACTTCCTTCGCTACTGGATCATTCCATTCAGCTCCTTTTCCATCCCAGCTCAACTGCACTGTTGAAGATATTAGTAGTAGGTCTGAATCAGTACATGCCGTTGACTCACCTTGCTTGTTCTCGTTCACAGTTTCTGGCGCGAGAACTGCATGGTAGCAGGTGAGTCCGAACTGATACCACTCTCCCTTCTGGTTCTGGAGCTCAATGTATCCGCCAAATGTAGCCGACGTATCTAGATCAACAGTGTTTCCTAGGCTCACACCAGGCAAGGTCTGGCGCTGCTGCCATAGAGATGAGGGAACGCCGGCTTTGTCCATTGACCGAAATACCCTACCTTTTTCAACCAAGACAGCAACATCATCGATATGATTGGCATCTAAAATACTCACCACCTTCTCACGAAGGGGCTTCCACCTCCGAGAGGAATTACGATCCACAGTGATAATAATTGTGGGCGGGTTCTCTTCCGCTGTAGACGAGACACCGTATCGCCAGCATGAAATCACTATGATATCTGCGAGATCTATAGAGTCCAGTATAATCGACAGGACTCTGTCCCAGACTAGAAACAGTTTATCAGTCCGGAACAGAGGGGTGGTAAACCGGGGAAGCATTGCCCGGGGGTCGATTATCTCGACGCTGATATCTGGGAACTCGTGAAGAACCAGCATCGTATGTAACCTCTGGCAGGCCTGAAGCCATTCGTCATGTACTGTACTTTTCGTAGCCAAGATGGTCAGGGTGACGATTGGCGGGTCTTGAGGAAACCATTCCGGTGTCTGCATGCCCACACTCGCGTCTTTCAGCGTAATTCCATGCTCGATGAGTATTTCCTGAATGGCAGCCAGCATCGCGTCGCTATTCAGGATTTCGTTGTATCGGCTTGTCGGATCCAGTATCGTCTGGGAGGTTGCAGGTAACGGGCATAGCAAGGGCCCCCCGACGCGAAGCTCCTCGTTGATAAACTCCTCTGTCTCGCCCTCGTCATCCTTGCTGGAACCTCGCGTGCGGCGATCGCGTCTGTCGCTGCCAGGCTGCTTGTTCATCAGGAATTGGAAACCGCCCTTGAATTCCTTCGCTGACGACGCCCAGACGAGCTCTGCGTCTGATCCACGGTTGTATCTGAAGGGCATATGTTGATGATCCGAAAAACAGGTTTGGGAAAGACAGTAAGGAAGGTTGAAGAGCGTTAAGGAGCTGGTATGCAAGAGTGGGTGAGAAGGAGAGTTGGACAGTTGAGGGGGAAGGTTAGAGGGAGAAAGTCAAGAGACAAAATGTGCAGGCAACAGTTTGTTTGGTATGTCAGTCAAGAATAAACTCTCACTTCCACAATCACTTTATAGGCAGACAATCTTACCAGGTTATAAGCCAAACAGTGACATGGAACCACCAAGCCAGACTTTATGTAATTATGAATATATGACTTTCTAAATTCATTTTCAAGGCTCCTGAGCTGAGCCTCTTAACTACTATCTTATAATGCGAGGTGTATTATGTGGATTTACTAATACTGGTGGTATCCTTGCGCTTAATATCAAGCAAGTTTAATCTATAATGCTAGGTCAGCTCTCTGAAATGCTTATTAAATATAGAGACTAGGAGCCCTAATATTACAGACTTATATATACATCTTATCCACATGAACTGCTGGAGCTCTCTGGTCAAATATTTTAGGCCTAGTGAACTATCACTTGGCCGGCTCTACAGAGTAGTCAAAGAGATTCTTCCCTTTATGAAAAGTCTAGGTTTATATCATTTACTACCAAGAAGGAAATGGCTTAGGTCCTTAGCTAGATATCAATTTCATTATACTAGAGTAAATAAAGACTTAGCTATATAGATCTTCATTAGCTATCATCTTAATGAGTAGTAAACAAGACTTCCCAGCCCATAGCCCAGAGATAGGCGACTTACTAGGTATGAACTCTAAAGGGGATTGATTTGTTTATAAGCATGTGAATTGATATAGAATTACTATAAATCAGTTCAAGAAGAGGCGTAAAGTTAATATAAGAACTACGACTGGACATATGCCTTAGGCAGATGGCAGTGAATGAACTTACCTTCTATTTTAGGATGGGTGTCTATCTCAGGGATATTTATATTTGATGCGCCTCGCGTCCAATTCCTCTTGCTCTTTTTCTTCCCCCCATCTAGACATTCTAGTCTATATATCACCAATACCACGTTATTATTATTTTGGATCATTAAAAGAATTATATGTCTCTACCAAGTGCTTAAAATCTAGCACTGCTTGCCTTGCCGATGCCTAGATTTTATGGCAGAGAATCACCCTTACATTTTCCTACCCTTTCTCTCCAGCAATCTTCCGCGATGGCTTTGATAAGTCTCCATCTGCCTATATGCTCCCCTTCAACTCACCAACTATATGACCAGGGGAGGCAATCTGCTGGATTACATGGACAGAGAGACATGTTTAGTATTATTGTGATTGGTATCTTGCTCGATCTTCCATGCCAGTAGGAAAACAGAGCTAATGAATTTGCATGGTGAACTTTTTGATATCAGCACAGACAATTCATTTCGGAGATGCCTATATTGTCGGACTCTCCGCGGCTGCCAAGCTCGAGTTTGTAGATGACAATGGCCTGGCGAGTATACTTGGTCTTGGAAGTACACTATATAACCCTCCATCCCTATACCGATAATACATACGACCACAGGGTGTGGAAAATAGGGCTTCCCGTCCGCTCAGCCGTACTCAAGCCACACGCCGGTAGGTTAGTAGTTGGGTGGGTGACCACCAGCGAATCCCTACTGTTGTATGTTCTTTTTATACTTGGCCGTAGATTGATTGAGTTGAGGATTTTATGTTATAGTATGTTTTTACCTATATGTAGATTTATGTAGAGTATGCTATCTATTTTACTGTGTTAAGTATTATGCATGTTGCCTAGAGATAGTGATGAGAGGAATGAGGATAATAGAAGACTGTTATTCCTACAGTTATATGTTTTTCTTATACTTGGCCGTGGATTATGTTGATTATACTATCTTATTTTTATTTTATTGAGTGAGTTTATGTACCATTGTTCCTGCTAGATTTAAGATGAAAGAGATGGGAGGGAAGTAATGGGAGATTACAACTTAATAATGCCACCACTAAGGAACAGCAGCACAGGAAAGAGGTCCTTCGGCTTTGAAAAATTGGTCTCAGACATCCAGACTGCTCAGCCACCATTGCTGTGTCTCGAGATATTAATCAACGATCCGGAAACGTACAACTGGATTGCCGGGGGTGGAGGGAAATGGGCGGGAAAGAACGAAGTGAAAGGACGGAAGAGAGCCTCTATGACGAGGAGCTGGCACTTTCGGGCTCTTCGGCCTCCTCTCTGGCCCTCAGCATGATGGCGAGCATGATTTCAAGAAAGCTTCTCAATTCACCTATTTCCCTTGTTTCCCATGGCCCATACTGATCCATGACTAGGAATTCCTCTCTTGGGAGAGTGTTCCGTTCGCCAAGCATATACTCTTGGTATACAGGAGTATAGTTGGCGAGCGAAAGAAACCACTCCGAACCATCGCTGGAGACCAAGAAGGCCCTATCCATGCCCAGTCAGTGAAAAAAAAAACGAATACAACTAGGGGCCAGATGAGATCAAGATTACTAACCGGTTTGCTGCAGGTTTAATAGGGGGGTTGGCCATAAGCCAAGCGACTACCTCCGCTGCTTCTTGTATTGAAACAGCGGGCTCGTGCCGTGCCCTCTGGCCGGCCTTCGCCTCGAGGAGGATGCTGGTTTTAGTTGAATTGCCAGCCCAGAAGAACCCATCGACTTGGGCCTCCATAGTCGCCCGTTTGAAATTTGCGAAGAATGGGGCGCGGTGGGGGCTCCAACCCGCTGGGCCATTGACGTTTTCGAGGTTTATGGCTGTTAGGAGTGAGATCGCGGCCATATTTACTAAATCTTCGTTAACTCCCTCGAGGAGGTGAGTTTCCCGAATTCTGCGGCCAGCCCCATCGTTTTTGGTACAAGTCTTGGGCTTTGGGATGTCCAACAAGCGCAGAACCTCCTTAATCTGAGAAAATGGGATCTTGAAGGCTCCCATATTGCTCATCTCACCACCGTCGCCATTCTTCATGCCGTCTATCCCCTGAATAAATGCTTGGAATTCAGCATTGTCACCAAGCAACTGCCTTGCAGTCGTGAGGTATAATCCCAGGTCGAGGGCTGAAATATCCTTTGTGTTCTTTGTCTTCCATAGAACCTTTAAGAGGAGATACTCTCCCTTCGTCAACTTTGAGCCGGAATTTAGGTCGAAGCGCTTGTGGACGGTTTGGCGGCGAATCTTCATCAGTTTCGCAGCAGCCTCCCACTGTTCAGGCGTCGTTGGTACTTTTTTCCAAGCACGATTTCTGTTTTTGAACATCTTGAATGGATTATTTGAAAACAATCAACTAACTAATCGTGGAAAACAACAAATTTCAGAAATGTGTCTGTTGCTCTGGCTCGAAGAGGAAAAGAAAACGCGAGAGAGGGGGGGGGAAAGAAGCCGTCCAGTATTCAAGTCAACTCTCACTTCATTTCATTCATCAGCAAACAGCAAGCAACATTTAGTGCAAATAAGATATGATCCTACTATAAGGATATATTTGTCTTCTTATCTATTTAGAACCTAGTATATTAAGATGCTTCATCTAGTCACCTAGACATTTTTTTATCCTTTCTCCTATCCTTTTTCCTTCTTCTCTTGTTTTCTTCCCTTCTTCTCTTCTTCTTTGCATCTTTACCTCTTTCTATCTTCTTTATCCACCTTCCTTGCTTCTCTCACGCTCTTCTTTTATAGTTTGTTATGTAGATCCTTCCCATCATGCCCTGCCCAGCTCCCTATGGTTGTGAACTATATATCAACATTAATAAGCACTATGTCTCCTCTTCCCATTGGTCAGACAACGGTTCCTCGCCTTGACGTCATGGAACTAACCGAAATCAGTCTAGCCCTCTGAACATTGGGGAGCGCTTCCGGGGTTCACAGCAAGCAAACAGCAGAACAACATCGACTCTCTGCTTTTCCTCCCTCTTTTCCTTCCTCTTATCCCTCTTCCTTAACCATTTCCCTTATTCATCGACTTTCTGCTCCGTTCCTCCCTCCCATGAGGGATTATCTCCTCGACTCTTTCTTCTAAACTGTTCATGGATACTCGAGCTACTCGTTTGCAGCGACAGGCTGCACTACGGAGTAAATATGAGGCAGCAGCACAGGGCATCCTCGAGGCAATCTCAAGTGAGCCCAAGAAGTTCTTCTCCCCAGCTGACCTGGCCAACCTCGGAGTCCATCTATTGCCTTTTGATCCTCTTAGTGAAGAATTCATACAGTCTAGAAAATGTCTGTTTCAGCCTCTCTCAACAGACTTTCTCGCAGAGTTTTTCATTGAGGATTCAGAGCTCATGGATTCTGATCGTAAGGCCTTACAGTTGCTTGAGCCCGCCTCGCCCCCTGATGATCTCTCATCTCTACTCCATGCAGCTAGGGAGATCTTTCTGCTTCTTGAGACAACATATTCCCATCTAAAAAGGAAAAAACCTAAAGCCTATCTGTTTGAGCTGGTGGACTGGGAATTCATCGCGTTTGTCTATAAGCTCATTACCCTCCATTTCCATATACTAGCTAATGAATATTGATCCTCCTTAGGTGTGACGACGACTTTCACGAGGCGAACGGCTTTTACCCTTATAAAAATCATTTGGGCATCCCCCTCTGGTCATATCTAGATATGATGCAGCACTGCACCACAAAGCGTGGCAAAACCATAATTCGACCACATCTCCAACTTGTCATGGGTAATGATGCTGTTGTGAAGGAAAGTGGACTTCTGATGGGGGAGCTTGGCCCAATTGTCCAGGGAATCCTAGCTCGCATAAATCAACCTTGCTTTAAGAACACATCACTCATTCCAGTATGTTCATCTCTATATCTTTGCCATTTTCTTGACCATGTCTAACACCACCTTCCTCAACAAATAGGTCCAAATCTTCTCCTTCTTCGGGCCTCTCGATGGCCGCATCCTCCAGGCCAGGTTCTATCCCTCTGGTCAGCTGGTTATTCGTGCCTCTGGCATCTACCACTTTACAAGTGAGAATCAGGAATACCTTGCTAGCCTTTTTTTGCGCTATAGGTTTTCTGAGCCTCGCGTCGGTGACGGGTATGAGTTTGATGTTTTTGATGTTGCCGAGGAGTCCCCGGCAGGTTTCCCAGATTCCGGAGAAAAAAACCCACTAGGAAGTCTGGTGCTTCGCCCGGCTTCTACTTCTAGTACTGGCAAGGAGAATGTCGCTTTGTAGCAGCATAAAATTGACATCTATTGATATTAATACATGCCTGGACAATCTAAGATTTCATCGTCAACCCCCTCATCAGCCACGGATCCATAAGAAGATCAAGAGCAGTCGGACGATCGTCAGGGTTCCATTGTAAGGCCAATCTCAACCATCGCAGGAAACCATCTACATCTTCCCCACGTATGGTAGCAGCGAGTTTCTCAAAATTCCGATCAGGAATAGGGACCAGATTCTTCCAGTTCCCCGATTCATCCCAAAAGACCCAGCTCATATGCACATTCTTAAGAAATTCCAGAGGTGGCGGGCCAAGTAAGGCAACAAGCTCTGCGATATGTACTCCATCATCGAAGATACCATCTCTGACTTGTCCTTGAATAACGGTATTCGGACTGACAATGTCCCATGCCTAGATAATAAGTATTAACCAGGGAACAGAATAAATGCATCAATTGCCAGTACTCACCACCATAGCAACGCTCCATATATCCACTTTATAGCTCCAGTTCGATTTCAGTATGACCTCAGGCGCACGGTAATAGTCTGGCATGATGTTGTCGCAGTTTTCTTCATCCCCAAAACGAGCTTCTCCCAGATCGCCGAGAAGAGGGAGCCCGTCTCCAGCCGGAAAATGCGAGGTTGCATATATCTTTCGATCTCCAAGTACCTTTCTTGCTGCTGGGCTGTTGACTTGGCGCTCTTCAAAATCGACAAGTGCAGCATGGGAAGGGGCAGGAAGAAGGAGATTCTTAAGTTGGATATCTTTGGATACTAGTTAGTTCATTTTCTCTTTTTTTTTCAGAGATATCAATTTCCTACCGGTATGGATGAGATGGGCTATGGAGTGAAGATAGTCGACAGCCCCGAGAAGTTGACGAATGGCAGGTTTCATGTCTTCCAGCGTCATCTTATTCTCACTTCTAAACTGTAGCAGTTCAGATGCGTTGATTCCCAGTGGTTTATGAACAAGGCACAGATGGCGGTGTTGTGAGCCGTCCACGTAGAAATGGTCAACCAAGCTGCGAACGTATTTCTTGCCTGGGTGGTCTGTTTCGATGGAATCGAGATGCTTGTAGATGTTCAATTCATGCTCTCTTCCTTGTCCAGATACATATATCTTCAAGATGACATACGTCGACTCCCTGAATTTGATTAATATCGATAGATAAATAAATGACAGACTGACTTACACGAGATCACGGGCAAACCACACGGTGGAAGTCACGCCAAATCCTACTTTGGCGAGAGCCTGGTATCTGTCGTTGAAAATTTCCCCTTGGTCGACGGGATAGTACTTTTCGGGTGAGTAGGTTGGCAATGTTTCTTCTTCAATTGAGCAAGACGGGTCCAGCAGCTTGAATCCTGACGTTGGGAAAAGCCGTGGAGCAGAGGTCCATTTTGCTGATGAAACGACTGTTCTGAAGGGGGTTAAGATGGGAGGTTTGGATAATGAGGAAGTCAAACAGAGTCGCCGAGTGAGGAGAGAGTATGGGGATTTTGAATAAAGGGACCAGGGATTTCGCATAGTCGATATTTGCTGTAATTTAAACAAGGAGTTGATATGAATAAAAGCATTTGTTTATCTAGCTTATATGACCAGTGCACAGACCAGCATGTCAGGCAGAGATCAGGGTTTATGAATTAACTTGGAGATTCTCATCTTTAAATAGGAGCTTATTATTTTTACTATGGTTATAATCCTATTGCCCCTCTAGCAACACAGGAGTTGATAGTAAAATCTCCAGGATGTGGTCATTATATCAGTTTTTAAAGAGAATTCTAATGCGGGGAATCCCAGTATAAGATTATACTCTGCTCCGAATAGGTTACCTAGAAAGGCTTAAGGGGAAAAGTCACTCTTATCAGCTTAATCAAGATTGATGAAGATCTTATCTAGTAGAGGTAGATCATACGCCAGGCTTGGACTATCTAGGCATAAGTATACTACTTGAGACATATTGCCAGTCAATCACAACATCAATGAGACAAATAATAACATAGAGGTAATATTTATTTTTAGCTAATAATAGCCTGGAGTCATAAGGTAATCTTATGTCATGAGGTGCTTATATATAATTATCAGACTGAAATCCTGTTAACACGTTCCCTTTAACAATACGTCTTGAAATGGCTGAACATCAACCCCCTCCCGAAAACACCCAAATGAAGCCTCTTCTTTCCCCAGAAGATATGATGGAGAAGAAAACATCAGTGCAGGAAGAGGAGGATGTGAACGAGGAATCTCCTCCCCCCGCGCTGGTAGGACGGAATCTCGGGCTTCTCACAGCGGGGTGTGTCTATTCTTTTTATGTTTGAAGACTGAAAACTAAGATCCAGGCTCTGTCTCTGTGTGTTCCTTTCTGCCCTCGACATCACCATTGTCAGCACATCACTGACAAGCATTTCGAATGACCTGGACGCCTTTGAAGAAAGCAGCTGGATTGTATCGAGCTATCTGGCAACATATTTCAGTACATCAACACTCTTGATTCGCGTGTTACACTGTCCTAATGTCTCGCAGGCTTCCTCATTATATGGGCCAAGCTGAGCGACTTCTTCGGCCGCAAGCGAATGCTCATCGGCGCCGTCGTGCTCTTTCTGGCCTTTTCGGGGGCGTGTGGTGGAACAAAGGCCCCCATGGCACTGTGAGTGATGCCTCATCTATTGAAACTCTGTCTCATATTGAACACTGCTGCTCTAGTATTGTCTGCCGTGCCTTTCAAGGGATTGGAGGCGCCGGGATCTTCAGTATGGTGCCTATCATCGTGGCGGAAATGGTCGAGCCAGCACGATACGGCGCATACAACGGGATCATCTCTCTCGCCATCGCGTTCAGCTTTCTATTAGGCCCACTGTTTGGGGGAGCCATCAGCGACGGCACGACCTGGCACTGGATCTTCTGGATCAACCTCCCCGTCAGCGTGGTGGCCCTGGCGCTCGTCTTTGTCTCCATGCCCGCTGAATTTGGTCTATCCAAGCCACGAGACAGGAACGTCCCGATCCTCAATCGCATCGACTATCCGGGTTTCTTTATGCTCCTTGCCTCGTGTGTCTTGGTCATCGTCGCCATCGAGGAGGCCGGCATCTCCTATGCGTGGGACTCGGCTCTCGTCATCGCCTGTCTGGTCATCGCGGGAATCCTCTTCCTTCTCTTTATAGCCTGGCAGTGGTATCTCGATCACACCCAGTCCCAGCGGGAACCTATCTTCCCTTGGCAGTTTGTCAAGACGCGAGTGTTGATGGGAATATACCTGTGAGTCCGTCCTTCCCTTGTTATTCAATCTGTCGGCTCATCCTGACAATAATGGAAAGTAATGCACTACTTTCTGGCGTCCCCTTTGTCACTCTGGTCATTGAACTCCCCCTCCGCTTCATGAGCATCAACGGTAAATCCGGGCTCGACTCGGGCATCGCCATCCTGCCATTCACCTTGGCTCTGGCCTTTGGATCGGCCATCACCGGCTCGATCACAAGCAAAGGTCGCGTCCCAGTCATTGCGGTCCTCTTCGCCGCCACCCTCTTCCAAATCCTCGGCATGGGACTTCTCTACTCGGTTGCAGTGACGGCGCATCTTCCAGCGAGTATTTACGGGTATCAGTTCCTCGCTGGACTGGGCACGGGTCTCAGCTTGACCACTCTTCTCAACGTTGTTCCCTCTGTCGTGGATCGGCGCGTTCTAGGTATGATATAATCTCTCATCTTCTCGTCCGATGCTAATCTCTCAGCCGTTGCCATGGGAGGAGTCACGCAATTGCGCATTCTAGGCGGCGCTCTGGGAACATCAATCGCAACAAATCTATTGAATACCACGGCGAAAAGCCGTCTGGCAACTGAATTACCCGCCGACACACTTGCGCGCATCCTCAAAGACGTCTCGTTAGTCCAGACCCTCTCGTCGGCCGATCAGACGATGGTCCACGCTGCCTTTGCACAGGGATACCATAAGCAACTGGCTATGATGTTGGGATTCTGTGCGGCCGAGGTGGTTGCTTTGGCGTTGATTTGGGAATGGCCCATGAGGCGGTTAGAGTGACGGTTTGTATATTATAGCATATCGATGACTATGAAAGACTAGGCCATGGTTGAATTATGATACAATTAGTACATGATATTGTTGAACAGGAAGACCAGTTGAATGTATATATATATACATCCTCTATAGCGTAATGTTGGAGCACGCGGCGTTGTACTCGGACGGGTGGCGGAGGGTGATGGCGCCCTCGTTGTTGTAGCCCAGACTGATCAGAGTGGCAGCTAGAAAGTCAGACGCCGGTTACCACATAGCTATGAGCAAAAGACTTACCATCCAAGTCAAACTCGGGGAAGCCGAGTTTGGTCAGACCGGCCGTGGGATTGGCGATAAAGGCCGCCCAGGCGGCCTGCATCTTGGCCTGCAGCTTCAGCTGGGCGTCGGACTCGGGGATATCCGTGTAAAGGGCCGAGTTTCCAAAGACCATGTTGAGATCGACGCCGTGGTAGGCGCCGCTGGTCGGGTACAGACGGGTGTTGTTCCAGTCGGCAAAGTAGCGGAACCGCCACGAGGGGACTCCGTGGGCAATCCGGGCGGCGGCAGAGAAGTCGGACGGGCAGACAAAGGTCTCTTCCTCGAACTCGAGCCATTCGGCGGCGGTCAGATTGGCGCCCTCGAGGTAGGCGGCAATCTTGTAGAAGCCGGCCTCGTTGTCATTGTGGCCGACCAGATAGGGCTGTAGGTTAGTTTGACAAAGAAGAGATAGACTCAAAGAAATAGACTCAAAAGACAGACTTACCACACGCGCAAACTTGCCGCTGTCGGCCAGCGTGACGTAGTCGGCAAAGATGGTGACGTTGTCCACCGTCGGCTCGAAGGAGGGCTGTTTGCGGGCAGCGCTGGTGCTGGCCGGGGGCGCAATGGTGGCCGCCATGGCGAGCAGGTCGGCGACAGTCTGTTCCTTCATGCAGGCGAGGGCGTCGGCGGTGGTGTTGCAGCCCAGGAGACCGGTGAGGTCGGCCCAGTGCTGGGCGGACAGGTCGGCGGAGTTGACCTCGAAGCTCAGGGAGGTGCCCGAGTGGGAGATGATGCCGGCGACAATGGGGTCCTCGGGCCAGGCGTAAGCCCAGTAGTCGACCATGGCGCTGCCGCAGGACTGGCCGGAGATGACGATGCGGCTTGCGTCGCCGCCAAAGGCGGCGATGTTGTCGCGCACCCACTCCACGGCGGCGCGCTGATCCAACAGACCCAGATTCGAGGAGTGGTCTGGGATGCCGGGGAAGCCAAAGACGTTCATCCGGTAGTTGGCGGTGACGACGATGACGTCCTCGGTGCTGGCCAGGTCGGCGCCCGAGTAGAAGGGCGTGTTGGTCGCCCCAGAGGTGTATCCTAGGCATTGTCAACAATTGAAACCACAGTGGTGAGGCGCCATCTGGCTAGACTGGTCATACGGCCGCCATAAAAGTGCACGTAGACGGGCTTCTTCTCATCGCTGTCGTTGTTGGCCCACACGTTCAGCGTCAGACAGTCCTCGCTCTGGGTGCGGTTGTACTCGGAGCCGACAAAGGCCTTCATGACATCGGTGAAGACCGGCTCATACTCGTCTGGATACGAGTAGGCGGACGAGAGGGTATATGGGCAATCGCTGTTCATTCTGATTAGCCCGTCTAGCCCGTCATTCCACACCTGCTTGCAACGCCTTACTATCCCTACAACGGTCAGTACACGAGTTCTGGAAGACGGAATTGACAGATCTCGATGGTCTCACAAAACTCTCCGCCTTGTACGTCGATCTCCCCTCGTACTTGGCCGGGGCCTCAAACCGCAGGCTGCCGACCGGGGGCTGCGCAAAGGGAATGCCCAGATACTCGACGACACCGGCGTGGGAGGACGAGACATGGCCGACGATCTCGCCGTTGGCCGTGTCGACGGTCTTTGTGGCGAGCGCCACGGCGGGCAGCAGGCCCAGAGCGATGAAGAAGGCCACCGATGGCATCTTGGCAGCAGCAGGGGCAGGGATGGTGAAGAGATGAGGTTCTTGACAGGGGGGGAGTTTAAGTATTCTCGTGGTTTCCCGATCAGGCATGGTGTCAAGCACTAGTCTGGATACTGTAACAATACGCAGTATACCTACCTATAGTACATACTACATAGTACTCATTACTAGTTAACCATAGTCATTATAATAATTACATAGTAATTATGATAATTACATGATAATTACATGTTATACTAGCCATAGCTAAGTAGGTACTATATACTTGTTCACTCGCTTCAACTTACAGTATACCTGAAAATAGATACCCCTATCTGACATGGGTTTAATTGTTCACCAGGATCAGGATGAATCCACTGTGACACTGGCCCCCTTAGTATTACGTGCGCTTCGGTTAAGACAACAGGATTAATAGTAGCTGTTAGCAGGACCACTTCGTATCCAGTCCCCGCCATGCCTGCTATCCGAGCGATCCATGATAAAACCATAGGCCATAGAGTATACATACTGCCTATGCCTATGCCTATGCCTATGCCTATGCCTACTGCTATCTACTGTCTAATCTCTGATTTCTAATATCTGCAAAGAGATGTTATTTTAATGATACTACTTGGTAATGTAAAATTGAGTAGTCTGGCCCCCACGCCATGCCGCATCCGGCATCACCCAATCCTGCAAGACAAACTCGATCGTGAAGGATTCCAGAATTCCAGGATCCAGGATTCAGGATTCTTCTATAAACTTTCTGTGCAGGCAGTAGTGCGCTTATTGGGTCATGGCGTCTTCCATTCCACCCTGAGGGATCAGGCATCCTCCAGCTGCAGTGCTGCACACTCGTTTATATACCCTCCCATGCTGTCCCGAGTCCCCCCCCCCCACCACCTCCGGTCTCCTACTGCTACGCCACGTCGGTAGAAACAGAGCTCTGGTCTCCAAATGACCCTGGTCACTCGCAAGGATAACATCCCCGGCCATGGAGAGAGCCTCTTCGTCACCGCCGTCGTCATGGCCGGTCTGGCGCTGTTTTTTGTCGTCCTCAGGCTAATCACTCGCTTTGATGCGCACCGTGCAGGCGCCGACGACTACCTGATCATCGTCGCCATGGTATTTTTTTTTTTTTCTTT